GTAATAAGTTACAAGTTACCACAGTACACAGCTTTCGGTGTGCACATAACTTAGCTTAAGTAGCTTTCGCCCCTCTGGTTCCGCTTCAGCTCACCTGCAGATCACGACCAGGCTCCCCTTGCTCGGGAACGGAAGATCAAGATCCATACAATTTTCAGCGGGACTTCCCAAAAGATGGCCGCAGCTGTTTTCGAGACTGGTGAATCCTACACCGGCAGATCATGAGAAGCCGTAGGAATCTGTCTGGCTTTGAAGGTAAGGCGACATAATTCGAACCATGTCAGAGCCCCAGGTAATTGATGGATGCTTGTTCTGACAGCAATCAGAACCAAGAACCCACCAGGTTCAATGCTGTCTGACACGTTGGCCTCTAGAACGGGCCGCGACGTACTATTGCGTTTCCAATACTGGATCTCATCCATACGCCCCCTACTTAACGAGATCCAAGCACCCCACGCGCTCACCCTCAGTACTTGAACGACGATTTTACTCCACGCTTCGCATACCAAACGACTTACAGAACCGGAACTCAAATTTGATGCCAGAAACGTTCTGGAGGCATTGGACAGACTACGTTACGATGGCTTTGTGCACACCGGTGCCACCTTCTGGGCACGGACTAACAGTTCCAACTGAGACCTACCAGATATCAGCGGAGCAATATGCCGGTCAGTTACATGGAGGATGACACGGTTCGCTTCAAAAAGGTTGAAGTCGCCCACTTTGGTAGCACAGTCTCGCAAAACTCCTCATGCGCCCTGCATGGAAACCCCATTGGAACGTCGATATTTCGAAGCCTAGAAGCACATATTCGGATGAGATGGAGCATAGCAACTGATATCTGGTCACTTGGAGCGATGACGAGGCATTTGATTCACTCCGCATAGCGATCCTTGCGTTCACTAATCTACCATCAACATTCACAGTTGATACGTCTGATATATGGTGGAGACTTTCAAAACCCAGGTCCCAGCCGATCATGACGAACACGACATCAAGACCCTTAGGAAGCGCTACTAATGCTTCGGGATGTTCCCTTTGTCGTTGCTAAGGGACTGCTAGTCAGGAACCGCTAGCAGTTTTGACGTGGACAATGGAAGATTGCTCGAAGGAGACCCTGAAGCCTTTCCGCTTGACGACTGAACGCGAAATATGCAGTGAGGACAGAGTTTTCATTTGCAAGATCATGTGAAATTGGACCCAATGGACAGGCCAAGCGCAAGAGAGCTCCCGGCGGATACTTGGTTTTTGCAAGACTAAAAAGGACCGAGAACCACCGAATTCTACGCTGGTATCCCACTGATGATGCTCTTAGGCATAACCCAAATCTACCATATGTGACGCTACGAATCAGTCAAAGTACTTGCCACCTAGGTATTGAACGACCTCGTCACTTCCGGGTAACCAGTGTCGCAAATCCAATGCCTGTCCACGCTTACGTATTTCCCAGCGAAGAGTACCAAGGACTGCTGGTATACCAAGCAGTTGGAAAGAAAGCCATATCAGCTATGGAGCTGAGATATACTACCCGAAACAATTCTGAGAACTTCTTAAGCGTAGATATCTGATACTTGAGAAATTGGGCTCTAGCACCACCTCAACCGTTTTACTATGCTGAGGTTTAAAGTACGCATCTAGAAACACACCCAGGGTGGGAAATCGATCATCTGCGGGCCGTCCGCCACTGATATCCGTCCCGGTCGTAGGATCCCACGGATCCAACGCTCATTAGCCAGGATCCGCAGCATGTAGGATAAGGTTGATCCTGGCCGCGGGCGGATCGGAAAGGGCCAAGCTTTCTGTTATCCTAAACGTGCTTTCTGGTGTCCGCTAATATGGGAGAGAGATTACGTGGAGACGGATTGACAATAAGTGTTAACTCATATTTACTTTGTCTAAAACATTTTCGAAAGGCTATGCACACATGAGATCTTAAAACCCCTCGACAGGACCACTGCGAAATAGACAACACTAAGACTTGTCTTGGGTATACTAGTAATTTACTTTTGCATAGCTTCAATTTAGTGCCAAATTAAGAAACACGCTAATTGGCATTATTATTATAAGCACGGGCCATACCTGACCATTACGACCGATGGATCTGCCATGGATCGGACGGAGGTTGTTCGTAACGTCGGACGGATCTGATCGACCCGTTGCGGCCATCGATCATCTAGGATGAGGGCCAAGCCCCACGAATCCGACCGATTTTCGCGCTGAACACACCCCGTTCTGCTTCCTATGTCAACTAAATCTGCCTACGAAACTGCAAACGTTCGATATGAATCTTTAGACCCGCAAAACAATGAAATTCACGTTGTTATTCCGCTACCAAGCCATTCATCCTGAACGAGTTGTTGCGAATTAAGTAGTATCGAGGACATCGTCTTGGCCGAACACCATGAGATCCGAAATTTCAGTAGATGAGGCGGGGCTGGAGAATTTGTCGATTGGCAACATGAGCGTTACGGTGCTCTTTCCATGGAGTTACTCCTGTGGCTGTTCAGGAAAGCAGACTTCTAGCGAGCACACGGTGCGTGAGTTTGGTAGTGAGTGCGGAGGGGAGTTGAGAAGGTCGAAGCGGAGAACTGGCTTGACGATCGAGGTGGCCATGCTATGCCTTGAATATGCTCTGAGTCTCCTTCGAGGCTGGCCGCCCTCCATTTCGTATCTTCATATGCAAAATTGGGACTATACACGGCCAAGCATGGCTCGCAGCTGCAAAGAGTCGAGGCCACGGGGATAGGCTGGGGACGGTACTAGATATCAGATCGAAACAAGTGATGGTGGAGGGCACTAGGCCTACAGGGGTTGCCTACTGTTGGTTGTAGGTGATGAGGCTTGAGGCCTAAGATGGGCATCGCGCCGCCGCAGACCATGGTACTACTGCTCTTGATATACTTGCCAAAGGTGATAGAGGGAGAATTGTAGCCGGCGTTCGTCATCTCACGAGCGGACTAGAAACCTAGGACCTCTCTCGAGGGGAGTATCTGAGCTGAAGTATATATTGAACTACGACAAATCTGTCGACCCACGTGAGACTCAGCATACACAATCGTACGGAATTAATGCCATGAAGGAGACTGATGTGGATGTAGTGGATTGCTACCTCAATGAATCTGAGATGCTACCATTTGGCTTGCCAGACCAGCTTCACGAAGCTAAATGATAGTCTCTCTCCAATATCTGAAGTCGGGAGATGTTGAAAGTCGCTTGATTTCGATATCAATCATTCGCCATTGAAGTTTGTCTGGAAACCCCGTCATAAGTAACGGTGTAGCGAAAGAGACTCGTGTACTTTGGGGGGATTAAGCAGCTGGGTGCTGGCGCGTCTGCTCTGGGTATTCACCTGGTTGTGGTCATATCCATAAGGCTTCCCCATTCAACTGCACTTGGTCAAATGGAAACGCGGCCCTGCTCATCCCTGAACCACGTTTCGTCATCCCAGTTACTTGTGATAATGGGTAGCGTAGGCTCTTGACCAAGGATATCTCGATTGTGAGCTCGATTCTTCTTGTATCAGGACCCCGGAGTCTGCAACCATGGGTCAGCTAGCACGTAGCAGATCTTCAGCCTCCAAATTCCTGTTCTGCGCGATTCATCGCCACAGTGGTTAGAAATCCACATAGCTTCCCTCAGATACTCAAGGATTACAACTCATCAATATCACAACTGCTTTGTTCCTACTTGCGAAAGTACTGCCGAACAAATTGGTAGTGATCCCCTTGCGATGAGTCTCTTCCATAACTGCAGCCAGTACAGACGCCCGCGATTCCAAGTCTGACTCCAACGATCAGCTTGCAGAGATGATACCTGCGTTGCAGGGAATTGAGTGTCCCATAAGCTAATCTGACGAAAATTTACCTCCTGCGAATGTGGGTAAAGCCTGTTGCTATTAGCACCATCTTGCCAACTGTGGACGTGGACGCGGACTTTGCGAAGTTTGAGGTCCGTCCTTTGCTCAGCTCTGCGACTTTGAGCGGTTGAGACATCTTGGAAAATGCTTGCAATGAATCAGTATTCGACACGGTTGCTTCTGATCTCATTGGTGCCGACCATTTGATTTTCGAATCGGCCGACAGCGTGAATGATATCGACATCACCGACTTTTCCTCGACACGTCGTGATTGACCCGACTCAGGACAGCAGAAACGACGACCGTGCAGACCATTTCACTGTACATAAACTGCATGTCAAGCGTTTGTCCACTATCTAAGCCAACGATCAGCACATGAACGCTCGATCCGCTCCTGAAGTGGAGGAAATAGGCCTGAAGACCACCGTGAGACTCTATCTGTCCGCAGTGAGAAAAAGCGCGAGGAGATCTCTTCCTACTGTCAGTATCAAACTAGCTCTACTACTGACAATACTAGCCAGCGAATCAAATCTCTCCTTGTTCCTGAAGCAGGAGAATTTGGTCAACAGCAGCACGACGACACGCTGTTCTCTACTAACGCTGAGAACCAAACTGACGACGCCTCAGCCAGCTCGATTTCTAGCAAGATATGATGGCTGCCATTGAATACGAATCTGCGATATTCTTCTCCGGACAGACAGATTGCGGTGAAGTTCATGAAGCTGAGAAAAGTCTTAGATAACGGACAAGACATGTAAGAACTCTAGGGACAAGTCTCCCGGCAAGTCAAAAGCTCGACAATCTATTATATGACGCCACACCAGCAGCCCTTTTCCGTTTCTCCCTTGAGTCTTTTCTCAATAATCGCCGCCTTGTAGTGAATTATGAGAAGTAAATCCCCTCCGTCAACTTTATATATAAATATAAACATGAAATGATACGAAAAATGATAGAAAACACAAGCCCCACTGCTGATCAATTGGTTTAAGTACACTATACTTGGTAATAATAGTGCCTCGAGCAACCCCGCTATTTTTAGCCATAAGCTGGGGACCGATCGCGGCGCCGTAGATTCGCCAGTGTCCAAATCCTATCTATATTGGTCGCAACGCCAACACGTTACCAAGAAGGTCTCTTTAGCACGATGCGTTGCGCAAGCGAAGCGGCGTGTCGACCACTAGGAGTGCTCGCAGTGGGCCTACTGGCGCTCCAGACACCCCTATCTTCTGCCGCGTCGGAGCCCTTTGATGCTCGCGAGGCAACCATTGATGGTGTTCATAACGCCCTGTTCACAGGCCTTACGACGTGTCGTGGTGTGGTATCCTCGTTCCTGTCCCGGATTGAGACCTTCAACCCCACCATCAATGCCATCATCAGCCTGAATCCGGACGCGCTCTCGGTGGCGGACGAGCTGGATCGATCATTGGCCGCGGGCAATGTGACCGGGAAGCTCTTCTGCATTCCGATACTGTTGAAGGACAACTACGATGCCACAGGAATGAACACCACGGGTGGCAACCTGGACCTGGCCGGAAACCGCCCCGCTATAGATGCCCCGACCGTAAAGGCTTTCAAAAATGAGGGGGGGATCATCTTGGGCAAGGCCAACCTGCACGAGCTGGCGCTGGAGGGGATCTCTGTATCGTCGCTCGGCGGGCAGACTATCAATCCGTATGACCATACGCGCACGCCGGGCGGGAGCAGTGGTGGCACAGGAGCTTCGATCGCGACAAGCTTTGCCGTTTTCGGCACGGGCACAGATACAGTGAACTCGCTTCGCAGTCCAGCGAGCGCGAATAGTCTTGTCAGTGTCCGCCCGACCCGCGGATTGATCACGAGAGCCGGAGTGGTCCCTATCAGCTATACCCAGGATACCGTTGGGCCGATAGCGCGCAACATCAAGGACCTTGCCGTTGCGTTGACGGTGATGGCGAGTATAGGGTTTGACAGCCACGACAACGTGACGGCATTGGCGCCACCTGATGCGATTGGAAAAGACTACTCAGCGGAGCTGTATGGAGGGAGTTTAGATGGATTGAGACTCGGAGTACTGGATGGCTTCTACAACCATACGGCATCTGCTGAGACGTCACCCGTCAACGGAGCGATGGCGGACATGCTCGATTTTCTAAGAGCAGAGGGGGCCGAGATAGTCAACGTTACAGACACGCTTTACAATGCGACTGCCATCGCAGCCAAACTTGATGTCCAGACCTCCGAGTATCGCCAACTATTGAACGAATACCTTTCTGGTACCAACCTGTACGGAACTGCGCCAGCATCGTTCAACGAACTGTACACAAGCGGCAAATTCGTGGTAATTCCGAGCCAATACAACTATGTCAACACCGCCTTCGTCTCGTCGACAAGCAATGCGTCGTACGCAGTCGCTAAGCTTGGTATTCAGAACCTCACCACAGCACTTCGAACATCATTCTCGGACCACAAGCTCGATGCAGTTATATACCCTGAGCAGAAGAACTTGGTCGTGAAGTTGGGTTCACCATCGCAGAGCGGCCGGAACGGCATTTTGGCCGCTCTTACGGGTTCCCCTGTGGTGACTGTGCCTGCAGGCTTTTCTCCTGCCTCGGAGGACGCGCCTATTGGTGTTCCAATTGGCATGGAAATCCTTGGTCTACCTTTCACCGAAGGCAAGCTTTTGAACATTGCTGCCCACATCACGCAGCGGTATCCCGTCCGCAAGATGCCGTCTTTCGCAAATCAGTCTCTTGAGACCAGGAATTATGTTGAGGTGCCAATCATCAAGCCAGACGCCAGCAATATCCCTGAACAGTACCCTATTGGCGTATTGGCATAGGCAGAGTGCAAGGTGCAGAAAGAGCACAACTGCGGAGATGCGGAGAGTGAGACAAGTGGCTGGGATGTTTTTTTAAAGTCAGGGTTAGTCTAGACTAGAGTGAAGTCATTGCTGAGCTATGCATATGCAACTTCCTTTGCACGTTGATACCGCATGGGTTCTATCATCATGCTGGCCAGCTTTCTTCTCATATTAGCCCGACGAATGCCTTATTTACGTTGTTATTTGCTTATCGGTAATACGAGCACTAGACTTACCGTAGTCTAGACTAGTCGAAAAGAATAGGGACATGAATGTTGTGTTGGGTTTGTAAGCCGCCAGGTCACAAGCTTAGATAGGCAAATGTGCTTGTTTTGGTCATACAACGTTCGGATATGTTGACTACTACGTTCAGTTCAGCCGAGATAATATGCGTTCGGCCGGTTGGCAGGTTGGCAAGAAGAAACGGTCGCTAGTAGCCCCATGGTATATAGTGCTAGAGACCTTACCTAGGTTACTGTACTCCGTAATGCCGCCGGTATTTCCAGTTCAACGCCTTTTCTCTAAGGTTAAGCAAGTCTAGCGACAATAACAATATGGAGCATCGTTGTTGTCCTGTGGAGGCTTACGGAGCTAGCCGACCGACTGATTGAGCTCTTCAAACCTAAAAGAACGAGACCTACTGTAGAAAAGGCTTTCAGGACTTTGAAAGAAACGAGAAAAGACCCTGGCGATCTCGATGACAGATGGTCCAAACGCCCCATAACATGCAGGTGACGTGCACTGTAGCCAATCATTAGCATGTGGCAGCCCCGAGACTGCTAGCCTCAGCATGCCGAACCGGGATCTTGACATATACCACAGTGGGGGGGTCTACCGCTGTAAGTTCGAAATTGTGGAAGGACCCTGAAGCTCTGAACTTGTTCCCAGAGCGAAGAACCTCCACAACGCATGTGCTGAGTTTGACAGAGAGAGAAAAATTCATCTTGGCTCATTCCAACCCGGAGAACAAAAAGCCTGTCAGACGCATGAGGTCACACGACCGGACCTTTCGCATTCCATCGTACTACTTGAATATACACACCCTCCTTGGATTCGGATGTGAGATTGTCTTTGTAGATTGACGCTGAGCATTATGAGCTGTTACTAGACAGCGACAGCGGGGCCACCAATTGACCAACCAGTCAGTATCATCAGCATAAAATCTACTACCAAGAACTCTTTGAGCCTTGTTCTAAGGGTCAACGGGGAATCACTGCGCATATTCGTCAAATGCTTTGAACATAGGCAAACCTAAAGGAGTAAGAGAGCGCTGTTATTAGACAGCCAGGCCTACTCCATATAGGCGTATAGAGATACATTACGAGACGTGAGACACAGAGCTGTGGCTGTGGAAAGGTACCCCGACAGGTACAACGCAACAACGAACGATAAACAACACGCGGTACGACACACGCACTGCCGAAGGGAAACTCAACACACAACACCTTCTACACAGCGCGCTTCATAATGTGTAAGGAACAATATCAGCGTTGGACCGGGTGCGACTGCTGGGGCTTTCAGAAGATCGACGTCTGTCCAGAACTCCTCAAAACATGTTTTGGGCCAAGCGGCGACAAGGACAAGCAGGGTGTGTACGCCCAATGAAAACCCTCCATTCAGTCTATACATCTTCATTGATACAGACCTCAGACACAACCCCAAGGGAGTTGGTAAATAACCATGACTGCCCATTGCATCGAATCAATTGGAATTGACCGCTAACTGGTAGAGCTTTACAGTGATACAGTGGAACGATGGCATGTGCTCTGAATGCTGGGATCGCCTTATGATGGAAGCAGAGGAGCAAGCAGAGAAGGACCGCCAAGCTGATGGAGAATCTGAGAGGTTGGCCGCGGCATCCGCCTCTTCCGGGACGTACTCTTACAGTAGTTCCTATACCCAAAGATCATCATGAATTCGGCCGGGCTTTGGTCGAGGAACGCAGCCACCGCGCTCTGAGTATGCGCCAGCCTAAGCGCGCCTCTCGTACGATTAACGTCTCGACTACATACTCCACGGACTTTGTGCGTGGTGCGCGTCCGCCATGTGGTTGCATCCATGTATGGAGTGCAGACCCTCCGAGTCAACAAATCAATCAATCAATCAATCCCAGCAAAGCCGAAAATGGTAGCTCATCAACTGTCCGTGTCGAACTCCAATTACAATAATTCAATCCTTTTTTCTACTTTATTCTTTTTCTTGAACTATCTCTGAGCCTATCTCAGTGTCCATGTACACTTCCCTGGTAGATATAATCAGGCATTGACATGTCTATAGCTCGGACGCAAGATCGGTACGCTTGTTCCTATCATGCTGTCGCGCCTGTTCATCCGGGATGTCGACCCTTGGTAGTCTTCTTGGCTCTTTCAGTATTGCTTTTTCTTCGATGTGTTTAAGTAGTGTTATCACCATCTCCCGGGCTTGTCGAACTATTGCAAGTAGCTGGCGGCACCGATAGTCCAGCTTGGTCAAGGGAAGCGCTTTCATCTCCGTCTGTCTCCGGCTGCTCCGATCCTTCTGTCTCTGAATTTCTTGCATCTCTTGCTCCTTCGCCGGGATCTGCCAGGTTCAGTGACATAACCCGTTGATGCAACGATGTGTCTCGCTGCACAACCTCAAGATTGAAGCCTGCCTCGGCCGGAATCGAATGTGCAAATTTTAGTTTTCGTCTTCCACGTATCGAATGTTCGCCATGGTCATCAGCCATGGACTTCACTTCTCCATCAGACTCCTCCGATATGGTCTCTAGAGCAGTGTATGAAGGCTGGGACGAGGATCTTAACCTTCTTAGCTGCATTTCGATGAAGTCATTGGCGCGAGCAGGATCAATGTCACCGGTCGACGTGCTGTGAGGGTCGGACTGTCCATCTCGAGTATTGCCTACTTTAGCTTTGCAGGACATCTTATTTTGCGAGACTTCTCGGCTCCCATCGCGAGCATCTACCTCCACAGAAGAATTAGTTGACTTGCTTCTCGACCGATCTATTCCCGGAGTATAAGGTTGGGCGCATTCGTAGCTATACGCTTCCTCGGGCCACAATTGTTCTTCTCCTGAGGACGAGGATGATGACGGGCTTGAGGATAAAGTACCGGGTGGGATATCACGGCTCGTTTCTGCCCCATAATCAGGTATTTGCGAAGCTTGTCGCTCTTCTACTCGGTATAACTCTATTGTGCTATGGTCTTCGACTGCTTTACCGGTTATGGTTTTCCGAGGCTTTCCGGAACCGTCAGGGATTGTGTCTGGATTCATAGCTTGCGTAGGTGTGTTTTCAACAGCATCAATATGCTTTCCGCTTCGTTCCCTGTTCTTCAGGTAATATGGCGCTTTAAGTACTCGCGGTTTCTTCCTCGAAGTCTGATTCTCAGTTACCTCTATCTGAGGAGCTGTTTCCATAAGCGAAGATTCACACATACCAGTACTCGAGGCTCGACCATTATTGACCGTATACATCTCTTGTGATTCATTATTAATGCTGTCACTATGCATGCCAGTCTGCTCTTTGTCTGGGAGTATCTTACGCAGTGACTGCACCGCCCTGATGAACCTGAACTCTTGGCTCTCTAGTGTTGTCTTTCTGTTGGGTTCGTCGATGTGATTCATCACATTGCCGGCGGATTTCAGGAACGTCTTGTTTTTTCGGGGTGTCGTTGGGCAAGAGGTGCTGCTTCTCGTAATCCAGACCACAACCCTGATCCTGAACGATTGGCTTACGAGTGAATTCCGACACTCCACCTACACCTCCATGACTTCTAGGTGGGTTGAGGTCGTCTGATTCCTTGTTGTTGGAGTCAGTCGTTGTGACATTGTACGGTCCATTTACAGACGAACGTTTACACCGTTTACACCGTTTACAACAGATTTTGTGAAGAGAGTTGCGGGTGGAAAATTATTAACTCAGCTTGGTCTCACTAAGTGGCCCCGTTAACTTTTCGTATGCTTGCTCATGTCCAAATAAACTGAGCTGGTTTCTGGCTCAGAAGCTCCATTCCGATTTGGTGGTTCAAAGGGCCACTGGTTGCAACTCAACAAGATGGTAGCATTGCAGTACTGCTTGTCACTTATGAACTTATGCCACACTCTCCTCGATCCTTTTAATTGTTCTCGTAATACCAATATTAATACGGCCGGTGGTAAGAGTTGCATTGTGCGAAGATAAGATTGGGCTCATTTGCCGGTATGCTATGTATGCACGCAAGTTTCCATGCTCCACTCTACATCATGTATTCACCAAAGACATAACAGGCATTCGCTGGGACGAATGCATTCACAACGAGCAGTTCGCAAGAACACAAAACTTTATTTTCTTTAATCTCAGATTGACTTGGCTTGGCCTGCAATTCACAAGAGATGTGCGTATTGTGGCCTATATACACTTCACGTAGGCCCTTTGACGGATGTATGAATGAAAATAAAGTAAAATTGAAAACAAGCTTATTGAGATTGATATATGAAACAGTAGACTTACAAAGCATTTATATACGTTTGAACACTTTATTTTTCTCTATCCTCTACTAAATTCAGCTGCGGTATGAATCATGCCCCGAACTCCCTTCCGGAGACTGTGAGCTGGAAGTTCCGCGATCACGTCCATCGCCTTAACCAGGACGATATGAATCTACTAATATAAGCCGATGCCTCTTTCTCTGGCTAACGCGAAACATTATTATGTTCCGCCCAGTAGGAGGACTGGCTGGTCATCTATTCCTGCGGCGAACTCTTGTAAACCCAGTTGGCCGAGAGTGATTAGAGTACCCACGTCGGGGCGCATCGCGCCCCTGACTTTGCATCTTTCCAGAAGGCTTGTGCTTCTTGTTTGGGGTGGCCTGCCGATTGTGCTGTGCAGCTTACTGGTGATAGTGTCGATCTCCTTGATACCTGTCGGCACAAGATTCCTCTTTTCCAGCGGGACCTTGTCGCGAGGTCATCCAAGGGTACTTTAAGTCAGCCAAGCCTGGCACTAACTAACCCCAAGTACCATCGTTATTGGCATTCCTTGATTGCAGAGCATCTTCAAACAATATACGTTATACGCGGGAGAATCTACATTCTGCCAAATTTTGGCATGCGCAATTCATCGCACTACACTCGTGCCTCCGCTCTGAAAACAAATAGCCAGCCAACTTAGTATTTCGAAGGAGAGGGAAGCACTTATTAAGTACAAGGCTGCGGTCGTTTAAATGGGCATACAAGTTATGCCTAATGATTTTCGACTTGAAAGTCATGCTAATTGTTCACTGTCAATGTCAGATGCACGATGCCTGCAGAGTATCAAACAATTCTCTGTGCGCAATTGTCCATTCATAACTCACTAAGCAATCCTGGCCGGGCAGCGTTAACGATAACATAAATCTCAAAATTCAGCAGATACTCGAAGATACAGCTGCGTGTTTGAAGACAAGCTCGTTGATAATACTGTAGTATCACAGTCAATGAGCATTTATTCGAATAGTGCATGTCATGGACGCTATCACAGATGGCGGTCCATCTATCAAATCTGATGGGGATCGCAGCAGCCCTACGATGCCACTCATGCGCTAGCATTGCTCAAACCAGCTTCTTGCAAGCCACGGAAACTGTCGAATCGGATCGAAAGCGAACACTATCGAGATGCAATTCGTCGATTTATATCAGGGTCGCTTCCCTAGCGAGTTTCATTATGGCGATGACTCTTTTGGTCAAAGAGAACCCCAAGATGTGGATGATGAAATCCAACTAGAACTGCTTTCCGAAGGCATACCCAATCCATTCGATTTATATGATGAGTTTCTTGGCTATGATACTAGGAGCGTGACACTACAAGTCTTCTCCCTCTTGTAACGTTAGCTGATTAGAGCGAGGACTACATCTATAGCGCAAAACTGCCGGGTCAGACACGGAACCAACCCACAATTGTGCCACGTCGGCTGTTATTGACCGCCACGGTACACGGCCCGTCACTCTACAACCAAAACATATCTTCATGCAAAATTGCAAAAGAGTCGAGGACAACTCTTAATAGAGAGAAGGATAATTGTCATGAGGTGGCGATAAAATAAGCTTGGAAACTCCCATTCTACGTCATCGATAGCTACCGCCCATTGCTGGTAATATTCAGGGTTTCCGCTCCCATTACACTCTTGCTTCTGACAAGATTCAGTCTGAACAGTAATACTCCCTTATCTTTTGGTTATACCTGACTCCGACAAAAAATATCGTGACAAGCGTTAAGACAGTTCGCAGCCGACTAGCGGCCTTAGCAAGTGCTCGAGTGCTTCCGTAACATCGCATATTCGAGCGAATAGAACGCGTACTGTAGTGGATCGTCTTGGCGATTTCCTTGTTAGTTGGTTCATTACTTAGAATTGTATCACGTATCAGGTATCTATTGATGTTTTAATCTCGCCTCAAGTTCGGGACCATGGTGTTCTATTGCTAGTAGGACAGAGTAATCAGTAACTAACCTAAGATGGGATTAGGTTTCTTCAAGCCTGTGACTAGCCTGTTTTATAGCGGCCAGAGGTGTCTAATGACGGCAAATAGTGGGGAGAAACTTGAACGGGGGTGGATTCTTTATAATACAAGCTTAAATCAAGACAATTTGCAAACATAAAACCCACGGCTGATTAACAACGCAACCACGCATCATCAGAGGCACTCTAGAGCTTGATGCGCCTTACGATACAAGGCACATTGATTGTTTCTGAGCCGATCAACCATGGCACGCGCTAAAATGTGCAATAATTCAGCTGCGCCATCAGGCTGTGCCACCACACTTCTTCGGCGAGACCACTCAAAACCGTCGACGATCCCCACGACATCCATTTTCACTTTCTCTCCTAGTCGTCCCATCTTTCATCAAGTTTTGACGATCAAAACGCGGAAATGAGTTTTGGATTCAGTGTCGGCGATTTCCTTGCGGTCATCGAATTGGCCAACAGGGTTCGGAAAGACTTCGCAGGCGCCCCAGATCAATTCCAGCAAATAACTCATGAGTACGCTTTTATGGGTCTGCTCCCAATTCCGTGCTAATATCATCTCGTCTCTAGAATCAGAAGCCTAACGATCGTGCTTCAAGATGTCGATAATTTTGTTGCCAGCAATGATCTTCCCGACACGAAGGAAAGTGACCTTTACGAGATCATTGGCAACTGTCGACGCGTCCTCGAAGACCTGCAGTATATAGTAGACCGAAACTCCAGCTTGGAACAACAAGACAGTGTGAGAAAGCGTGTCAAGAGGGTATGGAAGCGTTTCAAATGGGATCCGGACGAAATTCGTGACCTTAGAAATCGAATTACTTCAAATATCACAGTGCTTGACGCCTTTACCGCAAGTTATACCAGGGATAATGTCATCAAGTTGGTAGTTCGACAAGACCGACAGGAACACCAAGAGATCCTCGACTGGCTGACGCCCATCGATACTGCTGCACAACAGGCAGACTTTATCCGCCGACGACAACCAGGAACAGGTCAATGGCTGATCGAATCTCCCGAATATAGCAAATGGAAAGCGGCAAAAGGAGAGGTCTTGTTTTGCCATGGTATGCCGGGAGCCGGCAAAACCATCCTGTCGTCGATCGTGGTGGACGACTTGCAAGAATGGCAGGCTGTCGAAGATGTTGGTGTCTGTCATTTTTATTGCAATTTTCAACGTCATGACGAGCAGCAACTTGGAAACATCGTTTTGAGCTTCCTCAAGCAGCTAGCGCAGGTTGTTGCTACTATGCCCGCTTGCCTCAAGGCTCTCTTTGATAAACATCAGGCAAGACAAAGCCGGCCGAGCCTGGAAGAAACAGTCAAGGTCCTACATTCCATAGCTGGATTATTCTCGAAAGTCTTTTGTGTTGTCGATGCACTTGATGAATGCAAAACAGTGGATGGATGCCAGCGACAACTCATAACACAATTGATCGACCTTAGTACATCCACCGGGGCCAATGTACTAGTAACTTCCCGTCCAGTGCCTCAAATCATGGAAAGGTTTGGGAACTCCGTCTTCCTTGAAGTCCTTGCCATTCCAAGTGACATTCGGAAGTACGTAGAAGGAAATATACAAGACCTTCCGGATTTCGTCAGCGGAGAACCAAGTCTAGTAGGCGAAATTACTAATGAAATCGTCAAAGCGACTGATGGAATGTATGTATAGACTCTTTCATTCATCGTAAACAGTAATTAACAAGTATAGGTTCCTATTAGCAAAACTCCACCTCGACTCTTTAATAGGAAAGAGATCAATAAAGGATCTTCGAAAGACTTTAAAATCCTTAACAAGAGGAAACGACGTATATACTAAAGCGTATACCAACACTATGTTACAAATTTGCGGACAAGTTATACCACAAAAAGAACTTGCGATCCAAGCTTTAATTTGGATTGTTTATGCAAAAAGAGCATTATCAATAACTGAACTCCGGCATGCTCTCGGAGTAGAAGTTGGCGAGACTAAATTTGATAAAGATAACATTCCAGATCTCCATGACACGATTTCTGCTTGTTGTGGATTGGTTACTATTGACAAAGCAAGCGATGTTGTTCGACTAGTCCATTATACGACTCAAGAATTCTTCGAAAGGCAGGGGGCTTTTTATCTTCCTAATGCATACACGGAAATCGCTAACACGTGTATTACGTATCTTTCATTCGATGTTTTTGGCATTAGTCCATGCGAAGAAGTGCGAGACTTCAAGCAAAGGCTGACTCGGTTCCCTCTTTACGATTATGCTAGTCGTTTCTGGGGCTTTTATGCGAAAGACTTGGCAAAGGCTGAATTCGCCCGGCCTTTCCTTGATCTGCCAAGCCAAGTAGAAGGATCGAACCAAGCTCTGCTTTTTCCTAAGAGATGGTGGAACAACTTCAAGCAAGCTCCATCTCAAGTAACTGCACTTCACTTGGTTGCCTATTTTGGCTTAACCAAAAGCGTAGACATAAAGATGTTACAAAAGTTCAGTATAGATGCTCGGGATAGCCATCATCGGACACCGCTGTCGTGGGCTGCTGAGAATGGCCACGAAGATATTGTGCGCTTGCTTATCGAGAAGAATGCTCAGTTCAATTTTGCAGATGAATACGGCCGGACGCCGCTATCGTGGGCTGCTGAGAATGGCCACGAAGATATTGCGCGCTTGCTTATCGAGAAGAATGCTCAGTTCGATTTTGCAGATAAATACGGCCGGACGCCGCTGTCGTGGGCTGCTGAGAATGGCCATGAAGATATTGTGCGCCTGCTTGTCGAGAAGAATGCTCAGTTAGATCTTACAGATCCAGACGGCCGGACGCCGCTGTCGTGGGCTGCTGAGAATGGCCATGAAGATATTGTGCGCTTGCTTGTCGAGAAGAATGCTCAGTTCGATTTTGCAGATAAATACAGCCGGACGCCGCTATGGTGGGCTGCTGAGAATGGCCATGAAGATATTGTGCGCTTGCTTATCGAGAAGAATGCTCAGTTCGATTTTGCAGATAAATACAGCCGGACGCCGCTATCGTGGGCTGCTGAGAATGGCCATGAAGATATTGTGCGCCTGCTTGTCGAGAAGAATGCTCAACTAGATCTTACAGATCCAGACGGCCGGACGCCGCTATGGTGGGCTGCTGAGAATGGCCATGAAGATATTGTGCGCTTGCTTATCGAGAAGAATGCTCAGTTCGATTTTGCAGATGAATACGGCCGGACGCCGCTATGGTGGGCTGCTACGAATGGCCATGAAGATATTGTGCGCTTGCTTGTTGAGAAGAATGCTCGGTTCGATTTTGCAGATAATTACGGCCGGACGCCTCTGTCGTGGGCTACTAAGAGGGGCCATGAAGATATTGTGCGCCTGCTTGTCGAGAAAAATGCTCAGTTCGATCTTACAGATCCAGACGGCCGGACGCCGCTGTCGTGGGCTGCTGAGAATGGCCATGAAGATATTGTGCGCCTGCTTGTCGAGAAGAATGCTCAGTTAGATCTTACAGATCCAGACGGCCGGACGCCGCTATCGTGGGCTGCTGAGAATGGCCATGAAGATATTGTGCGCTTGCTTGTCGAGAAGAATGCTCGGTTCGATTTTGCAGATAAACACGGCCGGACGCCGCTGTGGTGGGCTGCTAAGAGGGGCCACGAAGACATTGTGCGCCTGCTTGTCGAGAAGAATGCTCGGTTCGATTTTGCAGATAAACACGGCCGGACGCCGCTGTGGTGGGCTGCTAAGAGGGGCCACGAAGACATTGTGCGCCTGCTTGTCGAGAAGAATGCTCAGCTCGATTTTGCAGATAATTACGGCCGGACGCCGCTGTGGTGGGCTGCTAGGAGGGGCCACAAAGATATTGTGCGCCTACTTGTCGAGAAGAATGCTCGGTTCGATTTTGCAGATAAACACGGCCGGACACCACTATCATGGGCTATTGCGGATGGCCACAAAGACATTGTACGGCTGCTTTTGCAAAGTGGTACAAACATAAGTACCAATGAACCCAATAATGGTTTCATTCCACTATTCTAGGCAACAAAATATAGACATCAGCATGTTCTTGAGCTTTTTATTGACCAAGGAGCTTCTATGGGGATTATTGATGCGCATGGTTGCACGTTACTAACGCTGGCTGCCGAATTTGGCCATTAAAACATCGTTGTACTGCTACTCAACCATGGAGCTGATATTCCCATGGCCACAAATGCAGGCAAATCGGCTTTGCTTCTGGCTTCCGAATACGGCCATAAGGATGTTGCTAAAATACTCCTCAAGCGAAGCGCTGTAATCGATAGGAAAGACACCACCTATGGGCGGACCGTCGATTATCTGGGCAGTTCAAGAGGGTAAATATAAAGTCGTAGAGTTGCTGCTTGCTGTGGTGCCAATTGTCAAGCTACGGACACTTATGCCCGGTCTGCTTTAACCTACGTAGCGAAACTATGCAATGTTCAACCTCCGGACTCTTTGCTTGCGTAAAGTTGCCTCGATTCCAATAAAAGAGATCATTGGGGCTTAACAGCTATATTTTTTGCCGCTCGCTTCAGCCGTTTGTCAACTTTCATGAAGTTTGCAGATCTATCTGACGTCGACTTGCTACCAAAAGATTTGTTCAGACGGACACCCAACAGCAAAATCACGACTTTATCGCGAAGAACACAATGGAACGCACCCGGTCTTCGAACTCTAATCCATCAGCGTGCCAAATAGTAATGGGTCAATCGAAGATCTTCGGTGCTGATAACAAGGAGTGTACTATCTATTTGTGCAACGATTGCGCGGACGGTATTGTTAGGGATGTGCCAGGAATACGTGGGGGCTCGCTGTTTTATGAAATCTCATCTTCTTTCAGAGATTCAAGATTGAACATTGGATTCCCACTTATATCTTATGCAGCACGTATTTTATCTCTTCGCTTGATACATATATCAATAACATGATCATTAAATATTTGTGTATACTGCTCAAAACATGGGTCATACGTAGTGGTGACTAGTAGAGTATTGTACTTAGAAGTGTTTTATACGTGGCTGCTTGTAGTAGAGCTAAGACAAGGCCGTGTTGAGACACGTATTGGAACAGTATTTGATTATACAGTAGTAGATACCAGGAAACCAATGTACTGTGATTAGTATTGTTAGCGTAGCAAATACATCCTTAGTGGTCCAACTTTCGGCTTACACAGGTAGCATTTGATTGTGGTACAATGTAAGCCGGCTAAGGTAATTAGTGGCTAGCGCCAAACTAGACCGTCCGTGTAAAAAGACAAGAGAATATAGAGAAAGAGAGGAAGCCAATTTCCATTCTCTGTGTATACTTTCAAGTTGAATGAGTTTGAGTACAAGCAAAAGCGGCTAATATTTCAAGAAGAGAAAGTGGAGAATGTTGGCAATGTAAGCAAGGATGTGGACAATAGATCGAGAAAGAGCATAGGCGAAATATGAATAGACAAAAAAGGAACAAATCCGTGAAGTGTGATCTCTCGTAGTGGAATTCATCGTAACTCCATGTGGTCGTATGGAATTTCTCAGGTAATCGGAGCCATGCGGCAATTTATCATACGACACACTCGTCGCCCGATTCTCTTCAAGCATCCCAGTTGCATACTAATGTTCGTTTGCCAATTTAGACATAGCTTTCGAGTTTCGTCCACTCAGGCTGCTCGCGCCACGCAACGTATGGGTTCTCGGCGTCGTTCTTACGAACAGGAAGCGCTCCACGAGCCCACTTGACTTTTCAAAGCGATTGGATAAGACTTCCTTTTGAGTAGTTTTTTGTTTTTATTTTATTTTACGAACCTTTCGATATATATCATTCGCCGTTCCGCTACCAGACATTCTATGCGGACACATTGTCATAGTTGCGCTTATTCAGCTCCTTGAGTTCGACGAAGGTATCGTCTTGGGGCTCTGGTTCCTTGTCAATTTAGGTACTTCTCGAAACCGAACTCTCAAATTCGAAATATGCGTATGATTTCAAGATGATCAAATTGACGGAATTATATACTGGAAGTACTCTTTCGAGAGACAAAGCCATGACTGCTGCGATGTAGTTCGATACATTATATTCAAAATCCTCTCGGCTTGCGTAAGGAGACATAATCTTCTATTAGGTTACATGAAACAATGCATCATTGTCAAAGACAACATTTGAGCGAATATCATGAATATTGAACTTCGTAGCTTCAAAATCCTTGTCCGACTATTGATGAGAATCATAATTAGTCAAGCTACTTTAAACTTTAGCAACTATGCAAAACACCGGGCCTAAAGGTCGATGTAGCCAGCGCAAAAGGAAACATTGAAACAACAAGAAAGGTCCATTTAGGTAAAATCTTCAGCCAAAATGCAAGTTTCGAAGTTGTTACTTTGTTTATTTATGCGTCTACATTTTCTTTTTTTTTTCATTGCAGCCTTTGAATTGGAAGCAAGATAGAAGAAATAAACCTTTCTGCAGACAAATGATTGCTACCTCAATTGCTAAGCCACAACATTTGCAGTAGCACGTACAGGCTAGTCTGCACAATCAACATTATATGCTGTCCGTAGTCGGCGATGTCTTCGGGTATCGTACAAAGCCTCGAAACCAACCACCATTGTTGGATTGACACCTAGAGAGACATTCGGGTGTGCAGATTGTATCGTGAGGTGGTTCCCCCCCCCCCCCCCCCCCCCCCCCAAAAATCTGACATATTAAATGATTTGCTGTGGATCAACCGCAAGCGAAAACATAAGCGATCATTGCAATGAAAACCGCAGCAGAGCAACCAGTGGCAGGCTTGACTCCGCAGGGTTTTAGCATCAGTGATGAGATGAGTACTCTGAATAATGAACTCACGTTCTATTGAAATTGGTTGCCTACTTATTCGTTTTTTTCTTTTCCTTCCATTTCGTAACAACCATAATGATGGATCAATGTCCAAGCGATGATGAAGGTGACGTAGTTTATCTTCTCGCCTACTCCCGGTTCATATCGGAGATAAGCTGGGGGAGAATGATCATTATGAAGTAGCACACAAGCTTGGAGGACAATATTACTCTACTATCTGGCTATGCAGAGACTCAAAGAAGTCGAATTGGGTGGCCGTGAAGATTCTTACCGCCGAACTATCCGCTGACGAGGAGCTATACTCGGCATTTTGGAAGGCGATGTGCGGGGGTCTCAAGCGCCGAGATTGAAGCAGCTCATTTAAATGTGCCTCGAGCTGAATTTTGGATCGATGACCCCATTGGTCATCATCGTAGTTTAGTCATGCCTTTCTACGGTCGACCCGCATCGATACATGAGTGCAAGTTAAAGAATGAACTTATTTCTCGGCTCCTGGAAAGTCGATGCTATCAAGTACTACAGGCTACCGAGTTCCTCGCTAATAAAGGCTTATATCACAGCAGTACGATAATTCCTGGGTTTCATCATGAGATAACAGGCTGATTTGGAAGTAGCAATGATGGATGCCAACGTTCTGATCAAATTTCAGGATATAAGTTGTCTTACTAAAATGTTTTTATATACTTTAGAGCATCAGGATGGGCAATCTCTACTCACTCACCAGTATAACGGTGTGGAAACAGTGGTTTCGAAGGTTGAATTCCTACTGGGTCCCATACCGCCTTTTTACCGCGAACGATCGCGACGATTCTTGAGTCTACGGCATCATAAAAGGGGTTATGCTGAGAGTGCACAAGAAATCAGCCAAACGCTATTTGATATAGGAAAAGAGATGGACCCAGTGCTGGCTGAGGACCTTGGCTCGCCGACAGGTGGTATCAAGAGGTCCATCGAGCCAGACGAACGCCGAGTGCCTACCTCACACCGCCAAGACGTGACCCACGTTTGCCAAAACTCATAAGTACTATACCGATGAGATGAGGTAAGTAAGCCAGAAGCTAACTGAAGTATTCAAGGGGAGCTTACTTCTGAGATACCGTGTTAATACCACTGAGCACTCCCGAGAGACGTATTGGGATGATTTTCAGCCTAAAAGGTAAGCCAAAGGGAAACACTGCAGAGGAGCCTTAACAACGAGGGTTAAAGGCTTCAAAACGCGCTTGAAACAGGATCTGGTCACAGATTGGCCTGGTTTTCATGCTGGCCCAAGCCCTCACTGGCCAGCCGATAATCCACAGAAGGACTGGTCCGAGGATAGCTTGTGGGAAAACAATGTACGCCGCATGCCTCATGACGTATTCCAATCCACGCTGATCTACTTGAGAAGATTTTGCATTATAACCCTCAAGATCGGCTTATCATGTCGGGGGCGTTAACTCACAACTGGTTCATAGACCGTGCTCGGGACTATGCGTGGTATGACCTGGCCAGGTTCGAGCAGACGTCGGAGGATAATCTCGAATCGGCAGAGCGAAGAGCTGCAGTGACCGCCAGTGGGCTCTCGCCAGCAGAAGATTTCAAGAGAAAGACGTGGGAGAACGAGTATTTCAAAGCTCAAACGAATTTGACGAGATCTGCCGTCTCAATGAAGGCAGGCAGAGAGCTGGCTCCAACGGATTGAGTTCCAACGAGAATAGCTTTGATATAACTGAAAGCATTAATGCTAACGAGAAGATCATGAACGTAGATGAGACCAAAGAGACCGGGAAGGGAATGGAAGAGAAGGATGAGGCCATGCCAGTATCGTCAAAGAAGCTTGCTATAGCTACTCCCGAAACTCAGGGGAACTGGCGCAAAAGGTTGCGACAACGGAAAGGAAGATCACTTTACTCCATTGCGTTATGCAACACCATTGGTTACTACGGTAGACACGATATCCCACTCTATACGCTTGTCCTCTCGCGCACATATGTATGCTCACAGTGATTTGCCAGAAGGGAAAACGGATGCATTCGCAAAATGGATATGTCGCACAACGTAAGAGCGGGTACAATACACGACCACTTAAATCTCCGACGAAAATCTTTGGGGTAATGCCGCAGGTGTTATTTGGACTAATACTTCCCAAACCGAAGCGAAGGGTATGAGTTTGACCGCAACATTGACGTCGACGCGTAGGCCGTCCCTCCCAAACTCGGTATCCCGATACTTTAAACCTCCGGTGTTGAGCGCGGGCCATTACTGGTCACCATGATACCGAACAAAAGAAAGACAACCGGTGAGCCGCGCAAACGACAGAGTTTCTTGACTTTCCTTGGGATAGAAGCTGGACAAATGGAACCGATCCAAGCTTTTTGCGTCCAGGTTGAAAGTCTGGTGGTTTCATTGGGCTCTACAAATCTCAAATATGGCCTTACCCCACGCTATTGAGGCACGATCAAACCTTCGCTCGGGGAGCACGACTTGCAGTGGTTCAGTTTTCGCAAATCTCGTGCACACCTGACCCGTTAAGGTAGAGACAAATGAGATATGTGCGTAGACTAGACTAGCGCACCCACCAGGAAGGGACGAATGGATCGTTCATTGTCTACCATCTATTAGAGTTTGATTTGCGCGTATGCGGCGCGTATGCGATGCTTGTGTGAATCTTCATTAATTTTCGGAAGAGTCCTTTTTATTTGTTCAACCTTTTTTTGTAACTGAACCCAGCGGTCAAGAGGGCGGGCGCGGTGTCGCCTAAAGAAGAAATTCTACGACGATCAGGTACTTTGCACTTAACTGAAGAGCTATTATTATCCTCTGAGCGAAGACAAGCTCTTTCCAGCATTTCTTACCTAACCCAGGGCTGCATCCGTAAATCTTCGCCATCGGTTAAGTCGTCCAGATTCCCTGCCTCCCCGTGAATATACTTTGACGAAATTCCTTTTTCTCACTTTCTTATCTTAACCTCTTCGGTCGCACAACACCGCCGGACACAGCCCGGTCTTGCAAATGCTATTGCTCTTGGACCCGAAGGAATGGTCAACTCGGAGTAGCAACATACGGGTTTTGTGTGCCCTTCCAGTGCATCTATCCGACGATGGCTTCACCAGGCCAATGAACGCGCCTGAAGACCCTGGCTGTCGGTTAGTTGCATGATTGGCACAATCCGCCTTGTTATAACCTGGAGAGGTCCAGCCAGCTGTTCAGCAAGCCACCGTCAGTCCCATTGGCATCGTGGCGCCTTACTGGCAAATGGACGCTATGCCAGCAGCGATTGGTGCGCACATGATGGGTTTTTTTTTTAAGTGAACATAGCCGGCGGCACAATCATCGGTCGAGGAAGTGAGCCCACCCACGGGTGGTTGCAGCGGGGCCAGCTATTGGAGATCGTATTGACCTCGAGTCCAACACTGGGAGTGAGTGACACCGCCACAAACTTGCATCGACTGTTCATCATCTGCATTCTCACAAACTATGTGGTTCTCTCTGAGTCAATATTGCCTGCCGCTTATTCGGCACGAGTTTCGTATATCTGGCTGACATGGCTGCTAGATTGGAGTCTTGGCGCGGGTATCTGCAGATAATAAACCCAGGAATGATTCGTGGGATACGTATACCGGTCTCAATAAGGTTCATCAGAGGTTCGAAACCACCAAAAGAGTATCGTCGTCCTACATGAGCGGGTGGAGCAGAGCAGTGGCAAGATGGAACGTCTTGACGATATCTCCGACACTTCAGCGGACCTGGCGCGTTGGCCAGCCCAGGACAGCCGGCTACCCGCAGGCTATGAGGACTTCTGGAGCAATAGCCTTTATCACTATCGGAGACCGTTACTATTCTGGTTATCAGGCGCGAGCACACGTCGATGGGTCCGCGCGAGCTGGATATCGTGAACAAAAGGCACACCGTTCTCAATGGGGGCAATGGCTATTTTTGAGTTTGGACTACTGTGTATATCGCATCATTGTTTTAACAAGGCGGTCATGGATGGCGAGCGACTAGAGAGGGGAGGTTGAGTGCTCGAGGAAAGGGTTGAATGACCGTCTATAAGAAGCGGCACAATCTTCCAATTCCGAGGGGTTTGAGAGAAACGAGACCAAGCTAGCCCATACTTTCATAAAGGTAAAGCGTTCAGCATTTCTCAGCTCAGCTTGACGACAAACTCATCAAACACACAGTTCCATCAAGACAGAGCTATATCTCTCAAGATGCCGAGCAATCATCAAGCGACTTCGTCTGGCAAGTAAGTGCACATACATGACAGATTGACATTGCCATTTACCTCTCCCCCTTTCTTCGTGGCCATAAACCTCCCATTATATACAGACCAAAAAGGTCAAATATACATCCTGCATCGCTATATATCAAGAATGAAACTACTCCGCTTACAAGTATGCCAACATCGCGGCATCTGTAGCTCTAGACCACCGGTTGCCTTCCTTCTCATTTGCTTTTGGACATCACATCCGCCGGGTACCTCACCCATAATCCTCAGACCGATGTCTGCGATTAGAATCACACCCCAGGACTTCACACCCAACCCTCCCATATTCCCACCTCAACCTGCACCGCACACAAGACACTCCGTCCCTCATAACCCTTGCCTCGCATGACCTACCGCCTATCCCGTGAATAATCCCGACTCCAGACAGACTAACACCCAAACCCCCCACAGCCTCAAGACCGGCACATCGAAACCCTACGACACCATGAGCACGATCGCCCGGCGCGATTCGCCCGCACCCTCGTCTCGCAGCAGCAAAAACACTTCAGCCTACACCAACGGCGGCGGCAGCGGTCAGCGGAGCGGAACTTCCGCTTCCGACTATCTCAATGGCTTTGGTGCCCAGTTCAGTGGCGGGCGGTAAGTAGCTTGTGCATGAGTAATGATTTTTTTGGGTTCTGGCTGACTGTCTATGAGCACCAATTGACCCTGGCAGGTGAATATAGCAGGTGACTATGGCAGATGCGGGTTAGTGATGGGTAAATGGGATTCTTAGGGTGCAGTTTTGATCGTTGGGCACACACATACATATATAACGGAACTCAAAATTTTCTATACCAGCAAGCTTTTTATTCAGACATAAGCATTATGAAACAAGGTTTACAGTTGGAGCACAATGGTTTCGATTTTTCTAGCTATTCTATCTTTCGTTAAGCAACATCGGATGACTTACACTGATGCCGGTTTCAATGCAACTCGCGTGATGACTATCCCGGACGAACCTCCAACTATGATTCCACATACTCATCAAGCAGATTGACAACTGGTCTTCCATTGAAAAGCTCCATCACAACGATGCACCTAATTGCTAATGCCACCCCGTTTCATGTTTCAGCACGTCTTCAGTCCATAAATTCAACAGTACCGCGGAGCATGTTAATCAACTCCTCATCGTACTCGGCAACCCACGACGGTTCACCAGGCAAAGGCGTCGCCAGAGGATTCGGTAGTGGAGTGGCCGACTTCTGTACATCCACAGCTACCTCAAAGGGGTTGGAATCGAAGAATAAAGGCTCCGCTAGCTTTTTACTCTCTTGCATTTCACTTGACACCACGTCTTCGCCTGCTGTTAGTTTGTCAATCTCAGGTGTGAGATCCATGATTACCGAAGGATCGACAGTAAAATCCTGGTCCAGGCATTTAGCCGGCCGAAATTGGTAAGATTCCTGGTTCTGTTCGTCTTCTTGCCGTGATTGCAGGCCAAAGCGCTGCGATGCTTTTTCGACTTCGCTAGCAGTAGTAAAGCTGAGACTTGGGTTCTAGCCATAATCTTTGCTCTCTCGGTAGCTTTCAACAGCATCAGGGCATAAGGTCTGGTCGGTTACAAATACTTTCTGTGACGACTCCTGTTGCTGGCTGGCTCCTGTGAATTGCAACAGAGCGGACAGCTGCGGAAATTCTTCGATATCGTTGTCAAATAGGTCACTTCCGTAATCTGAAGCGCACTGGTCTGCTACACCACTAGAGCAGTAAGTTATGGTGTCTGGTACTTCCAGCGATCTGTAAGGTTTAGTTAGTCTAGTAGAAGGGACTTCGGTCGGTTGAATTCGCTTGTAAAGATCGTTTAATCGCTGTTGGTCGCTACTACGACCTGTGTGCTTCTTATCTTTGACCACATTCTGCTCTGCCTCGTCGTCGGTGACAGTGCAGAGGTCAATACACTCCACCTCATCGTCGTCGCTGTAAGAATCAAGTCGTCGCTTCTTCTGACGACGGTTTTCGTTGTCCATCTTGCTAGCGGTTAAAGAAGCTGCTAAGGATCTCTTCCCACGATCACTTAGTCGCGAGGCTCCTGTGGACTCTGACACAATAGGCCGTCTTTTAGAATTTGCAGGTTGCCCGCCTTCATGCGATGGGTTCAAAGGCAACGTCCGCTGCGACGCTGTAGATCTTGAGGTCACCCCCTCATGAGAGTCTACATTCAATTCTGGATGATCCGACCTATCTTTTACAGTCTTTTTCTTTTGTGGTGGCGGTCTCGGTTTGTCGAGACCATCATGACAACATTTGTGAGTACACTGCTTCCCATTCTTGGTAGGAGCACCTCCAGAACAGTGATGATTACACTTCCACCTGCCATTCTCTAATTGCACCGGTGCATATGAAATCTCGTCTTTGGTTGACTCCGCCTCGTCGTTTAAGACGTCTTCAATGTTAGCAAAATCCGCGTCGAATCCGCCAGGTTGACTTTTCTGTCGAGGTCTTTCATTCGATGAGTGAGGAAGATTGGCGTTTGCTGCCTCAAGAGCCACGAGCATATCTTGATCCGCCAATTCATCCTCACTGGCAATGGCGTCAAGGCTTCTGGGGCTTCGGGGTGGTTGAGTCAGACGAAGGTGTTGCTTTGGTAAACCTTCGAAAGCTGATGATGGAATTTCTGGCGAGATAATCTCAGATACTTGCGTGCCAACAATCTCTTCGCAACTAAAGCAACATGTGATGTTCTCATCCGCGCTGTTCATTGTGACGGAGAACTTCAGCTCGAAAGGATCAGATTCGCTTAATTTTCTCATGGTCCCACGCCAAAAACTGGCAAGTCTCCCATCTGTTGTGTCAGCTAGGAAGGTGACAACAGGGATTTTCTTGTTCCATTCGGGTAGCTTCGTATTGCAGTAGCTAAGCCGAACTCTGACTGCGACGCTCACGGCATCTGCAGATCTTGTGTAAGCCAGCCTATTCTTATCGACAATTTCTGCTGTCATCTTGAGTCGAGGGAACCCCTCTAAGGACTTGAGCATAATTTTCCCGTATGGGGGGTTGCGCCCGACGATACGCTCAATATCGACGAAACTTTGTGTGGCAAGGTCCACGACACTGTGAATTCCATGAGAGGCTAATTTCCTCATGGTCACTGCACCAATCCCTTGAACCTGTTGGAGCTGTGCTGGGTGTGCCTCCCATACCTTGGCAGCTATTGCTCGCGTCAACTCAAGGCCAGTCCTTGTACCCACTCCATCTCCATCAAAGACTTTGCATTCAATCACGCATCGAACCAGGCGATTCATGCGATCAAGTATGATGCTCTTTTCAACCGCAATTTGACGTTTGGCAATCACTGCATCTCTGTCTGCTGGCAAATCTAGACCTGCGAGGCTGATCTGAATCAAGAGGTAGACTTTGTGCCATACATCGCCAATGGGTCCCTTGATCGGATATAAAACAGACGAGTTCATCGTACGCAAGATAGCCTTCTCCTGCGGCTTGAAGCGCAAATCACGGAAGTCCGCTGCCTGGGACAGAGAAATGAGCTATGACATGTTATTAGCAAATGAGGATTTGAAGCTGATCAGTGACTACGAGACTGACCGATTGCTCAATGCTAGGCGCTGTAGGTATAGCAAGAATCTGCTTCATGGTTTCAAATTGGACCATGTATCTCGACATGGCAGTTCCGTAATCGGTGCAACCATATGGAGCGTCGTTGCTGACTAGACCGTATTTCTGTAACAGTTCGATGTCACGCTGACACCAGCTTTGAATCCAGTCATCAAGATTGGTCTGAGAATTTACGTCTGTTTGTGAGATTTCCGAGCGATAGTGCTTGGGTGCTTGTCGCATTCGCACATAAAGGAATGTGCCTGTGACCCATTGCTTCGCTGTCTCAAGACTACGAATAGTGCCTAAGCCGATCTCGGAGTTCAAGTGCTCGATGAGGTTGAGATGTAGCTTGCTCTCCAATACCTCTTGGCCCGAGATCATCCTCTCGTAACGTTGAACGTTGGTCAGCTTTGTCATGATGATTGCAGTTGCGCTTCGGTCAAATTGTGGTCTGCCAGCACGACCAAGCATCTGCATGACTTCCAGGTCCGAATATTCTTTAAGTCCTTCATCTGTGTAGGCAGACGTACCTTTCAAAACAACAGTATGACATGGTAAGTTTACTCCTACCGCCAATGTCGAGGTGCAGCAGATCACAAATAACTCACCATTGAGATAGTTTCGCTCGATTGAGGCTCTGTCTTGAACATCCAGGCCGGCATGGTGAAAAGCAACTCCGTAACGTACCATCTCTTGGAGTTCTTTACTGACGACCTGCACTCGCTCTTTTGGTGCTGGCCACGGCTTCTCTCCAGCCCGTATTGTCGTCCACCATTCCGCAAGGTTCTGGGCTGTCTTCTCGCAAGACTTGCGTGTAAAACAGAAGATCATGATTGGCTTTCCCTCAGAATGCTGGCTTAGTAGCATGTTCAGCTTGCCGTCAAGGGTCCTGTCGAAAATGAAGTCATTGCCGCCGAACTCATAGCCGTAGACATGTTTCTTGAGATTTACTGGTCGCATCTCTTCACCAAAACTAAGCATCTGGGCCGGCTCTTTCTGATTCTGGTGATCACGGCCAAGCCAAGTTGCAATGTCGTTCAGGTTTGGAACAGTGGCGCTCAGAGCCACAAAGCGGACATTGGCGCCGCTAGTCTTCATGCGCGAGACGACCGCTTCGAGAGTTGCACCTCGGACATCTTTGAGGATGTGAACTTCATCAATGAGAACAAGTCGTACCATCTCGAGAAGTTTCCGATGGTCAGCCCACTTTCTAGTAATCGAATCCCACTTCTCGGGGGTGGTGACGATGATGGAGGCACTTCCTACCCTTTTGGCTTGACCAGGGGAGGTATCTCCTGTGAGCTCGACGCACCTGAGATTCAGATGGCTAAACTTCTTCTCCCAGTCTTTGGCACGTTCTGAGCAAAGCGATTTGGTAGGCGCTTGGTAGACGATCTTGAAGTTTTCTCCGCCAGGAGTAGTGACCAGTTTGCAGATGGCCATCTCCAGGATGGCAGTCTTGCCACTACCTGTTGGAGCAGAGACGACAACGTTATCATCCGAGCCGTAAACGTGACTAAAACACTGAGATTGAACGGCATTGAACAGCTCGTAGGGGAAAACTGCGCGACACTTGTCTGGGAGTGCCGCCCGAGGGTCAACCAAGTGAGCACCAGCTACCATGGGCGTGAGATAATTTGGTGCGTGGTCAAGACATAATGCAACCCTCTTCGAAGATAAGGCCACCTGTGGCACAGGTCTAATAGCTGGCTTCGGTTCAGGCTTTTTAAGACTAAGTCTAGTCGATGGACTTGAAGCTCCCACGAGAGGCGACGAACTAGTCAGATACGCACGGTTGGGAGATGGTCGACGTGGCTCGGCTGAGGTATGCGTCAGAACTGATTCATCACGAGCTTATTACTAGAACACTGACCTGTATACAGAGGAGGTGTTACCAGCTGTGATCTTCGCTGCAGTTCTGACACCCTTCGTGATCCATCGCGATCGAAGATCGATCTGGCAGCGGGGCTAGGATTGATTTGATTGAAATTGATGGGGTTGCTGATAAATTGAGAGGGCCGGTACTCTTCACCTTGGCGTGCAAATGGCCTGAAATGGTGGCTAGCATCGCCGAGGACACGACGTTGTCGCGTAGACGAGGCATCATTGTTTGAAAACGATGGACGTGGTGTTGCAGCAATCGAACTAAGGCTGCGAGAAGCTGCAGGAGGCCTGCCGAGGAGCTGACGATCTTCAAATTGTCAGAAACGTGATTTAGGGAGACGGAGGGAATGCTCACCAAAATCGTCCAATTGCTCATCCTCCGCTTGTTCAAGACTTGCTGAGTCCGGCCCATTGTGACCGCTACTTCCTTCTCCATTGCTAGTAAGAGAGTACTGAGACAAGGCGAAGTTCCGATTAGGGAAAAGCTCATTGGCGTGACTGATGATATTTTGAATATGTCGGTCTTGACCTAGATTATTAGGAAATCCGTAGATATGACTGCTACCAGTGCCACTAGATTCGCTAGACATTATGACAACTTTCAATGACTTAGATCGACAGTTCTGCAGATATTGTAACAGGGATAAAAAAAGGTGTAGAAGTACAATGACTGCAATAGGTATGCCATATGGCAATCAGAATAATCAAGCGTCACATCAGTTAATTCATCCTCGTTAGCTTTATCATGTACGGGATCTTGCAACGACGGGGTGAGGAGATGTACCATGGAACGAGGACAGAAGATACAGTCAGTGCTAGCCATGACTGAAAATTTTGGTGGCCGTCTGGATTTGCTGCCTGTGGTTATTTACATGGGGAAGGCACGCTCTTGCCCTTCGAGTTGTTCCTTCCATGTCAACAACCTATGACCCCCCAAAGTGGGCAACATCAATGACGCAATCTTGCTGTCAGAAAATAGGCCACCTTCCTTCCGAATTAGTACGAATCTTTGAATTCATAATCTCTGTAGCATTCAGATTGTGGTTTTCCTGCTCATCTTGACCCTCTCGTCCATCTCCGTTGCGGCCGGCCAGGCAAGCCTTGGAATGAGCGGCTCGAGGTACCCCTGCCACTCTTGACAAACAGTAGCACAGTGTACAGCCTTTCCTTTACCAAGACAAACTGCTGCCAGTATCTTAGAACATACTTCTCAATACAACCGATCCCAATATGCGTCATCCATTGATCCTTGTCGTGATTACCCCATCGTTTACGTTGTTGTGGTGGCGAGCATCAGGTTGCGTTGAGCCACAATGTTTAGTGGTGCCATGATCAGAGTGAATGGTAGACCAAGAATCGAGAAAAGGTGAACACAGAAGGGAAAACCCTGGAGTTCTACCTTTTTTACGTCAGCCGCCGAAGGCAAGTCCATTTGTTTGAATATTGTCGAGAAATAGGCAAAAGGAGGGAAACAATGATAAAATAGTAAGAGAAATAACCAAGAGCACAAAACCCCAGGTCGATAACTCATATTCTAGCATAACCTTGACCCGTACAGTTCTGAACTGTTCTGCAACTCAACTTAACAAACCAGAAAGGTTTGTCAGATCTTTCAAAGATAGAAAAAAATTTAAATAAATAAAAAAGAAACAAAATAAAAATAAAAAGAGAAGTTAATTAAATGAACACAGCCAAAGACCAAAGGAAACTATGAGCAAGTTTAATCAACTCCATTCATTCTATGTACTTCGCACAGATTGGACTAAAACCCCCCCAATGGCCAGATCCCATGCTTTTGAATATCCCATATCATTTTAAACCACCAACGTCCAAGCATCTAGTAAAGGTGTGAAAACCTTCCAATGGTATCGTATCCCCAAATGATCTCATGATCGCTCAATCTTCTGTACGTAACTCGTTCGTGTGTCCTTATCATGGCGCATTTATGTACCTTTTCAAGGATCTGAATATCTTCGTAGCCGGCTCTGAGCTGACTTTCTTTTTCCTCCTCTTGATTGAACATGTGCCGCTGCAACTGTCATCCATGCGTCCCAATTTCTACTCGTCTCTGTTCTTGTCCTGAGACGACGACTGCCGCGAATGAAATCGCAATGGCGAGGCAGGTCGCGAAGTGGACAGCCCTAGTGACTTGGCTGACTCCATGGGATTCGGCACAGTCAGTCTGTCGCTCGATCCTCTAGGGGTGTGCATGGGATCTATCGTAGTCTTCTCGAATCTGGCGATGTTGATCGGTGGCGGCCTGCCGCGCTTTCGTTCGGGCCCAGAGTACAAGAAGGTGGATGTCAAGACCAAGACGGTGCCGATGAGGAACTACAACCAAGTTAGCAACGTGACAACAACCTGTGAAAAGCGGGCACGTACCATGATTGAGATCTGGACATTGAAAAAGTACACGCTGAACAGTAGACTAATGACAATACTGATGCTCGTCGCAAAGTTCTTGGCAATGTTGTCGGCGTAGTTGATGCATAACGATGCCAGAACACCACCAAATGCCTGCAGCAGGATCAATGTCCAGACTACCCAGTTGTATCCGTCGAAAAAGCCGTGCTTTGCGATATCAGCACCGTCCTTGAAGATGATGCCAACGAAGAGCGCCGGGAACAGCGAGTAAAATGACATTTGAATGTTCCGGATCCAGACAGAAGCAACAGCCGCAGGGTCCTTGAGCACCTTCTCAAAATAAACACCTGTCAGGCCGGAGACTGCTGCCGCGACCAGAACGGCGGAGAGGCCAATAGAGTAGTTCATGATGGGGATCATGTTCTGGTCCTCTTCGATCCCTTCGTACGTGGCGGAGCGCTTCACTAATGCCTCACCAACACCCGAGAGTCCATCGATTGTTCTCTTGGTGAGATGTTCGGCGACCTCGCCCAGCCCGTTGGCCATTTGACCAAGCTCATGCACCGATCGAGGAAAGAAGTGGTCGGTCATATCGTGGATGAGGAACGAGCCGTCTTGCGAGTTGGTCGAAGGGATTGAGACGATGGAGACGCCGAGTGTCAAGAGAAGGAGGGAGACCCAGCGCTTCGGCGAAAGAGACCTGCCCAACATAGTCACCGTAAAGAGAGCTGTCGTGAGGATCTTCAATTGGTATAAGATCTGGAAATGGATCGGGTCCAGGTTGGAGATTCCCACATATTGCAAGGTGTTCTGCAGGGTGTAGAGGGCAGCTGGTATGGCCAGTCTCCATCCGTCTCCCGAGAAGACCTGTTTGTAGATCTGCCCGAATATGACCGTGGCCGGAGTTGAAGGGGCCAGACTCCTCGATACTTCATATATGGCGAAGGTCAGCGAAATAGCTAGCTTGATGACTTCGGTAAGAAACACGGCCGTCGATGTGAAGTATCGGTGGTCGCCATCAGGTGTCATGATGCGGGAATAGTGCATCAGCAAGATCAATGCCGAGTTTTGGAACGTTAACTAGAGGGCAGTAGGCGTTAGCTGTACGCACCACCAAGACCTGTGTAGTCCGACTGCGGTTAATACTAACAGTAATAAGCGACACCTGCTTCATGGGCATCCCGAACAGTGTCGGCGATGCCACCTTGCCAGGTGGAACATCCAGTAGAGCCATTGTGGTAGGATTGTGTTCCAAGATTATGACGTAAAAGTCGTGGCTTCTCCGTCCGCCAGGCTCTTGTGGACGTTCGGCGGGCGCTTCAAGCTGGTCGTTGCAAATTGGCTGTGGAAGACGTTTGCAATTCACATTCGTGTGCGCTCCCAATGTGCCAACTCGGCTGTGATGCGGGTGGATCTTTGAATTTTTGCAGTCGCAAAAATAATGTCTTGTTCTTGCAAGAATCAGGAATGCGTCGCGTCCCCAAAAAGTGTGTCGGTGCCCCTGCACGCGCTCAAGATCGGATTTTGGGGGTCTTGACGTTTTACCCCTGGATTTTTGCCGGGTCTCCCTTTCAGACAAGACGGCTTGCAGATGCACAAGTAGTGTGATTCGGCAACGGCAATTGAATTTGCTCGACTCGCCTTACTCGCGCAATACGACTTGCAGTGTGGTGGGCCGGAATCGCTGAAATCGCAAGTATTGTAATAAAACTGCAAGAACAGAACAAAGGCGAGTAGCTTGGAATCAATTGAAGATGGATACTTGGCTTGGAGCCCCAGAGGCTTAAGCGATCAGCATTGCCGTGCGTGGAACTGATGATCTCAATGGCTGGACTGTTCCCCAGATTTCTTCCAAGGCAATATCCAAGTTCCAGTTGTCTTGTTTGACGAGACACGCGACAGTGCTGCAAGGGACAAGGGACGGTAAATAATGGACTCTCAAATATGTCAGATTCGGAAACGAACCCCCGGCGGATTTGTCCTACTTCTTCTTCTTAAAGTCAATGACTCCTCCTCATGAGCCTGGAATGATCGATACCCATGTGACGTACTTCGGGGACTGCTCAGAACCGATCCTAGCGCGTCGATCAGAAATTGGAAGCTTGACACTGCTTGCGACTGGCTTGCGACTGGCTTGCGACTCCTGCCGCGGTGAAGCTTGCTGGCCTATTTGTATGTATCGTAAAGACTTCTTTCAGAATGGCAAAGCACGAGTTTTCTACCAATTGCGTGCACCTCTCGTATCACGTCGTCATCTACTTGATTTCCAGCGTCACCCAGTCCAAGATCCTTCTGTTGGACTAGGGTTTTAAGGACTCGGCTTAGGGGGGCCTGGGCTCAGATCATGACAATTAGCAGCCAAATTGACCATCAATGCCCCGCGTTGGATATCCCAGGCGGACCCGGCCCCTCTAGTAGACCGGCGGCGTCGCGTGGAATCCTCGAACAGGAAATGTTTCGGATGGGTTGGTCTGAACGGCGGTCTGCAATGTATAGAAGCACCGCAAGGATTCGACTTGAGCGAGAAGAAGAAAAAAGGAAGAAAAGGAGAAAGTGCCCGTGCGACAATCTGGCTCATAACTCAAGGTGAGGTTTCTTATACCAAGTATGCATAAGTTACTAAATTGCTGGTTGCTGTCCCGTTGTGTACCACCTGATGCTTCCGCTCTGCTAGTTACAGAACCGCACGTTGCTGTATTAACCTACTGCCCAGCCCTTGATGGAACATACTCGATCATGAACGTCGACCAAGATCAACACGCAGTAGTTCCCGCCTTACTCCAAGAATTCTCAATTCACGGGTCGAGCCACGCTGTACGCCATGGCTGATCCGCAAGACACCACTGGCCGCCTCGAACAGCTGCATGACCCAAGTGCAGCACCACCGCTTCTACGACCCTACTAGCCTACCCTACTTGGCTCCAGTTGGTAATGGAGGGGCGCCGGCAGTGGTGGTTGGTAGAATGCGGGGTGGACAGCTGGACTGCTCCAGGGGTCTTGGCAGATCTCCAACATGAAAATCTTGGTCACACGACACGACTTGAGCAACAAACACCCAGATTTAACGGTAGAATATGAGACTCATGACCAAGGTGGTTTACTCGGTATTACTTCTCCGCTTTGACAATACAAGGAGGGTCCACAGCAAGAGCTGCAATACTGAATTAGCACCAGAATCGCTTCAACTCTCTTATCACGTTTCTCTCTGAAGACTTGGCATGCTCTTAACCGTCCGCAGTCAGGTTCCGTGCCTGACTCACGTGACATATGAATTAGACTAACACAACGTTTCTTGCTAGTGTCATACCTCGCCAGCCATTCAATAAAGGGAGGTCGGCTATAGCATTCACCTGCAAACCATTCACCAACTCGCTATCATGCCGCCCTAAGATTGGATTCTCGGCAGAATAGTAAAAAACAATTTTTCTAAACTGTCTGCACAGATCGAGCAAAACGTATGCTGATCAGAGCGAGGTTCGAACTCGCGCGACTTGCGTCAGTAGAACTTAAGTCTACCGCCTTAGACCACTCGGCCATCTGACCTATAGCATTGCAAGAAATATCTTTTACGGAGGTCTATAAAGAATTTGGTAATACCCAGCTGATACCAGCTGTTCGTCAACTATGTTCTTGTTCAGCCTGCACCGACGGCGGAACAAGAGATCATGCCATAAAATCTGCCAAAGCAGTCTTGATTGATAATACCTAAGCGGATCGCTAATGATGTTCCCTACGGATTCAATCGTTTTCCAATTACGAATAAATGCCCGTGCCTTCCAATCCAATGCCCCGTTCATGTAAGTCTGGGTATATCCCAACCAAGATCGTCCGCCTGCTTCCCTCGTCCCTGTTTCCCCGGTATTAGATTGATATGAAATATTTAGTAGTTTGTCGTGAATTGTTTGTTTTTGACGCGAAGCGGATGTTCCTCGCCCGCCATAGCGCCCGTCGCTGTGTTGTCCATGATGCCCAAAAAATGCATAATGCATTACATAAGGAAAGATTTTGTTCGATGATTGTTTTCATCATTCGTAATACAGTTGCCCGACACTTTCCCCTAATTAGTTGCATGGTCTTCAACCGTCGTCGCCCCAAAGTCCGACCTCAGGGGGCATGAAAGAGCCAAAGTTGCCAACGGCGCTCAAGCGCACAGCGCTGTTCTTGCCCTTGACGTGTCCCTTGGAGTGCTGCTTGTACTGAACTGGGGTATTTGTTCTTGTGGTGGCGAAATTAGTAGTGTCCTCGTCGGATAGAGGAGGGCACATGACATCAGAGAAGCCATCAAAGTCAAAGTCCTCCTCCTCGTTGCTCTCGTAGGACGATTCCGGAAGTTTTTCGAGCTGCCTGCGCAGAGATGATCCTCGGACGCCGAGCAAGTTCGAGTCAGCTCTAGGTCGCTCACCGCCACGTCTGCTGGCTGGTGTCGATGTGCCATATGTGCTGTTGAATCGAGAGCTCCGTCTGGTGCTTCGTCTATCGGGGAGGATCTCGCCATCACTGTCCTGATCGTAGTCCATAAACTCGCTCAGGTCCGGGCTTGGTTCCGCGACGTCGATCGCGTGGAAGTCTTCAAGTGGCCGGTCAAGGAACATGAGCACTCGTTCTGTTCGGCCATGCGAGTTACCCTTTATGGTGGCATTGCTCATTGCCGAGCTGGAGCGTTTCTCGATTGGATTGTTGTGGGTGTTCGATTGAGGCTCATCGGCGAATCGAACGTTGTTGTCAGTTCTGCGCACACTATCTTTCCGCTCAGTCATGCTCTTGAAGCTCGAGACGAGTGATGAATCTCTCGACGGAAGTGGTGGTAGTTGTGGTGCACTACTCATTACTCTGCCAGCCTTGCCTGACCGCCCGCTGCTCGTACTCGTCCGGCGACTGGTGACACTGGCCTTGTCCCCTTCAATCTCAGCGATGATATTCTCCCTCATCATGGCTCTTTTTTGACGCAAGGCAGCGAGTAGCATCTCTTCCTGCTTCGTGACCGCCATGAGTCTAGCATTGCGGGCCTCGCCAGTCTCATCACCACCGTAGTCATGACCGTATGAGGCGAGACTTGCAGGTGACAAAGGAGGCGTCAGTTCTTCAGAGCTGAGCGTGCGACGGTCCTTGGCTTGAGCTTGGGCTGTTAGTTCCCTTAGTGAATCAAGAGCCTCAGCGGTTGAGGCTAAGGGCTTCAAGGTGACGGCCTTCGCTTCTTGGGCTATAGGCCTAGATTGTTGGCGCTTCTTGTGAGACGTCTGGCTGTGGTGAGACGATGAAGTGCCTTTGCTGTCTTTGCTTGACGTGGATAGTCGAGACCCTTTGCCTGGCTGGGATTGAGAATGGGCCGTCGCAGTAGCCGTGCTTGTGGAAGATGCGTACGAGCGAAGTGTGCTTTCAGACGGCTTGCGAGTACTGTGGGTCTTGGTGCTTGCCGCTGGAACAGTCAGGTAGTCGTTTAGAGGTGTGAAACTAGTGTGCTTTTGCCTGCTAGAGCTTCGCTCTTGGACCACGGGAGATCGTGTCGTGGTTGTTGGTTTACGAACATCCCCTGACAGGCTAGCATCGTCTTGCGAGATGTTCGAGTGAGAGGACACGGATGATTTTGGACCGACCGAGTCACTGAATGTTGTTCCATCATCGGAATCAGAATCCGACAATGACAGCACGCTGGTCAGTTGTAGATCTGAGTCCATTTTTCGCGAATTTTTGGATGTTTTGGAACCTCGAGTATTTCGACTCGATATGCTTGATGCACAATCTCCTCCTGGTGCCAGATATGAAGACGGGGCAATGCTTGGACTGCCGACGGTGGTGACCGTGTTCCGGCTGCCAACTGAATCTTTCCTAGAGTGACCAGTGCGACGGCTAGATTCATGAGCTGTGGGATTCGAAAGAGGCGTCACTTGTGAAATCGTTGATGATGTTGTAAGGGCTGGCGTTGGCTCTGGCTCTTCTGATACCGAGTCAAACCGCGGACGAGCCATATTCTCCTCCGCTGGCGAGCTTTGAGAGCGGAAAGACATCGCCTCGTAATGGTCATACAGTTGAGATAGTGTCGTCGAATCATGGGGGCCCGAAGGACTATCGTATGTACCCGTGCTGATTGTTGATGGCGATTTTCTCAACTTCCTTCCAGGTGTAATCTGAGTGGACGACAATGACACAAAAGATGGAGATCTTGTGACATAATCATTGCCAAGAACAGGAGCCGCCTGCGAAGCGCGTTCCCTACGGTTCCGGGGCCTCAGCATTGATAGATCAAGTCTCGACGGCTTCTTTTTCTTCCCTGTTGGCCCCGAAATTGAACCGTCCATATCAAGGAGCGCATTCGCTTTGGAGTTTGGCAATCCTTTCGCCATGGCCGAGTTGGAAGTTTGCTGTGAGATCGACAATGGGACTTTACTCCGATCATAGTGACTGTAGATGGTTGATGCATTTGACTGACGTCTCTGAAGACTCGATGCGTCGGTTCTATAGTCGTTGCCTATAGTAGCGGCTGACCTCTGCGTTCTCAGTCCATTTCCGGCTTGTAAATGACGCGGAAGGACCTCCGACTCAGTATCCCAGCCCCTACCCCCATAATTCATACCATTCGTAAAGCCGCCCTCTTCATGAAGGACCTCTAAACCAGTCTCGGTAACGGTGTGGCTGGCGCTGCTCTCAGATATTGATATACTGATCCCTGACCTAGCGTCCCATGGCTGCTTGGGTGTTACCCCTCTGACTGCTGCTGTAGAGCCAGTATTGATGCCACCAGTTCCCAAAATCTTCTGTGCCTTGGTTAATGGTATGGCGGATGCGGCCGGCTCCGCGGCTTGCTTCGATCTTCGTCCCGGCACCGGGAAAGTAAATTTTACCATTATCAGTAGGCGTAAGGCAGCTCAGACATTCTAGTCCGGGCACGGCTCGACTGGTCCTTCAGGTGTCCTGGACGTTCTCGTAGTGGAGTAACAGTTATCCAATGTTGTACTTAGAGATGATTATGGGCTCTGCGCGTTGAGTTTTGAGACGTTACCAAGCAGTCCCGGATCAGTCGGCTGGCGGTGATCAGGAATTTGTCGTCAAAGATTTGATGTAGTTTCCACCGACATCCTCAGAGGCATTAAACTTTCCAGGGTGGCAATCCGAATTCTCATATCACTGCAGGACCCAATGCAGAAGCGTTAAGAGGCGTTCAACGTCAAATGCAACACGAGAATGACAAGAAGATGTAGGTTGCACGGCCGTAAGTTTTCCTTTTTGCAGTTGCGTAGGGTATCCACTCAGCTATGGGGTCTAGTTCTGCATAGAAGCTCCAAATCGCTGGGGAGTTGGGACTTTTGAAAGAAAAGAAAAGAGATTGCGAGGTTCCCACGTGCGGATTCGGTTTTCGCGGAGGCTTTGCTACTAGTAATAGTATTAAACTCGGGCGATCAGAGACGATGGCGCTGCGCGAACAAGAAGTCTTGGTACGAACTGGCACTTCCCGAGCCAATTAATTAACATGATGCCTGTCTGAAGCCGAGCAGCACTCCACACCTTGAAGCGACCTAGTTTAATCTTTTACAATTTGACCTGCAGACGTAGGGTGGTCGTATGCCCGGCCCATTGCAGATATCGACCGGGATCTTGGAGCCCCCTGAAAAAGCATCCCTGCAAGCCAACTGCTCATGAAGATCTCACAACACAGATAGGAAAGACAATTGCCATTCATGGTGATGGTTGAGCCCTTGTCTGAGTCGCTGACAAAACGTCTGATTTTTTTTACAAAGCTCGTTGAATGTACTGATGGACGCTATATTGAGCAGTAACAGGTACTGAATGGCAAGGTGCATTGCATGATTCGCCTACATACCACAGTAATTCCAGTTGTTGGCGAGAACTTCGCAGGAGCATGGAATGTCTCTTCAAAAGAAAGAAAACTTTATTATGCTAACGATTTGTCAGTCTGCCAAGCCCGTTTCCGAGAGTTGCCAGCGCCACCACTGCAGGGAGCAACATGGACCCCCAAAACTTCCAAACTTCCTCTGGGCTGCCTTTTCGGGCTGTCGGATGATGCAAGCGGCCAGGTCAATTCCCCTGGCTAGGCTCATGGAAGCTTGCCGCGTGTGACGTGAGAGACATATGGATGCGCGGTGGAGCAGCCCAGACGTCGTGAAAAAGAGGTTGATCCTGGATGAGAATGTACGACGGACTGGACAGGTTACGATTTTGGGTGATACTAGTGTTTTTCTAGCCTTCGTAAGTTCCGCTGGCTGATTCCAAGATTCTGGTAGCGGCCGTGCCTGAATCGCGGCGGCGGTGTACTTGGGGAATTGAAATGGAGACCAGATCTAAATGATTTTCAGGTCAATTTGCTCCCAAGATCCACCACAGCATGACACGAGATGGCCGGTTTTAATGCACAATGAACTTCACGGTCATGCAGAGAAGGAAAAATTGCATATTACTGACCTGCCTGAATCTTTCAGCTATAATTACAATTCCGGTGAGGTTCGTTCGGTAACGCAGTCCATCATAAGTGGGACGTCTCAGGTCTGGGGGAACAAACGGAAGATGTTTCTGTGAAACGCTGGACTTAGCCGAAGACGGGCGATCCACTGTAAACTCAGCCAGCGACATGTGCCAGCTCCGGGTTACGCATCACGCAGGTAGGAACACCTAACAATAATAATACTCAAGCAATATGCAATACGATCGTGTTACGGTCTGCCAAAGTCCCCGGTTGACCTGACGGATATCACAAGGCGTGGCTTCGATGCTGACGAAAGTCCATTAGGTTAGTCTGTCTGGCCTGATGACTGAAGCATGCTAGTTGGTGGCGTAGTAGTCTGGAATAAATCCCCGATCGTACTGAAAAGGAGTTCGTCAAACGAAAAAAAAAAAGGTACACACTTTTGCAGACTATCGCCATAGTTCTCAAGGCTAACTTCCACGATTCCCGATAGCTTCGCGTCCGTGTAAAGTATGATTGAAAACATCCTCTAGTTAATCGGCAGGGCAGAGGAGAGGGCTCGCACAATATTGAGGTATGACTCGTTCTGTTCAATCTCGGTAGGCGGCATGAACTGAGATTACATTCGATGCGTTACTATTGTGTTTATTTGCACGATGTATTAAAGCCAGGGGCCTGGCTAGTTCAACATCAGCCCCCGAAAAAGCCAACATCAGTGGCAATTGAGGTGGTGTGCAAAACAAGCCTCCGATATTGGTTGTCGACATATTTCGTGATTCGTGGTTAGAAGTCGGTTCCAGTCTCGCGGAGTTATTGATCAAGGATCGATTCTCGGCGACAGGAGGCCGCTTTCGTGGTTCCCGTAGCACAGGATCGGAGCTTATGAACCTATGATGGTTGAAGGCTATTTGAGCCTCACAACTCTGATAGTCTCTTTCAGGTTACGATCTTGCCCAAGGCTGATTTGTGATCTTCGACATGGAGTTTTTCGCAAGAACACCCCTAAGAAAGGTGGTGGTTCCACTGAGGCATTCTCCAGGGTCTTCGATGGATCTTACACTCACACGTTCAGGGCTGTAATGTCGGTGGTCATTTCGATGCGCTGCCTTCGGTGTAGCGCATTCGCGGGGTAGTACGTAAAGTGGATTTGAAGTAGCCCAGCTCGTAGGTACTTTAAGCGAACTATGCTCTCAATAGCTTCAGGATCAACGAATGGTATCTCGATCATACCAAACCCAGCTGTAGATCAAGTCCAGGGCAATCAATCGTATCTAATAGTTCGATCGACTGAGCCACTTCAATCGGTTACCTTGATTGACAAAATGGTATCCCGACTCATCGTGTTGTGTTTTTCATACTGCTCATCAATGATAACAGTACTTTGGTAGCACAGGAATGACTCGATGGCCAATAGTAGGCGGACTATAACCACCGATTATGTCCCAATTCCGCATCTTCCGCAAGCTTTAAGAACGCAACTTCTAAGGTTTGAATCGTACTCCTGTCTTCCCGGTGATCTCTTGGCCAGGTCTTGCTCCCTTGTCTAGGCCCCAAGTTGCACTTGGAAATTCGATGAGCAACCCAGGATAGGACGCCTATTAGGGTTAGCACCTAGACCCGAGCAAACATCACAGTAGTCAAAAACCATCACATAGCGTATGTGGAGACGGCAATGAGAACCGACATCCCATCGTCAATTCGAGGCACAGACATTCAAGATTCGATGAAGATGCAAGTGGTACGTCACATTACACTACTCGTCTGGTGTGCTGCGTTGCTTGTACACGATTGGAAACCCAGAGTCGAAAACCTTCAGCGCTTTGACCAGTGATCTCGAAACTATTCCCATTCGAGTCCGGGAGAAGGCTACTCATTGCTGTCAAACTGCGCTTGAGCCTCGGGACATCAGCTGAAATGTACAACCCAACTAGAATTTCATCATCGCAATAGAGTTGGGCAGCGTACTGTACCCGGCCTTCAAGCGCTCTGACCTCCCACCACATATGAGACGTTTGTGTATGCGGCCTTGGTGGGGGTGGGACAGAGAGGGGAGGAGTATGATCATACATAGACGGCGCAGTCTGCCAGCCTCTAATACATGCGCATGTTTGACAAATCCTTCGCGGGTCGCTTGCAAGCTCTTGACTGTAGCGGGGTTAATACCTCATGGCATGAGATGTCTATGTTGGCCAAGGTTCCACACTTCTACGCTTTCCTGTAGATAGACCTCGGTAATATTAGGTAGTATAGATCGGAGGCTGTTAACCTTATCTCGTGGTCCAGTTTCATAATCATCCGAACTTAGTTCTAACAACCACAGTGTCGGAAGACTCATGAAAATAACGTGTCCTTCATACCTACTTGGTAATCTGGTTGGAAACATCCATGAAGATCTGTCAAAAATGTGCTTGCTCCACACTGCACAGCGTCATGATTTAAACGCCGCCAACCATATTTATGATTTTATCCCCGAGCCGCTCTACACCTTGACCTGCATTTGTCAATGAGCTTCGCCATGTTTCGAAAGGATCATCATCCATTCTCATGTAGTTTTACCTCGTCGTCTCACAGGCGAGGATCATATTCGTCGGCTAACCCGCTTAAAAGGGTCCACATGCGAGGATAGACTTCGGGCAAAGTACTGCAAATGCAGTTGGTATCAAAGCTACCCCTCTTCCTGAGACTCTCGTCACTCAACATTGAACAAGGGCCCCGAAAACCCTTTCTCGTGACGCCGCCGTCGCCGCTGTCAACGTCGGCAGGCAAGCAGGCTGGGGGGCGGGGCTAGACGATGAGGATCACCAACGCATGACTGCATCCTTGTCATGGTGACATCGCGAGGGCTGGGAGACCCCGCAAGTCTGCAGTGTATCATGCGGCCCGAGATTATGGACAACTCCTTTTTCGTGGTCCACTCGATGCGATGTTGATACAGAATCGGTGGGGTGAGAGTGCCAGCCGATGGGTTCGATGTCTCTCGGTGATGTTTGCGGGGCTCTTGCTGCGGTCTCTCGTATGTAGGGAGAAGAGGTGATACTGGGGTTTGCGCACCACTGCCATCGTTGGCCTTTGCACTTCAAATTGCTTCGCACGTCAGCTTCAGCCAAAGCCTCAGAGCGACATGAAGGACAAATTAGCTGTTCCAGAGCAATCAGGTAAGGGAGTTGCTTCGACAGTAATTATACTGATAAATGTCTCAGCTACTACACACAAATTTGCGCAAGCTGTCGATACCCAAGTTCATCAAGTTGTACGAACTCAAGCATTCGTAAGTCCAAACTTGATAGGCCAGCGTATCTCTAATTTCATGATTTCTTTCAATCATTGTCAACGCTATGGTGAATTCGCCAAGAAGACACTTGCTTAGGGAAAGAAGTAATAAACCTGTTGAAAGGACAAATCTCCATTTACTCTAAAGTTACAACCGGTTGTAGTGAAGGTATCCAATTTTCGACGCTGTAGCTACTCATAATACAATGCACTCTTTGACTTGTGCGTCACTCTGAATATGAATTGCTACCACATACCGCTTTTTATTAACATATGCAAACTAATCTTTTTTATATCTACAGACCAGTACTGAACAACAGAAACATAGTCCGAACGCTTGACAATAATTCCCTGCAATAATTCACAAAATAGATATACCCACACAACCCAGTATCAAAGACTTGACAATAGCAGAGAACGATAAGAGAAAGAAGGAGAGAAAAACAGAAAAGAGAAAGAGGAACAAAACCCACTTATCGTACAACAACACACCCAAGGGAACGGTGACGTTTTTCAAGTAGGATATCAAGCAGAGAAAGCAAGAGTGAACGCAACTAGCTCAACCACTCGACCAAGTCGCCCAGTAGTAGGCATACAAAATGGTAACAGCGGACTAGATTATTGAGATTCATACAGCTTCCTGAAAGGGTGGTGATCTTATCAATGCTCCATCACATCAGACCTCAAATAGATGACACACAAATCGCGAAGCCGCTCTGCCAAAACTCAACACCGCTTTCTCTATCTCTACGTCAGCATCGCCTTCGCCTTCCGTATTTCTTGGAGGCGAGACAACAACTTAGTCCAGTAACAACTCGACGTCAAAATCTTGATCGGTCTTCAACTGGTACTGCGGTAGGGTGGCCGGTCCACAGCTCCCTGTACCCAAGCCGTGATGATACCAATCCAACTTAACAATGGTATCTTCTCTCTTCTTCTTCTTGAGCTCGTGGGGATGTTTAGCCTCGTCAAGGTCTTTGGCCGTGTAGTGCATGGCACTAAAGCTCGCCCCATCATGATCTCCAAAGCGCGCCCTCAACAATCTTCCGTGCTCACCTGCGCCCCAGTCCTGACGGAACTCAACCCAGCGTACATCCGTCCGGTTGCCGCAGTCCTGTGGGAATTCATAGTTCGTGAACATACCATCGACAGTAGCTCCATGAGTGTTCATGTGTTGTGACCACTTCTTATCGCGATACGATTCGCCTGGTCCGCGACCAAACCATTCTACTATTCTCAAGTCTTTTAGACCTAGGGTAAGACCAAAACGGGCGAAGGTGCTCGGAAGCAGAAGACCTTGCGGTTTAGCTTTGATGTGCACGCTACAGTACTCAGCCGTAACAGTGTACGTGGTCACAGTTTTGACACTCCAGGCGAGAACGGGCGGAGCTACCCGACCCTCTACTATGATTTTGAGAACCCCGTTGCTTTCTTCCGTGGTCACTTTGCTGTAGTGATTGCGCGTTTGATGAAGGCGGCGTTCGACCCATTCCACGCCGTGGCCAGGTCGGTCGTTATCCGTCAATGCTCGGTAGAAGTCGAGTGTGATTGGTTCCGTGATAAGATTGTGGTCCGGGCGGCGGAGATGTGACAGTGAAAACAGGTTACCGTCTACGGTGCTGAAACCGAAAATGGTGCCGTTCGTGAGTCTGACATGAATCGACTCATCGTTTCGTTTCATTCCTGGCAAGGCTGGATCTGTGAGTGTCTTTAGAAGCGCAATAGAATTGGGCTGGCTAAGGGATATTTGACTGGTGCCGATGATGTGGCCTGGCCATGCCCATTTCGTCCGTTTTGCCAAAACAAAGTCGAGTTGAAGCCATGCTTCTCCAGCATAAGCCCGCGGTAAGTCTGGAATTACAATCTTGGCTTTCGTATGGGGCTTGATCCCTTTTGGGATCGTTACTCTGCGGCCCGAAATTTCTTCTCTGTCCATAACAACCCCAGCAAAGCAATCAATGTCATCCAGCGTCAGGAAGTCGTGACGGTTAATGATCTCAACTTCAAAGTTGCGATGCCCGAGGACTTGGACAGGTTCTATGGCTTTTCCATACTCCCATAATCCTGGGCCAGGGCCATGGCTTGCGAAACAAAGCCCATCCATAACGAAGTTGTAGTCATTTGGATCATCGCCAAAGTCTCCACCATAGGCCATGTACTCTTGACCATCTTCAGTCTTGGCTTTTAGGCCCTGAGATCAAGTTAGTTCCAGGATGATCGAATTGTGTAGTCTCACTCACATGATTAGCCCACTCCCATACGAACCCTCCCATCAGCCGAGGATATTTGTAGAATGCTTCGATGTACTCCTTGACAGCACCAGGTCCGTTACCCATTGCATGAGCGAACTCGCACATAACGAAAGGCTTCTTCCAGTCATCTTCTTGAGCGTATTTTACCATGTCATCCACGGATGTGTACATACGACTGAAGATGTCTGCTGTTTTAGCATCCTGGTCCCCCTCATAGTGTATTAATCGAGTTGGGTCAATCCGCTTGATCTCGTCATACATGGCTTGGTGATTCCTGCCATAAAAGGATTCATTGCCTAATGACCACAGGACGATGCATGGATGGTTCTTGTCCCTCATGACCATCTGCCTGGCTCGATCTACGTAGGCTTCTTCCCAGTCAGGGTTGTCAGAAGCGAAGCTCGCCGGATCCGCTCCCACTTCGCCAAACCCGTGGCATTCAAGGTCTGCCTCGTCTAAAACCCAAAGTCCGATTTCATTTGCTATATCATACAGCCGGGTGTCGTTGATATAATGTGAGGTTCGTACGGCATTGATGTTGAAAAACTTCATCTGAAGAAGATCTTCTTTGAGAAAGCTGTAAGGAACGGCTCTTCCCGAATCACTGTTTGCTGATGTTAGCCAGGCGCTTTACTTTGCTCTTATGCACTTACGGATGATGCTCGTGCCGGTTCACTCCACGTAGCTTCACGGGACTTCCATTAACACAGAACACACCGTCAATGAGCTCGGCTCTACGGAAGCCAACTTTGTGGGATACATGAAAGCCGCCCGCTGAAAGAGTGAGGGTGTATAGGTAGGGTGTCTCAGCAGTCCACTTGTGTGGCGACTCAATCTGTCGTTTGAATTTGACAGATCTGGAATTCGATTTGGACAATTCGTCAAAGATCACATTCCCTTCTTCATCTATCAGCTTTGCTCTGATGTCAATATCTGCCCGATTAAGATCAACGTCGACGATTAGCGACGCATGTTGACATTTATCATCGAGCAAGGGTTGAATGTGAAAATCTTCGATCCGGGTAGATGGGAACGAGTGAAGCCACACATCTCTAAAGATGCCACTGAGCCACCATTGGTCCTGTTAAGAACTGTCAGCTGCCATGAGTGGACTAGTGTACTCGGAAATTTACTTGATCCTCAATATAACTACCGTCACACCTTTGATAGACTTCAACAGCAAGGTAGTTCTCCTCCGAGTCAAGGTCGAGGTATTTCGTCACATCAAACTCGCTTGGATTCCTTGAACCTTGAGAATAGCCGACATTCTCCCCGTTCAACCAGACAGTGAAGGCAGCATCGACACCCTCAAACCTCAATCGCCACTGAGCTCCGTCTTTGAGGTGATCAGGTACAGCGAATTTGTTTACATATCGACCACACTCATTGTCGTCGTAGGGAACATTCGGAGGATTTACTGGAAATGGGTAGTTCACGTTTGTGTACTGAGGACCTTTCCCAAATCCCTGGCATTGCCTATGCAGTGTGCTTTAGTTACAATCGAGTTTCATGGTAGCAGATGTAAAATATATGGCTTGCCGAGGCTTGGTCTTGCCGCTGCGCAGGGCAAAGCAGACTAGGAGGGAAACGGTGGAATACTAACCACATGCCGGGGACTTTGACAAGGGGCCATTCAGCATTATCGAAACCAGGCTCATAGAAGTTGGTAGGGCCACGGAAAGGGCTACTAGCAAAATGGAAGCCCCATAGACCCGATAGAAGTACACTTCTCGCGTTGGCTGGATTGGCTTTCAATGCATTGTCTTCTGAATCGTAGACGAAGAAATGACTTCTAGGTGGTAGCGTATTCCGGTGGATGACTGTCAGATTATTCCATTCTGGGAGGTGCCTCGGCTGTACCTCCGTCTGTGCAATAAATGGTGGGCTTGGTAATGTGCCATGACGACCCGAGTACCTGGATCCGATCCCCTCTGTGTTCAAACTGTCAACGTCCAGGTCCAAGTGAAGACTGGCATGAGAGCGAATCACCAACTCGGCCGAACGTCTTGCCTGAGTTGGTGTGGAGGCTATGGAAAGAGTCGGGGCCATTATTTAGTAGCGATGTGGGTGTGCCGTCTAATGATGTGGGAAACCGGCGGGAAACTCTGAAGCTAGTGGACAAGGGATTCCTTTTCCATGAACATTAATAACAGCTTACTTGTATAGCAAGTCTAGCATCTCGAGGTGGTGCGCGAAGGATGCTGCAGCGAGCTAGTTAGTTCTACCGATACATATAGTCAAGAGTTGTTGGACTAGGTCCAGTCCGTCTGAGTAGATAGCCACGTTGCCCTTCCGGACTCCCCACGAAACTGACCTTGGAGAATTCGCTTTGCCGAGCTCACAGCAAGGGGTTGGCCATGGGCTTCGATGTGCTGTTCACGTGACGACGTACACTCAATCCAGTATCTGTGGTAGTGTTTTGCTGCAATCAACAGGCTGCCCGCGAGATTGCCGTCTATTTGGTAAAGTGAGGTTGGTGCAGGTCGTGCATAGCGCTGTGCGGGGATAATTGGAGAAGCTGGAGCGGAGAAGCAGTTCCACACCTCGATTGGATGAGGTTGGACTTTGTCTCACCGGGGAAGCTGGGGCCAGACTACACCACGTGAGAGACTCGAGACGTGGAAACTTTGAGCTCGTGTTCTGGAGAAGACAATTTTGTGGGAAGCGTCTTGCGGTCAATCTTGGGACTACATACTTGTCAAGGCCCTGAGGCCCAAGCGGGAATAGACCGTTGCACCACCATCATACCGTGAGACTTAAGTAGTACTATGACGAATGCTCACAACAAACCTGTGACGCTACTTATTCTGGGTCGTTTGGCTTTGCCCGGCGTTTAAATCCCCAAGCGTCGGAAAGCTGTTACCGACACTTTTACTTACAAGCACTTGGCACGCATAGGCAGGTTGCATGGCCACGGGTTCGACAAATTCTTCTAACTGCCAGGTTTAAGCACCTTGACTCTGCGTCCCGGCTACCTCCTTTGGGCAACGTCTCAAGGCTGGGCTTCCTGCTGGCAATGTGCAGAACGATGCTAAGGTTTGAGATGGGTTCGCGTCGGAAATTGATGGTTGAAAATGTCGGAAAACTCATCGCCGACATCTTTTTGAGTGAAGTGTGAGAGTACTCAATATCCCTAACGCAGCAAAACGTATGCCGCTGAGGACTCGACAACTTCCAGCAAGGTCATCTCGGGGACTGGACCTCTACATCAAAGATACAACTTCCCTAACAATTCATGTCACTGGTCCGAAATGGTATGCATTTCGTGCATTGCTCAACGATGCGGGTTGGACCACAACCCGGTAGATGAGCCGAGGCCGCTACAACCCGGTGCTTAGCATGACCGACGACGATCCTCCTTATTGGTCTTCCAGTCAGTAAACACACCGACAACCACGAATCCTGACTCGGCATGAGAGCTCAATTGCACTAGGCCATAACTCCACCTCCTCATCTGGCGAGATCCCCGAAGTCTTCGCTTTTACGTACTTCACAGGCTGCGTCGGCAAGTGTCGCTAAGCCATGTGGGGAAATAGGACTGGGGGTGGGTTAGCTCTTGAGCTGGGGCAACGCTGCCGATCTGGGGAACACAATCTGGGCAGCCTGTTAGTTCGAAAGTACTCGGTGCGTAGCGGACCGAGTATGTTTTTCGTATAAATCATGCCATAGCCCTCTTCGCCTTTGTGACTGTCGATCACTTCACTCGCAACGCATTTTCGAAGCCGCCGAGGACTCGCGTCGCCGTCTTTTTTCTTCTCCCATCAACTGGAGTAAACTAACAAGATGGCCTCCAACGACAACTACCTCAAACCCGAGGTGTCCCTTGCGGACGAGAAATCACCTCAGGGAGAGGTCCGCCAGGTCCAAGCGGCGTCCGTAGCTCTCGCAGCTGCTGTCGCTGAACAGAAGCCGAAGTTATGGTCAAAAAATATGAGACAACTATATGCCATCATGGGTATTGGCTACCGGTAAGTTACTAGGCTCACATGCCCAGTATATGCGCAATATGCTAACGAATGTTTTCTAGTATGTTTCAATGTACTTCCGAGCAATGAACGAATGTGTACTTATGATGAACAGTTGTTTCTACGATGAACGGATTCGATAGTTCGCTGATGGGTTCAATCAACGCAATGAAACCTTACCAGGAGACTTTCGACTTGACCGGTGCTGGTTCGTCGACCGGCATCATCTTCATCATCTACAATCTCGGCCAGATCGCTAGTTTCCCATGTATGTGCTCTAAATCGACCTAAGCTGGGAACGTGTCTAACTTGCCCAGTCTGCGGTCTTTTTGCTGATGGTCTCGGTCGCCGGTGGTGCATCTTCATTGGATGTGTAATTGTTCTCATCGGAACTGCTATCCAAGGATCCGCACATCACATGGGCCAGTTCATTGGCGGCCGGTTTATTCTTGGTTTTGGTGCCAGTATTGCCTCTGCTGCTGGTCCTGCCTACACAGTCGAGTTGGCTCACCCAGCCTACCGTGGAACGATGGCTGGTATGTATAACAACTTTTGGTGGTAAGTCAATGTCGTAAATTGCTTTACCATGATCAAAGCTCACGTGGATTTAGGGTTGGAAATATTCTGGCATCATGGACCACTTACGGAACAAATGAGCACTACAATACTAGTTGGGCCTGGCGTGTGCCTACCATCGTCCAAGCTGGCATGCCTGCCATTGTTATGTGCCTGATTCTGTTCTTCCCGGAATCGCCGCGTTGGTTGATCCACAAGGATCGCGCCGAGGAGGCTCTTGCTATTTTTGCAAAGTACCACGGCGATGGCGACGAGAACTCCCCTCTTGTGCAGCTCCAGTACCAGGAGATCGTCGAGGAATACCGAGTTTCTCGTAACGAAAACCCATGGTGGGATTACAGCGAGCTTGTCAACACACGCGCTGCCCGCTACCGACTCGCTATGGTCATTGGTATGTCATTTTTCGGCCAATGGAGCGGCAACAACGTCGTCTCCTACTTCATGCCCGAGATGATCAAGAATGCTGGTATCGAGGACACCAGCAAGCAGCTCCTCATCAACGCCATCAACCCCATCTTCAGCATGCTCGCCGCTGTTTACGGTGCGACCCTGCTTGACAGGCTCGGACGACGAACAATGATGCTTGCTGGTCTGACTGGTGCCCTGCTCTTCTATGTTCTACTGACCGTCTTCACCGCCCAGACCGCCAACAACTCCAACCTGGCTTACGGGACAATTGTCTCCATCTACCTCTTCGGCATCTGCTTCGCCTGGGGTTTCACGCCTCTGCAGACACTGTACGCCGTTGAGTGTCTGGAGAACCGCACCCGCGCCAAGGGCTCCGGCCTCAACTTCCTCTTCCTCAACATCGCCATGGTCGTCAACACCTTCGGCATCTCCGTCGGCATGGAGGCCATCGGCTGGAAGCTGTACCTCGTCTACATCGGCTGGATCGTCGTCGAGCTCGTCGTCATCTACTTCTTCTTCGTCGAGACCGCCGGCAAGACCCTCGAGGAGATGTCCGAGATCTTCGAGGCCAAGAACCCGCGGAAGGCCAGCACGCAGAAGACAAAGGTTGACTTCGATTCGACCGGCCGCGTCCTCCACGTCGATGACTCCAACCACGGTACTGCTTAGATAGCGTGAAGCGGTAGGAGAGCACATAGCTCTTTGAGTATTTGGTCATTAGAAATCGAGCAAGCGGAGATCATGGATTAGTACATCCTGGCTCTTGCTGAATTGATATTACGTAGTTATGTGAATTTGTACTTATTAATGCAACACGGTGATACCCCCTCTTATCTGAGCCTGTGCCTATATCTATGCACGGAGATTAGAAATAGTTGTGTTGCGAATCTGTCCGCTGAGTGACATGACACCTAGTTGGTATAATGGGTGAACAAAAGTCCCCATACATAGACGCTTTCTCCACCAAAACCTCTCACATTTGTGACGCGACAATAAATCATACAAAATTGGCAAAGATACCTTGACTAGATTTTGTATAACGTCTTGGCGAGTCTAATTTTCCCAGTATGATTTAGTCTTATCTCATCTCCTTAAAGGTTTGCTATAAGCTTTCGAAGGAAACCCTTCTATATCTCCTGCGTAGAGGCAGGCACCATTCTAACATACGGATACTTTTGCTCGATCAGTGTAGTCTACGCGGTCTTCACGACGAATGTGTGGTATCCTCCTTCGACATGTTTCAAGAAGCCCGTATGCTTGCCTAGACTCTCGGCATCCCACGTCGCCGCATATGATCCATCAAGCGACACGGAAGCCCGGGTAGCACCATCTAGGAGCGGCAGCAGCACAACGCCAGCTGTTCCAGTCGGTGTGCTGATCGTCACGTTGTAGCCACCATCCAGCACAGCCCATGAGGCCTGAAACTTGCCCAGGCCTGTCGAGAAGCCGCCTTCAGCGAATGTTAGATTTCCAAATTGCGGCTTGAGCGTCCACTCTGACCCAGCGACCCCGGTCACTTCGATTCCGAGAACATAGTTCGTGAGTGCAGACGTTGGTCCAGCACTCCAGCCATGAGCATGGCTTGTGTAGGAAGCGGTCGGATAGCCGCGGTTGTACCTGTATGCAAATGAACCATTTGCGAGGTAACCTTCGATGACCGTAGACTGTGTGCCGTTCTCGTTGTTCAGATACCAGCCCCAGCTTCGACGGATAAGATCCAGTGCGCGGTCAGCTTGGCCGGCCAGGAAATGCGCCTGGATCTCGAAGGAAGAGATGAATGGCGAGATCGTGTTCGGCAGCTCAGGGGATACAGCGCCGATGTCATTCCAGTTGCCGGTCAGTTGAGACGAGATGTCCTGATCCTGATCCGAGGTCGTGACATTGAATAACACTGCCAGGGAGTTGGCATCCTGGGGCAGTAAATTAGTGTCTGTAGCATTGTCTTTGAAAGCACCCTCTTCCGGAACCCAAAGATAATTGTTTATGGCGGCTTGAAGATCTACTGCTCGGCTAGCATAGGTGCTACTGAGTTCGGTATCATCAGCTAGCTTCGCAAGTTCCGAGCCTGTCGCAAGAGTTCGATAAAGGCTGCCATAATACGGTCAACTTGCTTTCTCCTCTCTGCAAACCCGGTGACAGTACTTACAGCATGTTTGCTTCGCTGTTGTTCCAGCCTGTCGCAAAGCGCGCCCAGTCTCTTGTCCCCGTCACATTGAGAAGACCCGAATCCAAGACCTTACCGTAGACATTGTTCATAGCGGCTGTATACCGATTCCAATTGTCATTCAGAAAACCCGTATCGTTACTGTATAAGACGTATGTCCAAGTCCCAATCATGGTCCACATCTGGTATGCTAGATGAAATTGTTAGTACATATGAACGACTCGTATCGTGCGAGCATACCCACTATCGCTTCCTTGCTGCAAGAGAGGTGGGCCGGCTTCTGGGAGTGAGCCATCACTATTCTTCATTATGTTAGCCAATGAGTATAGTTCAATTTTCTCGATTCGGATAACACACCTGGTAGTCATACATGACTTGCAGTGCATTCTTAACGCTATCGAGATCACCAATTGAGTAGAAAGCTGCTGGAACCGCGACTCCCATATCACCGGGCCATACGGCTCTGTCCCGTTTTGCTCCATCGACAATGATAGTGCTGCCGTTACCAAGGACGCCATCGTTTGCCCAGGTGTTTTGGGGAAACGGAACACGCCGTCCAGTATTAATCGGCACGCTGTTGGTTTGGAGCGTGTAAGCACCACTGTACCAGATCTTGTTCAGAATATCGTCGCTTGAGTAGAAGTAGCCTTGGTAGGCCTTCAAATTCGACCAAGTCGGCTGAAAGCTAATTTCAACTGAGATGTTTGAAATCTCGATGCTGGCATTGTCGTCCGTTAGGAGGAAGAGCGTCAGATACCGAAACCCGCCCCGGAGCTTTACCAATGGCACATCATAACCACCAGAGCCACTGCTTGTCAGATTGACAGATAGGCATCCGTCTGGAGTGGTTCCACCGTTCGAGAAGTCAGACTGTTGGCCGATGTAGTTTTTCGCTTCAGCCCAGGCCAGACCGAGTTGCCCCGTGCCGTCAATTGTGTAATTCAGTGAGGTAATACCGCCAACCTCTACGCCGAAGTCTAGAACAACCTGGGAGTTGTTACCAGACAGCAAGGCAGTGCCATCAAAATCTGTCGTGGACGATGCGTCTGAGGAGAGAACCGATACGGGCTGTACGTTTCGAGAGCTGGGCGCATAGTTATACGAGTCCCAGTCTCCAGGGAATGCTGGGCCGGTATGCCCATCACAAGTTGTGTCTCTCCAACAAGAAGCAGCTGAAGATACTGAGACCGAGGCCAACAGCGCGAGTGCAGAGGGAATTCTCATGATTACTACTGATTTGAAAGAAAATACCGAATACACGGTCGAGACTGCCAGGTAGCCGCATCGTGGGACTCTGTGTATCTAGTAGTCGTGAACGCGGCCAACCACTCATTCAGCCGATTCCACACGCGTTCAAGCGTAGCATCTTGGGCGGAGCAGTGAGCCAAACGGCGTCGATCTCGGGGTATGTCATTGCCGTTATACTAGCACTCAATTACACCGAGAATATGGGGTGCGGGGATGTTTCCACAGTTCCCAGTGGACGGGTAGACTAGCAAGTGAGCTCTAGTGCTCGGCGATAAGTCTCGGGAGCAAGAATTCTGGATGGATGACAGTTTGATGCAGATCGTTTTCCATCATCCGACGGAGCCAACACGACTCACTACTGGTGGATTTACCCCACAAACAAAGGCATATTGCGGGGCCCCGGGGGGGTTGACATGGAGCTCAATTATGATGTATGCAGGACCATTTGGACAAGCTCCAGCATTGTAAGACACAGTGAAGAAATAACCTGACTTACTTTAAGCGAAGTGGGAAAAAGAGATTACGGCTAAACCATAATTTTAACATTGGTGCAGAAGATTCGGTTTTGACACGAAGAGTTTGCAGAAAATAATCAAACATGGAATTGTATCACCAGGTCGCCCTGTTTATGGATGCTCTTCTCAGACTGTCGACGTTAGCGATAATTAGTCTAAACCAAATCCCGTTCGAGATACTGGACGATTAATATCAATCTTACTAACTAACAAACGGGATTTACAACAACGTCTTGGGAACTAGCTGTGTAAACGAACTCGTTCCGTAGTTGTTATATTGGATCATATGACGTGAAATTTTTACAATTTATAGCCTAGCAATACTTTATATCATGCCTTGATAGACTTCCACTTTCTTGCCGCGTCCGAGCGACCTATTGGACCGAAGGCACACAGTACTCGGTATAGTCCACGTTGTCGATAGTAGTAAAAAGAGTGTTCACGACTTGCGGATTGAAGAGGTCGGACCGTGAGCTAAACCAGCTGTTTTCGCCGACACGTCCCACAGTCTGGAAGGTGTAGCCGTTACCAACGGGTAAGGTGTTGGGGCGACAAGTTTGCAAAGTGGCGTTTCCATTGGGGACAAAATCGCAGACGTAATAATGGTTATTGAGCGATGGAGTAATGGGGCGCACGATGATTCGGCAATCGAACGGCAAAAAGTTTGCAACACTTTGTCGGACACCGCAGCCGAACTGGAAGGCATTAAGCTTGAAATATGTTTGAGGAGCAGCTCCAATAATGGACGGAGGGTATGCGAGAAGGGGAAGACTCCCATTCCGCCCGATCAAATCAGCAAGCGCTGGCCACCAAGAGTCCCAAGTACCAGGAGCAAGGCGCGACATGGTATAATACAGCGCATTATTGCCAATTGTAGTACCCTGGGCGGCGACTGCGAAGCGGGTGTAGTTGAGGTCCAAGTATGGGCTGAAGCCTGAGGTCCAACCCAAGTCCACAGTGCTGATGGGCAAAGCAGGAACGTCGTCGAACTACATCATGATCAGTATAAGTACCGGAAAGATATCCATAATGTGTATTACAGTGGCAATTTGACGTCTTGCTGAACAATTCAATCCCCTCTCCTCGACCGCAGCACCAATCGCGACCTGCAAACCGCATGCCAGTACAATGGCTGACAAGGAAACTTTCATGATGTCTTCCGTCAAAAGAGTAACAAAATGCATAAAATGAATGACGAACAAAAGAAGCTATGTACAAATTAGTGGTCAAAGGCTAAGTGGGATTGCATACAGCTTATATATATGCTATATAAACACAGTCTGGAGATTATTCCAGAGCCAGATTTACCCGCGTGCGATAATACAAGGTTCACTACCGGTCGACAATGCGCAGGATCAGATCTCACAATGATCTTGCTCCTGGGCTTAGGCCACCGAGTCACCGCGAGATTACTGCTATGCCACTCTTCATTAAACACGAGTCTAAAAATGATCATCCCGATCAAATCGGCCTTGATTGCAAGTTCCAATCTCACGAGAAACGACTGTCTGCAACTTTATTTCGAATGCTTCAGAACCCCTGACCAAAAGGTCTGAGACCAGTCGCTTGGCATTTAAGCTTGTCTTTTAAGCTTAGAGCACAGTGCTGGGCGAATGCCTATCATCAAAGTTTGGCGATTTGCTGTTGGAGGAAGGTAGCGCGCACAGCGGTTCGCATCATAGTGTGTGCCGCCCCCCCCCCCATGATCGCGCACTCGTACTGACACACGGCGCTTGGAATCATCCCATTCTAAGGATGTACGTAAACATACCACTAATCTCTCCTGAGAGTTGGTTAATGTGAGCAATCTAGAAGCGGTAGAATAGTCACTAATGATATTGGACTGCGCATGCCGTTGAAGTCAGACAACTCAAGGTATAAACGGATATTCTCATCAGCTGCAGCCGTCACGCGTGGTTCGAATAATGTTGTACACTCAAACTGGACCTCCATTCGAAGATACGCGGGACCTGTTCGCTGCGTAGCTATCCTCGTCGTCAAACATGTCGACGCAAACTTGAACAACTGCATGTCCAGGGCTAAGAAAAAAACCAAGATCCCGAGCTTGCGCCCATCTCTGGTATCAAGTCTGGCAAAATGTCCTTGAGATACCAGTCTTCCCTCAAGTCGGTTTGTATGGGCAAAGCCAAGCTCTGCCCATTACTAACAACAAACCTTCTCTCCGCAAATCTGCGATGGAGGATGAGTTGTGCCATTCCTCAATTACCCGCCAAGTCAAGCAGCTTTGAGGATTGGACACCAGTTTAGCCTGTTGGCCAACATCTAGGTAAAGCGCACTTGACGTTTCACCTTATACCAATGCCATGTTTTTGTATCTTCAAGGACATAGTGAATTTCTCTGGGAAGAAAGCATCCGCTGCATGGCTCTTGATACTAACAATCATACATTTATTTACAGTGAGAAGTGGCAATAATGTTTGAACGAGTTTGTTGTGCTACATAGCTTCCAACCTCAACTTCAAGAAGAAAACTTCTAGAAGATGAATCGTGGATGCACAGTGTCCAGAAACTTAAAAGATTACGGAAGACATGTAGCTGAAGCAGACAAGAAAATAAATTATCTGTGGTAGCAAGAAAGCAATCCCAGCCGAAAGTCCCTAAACTGAGCAGTCCCGATCGTTTATTTCCCTGGATCCCATGTCAGATGATGCCCAGAGAGTGAAGTCATCTGAGGCACACTTCCTCAGTTCCCATGCGCGAAGCAGTTGTCCCATGTTGTGAGTATCATAAAGGGCTATCGTATGCAGACGGATCGAACGGTTTAGGCATTCATGGCTTCTTGGTTCATTATATCAATTAAGGCGCGGCCACAGTAGTCATCGAGCTCCTGGCAATCGCGAGATCGCGTAATCGGCATGCCCTCGTTGAGACTGTTCTTCAGGCCGCGGGTGAGACGATCAGACGTGGCCTGCTTGGAGACCCACTCAATGGTGAAGGGCAGGCTCTTGGGCCAGGTGATGCGAATCCACCACTTCGGCTTGGGGTTATAGGCCGAGGGGATGCCGGTCATGCGGGCCTGCATATAAGAAGTTAAAGAGATGAAATGTGTGCAGCAGCAAGGAATGCTTACATAGCCCTGGAACTCGCCAGTCTTGTTGGCGCCGAAGATGAGGATGATCTTAACGCCAGACTCAAAGATGTCGCAGAGCTTCTTGGCGTTGTCGTGCTTGGTGGCCCAGAGGCCGTCCTCCATGGCATCTTGCACATTCTCAATGCTATAGGATCGGATGACGAAGAAACGAACATCTGTGAGTAAGCATGTCAGATCACTGCATTATGTATAAAGCGAGCTCCAAGCGGTGCTGCAACATACCACCCTTCTGGCCGAGATTAATGGGCTTGAAGCCGTTGGAACGCGGGTCACGATACTCGCGTCTCTCGTGAAAGAGATTGGTGGCGAGTCCAACAGTGCGCTTAGCACGGGGCCACTCCGTCTTGCGAGTAGGTCTAGCAGGGCTGCGGCTGCGGCTGCGTCCGAGTGTCTCAGATTGACCATCATAGATGTCCGACTCATGTGTGGGGTGTGTAAAACTTTCGAGCGTTGGGCTTTGCAAGTCACTGTTGTGGTTTGTCAGACCGCTGTGCCCACTGTTCTCGCCATTGGCATTGTTGATCACAGAGTGAGAAGCGCTAAGAGTGTCCTCCACTGCGCATCGATTGTCAGGGTCCCAGTTGTCATTGGTGTAGGTACTGTCCAAGTGAGGATTGTCAGCGTGACTATTGTCGAAAAGGCCAATGGCCTCATGATACTGCGACAGGCCATACTTTTCGTTTTCACCAAGTACAGAACCGTTGTCCAACCGGGTTCTGCCGCCGATGGTCGAGGTAGGTGCGATTCCAGCAATGTCTCGAGTGTTAGGGGAAGAGCGACCGTACTTGCTCTCGAACTCTTGTAGCTTAGCCTCGTCTTGCATGAGAATAGCACGCTTCTCCTTCACACTTTGTGCAGTTCGGTGGTAGCTGAGCTTCGCGGCACGGTAAGTGACATCATGCCAGCGAGTAATTTCAAGCCACTCTTCGAGGTCCTTGTCCAGGTTTTTGACCTTCATCACGTATGTGACAGCGGCATCGTCGTGGTTCTGAGCTGATGGTGGTGTGAGCAGGATGGACATATTTCCTTGTGAGTGTGAAAACACCAACCTTGAGCCATCGTATCGGCAGAGGCGTCTGGTGCGCAATGATCACGTAGCTCACTACCTGTGGGACTGACAGAACGTGAGTGCTCTATGATATGATATCTAGCAGCTTGTGGTTGTGATATTCTCTTATGATGGAGAGCGGTGGTACCGTCTATAGAAGACATGAGTTCAATGTGACATGTTCGGAAGGAGCATTTAGGAGGCCTGTGTTTGCAACATACCAATATATTTGAGCTTCTTTGTAACACTTCCTTTGGAAAGAGTAATGAACGGTTGTCAGAAGTATTGGTAAGAAGGTACGATCTATACTAATGAACGGTTGTTAGAAGTATTGAGATAGAGTGTGTGGTGTGGTTTGAGGGAAAGAAAGGATCAAGATGTGTTGATATTCACTAATTCGTAAGCGGCAGTATTCTAAACACTTCTCCGGAAAAGTGATGACAACATATGTTAGTGAGATGTTACCGGCATGTTTCGGCAGTGTAGATGACTTTGTTATCGCTGCCGGCCTGTGCTGAGAAAACTAATGAATACTCGACAGGAGACAGACTCAAGAATGACGCTCATGGTTTTCTTCGCAGTGCCTCGCCGCCAACAAGCCTGTTGTAGGCGAGAGCTCGGCTTGGTCAAACTATCGAAGAGAATTGTACTTTCATTCGCAAAGAGTGATTATTACTCACCAGATAGTGTTCAGCGTTGGTTGCACACCGTTGACTATGGAGGTGCAACTATGTTGGGTTTGATGTGAGAGTTCCAAGTCATATATTTTGGCGGCGCAGCTGTGTCGGGATTTGATGTGGAAGTTCCAAGTCGACGAGCTGGCAGCAACTCAAACGAGTCCAAGTTCAGCTCCTATGTGATTGTCTCCCGGTATCAATTGTGGTACATTTAATTTGATTATTAGGTCTGGATCAAGTTATCGCCCACAATCGTCACTCTTCTCATCGCTACAATGCTTGCCATAACGCAGCACTTCTCGATTGTTGCAATCAGTAAGCAGAACCGAGTAAAGCATCAGAAACGTGCCAATCTCAATTTTGTTTTTGTGCCGGCCCCAGAGTAGGGGTTGACTGATGCAGCTCATCCACTGATGGAATATGATTTATCTAATAGCGTCCTTCGGAAATCCCCAACCAACGAATGTTCATCAAACTTGTTTGCTACGATCAAATAACGTATGATGATTTCTTTACTGCCAGTGCTAATGTGCCTGACTTCATCTGACTTGCAAAAAGCATGATATTAAGACTTAGACAGGGGCATATCAACATCATACATGAAGCAGGTATAATATTATCAATTTCTCCTATCTCATAGGCAGTTTAATAAGATCGTGTTTGTTTGTATTCTATCTAAAGCCTATGTTGATGATAGAAACACCGTAAATAAAGCGCTAGTAATTATCAAATACTGTGGTAGCATTGTGAATAAATAAGTCATGAATCTTTGCTTAGATGAAGTCAAATATCGTGAAATCACGGGTAAGCTGTTCAGAGATCACCAAAAAAAAAAAACCCCCCCCCAAAAAAAGAGATATGAAGTGTTCGGTAAGTCCATTATTAGTATCAAGTTTGGGTTTGGATTCTCTATTAAGCATCTTCCACAACTTAACTATCTAACCACGACCCATTTCCTTTTCCTTTTTCTCAGCTCGCTTGTGACTTGCGGATGCCTCCATGAATATTGGCATTGTCGAGGGTTTGTGAGCTATTCCAAGGGAAGTAATCAACTCCGATCTATGTAGTACAAAACTTGTGTAAGAGCAAAAGGAGGGAAGTAACGACGCCAAATCCTAGTGGGGCTGAACAATAGGGCCTGGTTTTCCTGTGAAGCCTCTACTAGTTTCAGCGTATGTCATTTGATCAGTCTCTAAGACGCCTTGCGAAGAGAATGACAACGAAAAGATGGTCTACTAGTACGACTAGGTAAAGTAGGAGACGACCAAGTCTCCGATGGAGAAATACAATTTATAACTATAAAACGAACGATATTGATCATAGCTTTGTTTTATTCTGGCCAAATAAAACAATACTTGTCACTAACTATTGTTACAACCACTACATTTATAGCGCCTAGTTGGGTCATTCGAGCTGTAGAGAAACCAATGCGGTATACTCTTCAGATGTGTATTTCTTTTAGTACTGGATCGAGGTTCCCAACAGAACCTCTCTCGGAGATTCCAGGTACTTGAAATGACCTCCAGTAGTGTGAGCAAGGCTGTACTGTTGCTCAGCGTCTAGTTACACCTTAGCCCAGGGTACCAAAAGCCAACCGATCGCCCGACTTACATGGTAGAGTTACCCGGTTGGTGCGCTTGTCGTGACTTGATTCGTTGACAGAACAACAGCTGGTGCTGCACAGCGTAGCTTCGATTTGGGTCGCTATTTAAGCTACTTTACATACCAAAGATTCGGGCATGCTCCCGATCTGTCAAGACATGCAGACCAAATACAATGAGTTTACTATTTGAACGAATGGTAATGCCGTTCTACTATTGAACTTTAACACTTGAACCTAGGAAAAAATCCTTAGCCTTGCCTATAGTTTGACCTTCATGATATTGTAGCACAACGGACCTCGTCCAATCGTACGTGTAATTAAAAACGATCAGTAAGTTTTATCCTGCAGCAAATATTTCGACTGCCATCTTGACAATTCAAGCATCTGCTTATAGACAGTCAGAGCTAACTGCGCTGTCAGCTTCACGATCTTGTAGCAATAACTAACCTGCCGCAGCGGCGGAGGCATTGAACCCCGTTGGGAGATACAAACGTGGTGTAACGCTGTTGAAGTCCACTTCTGCCTTTCACTGCGATTTTAATCCCTCCCGAAGGGCATGTTAGACTCCCAAGACAAGGCCGCAGCTAATCCGCCGATTCTGGCACAATTTCTAACTACGGTCCAAGGTGCAAGCGACCACAGCGATGGGTCATCAGCTTCCTAACCATTGGTCACATCTTAGATGTTTGCCGGGCGTACTAACTAGGTAGTTACGTACTTTTACATGGATCTTCCGAAGAATTTTATTTCACTGCAATTTTACCCTCCACGAAGGGCATACATTGACTCAATCGCGAGCAGGAACCACATCCAAGATCAGAATCTCCGTACTCTAGACGGCTGTAACTGACCATAACGGCAAGCTACCAGCTTTTCTACGATCAGTCAAGTGGCCGGGCATTTTCACGCCGTCTTGTGTTCATGGTTTTACCACGCATGACCCCACCACGTAGAGTGCGGAAGGACCACCACGAGATACGCCGTCACAATCCGCAAAGCAACGACCTGCATATTATGCGGGATGGGGGAGGTGTGGGATCGATGCGTGTAAGATTGCATGACACTGCAATTTTAACCCTCACGGGAGGCATGCGTCGACTCCAGAGCAGGCTCCTCAGTAAGAGCGGGCGCACTTGAGCATTATGCCGTAACGTCGACTTTCCAACGATCGGTCACATCCTGCAGAGCGGTTAGACGATTCTTTCCGCCATGTTGTGCTGGCACCCAATCTATAGGCCTTTCGAAATACGCCATAAGGAGAATTTCGCTGTAGTCTCAGCACGACGGACCCGAGTCCCCTGATCTGGAGGGAGGGACCGCTTCCGTCGAATCTCGATCAAAAAAAGTTCCACACCCCAGACGGGCGTACTTGGATCATAGCACGCAGCCTCGTTGTGAGGCCGATCGATGCATATGCACGAATGCACTGCAATTTTAACCCCCGCGAAGGACTTGCCAGAGCCCCTTCACGGGGCCGCAGCCTGGTGCCAAGCTCGCCAATACTCCTTCGGTACAAGCAGGTGCAGGCGGCCCACGGTGCGAAGCCGTGCTCAGCAGCCCAATAATCCGGGCCCACGTCTTGCATACACACAGTGAACGCCCTGTTCCCCTCCAGCTAACCACAAAGGATTGAATTCATGCTGCATGATGAAGGCGATGCCAGTGCTAGGAACGAAACTTTTGAATAATGTTTTCACTGCAATCTTGATGGTTGCGAAGGGCATGGCTCGGGGTCTGCAATGCTGACACATCGGGCTAATTCGTAGCTGCCCTCCAGGAAAGAGATTCATCAAGTGCTCAGAATTTAGCAGGTGAACATGGTTATTCTGATGAATAGCCCAGCAGTCCTGTTATGGTGTTTAGTTGAAACATTGAAAGAGAAACACAGCATCTCACAGAAGACCATATTGCATAGTAGCCAAGTTTTCTTACAATGACTTGGAGAAGGCGAGATCACCGTGAACCACCCCAGAGCTGCTCACTAGCCATCTTCTGGTCCTCTCTCCCCTCCGCCCCGAGGATACCCTCCCACTGACCCCTCAGGCTCTCCAGCTCCTTCCAGCACGCCACGGCATCTTCCTCGAACCTGATTATCTTCTCCTCGGTTAGCTCGACAGCATCCCGCTTGCGGCCCGTCAGCTTCCTCTGTATGCCCTCGGCCGTGTCACTCCTGATGGCCTCCGCATCCTCCACCTTGCCCTCCCAGCCCCAGCCTTCGACTTCGCTCTTCTTGGGCGCGGCGTTGGCCAGACGGTCGCAGGCAGAACCCCATTTCACCCGGTGAGCGTGCAGCGAGTCGAGTTCTTCCTGAGTTGCCAGCGCGACCCACACGGCGGAGCAAGCAGCCAGGTACGTCTCGACGACGTGCCAGGGCGAGCCGAGATAGCGGCATAGGTACATGGCGACGTAGTACCAGAAGTAGAGGAAGGCGTTAAGGGGGAAGAGGGGCGTGCATACGATGCCGGGGTGCGTGAGGTAGAAGCGCGGCTTCTTCTCCTGCTGGGCGGGCGACAGGTGGGGAGTGTTGAAGTACGAGGCCGAGACCTTTTGGACGCTCGGTAGGTCGGCCGTGAGGCTGATCAGGTCTGTGACGCGCTTGCTGCTCTCGTAGGGTGCGGCGGAGTGGAAGCCTTGCATGTCATCCATCGAGAGGTGGCGCTCTTCGGCGTCGATGCTAGAAGTCCACACTATGCGGCCGGCGGGCTCTGCTGCGTCGCGGGATCGAGATAGAAGCGGAAGCAGTTGGTGTGCCAGTAAGTAGTGTCCGAAGAGATTTGCGGTGAAGACCTCGGCGAGCGCAGGCTGAGACTCAGGGCCCTTCTCTCCGGTGATGTCTTGAGGTGGTAGTGTGCTGCTCGGCAAGGCAGCCTTGAAAATAGGAAATGTGTAGGCCTGCGCTGGTCCATCGGTGAAAGTCTGTCTGATGAAGAGCGACCAATCCAGGCCTGACCATCCACCATAGCCGGCGTTGAATATGACGGCGTCGAGGCGAGGTATAGAGAGGGCGTCGCCATTTGCGACAACTCCTGTTGGGTCCCTCACGTCTCCGTTGACGAGTCTGCTGGCTGCTTTGTAAATGGTAGGTAATTTGCAGAGGTCCAGCTCGATAGATACGACATGGACCCGGTCTGTAGCCCACTGAGGATAGTAACCGAATCCCGTCCGTGAAGCGAGCCTCTTAGACTTTGCTGTTTTGGCGAGGTATGAGCGGATATTCTGGATCGCCTCGCTGGACTTCTTTGCGCTTCGCGTTGTGGGTATCAGGATTAAGTGGGAGTGCAGTGATCGCGTCGCCAGGAAGTCGTCGATCATGCGCTGGCATATGGCAAGGCCAACACCGCTATAGACATGTTAGTCGGCAACTTGAGGGTAGTCGGGCTGGGTCGCATACCTGTTGGCACCTGTGATCAAGACGAAGTATTGCTCGTGGCTGGGCACGTTTGCCCAAGGAGCGGCCATTTTGCGGATGCGCGGTCTCTTGGATATATGGTGATCTCAATATTCTTGACTGTCTCTATGTGAGGGGATCGCCGAGGGTATGTTTCGTGATCCAGCTACAATACTATCGCAGAGCGCGGGCGGGAAGGTCTACACCGGCACGGGCGAGTGGTTCACTGGTTTAAGCGCGAAAGAAATGCGAACGGGACCTGTTGAGCCTAACAGCGGTATTAGCCCATCAATTGACGGTACTGTGTTGGAATTGATTGAACTAATTGAAATTACACGTCCTGCAGCAGCGAACGACAGCGGCGCGTTCGCGGTGTCCGTCCTCAAGAAATTGGGCGGTGGATAGTGGCAGGAAGGCAGCTCGGCGCCAGCATGAGCCGCGTGGGATGATCCGTCAGGGGGGAAGCAGCAGCCAAAGCGTCTACGCAGCTCTAAGACCATTGGATTCATGACACTATCGCGATAGTATACTTCTTTGAAATGGTATAATGAAGTGTTTACCGATATGAAATTGCCTTTGTGAGGGTGTCTTCTACAAAAGAGCGAGTTCGCGTTGCCTTGCTGCGTAAGATTTTGGCTCTGACTGCAAGGGAGCTGTCAGCCGTCTTCAAGGTTCCCCTGCCAAGACTTTATAATCTCAATGGGACGATGATAAGACTGAAATACAGCGTCGTCGTAGCAATGACAGCTGTTTTCGAGCTTGAAATTGACAGTATCGTCTAACCGGACCTTTTGAGAGTGCCCGGTTTCCTGCCTTGCACTTCCCTGATTTTACAGTAACAAGTCACCTTGACGTGGTGGTGACAAAGTGACCCGGGAGGCCGGCAGGGCCGGCCCATCAGATTGCAGGGTGCCAGCATGCGGGCTGCAGTTAGTGCCCTGGCGATCGTTAGGGAGACCTCCCGCTTCCTCATCTAATTTATCTCTGGAGTCTAAAGTCTGGAGGGAAGCTCCCAATCGTCTGCTTTATACATACCTGGGCAAAGAGCTGAGCCCGTACCATCAATCGCCCTGGCTATTTCTGACCGAGCGCGCAAACAACAAGCTGGCCCGCTGGTTGCATACACACCTCATCCGCTGAGGCTCACGTAGCTTCCCTCCGATTGTTCGCCCTCTGAAGAGTCGCTTCGCCTCTGCTTTTGTGCCCCTGGAGTTCGTGGGTTACACAGATCCGGAAACTCCACCAAACCGCTGCAGCCACTTTGCGTTAGCTACCTACTTAAATATCCGAGAGCATTGATAACGACCACATTGCGTACCACGACCAACCCACAGCGCGACCGTTGCCTTGAGCTGTCTCGATCCACGTCTGATAGAAGTCTGACCCAAGCCTGTACAAATTTGGCAATGCGCACGGCTTTCGACCCAATGGCTTGGTATTCCGGTGTTGTTCCAATTCCTCTCGAGGTCTGGAGTATGGTTGGGTGGATTAGCTTCTTCTTCGTGAGTCGACGTCCCCATTCCTGGGATACTGTACGCATGTACTGACGTGCTCTAGAAACTGGCCAGCCTGGCTTTCGCTGGTCCATTGATCGCTCTGGTCATATTTGATATATGCCTCTGGATCTGGAGATTGGTTCGCACAGAGCCCCGGAACGTTTCACCTTCTCAGAGAGCCTCGCTGTCTCCCAAGCCGGGCGCAACAAAACGAAACTACAACATCGCAACTGCTAGCTCGACATCCGTCGCATCAGAGGCCACGGCACGAAATAGACAAACTGGCACCGCAACGACGAGACAAACATGATTCCATGTTTCAGATTCAGATTTCAGATTGCAGATATATCATATTCATAAGTTCTAAACTTTTCCGCGAAAAACAAATATATGCCTCCTTGAACTGTGTCGGCCTTTGATTCGAGGGCTGGACGATCTAGATTTGCGACAGGACCTTGAGCAGATCGCCAGTTACACCCATAGCAGTGACATCACCACCAGCACCGGCACCCTGGATGATGAGGGGGTTGCTTCCGTACCGCTTGGTGTAGAAGCTGATGATGTTGTCGCTTCCCTTGAGTGCGGCAATAGGATGCGATCGGTCAAACATCTCCAAGCCAACCTTGACTGCCTTGGTGGCAACATCGATACTGCCTACAAAGCGCACGACCTTGCCCTGCTTCTCGGCTGCAGCCTTAGTGCCCTCCATCTCCGAGTCAAACTCGGGGAGGCGCTGGAGGAACTCATCGCCACTGGCGACCGACTCGAGGGCTTGGGGGATCAAGCTCTGGACCGGGAAGGAGGTGGGGGACTCGACAGGCAGACCAGCCAATCGCGCCAAGATGGTCAGCTTCCTGGCAACGTCGAGACCGTTCAGATCGTCTCGGGGGTCGGGCTCTGTATATCCAAGCTCCTTGGCCTTCTTGACCTCGGCCGACCAATTTCCACCGGAGCCCTCGAGAGGAGCAAAGGAGTTGAAGAGGAAGGACATGGTTCCGGAGAAGACACCCTCAATCTTTGTGACCTCGTCACCAGTATCGACCAGATCCTTGAGAGTGGAGATGACAGGGAGACCTGCACCAACGGAAGACTCGTGGTAGACCTTGGCACCGGATGCGGAGGCGGCCGTGAAGATGTCTTGCCACAGCTTATAAGAGCCGGAGAAGGCCTTCTTGTTTGGTGTGACAATGCTGATGCCGCTGCTCAAGAATGCTGGGTAGGTGTCGGCAACATCTTGAGAGCTGGTGTTGTCGACCAGGACGGTCTTGTAAGGGGCGGCAGCCAGGTACTCAACGACCTTGGGAAGGGCCAAGGGGGCGCTGGTGGCAGAGCCGAGCTCCTGGATGGCGGACTCGAAGGGAATGGGAGAGTAGTCGGGCTTGTAGACGGCCTTCTTGCTAGTAGAGAAATAGACCAGGTTGAGCTTAGGTGTCGGTCGACGAGCAGCCAGTGTTTGAAGTTGGGAGAGGAAGCTTTTGCCTACACCTCCAGCGCCTGAGAGGATGAGTGCAAGTCAGTACTACTATACACTATGATAATGTACTGCGTTGCATCTCCATGCGTACAGGCGAGAGAACTGGGGTTGAGGACGAACCAATGATGGCGATGTTGACCTGGGTAGCGGACATTGTGACAAGTGGTTTCTCCCGAGAAGTCTTCAGTCTCTTAGGGTCAACTGGTAATGAATATGAGGATATCCTTGAACGAGTTGGTGTCAAATTGTGTTTTGTTCACTGACGTGACTGACGTGACTGACGAAATGCGGACGACGTGGGGTAATTTCTTTACAAACTTGAAATTGGCCGATCGCGGGGCATTTTCCAGGTCTGCCAGGGGGAGGGGGGGGGGGGGGGGGGGGCACCACAGGCCAAGCACAGGCTTTAGCGGAGGCTCGACATTGGAACTGGAGCTGGCAAGAGCTGGAGCTCAGCTGAAGCTTTAGTGGGGCACGGGTAAGCAGTTGCTAAGTTAGTCTAGGTTAGTCTTACCTAGCTGCATGTCTTACGGCGATTGATTGATTAATGAACCTGCGGTAGGTACATACATAGTAATGTTAGTATTATTCCTTGTCACCTATTGTGTTGTGAAGTAATACAAAGCAGAGCAAAATATCTACCGATTTGCAGACACATACAGAGAGCTTCATGGCATAAGAAATCGCCACCCATTAAACGCAACTCTCATCGTCTTCCCCCTCCCCCCCCACTACGCCTTCTCACGCCTCCCGTCTCCCGTCTCCCGTCTCCCGATAGTATTTGCAACCAGAACACTCAGCAAGCCGCCTATATAGCACACACTGCGGACCAAGGACATGCCACAAGACCCAAACCTCTACGGCCAACGGCCAACCAAGAAACAACGGAAGGAGATTCCTCTCTCCAGCTCCCTCGCCTTCACATCTCAGCTCTCCTCGCTCCTCACCGCGCCTTCGTCCTCCACGAGCGCCCCTACATCCTCCGCCTCCCACGGCCGAGCCCGACCCTCCAGGACGAAAGACGACCTCTTCTCCGTCAAGGCGAAACGGAAACCCGCGTCCACGGCCAAGAGCACCGACGACAAGCATGGCCACCCCCGCGCAAAGCTACAGCTCAAGGATCCCAGAGGCACAGAGGAAGACAAGCAGGACCTCGCCCGCACGAGGCGCAACATGGAGGGCAAAGCCAGGCTCTACAACGCCATGAAGAGGGGCGACTACATCGCCAAGGACGGCGAGACCGGTCCCCTGGTCGACTTCGATGCCAAGTGGGCGGCGACGCACCCCGGAGAGGAGCTAGAGGAAAACCGTCATGATTCAAGTTCGGGCGCCGACAACGACTCGGACGACGACGACGAAGAGGGCGCCATGGGCAACGAGATAATCGAGTACCAGGACGAATACGGGCGCACGCGCAGGGGCACGCGCGCCGAGGTCGCGAGGCAGCGCCGGCGCGACGCGAGGAGCGCCCTCGGCGCCGAGGAGCTGGACGCCATGAGCGCCCGGCCCCGCGCCCCGGACAATATCATCCGGGGCGACGTTATACAGAGCCACGCCTTCAACCCCGAGGACGACACCTGGGACAAGATGGAGCAGCTCGCTGGCCGGAGGGACAAGAGCCCCACGCCGCCCCCCGACACCCACTACGACGGCAACTGGGAGATCCGCACCAAGGGCGTCGGCTTCTACCACTTCAGCAAGGATAACAGCGAGCGGGACGAGGCCATGCGGAATCTGGTGAAGGAGAGGGAAAATACCGAGCGGGTCCGGAAGGAGAGGGAGGCGGAGAGGGAGAGGAGAAAGAGAGAGATCGAGGAGAGGAGGAAGAAGATCGGGGAGAAGAGGTCCAAGAGGATGGCCGATGAATTCTTGGACGGTCTGGGGGCAGAGTTGACTGCTGCCGGGAAGAATGAGGGCAAAGATGTCGCCGGAGGCGAGGCGAAAAACCCAGAAGCTTCGTCATCATGAGGTTTCAGAGCCCCTGATAACGTTGCTCTCGTCGTTGTCTGAGTTACGTCGAGCATGCCCTGGTTTTTTTATACCCCACCTCCACCTAGGAAAAAACATTTGGTTTTCTCAATGTGATGTTAGTTGTTCACGTGAACAAATCAAGTCTCAATTCTTTATACTCGGGACAAAGACAATACTCAGACCCGGTGGGGTTTATATTGGTGCTCTGGACCCTGGACTCTGACCGCAGTTCCTTTCTAGCACCCATGAGCGCGGCACGCATCCCCTGCTCGAATAATGTTATAATTGCAGTGAAACTTGGGAGCCAATCAGTGGGTTTGAATGCTTGACCTAGTATGCAGCACTACTGCGGACCCTTTTTACTTTATTGGATGAGACATGTTTTTAGATCTATGAGTGGCTTCGCAAGCGGGTACTGGCTATAAAGCCCGTAGCCTGAGCGAGCCAGCGCGGAATCTTTTGCAAACAGAAGCACCAGGCTGGTATGGCCCGACGAGTGTAATGACATCTTCGAAGTTGCGCGCCTATTCTTCTCGGGCATTTAGCGTATCCTCTCGCTGTCGGAGATGAGTGTTCGCTTAAATTCGATTGTAAGGCAACATCAATGACATGGCTCTATATCGGGATGCGGTCGTGGTGATGGTCTTGATTGGTTCGGTGTTTTACTTGAACCTGGACAAGATGAATACACCAGGGCTCTACTATTTCTATTATTCCAATCATATGACTGTATATCGAGCTATATCACGATCAAGCACTTGTGTCGTACTGCGACAAGTGCGGGAGGAAAAGAAGTAAAGAGGTTCGTAAGAAACCACAAACGGCTACATAGGCAAATAGTTTTTTGGGAGCGGAACTCTAAGACTTTTGAAACTATGGTACTTGCCCAGTTGAAACCCATTTCTAGTAGTCTTCCAAGCGCGGAATGCAATGTTCTCTTGTCAATACAAATTATTACGAATCACTGTAGATACTCCTGTCGTGCCTAACTCGTCTAACCTAGTAGCCTCATGGTCAGCAGCCACGTAACGAAGTGGTACTAACACGCTGTATGCAGTATACTCAAGTCAGCCAAGCTAGAAAGTCCATTCGCCGTGTGATTAGGGGTAATTAGTTTCCTGGTGGCATGATCGCACGGCAGAGTTAATAGTTTCCCACTACACCGGCCGAATGCTTCGTAATGCGGATTGGCCGCATCCCGGTGTCGACTTGCCCCAGCCAGTCTTGGCTTGCTATTAGATAGTTGTGCCTACCGCCCATTACTGGTAACGAGGTCAAATTGTTTGGTAAATAAATAAACATGGGTACCGCTGCTACCCACGAAATGATTAGCTCGGGCCGCTCATGATTATATGGATGCCTATAGTTCGGTGAGACATACTCACCAAAGCACTGTAAGTGCATCTGCTCAGCTCCAGGCCCTGTATAACAAGTTGTCATGTCAGCTTCGAAGAATAGCAATGACGCGTAACAACACGCCTGGCCTATCTAGCTCGAACAACTCCAACATAAACTGTTCGAGTGCGGCATTTCAGTTGATTTCCCCCGCACGCCTTGCTTATTTTCGACACCTTCGACTCAGTTGGAAACCATTATCCTACACGGAGAGAACCCCTGGTGGATACAGGAGCCTTTTGTAATGGGGGTTGCTGGCAGAACGGCAAACGTCATCCGTCATCATGTCCTTATCTCATGTATATTATAGCGACAGCACGCTGCAGACGCCCGTGTGTAGGGGTGGTCTTCACAAACGGCGAACAATACACGGCGATAGCCGAACGTGCGCCACGGTCTAGCCCGCTGATATTCCCCTCCCTCCTGGCACACGGATAGGTGGCAGCGGTGGAGTAACCACACGGTGTATCGCAAAAAGCAAAGCCATATACCGAATATCGTCCAATAATCGATGCTGATGGCTGGCATGAGCCATTAGCTTCAACGCTTGACTCACGAATCCTTGCGATATGTGGCAACTGCACTACCTGATAAGTCGACTTACACTAAGCCATACATGAGAGAGAGGAGCACAAAAGTAACCAGTATGATCCCCACAACAGTGCTGCTTTGACCATACTCCGCAGCTGTATATCCGAGATCGTGGCTGCATTTTGCGGCGTACGGATCATTAATCATACACAAAATATAGTTGTCGGGCGTATGAGTAGTGTCTGAATGGTATGTACAGCCCTAACACTGTGTCATACACTTACACGGGTGCATGATGGTCTTGTAGTCTATGTCGACGCCAGCATCCCCGTAGGAACTTGAGCCGAGTGCCAAGAACATTATAAGGAGCAGAATTGACAACGACAAGGTGACCCCGACCATAAAACCAAGGGTCGCTAGGGTTTGGCAGATATTGTGCATATGCCGATCAATCAGCCTTCACTCGGTCTGACTAAGCAGGGGAGGAGTACGAAGTAACATATTGATCAGAAGACCACGTAGTTTGATGAAGCAGGAAAATGGTCTTGCCATGGATCCATGAGATGTGAGTATAGCGTATGCGAGCTACGTCGCTGAGCGGCGTTAGGAGCTTGATGGGAATTTCGCGTAGCCGAAGGGTCGGGGTGTATGTATACTGCTGGTTGTGATTCGTATGCATGAAACAACATCGCATGAGCTCCATTGTTTGGATAGGCCCCGAGGAGCTCTTCAGTGAGGAAAGGAACACATATCATGCCTGGTCATTGCTCTGCACGTCAAAGCTTTTGTTGACAGTATGATCGCGCGGCGTCTGTGCTGCCGTTTGTATCGCGACCATCTTGATTCATGAGCCGTTGATAAAGTATACAAATGGACCGTTGCTACTGCCTGAATAAACTGCCACTGGACACTGGAGAGGATATGTGCGCCATCCTGCTTGCTCGCAGCTGAGCTGATTGCTATTGACACAAGCCAAGGTGTAGCCTTCTCCCAGGGAACCCTCCGGGACGAGACGATATGTGGGTGCATTGTGGTTAGGTTTCTACACAGTTGTCTCAACGGGCCCGCGGGGGTTCTTGTTGCTACAATAAAATAACGCGGAGCGTTCGGTTCGTAGCTTTGCAGATCGACAATATAACCGATATAGAATCTTCGACAGAGCGGGGGGATACTCGGTGGGATCAGAGGCGGTCAACAAGTGTCCTTTCCTCCGGATCCGGACAACATGTAAGGAGGACGTCCTTCATGTAGAGCCCGGTGCCAAAGATTCGTGATATAGCGCCATGACAGCTCGATGATGATTCGTAGATCTGCGATTCGATCCTGTAATGATATGGAGTAGCACTTTGATCGTACCAGAGATAGCTTTCCAGAGGCTTTCTGAAGTCCTTTCCGATGACGGGTGTCGACAAGCTCTTGATACAGGGGCTGTATCCGTGAGATTACTGACGCTAGCTGGTAAAGCCATTTCGAAGGATGAGGCAGGGGTACATAGTGCCACAACAATTATGTTTTGAATCGAATCGTGACTGGTGCTTGTCGTCCACCTTGCATGAGCGGCATTGGAACCAGACAAATGGTCATTGGCTGGTGAACCATGGATGCGTGTCCATCCGGAGAAGAAAAACTGCAATATGTACGGTAATTCTGATTACCGACAGCACTGTGTTCCTACCCCTAGGACAGAACTAAACGCAAACGCTGCTGAATATTCGAAAAGCTGGGTGACTTGCTCCAGGTAGCAGTGCTAGAAGCTCGATAAATGATGTGGTTCGTGATGTAATGAAAGTCAAGGCCGAAAAAAACTTCAAAGTACAGTACGGTGCCGAGTCCAAGAGCCCGATCTGCAACTGCACTGCCGTAATCATTTTGGGCGAACTAGACCATTCTAACACAAATGAAGTTGTACAAGTTGAGATATGCAGATCACGTGCCAACCATCAATCGCACTTTCTGCCACCATCCATAGAGTCAACTCTATCGCCAGCCATGCACATGCTGCCCTCCAATAACCAATTAGGTAGGTAGTCAGAACCTGTACACCACATGGGTGCCATCACATCTATTTTGAGTTGTCATTCGCGCGTACTCTTTGGCATAAGACGGCCGCTTCAAGTGCTCATCAGGAACCTTACGAGTGTCCAAAAAGGATCAATAGTCTGCCCTGTCAGCGTAAATGAACAGGGTTGGGAAGTGCTCGAGTACTACATAGTACATTGACCATATTTTATGTGGAGCTGATGGCCAGTCCTCTATGGTTGTGGCCCTTGTATGAGTCGAGTCAGTCAAGATAACAGCGACTGGGCGACATACAGTATGCCGTCAAGGAGGGAGGTTTGAACGTCCGAAGCTTGGAATACAAACTGCATGTGCAGCTCGGGTCGACAAAAGGCACGAGTCAGCAATGTGGTTGGCGGAGTCGTCCAACGCATAGCTGGCCCATTCCCTCGGATCGCTTCCAAGGGTCTTTCCTATCGAGTCGAGCTAAATGCCGGCAAGCTTCGAAGCCTGTTACCTAATTATCCCACGCACCTTGCTCCGCCTTATAGCCAAATGTTATTCGTGAGAATTTGTACACAATAACGTGGATAAACTCCTGTCGGCAGGCAATACTGGCCTAGACGGAAAACCAGTCATGGTCACGCAATGTCGACGTTACACGTAACTACGGAGAAGCTGCAATTATAAATCCAATTTAGTGCAAGTCGGTCAACAGGGGGACTTCACCGAGAGAGGTACGGGACGAAGTCTATTTTGCCTCCAGCACAGAGAAACATCCAATGGACCTGTTGAACCAAACAAACCTAGAACAGCAGGAGATCAGACTTGTGATTGTGAAGGCGATATGTATTGGTTTGGCACCACTAATCGACCGGATGTATGCGGGCAAGCTGGCGCAGGAGGACATCGCATTTGCCCCGTCGTTCTTGTTGTTCGCCAAAGCTGATTCGACCTTTGACCGTAAAAACCGGGCCCCCTTGGAGCCAGGCTCTGAACCTCTCGCTGAGGAACATCAAAGGTCGCACTATCCGAATCACATCTTACTAGGTTGCTGTAGACCTACTGCGATCGCGAATCGTCGTGCCTAATCACGTCTGTATACTTTGTTTACACTTTTGAGTTCATACCGTTTCACCAGGCACCTCAGTCCATCTCTCTCCCTGCGCGCACACCCTTCAAGAACAAAGTATTGCCGAGCCACACTAGTAGGGCATCATCACCCCTCTCTCTCCCTACGTTGACATTTCCCCGGCTCCTCCCCTCGTGCTTTGCGCACACAGACGCCTCCACATCTGCGAGACCTGGCATTCCCTTGGGTACTTTTCTGTCCATACTCGGCAAGACGTGCAAAGCGGCTACAGCTAGTGGCCCACTCTAGACTTCCAGCATCTCCCGCCGCTGCTGCTTAGACTTCTGCAGGTCGTGCCGCTCCGCGTGGTGTTTCTGCCCAGCTAGACAATCCGTACCCTGCTCTCCATCATATGAGAAACCAGTCTAGAAGCTGCATCGAAATTTGACAGGACCACCACAACGAAAGGCAGGGCTACACACCTTGAGCCACCTCGGTCCTCCTTCTGCCCACAATGTCCATAAAGTATGTCTCCATTCCTTCGTCTCCCCGAATCCACACCTGCTGCATCTTTACCCTGCCTTGTGCTATGTGTGAGCGTGACTATTTCCATCTTGATCCGAGGCCGACTCTGATACTCTACCCCTGCATCAAGTCCAAGCCCCCCGCTATAGCCACCCTCGTACATTATGGACTATGGCCTCCAACTACAACATGGGGACATTTTGCGTTCGATGACAGAAGACGAGCTACTTCCTGGTGAGAGATACTGATCAGTCTTGATGTAGTTGGGTTATGCTAAAGCGCTCTGGAGAGCTGGAGCCATTGCCGAATGAAGAAGTATTACATCAGACAAAGGGCCGCCTATCACTCGATATCTCAGCTCCGTCGCCGTCGACCGGTATTCCCCCGTTCTCATTAAAATGCGCCCACGGTGTGGCATATATCACAAGCAAACGGGTAAACGATCTTGCAGGCCTTGCGACCAGATATCTGGCTGACCTCAACGTTGAAGCTTGTCTTCCTCCCAGTACAACCCACTGAGCAATTCAAATCATTCTCATCTTTGATACTCAAGACTGAAAACTCCCGCGTAGTGAGTTTCTTGGGACACTATCATCCTTACCACCCACAGTGATGACTAACAACATGACAGAGTGTGTCTCCGTTGAAGACTCGGAACTATCAGACCTGCGCCACGAAGTCAGAGTTACTGGTCATGAGTGCTGACGTGTCTAGGTCGGGGCATCCTGGGGCGGCTTCGGGGCTAACTACTGGGATACTGAGGTCAGACCAGAGGCCGACGGCAACATTCCGGCGGATTACACTCGGGTCAACATGAGGCTGACCTTCAACGATGGCGGGCACAGTGACTGGGCTCTCAAGTATGAAAACATTCGCGGACGACTTCTGCATGCTGCCACTGTAGCGAGAGAAACAGGTAATGCACAAGTTCTGAACTCGGTAACGGCGGAGCAACTTCCGGAATATTCGCCACGTGAAGGAGGATCGAGGCAGAGTCAAACGTTTGCCGACCAGACGCAAGTCGAACGTCAAGCGGACGAAGCGGCGGAGGCAAGAGAGCAAAACCGGGCTTTGCCCGACGAGCCTCCGCCGGACTATGATGAGGCACAGGCACAAGCAGTCGCGATGCAATTTGATGAGCGACAACGAGAAGATGCGGAAAGGGGACGTTAATGTGGGCATCATGAGGATTATGAGTGCATGAATCAGATTTTTTGGCAGCACAAAGCTTTGCGCGATCTGCATTATTATTGTTGTTGTTGCCTGAATAATTAATCGATGAGACAACATTAATACCCAAGATGAAGTAACGATACCTTTGACGGTTCAAACCAAGTCAATACATTTGTCGGCGGCTTTCATGGTCTCCCTCCACCGCTCGAACAGCTACAAGTCAAAAGAGATTATCTCCATAGGGTCTCTCGTAGTGCCAATCAGCGAAATGTGATGTTTTCAGTCTACTGAATGCTACTTAGATTGGGTCCTTCGAACTTTCGTGGACAGACAAGTTGCCATGCATTACAACGACGACAACAAGAGCTTTGAGGAAGGGAATGGGAATTGCAAACTTGGGAGAAAGGCAAACAATTTATGAGAGTCAGGCACATATCCAGCACTGGTAAGCTCTTATACGAATAAATGTTCGGGATAGCTTCCTGCTGCAAAGGAGGCATCTCGTCTTTGGTGCGAGGCGAGCTCAAAGTGCCGAGTGGATACCTCCCACCGAGATCACGTGATAATCTTTCGAGCCGGCGGCCAACCAAATGCCTCAATTTCAAAGCATCAACATTTTCGTTGGATCCCGGGAGACGAGAGAAGAGAGACCGCAAAAGCGTCATCACCAAAAACCTCTCAACCTAATCCACAACCGACCATTGGTCTCGACTGTACTTTTGAGCACAATGGGTTTCTGGGAATCTATCACCGACTTGGTCGAGGCTGCCGCGCCTTGGTCCACCGCCGAGGCCGAAGCTCCTGCTCAGGACACCGAACAGGTACGATCTCGCGCAACCCCCGATCAGTCACCACCTCGGCTCAATACGCTCTGCCTGATTGAGCCCTATATTCACAAACCATAGCGTTGTTTGGGAGCACTGTACTGACCCGAATGCCAGGAGACCAAGGACGAGAGCAAGGACGACACCAAGGCCGACGAGTCCGAAGAGTCCAAGGACGAGCCCAAGGAGGAAGAGTCTGCCGAGGGCGAGTCCGAGGACGCTGAAGAGGAGGAGGAGGAGGAAGAGGAGGAGGAAGAAGAAGAAGAGCCGCAAGACCCCAAGGACGTTTACGAGGAAGGTTGGTTAACCCCTTGACGGAAAGAAAGAAAAAAAACCCCGTCTCGACACAAGCTGCTTGCAGCTTACCAACATCGGCTACAACCTTTGAGCGGTTGCTTCCTCACATCTTGCGCAACCACCGTTCAACGAGCAACTACTGACTGATCTTTCCAGAGTGCAAGAACTCCAAGCAATGCGCCCCTGCCAAGCACCACTACGACGAGTGCGTTGAGCGCGTTACCAAGGCCGAGGAGGATGGCAATGGCGGCAATGAGGACTGCGTTGAAGAATGTAAGTTTCGATTATTTGTCTCGCGGGTTGCTTTCTGCACCGCCGCAATTTGTCCTGCCATAACAGTCTCAGGCCTAACGCAAACTACCTATAGTCTTCCACCTCGCACACTGCGCCACTCAATGTGCTGCTCCCAAGCTTTGGTCCACCCTCAAATAAACGTAAACGACTATCAACCGTCTTCGTCCCCTCTATCGGTGCCTCGCGAGCATGTATACAACGTTTAGAACAGCTGTGCCGGAAGATTGGGCGAGAAGGAACTTTAAACCTCTATAGAACAACTCAGGTTGTCTTATGATGGGTCTGTAACAAGATTTGCGGCTCAGTGAAGTGGGCGTTGCTGTGTTGGGAGAACCAGCATGGCCTGCTTTTTTTGTATCATACACTGCATGCAAACCAGAATATTAGATTTCTCCTACCTCACTTTATCTTCTAGGCCAAATTCGGATCTTATCTCCTGGTGAGTGCAGGAAGGATCAGGACGGCGTACACTGTCAACTCCATGACTGCAGTCAGATTGGTTCCATGGCACTTTTTGGTTCTATGTCAGGCAGGCAGTGACTTGAGTGCAACTTGTGTGACTCCGGAATCAACTTATCGCGCAGGGAGCCGAGGTCAACATATGAAGGAGGTTGCCATCCTTTTCCTCGCCCCCCTTATCAGTACACTGAATCGTCTACCGCCTTGCATAATGTTAGTTTCCAACGCCTTGATTTCGAGGCAGCATTGCAGGCACAACGAGATCCCGAACCCATGATTTCGGCTCTGCTTGCTGAACGTGGTTGTCTTGGGAATTGGCCCAATCAGGACGGTTAGAGGCAATATGATGCCTATTACACAGCGGACAAAAGCCATGTCCTGAATGACAATATCTTCTATTCCACGCATCGAAGCGATCCGTCTTCGTCGCATCAAGAAGCCACAGTCCTTGCTGATTGCTTATCATATTAACCAGGCACAGAAATTCCCAACTGCATCGTCACGGCTCGCGGCTTGGTTCTTATCTATAAGTTCATAGGAATTTATACAACTAATAAACGAGCTGAACCCGTTGTTGTTAAATTGACGGTCCACTCGCTTCGGTTCACGCAAACGAACCGGCAAACCTGAAGCAGGCTCCGAGCCGAGATAATGGCCTACTGTTGACCAATCGGAGATGTGGAGGCGCGTCGTCCGGCCGAGTCGTGGACACTATTGAGATCCAGACTCGCAAGTCGTCTGGTCCCTGTGGTTTCAACATGCCACTTCATGCACCCATGAGCCTCTGCCGACGACTGTTGTCCAGTGCATATCTGACATAAATCCAAGGAGAATTGAGTGCCGCAAATGCTGTTTAAGACATTCGAATATATGCACACGCGAATCAGCTACAATGACAAGATGTTCAGAAAATCATGTCTCCTGATCGCGAACTAACCTGGTTCACACTACACTACATTAAGCTTTGTGTGCACGCAGCGCTCGGTTGCAGACGTGCATGAAAATCATGTGAATATGGGCGTGTTATCGTTACCTAACCACTGAGAATGCAAGTGTGGAAGCAGGGTTACACTGGGGGGGAAGCCATTTGCTTAAAGGCGAATGTTCCCAGTTTCGGGCAAGGGGGTGGGTGCCCGCCCTTCGAAACCAGACTCGAGGAAATGAACATGCACCCTGTAACGAAAAGAGAAAGAACTCGTGCCATGCGGAGAGGCGGCAAAGCACACCACTAGGTTAAGTTAATTGTCCAATGGGTTAATCGAAATGAGGAGGCTTTTTCCTTCCTCAAGGATCGTGGTGTTCCTGTTTCCTACTCCTTCCCACGTGCGCATGTTTTTTCTTTCCAATTTGAGAAGGATCTCGTCTGTCGTCTTTCTGAAGGGATGCGTTGAATCTTTTGGCATGTCGTAAAAATACCCCCATTCAACCTAACACAAGCGAAAACGCATCTGTAAACTTTGACAATCAAGGGGACTGTTAGGTCGCGCTACCTGTCTCCCGATCGGCCCCAGATCCGCAGTTATTCTGGGCGATTTCCCACAGAGACCCAGCCAGTCAGCCCGCCCGTGCGCGCCTCCACTCGCAAGCCCTCAGCTCCAAGCACCTGGGGAGTATTGCGCCGTCGCAGCTTGTTTTGCGGGCGATGGCTCGTGACGCCAAAGCAGCACCGGCAAAGTCTGATGCCGACCAACAACAAGAAGACGTGGGCTTTGTTTTAGACAACGGCTACGACGACAAGAAGGAGGCTGCCCAGTCGGGCGGTTATGCGCTCGGCGCCATGAGCAACAACGACGGCGGAAGGCGCTCCTCCACCAAGGATCTTGACGATGCTGACTACAAGCCCACGACTGTCCGGGAGCTGGGGCATGAGGTGCAGATCGTCGGGGGCAATGCGGGAGTCGACGACGACGACGAAGATGGTGGGACCGTTGAAGATGGCAGTTTTGTTGACCGCGCCGGCGCGGAGTACAGGGTTTACAAGAAGAGGTGGTTTGGTCTCGTCACGCTGACGTTCCTGAATATTATTGTTAGTTGGGATGTAAGTTCAATTCGCTTTGCCCCTTGGCTGTAACCCCAAATTTTTTCCTTTGTTGGGGGCTGGTTGATCCTGCACGTCTTGTTGGTTCAATTGTTGGTCAAGTCACAATGCCAAACCAACGACCCATTGGTGAAAGTTGATGGCTGGGTTGAAAGCGGCTGCAGACGAGGTCTGCCAGCATCAGCCTTATCAAAGACAAATTCAGACGTGGACTATATACTGACAACAACTAGTGGCTTACATTCTCGCCCGTCTCTGATAAGGCTGCACTCTACTATGGCGTGAGCGAATCGTCCATCAATTGGCTCTCTACCGGTTTTCTTTTCGTCTTCGTGGCCATCAGCCCCCTGACGATATGGATGCTGCATTTGGGTCCGAAGCCGTCCATTATCACTGCTGCTGCCCTTCTACTCATTGGAAACTGGATTCGTTATGGTGGCTCACATTCAGCGGATGGTGGCATCTTCGGTGTTGTCATGTTCGGCCAAATTCTGATCGGCGCTGCTCAGTCTTTTGTGCTCAGCGCTCCAACCAGGTATTCTGATCTCTGGTTTACCTCACGAGGCCGTGTCGCTGCAACTGCGATCATGAGTCTGGCCAATCCGTTTGGCGCGGCGTTGGGTCAACTTGTTGTCCCCTTCATGGTTACCAAAAGGGAGGAGACCAGCAGCATGGTGCTCTACGTCAGCATCATAGCAACTGTAATTTGCATTCCGTCCTTCTTTATCCCGGCTGCTCCTCCGACACCTCCTGCGCCATCTGGGGAGACGCCAAAAGAGCCTATTTTGACATCGTTGCGGAAATTGAGCAAGAACGTTGAGTTCTGGCTCATTTTCATTCCTTATGGCGTCTACGTTGGTTTCTTTAACTCTATCTCCTCCCTTTTGAACCAGATCATGATGCCGTATGGCTTCACATCTGATGACGCCGGCATCGCGGGTGCTGTGCTTATCGTTGTTGGTCTTGTGGCAGCTGCCATCTCCTCGCCCATCCTAGATCGTACGAAGAAGTTCCTGCTTGCTATCAAGCTCGCAGTCCCCATCATCGGGATTTGCTACCTCGTCTTCATCTGGATGCCAGCCACGCGCGATTTAGCTGGCCCTTATGTGGTCCTCGGTCTCCTGGGAGCATCAAGCTTCTGCCTCGTGCCTGTCGCGCTAGAATACCTCATTGAGATGTCCCACCCGTGCTCTCCCGAGGTCACAAGCACATTGGGTTGGTCTCTGGGGCAGTTGCTTGGCGCTTGCTTTATCCTTATCTCTGATGCCTTGAAGGCAGGAGAGGATGCAAACCCTCCAAATAATATGGATAGGGCGCTTATCTTCCAGGCTGTAGTGGCGCTGGCTGTCGTCCCGCTGCCCTTATGCCTTGGCTTGTTTGGTCGCGGAGACAAGGTGAAACTAAGGAGGGTCGCGAGTGACGATCGTGTTGGTCCGATAGCAGTCGTTTGAGAATAGTTGTCGGTCATGAATTCAACACCACTGAGCCCGGGTATGGGATATCGAGAGAGTATTTCTGAGTCGGCACTGTAGGGATCGGCATGGATGTGCAATAATGTTTGTAACATGGCGTACGATTCGTATTAGTACTCCAGCACCAGTTGTTCATATTATTGGAACCTCTTCTTTCTATATATTTGCTCTAGACCCACAATTCATCCAATGTCATGCGGGCTTCCCCTGCTGACCCAGTATCATTTCGCATTCGTATGTTCTCCTCTGTGCTAGAAGTTAGACAAGATCTGGAATACGAGGCCCGAGACGGATTCCGCGGCACCCTGTGAGCGACACCCGGACAAGCCATTTCCTCCAGAAATTCCACGGCCATGCTGTTCCATATATGTAGTACCGGTGAACGTAATCAGCAACCAGGTTTAAAAGTCCATGGATTGTATATCCGCCACCACTTGCTGGAATACATGCAGGATCGCGTTGCCCTGAGGCCCGTGACACATTGATGTTATGAGATGGCATGAGAAAGTCAAATCGCCTTTCGATCGTTCCTGCGAAATTGCACTTTGTAGGAATGATTTATGATGTTGCGCGGCGCACCGAATTGTATCTGCTTATCAGGGACGCTGGTAAACTGATGCAGTTAGCGTAGGGGCACAGCACTCACCAAACCGTGAGCGTTGCTCGTATTTTAGGTGACTCAACGTCTTGAAAAAAGAAGAGAGCTCGGTGTTCGTTTCTTGTTGTCTTGAATCCGTTTTGTCTGCGAGGAAGCAGGAATAGAAATCTGTAGGCATGAAGTTCCTGGCTTTAGTTCCGATTGCTCTGGTCGCGCAACAAACCGCTGCAGCGGCCGATGCTGCTCAACTGCCCTTAACGCCTGGGTATACCGACCGTATTAACGGCGACGAGACTCTACGTAGTGCACGTCTTGATCAGTACATCAAAGATGTCATGGATGAGTGGCATACTCCGGGGTTAGCTGTTTCCGTCATCCAGGGAGACAGCACTTGGGCAAGAGTAAGACGTGTTTGATCACTTTCTCGCTTGCCGGCGGCGGTCTCCAACAGATTATCGTCATAATACTCATGTCTCCCAACGAAACTTGCTATCCAAGTTTTTCTCGCCATGTTAGATACAGAACATTGTATGAACACGAATGCTTACATGAAACTAGGGTTATGGATTCGCATCCCTACCATCAACACCTGTGACTCCGGAGACGCTGTTCCTGACTGGCAGCACTACCAAATCTTTCACTGCCGCCGCCATTTCCCTGCTGGTCGACAACTCGTCCGAGTACTCATCCATCCAGTGGACGACGCCTATATCGGAACTCCTTCGCGAAGATTTTGTTCTGAGCGACGAATGGGCAACACGTCATGTCACAATCGAAGACATCCTGAGCCACCGGACCGGGTATCCCCGCCACGATCTGGCCTTTGCGAGGGACACGCAGGACCTGGTGCGTAAGTTGCGGCACTTGCCCATGTCTGCAGAGCCTCGGGTGCAGTTTCAATACAACAACATGATGTATGGAGTCGCGGGATATCTTATCGAGACGCTTACGGGCTCTTCGCTGAGAGACTTCTTTCGTGTGCATCTATGGGAGCCCATGGGTCTCGAAAACACATTCCTTGGGTTGGACGACCCTGCCATCCAGAATAGCGGACTACTCGTGGCTGACGAGTACTACTATGACGAGTCCACGGATGCATATCTTCGCCTAGAACACGCGAACGTGTCCGGAGACGCAGCAGCCGGCGCTGCCATTTCCAATGTCCTAGACTATGCCAAGTACTTGCGGGTGATGCTGGACGAAGAGAAACCAATGTCCAAGGCCGGCCATCGTGAACTCAAGACCGCGCGGAGCTTTGTTAGCGGTGGTGTTGCGCCCTTTGTCGGTCCCATCACCTACGCTTTCGGGTGGATGAGCGGGGTTGTTCAGGGCGAGCAGATATGGCTTCACTCGGGCCAGGTAGATGGGTTCACGACGTGGATGTTGATCGTACCATCGAGGCAGATCGGTATCACGGTCATGACCAATGCGGCGTCGAAAGCACTGACGCTCGTGCTGTACCGTATATTATACGACCTACTTGAAGTCAGGGAGAAGGACAGATTTGACTTTGCAGCCAAGTATGTTTATCATTTTGTGATTCTTGATCCTTGACTTTGAAAACTTTCGGAACTGTTAATAACCTGCGGTAGGTTCCTAAACGACGTCGAGCAAGAGAAGCACTATCTAGCGACTTGCCCGGAACGAGTATATCCAAATTTGCCATCGCCTCCGCTTCCACACACTCTGCCGCTCCCGAACCACACGGGCAGATATCGCGATGAGGGCTATGGTGACTTTGACGTGTTGCTCGACTGCGGCAGCACTGAAGCAGCCACGACCACGGCGCGCGGCGGCTCATGCAAGCTTCGGGTTCAGAAGCTCGAATATGGCCCGTTCCCCTGGCCTTTCATACTCAACCTGGATCACAAGTCCGGAAACTACTGGCTCGGGTGGCCCGAGTTCCGGGGCACGGATATACCGCCGGCTTGCCTTGAGGTGCGGTTTCGCGTCAATGCGAGTGGGGAGGTGTCCCATTTTGGGTTCAATGCTAGGATGGAGGATGGTGCGCCTCTGGTCTGGTTTGATAGGATAGACGAGAGACTGGACCCTGAGAGCAGCAGGGCAGTGTCTTCATGATGATATCTTCTGTGATTTCATAGTGCCACAAAACATTCTGCAGCCCTAAAGAACAGGTTTTATGGCCTATGTGGCTCTGTATCCATCGTTGACCGCTGTACAACAGTGTCTTCTTGACGCGAAGGCGATCCAACGCAATGCACATGGATACATTTGAAAACATGCTAAACTGTGCACGTACAGTTTTATGCACTCGCATGAAATTTAAGATAGGGCAAATACTGGAGCCAATAGCCGACTCCATATGTAAGTCTGCAGCTTCTGCATGGCTACCTATAGCATAGCTCAGGGGCACGCTTAGCTTGGACATACCTCAGACTAGACCGTGCCTCGATGTTGCGAACTGATGCTTCAAAAGTAGCCATGCATTTATCAATCAGGAAAGGCAAACACCTGTGTACACCCTAAATTGGATTGTATGGTGGGCTGCTCATTCATCTATGCCATCAAATAGCAGCCAAGCGGCGAGTGAGTCATCCCGAATTGGATTTGTGTCTTTGCCTGACCTAAGCGAGGCGAGAAGGCAAACAACATGGCTTGCATTGTCTATATATATATTTATCGCATCATGTATGTATAACAATCAAAAGACGGCCAGGTAGCTTAATTGGCATAAAGCATTCTTCGGAAAACAAATGCTGGTTCAACCCCAGCCCTGGTTATACTTTTGTCTTTTGGTTGTGGCAGTTTTGCCAAACTGCCTGCTTTGCAGACCATTAACGAGGATGAGTGGTTAAGGAAAGGCTTCTCGATTCAGCGTAACATTAAACTTGACGGGCTCATTTGCCTATGCCTGAAGTCTGTAAAACTCTGATGTTCCCATCTTGACAAGCACCGCTCTCCAAAAATCATATTAAGTAGGTTAAAGCGACCATGGGCAGTGGTAGCTCGGTCCAAGATGCCTCCATCCATGGGTACAGCAAAAGCAACATGCCGATCCCGCAGGCATCCTTAACACTATAAATAATATCATTACCATGCTAGATAGCAAGGGCTCAACGCAACGCAACGCAACAACAATTCTGACGCGGCAACGCCTTGGCTTAATCTGTTTCCCACATGACAAGGCAATGACGACTTGGCTTTTGTTGAAACCCATCTGATTGCCATATCAATACGTCGGCTGCAACGTCTTGTGGGCTCTGATATTACGCTGTGGCTAACAACTCCAAGATGATGCTGATGGACGGTGGAACACACAATCACCGTTTTGGACGGGGGGTGACAATGAGGTCACTTCACAGTTTTTGCAAGGCGGCATTTGATACAGTAGGCCAGGATGGTTACAGCTATAATCACGGCCTGCAGGCTCAATGTGCCATGGTTGCTTCCTACGTTAACATGGTAGGACATTGTCTGTACTTCACCTGGCTCAACCAAAGTGGACTAATCCGCTGTCCCTATTGAGCAGCATATTTGTGTGGTTGATATAGATTGGGCATATTTATGTCTAGGAACCACATCTCAAGAGTAGATCAATTCTCTCCGAATACAAGCATGAGCACCGTGAGGTGGGCTTGACAATTGAACTGCTGCGGATGTGCATGCAATGTATGGAATTTCCATCAATAAACATAGTTAAGCATGATCCGTCGTTGCAGATGTGCGCGCACTCAGGTGTGCACCGCTTGTTAATAGTCATTGACGTCTAGCCTAGGATAAAGTAAGAGCTTTGCCAACCATGAATCAACTCTCGGCGTCTGTGACAGCTACATGCCATCTGTGCGTTGAGCTACAGTTATCTGATAGATATGGCTTTCTTGGGCCATCGACCCCTTGGGTTTTTGAATAATCGGATCTGTTCTTGTTATGACATAGTCAAATGGAGCAGCGCTCGATCCTTTTCTAATAGATACATGAGCTGCAAGTTGAGTCAGAGGACATTGAGAAATGAAATTGGCCACACCGGGACACGACAACGACTAATCCGCGACTTGGATGGAGAAGCCTCGAAACCCGATCTCACGCGAAGCCTTGCCCTTTATTATTGTATTCCTGGCCGGACTCAGACCAAGAGCCAGTCGGATGGACAGCACGCGATTACCAAGTGTGTGGTCAGATTCAATATAACGCACCCCAGCGGTCTTGGCACCATAGGGTCCCCTGGCTCGGCTGCACCCGACACAAGGCGCGCATGGGCTGATTCTGCACACGAACTCACGTTCCTTTGCCGAGTTCATCCCGAGGGCGCGCTCGCAGCATCACCTAGATTCTGGGGAGTGCGACGCAAGTTAACGAGGTAAGTTACCGCGAAAGTGGGAAACGGGATGTCACATCTTGACGCGTATTATTCTCCGCTAGCTGCAGATTTGATTATGTACTCATCTACAAATATCAATATCCTACCCGGGGCAGGTCAGGATGGTCAATAGCCTCACGAAGCTGGAGTGCACAAGTTCGGCTATTCAACTGCCAGGCGTTAGAAGATATGATGTGTCACTTTAAGGGGTTTACTACCTGTGGCGGCAGAAGAAACTAACCTTACTCAATAGTCTCATGCGCAGAGGTCCAGAGGTGATAATGGATGAGTATTGGGTCGAGGGTAAGTGGCGCACAGAAGCCTACACGGATAGTACAATCAATCTAGGTTAGTAATCTTCCACCGGTATAATATCGTTGGCCACAAATACTACTAGATCTAGTGTGCCCTTTCACAAATAAGCCATTGGTATGATGTGAGACAAGATGGATTATCGCAGTGAGATCAGTGAATGCCTGATTTACACGACCTTGTGGCCTTTTTGTGTTGATGGCTTGGAGGGTTACATAATTTTTCCTTTTTGTCTGTTGGACGTCAATGGTGTACGAGTCACTGTATTGAATACTTCTACTGTACTTCTGATATGTTGAGAAACATACTGCACATCAGGATAACCGCATGGATTGTAAGGGGTTCCTACGGCATTTCTTGTAGAGCTGTGCTGGTGATTGATACATGCACTAGCTGTTAAATGTGCTGTCTCTGTTGAGAATGCACAGTATGCTACTGCAGCCACTGATAGAATGATCAGACATACCTGGTGTTAGATAAACTTATATCGGTAAACAGATCATACAATAATGTGCTATTAGGGAAGAGCTCTGGTATATATGCTTCGGAGAAGTTGACAGGAAAAAAGTGGATGACATACAAGTCGAGTCGCTGCTTAGAGTAACGGGAGGATCACAAGGATGATGACCGATGGGTGTGAGTCTCCGGGAATCACAGGCGCTTTCGTCGTTCAAGCAAGTATTATAAATCCTATTGGTTAGGACTGTTCTTGTATCGCTAAAGATTGGGCTATCTTATGCGTCTCGTGGAGATCATTGCCAATGTTAGGCTTGTCCTCCAAGCCAGGGACGAGGAGACTGCCTGTATGCTCAATCACACCCGTGATATGATGGCACTCATGTATGACAAGCATGTAGAAGTCATGGATAAGATGAGGCCACTCAACGCCGGCGTCAGCCAGTTGTTAACATTCTTTTTAAATTTCATGTACCCGACTATTACCCAATAAGCAGAAAGACATACATTCAGACATATTTAAAGTCACAACAACGTCTGAATAATCATCGAGTATAAGTCTACACAATGCAGCAGCAGCTCTGCAATCTTCGTAGATCTGCTTAAATATACGGTACTTGCCTCAGACCTATGAGGATCCGGGGACAGATTTTGGACGAAAAGAATTGAGGATTAGCAAATATCTCAGGAATTATAACAAACTGTAATTATACTTAGTTCACAAAAAATGAAATAGCAAATAGACCTGGAGGTTGTGTAGCGAGAAATTGGTCGCGATGATACATGATCAATCGATCCTAGTTTGCCATCATCATTTGACGAGTTGTGATGTTGACATGAACCTTCTGATACGAATTGGCCGCCAGACCCTGAACAGCACGTGGCTACCACATTCGAGTACAACACGACGTCGATGGAGGCATATGTTGATCTAAATACGCATGCGATTGGCACCTGTTTGGCAGGAAACTTCCTGGAGCAGAATGCCGCTGATTGACTCCAAACCAGCTGCCCCGTCTTTTGGGGAAGGTGGTGCTGGGAATCTGCCGTCACTTCCGATCCGACCCTGAACGAATGGAATGGCAGGTACAACAATCAAGATCGCTTTATTTCAGCTCTTTGGTCCGGTTCTCGCTTGCAAATTGACCGAGTGATCATTGTGACACAAAGGACAAGCTTGCAAGCACGACTTCTTCTGTGAGTTGGTGCGGCATGCCGCAGCTAGCTCCCAGCAACGTCAGTAAACCTTGTAGGATAAATTATTCGAGATCCAGCGACATCCTCGACTTGCCACAAAAGGTATTGATACCTCAGTTCCACTCTTAGCTGCAATCCGATGCTATCAATAGTACGGTACAAAGTAGGATACGACTAACCGGTCGATCGTTCAACCATGTGAGGATTCTTCATGACCATCCCTCACAGCGTGGTCCAAGCTTGAGTGTCATCTGAAGTCAAACGTGGATCGAAATTTCCTGGATGTTCTCGATCTGCATTCTGTTATGCAAAGAAACCATAACATGGCCAGGGCTGTTTGCCAAACACGGGCACATGGAAGTTCTTCTGCCAGTAGAGATATTCCGCCGCTTGGGCCAGGCTGGTCTTGTCAAAGATCAAGCCATAGAGCAGCTTCCGTGAGCAAGTCGCCAAAGACAAGGGAGCTGTGTTCCCCCGTGATCATGGTGACCTAGGCTCAATGGGTACTTCCGTCTCGATGCTATTCAGGGCAGCACAATTGTGCGAAATTTCCTGGCTTGTAACATCTTGACCATCGCCGTTACTTGGGGCGGTGTTTCAATGTTTTCTTGAAGCAAATGCCATGATCAGACGACATTGCCCCAGCAAATCACCCATCCACTTTGACGCCTGGCTAGGCTCTGCTATCGGTGAGTCGGACAGTTTCCTGTGGATCATGAACCAAGTCAGTGGAGAGTGCACAAAGTTAGAAAGCTTAAAGGCTACCCATGATAGCCAAGGGCTCCCTTGAAACCCGAAACGCGGGCACCGCAAGCCTTAGAAACCCAGGCGCGTGTCAAGCGTCCTAAATAAGGACAGCGGCCGTGGCGTTCTCGTGTTTCCATGGCCGATACATAGCGAATTCACATTATTTTCAATATTCGTCCTTTTGCACTCCACCTGTATGTGACTATTCTGGCCTAATTATGTGACATATCCTACCAACGTTTCTGTCTGGGCTCCTGGGATGCAGCAGGCCGTCCCTGACTCAGTCAAATGGATACATAGTACGAAGAGCGAGCGGATATCCCCGTGGAAGTCAAAGATAGCACTGAGCCGGCTCATTCGGCACGTGCCAAGTACATGCACTTTTAATCCAATATGCATAGAGCCTAGCCTTCGGGCTTTTTCTGCAGGATCGCAATAATACGATGAGCCAAGGCAAGGCCAGAGGATATTGCCGGGGAGATGCGGTTAAGCATTCAAGAAAATAAACTCGAGGTTTAGAGTTTTCCAACGGCCTTCTGTCCCAGGGTTACACCGATCTTGGATGACAGACAATGGCACCATTTTTTGGCCCAACTGAATACCACGTAAAGCCATACCATGTGGCTTGAGTGATTGTGCCAAGTCTATGGCGACAGATGGCAATAGCTCAATTGCAAATTAACCTTATAGTATTGCTTCTTAATCAGCCGGGTCGATTACTCACGCGCACCGGTCGCATTTAATCTATCAATGACGGAAACGGATGCACGAATTAGGAGACGTCCGCTCGGCTAAGGAGTTCACAGCGCCATGAACTCTGCTTGTAGTGACCAGGAACAGCACTACCCACTGCAGCCACAGCAGTGGACACTTGCGACTCAGTGCCTACCGGTATTCTAAGCGAATCGGGCTGCCGTCGGCAGTTCTTGTTGTTGCAAATCCTCCGCAATGTTGACCTCAAGGTTTCCATAAAGCAGACGGTGTCGGCCGCTGAAACACCATACGTAACTATCCCTTCGACCAGACTATTTTTACCTCGTTCATAGTGTGGGTCACATAATCGAAACACGTCGTCCAAACTCTCTACCCTTTGAAAAGAATTGGCGCCCATTGCAGAGCAGACAGAGGTTCCTCTGCCGGGGGTCACGTCATGTCCTGAAGATAGTCAACGTCAATGATGAATCTGCGATGGTAACCCTCCTTCTTTTCTGTGCATAAAATAGCGGCAAACTCACTCCGAGGACCACACCACTAGGTGAGCCAATAGGGTTTGTAGTGGTCTGAGAGCGGAAGACAAGGGCGAACCTGGCAGGTACATAGTATCTGTGCCAAAGACAGGCGAATAGCGCCTTGCATGGACCGTGACTTGCCATCTTGGTCTTCAGTCTCCGCTCCGTATGGAACGTGGATGTTCCGGCTGTATTGCTAACCCAGCCACAGGTATTCTACCGCCATCTTTAATATCTTGATCTGGCGTATCTCATCATCGTCAGGCCGCAAGCCGTCAATCTTGGCCATGAAGCAGGTTGCGACAAAAAGAGCAAGAAGAAGAAAAAGAAAAAAAAGAAAAGACGGGACGATGGGAACGGACACAAGACGACCGTGAATCATCCCCATGAGGAATGTCCGGGTCTCAAGCGTGAGTCCGGAGAGAGGCTCTGCATTAACCATCGTGGGTCCCCAACAAGGTTTTACGCCGTCATTCTCAAGGTCTTACCTCACAAAGGCTTAAGGCCACGGAATCACAATGAAATTGAATGCACACCAAGCCAAAAGAGGCGTCGCGGAAAGCAAGATGGTGTAGAGCCCATGAGATCGACGAGTCTAGCACAAATTGATGACCAGGGGCAGTCAGAAGAAACCATGTCGATTATTGATACCACCCGACGCAGCCCACCAATGACACACATGTAAGGTGCCGGGCCCCCTCTCGATTTGACTGCGAAACTCGCCAAGCAAGACTTGTCCCTGATAGTGTCTGCTTTGATCCACACATCCGCTACGGGGAAGGACGTCCCACGCTGGTCCTCTCTCACAGCCACCCCGTCTTCCATTCCACTTGCACCAACTCTACATGAACATTGAATGAATGATTTGATCCGAAAATACCAGACGTGAAAAGGCGATTTCGTGGTTTGATCACGAGAGACGACAAGATCAACGAATTGCCGGTGACTGTAAGGGGCCAAGGTCATTGATTGTACCTTCACTCATGCTGCAGAGCGGCCCAGCTCTGTGAGGAGCATACACGCTCACCAACCTGCGGACCCGGACTTCAATTTCAACGACTTCAAGATGAATGGAAGCGATAATAAAGCGCCTATCGAGCGCAGGGCTTCGATGAGGACATCGATGAGGCTCTCCGTCGCCCCGGGCGAGGACGATGATTATAATTTGGCAATGATGGGAATCTCAGATGGATTTCGACCGGCAGACGTTACACAACACCAGCTACCGAGTCCGCCGATCCCATCGCAGCAAACACCCGCGACGCAGGTACAGCCCCCAAGACCTTCGAGCATCGCGAAACCGCCCCAGCCTCGCGAATCCTTCTCGTTGCGGCACGATGGTGGTATGGGTCCGTTGGCCGATCCCGTCGCGGCCGATTCATCAAGCAACGCCGGACCATCGTCGCTTGGCCGATCAGAAAGTCCCTACCAAGGGCCTTCGGGGCCGTCTTTCCCGTATCAAATGTACACCCAAAATGTGAGGCCTGCAAGAACAGTTAGCCTTGCAACGACAGCGACCGTTCCAGCATCTGAACAGTCGTATGATGGACCCAACAACCCGACGCATCCCTACCAAATGTATCCTCAAAATACGGTATCGCCAGTGGATGCGGAGGAAAGACCGACAAATGCAGCAATCCCACTTGGATTTATCGGCACCACGGCCGATACGTACCAAAGGAGAATTGGAACGGAAGGGGAAGAAGCCGCAGACATGATTGGACCCGACGGACATACAGAACAACTGCCACCGTACACACGGTATCCCGACGAGGCTTATCAAAGAAAGATTGCAGGCATTGGGGGCCTTTCCACAATAGAGGGATCGGAAGCTTCATCGTCGACTGCGTCGGTCCCGTCGCAAACACAAATGCAAGCTATTCCAGGAGCAGGAGGTATTGGCCTCGCAACGCGAAACCCGGAGTTCGCGTCGAGTGAAGATCTACGTCTAGATGGCGCCAACTCCCCACAATCGCGGCAGTCCGTGAGGAGTTTCAACAGTGATGGTGGAAGTCATCACGAGGTGAACACAGCAGCCATGACAGTTATCGACGAAAAGAAGCCCCTGAAGAAGTGGCAAGTTGCTGCAAAACGAAAAGTATGGGGCGTCGTCCCTTGTTGGGCTCTCACGCTCACTATCCTCATAATTGTTATGCTTGCCGTTGTGCTGGGCACTGTACTGGGTATCTTCTTCAACAAACCCAAGAAGCAGGAACCTTCGAACCACGGCGGCTCTTCCGCGACCATGACGTATGATGCACAACCACTTGCAACAGTTCCAGCTGGACTTGCTCCTTTACCCGAAGGTCCCTATGCTCTACCCTTGATGCTTACGCGATCACCGACAACTTGTTTCAACGATAGTACACAAGCACAGGCTTGGAATTGCAATCAAGTGTTTTCGCAAATGGCGATGGTCATCAACAAGAGATCTGACACGGCCAGCACGTCTCAATACACTATGAGCATTACAAATAATGACTCTTTTACTATACAAGGTAACCAATACTCTTACGGCATGCAACCTCCATCTGTGGACGATATTCAGATGTTGTTGGTCACCGATGTCAACGAACCGTCTCGTGGACCTGCCTGGGCCTTCGAACTCGCATACAACAAAACTGTCATCATTCCTGAAAGCTTGTTTCCCACCCCGACATCATCAACATCGAATGCAAAAAGGAGCCACTTCCCGCCTCCCCCTCCTGGGGGAGGAGGAGGAGGAGGAGGAGGAGGAGGGAATGGAGGCGGCTTCGGTGGCGGAGGTGATGGCTTCAAGCGAAAGGGCTTAGCCCAATCTGGCGACAAACCGTGGATCTGTCAATGGGGTGGCACCGTTCTCGAAGTGTTCGTATATCCCAATCAAAACAACAGCCAGCCGACGGTCGTCTACACTGGCTCCAGTGCCAGTTCAACGAATTCTGATACCGTCAATGCTGCCTCAGCTGCGGTGACAAGTACCTCGACAAGTACCCAGACGAGCACCCAGACAAGTGATGTCACAAGCAGCACGACGTCAACCTCGGTTTCAGGGGAATGGGCCTTCACCGACTATAGGAATGGCTATGTGACTACAAGATATCACAAGGATGACAAAAGACAGGCTACTAGTACTGCAACAACTTCAACCAGCGCCACCCAGACGGTTTCTTCTGGTGTTTTCGATACTTCGAAGCCTGCACCAAGTGATTTCCAATTTACGTTCTTTCCCCGAGTTGTGAAAATGGAGGAGCGTCGCCTAGCCGGTGACCCATCGGTTCAACCATACTGCCGCCAGTACCAGATTAATGGTAATGGTTCGCCTGCTACGCCCATCAAGGACTCCAGCGGGAACTACATTGAAATCAAAATTGTTGAGCTGGAGCCTAGCGGTGAATCCGAACACGAGCGCAAGAACCATCGAAAGCAGCGGCAGGTGCACAGAAGAGTGATTGATGATTATCTCAATCACGGCCTGACGTCCCGCGACTCGGATAGCGATATGAGCGATTGCGGTTGTATGTGGTGGACCACCTGAACGCCAGTCATATGTTTGCTGTGTAAAGAGAGCATATAGCGACATTTGTACATGGACGAGTTGAACTGGAACATCTACCAGGGCTCTGGCGTTTGGGTGGTGAGCGTTTGTTCCGTTGGCGTACCTAAAATAATGGATTTGGCATGGTTCGGCGTTTGAATTTGTTTACCTACTCGGCAAATCCTGCCACATATCACGATTTTTGTCTATACCTGGTGTTATTTGGAAGGATTGTTGGACGATGTCCTTGTCATATGAAGATGACCGGCGTTATCAGGCTTTGTTATATTGACGTCTTATCAAGAGTGAGGATTGTAAGAAAGCATACAATTCACTGGATGTCAATGCGACGGACTAGATGGGCCACCGACACGACCGTTCTATCGATGGCCGCATTTAACCATTGGAGGACCGTGAGCATAGATTGGGTTGCGACTTGACTTATGTTTATTTGTAGAGTACTGATCATATTAGTTGCCATATAGTGCATAAAGAGCATATAAAGATTAGTCCCAAAGCCATTATATACAGTGCCGCCCTGCAAAAGCTTCAAAGTCTCTTCGGTGTTAGTGCCATCCTTTGGTAGAGCTCCAAAGTTGTGATGCTCGTCTCACCGAAAACATTGAGCTCTGCCAGCGTGTCAGCCCTCGGCCGAGAGCGTCGTGCACTGCCGCTTATCATCCTGGACAGTTTGACAAACGCGTGTCACACCACACTACTGGCAGCGGCTGACGAAATACAATATTTGTGTTGCAACACGACTAGACCCTGGAATCAATCTGCACGACACGTTGCCCATGTTTCATCTGATCTTCTGTCCCAAACCTCAAATATATGTGTCTCCATCAAAAGCAGGGCACATGGAATTTGGAGCTCAGATCGGGCATTATGCTGCTCATAAGTGCGATTTGAAAATTTGGGGAATATGGCGCGCCCACCCTTTCACCTCCATGATTGCCCTGCTTATGATGTGCGTAAAGCTAGTGCATGCTCACCGGGCGTGAGTCTCCTTCACCTATGGTCGGGTTTTGGGCCTCAACGGACGCCTGCTTAGAAATTGCAGAGCAAATTCCAGTTGGTCGTCCGAACGCCTTTTCTCGCCCTATCAGTTAGTTGCGCAACGTTGCCTAATTGCATCAGCCGAGACTAACACCGCCCGGCAGACTGGATGAGTTCGTGGGTGGGCGTGGGGTGCGTTGCCCGGCATGAGTGTACAAGTGGAGGTTATGAGGCTCTTTAGACACCATCGTGACTTATATAACCAGACTAACTTCGCCCTGAAACCTGGGGAAATGGAGTCCTCCCCAAGCTCGTGAACATCATCAGTCACTTTGCCTACTGTTTCCCCTGATCATTCTGCTAGCCTCGCTGAGACGTGGATGTTCACTGTTGGATCTGACCTTGAGACAAGGTTGACCCGACCCATCACAACTAGACTTGTTTGAAAAGTGCAGCTTCTCCGCAAGGCATCAATACTAGTCGTCCAATTACATACCGTACCATCAGAAGGCCGTGATCACAAGCGGTATCCTTGAGGCAGAACCCACAATGAATCAATACAGAGACAACCGCTCCATTTCCTCAGGATCGGGCGGCTCGTCTCGTTCTAGCCGCTCGTCTTCGGGCTCCTACAATTCGTCGGCCTGCTCTGGCTCCTCTCGGAGTAGTGCAGTTACTCGCCACACCGACAAACATGAGAACACTGCCGTCCGCATAGCCATGCATGTTCTCCGTGGACCCTTCGGCTCCGCCAAGTATATGGAGATGGCTCGCCCCCATAAGCATGACCACCACGGTCACTATTCTTCTTCTTCTTCCTCCTCCTCCTCCTCTTCGACCTCTTCTTCTTCTTCTCGCTCCTCGACTTCTTCTAGGTCATCTGAACCCCGAAGATATCCCCCTGGACCTCCGCCGCCCGGGCCGCCGAGAATGCCAACTGGCCCTTATTACCAACAGCCTCGCCCGCCGCCGCCGCCTGGCATGCAATACATGGGCAGACCGGCTGCAGGTTTCGGCAATAACGGACAGGGCTTTGTACAGACAAATGGTACTGCACCAGCAAGACCAGCGGATCCTGTCTGGGGCTATCATCCGCCCCAGAAGCCGGGAAGGCCAGCCACAACCGTGGAAATAGTAAATGAGTAAGGCTTCAGAGTTGGCGACCTTTTTCCTCGTGAAACCGGAGCGTTGCTTTTCACCCGGCGTTGTGGAGTTTGGGTTGCTTTGTTGCTTTGTTGGTTTTTCTTTTTTTGGTGGCGACAACCTTGTCGCATCTGCTTGGTCACCTGGGATACGTGCGATATGACTCGGCGTTTGGCGTCTTAGGCTGCTTACAGAGCAGCGTTCAGTGAGGCAGGGAAATGCGCCTGATCCTGACTACGACTAGCTAGATACCCCTTCAAGTGGCGCATACAGGATCTTTACATCGTTGGTTGGCCTCTATTTGGCAGAGGCAATTGGAAGTTGTGCCCTGCTGCTCCTGATATACATAGTACAACAGATGTTGTTGATCTTATTCCACATAGCATGAATTTACTATAAGTCTAGCAGTCTTACATCGCCTGTCGCTTGATATATGCATATGGGAGGCATGGATAATTTGGCACAGCATAATTTCAACTTCGTCATTATCATTCTGCGACAAGGCCTCTCGTTCTATTGTGATCGACCAAAACAGCGTGCGAGGCAAAGTATTTCTACAGCGTACAACTTGCTGGATAGACAGACCATTCCAGACAGCAATCAAAAGCATTTGTTTTGGCCATCAAGGTTTGTCTTCAATGGGTGGATGATAAATCTGTCAATCGCCGACGGCCAAGATCCTAACGTCAAATCGGTAGATGGGTCAGTGGAGCCCCCGCGGCAGTGGTCGTTCACCGGCTCTTTCCAAGCCGCATCGCACCACTTCACCGTCGCTGCTAACACGCACAATTACGGGCCACACATAGCCGGATCACCTTATTCTTTTGTAATTACGACTATACGTTGTTTCTTCCAGGTATCATAACAATAAGTAGCAGCATATAGCCACATGCTATTACTGCCTAATTGATTGGGAGCTGACTGCAAGCCCTGTCCACCGCCTGTTCACGCTCACAAAAGTCATGATTTCCAACGTTCAAGCGGAGACTCAGTCCGACTACCAGTCGTCTGACCACGAGGGCTATCTCGTTGATTCCATGGACATGCGACCGGTGAGACAGGATGGAGAAGCTGCCGAAGAAGAGAGGGTCTTGCCCACAGAGTTACCGCGAAGCCTAGCCATTCGTCTGTACACATCACATTTTCTCTCGACGTGGAATTCGAGACTCTTTGAGTTTGGCGCTGTTCTATTCCTGGCCTCGATCTTCCCAGACACCTTGTTGCCGATGTCGGTCTATGCACTGGTTAGGAGCGCCTCAGCCATCCTCTTCGCTCAGTCGATAGGCTCCTGGATCGATCGGGGCGACCGGCTGAAAGTGGTGAGGTTTTCCATCATTGGCCAGCGCCTCGCCGTCGCCGCCAGCTGTGCCATCCTGTGGAATATGGAGCGAAAAGTTGGGCTGTCCAATACAAGAATCACCGACGGTCAGTTCGCATTGGTGGTTTTGCTCGCATGTGTGGAAAAGCTGTGCTCTGTCATGAATCTCGTCTCAGTAGAGCGGGATTGGGTACGTACCAACCTCTGGGGGGTAGATATCGCCCGTCGATGTCTCTACTAACTATTTCCAGGTCGTCGTTATCACGGAGGGCAACGAGTCTCTACGCCGGACACTCAATGCTCGGATGCGACGTATTGATCTGCTTTGTAAACTTTTGGGCCCCTTGGCAATATCGAATATCGCGATTGCATCGACACTGATTGCCATCTGGGCCACCTTGGGCATGAACATGTTGTCGGTCTTGATAGAATATATATGCATCGCTCAAGTCAGTTATCTGGAGCCCACACTATTTTCCTATTCTCACCGCTGACAGGTCTACGAACGAATCCCTGCCCTCAAGCGAACTCCCACCGCGGTGACGACCGTTGCCACAGATGACGCAGAGGGCAACCGTAATACCCACGCCGTGCAAGCTTGGCTGAAGTCTATGAAGACCAACTTGCTTCCGATTGACTCTCTGCCATTCTATTTCCACCAAAGGGCATTCCTGCCATCCTTCTCCTTGTCCCTTCTGTACTTGACAGTGTTGTCCTTCTCAGGACAGATGATAACATACCTGCTGTCAATAGGGTATACCTCTGTACACGTGGGTATCGCCAGGACTGTCAGCACCATATTCGAATTGAGCGCAACCTGGATCGCGCCGCGGATGATGAAACGCATTGGCCCTGTGCGTGGCGGTATATGGAGCTTGTCATGGCAGATGATATGGCTTGCAGGGGCGATTACTTGGCTCTTTTCCGACTTCCATGATGCTGGGACCAATAGCATCACTGCTGGGACCGGGCTAGCGGTTGCCGTGGCTTTGAGTCGGGTTGGTCTTTGGGGATATGATTTGTGCGCCCAGACTATCGTCCAAGATGTAAGTACTTCTTGATTGTGCGAGATGTTACAAGGTAACTCATACTAAAATTGGCGTTTAGGAAGTCGAAGCCGACCATCGAGGCGCGTTTTCGACTGTCGAGGCCGCATTTCAGAACCTGTTTGAACTGTTTTCCTATGTTACGACTATTATATTCTCGCGACCGGACCAGTTTCGGTGGCCTGTAGTAATCAGCGGCGTAGCAGTTTATATTGCCGGCGGAATGTATGCCTACTTCGTGCGTAGAAGGAGAGGCCACCTACTGCACACACCTACATGTATATGCGAGAAGTCGTAAAATATACACGGCTTCTTTATCAAAGATTCAAGGGGTACTAGGTTGCCATCACACCTGGCTCGGCTTCACTGTCGAACGCTCTGAGCCAGTCTATAGCGCAAATACGAGAGGATTGTACTTCTGTTTGTTTCTCAAATATTGTCGTTCAACCTGAACCGAGGACAAATGACACGAGTCGCACGCACGAAAGCACTATGTGATGTGGGGCCTCACTTGATATCTGCAATACCTGGCGAACTGCACTGGAGATTTAACCATCAAAGGCGGGATGTTCTCATGAGGTCTCGAATCCTCGCTAATTCAGGCTGCCAGGCAGGCTGAGCTGCAGTCTGTAAGCCGTAAGATGTCCAATCAAGAGGCGCCCGAACACCTCACAATCAAGATGGCCGCGCCGCATTTCAAGATTTCCATCGCATTTATTCGATTGATTGAAAAATTCAAGGGAACGATTCAAATGCGAGCGGCCGTTTACATGGGCTACAAGGTAGGACCATACGGGGCTGACGGGTTCGCACGGCTACCACGCCACGGTTCTGCCACGCCACTATTCTCAGGTACAGCTCGCCAGGGGTCGAGAATCCAGGTTGTACAGCCGGCCAAGTCAGTGGCTGAGAATGAGTATGGTGTCGTCATGACCTTGGGAACAAAAGAGCAGGAAGAGATGCATTACTTGACTATTAAGACGATCTTCCAAAGTGTATTTGCACTATACTGCCCTGACTGCTCGGCACGGCCGTTGGCCGCAGTGCATGCAGCTAGCTTAAAGTTCCCAGCCCAGGCGTTCCATGTTAAGCCCCACCAACCCCTGTGTAAGGTTAGTGGTTGAGGGCTCACTCGGTTTGAGGGCCTGTCTTCCAATGCGACAGTATCAGTGTCCAAAGCAATTGCAACGCTCAAGTGCCTTGTGTTGGATCCGCATACGATCGGAGTCGCAAAGGATGGCAAATGGCCGAATTGAAATCCATCGTTCGCATCCCCAGACAGCTAATTCCTTCATGCTCTGTGCAACCAATTGGTTGAGACAGCTCACAGAATTTCACAACGGCTGTACTCCGCCAGGATGGCATCACTTTTGACGCTACGTAAACTCCACAAAGCTGTTTCCCCTATGCAGTCATACGGCAGACAGCCACAACGGGAGAGGTCAACCACGCTCTACGGCATCATTGGTCCCCGCATATCTGGAGTAAACCCAATCGAACCTCAAACTACTTCGCAGGGTGTGACTAACAGAGGCCATCGGCGAGAATGCCTGGCAGACACTGCGCAGCTTTTTGCACTTGGGTATGCTAGCCAACCAATAAGACGGCCCCCGTCGATGCGATGCGAGTTGCCACCCCTGTACACATCATGAGTAGCCCTACAATATATCAATAAGACAAGACGAAAGACTTGCGCTAGTAAGGCAGCAAGCCCGCTTGTGCTCGTGCCGCATGGCATATCTGACAAACATTGCTGGTTACCTCAGGCTCGGTCGCCATGTGCAGCTATAAGAACAGCCTCCTCGTCTCGTCGTTAATCAGGACTCTGTTATTTGTCAATATCCCTTATCCTCCACATCCGAGACCTTGATCATACAGGCCAGTGGCTTGAGAGCCAAGTCCATTCCATTTAGTGAGGACATCATACACAACAAGGGCTTGTCACCACCAGGTCATTCCTCAGCATCTTGTCACTTTCTGGCCCGTTGCAGGGTCTACAAAGGCAATGGCTGACTCAAACACCTCGTTCAATGCTGGTGCCACAGCTTCGACATCAACAATGGCTACCGAGACCACAGCGCAAGCACCGCAATTGGCGGTGTTAGACTTCTTCTTCCCCGGCTTTTCCATGGCCGCCGGTATCGTACAGAAGTATTTCCACATCGACCTCAACCTTTACATCCCGTTAGTTATGCTCTGTGGAGCCCTGATGGTCACCTGGAACTATTCGAGCCAGTATTTTTGGGACCGGGTGGAAACGCATTTCATGTCAAGCGTTGACATCCGCACCGACGATGAAATCTACAATATTATCATGACCTGGGTCGCGAACCAGCGCTTCTCTCAAGGCGCCCGGCGCTTCGTGGTCAACACGAACCTGAATTCGCGATCATGGTATCTCTGGCGATGGGATGACGAGAGCGACGAGGAAGATAGTAACGACGAGTCCGGCCCAAGCAACGAGACCAAGAAAAAGGCCCTGTCGTACACACCTTCTTTCGGGACGCACTATTTCTGGTTTCGCGGACGCCTGCTCCTCTTCAAGCGTAACTCGAAGGAGCAGAAGAGCAATTTCATGGCCGTGAGTGAACGCGAGGAGATCTCGGTCTGCTGCTTCGGCCGCAACCCCTGGGTCCTGAAAGAGCTGTTGTACGAGGCTCGCCTGCTATACATGGAGAAGGACCAGAAAAAGACGCTCATCTATCGCGGTACCACTCGCTCCGGATCGGCCGAGCCAGCTTGGCAACGCTGTATGGCTCGCACGTCTCGGCCCTTCTCAACCGTCATCCTCAACGAGAAAACCAAGCAGGATCTCATCAGCGACGTTACGGACTACCTTCAGCCATCTACGCAGCGCTGGTACTCCAACCGCGGTATCCCCTACCGCAGGGGCTATCTTCTGCATGGGCCTCCTGGTACGGGCAAGAGCTCGCTCTCCCTCGCCCTCGCTGGTTTTTTCAAGATGCGTATCTACATTGTCTCACTAAGCTCTATCACGGCTAGTGAGGAGAACCTCGCAACTCTCTTCGCCGAGCTCCCGCGCCGCTGCGTCGTGCTCCTCGAGGATATCGACACAGCCGGCCTGACCCACACGCGCGACAACGGCACCGGAAACAACAGTTCTTCGGCGGCAACAGGCCCCGAGCCCCTGGAGCCGGGCCAGCTCACGCCCGGCAACGGCGACACGACCAACAAGGACAACAACAATAACAACTCGCCCGGCCGGCTCTCGCTCTCGGGCCTGCTCAACATCCTCGACGGCGTCGCCTCGCAGGAGGGCCGCGTCCTCATCATGACGACCAACCATGTGGAGAAGCTCGACAAGGCGCTGATCCGGCCCGGGCGCGTCGACATGATCGTCGAGTTCGGGCGCGCCGACAGCGGCATGACGGCCGCCATCTTCCGCGCCATCTTTGCCCGGCTGGACGGCGACGAGGCACCCCCATCGTCATCGCCATCATCATTATCTTCATCGTCGTCGATGGCCACACGTGAGGCGGCGGAGAAGCTCGTGGACCCGGAGGTCCTGAAGAGGCTAGCCAGAGAAGAGGAGCGCAGGCAGAAGGAGGACGACGAGCGCGTCGAGGCCATGGCGCTCGAGTTCGCGGCCAAGATCCCGTCCCACGAGTTCAGCCCCGCAGAGCTACAGGGTCACCTGCTCAGGCACAAGAGGGACCCCCGGGCTGCCATCGACAAGGCCGAGGAGTTTGTCGAGCAGACGAGGAGAGATCGGAAGGACAAGGAGCTCAAGGAGGCCGAGGACAGGCGCAAGGCTGCGGAGAAGAAGGCGAAGGACGATGAGAAGAAGTCGAAGGAAGAGGCCGAGGCCAAGAAGAAGACCGACGAGGCCAAGGCCAAGGAAGAGAAGAAGGAGCGCAGGAAAAAGGCTAAGAAGGAGGAGCAGCGGAAGAAGAGAAAGGAATCTAAGAAGTCGGGCTCCGGCTCGGATTCGGATTCATCTTCGTCTGACGGGTCCTCTGATGCCGAGGTTGAGAAAAAGGAGACGGCGGAGAGTTCTAAAGCCGACGACAAGCCTGCGCCAGATACCGATATCACGGTCATCAAGTCTAAACATGAGAAGAAGGACTCGGGATACGGGACACCCACGAGTGTTGAGGTGTAGGTACCCATTTTGGGTTTAGATTTGGACGCACTGGTGTACCGGCGTACTGGGCGTTGTTCTTTAAAAGTAAATACGCATTGGACTCACTGTCCCGTAAATTATGCGAACTATCGAATGTACAATTTTATGAAACTTACTATTGGTCCGGTGCATGGTTTCCTGTCTTCGCAGTCTTCACCGGTAATCAAGAGAAAAGTATGAATCACCACCTATCTTCCCGAAGAGACCGATGTGGGTACAAAAAGACAGTGTGGCAGCGATGTTCAGGATAACCATTCTTGTCAGCGGTTTGCCGCAGGTCACTTTGGCATACGCGAGAGGTCGGCGTCTTCTTGGGGGCGAGGGTCGCACATTCGCTCGGTGACTTCCCAGGCGTGGTGATGGATGTACGTACAGTCCCTATGCTCCGCGTATACCGGGTACGCACGCGGTGCTGTTCCCACACGCTTTGACCATCTCCGACTTTGGAGGAGTTATGACATTGTACCAAGGGCCGCAGGTCGACTCGCACTGCGAGTATGCTGCGAAGTTGACAAAGATGATTTCTCAAAAGAAGTGCAGTCGATTTCGCTTACGTCAACCCTGATGGCGTTGTTGACGCCTCGGTGCAGATTAATGATCATATAGCTCGGTGCAACAGATAATATATGTAGCGTCACACTGGTGTGTATATCATCGATGGCGCAAGTGTTTATTTCCCATCCACACATCAATTATGATGCGAAAGTCTTCGTACATAGGTGCCTTCTCTACGAATACTGATCGCTTGTATAACGGTACAATAAATTACACAGAAATGGCAAAAAATATCTGCCTTTAGTTTGTGTGTACTATCTTAACTGATATACTATTACCGATATGATTAAGTAATATCTAATCCGTCGGAAGCTCTGTGATTAGGTTTCGAAATAAGGCCTTTCCTATTCCTGGTGTATAGGCACTAATCTGACGGTACCGAGACTTATGCTCGACCAGGTAATTGTTATGCCTTCGAAAACTCTCACTTGACATCCTGCATACTCCCCGATTCGCTTCAAACATAAGAGTTATTCTACCATCCATATCTACATCTTTTGACACATAATATGAAAACAGCGACAAGGACTTGTTCATTCGGCACGAAGGGACCCAACAGAATTGCCGGGAAGATTTCTACCCCTCCCGCTGTTTGACCCAATCTCCCCCACATTTCCGTAATGCGGGCGGGCTGCATAGTCGGCCAGGGGGGCGTGGGCGAGCTCCGGAGCCGCGTAACAGCTTTCGGTCTGCGCTCCACCGGGATGGAGTCTGAACTGTCATAAAAGACAGGAAGCGATCGTATATAATATCCTTGACAACCCCAATCGGAGGCCATAGTAACTTGATATGCTTATATGCATATACTCCACCTCACAGAACCTCCCAACATAAAACCTGACGACTAAGAAGAGCAACGAAGTACACAATGCCGGACCAGACCCTTAGAGACAAGGTCGCCATCGTGACGGGCAGCAACACGGGCATCGGCGCCGCCATAGCCCAGGAACTAGCATCCCGGGGCGCGAGCGTCGTGATCAACTACCCGTTCCCGTCCCTGCAGTCCTCGGCGGAGCGGGTGTTGGCCTCGCTGCCCACGGCCTCGACCTCGATGGCGGTGGAGGCGGACCTGAGCACGGAGACGGGGCCGCAGTCGCTCGTGGACGCCGTGGTGTCCCGGTACGCTGCTGGCGGCGGCGGCGGCGGCGGCGGTGATGGTGGTACGGGTCGGATCGACATCCTGGTGAACAACGCGGCGCTGGCTGTCAACAGGCCGTTCGAGTCGCAGACGCTGGACGACTGGAACGCGCTCGTGAACCTCAACGGGCGCGGCGTCTTCCTGCTGACCCAGGCCGTGCTGCCGCACCTGCCCAAAGGCGGCGACGGCAAGGTCGGGGGCGGCCGCATCGTCAACATCTGCTCGATATCGGCGCGGGCGGCGCCGGCGCTGCAGACCATCTACGCGGGGACCAAGGGCATGGTGGACAGCTTCACGCGGGTGTGGGCCAAAGAGCTGCCGCCCAAGTACGGAGTAAGCGAATTTCGGGATTGTCTTCTGCCCCTTTTCAGCATGTCCACGGGGCGTATAATACTGTCTACTAAAGACATGTCGTGCTTTGTGACTGTTTTACAATACCCCCCGAAGAAGCCCTCCCCCCAGACCCCCATCGTGAAGAAAAGTAATTACTGACTCCGAATGCTGTAGTGCACCGTGAACGCGGTGTCGCCGGGGCCGACCATGACCGAGGGCTTTGCGGCGGCGGGCGAGGAGTTCATGAAGGCCATGCAGCCCGTCATGGACCAGACGCCCGTCGGTGGCCGCATGGCAAAGCCGGAGGAGATTGCGTTCGCGGTCGGCTTCTTGTGCGAGCCGAGGGCTAGTTGGATCAATGGACTGCATCTAGTGGCGAGTGGAGGGCTGCATATTGATTGATGTTTGTTCAACTTCCTTTTGAAAAGGAGAAGGAGAAGGAGAAGGAGAAGAAGTGCTCACAGCTTTGAGTATACTAGTACAAGCAAGGATGTGGCGTTGACGATAAAGCGCAAGAGTTCCCCCTCCCCCTCCCCCTCTGCCCGTCTCTAGAAGCAGATGCTCTGACGTTGACTATGGCTGCCACACATGATTGGTGAAATCAAGACGTTCCCGTGGCTACTGTAGCAGTGATTTAGAAGCCAGAAACCACTGCCATGTCTCAGGTATCGATGATCACCTGTCATGCATATCAACGATATCTACCGAACAAGGAGCCTCTATCATCTTGTAATAATTGTTATATTGCAGGACCGTGATAGTTGAAGGTGGCGGAGTTTCAGCTATCTCGGATATGACTGATTATCTGTCTATCTTGGCCGCTTCTCTATTTGTTTTGGCCAGGCGTGCTGACGTGGATTCAATCTGCTAATCTGGATAGCCCTAGAACATACAGAATCAATGCCAAACTGATATATCACATCAGCGTTGCTAGCTAGTCAATGCCTGCGTTCGATTGAGTCGTGATCGTCTCTGTTGTACCGCCTCTAAGCCTCCTTGTCTATGAAGCAGCAAGATCCCGACCCTTTGATGTGAGTTGAGAGGAAGAACTGCGACAAAAGTCCTGGGTATCATGACCAAAATTCGCCCGCCGAACCATGCAAATGTTGCTGCATCTTCCTCCAACATGATGAAATGTGATCGCTTCTCCGTGATATGCTCTAACGCCCCAACACCCTGAAACATAATGCGCCTCTGAGACCTTCAATCTAAATGGGTCTGAGGAATGTGATGTATGCACCCGTCAGTCCGCGCCATGCGGCATCGATGCTGGTATGTACTGTGAGGCCAGCAAAGGCCTGCGCCCCTGGTTAGCTTCATGTTTTTTTTTTAATTCCTAATTCCTCGATGGCACCCTCAGCCAATGACGACTCGGGCACCTTCCTTGCCCAACACTCCCCTTTCCTTCGGCTTGGGACTGTGCCCGCGGCCCTTCTTGCGGCCGAACAGTCCAAAGACGCCGCCGCTAGAACTACCTCCCTTGTCGTCACCCGCGTCTTTCGCATCCGCGGGTAATGTGGCGTCCTGTCGTGCCAATTGTGACCAGCTGCCGGCAGCATCGATTGTCACTTGCACACCACCGGTTGGAGACTCAACACGCATGCCCGTCGGTTGTACACTCCGATTAGTATAAGAGGTTTGGTATGGTGGTAGAGGTGGGGGCCTGCCAGGGGCGGATCGACCTTGTCGGTCAGGATTGCTGTAGTCTCGATGATGCTCGCTCGACATGTGCCTCTGCACATGTTCCGGTCGATAAAAACCTGCATTCCCATTAGGCTGGGCGGGTACAGCTGCGTTGACACTCATTGCCTGACCATGAGTTGCACCGTCCGGCTGACCCGGGCCAGGTGCTCGGCCATCTTCTGACATGCCATTGCCGCCTTCACCTTGCATAGCAGTCATTCTGTTGGGGGGATTAGTGTCTGTCGTGCGAGGGAAGACCGAGGGGGGTTTCTTACTTGTTGTACGCAGCAACGGTGTAATCGAATGGCGCAAAGTCTCTCTCAATGGACTTGTACAGTTCCTCTTCGCGTATCTCTTTATCAGTTGCATCATCCTTGAGCTTCTCGCGCGGTTTCTGTCTTCGTGCTCTTGCCTCTAGGGGGGCCTCTTCCAATAGCAGCTCTTCCAAATCATAGGTGGCGTCAAAGTTGGTTTTATCGGCGGAGGGCACAAATACGGGCTCAAGTTCCTTCCTCAACAAAGCATCAAAGTCGATAACTCGGAAAAACTCGTGGTGAATGAAGCTTTCCCACGTCGAGCCCATTCGCGTCTTGGGATTCGAGTCCAAAGCCTTTTGTATGGCGTAGAGACAGGGTAGCGATACCGGCGGTGAGGTAATGGGGAACTTGGGGTTAGCAGCGGTGATGACATTGGACAGGCTCGACTCCGAGTTGCCTTCGAAGGGTCGCTGATGCGCTATGTCAGTATTCTTTCCGGTGATGCCCGGAAACAAGGTAGGAACCATACCTTGTTGTAAATGCACTCGTAGAACAAAACACCCAATGACCACCAATCTGCCGTAACGGTGTAGCCCTTGCCACCATAGACCTCAGGCGCCAGATAAGCCAATGTGCCAGACTTACTGGTCAAGACCTTTCCGGGGACGACATCGGAGGCAACGTTCTACAGGGGAAACGCATCAGCTTAGATGCGCAGGTGATTTGGTCTGGTGATACTCACGAAATCTGTCAAGTGGACATGGCCGTCTGCGTCTAGCAGCACGTTATCCGGCTTGACGTCACGGTGTATAATGCCTTGCTCGTGTATGTATTTGAGAGCACAACCAAGTTCGGCAATCCAGAAACGGACGGCCTCTTCGGTGAACGTCTTTCTCGATATGTGAAATCGTAGATCGCCTCCCGTCATTAAGTCAACCACCAAATACCTGTTTGTCCGAGAAAAAGTCAGCATTTCGTTCATGCATCCGTAAGGGGGCGCCGCTGCGTTGGGTGTAGACCTGTTTGGTGCCAGGCGGGGTTGAGGGACGGGTTCAGGTCCAGGTTCAGGCTGGAATTTCCTTAACAGACGTACATGTACTCGATATCTTGAAAGCTGTAACGCAAGTTACATATGAAAGGATGGTTCACATGCTCGAGCATGCGTCGTTCTCGTATGATGTTTCGAACGCTTTCTGACCGTACAACTAGAATCCGGGGTCTCAGTATGGGGGGCTTGTCCCGGTTGCCTACTCGGCAGAGTCTCAACTCTTGACTCTGGACGCACCTTCATCTTTCCGTATATATTTTAAAGCAAAGGACAGTGCTGTGTCTTTCCTCTCGACGATCCGGACTTTTCCAAAGGCACCTCGGCCGACGACTCGTAGCAGGCGGAAATGGTTGAGGTTCACTGCAGGTGGCCCGCGGGGGCGCGACTGTCAGCCAAGTGCCCGCACATCACGAACATTGTGAGCAGCTCGGGGCGGGAGCCAATTCGAGGACTGCATGGTGAGATTGAGACGTGCGATGCTCAAAAGGCACTATCTCGCGGCCAGGACAAAGTGGCCGCACGAGGGGGAGGGACAGGAAGAGAGAGGGAGGGAGGGAGGGAGCAGACGGCGTCGTAGCGTGGAAAGCTTACCTTCGCCGTTGAGATCAACGGGTTTGCCCTGGCTGTTGCCCATAGCTAGGTGCAGGACAAAGTGTGAATAGGCTCGGTCACAGTCACGGTATCGTCAGCCTCGGACACCGGACAATTAGAGTGCTGTGGTTGAGTAAAATTGGCCAGTTTGATGAGCTCTGAAATGGCGATGTGAGAGTTACAAAAGGCACCAGGAGGGGTTGAATCAAATCAAATCAATCAATGGATCAATCTATCAAATTCGGGATTATTTGGTCTGGCGAGTCGGTCAGGTGAAGGCAAAGGCAGAGGCAGAGGTTAAGGGAGCGATCCCCATTGATATCCCCTTACGGCTTGGGCCTTGGGATTGGATTGGACTGGACTGGATTGGATTGGATTGGGACTTTGATTTCTGGAACAGGTTATGGAGCCTTTGATAAAGGATCGGCGCTGAGGTGAGGGTCAGTCTTGAGAGGTAACGGAGGGCAATTCCTTTTTGTATTGTAGCGTCCTTTTTGGCCTTTTGGCCTTTTGGCCTTTTCGTTCCACCTGCACAGAAAGTGGGGACCAACTGCGCTGCCCTGCAAAGGACCACTCTTAGCCTTCAGGTGCTGTAGGGTATTCTTGGTATGTGGTTATTCTCTGGTGATCCTTCAGCCCAAAAAGCCCACTAACATTGGGTTAAAGTACTGAAGCTCTGCTGACTACACGCATTGTATTGTATTTGTATGTGCGCAACATGCAGTAATAAGAACCCCCCGTACAGTCAGTCCAATCGATCTAGGCCAGGATCCTGACGCCTGTTCTGCTTCTTGTTCTGCTTCTTGTCGACGTCTTGTCGTGTGTTCTCCGTCCCGTCCCGTTCAGCTCAGTAACTTCAGTTCAGTCCAGCACGCACGGCTCTCCGGCCATCTTGGTCCCAACTTGCGCGCAGCTTCCTCCCCCCCTCCCCCCGGATGCAAGCCAAACTGCCGTTACAGGGCTACTCACATGGGCCTGTTGCTGCGTGTAAGACGTCAATATGCTGCAACCTGGAAGGTCTGGGTCTAGGACATGCCAATCATTGGGAACAATGCGCTGTCATGCGAACTACTGGTATAAAATTCTCAACGTGTTCGTCTCTGGCCTTGAACTAATTGCTTTTCCCCCTTCTTCCTTGGCTCCTCTCAGCTTGAACCCTGCAGGAGAAAGACTGGCTACAGATAGATTTGTCGCTAATGACATCTGCAGGTCCCCTTAGATTACGCTACAGTAAATCTGCTGGCTGTTGTTGTGAAGGAACGCATGGGCGCAAAGTAAAGTACAGTACAGTACGACTCTGCAGGAATCACTTGAAACTACGAGTTATCAGACTATTGCACCGCTACGCGACGACAGTTGATCCCGGTCACTGGTGTCATGTAAGCGACGCTCTATATCAATGTAAGAGATACATTAATATTAGATAGATACGCAATTGGGGCCACTTTGACGACTGGATCTCGTGCTGAACAAAAGTCGACAGAGTCAAGAAACAAGCATCGGCGCGTAGGCCCATCTAGGCTTAACGCCAGCGCCGCTTGCTATCTAGCCCTGTCACTCCGCGAGTCGGTGGTCTGGTGCCCTATGAACCGCTCTGACTTGACTCGGGCAATAGCATAGTAGCCCCGTCCAGTTGCTGGATCTTGCGTAGTATTTCACTAATTGAGTAATAGATCGCTTGGGCCCTGGGCACGTCGTTCGGTATACGGAGTACGGAGCGAGGACTGTGGCCACTGACCACATACGGCGGAGTGGAAACAGAGGAGAGGAAATTCAATTGTCTTTCCCAACCTCACTTGTGGATGATACACGGGAGGAGCCGGTGGGCGTTTGACCTCCCATTTCAGGTCCACTGCAGCGGCATGAATGAATAGCCCTTGGGAAACCCATGAGAGGCTAGGTCTATTGTTCTCCTTCCCATCGGCACTACGCATTCATGGATAAACGCAGTTGTAAACACAATGATCTCCAACCGTTCCAGATGGCGAGGCAAGGGGTACCGTGGGGGTTGGCTGGCGGAAGGCAAGTCAAACGAGGGTGCTCCGTACCCCGTATCGTTTTGTACCAGAGCCCAGGACATTCATTTTTAGATCCTTGAATCTGGGGTATCAAGTGGGTGCCGAAGATATATCACACTGGTGAGCCGTACCCAAATAATATGTATTACTTTCTAGACGACGCGAACACGTCCGGGAAGCAACCAGCCTCTTTTTGGGCAAGACGTCATGACTTTGGTTCCCTCTGGTTTTGCGTTATCGTTCCCTTTCCCCCTGGCTACAAGTACACACTGATACCCCATATCGCCGGTTGGCGAACGCCGGTCATAGCGCCCGCCGAGCATGCTCACCAACAGAGTAACCTAGATAATTGCCCATAGCCATATCCGTGACACGTGACAAATGCAAGCATTTGTGATCATCACATCGCCATCATCGTAGCACGATCGGACATCTGATATTAGCCCCGATGGCGCGTGCATGAGTGAGCCAAAGTTACAGACCTGGGCCTTCTTGTTGAAGTATAGTGTAGTCGAAGCCCACAGGTACACCCGAGCCGGTGGGAATGGCGAACTGCATTTCTAGCGCTACCCGTCCTCGTGGCCTAGCACGTGTAGAAAAAGCCCTCTGGGCATGGTCTCCGCGTGGCTGGCAGGCTGGGTATTGAAGCCTGCAGGAGCGGCTGTGGTCTGGAAGGCCAGAGCGAACAAAGCAAGCCTTTTACCACCAATGGACAATCAAGAACGAATTACAAGGCACAGTGGGAGAACGATTGTGCTAGCAACGGTGCCGACCGTTCTCCCGGACCGCACCTCTCATCCGCTAACACTCAAGTTACACACAAACCAACCAAAGTAGCAAGTCGGAAATCACCTCGAACTCTTACCGTTCGCTGCAGGGCGTGCCCCGTCAAAACCTTCTATTTCTGGTCTCATTCCCAATTCATCTGTCGGTGCGGAAGGAAATACAACAAATTTTTTTTAAATAAAAAAATTTACGCTAGGCCATGTTCCGCTCCTCCTGGGTCGTGACCCATGGGTTTATGTTACTCGTCGCATTACTCCATACATGAGGAACCACAACAGAGGATTCAGGATTCCTCCGACGTCAGAAAAAGAAGACCAATATGTCCTCCATGCAGAACCATCCTTGCTCCAGCCACGTGCCAAAAGTTGTGTCTGCCTCCGGCATCGTTATTTTCCCTCCTGGGTTCTAAGCCCCGATACTTTGGTAGAGACCAAAAGGTCCAATCCTATAATGCTCCAGTACTTGATTATATGAGATGCGGCCACATCCCACACCCTCTTTTTTTGGGGTCACGTAACCAGCCAGTACTGTCCAAAAATATCTGCATCCTTCAGGAGTCAAATTATCCGGGGCGCGATAACAAGAGACAGCTGAACAACCGCACAAACTCGACGCGCTATGCAGTCCAGTTCGTCCGATTCGCCATGACCTTTGTCTAAAGCTGGAGCTAGCGATCCGAAGACTTGGTTCGCTACCAGTTCCTTCACAACAAGTTTCCAACAGTCTGGGTAGTTCCTAGTCTCGGTAATGGCCGGCGCAGCTTTTCTGAGTTTCTTGGGGTCAACCAAGGTTCGTTTGCTGAACGAGCCGCTTTCACCTGCCAACACAACACCGAACATTCGAATTCGCGAGGCTCGAGGGGATCCCCGAAATTGCACCTCGTGATCTGGGAAGGATCAACAGCTGCATTCTGCTTGAGTGTCAAAGTAATGCACAATTTGCGGCGTGCGGGATCCGCAATACTACCACTTTTTGCCAACGCGACGCAGGAGGTAGGAGCAGGTGCATATGAGAAACGTGGCAGGACGTGGAAGAGGCAGTGACCTGGCCTATCAAGCAAACAACCCCATCTGCAGCTCTCGATTGATTCGCAGCCTCCGGCCGCACCAAGCCAGGGATAACTCCCCGCAACCTCGCCTATTGCTTGGCCCCCTTCCTGGTCCTCTGGATGAAGCATTCTGGAACATTTCCGCGTTCGGCTAGCACTTATCTGTCACGACCCTACAGCACGAGGACTGCATGGTCATCGCCTGTGCAATAGTCTCTGTTTGCTGCATGACGCGAGAAAAGAAGATTACAGGGCAACTGCTTCGCAAAAAAATCAACATCACCTGCCCAAAGAAATTCAGGGGTCCGCTGGGAGATTGCAACCGCAGAGTGTCTATTCCCGAAGAAGTCCAATGCAGATCTTCGCAAAGAGCCCTGCTGCTCTGCCAGCCTGCCAGCCTGCTTGCCCCGACCAAACCCCGAAGTGTCAGATTTTCTGAGTTCAACGGAGTCGCCGTTAGTTCATCAATGGTCCGTGCAGCCGTGTAAACGCTAGAAATAGTGTCGACCTGGATCAGCATCTACGAGCCAGGGGCGTGTCAAGTGTTTTTCGTTTTGCAGCTTGCCACAGGCCTTGAGCAACCTGAGGCTTCGTGATCTTGGTCTACGTGGCATGGGAAGTTATGGAAGGAGCTCATTGTACTTGGTTCAACGACTTTCATAATCGCCCATCACGACCATACCGTTTCAAGCCAAGCCAAGCCAAATGTTTACGGTGCCATGCAGCCAGCTTATCATCACATCTAGGTTGCCTTCTCCATGCATCAAAATGACGACTGATAGGTCGCTTGCGTGGCGCACCACGTCGCACCTGATATCGGATCACAAGTTTACATGCAATATCTGTCTATACTATACACCTCCAGCTCTGCACTTGTCCAGGCAGTATTGTGGCACTTTGCGAACTGAACATCATGGCGGACGCAGGGTATTGGACGGATTTGTCCGTTATGTTATGCTGATCCGTCTGACATCAGCTATGCCGCAAGATAAGCGAGCTCTCAATGTTAATGAGTCTGGTGGTCATCATGCGGTTTCAGGTGCATCTAAGATGCCCAGTGGCGTATTCGTCAATATGATGTTTTGTTTTGGGGGGGTTTTTTTTTTCTCCTTCCCTGGCGCACAGCTAATGCAGAACATAGGCCAGGGCAACGCTAAACCTCGGCTTGCTGGATGAAGAAAAGGGATGATACTGACCAATAGGCTCGTTCCCCGGCCTGTGGTGCGAACCACGTTCAAGGGTCAACATATATTCGTCTGGTGTCGTTGGGTATTTTCCCGTCGAAATTCTTGGTATTGTACAACTGCCGAAATGAACAAATCGCTACGTCGAAACCAGAAATTTCCAGGTACCGCGTTCCAGTTCTCGGCTTTATTATCTGTGTTCTCGTTTCAGAGCATAAACTTCCATTCTCTTGCCCGAAGTGTGAATCGAAGCTCTACAAGAGAACTTGCAATAAGCTGGGAACACGTTCGCCATGCACGTTCGTGGTAACAATCCACCACCAAGATTACGCTGCAATGCGATGACGCGTAATATCGTGTAGTGAGGAGGGTTTGGCGAGCGCTAGATACCACATCAGGGCTAAATCTGGTGATACCAGTCCTGATTGCTCTTGTATACCAGCAGTTTCCATAGAATGTTCAGGCCAAAGCCGATGGGTTTCGAAAGTAAAGAGCACTGCATACGGCTGCCCGCCGGAAGTCAAACGCTGAAGTTCTGTGCCATGACCGTCACTCGAATCTGGTTCCGAAAATGCTTGACCATCTCAGTACTAAATTATAGTCATCAGCGAAGTTGTACAGCCTAATTCACGTAATCTTTTAGTCTGACAGATAGGACCAGGCTGCGAAATAAAAGTTAACATTTATGACCAAATGATACACAGCTATTAATAGTGAGCATGCTTGAAATCTCGCTTGCCTAGGGCGATTATCAGACATATTAGACATGATTTGCATGTTTCTGTTAAGTTCTAGCTACCCAAAGATGTAGCCTATGGCCTCGGTGGTATGATTTGGGTAACTTTGTCGTCACTTGAATTCTCTGAAAGCCTTCTGAACCTCCTAGCATCTTCGAGTCGTGAAATTTTCCCAGTCGTCTAGGAATTTCATTTACAATCCGCGCCGCTTTTTGTTCAATGCAGAAACACATGGTCTTAGCCCTGGATGTAAAGGGCCAGTCATTCAGTCTCAACAAAGGACACCAGTCCTTCAAAACTGCCATTGGATCAAACCTTGCCACGTGCAGATGCCGCTCAAAAACAAAGGACGGGGACTTTCTTGGCGAGAACAGAAGCCAGTGCCCGAGAATTTCCCAAAACTCAGCATAGAGAAAAGCACGGGTCGGCGGGAGAAATAATCTGAGTTTCTGTGGAGGGAGCTATAGTCCCCGAACCAGTTCCACATAAGGATCTCTAAAAAGAGATTCGCATGTCGTGTGTCTTTGATAATAGCTATCGTACATACATTCAAGGGCAGCTCGTTCCTACACAGCAAACAAAGTTGGCGCTGGGGCACTCTTCAAAGCTATTCGCTCATTGGTCGTTGGGGTAGGTGTACGCCTGGCCAGCATAAGGCTTGAAAAAGTCGGCAGCCGCCATATCCGTGTCGAGTACCACGGGGTTCCGGCAGGCCCCAGGGGCGTCAAGGTTCTGCCAGACGTTAGTACAGGTTTCTTGGTCCAGGCTGGCATGGGATGTGTTGCCCTACGGGGCATGTGGAGAGGCTGAAGAGGTCTTTGTTGCAGCCCGTGACTTTGACGCCATCGCAGCTGCAGGTGAGCGGGACAGAATAGCCCGCGCTAGAAACGGGCGCGGTCAGCCAGTACCGGCTGTCGTACGAGCGGATTGGTGCAAAGTCGAAGATACTCACGCAAAGGAGGCATCGATGTCGGCCCCGGCATCGGTAAAGTGGATGCCCTCATGGTCCTTCGGGACGACGAAGTTTGCTTCGACCGCAGAAAGGAACCGGTCGAAGGAGAATCGGGCAAGTCCGATCTGGATGTTACCGGCCCACAACTTGTCTCGGTAAATATCTATATCCAGTGCTCGGCAAACTAGAAGGGAACCACCTACACCTGTGGGATATGCGTTGACGGCAGTGCCTCCGGCGGCAAGAGTGCCGGCCGTAGTGGGACCCGAGACGGCGGGGGAAGCGCCGGTGTTGCTGGAGTGGTACGTGCTCAGAGCCTCCCCATGCCTGTTGATCAGGCTGATCGTCATCAGCGGGGGAGGAGCCATCGTCATGCCGGCCGTTGTGATGGCCGGACGAGGACAGTCGGTGCCAAGGGCGCCGCAGATGGCGTGGCCAGGCGTAGGTGCGGTGGCAACTCCGACGTTTGCAAGAGTTTGTGACGGAGGCAACTTGGCCGTGGCCTCGCTGGTAACAGTATGGGTCGTGGTGACAGCAGGCGCAGATAGGGTGCCAGCAACCAGGGCTGCGAAAGCCATCGTTTTGACGAAGAACATGGTGGTTATGTGGAATATCGCTGGTTTGAGATACGCCAAGTGGCATGAAAGGCTGCTGGGAACTACCAGCAGTCGGCGATTCGTGATGTCAGAATTCGAGAGTGGACATGTAAAACTGAGGCAGAAAATAGTCTTGCTTCAATATATGGTCGGAATAGGGGTTCCTGCCCCATGGGAGCTGTCAACGCAGTCAATTCAAATTCTCGACCGTTTGAGCACTCCAGGCCGTTCCACTGCAGTAAGTTTCTCCAAAGACCCGTACATCCAAGTGCAAGAGACAGTCTGGAGCAAATAGGCAGGCGCTCGGCGATTGTCATGGCAGGTACGCAAACATCAGACCAAAGATGGCTCCTTGGCTTAGAACATGTTATGGTGTGTGGTGTGTGTAATGTCAGATAGTCAAAACACTACAAGCTAACTGAATGATATAGTTGGCATTTGCTGAATTGAAGAGTGACCTCCATAGTCCATACTGTACTATTATCTTTGGCATCCAAGGCCACAATGCAATATACTCGTGTATTCTCTAAAAGCCTGACAAGCACACCACGTATGTACGTTAGGAGCATCTAGCCATGGTAAATCACTCCAATGAATGGCAATATTCCATGTTCTTGTCCTTGTCTTTCCTCCAAGCTCTTGGGTCGTGCCTTGCATCATGGCAAGTCAAGTATAGGCAGTCTTCTCTAGCGTTATATGTTATTGATACTTACCGTCACTATGTACTCGTCCCATGCCACTTTTTGATTGACCAGAGTATGAAGGCAACGCTTGATTGAGGTCCATCGTGTTCAAGGCTTGTGTTATGCCATGCTCTGAGCTGATTTAATGAATAATAGGAAGAAGCCTAGCACATCAATTTGGTCTTTACGTTATGTAATACAAATTTCTTTAACGTCCCCCAAGTGCCTTGTTGTAGTTAAGGCCGAGATCTAGCACATATGGATATAATAGCATTGGAAGATATTGACTCCCCGTATATCGTTTGACGGCATGGGTGCACCGTGGATAGCACAATTTACTACGGCCTTCAAGATTGCGACGAATTTGATGCACTATGAATTTTGAGCCAAGTGTGGATGGACCAATCATCAGTTATGTAATTAGGTCCCGTTGGTGACACATTGGGCAAGAGAACATGAGACCATGAGACGATGCATAGTGGGCCATGGAGGTTCCGACAGCTGCCGCAAAACATTCTCGTAATAACATGCGAGCGCGCAGTCGACCGCCCAATTGTCGTTTGGCCGGAACATGTCGACCGGAAGGCCACAAAACATGAGGCAGAGGGATGATGTAAAAGATGGCAGCTCTCCGAGGCGGCCTAGGCTCACTCCCCCAAAAGAAAAGCACGCATCACCCCACTATCGTTATCTCTTCTCCGCGGTGCCACGCTATTTGTGGCCATCTGTATGCCGTCGATGCCAAGGGCGGCCTCTATTGGCCAATCGTGTTTCTCGACCAGCGGGTTCTTATCAGCACCAGCTTTGTCAGGTTCTCTCGCGACCTTTCACAAATGCCCGCGGCCACCCCCCAGAACCGTGGAAATGCATCATACAGTCCCGGGTCCCCAGATAAAGGCGGTTCCAAGTCTCAGGGCCACCGCAGCCAATAGGCACGTTCCGTTCCCGGCAGCAGTCAGTTCTTCTGCTGTGCCAGTGATTGGTGAGTGCGCTAGAGACCAGAGTCCGGAGATGCTGATCTCGAGTCAAGATCAGAGATCCAGATAGTGTAAAGTTATGTATCTAGAAGTGTTTTCGGTATTTCGTAGGTTTCAAGCCGAGTTCTGCTCTCCTTTGTTCAATTCTACGTCTGCAGTTTCCTATCATTTGTTCGTGATACCCCCGATTTCTGTGCTTTAGTTGTACAGCCACCCTGAAATTGAGGTTACTGCTGTTGCTGCAACAACCTGCAAAGCCATCCTGGTGCTACAAAGGAGGCTCTGTGACGTAGTAGTGCCGACAAGCTGCATCGCTTCACATAGGCCCATCACACAAACAAGCCTCACAATGGCAGCCGGTTCGAGGAAAAGGTTGGTCGTGGTCGGCCTGGGCATGGTCGGCATCGCCTTCGTGTAAGTCGAGTACACCAATTTTGCGCATCTCAAAACCACCGGTTTCTGACCGTTCATCCACAGAGAAAAGGTCCTCAAGCTAGACGCGAGGACGCGCGAGTGGGACATTGTAGTCATCGGCGAGGAGGCACACCTCGCATACAATCGCGTGGGTCTGACCAGTTTCTTCGACCACCGGAAAGTTGAGAACCTGTACCTGAACCCACAAGACTGGTATACCTCTCACGCGCCAGACAATGCGCTGGGATACCACGTCAACACACTGGTCACCAATATCGACTCGGAAAGCAAGAGCGTCACTTGCTCAAACGGCGATGTCGTGCCATACGATGTGCTTGTCCTGGCGACCGGATCAGATGCCGTCCTGCCAAAACATACACCTGGTCACGACGCCAACGGCGTCTTCGTCTACAGGAACATAGACGACCTGCAGAGGCTCATCGCGTTTGGAGAGCAGCAAAAGGGGACCGTCGGTGCTGTGGTCGGCGGTGGCCTGCTCGGTCTCGAGGCCGCCAAGGCCATGATGGATCTCGAGTGCTTTAGGAAGATCAAGCTGATTGAGCGGAACCGTTGGGTTCTTAGCAGGCAGCTTGACCAGGATGCCGGTGAGCTCGTCGTCGAGAAAGTCACGGACTTGGGCGTTGACGTCCTGCTGGACAAGCGTGTCGGCAGAGTAACGACCGACCAAGGTAACAAGGTCACGGGAGTCGTCTTCGAGGACGGCGAGCAGATGGAGTGCTCCACAATCTGCTTCGCCATCGGCGTGCGGCCCCGAGACAGCCTGGCTCGAGGTGCCGGAATCAATTGCGCGGCTCGGGGAGGCGGTATCATCGTCAACGATAAATTAAGCACCAACATTCCAGATATTTATGCCATTGGCGAGTGTGCCAGCTGGCAGGACCAGACTTTCGGTTTGATCGCCCCTGGAGTCGAGATGGCCGATGTGCTCTCGTTCAACCTGACACAAGCCAAGCTTCACCAGCCCAGAGTGTTCAAGCGTCCGGACTTGAGCACGAAGCTCAAGCTGCTAGGTGTCGACGTCGCCAGCTTTGGTGATTTCTTCGCAGACCGTGATGGCCCCAGTCAACTTCCTGTTCGTGCGGCCCGAAAGAAGTCTGTAGAGCAGAGTGCTGTCAATACGGCCGTCAATGGACCGCCAGCACATCCCGTCAAGGCTCTCACGTACAAGGATCCTTTCCAGGCCGTGTACAAGAAATATCTCTTCACCACGGACGGCAAATATCTGCTCGGCGGTATGATGATCGGCGACACGAGCGACTACATCAAACTGGTGCCGCTCGTCAAGAACCAGAAGGAGCTCGATGTGCCGCCGGCGCAGCTGATCCTGGGCGCCAAGAAGGAAGGCGAGGACGAGGGCGACGACCTGACGGACGACACGCAGATCTGCTCGTGCCACAACGTGACCAAGGGCGACGTGGTCGACGTTGTCAAGGACGGGACGTGCAAGACGCTGGGCGACGTCAAGGCGTGCACCAAGGCCGGCACGGGCTGCGGAGGGTGCATGCCGCTGGTGACGACCATCTTCAACAAGACGATGCGGGACATGGGCGCCGAGGTGACCAACTTCCTGTGCTCGCACTTCAGCTACTCGCGCGCCGACCTGTACAACATCATCATGGTGAAGCGGCTCACGACCATGCCGGACGTGATGCGCGAGGCCGGCAACGACAGGGAGGCCGAGGGCTGCGAGGCCTGCAAGCCCGCCGTCGCCAGCGTCTTCGCGTCCCTCTGGAACCGCCACGTCATGGACCGCGGCACGCACGGCCTGCAGGAGACCAACGACCGCTGGATGGGCAACATCCAGCGCAACGGTACCTTCTCCGTCGTCCCGCGCGTGTCGGCCGGCGAGATCACGCCCGAGAAGCTCATCGTCATCGGCCAGGTGGCCAAGAAGTACGGCCTGTACACCAAGATCACGGGCGGGCAGCGCATCGACATGTTCGGCGCCAAGAAGCAGGACCTGCTCGACATCTGGAAGACCCTCATCGACGCCGGCATGGAGAGCGGCCACGCGTACGCCAAGTCCCTGAGGACGGTCAAGAGCTGTGTCGGCACCACGTGGTGCAGGTACGGCGTCGGCGACAGTGTGGGCATGGCCGTGCGCCTCGAGGAGCGCTACAAGAGTATCCGCGCCCCGCACAAGATTAAGGGCGGTGTCTCTGGATGTGTGCGAGAATGTGCCGAGGCGCAAAACAAAGAGTAAGCCATATCGCATCTTTCCCTTCACACCTTTAAACTGCGACCCGAACTCGATGCTAACAAGAAATTTTCCTTAGCTTCGGACTCATCGCCACCGACAAGGGCTTTAACATCTTCGTGGCGGGCAACGGCGGCGCCAAGCCCAAGCACTCGGAGCTGCTGGCCAAGGACGTGGCGCCGACCGAGGTGGTACCGATCCTGGACCGGTACCTCATGTTCTACATACGGACGGCGGACAAGCTGCAGCGGACGGCGCGGTGGATCGAGCAGCTGCCGGGAGGGCTCAAGTACCTGCAGGACGTTGTGCTGCACGACAAGCTGGGGATCTGCGCGTCGCTCGAGGCCCAGATGCAGGAGCTCGTCGACTCCTTCTTCGACGAGTGGGCCGAGGCCATCAAGAGCCCGGAGATCGCCAAGAAGTTCCGGCAGTTCGCCAACAGCGAGGACCGCGTCGAGAACACGGACCTCGAGCCCGAGCGCGGCCAGACCCGGCCCGTCATGTGGCCCGCGGACGCGTCGGCGACCGAGGACTTCAAGGGCCTGCGGGACCGCTGGTCCTCGACGACCTGGCAGCCCGTCATCGAGGCCTCGCACTTCGCCGGCGCCGACGCCACCCCCAACGGCGTCAGCGCCAACATCAAGCGCGGCGACACCCAGCTCGCCCTCTGGCGCGTCCGCGGCCGCTACTACGCCACGCAGCAGATGTGTCCGCACAAGCGCACCTTCGCGCTCAGCGAGGGCCTGATCGGCATGGACCCTGCCACGGGCACGCCCGCCGGCGCCGGGGCTCCCCCCTCGCCACCTCCCTCGCCGCCCGCCGGCAGCACCGCCGACGCCGTCGTGGGGACCTCGACGGCCTCGGCCGACGCGTCGGAGCCCTGCGGCGACGCCAAGGCGCCCTGGGTGTCGTGCCCGTTCCACAAGCGCAACTTCGACCTGTCGTCGGGGTCGTGCAAGAACGACGGCGAGCTCTCGATCGCGACGTTCGCGGTGGAGGAGCGGGGCGACGGGCTCGTCTACATCAAGCTGCCGCCGGTCGAGGAGCTGGACCGGGAGCTGGGGACGAGCCGGTGGCGGGTCAAGCAGGGCGAGGCCGGGGACCCGCAGCTCGCCGAGCTCGACCGCAAGATCGGGTTCAAGGGGCTCCGGGCCAAGAAGCCCGGCGTCAAGCCGGTCGGGGACCTGGACATGAAGAAGCCCGTCGAGGTCTTGCCGAGCGGGTGTGGTGGGCCGTCGGGTATCGATTGGTAAGCTGCTGATCCCGTTCTCGCTTGCTCGTGGGTTGTCGAGGTGCGAGGGAATGGGCTGTGTTGTATATGGGTTTGGGATACATAGCGGGTACATGATTGAGACGAAATGCATCGTGGCCGGCGTTCTTGTGATTTTGGTAGACATAAAACAACAGGTTAATCTTATGAGTTGAAATCAAGGAAGAGTTTCTGTAGGCAAGAACTTGTGATGCTCCACATGTCGGAATGCTGGGTCGCTGTCGGCATGTGATGCGCAGTCTTTACGGACGTGGAAGGTAGGCAGCAAGGAAAGTTAGAGAGGGTCTATCATACTCATTGTGCAACAGGAATCATGAGCCATTACGTCCTGTCTCTCAAGGGCATGATTTACCAAAAGCCACGTGTTGGTTTTGTTCACATTGCTCTGCAAGTCATCTTAGAATTATCCCATGATCATGATTGGTACAAGAATGTCAATTCTCTTCTTGTCACTATTCGTAAATAATAGGGATTTCCCTTCTTTTCCGTTCTAGACAACTTGACGACATAGCCCAAGGGGATATCTAACAAGGGCTGCCCCATGCCTTCGAGGCATGGTATGGCCTAGCCTTTGGAATAGGTGACAGTACTGGCTGGGACAGAAGAGTAGGATGGGGGTATTATAGGCCAAAGTGAAACAGAGTAGTGCATCGAAATCGATTTAATTAGCCCGCTCGCTCGCAGTGTGATCCGGCGTGGTATTACAGCTGGTCAAATGGGTGAGCTGCTTACTCCTCCTCGGGCAGAGGCTCCTCCTCCTCGTACTCCTCCTCCTCGTCAACACCAGCATCCTGGTATTGCTGGTACTCACTGACCAGATCGTTCATGTTGGACTCGGCCTCGGTGAACTCCATCTCGTCCATACCCTCACCAGTGTACCAATGCAAGAAAGCCTTGCGACGGAACATGGCAGTGAACTGCTCGCCGACACGCTTGAAGAGCTCTTGGATGGCAGTCGAGTTACCAACAAAGGTAGACGACATCTTGAGGCCGCGGGGGGGGATGGAGCAGAGAGCGGTCTGGACGTTGTTGGGGATCCACTCAACGAAGTAGGACGAGTTCTTGTTCTGGACGTTGCGCATCTGGTCCTCGACCTCCTTCATGGAGACCTTTCCGCGGAAGATGGCAGAGCAGGTGAGGTAACGACCGTTGCGGAAGTCGGAGGCAGCCATCATGTTCTTGGGGTCGAACATCTGCTGGGTCAGCTCGGGAACGGTGACGGCACGGAAAGAGTGAGCACCACGGCTGGTCAGAGGGGCGAAGCCGACCATGAAGAAGTGCAGACGGGGGAAGGGAACCATGTTGACAGCCAACTTGCGGAGATCCGAGTTGAGCTGGCCGGGGAAACGCAAGCAAGTGGTGACACCCGACATGACGGCGGAGACGAGGTGGTTCAGGTCGCCGTACGAGGGGTTGGACAGCTTGAGGGTGCGCATGCAGATGTCGTAGAGAGCCTCGTTGTCAATGCAGAAGGTCTCGTCCGAGTTCTCGACCAGCTGGTGGACCGAGAGGGTGGCGTTGTAGGGCTCGACGACGGTGTCGGAGACCTTGGGGGAGGGCACGACGGAGAAGGTGGCCATCATGCGGTCGGGGAACTCCTCGCGGATCTTGGAGATCAACAAGGTACCCATACCGGCACCAGTACCACCACCGAGGGAGTGGGTGATCTGGAAGCCCTGGAGGCAGTCGCAGGCCTCGGCCTCACGACGGACGACGTCGAGGACCTGGTCGACGAGCTCGGCACCCTCGGTGTAATGACCCTTGGCCCAGTTGTTGCCAGCACCGGACTGGCCGAAGACGAAGTTGTCGGGACGGAAGAGCTGACCGAAGGGACCAGCACGGACGGCGTCCATGGTACCGGGCTCGAGATCGACGAGGACGGCACGGGGCACGTACTTGTTGCCGGAAGCCTCGTTGAAGTAGACGCTCATGCGCTCGAGCTGGAGCTCCGAAGTGCCGTTGTAGCTGTAGAGAGTTAGCATCTGCTGCTTGTGCGATGGTGAGAGGTATTGTACGTACACTCCATTGCTGTCAAGACCGTGCTCGCCAGAGATGGTTTGCCTGTGCAAGAAAGATTTGTTAGTGTTTTCTTTTCTCCCAGCATGTGGACGGACGTGATTGCGGTGTTGGTCGTTCAGGGTCATGGTCATGGGCCTTGGCCATGTCGGAACATGGTGTCGGTGTATACATACCAGAAGGCAGCACCAATCTGGTTACCGCACTGGCCGGTCTGAAGATGAACCTGTCGATGTGTTAGCCATCGTCCTCGTGCTTGTGCGTCTCAAAATGCTACGGCGGCCTGGTGATGGGGCGTGTGTCGTGGTTTGGGATCATCCTTCCCAACCGTGGAAAGCTCTCGGGATAGTGTGGGGTAGGAAATCAGGGGCGTTGAGTTTGGACGCGTCCAGGGTGCTGGCATTGAGAGGGAGCACGGAGTACGAGCACGGGTAGAGAGCAGATAGAGGGGGGAGCTGTCGGACGGAAACAACTTACAATCTCACGCATTTTGGCGGCTGAAGGATGTTTCGAAGCTTGGTGAAGCTGGGCAGGAAACCGAGTCGAGACGAATGGGCAAGACGAGAGAAGGAGAGAGGTGTGGATGTGGATGTGAAAGGCAAAAAGAGTCGGGTGGCTTTTGGGCAGAGGGTAGAAAAAGAATGGAGTTATAATTAGTTCCCTTTCCTTTGGGTTATTGATTGTTGTTGATTTTGGGCTGGCGGGCTGGCGGTGAGACTCGTCTGGGAAAGCGAGCGGAAAACGGGGCCTGGCGACTGGCTGCCACTGCTGTGTAGTCCACTTTGTCCACTCAACCGACAGCACAGGTGCTTCTCGTCCCCGTAATTGTTATTATGTGTACAAAGCATGGGCAGCGAACGTGTCCCTGTTCCAGCCGCGCCCCTGCTTTTCTAGGGCAACTAGTCTGTTTACATCCCGACGTGGGGCGCACCTTCTTTCCCCCCTCCTGTGGTTTACCCTGCTCTTCGATGAATTCAGACTAGTCTGGTGCTGCTACCGGTGCATAGTACCAATACCTACCAAACCTACAGTTCCTCTCTCTCTCTAGACTAGCTCCCTACGGAGTAGCGCCAGTCCTGGGTCCCAGTCCAAGTTCCAGTTCCAGTCCCAGAGGCAGCCACGATTCGAGTCAATGGGCACCGTGGAAATATGAGCAGAGCCCAAGTCAGCACCATTGCGCGTTGTACAGAACTCGATATGCTTCAACCCAGTGCCTCTTTCTCTCTTTCGGGGGGGGGGGGGGGGGGGGTTCCTTTTTTTTTTTTTTTTTTCCCTCCCATGGAACATGCAAGTAGTGCCGTGGTTTCGTGCAGAACTTTGGTGTAACTATTTGTAGTACACATTAGTTGTTCGGACTTGGGCCCACGCTACATTACCAGCCTACATATCTACCGTCTATACTCTGAAGGTCCTGACAATATGCCTCTAACGCCCATCGTCACTCAATACGATGCAAACGACCCATATCAAAGTTTCTGTCCCACCAACAACCAGAGGGAGAAGGAAAGAGTAGTCGGTACTTGAGACATACCCGGGGCAATCAGAGTCGTCCAAACTGCGACACCCGTGCAACGGATGCCAATTGTACCATACTATGAGCATGGGAATCAATATCTGATTGAGACAAGGCCAAATCAGCATCATGATTACATGACAAACTTTGTTAGACAGGTACGGTGTGAGGAATGCGGGGGCATACAGACACAGAGGAGACTCCAAAGGCAAGCAAACCCAAAGTTTTGACTCGTCGTCATCGCAGTCCATGTCGAACTCGTCCCATAGACCCGACTTGGGGGCACCAAGATGCTGTAGAGCAGAATGTAACGAATGCTTAGCCACAGCTGCCCCCTGTCTGGCCCGCTTACGGCTTGGAAAGATGTCGTCAAAGCAATCGTTTTGCCACCATAGCGTTGGAGGATGTCCCGACGCTGCTTCCAATGGCCCAGCCAGTCGCTCCGGTAGTCTTCAGTTAATTGCTTGTAGTATGCACTGTAAATCACTGCATGAGTTGCGCTTCTGTCCCAGTCGTTTTGTGGAAGATCCGGGTTCTTTGCTTGTACTCTCTTGAGCAAAGTATCTGGCGCCCTCGATTCTTGAACGGGTATTAAGGTCCCGGATTTGCCACGGCGGGAACTCGTGAGTCCTTGGGTATATTGAAGGGTGCTCATGAAACGCGCCCAGAAAGGCCCATCGGCCTTCCAACCTCTACGTGTCATCTCTTTCAATGCGTCTGTGTTTCCACAAAGAATAGATTTTTCTTCAAGTAGTTCGTGGATGTCGAGTGTCCCAGCTTGACTTGCTGTTCTACTACATTCCACAGTCTTTGCCTAGCCGGATGGTGTTCTCGAATGCTACCTAGCAGTAGCTATACATACTCGCCATGAGGCAACCGGCAATTGCTCCATGGGGGAATCCCATCCTCACAGCGCAAGTTTTCATCTCCGTGTCGTACATTCATCAAGTCGCTAAAACTGCGCGTACTGCTGGTTCTGAGTGGAACGAGATGCTCCATGAGAAATTCGCATTGATCGTAAGAAAAAAAAAAACACGTCTTTGATACTTCCCTTTGCTGTTCTCTTGAGATCGTGGTATAGTTTCGAACGCCGAAATGCCAGCCTAGGCCAACGATATTCCGTGAGCCAGATCTTTGGACATTAAGCATGGATAGAACCTGCCACGGAAAGTAAGGATAGTAAAATTGCCAGTAACCAGAAATAAGTCTCACTCTTGTCCTTGTCGGTGATATGGAACTCCCACAACTCATCAACTCCGTCGAGGATGACAGTTGGGGCAGCTCTGGCGCTCACCATTTAGGGGGGAATGCTGGTAACGCCCTTACATGACTAGACTGAGACACTGAATGCCTAAAGTCAGTTGAATTTGCAACAAAAGTGCTGTAAGTATCCCCTCCGGGAAGATGAGGATGTTTTCGGGCTTAACATTGCCGTGAACGACGCCACAGGCGTGCAAACTCAGCAAACCGTCTACAACGTTACGGCAGAGATTCGGTTTTGATATGAGTAAAGGCGCACCAAGTCCCATATGTCCAAACACTTGTTTAGGGCACTTTGAGGTGCGAGTTCTTCGAGAATAAGGGGTCTGGGGATTGTTGCTTCTGCATCCTCGAAATCCCATCCAATGCCTCGGAAGCAGGCGATATTGGCATGTTCACGAAGAGGAGGAGGTGTCCTGACCTCACTTTCGTTATGAAGCTGGTCAAAGCACACGAGTTTTCTTCAAGTATGCTGTCCCGTGGTCTTTTAACAACGATTCCCTCAGGACGAACAAGTTCATCTTGTGATGCAATACATCCTACAATCGATATGATTCTGGGATGGCTGATACGACTAGTATGACCTTGGCTGATTTAGGGTTCTCTGCTTGGGCGAAGTTGTTGTACAGGAGCCAGTTTGCCGCCATACGTTCGGTATATTTTACTGATAATACATATCGATGTGATGAAGCCTGCTGTAGATCCTTCCCAGATGAAGGGCTCCCGAGTCACCACGAAGCCTTGTGAAGCTCGGCCTGGTATGAGAGTTCGTAATGGTCAACTCCGTCAAATTCAGTGCCCTGCGCGGCAATCTCAATCGTGCCCATGGTGATCGTCACGATTGACAAGGACGATCTCGTCGACCGCTGAAATTCGAGGACAACAGAGGGTGTGTGAACTTTTGGTGGCATATAGCATGACTTGATCGCTGACGAAAGAAAGCTCCTGCTGAAGAGGGGGCATTGTAAGATAGCTCCTTGGGGCTGCACACGTACGCCAGTGCGTGACCAATCAGGGGAATAATTGCAGATGCAAGCCACATCCCCCGAATCTGTTATAGGTAAGGCTGTGTGTAAAGTGATTTGACGATCGAAGTCACCTCAAAGAAGAAAGTCTGTCTGGATCGTTAGCTGATTGAATTCCTTCACGAATCCAATAATGGCGACCGGCCTCGACGTACTGGGTGGCGTTGCAGCATCACTTGAATTGGTAAAAGTGACCAGATTGTGGTTATTATTCCCTGAAAAGCTTCGGCATGTCAATGACCAGGATGAAGAGCGACAGGAGCTCCAATTACACCTCATAACGCAAGGCTTAACATTTGACGGATGGTGTTCATTGCTTGGCATTCAGGACATGTTCGATCCTGCTGGGACAAATAACAGAAAATATGCTGAATTAAGTGAGGTTGCAGCTTTTGTGAATATTCTGCAGTCGCAGCTCCGGGTCAAGAACATATAGGCAAAAAGCCGTCCATGGTTTCCCAACATTTCACAAAATTTAAATTTTTTTCCGAATAAGAAGTCATATTTGTAGGTTACAAAACCAAGAGCGAGCGCAAGCGCGATCGCCTGGAACTTTGGATTTCTCTTTGCCTAAACTCAGTGCCTACCATAGCCTAGTAGTGCTCATCCAGGGCGATAAAGCCAACCATCATGCAGAGTCTACCAATTGTACAATGCCCCATTGTATGCCTAACCATGTGCCGTTTGCCCTTTTGCCCTTTTGATACCACAAAAGAAAACACTCGAAAACAAAGGAAGCATTAATCCATCAACTCCTTTACCCCTGAACGCTGAACGAAGTCGATTTGGTACGCATTGCCCATACTGAAGTTATCAGTCCAAGAGGCAGGGAACATGTTGTTCCAGTGTATTATGGCGTGGTAAGCCTTCAGATGGAAAAAGAAAAAGAAAAAGGGTTCGGAAAAAGTAAAAGGTAAGAAAATGTATGGTTCGAATCGAGAAAAGCCAGAATACCGCCCACAACGTATCGAGGCAATTTGATTGTTGATGGTATGAGTGACAATGCAGAAGCTGCACATACGCAGCTGCATATTGAAGTAGATTACTCAAGAGACACCCTGCGGCCTGATGGCTGTTCATCGATTCCTCATATGCCTGCATCGACAGCATTGCAGAAACGTCGTGATTCGTCTGGCGCCCCGAAATCATGCGAGATTTAATGATGCCAACGAAATATATCGTCAATCATAATCAGAAGGTCACAACCTTCTATGCTGCGACAGTCTGCCATAGTTGTGATCCAAGCCTGACTGACCCAAACGCCTCAGACAAGGCGATCATCAGTGACAGGCCGTCATCAATTGTTGTTTTCAAGAAATTCAACGTGACACAACAGGATTATCCAGATGCAAAGTCGAGATGCCCAAAGCTTTCAACTGTTACAGACAATGCCACCATGTGCCAAAATAAAGCAGTTATTTTGTGCTCTGCGGACCGAGTGATACAGCCCGTGTACTTCTTTCATAGAAAGAATCGCCTTCGCTATGCAAATTAAACAGATATTGGTACATGTACAAGCTTCTTGTTTTTGTGATCCGATATTCACACGCCGTCTGAAGGGTCGGGTCGTGTATTGGATTGACGACGAGGTATAGCTCATCAACTGACAGTCATCATCTGCATACGCTGGTTGATTCCGTTCGATGGTGAAGCGGTCATAGAACCACTGCTAAGGCCTGACGTGCTACTCCGGCTAAGAGGTAATGGCCGTGTCGAAGTTGGGGTCGAAGCCGGGTCTTCAAACATCCTAGTGAAAGCCGGGCTTCCGTCTTCATTCTTGACCCTTTCACGTCTCGGCGTGCGCATCGGGCTGCTGGTAAGATGATCGGCCCTGCGGACCAGATCTGAGAGCGAATCGCGTAAATCGCCTGCTCGCTTGACTAATTCCTTCAAACTATTGGTGTCAAAATTGAGTCTGCCACTGCAATCGCCTTCATCATAATCAGCGTCCGTAGGGTCTTTTCTACGAAGGTGCATCGACTCCATCAGAGAACGCGCGACTGAAGCAGGATTGTAAGGTGTACTCGGTCGGTTCTGTTCGGGCGTTCGTGGGACTTCCCTAAGTTCATCGTCGTTTGTATGTGGCCAGTTGCCGAATATGTCGTCTTCTGGAGAGAAGACGGACCGCCGCCGCGCAGGGAATCGCTCCTTGACCACAGCCGTTTTCAACTGCGTGTGGAACTTACTGAGGTGGTCGTGGTCAAGCACCCCACCATCGAAGCCTTCGTCCACGAAGCGTTCATCCTCCACATTGAAATCAACATCGGTTGAGGTATTAGACACCTCGTCTTCATGCTGGTCCTCTTCAGGTGAAGCTAGAGCAATGATACCCTCGGCTTCTCGCCAGAGTTTTGGATACGACCCGCTCAACATGTCCAACTCTCTACCGAGGCGGCAAAGCCTCTTCAAGTCATTAACAAGCAGAGACAGCTCGCGAATCTGTCCGGAATGAGCCCTCACCGTAGGTTGCGTGGCTTGAATGGAAGCTGGTACCACCATCGATACACGGTTTTCTGCCTTCCTGCCCTCGGGACGACTGGCATCAACTTCATCCTCGAACTCGAAATCCTCGTCCCAATCTTCGCTTACATTTTTGGAGCCTAGACCCCAAGTGCCGAACTTCGGGGTTGCTTTCGAGCTGTCGGCGGGATTCAGGCCCGGGACAACGGGAACACTTTGACTTCGCACATGTAATGGTACCGGAGTCCTTCGGCTCGCGGCTCGTCCACCCCGCATATCGAGCTCCTTCTTTCCATGGACCGTCTTGGGTCGGAGGTAATGGCCATCACTCTCGTGCCTTTCGTGATGTTTAGATTCCGCCCAATCGAAGACATTACTTCGTGGTCGCTCGCTCGAAGTGTCGCGCGCGCTATTTCCACTAACCATGGTAAGAGCTGGTCTATAGTTGGGGCTTCCCTTTCTAGAATTCATTGAGCCGGGAGGGGATAGGCGATTATATACCCCATCCTCTTCATCCCTGGCCCAGTCCAAGTCGTCATCGTCGTCAAGAGAAAGCCTTTCCAATTCCCGGCTGGCCAAAGTGAGACTAGATTTGTTTGCTGGGAATTTGTAGTCTTGGCCTTGCTCTATATTGGATAGTCGGAAGTGAACTTCGGCATCATCATACGTTGCACGGACTGGGGTGGGTAGACTTTCGTCCTCTTCCATGATCTTGCTACCAGTCTCAACAAATGCTGGACCGAGAATCTCTTGTATGGAGAGGCGCTTCGGTTGCTTTGCGTTCCCGGCTGTGCTCGGAGGTGATTCATCAAACATGGACTCCAAGGGCGAGTCGAGGGTTCTGCGACGTCCAGACCCAGCGGTGCGTAGGGAATCATATGGTGTGCCTGTGGTGTCATCGTCCTCTCCCGACATGAAACCACGGTGATATTCAGAGCTCGCAACAGTGGATGCACGGTTCAGGGTGAGGGCCTGGGACATATTAGAGTTTACCCTCACACTGCTCGGTGATAGGCTCGCAGCGGGTGCGTCTTCTAGCTTGCCTTGGTTCCCCGAGGTACCAAGACGGTTCAAGTCAATATGAAAGCTTGAAAGCCTGGATAGTGGCGGCAGAGGGGATGACGCGCTCCTCTTGCCGTGGGGGGGTTGGAAAATGGCCGCCAAGTCTGTCTCAACTTTACTAGCCGCACTTGGGTCGTCGAGAGTTTCATTTGCACCAGACTTGTCCGAGGCATCGGTATCAATTGCGGCCGCGTTTGTTGTTGATGTCAAAGGGTCCGAAGCATAGCGCTTGTTCGTGGGTGAAACATCGACGTTACCAGCCCCTCGTTTCTTGCGGCGAATGCTTCCAGTCTTGGATATCCAACTGGTCGGCGAGCTAAATTGCATCGAAATAGACCGCCGCGGTGTCTTGGATGGGGAAGCCTCCGGAGATGAGCCTGTTTTGTTAGTGCTCTTGGGGCTATCTTCCACCTCTGCGCTGGTATCAGGCTCGGCGCTAGCATAGATCATCTCGTCGTCAACTGGAGACGCCATGATTGATCTAGGCGTAATCAGGTACGCTTTTTGATAGCCTTTCTGTTCCACGCAAACTCTCTTTTCGCCTAGCTGCTGAACAGTGCCGTCGCTCTTCTTGGAGGATGACTTTGTTGCGATTCTTGCAACCTTGGAGTGGAAAAATGATTTCCACCGGAACTCGTGCGTCGCAGGAACCTCGATCAGGGGTTCGCAGGGGGGAGCTGCCAATGTCTTCGCCCTGGGTCGAGTTTGTTGTAGTTGCTGCTGTTGTTGTTGCTGCTGCTGCGTCTCGAGCGAGGGTTTGGCCGAGGCGTGAGCGGCTTCCACAGTCAACTGGTGAAGAGTGGCAGATCTCTGATGACTAGTAGCCGGTCGCCGTAACGTGGGCATCTGTGACTTCGAACCCCGGCGAATTATTGGACCCGGATCGGCACCATGCCTAGTAGACGATCGTTTCACCAGCTTGTTCCGGGGGGGTTGAGGTGCTGTAAGACTATTCGGGGACAGTATAGGCGCTGCTGAACCATGAGAGAACATGGACTGTGTGTCGGGGCCAAGACTTGATCTGGCGCTTTCGTGCTGTGATAGTGGACGGAGTGAAAGCCTGCGCATCCAAGAGCTGTTAGAGGAAACCGAGTCGCGCGCGTCCTCAGCAACAGGTGCAGCACCTACGTCGCCCTGCTTGCCATATGAATAGCGCCAGCTCGACGGTGGTTTAGGCGGTGTTATTTGTGCCTGCGAGGATCGGCGAGGCATGCGCGGCTGGGCTGCAGTTGGGGTTCCTGGTTGCTGAGCCAGGGAGAACTGGGCAAAGCTCTCTGCGATGGCCACGACCGAGTCTGTAGTCCCTGGGCGCGGGGATAGGGCACTTCTGTCCAAAAGTGTCTCATGCGCTGGCGTCCTCTTGTTCGAGTGGGATCGTGGTGAGGGCGGAGGGAATTGTCCATCGGCGGGTTCGCCGAATATGAGGCCCGTAGCCGCTGCAGCGACAGCAGTGCCGGTGCCGATGAGCTGCGGTGATGCTGGTTAGCCTTTGAAGCGCTTGCAAGCCCGAGAGATTTGGGCGGGCAATCAACGCCTGCACTGTGTATATGTAGATCGAGTAGCCCACGGACAGCGATAAAGCAAAGCATGCCATCCATACAAAGAAACTGTCCGAGAAGTGCATGCAGAAGAGCAACAGCGATAAGAAGCAAAACCTGGGCAGAGTGCGCCGGCAGGCCAGTATAAGCAACCATGACTTAGCATATCATAGACGCACGCTCGGGCGGTGTCGTGGGTATGACTGGGAGGTGACGGGGGGGTACACCAAGACACTTACACTGGGGACTGTCTGCATCTTGCCAGGTATGACGGGCTTACTGCCAGGAAAAGGAATGGGGGCCTGCTAGGACGAGGCAAAAAGAAGAAGCGGCTCTCCTAGTCTTTCTCGTGACCATTGTACAGATGTTAAGCCATCGCAATTCTCGCTACGAGGGGGGCTTGTTTCTGAGGAATGCCAGCAAATCAATCGGTACTGGGAATTTGAGTTGCGAGTGCGGTGCAGTGCAGAGGTCGTGCGGTGTCGTGTGTGATGTTTTCAAAGGGGCCCCTGTCGTTGGTGTTGGCGCGGGCGTGTAAATGCTGCCCTTGGAGGTCGTCCCGCGGTCGTGGATTCGAGAGATACCCAACTACGACTACTTTTTCTGTCTGTACTGCAGCTTCTTCGAAGGTGCAAGGCGTGTGTTCAATGTTCGCGTGCCCGAGACCAATTGGGGTAGTCGTGACTCTGTGTGATTATGTCTACGTAATTAGTGAGAAGAAAGGAAAAGAAACAAAGTAAAAAGAAGTGCAAGTAAAGATGCTGAACTGTCGTGGAAGCAGCTGGGGCGAAACAGAAAATCGTCAAGTTAAAAATTGCAGGTGAGAAACAAAAGTTGACTCAAACTGGGCCGGTAAGATGCAACAAGAACCCAGATCTCAGCCCATGGAGATGGCAAGTGAACTTTGAAAGCACTGCTGTAAGGTACCATACCTCAAAACTGGGGATTGGACTAGAGCATCCAAGCATTGCTCAATTAGAGATAGGCGCATCGGTAGTGTCATTTCTGTTCCTGTTCCTGTTGCTGTTGCTGGTCCTGTTGCTTTCCTTGGGACCACTTGAGAGGCAATACTGGGTACTACATAGTATAGCACAACTCTGGCATAAAATTGATTAAGGCCCGGGCTAGTGCTGCTACATAGACATAACCATCAAACGAGAAGGAAGAAAAAAGCACACCCCGAACATTTGGGTTCAACTCGCTGCTGCTGGTAATTTCGCTATTCGCAGCGCTGTACGTACCTTGATTAGTAGGCTGCTTGGGAGGGGAGGAGGAGGGGGGGCCCTGCGGCCTGGGGTCTGCGTCTAGGTCTGGGATTGTTTACAGCGGGCGGAGCTGGCTGCTCCAACCGGTACGAGCTATCATGTACCTTGAAATTAAGGTCAGCGGAGTATTGCTTGTTATTGCCGGCCATCAACAAGGCCTTGTTTCTTGTCAGTGTTGCAGTTCCACTTTGCGGAGTGATAGACCTTCCGCCCACCTGTTTAACTCGGCAACTGTGCCTACGCGTTGTTGCAGTCCATGTCCAAGCCAGGATGTTGTTGTTGTTGATCCTGCGCGGTACGTTATTTAGGTGCATGACCGAGTACAAACAACACAGCACTAACTAACAAATAGCAACGGCGGACACTGGGTCTGTTTTGTCATAACATCATAGCATCATCCCTGAACTAAAATGGCATGAGGGACGCCAAGTTCAAGCGCTTGATTCTCGATAGATGGCGACGAATGGCTCTCTGGCTCTAGACCAAGTCAAAGTCTCGACACCAAGAGTCTCACTATTCATATTTCGGCACTGTTTCTCCAACGGCTTCCCTGCCGGGCCATTCTGTTGTCCGGAATGTCTTGCACCCAGCAAAAGCATTAGACAGAAAGCCCTGACACGATTAGTCTATTATGTAAGATGCCCCAGGCTCCTGAGGCTCACAGTGGATCGTCCATGCTTTTCACCCTCCACCGCATCCTTGAATGCTTTTTCAGGAAACGAATGGATCTCGTCAACGCCAGCCGGAATAGTCATCTGTGATGATACCAGACACATCTTTCGAGGAAAAAAAAAATCAAAGACAATGGCGTTCTTGTGAGATATTTTTGTCTAACTTCTCCCTTGATCCCGACAGCTCGGACAGTACCATGTACGCTATTGACGTGCTGGTTGTTTCGAAATCACAACGCCTACTCGACGGTCTTGACGCCATTTCCTGTTACGGCAAGATCTATATTGTATAGAAGAGACGCTGCGTTTATTTCCACGGACTTTCTAAGGCACACAGAATCTCCTTGACTTGTACTGCTTCCTGAGGAAATGTGAATGGAAGCACGGTCTCGATCCCCGCGAAGACGTGACCCCAGCTTGCGCCGTGCGGCGTCTTCCTGCCTTAATCGGTCTGATCTGACCACTAGCGGCATCTCATCAGACACCTTTCACTCTACGACGTGTGCTCAGGAACATAATATTGACAGACTCAGCTTTCAGGCCAAGCACACGGAAATACTTCATCAATGCTCGTCATCCACGTGAGGAGCAGCCGCTTCCAGTCGATGCGCCTAATGAATGTACACAAGAGGGTTATGCAAAGCTCGGATCGGCATTCAGCCACAGCCGTGGCTTTTGCCATCCCACCTCAGGCAAGCCTTCAGATCTCAGCAGGGGGACTAAAAGCAGGGGGTGGGCGGATGGTGGAGGGGCAGATCACGCAGCGCCAATCCACAGAAAAACCATAGCTCTCTCCCGTCACTTTGACAAGCAATGAAAGAGATGTCAATACCCGGAGCCGAAACGCCCTCTTTCGCGTACGTACTTAAGAAAGGTGCTGCATGTCGTACAGGCGGCCGCCTTACGGCGTCTATCAATGGCTGGTTCTAATGCATTGCATCCGCTAATAGCGACCACTACAGCCATATGTACGGAGTCATCTCACTGGGGTAAGTTTGCTCAAGACCGGGATAAAAGCTTTTGTATCACAGTTGCAATTATGTCCTTGAGGTTGCGATGCCTTACCGTGATCAAACCCCAATGTTGAAGCCTGATGACTCGAGCTCGCTATTATCTCAGGCTACCCACCTTGTTCCGTCCTTGTTCTACATTACGAGGATGCATGTCGTAGCATATGCACAGATGTAGGTGCCTGACAACAATGCATCGGAGGGATGGTGGACAGGGTCAAAGGCGGCCAACGGCGAAAAGCTCACCTATCGAACTATTTACGAAACATGCGACACGAATGCACCAATCGGCGCATTCGAGACGTGCAACTGCTCGGTTTCAAAAAATTTCTAACCAAGCCATCACGACACTGAATTTGCCTCATTTGAACTGAAGAACTCAGCCGCCTTCGGAAATCCAATAGTATAAATTCAGCTAGTCTAGTATAAACGCGGTGCGTACTGAAGGCGCTGGTATATGAATGATCGGTGTGTAGCGCAGTAAATGTCATACTTGATCGTGTCATTGGATCGGATCAAGACTCCTACCGCCAGAATTTCATGCACACGACGGCATCAGTCCTGTAAGGCACCAAACTGCGCATCATATCTCGCATCGTGCGGATGTATCGCGAGATCTTATGCCCGCCGCCTGTCAAATCAGAGTGGTACGGTTGCTCAGTGCTTATAGTGCAAGTGGGACCGTGGCGGCGTAACCGCCTGAATACGGTATTGGGCAAAAGTTAGAGGAACACAGACAGCTTGAATGATTGGCTCATACAATCCCTCCCATGCTGCAGGCCAAGTTTGCGCTTCAGCTGTCAATACTGCTTGCATGTTGTGTCAGCCAATGCCATGGGCTTCCGGCTGTGTGCTGTCAAACAACAACTACCAGAGACGTCGTACTCGTGGAACAAACATCTTGTGAAACCGGCCAGTATCATTCCTATACAAAGCATATTCAGACATTTATAAAAAAAAAAAAAAATAAAAAAAATTTGGTGGGACACTGCTAGTACCTCTCTCTTGTAACAGGGTATCGCGATATACTGGTATGCATTTGACATCAAGTTGATTTCTCAGTGTCTTTCAAAGTATAGTATCAATCGTTCTGCGCAAATCTCCGGGGAACCGCTGATCAACCGCAATTGCACCTCCCCTGCGCCAAGTGCTCAAGAATCCCCGGAATCATGAACATGGGTGGCGCGCTTTGAATTACTTATTCGAACCTCATCGTTGCACTGAGACTGGATCCACCGACAAGGCTTCAGGTTGCAGCACAAAGGAAAGAGGTTACTTTAATACAACTCCCGGGCTTCCTAGCCAATGTCGCTACGCTCCGAGTTATTGCGAATCGCGGCAAGCAGTCATAACAATTGCTTTTAGTATTTTGGCACGTTTTCTTCGTTCAGTTTTCTCCTCTTGTTGAGATCGTCTAACATGCTAGACCCGCTTTACCATCTTACAGCATGATTACCACTATGGATACCCGTGGCGTTAGCTAGGCTCCCTGAAACCAGTTTTCTTTCTTCTGGGTGTGGTGAGCATCCTTCGACTAATTAATAAGTTGCATATCAACGAGGAATCGCTTACCATGTAGGACGCCTCGTGGCATGTCTGAGACACAGAACTGGAAGAGCGACTGACCACTCTTGCTGCAGTTTGGCGAGAAGTCATTAACCGCATGCGTGAAATCAGTTCAAAGTCTTCGTGCATATCCGGGAAGAGGCCTAGCAAAATCTTAATAAGAAAAATTAAATTAAATTAGTTCCACGATCCATGCTGTACTGGGCATTGCTGCACAAAAGTTGACATTTCGTGTACATACATACATACATACAAGTACTCGGATACTATCCTTGCTCAGATGCTCCATATCTCGCGAACTTCTCCCCTAAAATAGACACTGACCGATTAGTTCGGCATAAAGCCCCTCTTCTACCCCTCAAACTGTACAAAAGGTCTGTTACGATGCCATTGATCAATGAACGTCCAGAAACGACCTTGCGAATCGCGGCCCTAAGATCAGAGGCTTTGCTCCGGCGCAGACCAGGGTCTTATCGCCTCCCAGATCGATATGCATTTTAGGTTACCGATGCATATGAGTGGTAAACAGAAGATCATGCTGCCACACCAGCACCACTCACGAGCTCCATCAACTTTCAACAAAGAGCACCTCAGAGATGTCTCATCGAAATGGAGCTCTTACGGGCCAGTCGGTTCATGACATCATACACGGTGGGTTCGTTCCAGGCCAAATTATCTAATAAGAAAGATCATGGGGAGCCGCGACAACGAACGCGATCACGATCATGCCAAGCTGGGCTGGCTGGCTGGTTCAGCTAGCCAGAACGGTGGGACTTGTTTACTTGGTACCCGTAACAGACTAGCTGAAACCCACACAGCTGGTTGCACTAGAAACTAATCAAAATAAACGGTCGACGGCACAATTTAGAGCAAGCTGAAGCTGCCTCATGCATCTAGCTTCGACCGGTCGAAGCACCAACATCCGAGCGCCAACTACCAAGTGCCGCTATGCAATGAATCCCACTATCTCGATGATACTAAAACGCTCACTCGCTTCGGACTGGCCGCGGCATTACTTCCAAGGCAGAGAAATGACTGACCGGTAGATCTGAACAACAGTCGGAAACTGCAAGATTGGGAGTAACTCACGCCGGGTACTTTTTATGAATGCCTTCAAAGAAGGCAATGATAATAGCTCCAGCATCACATATTCCCACTTCATTTCCCCGGTGTTAGCACAATAAAGTCAAGCACGGAGAAGCGATTTACCCCTTGGCAAAGCAGATCGCCGAACAAGCTAAGAAGCAATTGCTGAGACACTTTATACTGTGTAAGCAGAACCCAACATGCTGTAGGGATGATGCTCTATCAGCCGCATACGACAACTCACCACTTGGCGCCACATATCACCGGCTGTTGGGATCGAAGACAAGGCAACCCAGGGCACATTGCATACGTTCTACTGTTAGCTGGGTTGCTCCGCATCGCCTTGTCGGATGTCGCTACCCACTCTGTCTCCCTCTTTTCACAGCGTCGCCAAAAGTACACGGCCGAATACAGCCGCGTGTTTCGTGCCGCTTAGCACTGCAACTGTACTCGGCACGTACTCAAGGCATATCATGGCTGTTTCCCCAGGAAACTGTCGGAATGTTTCCACGGCACCTCCACGGCTTATCTCTCGTATCATGTATCAGGTCTCAGCGATTTTGACCATCGTGAAACCATAACAAGCCTAGCTAGATTTGAGGAATCGAGGAGGATCTAGAGTGCAACTCTGTCAAGCCGATCACTGTGCCAAAATCCGAGTCTGAAGCACTTAACGCTGCCGAATCCTGGTATAGGCTTCCTCCACCTCCAGCTGTAATATTTATCAGCAAAGTTCGAGGCTAAGACACCATGAGGTGATTTCCGACTCTGGAAACGTAGCTTTAAGGCTCCTTATTGGCTGTGCTAAAGATCTCAGCCGCCTGGTCAGACATACGACGATCCAAAACTTGCAGGGTCCACAAGAGCTTATGCATACAATAGTATGGGATTTTTTCAGGTTTTTCGACTATTTCGCATACGATCTATGCCTTCGGATGACTTCTTTTTACGCAGAATGACGTGAACTTTACTCAAAGAGCTACAAGTCGAAGTGGCCCCTCGTAAAATATGAGTGAGGGGCTGTTCTGGGTTAATGCTCCTCTTCTCATGTCTAGGCTCATCCATCACCAACCAAGACTGTCGGATTTAGCTGACCAGCTTGGACTCGCATGCGTTGTCATGTTATGGAATAGCATAATTGGAAACAGCAACGTTTTACACATCGTCTTTAGCCTCAAAACATGTCAAGTTTTGCATTAATTCGTGCTCATGTGACTTAGATTTCCCGAACCAAGCGGGGGTGGGGGATGTGAAGGAAGAAAAAAAAAAATTTCGGCACAAAGCAATCAATGAGGGTTGACTAGCTAAACTCACGATGCTCGATGCTGCATCTCCGAACGTGGGAGAGGCTGATGGTCGTTTCTTTGCAATCTATGGCTGCTCTGGAAACAATTCCGAAGTACCAGGATCCCTTGAAGCCGCTGTCCTGAAATCCTTCCGAGCCGTGTGAGCCTCACAAGTGAATCTCTTGAAAGAAAAAGGAACTTTTAGGAAGTCTCAGGTTTTGGCCTATGCGGATCTACATTGCATCGACTACCGGCAAGCTACGGCGATTTGTCTGATGTGCAGTAAAAGTAGTGGAGTTGACCTGTCGCCCAGGGCTCCAATTCGATCTCTCAAGATCCTCCCAAAGATCCTTGGAAAGGAAGACAGACACCTATGCAAGGCCAGTTTGAAAGATGTGATTGCTCTGCTCTGGTTGGCCAGCCCAGGTATATCGTCAACCGTACCCATAGCCAACCAGACGGTGTGCCCGGGGCCCAGACGCGTTTTCTACCCTTCGGTGGGTGTGTGGTATTGGGAACCATCTCTTTCTCCCCACGGTGCAGGGGACTGCGTCGGGTGGTTCTTTGGATGCGTGGGCAACAAAAAATTTCCCACAATCGTATAATGTCACCCACAGGCGCGTCCTTGTCGCGTGTTCTGCTGCGGCCGTGCTTGAATCAACCCGGTTGGGGCGGGGCGGGCGCCCGGAGAGCGACTTAAACGAAATTTGGGACACTGGGGAAAGACACTGGCGGATTGGCTTGTGCGGCTGGGAAAGCAAATTCCAGAAGATTGAATTCGTGGTGAGGCTTGCATATGCTATTAAACTTTGAAGTCTCGTGGCACAGATGAACGATAGAAGCCGGACGCGCTTCGAGTCTGCGATTTGGCGGTCTAAAAGGTCTGAGATGAAGCCGGTTCTCCCCCAAAAAGCATTCGCTACTTACTGCCGCTGGCATGCGTCCAACGACCTGGGAACATGGCTGGTGTATATGTATATTGTTCTTTTTAATATTCCTTACTGCTGCAGTGTCAGCATGTCTGAGCAGGCGATAGAAAGAGGCCATGCCAAATGATTCCGCGGGGTCTTTGCCGTGAGGGCGTGAAGAAGCACTGCAGAATGGACCCCGGCAATAATCACAATATACTAGAATGCGGTATTGCTACGGAAACAATCAATACAACTAAGATTGCTAGGATAACTTGATTGCTTTCTTTCTTCCTCCCTCGCTTTAATTCTTTATTTCTTTTGGTCATGAGTGTCGTTGCTCTAGGATATACGTATTTATTCATCAGTCTGGCGAAGCACAAGACGGCGAGCCCAATCAGGCTACCCCGCGGTAGCCCCACTTTCGACGACACTGCAGTCGATTTTTGTGACTGAGATGAATTTTTGATTGAAGGCGAATTCGTTGCATGCCGTGAAACATCTCGCAGTCGCCACCACAAACGATACGTGACCCCTGAGGATTTGATAAGCGTACAGAAGGTTAAAACTCGACCAGGGATTCTGCTTTAGTGATATTGCATTCGCCATCGGAAGCAAGCAGTTGCTTCTCAGCCAAACGTCTTTTATCGCACGTGGCGGCTAGCTCGAGCATCGTTGTACCTGGTACCGTCAAACACACATCATGGAGTCTGACATCAGAGCCGTCCTGCCGGATGTCGACCCGGTCGTCTCCGAGTACTCCGCAGGTTATCTGAGGCATGCCTCAACCGCATGGAACGATGAGGAGGAATCCACCGGTCTCTCGCCTCTGGACGAGGCGGCCATCGCCATCACCGAGTTGCTCCTCTCTGCTTCCGGCAATGCCACCGGCGCCGAGCAAAAGAAGGTCCAGGAGCTCGTCGCCAAGTGGGTTGGAAAGTACGAAGCCGCCAACGAGCATGGTGAGCGCCGGGGCCCCTCTGCTGCAAAGCGTCTGGACCAAGCCTTTCAGGTCGGAAGCCAGCGCAATATGTCCTCCACCCTCGCTGTGTCGACGGGCACCATTGATCTCGAGTCCGCCAACCAGCGCAAGGTCGAATCCAAGGTCGACCGCAAGAAGCTGGAGAAGGCGGAGCGCAAGATCGCCGCCAAGCAGAGCAAGAAGGAGTTCAAGAACGTCGAGTACGAGGCGTCTCGCCTTCTGGAGCAGCCTGATGATGCGCAGTCGTACGAGGAGTTCTACATGGCTGTCAACCCTCTCCAGTTGGGCGTCAGTACCACCAAGACCAAGGACATCAAGATCGACAGCATCGATGTGTCGATTGGTGGCCTGAGGATTCTGACGGATACCAGCTTCACGTTGGCATATGGACACCGTTATGGTTTGGTTGGTAACAACGGTGTGGGTAAATCCACGCTCTTGCGTGCTCTCTCCCGGAGAGAAGTGCCGATTCCTACGCACATTTCGATTCTACACGTCGAGCAAGAGGTAAGTGGCAACAACGCGAGCAGATGCGACCTTATGCTAACATTTCACAGCTTACGGGAGACGATACTTCTGCTATTCAGGCCGTCCTGGATGCTGATGTCTGGCGGAAGGTATTGCTACGGGAGCAAGGTGAACTCACAGAAAAGCTTGCAGCGATCGAGTCGCAGCGAACCGGTTTGGCGGATACTTCGGCAGATGCGGCCAGGCTGGACCGTGAGCGAGAGACTTTCGATAACAAGCTTGGAGATATCCAAGAGAAGTTAGCAGAGATGGAATCAGACAAGGCCGAGTCCAGAGCTGCGAGTATCCTGGCTGGTCTTGGTTTCTCTCCCGAACGTCAACAGTTTGCCACAAAGACCTTCTCTGGTGGTTGGCGTATGCGTCTGGCCCTTGCCAGAGCCCTTTTCTGTGAGCCTGATTTGCTTCTTCTCGACGAACCGTCCAACATGTTGGACGTTCCCTCCATTACTTTCCTTTCAAACTATCTCCAAGGATACCCTAGCACCGTTTTGGTTGTCAGTCACGACAGAGCCTTCCTCAACGAAATCGCCACCGACATTATCCACCAACATTCCGAGAGACTCGACTACTACCGAGGAGCGAACTTCGAGTCGTTCTATGCCTCGAAGGAGGAGCGCAAGAAGGTGTATCAACGAGAGTACGAGAACAATGTGGCACAACGTGCTCACTTGCAGACTTTCATCGACAAGTTTCGTTACAATGCTGGCAAAGCCGCTGAGGCTCAGTCACGCATCAAGAAGCTGGAGCGCATGCCTATCTTAGCGCCCCCAGAACAAGAGTACAGTGTCCACTTCAAGTTCCCTGATGTGGAGAAGCTGTCTCCTCCTATCGTGCAAATGTCGGGTGTCACCTTTGGATACAACAAGGACAATATTCTTCTGAAGAATGTTGACCTAGATGTCCAGCTCGACTCTCGTATTGGTATTGTTGGACCCAATGGTGCCGGTAAAACGACAATCCTCAAGCTACTCATCGGCAAATTAGAGGCTACCGATGGGTTGATCCAGCAAAATACCCGACTACGCATCGGTTTCTTTGCTCAGCATCACGTCGACGCCTTGGATCTCACCATGAGCGCCGTCAGCTTTATGGCTAAGATGTATCCTGGCAGAGCCGACGAAGAGTACCGACGGCAACTTGGAGCATTCGGTATCACCGGTACCACTGGCCTCCAGAAGATGGCCGTCCTATCCGGAGGTCAGAAATCTCGTGTGGCATTCGCTTGCTTGGCGCTCACTAACCCGCATATTCTTGTTCTTGACGAGCCTTCCAACCATCTTGATATTGAGGCCATGGATGCCTTGTCAGAGGCTTTGCGAGCCTTCCAAGGAGGTGTACTAATGGTCTCCCATGACGTGACCATGTTACAGACTGTGTGTAAGAGCTTGTGGGTTTGCGAGAACGGTACGGTATGGAAGTTCCCGGGAGATGTGCAGGCATACAAGAAGAGAATTGCATCACAGGCAGATGCCTCGGGTGTTGTCAAGCAGCATTAGACATCGTGCTAAAACAAGAAGACAGCGGTCCTGACATTTTGAATAAAGCATATTATCACCACTTGACTTGACTCAATATAAATCCTCTTGGTCTTTGGCTTTAAGCTTTCTTCCACCCTGTAATATATTTGCCTACATGCTCAGTACTGACGGCTCAATACTCTATCACGAACGATCGTACAACAGAAGTGGTTCCCTTCCTGAACTTGCCGACGGGTACGTTGGTCGCTTGTTGACAAAAGGTTTGATCAACTGATGTATACTCTTCGGTTTCTCAAATCGTTTCTTTAGCGTCATTGCATAGCGAGCGTCGTCAATGCCGAAGAGGAACATGAATGCGGAGCCATTCCATTGCCCCTTTCGGCCAAACCACAATTAGCCGGCAATATGGGAAGGGACACGACATCACCCACCCACAAACCCCCATTGGCAGCAATTTACGTCGTCTATACGTCTTCAAGGGAGATATTCGCCTCCTCGCTGGTACTCAATCTACTGGCAACCCGCCAGGTCATTGCCGAACAGGCTCGTGAGCGTTACACAAATGAACATAACCCTGTGACCGACTACAACCAGATACCCATGTCGGCGTATGTATAAAACAACATACGCCCCACCTGTGTAGAACATGTGTTATACGTCTGCTTGATTCGAACAGAAAACAGACAAATAAAAGCAGACCTGAATACGTAGCTTCAACATGCTTGCCGCAGCTTTCCTCATCACGGCGCTCACCTCGACGGGCCTCGCCCAGTCCGTCCCGGCAGGTTATCGCACAGTCTACATCACTTCCGCCGTGGACAGCAAGTATGTCGTGCAGCCCAAGTCGGCCACGAGTGGCGGTGCCGTTGTCGTGTGAGTCTTCACATTGCTTGTACTCCCTCCCACCTTGCGTCGGCTTCAAAGCTAGGAATTGCCCTGCTGGGGGAAAAAGAAAAAGAAATAAGATACGATACTGAGGGTTTCTTCTCATTCTAACGGGGCCAATAGACAAACCCTGACCAACAAGCCCGAGCAGCAGTGGTACATCCAGGCCGGCAACACGACGATTCAGCTGGCGAACACGACGCTGTGTCTAGACGCAGGAGCCAAGAGTAAGCTACAAGAAATGTCTCACGAGAATAGATAAGCTTTTGTTCCCTCGGGTAATGCACAAGGATGATCGTTTGTTGTTAATAAGGAAAAAAAACCCAGGCAATTGGAAAGACATGGCCGCTATCAACCTAAAGACGTGTTCCGGAACCGAACCGGGCCAGCGATGGGTCGCCATGACTGATGGCCGGATCGCCCTCGGGGGCTCGAGTCCGCGTAAGTCAAATTTCCTCCTATATATCTTCGTCCGTCCAGGACGAAGCGACCTCGCGAAAGATGGCTGAGAGTTCGTCGCAGAAGAGTGTATCGACCTGCAGTACATGAGGGCCACGGCCAACAACCCCGTCGGTCTGTACAGCTGTGCTGGGCTTGGAAATATTGGTGCCGCCGACAAGGGCATCAACTGGCCGCTCGTTAACGCGACTGCCTAGGCCGTCCGCTCGGCGGTAGGGTTGGTTGGGGGGTTGGATGGAAAGCAAGAGATGGGATGGTGGGCTGTGACGAAAACTGGTATTGTGTATTGTCCAGAATAAGGCTCAAACTATAAGAATCAGCCAAAACCAATGACATATTTCTTTATTTGTTGTTGAAAAGCGTTGTAGCAACTTTCGTAACTGTCGTTCTTGGATTCCCACCAGAACCTAGCGGTAAATTGACCATTGCAGAGGATATAGAATTACGTGCTATCTGGCTCGGTCCTCACAGCTGTATTGTAACGTAGCTTATAACAAGCGAGGTTTATTATCCCCACTAACACTCTGCCTCCCAACTTTAACCACAGCCATAAGCACTCGCAACATGCCTAGAGGCCCCCCCCCCCCCCCCCCCCCCTCACGGTACTTCAGATACACCGTGCAGCTTGTTCTTTAGCTAGAATATCCGCAACAGTGGCCAATGGGACATTTGCGGAAGATGACTCCAACACGACACCTTTTCGGCTGAAAACTCCTAAAACAAAGGTTGTTGTAATTGGGAAACGCTATAAACATCAGGTACTACACCTCGAGTATGATGTTAGCGCCAAATCCTATGATAGGCCGAGCGGCAATCTATAGTCAAGGTATGTTGAAGGCTACAATAGCGAATCTCAACCGCTGACTTGCATGATGCGCGGCCAGCCAGTAGCTTGGCATGCTGGGTTGTTCTCGAAGACTTCCGAACGAGCGGCTGCCTCTCTACTTTCGATGTTCACTAGAATCGGACTGGTGAGAGCTAGAAACTCCAGTTTCGCAAGTCGTCCTAATATGAGGGCCAGCGACCTGACATTAGAAAAGAACTTGCCTGGGAGGTAGTGCCGGTGCGACCTCGGAAAGATGTCAGTTATTTCTGATGTCGAGTTAGAAGCAATAATCAATGTAGGAGGAATGACATACTGACCTAACACAGAGATTTCATTCCACTCTCCCGAATAAGAAACCCGATCGACTCCCATGTCAAATTGGACATCTTTTAGATTCTTGAGATTCCCGAAAGGAACAAAGTTTTCTACACGTGGTCTCCTCTGAACGAAAGGCAAAGATGCCCGCTCAATATTAGGACAGATTGAGACCAGGAACGACATGTCTCCATCAACCGAATTCGTCGCACCGACCCACGTACTTTTGCCGAGAAACAGACCCTCAAGCTGGTCCAACCGCAGATTTATTTGAATTGCGCATTGTCGGAAGTAGGTTAAGAGCCAAGGCTCTGTAAAGCACATTTCAATGTCGACGCGTAAGTCGATAAGACCAGGAATTATTTCGAGGACAGATATCGGCAACACCGCACATTTGCGACCCTTCGACTCAGCTCTCACATCGCTACTGTGTTGCACCGCGTACTTTGTGCGTGGATTGTTTGAAATCTCGGTCACGATGCAGAGGGTTCTAAACAAACGTCAGCCCAACAATCACGTCTATATAGGAGATATCAAACATACCGGGCAGAATGCGATATGGTCCCATTTTGGAGAAGCGTGGTCAAGTGTATACCAAGTTTGTCTTCGTCGCACTTGATATTCAATCGTGAGAAAACGACAAGCCTTAGGATATTCCAAAGGCACTTGTTGACACGAGAAAGACTGTCTAGACCTCCTCCTACGTTCACGGAGCAATCTTCCTTACGAAAATCAGTCGTAGGAATCAGGCTAGTCACACGTTTGGTCTCGCGAGGCTGAATATGGCACCAATGAGCGATGTTCAGCAGTATCTCGTTCGGCAAGTCTAGGAGATGAAGGACCTGGTTTGGCATCGCATCAAGGCTCTTCAGCGCTTTGTGCTGCTCCAACTCCTTAGAGTATGTACGCTCTAAGGCCGAGCAAAGCTGGCTGGGATCGAATTTTTAATCCCTAACTACATCGTGATACTAAGTAAGCACGAGGTCCTGGTCTTGACTTGTCAGTCTGTAATAGACATAATCAAATTGTGCACGCGAGTCGCCAATCGCGTTGCCATCATGTCTGAGCTTGTTTTTCATGGCTTTCAGCCAATCCAGTAGTCGGGACTTGGCCTCATACAGCTTCCTAGGGTCAGGAAGCTGGTCGTAGAGCTTCAACTTCGTGGTGAGTTCATTGATGGTCTGTCGCATTTCTGCGATCTGGTTATCCCGATGTTCCAGTCTGCTTTTAAATTCCAGCTCTAGCTCCATGCGTGAAGCCTCGATGGCGTCCACGCGCAACGGGGAGGCCATATCCATTCTGGGTCGCGTTATCGCCCTGTGCCTTCGCGTTACCACCATAGAGCGGAGTAGTAATTACCAAGATAAGTGTAAAGCTAAGATAGAAGTACCGACCCTGGATTGCAATGCAAGTAGATCTGAGTCAACAACCAATACAGGCATGTGGCCGTTGAAGTCTGTCACATATTACTGCGTCAATACGAGATTCAACCAATAAAAGCAAAATGATTGGATGGGCAAACGCTTCGATAGACTGGCTCTAATATCTCAAAGAAGTTTCTTAGCATACAACAGAAATCAGATCATCCAACCCCCATTGAATCAGCATCGTTGCTTACATCGAACCGCCGTATTAATCCAGTATTAAACACACAGTAGAAAAATAAAAAGAAGTATATACACTACTAAACCTTCCGTTCCAATTCAAATCGCAATTCTCTGCTTCGCTCTAGTTACTCACCTGCCAGCTCTGATTTGCGCCGCGATCTTCTCTGCCAATGCGTAGACCGTGCTCTGTGGGTGGCCCGGCGGCAGCAATGCAAAACTGCTCGCATCCACAACCCGCAGGCCTGTGACACCAATGACTTTCGCATCACTGTCGACGACTGCATTCACGTCATCCTTCTTCCCCATACGGCATGTGCAAGATGCATGCCAGATGGTCATGACCGTGTTACGAATCGTCTGCAAGATCTGCGCGTCCGTTTGCACCGCTGGGCCAGGAAAATACTCCTTGTCCTCAGCCAAGACACCAGACATGGCGTCGCTTGCAAACGCAGCCCGCAGCCTCTTGTAGGTCGCGATGGCGACGGCCACGTCCGTTGGGTCTGTCAGCCAATTCGGGTTGATCTGCGGCAGGACATTGGTGTCGGCACTGGTGATAGTCACCGTGCCACGGCTCAGGGGCGCAACGAGCCCACCCAAGATGGTGGCATACTGATATCCATCTTTCGGCTGGGTGGTGAGCAAGTTTGAGAAGTCACCCACATAGCCTGGAGCGGAGAGATATTCGAGCTCTGGCCAATCCGGCGGGAACTGGGCATCGAGTGTCGACACTGCAGATGCTGGTAGCAGTTCCCGCGGGATCTTCTCCCAGCCCAGGAAATCGCAAATAGGGTTTGTCAAAGGACCCTGCTGTTTGGGGTAGTTGGTCAGAAACTCGGAAGCGAGATAGATCGGGTCATTGGCAATTCTGGTGAGTGTCTGCACGTTTACTCTGTGGGTGGGGCCAAAGAAGACGTGATCTTGCATCCCCTGACCAACACCGGGGCGGTCAGCAATCACTGAGATGCCGTACTTGCGTAAGATCGCTGCGGGACCCACGCCGGAAACCATCAGAAGCTGGGGTGACTGGAAAGCACCGGCGCTAAGGATGACCTCTTTTCGGGCACGGATTGTAAATGTTAACAGACCGGTCTGGTATGTTACACCATTTGCCTTCTTGCTGTTGTCGAAAAGTATCTTCTTGGCGAGGGCGAACTGGATGACTTTCAAGTTTGGTCTATCCTTGACATCGTCAAGGAATGAGGTCTGGGAGCTTTCACGCTTCATTTCCGTGTTGAGTGTATCGGCACAGTATTGGGCACCTAGTAATGAGCCGCTGTTAAAGTCCTTGATAGGAGGCACGCCTATCTCGTTCAGAGATGGTTCCATCCAGCTCGAAAAAGGTTGCGCCCAGTTGGCATAGCCCACCTGCAGTGGTCCGGCGGAGTCGTCAAATGCGCTGGCTTCGAACTCTGCCGAGGCATTGGCGGCGCGGGAGTCTGAAGGAGCGTGGAACTCGACACTCTTCTTGAAGTACGGCAGCCAGTTGTCCCAAGTATAACTCGAGTCGCCGATAGCATCAGCCCACTTCTGGTACGACTGCTTGGTACCGCGTTGGTATATCATGAAGTTGCGAGCGGAACTGCCACCCAGGCACTTGCCACGAGCATAGTGAATCCGACGATTGTTTGCTCCAGATTGAGGCGTGGTGACGAAGTTCCAGTCCACGAGATTAGTGTCCAAGGGGCTGGCACCAACTCCAATCACATCGCCAGCTGGTGTTGACGATAGGAGAGGGTTGCCTGCTTGGTAGTATGTTCCTGCCTCAAGTACAGCCACTTGAATGTTGGAGTCTTCGCTGAGACGTGCAGCTAATGTTAACCCAGCAGTGCCACCACCAACTATGACATAATCATACGTGCCAACTGGGATCTGACGTTTCTCATTGTGCTCCTCGTCAGGGATAGGACCAGCGACAGCACTACCAGCGTGGTGGCAGATAAGTGCTGCTGCCAGTATATTCAGCCACGTTGACCTCATAATGGAATTTAACAAAGTAATGCACGTTCTACCTGTTCAATTCAGTCACGACCTTCCTTGGAGGGATACAACCGGCCATATTTATAAAAGTACAGACACACCACTGCCGTGAGTCAAAGCGCATCACGGCTTCCTGTAGAAAGAGTCCACCGCACAAATTCTCTCGGTCGGCTTTGCAGTCGAGCCCGCAGATCTAGCTCAGCTGAATGTGCCAAGTCGAGGCTATAATGTGGGTGGCTTATGTGCACGACCGAAGCCAAAGGTCCGTGAGCTCGTATCGTCTGATCAAAAATCTACCGTCCATCTGAATTGGTACTTGTTTTTACAAATCAAGAATACAGAATGCGGAGCATCTAAGCTTCGCGCCGAATCCAACGATCGCTTCCTGTGGTTGAGACAAACTCAAAAACTGTGTTACCAGTGGGCGCACCAAACTTCGATTGGTAGCCAGGATGAGTCGTGTATATCGTAAAGGTGCTGATTACGAAATGGCACCGGCAGTGCGGACGAGCCCATTTTCACCCGCTCTCCCCTGAGACTAATTTAAGGGACATTGGACGGCGGGGAAATCACCCGCATTAGTTGGCCTTTGTATGCTAAATTCGAAGAATTCTGTCTCAAGCATGGAACTAACCCAGACTAGATACCTTTCTCCAGACGTACCTGCAGATGTTCGCATCATCATGTGCTGAGGCTCAGCGGACTTTCTCGGCTAGACTAGTCTAGTCTCTAGATTTTAGGCTTTTGCGCACGACAATAATTATAGCACATCTAGCCTGAAGCTCAACTCGCGAAGCCGCCTTAACCGAGTCCCCCCTATGGATGAATGTCTGCGAATTTTGATATGCCGCTTGCAGAGGTATGCATTGGACGATTACAAACATGGAAGAGAGAGTTCAGTAATTCATGGTAATGGATGTCTTAGACATCCACCTGGGCAACCACACTACATAGCCTTTAATAGAACCCAGGTCAGCTTTGCTCTTCGCACCCTTACATCACACAACCATCAATAAACTAATATTGACCACCATATTTGACGGGTCTATTGAAGTGTCACATTGAAAATTCTTTGCACTGCATTGCATAATCGATCACGATCCATGTAGCAACTTCATTTTCCCGGATCCAATACTAGGAGCTTCCTCCTGAGTACTTAGGTTGCTGTTTGCAGAGGTTTTATGAAAGCTTCGTTCTGGTCATCCCGATTCTCGCTAGGTTGTCTGAGCCATGCTGACGCTTCAACACTTTGACGCCTCTTTGAGTAGGGTCCTGCTGTAGAGAGAGGGTTTGCTGACAGATTAATGTCGGTTGTTCTGGGACCTACAAGCGTAATGCCACTTGGTCAACCAAGCGTTCTCGATACGGTGTGCCAGGAGATGACGCTGGAAGAAGCTATAAACCAGAGTTTCTAGTTCGCGCACATTAAAGAGCCGCAAAAGTTGAGGCCGGTTCCTGGGCATTGGAATGGGTCAGCAGGCCTTTGTCCTGCCGCAGTGGACATATTGACCGCATTGGCTTTTGTGCCATACCAGAATCAACCTGTGGTGCGCTACGTAATCTCTCCTACAACCCATTCGATATGTTCTTTCGCGTCCATTCTGGGCAATCTATCGTTGCCTTGAGCCCTACTAGAAATCTCATTTTCGAATTTTCTTTGTGTATAATGACTGTGTACCTAGCGCGCTCAAAATTGTCAAAGTACGTCTGACCGGTCGTTCAGACCGCACTCGTGACAACTTCGGACACATTGACCCCGAATATGGTAAATTCGAGCAGCAAAGTGTCGGCGGCAGTCTCGATAGACCTTTTGGATGTCGCATATTTCCCTTTAAACATTGGGGCTATAAAGGCCGTAACCACCTGTGTGTTTTCTAACTGCGTTAAAAGCGGCTTCAATGTCAGCTGGCTTGATAAATTCCAGTATTAGCAATGTCATGTTGTTGAAGCCATTGTATCTAATCATCTTGACGGGGTCGTGAGCTATAGCAAAATCGTGGAATCCACGCTTTTGGAAGAGGAGGGTTAAAGCTAAGCCGATACCTCCTTATGGCCCTTGTGGAGATGAGCGTCGGAATAACATACAGCTGTATGGCATCAGTTGCCGGGCTTTCTTAAGAACAAGAATGGTTTTCCGACCAGTTGAGGCCCCTGCTCGTCCGGCTTGTTAAGAAGTCTATTTCGCCACGACAAGTATTACAAAGCATCCACAAAATACCTCGAGACAATCACTTGTAGACATTGAGCTAGAGGGGTCCAGCACCCACGACCTCACACCTGACAATAGGAGTAGGGAACCTCGTGATATCAGAACTAGGCAGGCGCCAAAAGCGGAATTAATTTTCTCACTTGGGTGTAGATTTTGCCCGGGCCTTCTGTCTGCTACTACGAGCGAGTAGTATTATACATCTGTTGTTAGAATTCTTAGGCTGACTTGTGATCTGACGTATAATAAGATTTCTGTGAGTGCCTTAGTAGCGTATATATGTAAGCAAATGAGTTGGCGTTTATGGACAAGGGCTCCTGGCATAGCAAGATTTACGAATGTACTTTATTAAACAACGAAATAAAAACATAATACTTCTTACAGCGCTAATATTGGATTTATCACACTTTATCGATATTTATAAATATAATTAGTAAAGTATAAATGATGTCTATAAATAGAGTAGAAATCTTATAAAAGAGAAAAGCATACGGTGTAAAATATATGCCTTGGAGAGACGAGGGATCCCATATATACACCTTGGAGAGCTCTTGATCGAAACTTAAGGTGCCCAAGTGTTGCCAAATTTCGCTGCCTTTACAATCCCGCCGATGATTCCGGCGGTCGGTTCTGAAATACTTGCTACAACTTGCCACGAAGAAAAGATACCCAAGTTCCGTCGCATGTGGCGTAGACCTCGCCTTGTTCACCTGTGACCGCAACTCGGAAGTGCACCTTTCGACCGTCCACTTCAGCCAGGTGTGACGTGACGACCACGATCTGCGGCGTATGTATGGGTTTCAGTAGTCTTGTATCCATCCGACCGGTAACAAAGCCCATACTCTCAAAACCCTTCGAACTTGGCGGCAAAAGGCCCTCGGCTTTCTTTTGCTTGTGGACCTTGTCGTTCATGATCAAGTATGCACCCATGGACTCATCCATCAAGGCAACGATCAGGCCGCCGTGCGCGGTTCCGTTAAACCCATTTACTCCAGGCCTCAAGTCGAATATGAGAGAGCTCGAGGTCAAAAGGAACGGTAGGCCAGACACAGCTCCGTCTGATAAATCGATCGGGTCTTGGTAGAATCCTAAGCAACGCGGGATCGCTTCATTGTTCCGTAGAACTCGCCTGAACAATTGATCCAGCAGCGGTGGCTCCACGTCATCTTTGGTTGCATAACTTGGTGGCACAAAGGTGACTGTGTTGGGGGCGCCAATAAGTGCAGTACACCACGGCACGTCTTCTAATCTAGCTGTCTCCCAAGGAGTTGCCATCTGGTGATATGAAAGTCTGGCAAAGATCCAAGGTCGGCCGGAAGAAAATATAATTAACAGTTACAAGATCTCAAAGGCTGTCTTTGAAAGGACCACCGTTAGGCTCTGTATGTCTGCAATGCGGCAAAATAAAGATGATGCCGTTGTTAAGCCGAGGTATACAACAACCTAACGCACTAGCCAGAAGGTTTGATTTTACAAAGCATACTATCATGTCTCCTCCTGGTTACGGATATTGGGAATGTCTGTGCAGGGAGTTGGCAGTCAAGGCCCGAATGAATACCCACGATGCGATATTGTGCTGTCGAGACCTTGAAACCTCAGCAAGGCTCGGCTTGCCAAGAAGTAGGATCGTCTTGCCCATACAAATTACCGAGGTCGTAAGCTAGCAATAATTCATGATCGGATTCTTGGCGAACATTTTTACCGTCTTTGCCGTCTTTGCTGACGAGATCAACATCCAAGGGCGGTTTATCACATGCAACGGTTTTGTGTTCTAACCGAGTTGGTATTATAATCCACCATCCTAACCCATGGGGCCCCACCTAGGAAAGCCCCCATGGATAGTTCCTACTCGGCCGAGAGTGCAGAAGGTCAATGCTATGTATTAGTCACTTCTTTGCACATGTTTTCACATAGATGGAAGTTCAGCAATGTCCGTAGCGTCAATTCTCCTGAAATGCGTCGACGGACTGCGTAAAGTAGTTTTGCGGCGTATTTGTTAACCGCGGCCGACATTCTTACGGTTTATAAGATAGAACAGCAGGCGAATCCGCAGACGAAGTTGTGCAACTTTAATCAGCTGGCTTTACAAACTTGTCATTTAATACCAAGTGTGTAAGATACGTGGAGTCCAAATGTCCGGCTAGTAAAGGCGGTCGGTGTGAGCGCACCCGGTTCTTGCGGTGATAGATATCATCCCGGAGAATATGATTTGAAGACGATTGGTCCCAAACTTCAGGAAGGCAGGGGCATGGACGATATTCTGATCAGACTTGCTATACTAGTAGTGTTATCAGACTATTACCCACAAGGCTCGCCGGTTCGCCGATTCGCACGTCGGTGTGCTCGAAAGGGTTGGAAGGTCAGGGTTTGGGGCAACTTGTCCATTCCATACGTGGATGAAAATCGTGCCTTGGATCAGCTGGACGGGGAAAATTCTCGACGAGAGAGCCATGTCCTATACTGACGGCAAGTGTGGGAAGGATAAGACAATTGGTGCTGCAGGTGATATTTGTGTCTGCACTGGTCGGCAAAGCTTCCGTGAAATTCGATACTGACCATGTCCCACAGGTCTTCGAGCTCTTGTCGAGGTTGAGAATTGCAAAGTTCTCTAGATCAAGCTGGCAAATCACAATTAAAAACGTGTCCCAACATCCTGATTACACACACACACACACACATGGTTCCGTGGAGCGGTCAAGAAACTGCGGACATCGTGTATTGTGATATACATGGCACCCCAACTGACATTTGCATCGAGAGCAACCGTGCCGCCATCACTGTGTGTACTGTTCGGCTCCCGAACTACTTCATAGGGGTCCAAACCACCCCCGAGCTCATGCCCAATCCTCGTTTTATACGAGCAAGAACCAAGTCCAAGGGGTACGCGAGAAGCCACTCCAGTCGTGCTCATTGTGTCGGGGAGATATTGATACTGACGAACGGTTACTTCTGGGTGCAGCGGACGTCTAATACAGACCCAATCCGCGACTTTACATAGACCCTACCTGACCTGAGTGCACGAGACAGACCAAAATTTAGCGTTCACGACTGAAACCGACTCCGTTTTGCCCGGTCCCGGCTTACAATCTTCCTGATCTTAGAAGATGTAATAGTATAGTACGTCTTGGACCTGCAAAATCGAGGAACCGATGCGACCGAAGGCAAGTCACGGGAAGTACCAGACCTCAGTAAAGCAAAAGAATCACACTTTGCATTTGGACCAGCGATCAGTCATGTTGGACAATATGCACACACTGACGATTAGCATGACATATGGTGTGGTTTGTGGTGGCATACATGTCAGTTACCATGAACCAAATTTGGGCGAGTTCAGGAGTGTGGAAACCCATCGGCACCAACTTGTTCCGACAGCTGCAGGTCTGGGCGAAAGTTCCTTGCTCACTCATGATTGTCGGTTCTCAAGCCACACATGCACTATTAATGATGAGAAGAGAAGTCAGAACAGTATAGAGTATACGTATTCATTGATGCGAATTGCTAACACGAAATAGAACCCGTCAAGCGCCTTCGGCGCGACTATGAAACCCATAAGAAATCGACACCCCAGTTTTCGGTAAACCATGATTGGGCCAGAGATAAGAAGATAGAAACGACACGAAAGAACAGATTACAATATTCCTCAGCAAGTAGCGTCATTGTCTGCACGCCAGTAGTGTCAGACTGGTACCACTGCCTCCTGGGAGGCGACAGGGCCATCTAAGGCCTGTCCCTCCAGTTCTTTCCAAAGCACCTGTCCCAAAAATACCAATGGTTTATGAGCTAGTTCGGCCCATGGCAATTCGCTTCCAGTGATCACGCTCAGCCTCAAGCTTCGCAATCGTTGCCTCGAGGTCTTCCAGTTTCTGAGCCTTACGTTCACGAGACTTACGAGCTGCAAGAGTGTTGCGGGCTCGCTTCATAGCAGTCGTGTCGTTGGGGTCATCAACAACGATGGGAGGCAAAGGCTTGTCACGTCGTCGAGCGTTAACACCTGAGACAGAAGAGTGGCGACCATGCCCTGTTGGGGAGTTGGCAGACTTTCGGCGAGGCTGAGAGGTCTCAACCACGTCTAGGTCCTCTGGCATCAGGGAAGGAGAGTTGTCCAAACTGGCAACGGGCTCCTTGATAGTGTTCTCCTGGGGGAAGAGAGGGAACCAAGGGTCGTTGGCGCCAGACTCGAAGTCGTTGCTCCCAAAGTTGGGAGAAACATCGAAGCTGTCATGAAATTCAGGCGACTCGTTGAAGATGGACGGCGAAGTCAGGTTGGTGAAAGCAGCGGAGTTGGGCGCAGAGAAAGGCTCCTGCATGAGCAAGTCGTGGGGAGAGACAGTGCCCATGTTTGTCGTGGAGCTAGAAACAGAGTGCAAATCATAGGCCGGGATAGCCGGAGATGAGAAAGTCGTGCTGGATGCACCGCCCTCGGGGGTGAGGGCGGCGAAATCCTCAAAGCTGCTGAGAGCGTCTGTCACGTATGAGCGGCTGTCACCATGGTCAAGGGCGGGGAGCGAATTACCGTTCAAATCCATTTTGGAGTTGTTTTGTCTAACGATGCCCTGTGTGAATAGCGGAACAGGTGGACGAGCAGGTCGGTTCTGTTGTTGATTCACTGCGACGGATGATTGCGGAGCAGATAAGGATGCGTAAAACTGCTGGTGACTCTGTTGGTTTTGCGCTGGAGAATTAAACCGGTTGGTATACGCCGAAGTAGTAGTGTTATGCCCTGTTGATTGGATGATCTGGGCCACTCGCTGATTCTGGAGAGAGGGAGAATCGGTGGTCTGATGAGACGAGTGACGCCTGGGAGTGCTGTTCAATGATCCAAAGTTGTTCGCTGCGGTGTTGGCAGGCGAGGAAGCGGTGCGGTTAACGCTGGTTCTGGCGGGTTGGTCGAACAAGACGAAGTCCTGTTGAGGAGAGGGCAGGAAGTTCTGTTGCGCGGGTGGTGCCGGCAGGCTCGAGGAACTGGAGGGAGGCCATGTTGACTGTTGGGAATCCGTGGTGAAGACTAAAAAGTCCTGTAGGGGAAAGGCTGAGTTGAGAGAACTGTTGCGCGAGGAGCTGAGAATAGCTTCGTTGGAGTTCAGATCGTCCTGGAAGGGAAGAGCTGGGAAAGTTTGAGTGGAGAAAATGGTTTTTTTAATTGTTGGTGAAATTTTGACGGAGGCTACGGGAGCACTGGGAACACGGGTTCGGGGGGGCGCGATTAACGCATCTTGATGAGATGCTGTGGTTATGTATAGATTTCTGTGACTGGGAATTTGGGTTGGGAGGAGAGGGAGAAAACCACAGGCGCCTCAGGCCAGGCAGAAATTTGTCCTTCTTATGTGGTTTTGGGTAGCCAAAAAAGACGGGAGTCCACTCAGAGCCCGCAGCCCAATCAGAGCAAGCAGAGGCGTGTGACTCATAACTAATCCTTGCACCCCACTTTTAGCGCATCCTCCTCCCTCCTCCCACATCTCCCATCTCCATTTCTTCGCACCCTTGCGCGGCCTGCGCTTACCTCACATATGCAGTATTACCTGGTATTAACAGCGCCTGCAGCCCAGGTGCAGTGGAGCACAGGGGACAGAGACAGGCACAGCCTCCAGCATTTTGCGTTTTAGCACTTCGCGCACCCATTGCAGCGGTTTTGTAGGAACTTACCGCAGACGGCAGCCTGAAAGGTGTTACCTGGTTTTTGCCGTCACCACGAAATCCCCCGTTGCTTTTCGAACACACACAGTCCACACTCTCTCTTATCTTCGTCATCCGTTGGTGCCGGCCGAATATCAAATTTGTAAATTAGGGCGACGCGGTTTCAAGAGCCATCGTCGTTAGCCCCAAACCGACCCCGGTTTTGATTGGATCTCTTCGGCGAGGCGGTTCAGGAAATCGCTCCAAGGGCGTCCTCTCCAAACCCACCTACCAACCACAAATTCGGCCATCCGCACAAATCCCGACAAACCGCGCACATTCTCGTCTAGGACAGCAGCCCTATGCCGTTCTACCAATATGCCTTTCCAGGGCCACCGTAGTTTAAACAATATCCAGTGTCAATCGCCTGGTCGCCATCAAATCCACTCCGTTGTGTTGTGTACGGGAGTACCACCGTATGTAGGATACGTTCGGATCCGTATGTAAGCAATCCTATAACGTCGGGCAACTTGGGGTCCGTGTGATACGAGCAGGGCTTTATTATTGGTCACATCCTATTCTGTATGCACCTCCCATTGGCACATGCAGCTTCGAACCGGCTATGTCAAGCCATGTGTCCAATTTCTTATCTTTAGTACGTAGTGAACTTATATTTTGTTATGTGGCCTCGAAACCAACCAACAAACGGCGCACTGCCCTTGATGCACGGTACTTGTAATATGGAATGAACTGCAGAAGCTAACGGTAGGCAACTGGATCAAGTCGCAATGCTGGCATACGCAATCACGATTCTGATTCTTTGAAGAACCGCCGCCTGTGTAGTATGCCGTCCTAGTGTAGTCCAGTCTAGGTAGTGGAGAAGCCTTTCCGTGCAAGACAGCTACATACCGTAGGCATTCACTATTAGCTCGCGAACATATTCCACCTGCTTACCCCCACAACAGAGTCCTACCTACCATTACAGTAGTCCTAAAGTTCCACTTGTCGCAAACAGACAGATACAGATGTCGCAAATGCCTGCCAAGGAATCTGCGAAATCTGATCTCGTCAAATCAGATCTGCCAATTCAAAAAGTTCCCGGGAATTTACAATTCGATTCAACTCAATTCAGAGTGAGTCATTCTCGTGTGCCCCTGTCCTGCAGCTTGTTCCACAGATTTGGAACCCCAGCCGTGCACGCGCGGTCGTATTTGCTGTGGTGCTAACCGACCTGAGCCACGCCCCGAATTCCGCCTGCTGGCCGTCCTGAATTCCTATTTGCCCGTTTGCCGAAAAAGAACTGGGGGGACGCATGCAGGCGTGAGATGCTCCGGCGAGATGAATATGGGCAATCATTTGCGACTAACCTGGCAATCTGCAACTCCGTCACGACAAAACCACGCCGCTGCCGGGTACAGTATCACATAAGGTGCATGCGGAGTCCAGCGGATTTCAGCGGGTTCTATGTAATAACCGTTCACTTCTCCGGGGCCAGCGTTTTGAGGCCATTCTCTTCATTCACGCAGCGCCAGCTCGTACCGACGAATATGTCCTCCAAGACTCTCACGGATCAGTTAGTCCCGTGCCGACTGGAAATGGGCCTCACAGCCTCCTGCGGTTCGGCTCCGACTTCTGCTGGTGCTAAGCCTAATTGATCGTGAACAAGTACTGAGGACTGGCGAATCAATTACCGTTTACACATGCCTTAAACTGCATAGTTACTGCATTCGAATGCAAATGCAAGTAAAAGTTCCTCCGTGGCTTACGCCAGCGCGCGCAATTGTGTTTCCTCAAGGCCCTGCTCTCACAACGTTGCTTGCGTCGCGTGCCTCGCAAATTGCTACAGTTGTTTCCGTATTCCTACTGCTGGAATTCATCCTTCTGCCTTTTCCCTCCCCCCACGCTGTTAGTCCTGAGGCATCTGCTGACCAAGCTTGCACTCTTACCTGTTAGGTAAGGCCAGTTTGCAGAACTCGCAAATGAGTTGTCACAGGGGACGTCTCAACTTACGCATCTCTGTCCGCCGTTGAAACCGTGTCCTATTAATATCGTCAAAAGTTCCGGGTATGCACGCGTCCCTTATCAATCACCGGTAACATATGAAGTCGATTTGCAACGTCTGTACTCCCTTCTTCGATGCAAAACGTCACATGCTCGATACTTCCTGCCGCATCAAACTTGCGCACATCTAAACAGCGCCGTGGGGTTATTCCCCCATAGACTATTCCGGTGACACCGGTCCCTGCTCTTTTGTTGCTGCAACCTTGCACGCCCGCAATCATCCGTAATCAAGATGTCGCGATGTAGGCACGCTCTCCAAACTCTAATGCAGCCGCTGGGCAGCTGACGCTGCCGCCGGTTTGCATCCATAATCTCCGTGACCATGTGGACAGGATACATCGCCCTGTCGCCGGGTTGTTGCCGTCGCGCCGGCGACTTTCGGGATGCTATGGAGTATCCCATTTCCTCACCGGCTCATTCCCTTCTCGCTGACCGATCCGTGCTGCTTACTTATAGCAAGCTGGGGGGCCATTACTAAGCTTGGCAACCACCGCATGGTCATCCCACGCTCAGGCTTGGCTATGCCAAGCGATCCCAGTTGTGGTTCACGGGCCGGGTACTTGATCCTCGGTGTCTGGGGTTTGGATTACGTGACCCCAAACCCGTTTGGTCTCAATAGAAGCGCAATGTGTTCCACTCCGTAATTATGACATTCAAGGTTCACGGTCCGACCGGCCGCCCTGTATATCCCTATTGAGGTCGACGAGAGAAACGATGATGTATTAGAGAACTTCAACCAAAGACATGTTTATGTTAGAATTTGAGACGAATTCTGAGCTTGCGCTACAACCCACAACACGTCAAAACTTACTTGGGTATATACCTTTTTGTGAATATTTGCATTCAATCTATAAACTTGCCTGTTTCCTCGGCGATTTTGCGTGGAACAAAAATCATCACTTGGAGAATCATCATATAATTTCTTTTTGTTGTACGGGGACCTGGCAAGTCCCCAATTAGTCTACTACCTCTCTCTACTTGTATCTTACGTTCTCGTCCAGCCTCTGAAGCTTGTGGTCTGGCGCCGTGGTGAACGAGCAATGCCCGATTTTGTCCTTGACCCGCACGACACCCCACTGCACGGGTAGCAGATAGCCGTGATCTCGGTCTCCGGGCAGCACGTGGCAGGCAGCGCTGATGGCGCGACTGTTCGTGGACACCATGCTCATGGTGCCGTCGTACTTGCGCATGCTGACCAGTATGAGGGCCAGAACCAGTGCGATTCCAACCAGCATTGCTGCGGCAAAGAATGTTTCGTTAGCTTGCCTGCCAAATTTTGACGCTTATATAGGTTCGAGGAGAATCTGCCGTTTGAGAACTTACTTATGAATATCGCAATCGGACTATATCCACACGTCGAGAACGAATAGGTATTGTCGTCTGTGCCGTCGGGGGAAATGGCGGTGATGCGCGCCAGGAAGAGGCTCTGCGATATCAGCCAGTGCATGACGCCCGAGGTGGCGTAGAGGGGCACGCCGTACCGCAGAGGCAGGCTGATGAAGAAGCTGGAGCGCTGGATGCCCGTGGGCTCCGAGACGCGCAGGGGCTTCCGCCTGTCGCTGCGGTGCATGAGGCTGAACTCGCGCTGGACGAGAAACGTGCTCAGCATGGCGTTGTACAAGATGTAGATGATGGAGATGAGCAGCTGCGGCAGGTTCGCCAGCAGCACGTTGGAGATCAGCCCCACGGGGTCCTCGCGCGGTAGCCCGAGCACGAGGTATGTCAAGGGCGTCAGGGCGCCGAAGCCGAGGCTCCATAGGCCGGGTATCGTCACGTCGATGCCGCGGTGTCGGAGGGAGACTCGCGCCAGACCTAGGAGTCCTCCGACTACACCCAGGATGAGGCAGCATCTGCTTCTGTTCAGTAATTGAATATGACCGAACAAAGTAGCCCACTTACGTGAAAATGAGAATAAACCACCTCTTCGGGCTTGCGGCTGACCACCATCGTTTGGGCCTGCTTGCCCACAGACGAGGCTCCTGGGATGGGGCTGGCGGTTGTTTTCTCAACTGCTTGGCCCAAGGGCGCTTCCATAGATAGTCATCTTTGGGTGCCAAGCACATGTCCTCAGTCGTGGGGTCGGGCCGGCGCATAAAAGAAGCTATCGCGTCTCCCAATGTATACAAGATTTGGTCCTTCATGGCTTGTGTTTTTTCCTCTTGAGATAGACCCTGCCTATTATCCCTGTTCTGCCACTTCCTCATGACCCAAACACCAAGCATGACACTTGCTTTGAGGAGATTCAGTAGACAAACCGTAAACATGATCTGTGGCGAGTATTCGAACCGGCATCTGTTGGCTTCGCTGTCCATTTGTTGGACGAGGCAGTATGATACCTCGTAGTGCGGCGGTCCGAGATACCAGGTGGTCACAGGTGAGGTAGGTGATGTCGCCACGAACTTTCCGGTCCCGTTGCCAAGAGCCCACATGTTCTTTGCCCAGTCGTCGTAGCGGGGGATGATGGAGACATACATCAGCAAACTGTCGTCGAATGGGGTTTGCACGCTCTGGTTCTTCACAAATATCAGTGCGTTTCCCTGTGGTGTCCAATAGTCGTCATAAAGGTCGAAACAGGCGGATGTGTTCAATTCCTCATACGACGCGGCCATCGCAGCCTTTTGCATATCAAGAATAATCTGCGTGTAGTTTTGTTCAGGGTTGACTCTACTGTCGTCCCATCCAAAGTCCCCTTTTCGGTTTTGCTCGGCTGTGGTGAGGTTGAATGAACTAGCGTTGAGGAAGGAGTCCTTGACCACAGCAATGGTATATTCATTGGATGCCAACGACTGGAATACCGCCGAGTTGTACCTTGTGAGTGTAGTATTAGCTCGAGTTTATCTTGATCGGCAGTCCTGGGTTGACAGGGAAAGAAGTGGCAAGCATGTGAGAAGTCAACAGCCGTACGTACAGGAGATGTAGTGGTACAGAACTCAAGGCCAGAATGATCCACGTGAATCGCCTCCAGCCACTGATATAGCGTAAGTTCCTCAAGCTGGAAACTCCGATATCCAGCCATTTATTGGACTTATGCGCTCGGTCGATATCTGCGCGCGTCGGAGCGGCCTGTAATTGCATACAATAGTTTGACGCGGACAACATTCCCGTGCTCAGGAGATTGATCAATAAGTGAATCCATTGATCAAGTTGTTTCACCGTGTTGCAGTCGCCACTATATATCAGCCCGACGCCATTCTGGCTCTGATATCTTGAGACTGCGAAGGCAGTAAGACAGAGGTTGACGATGAAGATGACCGTCACTATGGTGGTTTGTAGCATCAGCGCACGGCTTCGTCTGGACATCCAAATCCGAAGGCTGTCCTTTTCATCGTTGTTGATCTGCGGAAACCACCATGATAAGGTCTCTCTTTCAGCCAGTGGTTCCGCCCTGATGGTGTGGTTTGACTCTTGTTTCTCGAGCACCTGTTGTTCAGGAAGCTTTAGTGGCGTCGAATCGTCCAGAATGGCATTTGGCTGTGCTTCCATCGATCCGGATTCATGATCACTTGATGTGTGCAGGCTCGGGTTGGCAAGGTTCTGCTCCATCCTATCCTCAATCCTTGGGAGACGAAATCACAGGTCCATCCAAGCGATCAAGCCAAGGTGTAAGGTTACCGCACAGATTCCAATGTATCGTTGGTAGAACAAGGCTGACTTTATAATATTCGACCAGAGAATGGTGCCGTGGAAGGAATCACAACACGTATGGCTAAAGGATGAATATCGCAAAAGAAGAGGGAGGGCCGCCTCGGAGATGGTACTGGATTGACAGCATAACGAAATGATTTCATGCCTGCCGCCAGGTGAACTTGGTGAGGGTGCGGTGGATGAAGGGTGTGTATTTTGCGGGCCAGCAACGTGGATTTGCGGACCACAGCCGCTTCCCAAAGCTCAAAAGTGCACATGGTGTTCTGTTTCCATCAAGAGCACAAGCGTTGAACAGCAATGACTGGCTCGGTTCGAGCATGGCTGGAACGATCCATGTCCGATTGGACATGGGGAGCCCACTACTGGCGATTGCGGCTTGCTGGCGGCCGGCCTAGAACCAATTCAGCGTAAGGCTGGCTAACTCCCTGTACAGTATTATGTACCGGGTACGGAATATACCCAAAGACCTTCGGCTATCTTGCCGGCCCTGAGGGCATGGTATTGACACAAAGCCCTGCCAAGTGCTATGAACCACGCATTCTGGAAACATCCATTCGCCTGGAGGCCCATCGGAGCACCTGTCCTCGGGGGATAGAGCGACTGAGTATCTGATTTCTGGACTATTATGGCTTCTTGACGGGAGACATTGAGTAACCTTACAGTAACCTAGAACGTGGTGCGTCAGCTCTTGTGGCACCCGTTTAGCGCGGCGCTAATTTGGATGCCAGGTAGATATCGCAACTGCGCGAGTAATAAAAATAGTTTCTTCATCATATACTCTAGCGGTCTTCGATATACGAAGTATGAGGTGCCGAAGGCAGATGGCTTGGGATAAAGCAAGTTTACAGGGCAATGCAAGGACCTCTATATCCGACCAACAAAGCCTCTAGGTCAGGATCGTAGTCGGTACAGCTAACGTTGGAAGGCATTTGAGCGATCGGCAGTATCCGCGAGCTATACTCCAAACGAGAAAATGACTAACCTTAGTCTACGGTTAGTGGTTTTCCGACTGCTAGAGATCTGATCAAGACTGCGGAGTAACTATGTGCCCAAACGCACGGGTATTGTGGATCTGTAATACTGTAGTATCAAGCTTTTCATCCAACGTTTATTAGCCTGCAAGATTATTAGACATAGGGCCACTTTGTCTTACGAACAAATCACAGGCCGTGGAAAACATTTCCCGGCTTTCATTGCTTGAGAATGAAGTCGGCAGTACCATGGGCCATCCCACCCCACGGCTGCTGTCGCTACTGACGGGCGTAGCTGAGATCTGTACCCCATCTCCTGCTAGCACAGCCGGTTTCCAAGGTATGCAGACGCAAGAAAGCGACGGGGCGCACGACCCCAAGACCTCTAGTCAGAACCACCATATGCTCTATCATCTTTCGCAATGTGGAAGTGCGGGTTTGTATTGAAGCAGTCTCATTACATGCCGCACAACGTCCAAGGCACGCGTACAGGGCAACCCAATCGCTCCACCATGGCTTGGGCACATCATCCAGGACCAGAAGCATTGGGACCAGGTAATCAATCGTTGAGGAGCTGGCGCAGTTCACCCGGGGGTCCTGAAAATATACCCCCGCCCAATCTGGACGATTTCAAATCGCACGAGGCCTTTTCGTACCATTGTCTTCAGGCGTGAAAGTGAAAATATGGGCCATCAACAATATTCCACAAGAGAGTCACATGTAATCGTTGGTGGGGCGCAAATCCTCGCAACAGCGGGGCTGACTCTGATTGCTGAAGTGGGCTTCGCGTTCAGGAAAGACGGTCGAACTCTTTTGGAAGTTTGCCCGTCTAACCTAGACAGATGCATCGTCCTACCAACCAGCGCATACGGGAGGAAATGTGTAAAAGTCGATAGCGCTGCGTACAAACACATAAAGAAGGTCAATACTTGAGGGCTGCTAGGGCCTTGGTCATTATTTATGATTATCGTTGCGCGCGGTAGCGGCAGCTATTCTGCACTCTGTCTATGGCGGCTAAATAGCTGAAGATGGCTTTCCATTACTGCAAGGCACTCCTACAGCCATGATCCTTCACCTTGACCAGGGTCTAGGCGTCCTCTATTATTAATTGCTGTTGGGCTTCTAAGCGACTCCACATTGCTTGGTAGGTGCAGTGTAATTCGGGATCTGGTGCGGTGAACCCCTGAATAGACATTCCGCATTATGATCAAGCGCTAGACAACGTTATTCTTGATCTTTTGACGCAACCAAGCGGAATTTCAGGCAATACACTACATCCCCATGTTGTCTCTCAATTCACTCGGTTAATGATTATAGCGAGATCGATCTAAACGCCGTTTCCTTTAATCCCTTGGCGCTGCGCCCGCCCGTTGGCCTGCTTTGTCGTGTTCCAAAAGAGATCGAGGCAAGAAGCATTAGTGGTTTCGTCAATTTAATGTTTAGACAAGTCCTGAGAAGATCTCAATAATCTCATTTGTCCCCATGATGTAGGGTAAATAACCTTAAAAGATGGGTTGCCACGAAAAACCTAAGAACCTCGCAGCCAAGCCAGCGGCAATCACGATTGAGAGTGAGTGCCACGGAACACCTGGCCATCTACCATACCAACCTCATCGCCTAGTGTAGCAAATTCGCGAGACCTGAGCCAATTTGTGTAGAGGATTTGGATTTTCGGAGGTCTCGCTAAGAGGATTGGTCGCAAATAGGTGTAACACATTGGCCAGGCGGTCAGGAAACGCCCCAGTGTCAAGGCTGTTCCAGTCACCAGCTGCCCCGATAATCAGCATCTTTTGCCCGATTACCCTCATGGCAGCCATTGTATCCCGTCGTGCCCTGCTTGAAAGCCAAGCACCATCACAAATACATGGACCTTTGTCTGGCAAACCCATCGAATGGCACTTTGAATGAGATGTGGAACTGTAGGATTGGCGGTCCTTCGGTGAAAAGCTCTGGAGACAGGCGAATCTGCGTCCTCGAGCACGCGAAGAGTAAAACTGACTGTGTCTGTACCGTGGCTACCGTTGTCCCGCTCCCGATGTTCTTTGGGTCTTAGAAAATCCATACACATATGATCTTCCTTATGCTCAGCATATGGGTCGTTCGGTGTTATGCCCGCTTCAAGTACGGCGATCTTAACACGTCGCTGTTTCCTATCTCGGACGTGTCTGGATTCGTGGCCGCCAACAGCCCAGTGAGGTCACTCGATATTTTGAACCGATGTTCAGATGAAGCTTCTTCGTTGCTACCCTAGTCCAAAATCAAAGCCCAAAAAGTAGGGAACGTAAACACAGCTGACCCTTGTAGCATGGTAATTCCATCGGAAGCCAGGACCGATGTTGATGCCCTGCGATAAATCTTTGTCTTCTGAGTCATGTACCTACCATGAACTGACACCAGAGTTCTAGTTCACGCGTAGTGTTCAACTTGAATGTGCCGAGTGTCGTCCTCAATAGATCAAAGAACTACCTCGGCAGGCAGACCAGAGTCAAGGTTGTCATGGTGTTTTTGGCTGGAGGACTCGGCTTCAGGTTGTGCTGTCAGATATCCCTTTAACTTGAGGGGCGGTGACCCTCATGGACTGAGTAGGCTGGCCCGGTATCCATCGTGGTGCATGATCAGCACAATAAGCGGAGTCACTGGTCTCACACTGATGACAATCTGTACAGGCGCATTCTTCGATCAAGTATGAGGGCAACTTACTTGTTTGCTCAGATTCTAACCTACTTACGCACCACATAGCAATATCCACCAGATTCTGCACATGTATCTGTCTTCTCATAGTCGTCTGCCAGCCCGCTAATACCATTACGGCTAACGCTCCAACGGATCTTTGCCTATGACGTCCACGCCCAGCCATGACTGAAACAGCAGCCTTTAGCACGGCGTTGATGGTGACGATGCCTTGCAATGTGTGGACTCTTTGAAGGTAGTGGATCGGGTACAATAGTCACTGTTGTCATTCTGGTTTAGAGTCCTGCGTCTTGTGTTTTTCAAGGCTTTGGTTCGACTAGCTGTCTCGCTCGTTCGTAGATCTCGCGACGCCCGGCTGTATAAGTTCGGTGCTGTTCTCTCTCCTTCATAAACACATCTTTTAATTCGAGGTTGGCCGCGACATATTACTCATACACATCGAAATCATACCATATTGGAGAAAACCGGGTGTGTTCTGGATGCTTGCCGGGACGGATAATATAAAGCAGCTCTTCGATGCAAACCCCAAACATATCTGCAGGCTCAAGAGTCTGTGTCACACTTGATAGATCATATGAAGCATCTATATAGTCAACTGATGATCGAGTATAGTGATGGATCTTACCATGATGTGCAACTGTACAGTCGAAAAGCTTTCATAGTCCTACGCCAATCCTGGGTATACGAATACGGAGAGGTCCGGACGTGCGATTCCCATACGAATTGGTCGAAGGTACTGCGGAAGCGGAGTAAGATGGAATCCAGGTCAAAAGGTAACATACTATATGTCATGTTTGATAGCAGCAGCATTCCTGACTCTGGATCTAATTGAAGGATTACCTGTCAGTTTCATCGGGCCGAAGCTGTCCCGCCAGGACTGAGGCTTTTCCTTACTGCATAGCAAGCAAGCTGTACGCAGCAACATCGTGATGCCCTGATATCAGACTGGGCGGGTCAATCGTTTTAGTGAATACGGGGAAAACATGGAGGTCTTTCGGAATTCGACTAAATGTGCTCTAGGTAGATCTGCTCGGGGAAAATATTGGCGAAGTTGAATTGACAACAAGGGCGTTTCCTCGAACTGCTCTTGAGTGTCGATGAATGCAAACGCGGGTTTCTGATTGTCATCAGAATTGGTGAATCGAAATCAGATTCAAGTGGGTTTTCTCTGGAAATGGCCTTCGGGAACAATCAATTAGAAAATTGTTGACACCCAGCTTTGTTACCACACAGGTAGTCAGCCCGGCCAGCTTAATCCTGGATCTGGCTTTTCCGATCATGCAAGCCTTTTTATGATTTTTTTTTTAATTCTTTTTTAGTGATCCTGTTCCAGAAGAGTTTACAGCAAGTGCTTTTTGTGCTAATTATCCTATGGGACTTTTTCAAAGTACTACCAATACAAAAATTAGAAATTGGTCAGCCAGGGTATCATTGCGAAAACTCGAAATCGACAAACTCGTCGTAAACCCCGCGACATTTTCTCAAACCAGTATCAATTACAGTCGTCATCAGCGCGACATTTCCTTAAACCAGACTTAATCACGCTCGTCATCAGCGCAATATTTCCTCAAACCAGATTCAACCGCGCTTATCATCAGCGTCGGCATCCTCCACGAAGGCCATCGAAATCAAAAAATTTCGTGGTAAACCCCACGACATTTCCTCAATCCAGATTTAATCACGCTCATCATCAGCGTTGGGATCCTCCACAGAAGCCGGCTTGCCGACAGCCTTGCCTTTTCCCTTGCCCTTGCCCTTGCTACTAGAACCGCCTTGGGTGTTCTCCTCATTACCAGCAGTAGTGGGAGTGTATGCCTCAACAAGAGAATTGTCTCGGATGACAACCTCCTGGTTGGCGATTCGGCGCATCAGATCAACGAAGTTGGATTTTCGAAATTTCTCCGAATCGTTGTCAGCAACAGCGCTGACGAGCTGCTGAGCGACACGAGCCAGATCCGAAGCGTCGAGAGGGCGGTCAAGAGGGTGGTCAAGAGGGTGGTCAAGCGGGTGGTCAAGAGTGCGGTTGAGAGGGCGGTTGTTGGTGGCGCTGGTTGCCTCGTTACCAGCCTTCCTAGCCCCAGCCTTCTTAGCCATGGCCAATCTCTCCTTCTCCTGTCTCTGAGCGTCCAAGAGCTCCATAGTTGCAGCGAATGCATCTCCGTGCGATCCGTACTTCTCCAGATTACGCTGGATATCGGCCTGGATCTTCTGTGCACGTTGTTGCTCGCGTCTGGTTACCTCGGGTAGAAACTCAGGCTCTATGAACTCGACCGGCGGCAAGCCATGGGCTATACGATCCTGGTTCATCAGGTCGTGAGCCTCTCTTTCACTCTCAATGGCCACCCACTCATTCATGGCTTCATCAAAAGATGCCTGCCAAGCGGCGGCCGACTCCTTGAAAAGAGCTTAATCGTAACCAAGTCAGCAGAAGTACGACGGAATGTGTGACACACCAAGCAGACAGGAAGCAATCATCAACCGTGATGTATCACGGGGATGTGAGGAACTGTCAAGTACATGACTGAACGTGACGAGAGTGCAAACTTACGGTCTTGATGGACAGTGCCGTCACTCAGTGCAGGAGAGAATGTGCGCTGCCCAGACATGGAATACCCATCGGGTGCATTCATGAGAACCTGCGTGCGTTGCTGGTCTGGTAGGAAGGCGGGCTGACGGCCGATGGGAGGTGCGAAACGCTGACCGCCGAACGGTGCAGACAAAGCGGGCGGTGCAGGCAGGGTAGGGCGAAACAGACCCGGTGGTGCAGGCAGGGCGGGGCGGAACAGCCCGGGAAGTGCAGACGAGCCAGGCGCTGGAGCCATCTGGCGTACACCAGCACCAGCAGCAGCATGGTCCAAGGCAGCTTGCTGCATGGTGGGGTCGGCGGTATACAGGTTGCCTCCATTGTGACGTCTGAGGAAGTCACTATAGTCGTCGACAAAGGCCTGAGGGCTGTGACGAGCGGGAGGAGCGGGAGTGAGAAGACCACGTTGATGAGACATGGGGGCTGGACTGGCGGATCGCGGATCAAGATCATCCAGACCCATACGGGCCATTTGCTCCTGAGCGAACTGTGCTTCAGCCAGCTGTTGATGGCCGGCATTGTTCTGACCACTATGGAACGAAGCCTACCAGGTGGTTAGTGATTGCAGTCCTATCCTAAGTAGGGGTTTTCACTTACAGCCTGACGAGCAGCCTCCTGGTCAGCAAGTCGGTGATGCAAAAGCTGAGCAGAGAAGGGAGACGAATCCCGATCTAGGTGGTTCTGCAAGGCCTTTGGGGCATTGGAAGCACCCGGCTTGGAGTGATCGCCCATTGTGCTAACCAAAAAAGAAAAAGAGCAAAAGTTAATGCCGGTCGTTACGATATGGAGGCTTGGAGGGTAACTCACTCGTGATGGTGTTTTGGTACAAGATGTGTGTACAGTACCTGTGGAAAACTGACTCAACACGACAGCCTTGATTAGAAAAGATTCGATGGGTGAAGGGGAAACAAGATTCGATGGATGAAGGGGAACAAGATGCGCTGGATGAAGGGGAAACAAGGTTCGATGGGTGAATAAAGCGGCAAATGTTGGACTGCTTAAATGTATGCAGTCACGAAAATGAAGGTGAGGGAACAGAAAGAAGAAGAATAGAAAAAGGACTCAAGAAGAAGATGTAGGATTTCTACTCACGTTGGGATACGATTGAGTGATGATGACAATCGGGTTGGTTGAATGTGAATGTGATGGTCGATTATCTGTGGCCGTGCGTTGTGACTATAAGCACATGGTTAGTGACTTCAGCCCCACGTCGATTATTTCCTTGACGGAAAACAAAGAACCAAAAATAAAAATAAAAAAGCAGCGCCTTGTTTTGGTGGTTCAGTTGAAGATGTAGTTTGGAGCTGTAGACGCGCCTGCTAAATAGGGAGGTCGGCGATGACACATATTACAGTATCTGGTAGGAAGGTGATGGTGGTGGTGATCTGAACTTACATGGCTATGAGAATACTAACCTTGGGAAATCAATGCCAGACCGTTGTGACAGTACGGCAGAGCAGAGCGTTCGCAGTAGAGGAGAGCGTTTACCGTAGCCGAGCCGAGAATGGATCATCACATGCGGGGTGCGGCAAGGATGTCAAGGATCAAGAACATTCAAGGATGTCAAACTGGGGAAAAGGTGATGATGTTGATTGGGTATTGATTGACCTTGGCTGGGTCTTCGGTCTTGGGTTTGTTTGATTCCTTGCTAAGGCCTTATCGCGTTTCGCGTCAACGCTAGAGACTTATTGCGTATCTCGCGTATCGCGCCTCGTATTGCTGCTTATCGTCTGGCGTCTTCTCCTTATCGTCTAGCGTCTACTGTGCTATCGCTTGTAGCCGGAGATACTCCGTACGGAGGAACCATGGTGGTCAACGTGGAGGAATCGCGTCGCGGGGTATTGTACATAGAGAAGTAAGTAAGTAAGTAAGTAGGCTGCGCCACACTTGTGGTCTCTGCTGACTCCCGGTCCTTGTCCTGGCTGCTGGATCTCTCTTGTGGCACAGCTACCAATCGTATCGCTCATCAACCGAGTTGCACAAAGCCGTCGAGCTCCTGAACGCTTGGTGTCTGGATTAGTGAACAGGTGTACAACAAGCTCCCATAGCTCGTTATTCACCCATACAATACACCCAGTTCACCCTGAGCCATTCCTAGACTGATACCCAAAAGTTCAAGCCCCTTTCTCGGTTTTTTCCTTTCTCGCAATCATGGTGAGTCGCGTCCTTGACCGCTGTCATCATGTCTTGAGTACCTCGAGCATGAGCATGAGCATGAGCACGACCCTGACCTTCCGCTAACCCATGACAACTGCAGGCGCAAGTCATATCGAATTCCGGTCATGATGACATGATTGTACGTTCCCGTAAACACAACGACACACCCGCCATGCCTGGATATTTGGCTCGGACGCAGAACTGGCCCGTGGAGTAGTGTAGCTAACAACCCTGAAACAGCACGATGCCGTTCTCGATTACTATGGTCGCCGCCTTGCCACCTGCTCCTCCGACAAGACCATCAAGATCTTCGAGATAGAGGGCGAGACACAGCGACTGATCGAGACCTTGAAGGGACATGAAGGCGCGGTCTGGTGTGTCTCCTGGGCACACCCCAAGTACGGTAACATCCTCGCCTCCGCTGGTTACGATGGCAAGGTCTTCATCTGGCGCGAGCAGTCCAACCAGTGGCAGAGAATCTTCGATTTCGCACTGCACAAGGCTTCCGTCAACATGGTTTCGTGGTCCCCGCACGAGTCTGGCTGCCTTCTTGCAGCTGCTTCCTCCGACGGCCACGTCTCAGTCCTCGAGTTCAAGGACAACAACTTCCAACACCAGACCTTCCCCGCACACGGTCTCGGCGTCAACTCCGTCTCCTGGGCCCCGGCCACCACACCTGGCAGCATCGTCTCCTCGGCCCCGCCTAGCCAAGGTGCTCTCACCCAACGCCGATTCGTCAGTGGTGGATGCGACAATCTCCTCAAGATCTGGACGTATGACCCCGCAACACAAGGTTACACGCAAGAGAGTGAGCCTTTGACTGGCCACACGGACTGGGTCCGTGATGTCGCCTGGAGCCCCACTGTTTTGCAAAAGAGCTACATCGCATCCGCTTCTCAGGACAAGACAGTGCGCATCTGGACGAGTGACAGCGCCAGCCAGGGCCAGTGGTCCAGCAAGGTTCTCAACTTCGACGCAGTTGTGTGGCGCGTCAGCTGGAGTTTGAGCGGCAACGTTCTCGCAGTCAGTGGTGGCGATAACAAGGTCTCGCTGTGGAAGGAGAATCTGCGTGGCGAGTGGGAGTGTGTCAAGACAATGGAAGAGTAGGGCCGCCGATCTACATTTCTTACTCAAGGCTTTCTACGTGAAAGCTACGTCCCGGCCCAGGCCATCCAACCTGATGTTGAGCCTGTACCGAAGCTCAATTTCCAAGCAATAGAGGCTTACAAAGATGTTAAGCGTATGGCGATTGCAGGAGCGAAGTTGGCTGGTAAGCCTCTGCCTGGCTGGGCCTTATCTCCGCCTTGATGGCAAGAGCAATGATACTTTTGGAGTTACGGTTGCATGCGATCATGGAGGCCTAAAAGTTGAGAAACTAAACGAGCCAGCGATACTCGATAGAGATATCTTGATAGACAACAACTTCTTGTAAACATGGGTGTTTTTTTTTCTTTTCCTTTTTTTATGCTCATGACATGAACGAGCTGTGATGTATATATCATATTCCAGCATATTTTTAAATGCTCTTCTGAGTCGCCCTTGCACTCGCCAGAAGTGACGGTCGCGGGCAATTGTGTGAAGTCGTGTTCACCCACTCAGCTTGATCTGGCCATTATGGAGCCCACTACAGCCAGTTTCCCTGTGCTTCGTCCCATGGCATGCTACAAGCCTGGTTCGGGGTGTACCCAGATCGTCACACCTCTTCCCACAAGCAAATTGAGCCACTGGCGAAACAACACCCGAGGCAACACTCTGCATAATCATTTGGGTTACAGGCTCCAGAGCCAGCGTGTTTGTTTCTCTATATGACTAGAAGCTAGGTATGTTTTAACGCAGAAATATGTGTGCTCCTAGGGCGTGCGGCACGTCATGTCGTGACACGGCCGTGAGTAGGTCATTGGTACCTTGACACAAAGTATGTCAGGTTCAAAAGAGCTTTTGTTAGCACTTGTGCGGGAGCAGGACTTGGCTTAGCAGGACGGCTAACCTAGGAGACCTCCAACAGAGTTTCTTTTACAACTTAGGTCGGGGTATTCCCAGGTCAAAATGTTTGGGGCTTTTTGGCGTTGCTATACAATTAAATTTCATACACTCGCCTAAGCTCGTGCGGGTTGCACCCCAAGAAGAGAGCAGGTATAATCGGGCTTGGCCATCAGGAGTGTATCCAGGAACTGGTAGCGAACGGAGGCGAATGTAATAGATGGCCAGTTGACTGTACTATGTGCGACATATCCGATTCTGAATAGTCGCACATATGTGTCTATGATCACTGCACTTTGCCATTCAACAATAACTGCATTACAAGACATGCGAGTAATCTAAATGAGCGTTGTTTTCTGCTTCGGTGGCTAGATTCCCATTGGTTCTCTGTTACCAACCCAGAGCACAAACATGCCTTTATGTCTGTAAATATCGTGCGACTCGCAAATTTGAAGTATGAGGCCAAATACCTCCAGACTTCCCGGCATGTATTCAGTTTTTATAAGGGAAAGAGAGAGAGGATTTGAAGACTCAACATCACGCCCACTGCCGCCAAGGCATGTGGTTCTATGATCAAGGTCACCACCAAGGCGAAGATCTGTCTCAAGTACCAGACCCCCAGCAGGAACAATGGATCCACCACTTACTTGTCGGAACATATTTTTATCATCTGCCAACGAGACACTAGCATGCACAAGGTCTAGCAGTTGCTCTGCCTTACCGTAAATCATGAGCTGCCGACAATAATGTTGATCTGCCAGGGAGTCGACTGAGGCCCAGGTCCAGCTCGGTGCTCGATAACTATACGCTTTGGCAGCTAGCCGGTCGTTCGCATGAACATACCACAGGAGGGAGAAGGGTACACTGCCGTTGAAAATGCCTGCGAGATATGTTCAGCATGCACGCTGAGTATACAGTGGACATCTCGCGAGCATGCAACTTCCAGTCACCTCCTCCATCATTTGATTGAATGATACAAATGCTATCAATCCAGAGATACTGAAAGCCGAAATCGTGGCATACCTCAATTGCATCGTGGAAAGCCTTCAGTAGTATCATTTAAGGTACTTTGCCGTCCAATATTTCGCTGTCATTATCGGCAGTGAGCATGAAAAAGATGGGTTATCGCCCAAACAATCACTCAAAGTGGCATAGCCGCTCTGAAGAGGCATATGACCCCGATACACCCACTGCAGCCTTCCATTATCGATCGAGCAGTCTATGCGACGCTTTGGCTGCCGTGGTGGTTCTTGGGATGTTTTTGGCAAGCCATCTTGCGTTGCAAGAACTGTTGAATGTATCCTGCGACACTCCTCATGCTCTCAGATACAAGTACTGAACCACTCATTTGCAGCACACATGGCTTCCTTGCTACCTGTATCAGGCGAAATTATGTATTTCGTCGTCGCACCATCGTCACATACCCTTGAAGGGTGTCTCTTGACATCATTTCGTACCGTTTGTAGAGGTAGTGCTTATACTCTTTGTCGAGACCCGTGTCTTAAGAGCACTGAATAGTATGTGGGGTTGCAGAGTGTGAGTTGGAGTGATGGTCCTTCTCGGATCGACAACCCTACATACGTTTCAGAATAAAAGTAATATTCTGTTTTAAGTGGCGTTAAGAACTGACTTTTATCGTGAGGCTGCTGTTTATAAAGTAGGTCGAGGGAGCATGGACATATTCGACACCAATTGCTGCTTTGTAGAGAGCCATTTGACGCCAGGCCGACAATTCCTGCCAAGTTCTGAAGTGACAATCCAAGCCGTCGGTACTCCTTCATGCAAGCTACAATGATTGTAGCAACCACGGACTTTAGAGTGGCAAGTTCCTAAGGCAGGAGATGGGATCACATTTACGCTAGATGTGAATAGCTTACAATGTCCCATGCGCCAAGGGAGGTAGTGTTGGTTTCAAAGCAACCATCATTGGACGTTGAACAACGCAAACAAACAAACAATCATGCAAGCTTCAACGCACAACAGGAATTGATGCCAAGCGGCGTCTCCTGTCTCCTACAGATGGATACCTTGCTTGTGTAGCCACCGGCTTGCTTGTTAGGCGATGCAACAACATTTACATGAATATTAACATAAGATTGAAGCACAAGGGTGAATGAAGCAGCATTTTCGTGAATATAATTTCTACTGGGTGGATACAGGAGTGTGAATAGATAAGCCATGTCGTTATGTCGAGATCGATAGCGTGATTATACCTGCTCTTCCATCAAAGAGATAACTGCCTTGTAAGTCGTCTGTGTACTTCCCGGATAGGCGCCTAGACATGCGGGAAGGTAATGAGTAACCCGAACCCAGTGGCAGAGCAAGCCAGGACTGTCAACAAGATACCCCACCCACAACTTGTCCCACTTCCAATGTATGCTCTTGCACCCAATGTATGACCGTAGGAACCGGCGTTGTTGCTATTAGTAGCGGAAGGGGTGACAAGTGTACCACTAGTCGTCGCACCACCACCACCACCACCACCACCAGTTGTAACTTCGGCTTGGGCAAGCACGTAAATCTCGCCTGTGGAGTCGGAGCTCATGTAAAGACGTCCCTGAGAATCAAGAGCCAGACCCACAGGTCGGAAGCATGCATCGGGGCAAGCACTGTTATCCGCGTTTGACATGATATACCTCAAGGACTGGTTTGAGTTGGCGGCCTCGACGGGCTGGCCATTGGCGAATGCGATACTTGCCACCATGTACCCAACTGGATTGTCTCTGTCCCCTATCATAAGACAAGTCAATAATTGCAATAGATGCGGCGGGTATATGTCACTTACAGCTACCATGGAACGAGACATAAGCTGTGTTGCCATCAGGTGCGAAAATAATATCAAGTGGTGCCATGTGAGCCTGAAAGGTAAGTCTCGGTGACACACGCTCATCGCTACATGTCGTGTCATTGAGGGACGTATTTTGGCTCTGCGGAAACTGGCTGCCCACTCCTAGAGAGCCGAGGTCAGGAATGTTGGTGTCCCAGAGGGCGAAACAGTCAGGATAGCCGTAGTTGCCGCCTTGGTTCTCTGTTGACCCGTTTAAAAATCCATGATAGTTCATCTCTTCTCCTGGGTTGTCTTGGTGAATGTCGTTTCCATTTCTCTCGATCTGATCGACAGAGTTTTCAACGCTAAAGATGCCACCGGTTGTTGGTTCTTCAGCAATGCCGACCGAGTTCCTGAGTCCCCATCCAAGTCTTGTTCCAGTCGATGCATAGTCAAACGGCCTGTCAGGAAAACTAGTCATATCAAACGCGCGGATCTGGGAGACTCCAGAAGAGATATCTTGCGCACTGTAGTCAACGTTCTCGCCACTACCCCTCGAGACAAGAAGCTGGTTATTCGAGGTCATGAGAAGGGTTCTGGTCACATGTCCAGTGCCACCAAGATTTTGAACCACCGTGCGCGGGCTACCGCTGACAGTACCAGAGCTCGGGTCATAAGTCCAAGCATAGACGTCTTGTGAACTGGAAGCAAACAACGTGTTCCCGTCATTGGAGAATGTGATGCCATGGTTGAGCTGTACCCGTCAGTCGAGTTTCCTAGATCACAAGTCTCGTTGACTCACATCAGAGTGCTCGATAACACTGCTGCTGTCAGCGACTGACAAGCATGTTGTACCATTGTCATTGAAAGTTAGTCTCTGGATGCCTACACCTTGCTGAACGACCAGCAAGTGACCATTGCTATCCCAGATGATGCTTCGCGGCTTTGTCAGCCCGGTGGCCACCAGCTGGGCAATCCAACCTGAGCCGAGAACTGGTGCTGAGTACGACGGTTGCAAGATATTGGAACAATCGTCGGTGGGTTCGGTTGATCCCAAACAGTACAGTAGTGCCGCGCTGGCAACACTGAGCAAGCTCTGCAACTTCATCTTGGAGGGTGCTTCCGGTGGTGAATAAAGCCTAACAAATGGTTTTCTTCCACGCAGCTAATATGTTGAGTGTGGTAATTAGTGTTGTTTACTCAGAATGTTTCTCCTGGCGGTGGCTTTCTTTACAGGCATGGAAGATGCTGTAACATCACTGCTGCTAGCTGGAAATCTTACCACACCAAGATCATGGATTCAGAGAAGTCATGTTTGGCAACAGATATCGACGAAGGAAAGAACGAGACATTGTTCACTGGTAGCGCTTGAATTTGGAATCGAAGAAAGCTACTTGGTAATGGCAAACAAAAACCATCAGCTTGGCGGCGATGCCTTCATGCCGGACACTATTCTGAAACACTTCAAGCCTTCGCGCACCAATCCGATAGTCCCATTGCGACAATCAATGAGGGCGCCGAGCGGCTTAGCAAGCAGCTACCCCGCGACTTCCGGAAGGACATCCGAGACTGTTGGCGAGGTTGGCAAGTTGGGCACATTTCCAAGCTTCAGCCCTTGGCTGATCTTGACTTTTGGAAAGTCCGAGATGAAGATGCCTTGGCAATGACATCATCACGTCCAATCGCGTTGCATTTACTTTCACCCTACCGTGCCCCTTGGGTTGGTACCCACGGTTGCAAGTCACCTTCAATCCAAGCTCCAAATATTCAAGGTAGTCAAATCGACACTTCTGTGCATTATTAAACAATCTTAAGAGTCGAGGCAGTCTGGTCGTAACAATGACATTCAGTCAACAGAGATTAATTACGAAATACGAAAAGTCCCGCCTATCTCCGAATCCCGCCCTGAAATGCGACATCGTTCTCTATTAGCTTGGTAGCCGGGCCCGAGTAAACAGCACCAGACGCTTGTTTTCTTGGGCGACAGACATAATTTCAAAGAGTGAACCATCGTCGTTTCATCCCCCATCACAACAGATGACATATGTTGAACAACCCTTCCCGAGACCTCGGGCTCTGCACTATAAGGTGAAGTCGCAATAATTCAATCATATGAAGCACTGACATCAACATTTGCTTCCTTGCTGGAAGCCATATCGCAGGGTATCCATGGGGCATTATCGAAAGTCTTAGGATACCGTATTTCCAAGATACCGTATATCTGATGAATTATGGCAGAAGGTAGGTTGATTGTGGGAAACCCAAGCCTAATGTCAATCTCCAACGGATCCGTGGAAAACGGTATGTTGTCCGATCCACTAGGACTGACAGTTTGGAGTGATGTCAAAGGCATGCCCAGCATGGTCCTGTTGCACCATGTTTTTACATATGGCTGCATTGGCATGCGCTACAGGTGGCCGATATACTTCTGTGTGTCGATACGACCGAAGAAGAGTGCGGCATTCGGTGTATCTGGCGTGCCAGCTACATGAACCAATTAACTACTATGTAGCTACAAAGAGCTGTTGGACTTGACTGGACCGGGATAGTCACACCAGAAACCATATACACTTGAAGCAATGATACCTTTTCGTGCCATTGCAGCGGGCAGAGTGGAGTAGTTGGAGGCTGTCAGGTTGCGCACATCCCCGAGATCCAGCAAGCCAATGGCGACCTCCTCAATACCAGCATTCGAATCCATGACCAGCCCTACTCCAAACGTAAAATTGCCCGTCACCGGTATGCCTGGGTCCTGGATGCTCGGTATCAAGATGGTATCATTGAAGAAGTCACCACTTGCTCAACTATCGTCGCCGCAGTTGACGTAAAAGCTTCCAGGATCAATGTCTGTGCTTGTTCTGGAGTTGCCCGGATCATCTCAAGACACGTGAGCTTGTAAAACCACACCGGCGTAAGAAACTTACATGATCCTGCGTAAAGATCTTGACTGCACGCTTTGGAACCGGTATCTTAGCCCCTTCTTTAGTAAACCGCAATGTTAGCGATTGTGGAGGTGTTCCAGTGGTCGCACTACAGATGTGCAAGTTGTCGTCCGGAAGGGTTGGGCAAGCATTCGGCAGGATCTTGTAACTTCCTTTGAACTGCAGCGCTGCTAGTGCAGCAGGACCATCGCCACGACTCTGACGGGTTGTCCATAGTGCATAGACTGGCTGCCATATCAGTGGAAGCTAGGCCAGAGTTATGATGGTGCGAAATAGGGTTTCTATAGTTATATATAGGTCGAGAGTTTAGAAGATGGAAACAGTGTTACGGGCATCAATCTTGGAGTGGAGTGTCGCGAGGTGGTTGTTAGGGAAGGACATTCAAGTCCCTATAAGCATTAATATCCTGTTCGATGGGTCCCGTGTCGAGGCTCACTCGACTAGAAATACAGCAAGAGGTCTCGCTGAGAGCCATAAAACACATGTTTGCTTGGATGCATCTTTGATGGATAGTAACCCGAGGTAGATATCCACTGAGCTTCGTCGACGCATTACCGATCATGCACTTTGGGTTGATACAAGAAATTGAGGATCGTCGGAAGAAGGGTGGTAAGCATTGTTTGCTTGAACGCGTGCATAGTGGTGTGTCACTCGTCGCTATTTCGGCGCAAGGGACTTCCAACGGCCAACCCAGAGTAACACACGTTAGATTGGCATGGACAATTATTTTTCGTTTCTGTTCTTTGTTTTCTGATTTCCTTTTTCGATTCTAAGGCTGAAGAGGCTACCGTTCTTAAACACTGAGCAATTTAGAAGTTATCAGGATTTACCACGGCTATGCTACCAGAGTCTTTAGTGAAATTTGAGTGGCGACTGCGAACACATACATCTATAACAAGTAAAGACTTGATGCTTTAGTCATCGGAGTCCTTTCTTCTCGGAAAGTTTACAGTCATCGATGAAAAATATCCCTGCATGTGCCGACGTTTTCTTCTTGGGGTGCATGATAATACAGCGAGACGTAAGCTCTTAAGTCGCACATGCGATACCTGTGAGAATGTTTCCCCCCCAAGGCTCAAGATGCATAGATAGCCCTACCTTTTAGAAGCCATCTCACTACATGACACCCATGCGTGCGTAATTAGGAGCAGTCAGCATGGGCCTAGATGATGCCGTTCGATTTTTAAATATCAGTCCTCATGGACCCGAGTTTCGGACCGTCGCATTGATTTAGCGACTTGTCAAGTACCGAGGCCGAGACGGAGAATAACAACGGACTCAAGATCAAGGTATCCGGCAGCCGTTTTGTCCACTCCGGGTGTAGCAGCCTCCATATGACCTGTCATATCTCCGCCGCAACCGAGGCCGAGGCCGAGCTATCGATCTCCTACAATCAATTGCGACTGGCGTGCATGAGAAGCGACAAAGCTTATACGGTGGGCTCGAGCGATTGCATTCGCTCAGCATGTTCATCAGCTGTTTGTTCTTCACCGTCGCCAGAGTTTCGAACCATATTAACATTGCGTTTGTCTCTAGTGCCAGACAGATGACTGAGGGATCAACGGGACCGTCTTGTACTGGGAATCGCAGAAGAACAGCTGATAGATAGAGACCTGTGTAAGCTTTCTTGTAGCTTTTCAGAGGCAGTGAGTCAAGAATGGAACCCGCGTCGTCTCATCTCGTAGCCAGCGCTGTTCCACGACAATGGAAACACCATACCCAGCAACCGGTCTAGGTTCGATGCTTACGGATTATTGCCCATCCCAAAACATGGGCATTTCAGGGGCAACGTGGAACCGTGTTTTATTGACCTTGGGACCGACCTCGGAGAACCCTGACGGCCGCCCGCCAAGGTTTCCGCAGAATGCGGGTCCCTACGTAATTCGCCCAGGAACCGACCGCTTCACCTTGGGAGTCTCATCATCAGCCCTACATCGTATGTTGTGGGTGCCTTTTCACCGCCTCTGGAAGGACTTTGGAACGCCCGAATCTTGGGTTCTTGAAGATTCCACAATATCGTCACCTGCAGGTGGTGCATTGGATGGCAGGCTAACGCTGCGTGCTGCAAGGGACGACGTGTGAACTTGGGGAATTTCAGTGGACCGGTAACCTGCCTGTCGGTACTAACCGAGGTGCCCCAAGTGGATTCTGTACGCCACTGCCAATGGGAACGAGAGCACATGGATATCCGGGCTACACGGGTGGCCCTGGCACATAATTCGCCCATCTCGAGAGAGCAGGCTTGGTAGATATTCACCGCCATATGATGCTGATGATTCACAGACAAGGTTTTTATTTTCGAGGCTTTGATCTTCTAGATTAGATCAAGGCGATAACGGACGATTCCGTACAGGTTCCGGAGAGGCTGGCTTTGTTTGTTGAACCGTGCGGTTCGCATGGTCTCGGTCTCGTACATCACTGCAAGTGTCACCCAAAGTTGATTTCCAAAAAGTGTTTGTCTTCCGCAACCTCTGTGTTTCCATGTTTCCCGTATCTGTTTTGACTTTTCGCCTTGTACTCTACTGCTATTCCTCATCTCGAACATAGGGAAAGCGGATACGGACGTTGTATCCCAAGCCTGCGACCTGCCCGGGTTTCTTGTCCCACAACCGGTGACTTGTTCCCCGGATCGGCTCTCAATTCTGAGCGTCACACGATATCGCCCATTCCGCAGCGTTGTGATCCCACTTCGTGATTGCTTCACCTCACAAAGGTTGTTTGAATTGTATAAAATGGCAGGGGCCTACCTGTGAATTTGTCATTGATCAATCTCGCAATTGAATTCACTTCAAACACCATCAGTGGTTGAACCAGCGCCGATTCTAGTCTAAACTCAAACGCAGCAAAAAATACTCTTTTTCTTTTCTTCTTCTTTCCCTTCCCAACCACAATTCACATTTTCATCATAGCAATTGCCTTAATTGGGAGATCTCACATCGAGTCGCCAACTACAATAATTTCACATCACTCAAACAATTCCAGCCACCCAAACAGTCAACATGGGATCACAATGCAACTTTCCCGTCACCAATGCCACCGTGCCCTTCTGGCGTACTGATCTCGACGATATTGATAACCATAGCAGCACTGATGAACTTCCTGCAGAGCAGGACATCATCGTCATCGGCGCTGGTTTTGCCGGAGCTGCTTGTGCCTATTACCTCGTCAAGGACAAACCGAACCCACCTAGTATCACAATCCTAGAAGCACGGGAGGCATGCTCTGGTGCCACAGGACGAAATGGTAAGCAGTCACCATTTGTTCACTTAAATTTCTGCGGAAGGTTTAATGCTAATATGGGACGGAAGGCGGACATTGCAGACCCGATCTTCACGCTGGGTTCGCCAACCGGAGAGACACCAAAGGCTTCGCGGCAGCAAATGCAGTCGCCTGCTTCGAGGTAGCCAATCTCAATGCTGTGAGAGGGCTAGTAAAGAAAGAACGTATCGAGTGCAACTTTGAGGAAGTCACGTCCGCCAATGTCTACCTGGATGAGAAGATGGCTATAGATGTGAAACAGAACTTGGTTGAGATGAAGCAGCAAGGATGTCCCACTGCTAAGTTGGTTAAGTACCACGGCATTGAGGATGCAGAGAGAATCTCGGGTGTACGAGGCGCAAAGGCGGTCACGACTTTCCCTGCTGCGACTCTCTGGTGAGTGCTTTGATCTTGATCCTGTTGCACAAATACATGACTGACAAGGATTGGAGGCCTTACAAGTTCATCATGCACCTTCTCAAATGCGCACTTGACAAAGACGTCTATTTGGAGACCAACACGCCCGTCTTTAAGGTCTCAGAATCGGCGGATCGCTACGGATACTGGACCGTGTCCACACAGAGGGGCGACATAAGAGCCAAGCAGGTTGTGTTTGCAACCAATGGTTACACCAGCGGTTTGTTGCCCGAGTACAAACAGGTCATCCACCCGGTTCGTGGCATCTGCAGCCGCATCACTGCCAGTGGAGAGCCGCCTACTCAAGGCAAGCTCAAGTCCATGGTCCAATACTATGGACCAAAATTAGCCGACTACCAGGGCAACTTGTCAGATGGAAGCTTCGTGATCGGCGGCGCATGGTCAAACATGAAGTTCAAGCACCCGGAGCAGTGGCTCGATGTGGTCGACGATTCGCGGTTGCCCCGTGCAGCCGCCACATACTTTCATGGCTTCATGGAGCGAACTTTCATTGGTTGGGACAAGGCTCAGTCCAAAGTTGACAGTACCTGGACTGGTATCATGGGCGTGAGTCGCTGCTCACCACTTCTGGTTCGATGACCATAGCTGACAATATGATAGTACACCGAAGACAACGAGCCGCATATTGGCAAGGTTCCGTCGAAGGAGGGCCTTTACATCTGTGCTGGCTTCAATGGCCATGGTATGCCACTCATCCTGCTCTCCGCCAAGGGCATTGCCAAGATGCTCGAAGAAGACTGCGATTTCTCGAAGACAGGCATTCCTGCCATCTACGAGACATCTAAGTGGCGACTGCAGAAGCCACAGGTTGTAGTTTAGGAGGCGGTGTCGGTTTCCCTGGATTCCACCGCATACCACTCTTCTTCCTTGCCACGAGCCTGGTTTTCAGCAGCGGCTCCTAGCACACGACAACATGCGGCATTGTCCACCATGGCAAATACTGTTCTAGATCGCCCAAAAGCTACACAAGCTTCCAGATACCTCGTTCAGTGCTTCACGCACAATCATTCTGGCACCTCCGTACCAGTTCAGTTTCGACTACTATCGGCTGTTCCACCCACCACCAGGATTCTGGGGAGCAACGGGTATAGAGGAACAGACACGATATAGACATGTATAATAGGGCGAGGTTTGTTTAGGTCCTCACATTGAGACCCGGTTGCTGGCATTCAGGGATAGGTAGCGGCGTTCACGTCTCAAAGTAAATGATTCACTCGCGACCCCCCTCCTAGATTCGTGACACCACCTTGACGTCTCACCCCGCCCCCTGTTGATTTCGCAAAACCCCGAGGGGACTGCACGCAGTCGAGGAAGCCGCCTACCCCCATCTTCTCGTCGAACGCCCAGGTCGTAAAGTAACGCGCACCGAACTCCATCTCCACAAAGGCCCCCTGCCCACCGTACCCGGCGCCCAGCCTCCGCCACATCAGCGAGTGATAACACGCGACGTCCCGGCGGATGCTCTGCACTACGGCCAGGGCCCCGTCGGCGCCGCGGTCCACGCGTCGGAAGGACGCCACGATGTTCGACCTGCCCCCGAGGTAGACGGGCTCCAGCCGGAACCTGCCGCGCGGCAGGGCAGGGCCGGCGGATCTGGCGTCCCCCGGCCTGCGTCCCGACGACGACGACGGCAGCACGATGGAGATCGACTCGACGCCCGGGAACGCGCCGAACACACACGAGGCCGTCGGGGCCCTGGAGATGGCGGTCCCGACGACACCGGCGCTCCCGTAGACGGGCCGCCAGCACCCCACCGCCACGTGCCGCGCGGTCTCGAGCGGCGCGGGCGGCGGCGAGCCCGGGTCCGGGACGTAGAGGACGTCGAGCTCGGGGCGGAAGGGTCTACAGGGGACCATGGCGTGCGCGGCGGGCTCGTGGCGGAATTTGGTTCTTTTCATGGCGTGCTGCCGCGACTCACGGCAGACGTGCATCAGGAGGGGGAAGGCCGTGTCGACCAGCAGCGGTGGGGAGGGGCCTTGGGCTGCATCGTGATGGGGCGGCAGCTCTGAGGGGTGAGCGTCATGGATGGTGGCTGGCTGGGGGAGCTGTAATATGCAGGTTTCCGATATGTCCCCTGGCATGGCGGCGTCCCAGATCATGGCCCGGAGCTCGGTGCACAGCTGCATCAGCGTGAACATTTCTGGGGGGGGAGGGGAGGATGAGTTCGCGGATGCAGACAGATTTGGCAGTGAAGCTTCAGGGATTGGATTGTTTTCATCAAGTCTATGATCTCGCTCTTGAAGAGACCAAGTATGCAAAAACCAAGCATGACATTATCTCATTTGAAGCTGTATACTGATCAATGTTTGAGCTGGAATCAGAAGAGTAGTGCAGCTGCGATACTGGCGGGTGTGGGGGGTACATCATCCCGCATCGCCGGGGCCGTTTTAGTGGCTGCGATGATCTTTGAAAGTCGTCATGGAAAGGGAGGTGCTGGAGCATTGTTTTGGACTACCACAGACCACGATATGCCTTCAGTTCGTCTTGGTACGTAATGGGTCGGTGCACATCTCGAAGAGCAAAGTGCATCTCGTGACAAGGAAATGGTATAGACAAACAAGAAATTTAAAACGTTCGCCTAGTGTATCTCCAAAAGCGAAACTCAAGTATTAACAAATGGGAATCCCAAACGCAAGCAAAGCCTGTCCTGAGCTGGACGGCGAATCTTGTGCCGCTGAACAAATTAATAGCAATCATCACGATGTTTTCCTTACCGCCGTTCCACCCAGCCATCAGCGCAGTCCGATGACACTCATCTCGAGCGTCCACACTCTGCGAATCCAGACCTTCAATGTGCCATCAATGCCTTCCACGTCTGCCAGGTCGACTCCTTCCCACCAGCAACGGCGGGCTGGTTTTCGCCAGAAAAGAAGCAGCTTTTGGGCCATGCCGACCGCATTGTTACCAATGTCGTTACCACGGATGTCGCTGCGTAACCTGGCGAGAGCAAGACTGCATACGACAGCTTTGTTGGGCTCTCCAGCTCGGTGGCCCCATCTGTCATCGTGGTTGAAACCGCTGCAGCCAAGTTATTAGTGCAAGGTTTTGGTGTGGTGTAAGGTGACTTACCCAGCCGTGAGCATCTCAATCAGATGGGCTTCGGTGGTACCTGGCTCGTCACTCCTCTTGAGCCCGGAGAAGATGCCGTCTTGCCTCAGAAGAGCCCTTGCGGCGGCTCTCTTGACCTCGATCATCTCCTTGTGCTCAATATCTGCCCGAGGTGGGATGACGTAGAAATCAAGATCTTCTCTAAGGACAATGATTCCCGCACGCTTGCTGGTATCGTCTCTTCCTCCGAGAGAATCAATCGGCGCAACTCCTCCATCGGGAGAGGAATTAGGGGAAGTTTCAGTGGGGATAGATTGGGCGACGTTGCGGAAGAAGTCTAGCATGTATTGGAGGGATGCAGGGTCATACTGGGATGCAAGGTCAGTGAGATGTATATCAATATTTGAGAGCAAGTTGCGCGTGGTAGATGAACGGGGGAGGCTTGTGTTGCTGGTTGGGCTTGCGACCATGCGGGCAGGAGTTGTTGGGGGAATGGCCCGAGTGACAAGACCACCGTGATTGTGCTGGGTACTAACATCAACTTGAACCGCGTCACCGTCGGCGAAGCCGCCCATGTGGCCTTCTGGGAATAGCCCATTGGGGAAGAGTGACAGGAGGACAAATTCAGGCAACGTCAGGAGCTCATCCCGGGACAGCACGAAGCGGGTGCCCCTACAGAGTGATTGTGTGAGTACATGGATATCAGCTAGTTGGGGGGCATGTTTTGACGTGTCTTACCGCAAGTCCATTGTGATGGTCTCATCTGCACCAACATCTGTGTGCCTGTTAGCGACCCGCTGCGGCCCAGACCGTGTGAACGTTCAGGCAGTACGAAGCTTACCTCCGATAGCATTGATGGACGGTCCTCCTTGCTGTACCTGAGTAATGATACTCGAGGCTCCTCCGGCGGCAGCCATGATATAGGTGAAAGCCGAGAGCGGACTGTATCCTTCCTCGTATGCAGGCGGTGGCTCGTTGGGGTCGTCACTGTCCTGACCTGGTGGCCCTGGTTTGTTGTCCTGCGGTAGTGCACGTTTTGTCTCGGCTACGGCGTTCTGAAGAGCGGAAGAGGACGGAGACGCTGACTGCGCGGAAAGGCTCGAGGTCGGCGGGGCGTATGCTGGCGCTGCAGTCGCGGACGATGCTGCGACTTGTCTGGAGGGTGCCTCTTTCGTGCAAGTGGTTGGGCGCTCAAAGTGGTCGTCGGCGAGATCCTCAGCGGATGCGTATTCGTAGAGACTCGAAAAGGGCGGAGGTGGCGGTCGCGCAGTGGCAAAGGAGCACGGGTACGAGGTCGATGCAGAGGGTCCAGAGGCTCCAGATGCAGGTGCGGCGTAGGGATAACGAGGTGGAGGCGAGCGTCCGCGATCGAGTTGGTGATGGCCAATGTGGGCGTCTACGTCTGTGTCTTCTGCAGCGTTCGTGTGGCCGAGTTCGAGCTCTGAGGCGCGGGATTGTCGGTCGGCAGTGGTGGGCTCAGACTGCCGGATGATGTCGTCCCGTGAGCCTGGCAACGTGGTGGTTGCGTTGGAATCTGTGAGTGACGCCGTGGTCGAGGTTGTTTAGGGTTGCGACCGGGGAGGCGGTATGGCATGTAAGGTGATGATGGGAGTCTGGGGGACGAGGCGTTCTAGAACGGTGACGGCGCCTCGACCGATTGGTTGTTCCGTGGTAGCAACGGAGATTGCTGCCAGCAAGAGGTCGGTGATTGCTGGAGAGACTCTCAATCTATCGACAGGCCACTCGAGGGGACGCCACGGGTGAATGTCGGCGCAAAAGAAGAAGCAACGCCTGCAGGTATTCTGTTCTTTCCGTGGACCAAAGCAGACCGAAGCGAAGCGAAGCGAAGGAATGAATGAATATGTTGCCGTCCGTCCAGTTCGATTGGGATCGAGTCCAATGCCAATGTCAATGTTGTTTTCCCTGATCTAACCTTGGGCCGGACCCATCGCAATCTATCCCGTCTGCGCGCCAGCTCCAGCTTATTTTAGCAGCGCCAATGTACCTCGTTGCGCTATTCCGCCGCCAGAACGGCCCCTCTGGTACTTTGCGGCGGCCAAGTATCGCGCTAACATCTTGGAAGCACTGGCTCCCCTCCCCTCCTAGACCCCCTAGCCCCAGCGCCTTTACTGGACCGCTAAGCGCCCGCTGCATCTCAGCAACATTTAACAGACACATTACGGAGCAACTGATGCATTTCCCAGAACTCAGGGGCTCTGCCTGACCTGTCCGTACTTCCTCGAACCCATGCGACAGCTGTCACTAACAATTTTGATTTCAGTCGACTTGTCGACCCTTGTCGTCTGAGTCGGGAGCCTTGATGAAGCATAAACTTGATGCTCCCCCAATTCGGATAACATCTAATTTTATTTGTCCCGCAGAAAGAGCCGCACGAGGCCGGCAATGGCCTTTGTCGCAGCAGACTCTGCATCACACTTCACGCCCGCAACTTAGTGCCTACCATCACAGACTGCCATAAGCATGAGCACTTGTTTCTGCGTTGCATAAGATCCTGCGAGCCTAGGGACTTTGCTGACACCGTAATCCCGTGGAAAACTAGGACGAGGCAAGCTATGCTATGTCGGTAGATAACACTCGCACCTCTGGAAAGACCTAGCGGCACAGGTCAGAGCCTCCTATAAATTACAAACCCTTGTCTTTTTTTTTTTTTTTTTTTTTTCTGCGCGGCGATAACCATGACTGATCTTTGATATGTTGCTATATCTATGTGCATTGGCGAACGTTCCCTAGTAGCCAAAAGAAATGCGCAGCGTCTACGGCATTTGACTGCCGATGCCAGTGTGAAATAAGGGAAGCACGTAGAATCTACACGACCAGCGGGGAAGTAATCTTCTCTGCTTCTTCTGTCTACGACGATGTCGCCGTAGTCGAAACCGAGAGGACTTTTGTGTCCTTCTTGTTCTGAACGAGATTACTCCCGGCGATATTCACTCTAGCGGCTTGTTGCCGTCGTATCCAGGATATCATATCCTTCTGCTGGTACCTTTCTCTTTTCTTTTTACACCTGTATCATGAGCGCCACGGAAACAAGTCGATTTTCTAAACACTTACACCACGGCCATTGTCGCTGTTCCTTGCTACCAACACGTCCATGCTGTCCTGATTGTTCGCTTTGAGGGTACACGGACGCTTTTATTGACACCGGTCTTGGCCCTGTGCCGCCAGATGATGTCTGCGAGAGTTTGTGTTCTATTGCAAAGACTGGGCCTCTACTTGGCCCTGAATCCATCAAGGCAAACATAGGCCGAGGCAATGAGGAGTCACTCTGGCTTGAGATCATCGCCGCCAAATATGATTCTGAAGGTAGATTAGTAATGTCAGCAAACCCCCCAACGTCAGCTTTGGCCACTGTGTCCGTGGCCAGTCAAGTTTGCTCATCTCTTCAGTACTTGCTGTCCAGGAGGTGGTCACTCAACTGTGAACTGGAATTCATTTGCAAAGGCTACCATGCCCGTCCTTAGTGATGTCTATCGCAGATGCTAGAATTAGTCCATAACTGAAAGCTTAAGCGTCTATAGTACTCTGATGATTGTGTCACATTCGGTGGAGACATGTTCCCGGCTCCGACGATGAAGGGCATCTTCCCGCTTGTAAATTGTTCCCAACATTATACTCTGGCTATAGTAAGCCATGGCATCCCTGGATCATAGGCAGTGAAGCACTCCTACAAACTAGCGTTCTAAGATTTCGATTATATAGTTTTTCGCTATTAATTAATCACGGCTTTCGATCTGTTCAGAAAGCCGGATCCCGATGGTACCCATTAATACGCGTGGAACGTCCTGCACGCAACTGTGTTACAAATCTATTAGGATATAAGCTGACGCCTTTCGTCGCCCCTCTTCTTGAGGTAGTCCCTCTCTTCTTTCAAATTATGATTTTGACAGATACTTTGCTATTAAAACGCCAAAATCTGTCGCCATATCTGTATCTTGCTTATCTGCAGTATGGGTAACACAATTCATATACAAGCAAAGCTAAGCCAAAAAAAAAAAAAAGAACCCCTCGGAACTCCTCCGGATAAAGATTGCTGGCCAGGTCTGGGTGCCATATTTCCACTGGCGCAATGTCCAACAGGCTATGAGAAGGCTTGGTGTCCTGGTGTGACATCAGTCGAACCGGACACCATATTCGACTGCTGTCCTCAGTAAGTGAGGACTCGAGTCGACGTTAGAACGACCTGTCTACTTAGAACGACCTGTCTATCAGCCAAACGTCAAAGTCGCTCACAAGATCATAGAGACGAGTGAAACCTCCGGCGGCGACATCTGACTCAAGATGCTAGAAGAAACATTTAAAAATAATAATAATAGGACTGCAGTCTACACGAAGTGACGACGAATTTAGGTGAGTTGAAAAGTAACAATCTCGAAAAAGTATCACTCCCAGTTCCCCAGGTTGATTGAATAGCTGCATTCTGCAAAACTGTAAGTCCGCGAGAACCCGCCCGAGTCGGAATTTGATGCAGATGTGTCACATCCGAGGATCGACGACACCGTCTCAAGTCTGATGAGCTTGAACGTCCCACACATCGTGAGCCAAGAAGGCTCAGGTTCAGTTTTGTACGTTGCTGATATATTTCAAGAAAAAGGTTCTTGGTCCTGTGTGCGAGCATAAAAGCAACAATCGACACTTTCCTAAAACTGCGATAAGATCTGCTCGTCATCAACACCACTTCCTCACTGCCATCCGTAGTTCTAAGGAGTTGCACTCTATCTCTATGAACCCGTTTAGGTGAATTCCTAATCGAATCTCTCCGTGTTAGCCATAGACAGCTTTTACCGCTGCAGCCTTGGCATGTAAACGTAGCGTATCGAACATGGGCACGTTCGGGCGGTCAGACTGTGATACCCAGTAGCCCAATTTCCGTGCATCCTAGAATGACACCCTGAGCGCCACCAGAAACCAACTCGTCCATGATTGTAAGATATTCTTTTCGAGCCTTGTCTGTAAATTGCGCATAGGACAGTTCCTGAAAAATTACATTGTCAATCAGATCCTGGTCTTCCTCCTTTGGAACGATGATGTCCAGCCCGTATTGGTTGGCGAACAAATCGGGAAGGTATGGCGAAGACATCGTTGCCTTTGTCCCCAGGAGAGCAACCCTTTGCAGACCTTGCTCCTTGATGGCTTTGGCTGTGGGTTCGGCGATATGAAGAAGCGGCACGTCAATGCCTGCCATAAACTTATCAGAAACCCGGTGCCACGTGTTGGAAACGCAAATAATAAAGTCTGCGCCGGCTCGCACAAGACTCTGAGCCTTGCCGTGAAGGTAATCTGCACCCTCGTCCCACAACCCATTGTGGACGTAATGTGCGCTTCGCGCAAGGTCCATGGAGTTGATAATGATTTCGCCGGTGTGTAGACCGCCAAGCTCTTCTCGGACATGCTTATTGATCAGATTGTAGTACTCAGCGGTGGCTATATCTGTGCTTCCGCCAATGATGCCGATCGTCTTCATTTTCGAGTGCTTGTGGGGGGCAGATGACTGGGTATTGGAGTTGAAGTTCAATGGCGCCCTTCCCTTCTTTCCCTAATTAGCGGGGCTTGGGTGCTTGAGAGCGATGTGCTAACTTAAATACTGTCACATTCACACCAACAGCAAACTGACCTTAAATCCTTTTCGACCTAACCTCAGTTAACCCAATGGGCTTTGAAGGCCCACATTGCTCAAGGCCCGGAAAGTGACAATGAAACTCAATACAGTTAGTTGGTGCGAAGCGTGGCGAAATCATAATCAGCGCTCCGGCTTGCATTGCCGTGCCACGAGATGCGTTTGAAGGTCAGGCTTCAATTACAAATCTATGAGTTCCGTCCTGCTTCGCACTGTTTAAATAAACATGTACTCAGATACCTTGGTTCTCAAAGTTTCCGCGTAAGTCATATGCGTTTCAATGTACAGGACATTGTTGCCTTCCCGTCGCCTTACCTCTCTCCCTACCCCTTGTTGGCTTGGTCAAAAGTGCGTGTCGGCTCGACCAAAAGCGGCAAACCTGATGCATAACGTTAGCAGCCGAGTGTATAGACAACTGGAGTTTCTTCTCGCTTGGCATGACTGCTCGACAAAACGAGGCTCCAGTACGAACCAGACTAAGTGATTTAATTACTGTGAATATTAGTTGATTGGTTAGTCTGGAACTTTATAAATTGTGCAGACTAAGTTTATGAGATTAGGCAGTTATTAAGTTGACGTTGAAATACGCTGAGCGGATTGGAGGCCGAAATACACAGTCGTTTACTTTCGATGGCCGGAATTTTCGAACTGCAATCATCCATTTCAGTTTGGAAGAAAATACAACAAGGAATAATCTGTATTCAGAGTACTCAAAAGGACTGTTGAGGAGACAGTACCAGCTATCTAGTTTCTCTGAAATCCATGAAGTTTTGTGCGAGGACGAAAATGTGAGGCTTTTGTCGGTTACCAGCCTCACATGTAGGACGATGTCGTTTTAGTATAGCATTCTTGAAATTCGCCTCATAAATCTATCTTTGTACTTACTACATGTGTCATCTTGAATCCATTTGTTCGTAGTCTACTTTTGAGAAATCTATCTCTATATGGCCGGCAGCCACGACGAGTCACTAATTAAGTCAAGACGATATTTCAGGTTTTCTATTGAACTCTTATCATGCATGAATGTTTAAAAACGTTTGCATATCTTTAGAGCTGTGCCTTGCTCAACTGACTATACTGATGGCTGGATTGTCCATAGAAATTGACTGACACCCTTATCGTAGCTCTCTGTTGTGGTACAAATATACATCTAATTCAACCTTATGGCTTAACTTGATGCATGTTGAAAGTCGCGGTTTCAATATCGGTGGCCCTGGAATCGACTGACAACGTGTCTTTATAATCGAGCCGAGAGCTCCTGAAGGCGAGGTAACTCGCACAGGAGGTATAAACAGAAACCAAGCTGAACGCAGAGTAGACATTAGCACAATGCTCAATCCAAACAACTCGAGGGATTACATGGCAACGAACCTCAAAATCACGCCCAATGCCACGACAAGCTTGGACAAGGCGCAGGTCTGCACGGGACAGCTTAGAGCGTTCGCTTGGGCCATAAGGTACACCACCGCCGCCCAAAAGACAATATCCAGGCAGTTCAGGATGGTGTTGGCTTTCAAACTACCCCATCTCTTGAGAGATTCGACGTGTTGAGTGAGAAGTTGATAAGCTATGAAGAGAAGCGATTTTGCGCCCTGTGTGTCTATTAGTACATGGCTAAACATAGGCACCGCCGCTGCGAGAAGGGTGACTCACCATGCCTATGGACATTGTGTCCGCCCTCGACGTGATTCTGCCCATGATAGCTATCCGCGCGACTGTGATAGATATCGCAGTGATGATCAAAATTACTTCCACAATATGGACGACGAACAGAAGTCTATGGTTGAAAATTCCCGTCATTGCTGCAATTTTCGACATGGTTATATGTTTGGAGGTGCAGGTTGTTCCGTGGCTGGGTGACAGCGAAGTGAATGAATGGAACTAGCTGTGAGCTGAGTACTGTGTAATTCTTTTAGAATGAATGGACGAGTTGTGAGCAATTTAGCATTCCTGACATTGGGTTAGGAGTGTACCATATATAGGGCAATAGATTACGAGTAAGCGACGGTGTTGCGCAGCATTAGCATCGCCTCAGTCCCAGCTTTAACTAGTAGTTGAGCTTATTGTCGGTAAGCTAGCGTCATGATGTATTGTTCTTTTAGTGTTTTTCACTATCCCTCTATATTCCTTAATTCTCTGTTTCGTCTTTGATTTTTTTTCTCTATCTTCTAGTATAAGCGGTTGGGGCCGTCGAGCTCGGAAAATGATGTGATTGGCTTCTGGGGCTCGATCCATCTTGCCCAGCGAGCTAGGCTGCGCTATTGCACAATGGTATGACTGGGGTACTTTGGCTCGCGGATAAGCCTAGATCCACCCTCCTTTACTTCTAGAATCAATCAGCAATAGCATAAATGGCCTCGAACCATTCGAAACCCCTTCTAGATCTTTCAGGCCTGCGAGTGGAAACCGCACAGCCTTCGCCCCTGATCGCAACGAGGCTGAGTAAGAAACGCGTTCTTATTGAAGTCGGGCTATCGACTGGCATTTAGAGATAGCTGGACCAACTACCTGAGCCAGCAAGCTAAGTTATGTGGACTTCGTTTTATTCACTAGCAAGACTTATGGTTAAATTTACATATTTAATTGGTCCATAGGCGGATGAGGATTCGTGCCCAATCCTATTTAGCTAACCATGGAAGCAACGAGTCAACTTTGGAAATTCGAAACGCTAGCTTCTGAATCATTGTAAATACAAAAAAATAATTGCAATACATTTCCTTCCATTGTGAGAGACGGGTCACGTAACAGTTTGTCCTCAAGTTGCAGTAATCTCAAACAGCGACCCGGGAACACTGATTTGGGTCCACCTTTCAAAGCCGCAGTCTTCAATCCGTCGTCGTCAAGATACGATATCTTAATCTCCTCGATCCGCTGCGGTCAAATCGAGCCTGGCACAATATTTCGGCTGAGCCCACCACCAGCCGTGAGGGCAAGGGCCACATCGAACTGAGCTGCAAAAGTCAAAAATTGGACGCAGAAACTAGGAATGAAGGGGCCAAGATCAGCAGATGGGCTGAATGTGTCCAATGTGTTGTGACCGAGCCGGGTGAGTTAAAATGGCTATGGAATGTGCCTGCGCATAGGTCAGAAGTTGGCGAAAGTTGATGATGCGCTGCAAAGTCGACCACATACACACCAATCATGCCTATCCCCCGTGCTTCCAAGCTATGTACAACATAGGGACCAAAACGAAGCCATAAACGACGAGGTTGGTGACGTTGACCGACGGTGCAGCCAGGGTAATAGCAGTGGTTGAAGTAACGTGTTCGTGATATGGCCGCCAGTATGTTAAGATCATCATATGCTATTGGAATGGATAAAAGAGGGCTTAAAGCAGTAACATGGTGAAATACAAATCGTATCGGACATCACCACACATCCATAATTTGAAGACTCAGCAATATCATTGTATGTGCTTCTGCGCCGGCAGATCGCCACGTCGTCCGGTATAGCCTCCAGGAGCGGCTGAAACTCACGTGAGACGTGCGAGCAGTATGCAGCACGATAACATAAAACGTACTTTGCGATTCGCGTTCCTCACAACATCCACCCGAAACGAGCATGGTACCAGCACACGACTGTAGTACTCTACTCTAGTATAAACACGTAGGCAAGTTTTAGCGTCCCAGCTACGAGCTAGGATAATTGGGATGCCAAAACGAGACCGAGCACGAGTACTAGTACGAAGCAAAGTGGAGCCACTGTTAGTGCCATTTTTTCTAATTTTCATTATTGCGGATGGGGAAACATCTGCACGCCTAAAGCTGGGTCCGAAAGCTTCGTATGGACCACTTGGTAGCGCGGGCGATCTATGCGAAGTCTGCCTTCCATCTGATTTCGAAGTAATCTGAAAATGGTCGATCAAAATAATTCGTATCAAGCTTCGACCTCGTACGACTCGTACCTGTCAAATGATTGGCTTCTACCCAGATATGTTGAGCTTCCAGATTGAGTAGCTGCCATATCTTCCAAGCCATCTACAGAATAAGTTACCTCAACCGTCTCCTTACCTCAGCATGCTGTCCCGGTAATGCCGATAGGGCTGCGTCTGTATGCAAATCCAAGCTTCTAGGGATCTGCAAGGTTAGCGGCAGTACGTCGATGATCCTATCATTAGTGAAGTTAAGTTGATCCTCTATACTATAGTGATGCTAGCTATCTGGTGGTCTCCGAGTAGCCTAGCTACTTTGGCGTCAGCCGTCGCTGCTACTTATCACCAAGAATTCACCTCTATGCCTCAGCTAGTAAAGATCGTGCATTTCCGCATCACATAGGACGACGACCATGGGAGCACATGGTTTCAACAAACACTGCCATAATTCGAGCATGATTAAAATTCACTAATAGGCTCAGCCGGGTGGATTGCGGCGCTAGCCGGGAAGTACCAGACTACCGGGAGCGAGAGCGAGGCAGAACCGCGCGATACAAGCGTAAGTCTGGCGAACCCAAGTGCTGGAACAAAGAAGATTCTCACCCGAAGCTAAGTTCTTCGGGCAAGAATCTTCTTCACGAACCGTATGAGCTATAGTATGGCGAACTGTTTTCCTGCCTCCCTGCCAAATTCGCTCCGCCTCAAGATGTGTCAGTTAGTAACTACTAAAGTACCGGCCGCCAGGTTTGTCAGTGCTCAGCCACACGGACCAGATGGATAGTTCAAGCCGCCCAACTAGACTTACCAAGGTCGAATGGTTCCTTTGGATTGCAACCAGACAAAGCTAGAAAGGCTATAACTTGTCTAAAGGTGGACCAATGAAAATCGTATGCGAACCTTCAGACAGAGACACATTTCTCACTTCACGAATGCTTTCGGCGCTAACGGAACCTTCGCACTTGTATAATAAATCATCAAAAAGCAGTCCAATTGCACTCTCTTCCCGTATGACCAATTTCAAGTTGACCTCTACATACAGCCTACTTAGAAACGCAATTCACTTGTCCAAAGTGGTATGTCGACTCCCCAACTCCGATGTGCGAGCTGCATATGCTAACACAAGTTTCCAGATATCTACCATAAGAAAAATAAAAAAGCACAGTTACGATATAAAATGCCGTATTTAATTCCATCCTTGTCTCGAATTTCTGAGCGAGCTTCCATTACGCATCGCCACGACTTGAGCAGAGGAAAGAAGCCCACGTCCATCATCGAAGTTTGGACCCGTCTGCTGCAAGTCGTCCAGGCACTTCAGCGGGGCGACACGCTGCTTATCACCAAGATGATCCGCGAAACATCGAGGACAGCCTCGGAGAGGGGCATGGTATCGGCGGCGGAGGCGAACTTGGCACTTCTCGGAGGCACCTCAATTCTGCATCTAGCTGTGCAATGCGCAGAGGTCGAAGTCATCGAATACGTTTTGTCTCATGGCAGCGAGCATGTCGACGTTAACTTCACCGACAAGGAAGGAAGAACTCCTTTGCGTCTGGCATTACTCCAAGATCGAATATCTGTTGGGCACTTATTACGCCGTTATGGGGCTACGGATAGGGCTATCAGCGAGAAGCGGAGCAATTCAGGAAGACAATACCTTAGACAACGAGATATCCGAAAATCAATACAATGAGATGATATAACAAATTGCTACTTGACACTAATTCGAGGGTGCGAATATGTTGAATAGCGTAGAACATGTGGACTGTAGTTCGGAAACTATTGTCATGGCTTCTTAGTTTACAACAGGGAATAACACATGAGTCTGAATGCTGCTCACCTTTTTAGTTCTCAAACGCAGTGTTTATTCTTATTGCGATTTCAGTCTTCACAGGCGACCTGGTTGCACGTGACTACGAAAAGGTATGAATACTAATTGGAAAGAACAAAGGCTCCGCTACCGCCGACAGGTATTATTGGGTATCTATGTACACAAGGCACCTACAGCACAAGGCCTTAGGTGCGATAGTGCAAACTTCATCCACATCAGTTGCAAATTCATATGCCGAAGCTGATTGTACCACAGTGAAGTCCCACACCCCGAAATCAACGCTTCTTGAATATCAGCTCCTTGTGCGGATCAGGAATAGACTAAGACGCCTCGTGGTTAGTCGACAGTCTCACTAACATTTTCATGATCAACGGGAGACACTGAGCAGCGGAGACTTACCATATGGGCAAACTCCATATTTGGGTATCTTTCTGTGCACCCTTCGGCCAGTTTTATGTCATACTTCAGAAGCATATTGGAGAGAATCATCTTCAGCTCATTGGCCGCAAAGAACCGCCCAGGACAAGCATGGCGTCCATAACCGAATGTCAAGCTGTTTTGACTGACGCTCACGAACTGGTTCAGAGCTGCGCTTTCGGCCGAACCACCACCCTCTCGTGCCTGTTGCCTCAGCTTGTAAAATCGCAGGGGATCGAACTTTTCAGGCTCGGGGAAAAGTTCCGGGTCAAAGCTGACAGCAACGGCAGGGACTTCGATGGTGATACCCGCAGGGATAACTTGACCGTCATGGAGCGAAAAGGTTTGGAGAACTTTGCGTTGGAAGGATGCTTGATGATCGCGTCAGTCCGTGTTAATCACGAAATACCTGAGTGTGGAACGTTCTGTCTTACCCATCGAGGCGGGATAGAAACGCAGTGTTTCCTTTAGAAAACTGTCGAGCTTCTTCATTGATTGCAATGCGTTGCTCGTGAAAACCCCGTCGTTCTCGCTCAGAGCCTGTTCAATCTCTTGACGGAGCTCGGGAATGAAGTCCGGGACGGCAGCAATACTATAAAACCTGCATCTTGTGTGTTAGGAATTGGATCTGGTAGAGGATATAGTTAAGTACGGACACATTCGTGGCTGTGAGTACGGTCGTGTGGATAGCAGCAAAACTTATGCCTAGCTGGACCCGCGGCAGGTTCTGGCTGACCTTATCGGGAAATTTCCCGAGAGCGCTGATCAACCATTGAAGCATATCATCGGGCTTGTCAGGCGACGTGGCAAGTTCCATTCTCTTTTTGACGACAGGCTCCATGAAACTTTCGGCGGCTTTAATTCTCTGGTCCAGCTTCTTGGCTTGGGGCAATCGATTCGCAAGAATCGGACGCAGCCAAGGTCGCATTTTTTGGACGGCGCGTTGGACCTCCATTGCTTCTATAGTATAGTTAATAGCTGCATCGAGGTATTCCTCTTTGCGACCAAGCTCAGGGCCAATGAAGATTCTTCCTGATACCATGCCGACGATACGCAAGAGTTTGTGGTGGATGTTGACAGAAGTCCATTCAGAGCATTCAGGCATCTCAAGATCGATAACCTCCTGGACCTCCTTAGATAGCACCGGGTTAAGGCGAACTGTGATAGTCAGCAGGTCTACACGGGAATGAGTCCAGTTCACAGGAATGGTTCACAAACCTAGTCCTGGCGTTAAATCAGCCTTGATTGTATGAGGTACAATGGGTACAGTTGTCTCGATTCTCGTGTACTTAGCCTCCATATGCTGCGATAGGTTTTATTAGTCCATATCCAGGTTGCAGACTCAATGGTCCCGACCAACCTCATCGACCGCAGCTGCCATGCTGACTATGCTGTCCGGAAGCTTCTTGAGCTCTGGCAGGTACTTAGGAGGTAGTACAAGAACAGTGGAGTCTAGACCGCGAGACAGAATATGAGCGCACAACTTCTCGAGTGCTTCAGGACCAGGATTATACTGACCTCGCGACGTGGTGATCTTGAAGGCTCTCTCTTTGAACTTCAACGCCAATTAGCCTCGGAGATTGTTTGCAATCACTCAAAAGTCATGCACGGAATATACCTTTCGATAGCCATCATTGTATAGCTTCCTGGCGCCGTTCAGATAGGCTTGTCTTCGTTTCTCTGGGCCCCCAAGTTCCGTTCCAACTGTGGGAAAGGTGAACATGCGAAGGAGTCTCAGAACTCTGGGGAGAAACACAGCTAGACACGCGACCAGAGCCACAGAGGAAACTACTGGCCATCGTTCGGCCACAGCGTCTCTCCAATCTTGTGAATGCCCCATTTTGCAATGCTTAGAGAGCTCGTAGCTTTGCCTGGATGGAACTATTGTTGTACGACTGTTTGATTAAAACAAAGCACTTTGCATACGACTTAAGTCTAAGTATAGAGTGTTGCGGATTTGTTGCAGTGGTCCTGATTCAGAAGGGTCGTGACAACATATACGGCGAGGCTTGATGGTGAGATGCGTCACGTTTCGGGGTGCCCTCAATTCCGCGCCACCGTGGTGTGCGTGCTGGCAACGCAATCACGTTCGCATCAATTTTTGATCTAGCTTCGCTCTCGCTTTTTATCAATGCGGGGTATCCTGCAGTACGACCTCGAATGAGCTCAGTTACTGTGGTCAGGACTCCCTGTCTCGCCTGCTAGAAAGATTGTCAATGGCGGCGTGTCAATGGTCTGAAAGCTTCAATTAACAAACGGCGCGAAGACCCCCAATCCCCTGAAAATCTCGCGAAGATCTTCAACGCCGGTGCTTATATTAAAGCAGGGACCTCTTCTTCCGTGCTACCACAGCTTCTCCCGCGCGGGACCCTGCCGCCGGTGGTTAGTGCACAGTAGCGCTATTATAGGAAGGTAATTTGCACATCGGCAGTTGCATGGCCAGGTTGCCCAGATCTGTTGCTATGGTTCTCGCTCTCGCTCTCGTGCTCGCTCTCGCTTTCACCATTGTTCGATTGGTTTTCAGTAAAGAGAAGTAGGTTTCAGGTCATTTTAACTTTCATGCTGTACTTAGACTGAGCGATAACCAATGGCCGGCATGTCGTGCCGTTACAAATTTCTCACTGACGTCGTAGCCGCCGTAACAACGGCTTCTCAAGACTCAGCACGTGCCAAGTGCGAAGACCTGTATACACAACACTGCGATACCACCCCATCAATGTAGTAATGCAGGCAACTGTTGCTTTTGAGTTTTCAGTATACACTTATACGGCAACTTGTAAGCCACTGTGACTGTCGGTAATCCCTATCGCACATGATACTGGTTGCAGATCGCTTCTCATCTTCAAGCCAAGCAATGGTTGTCCTGATTCTGCCCACGTCGATCGACATACTTCGTTGTTTATATTTCGCCATGGCCACCGATTTCCCCTACCGTTTGACCCAGAAGCCAGCAACTGCCAGCTCTTTCTCGACATACCGGTCCTAGTCTAGGTGATCTTTCTATCTATGACTCATGCCACGCGACAGCTGAAGTTAACCCGTCACTTTCGTATCTTTGTCCCGGTCCCGACTTTCTCCCAGAACTTAGTCGAGGCTTTTCTCCAGAGTTTGCCTAGTCCAAGGCAGATTCGAATATCGATCTACGCGACTAGCTCCGGTAGTTGTTGCAATCCGCGCTAGTACCCAGCAGTCAATCACCTTATCCCCATCGAGAGAACACCAGTCCTTAGTTTTAAGTCAAGGCATCCTTTCGACTTATTCGCACCACTGGCCACTGCCTCATCAGATCAACAACTTGAGAAATGGCGGATGCTGCGATCAACCTACCGCCAGCATCGGCGAGCCTGATCAACCTCGCCATCGTCGAGATTGTGATATATGTTCTTCTGCTGCCACCACTTCTATACATCACTTGGAAACATGGCAAAAATGGCATGACATGCTGGTCACTCCTCGTGTCATTCTACGGCATGCGTTTTGCATCAGATATCTGGCAGATTATGGATCGCAACAAGCCCAATGTGCCCGGCGCACTGCTGATCATAACCAATGCTGGAAGCATTGCTTGCTTGACTCTTGGCCTTATTGGAATCCTATATGAGATGTATGTACCGCACCCTCGCTAGAGTTTGAACAAGCCACTGATATGCCATGAAGCAACATCATACTTCCGTATCCCAAGCGCTGGACCGACAAGATCATCATGGCTACGACTAACCTGGTCAATACCGCGGGCATCGCCATGGCGACATACGGAGGTGCACCCAGCGCCACTGCTCCTGGCGGGGTCATGAACCAATTGATAGACAGATTGGGCAATATCTTGATGTTGCTCGCACTATTTGCTCTCTACGCTTGGATCTGGCCCACCTGGAACCGGGTATGGTCAATTCGTGATGACCCAAGTTTCAAGCCTGCATTGTACATGATCGTGGCGGCGGCGGCGGCGTTGCCCTTCCAGCTTATTCGCATCATTTACAACACCGTGTACTCCTTCGAACTGGTCGACAGGGCCTTGGACCCTATCATGGGTATATTTGCCACCCGGTTCATATTTCTCTTTGTGACGCAGCTGGGCTGCTTGGTCATCTTGCTCGGCGGCGGCTATCTCGGAATTTGCCCGAAGGAGTCTCTGTCGGTGGATGATAGCACTGTTGAGCAAGGTATTGAGCTCACGACCACGGGAGAAAATACCTCTGACCAGTCACCTGACTGGGGTTCGATGGGCAGAATGAACGCTAAGAAGAATGAGGCAGTTGGCACAAGGTTTAGATGATGATGAACAGCCTGGCTGTATTGCCGACCACGATCTGTGCAGGGGCTACAATAGTGGATTTCAGACTGGCTGTAGGACGGTTTCATTGGTGGAATATAAGAACTGGTGCACTAGTCTTGATTAAAACAATTCTCGGTAGCTAAATTTCAAATGTCTTTTCTTTTTTTCCCTTAAGATTTATATTTGTTTGTGTCGTAGCTCACCTCTGTCCGCCACTTTCATTCTGTTCCATGCGTCGCGTTTCTCTGAAGCTCGGTGCTGTAGATCGCACTGCTGAGATCTGGAGATGGATGTAATGGAGGATTTTGAAAGTGTTATATTTTCAGATGTGCTGTTGGAGGATTCGTATAAGGATGAATAAAGTAAAAAGGTTCGATATCGAACAGTACTTCCTCGAAATTCTGTGTGTAACCATTCAGATGCTCAGGGTAGAATCCGAGAAATTAGCATCGAGGGAGAAATACTGTCGTTAGCGAGAAGAGTATGGTGGACCCAGGGGTGTGGGAATTTTCAGTTGACTGGCCGGTGCTATATACGGACTACGTTGCTCGCGCTTCTATCAGATATTGAAGTAGTGAGTGTTGGCTGTACTATCACAGCGGGAAGGCCAAGTAGATCATATCGGCCTTTGTCGGAGTTGTTCTCGGCCTGATCATTATAAGGTCTGAGAAATAGGCCTTGTAGATAATTTCCTTTTTCCATGCCTTCACACTTAGGTACAGTTAGTCGTTGGTTTTTGCAACGGTGTATTTGAAGATAAACGAGAATGGCTCGTTGTCGCTAATTAATAATATTTTGGTTGTCAAACTCATCCTTTCCGCTCTTTACTTGTTGATCAGTCCACCGAAGAGCCTGCGAGCTCATCGTGAGGCCTATAACCAAGGGACAAGACAGTAGCCCTAGTTCAATTTGCAGGTAATTTCCAGTTGTCCGACTTGGGTCATACGTCGATGTAACTGGAGCAACAATCAGCCGATCTTGTTCTATGAAACAGAGAGAAGACTTGAGGGCCTACTGGAAAGTTTTCATGTTGGGGTAAGACTATTTCCCCCGGAAAGGGAGGTGTGAGGGATACGGGTCGTCTTTACGTTTTTTTTACTATTGTATGTCGGGCTTCTACAGGCTAGAAATCTCGCATAAACTTAGGGTTTGATCGAATCTTGTGTCCAAACTTTGAAATCACAACGGGCACCGGGGCCAACACGAGCAGAATCAATCCGAGGAGGGTATTTCCCCAGCCAAGTCCTAGTGCATCGTATAGTTGCAGCCCAAACAGCGGAAGAACAGCGCCCAAGAGACTTCGTAGCACACCATTGGCCGCCGTTGCCGAGGCTGCGTGCTTTGGAAAGGAGTCTATGAGGTAGGTTTGCGCCCCCATGAACACGCCCATCATACCCATACTCATAATCGCTGATCCGATCATTGGGCCGATCCAAAAAACTTGCTTCTCGGCCGTCCATCCATAAATGATCAACCCGGCGGGCAAGCAAAGAACCGCAGGCCCAACAATGATCAAGCTCAGACGATCCTCGGGCTGTATTGGCTCCCCTTTCGCCATTTTATTGCGTATTATGCGGTCCGACTGGGTCCCCGAATATACAAGCCCGGCCAAGGTACCAACACCAGACGCTATGAAGGACAACCCGGCGCTTTCGGAACTGAATCCATAAGTCTCCTCGCTGACACATAACCGTTAGTATTTCAATGGTAGTTTCCGGTCTAGTACGTGTTCTTGAGGAGAGAAAAGGGGGGTTCATTGGGAGTGGGAGTGGTATGGGTGACTTACTACACAAACGTGAATGTGGTGAACAGAAGGTAGGATATACCATATATGGCGGCAATATAGATACATATCGTTGTGACAAGAGGTGCAAGTACAAGCATTCGCGCAGGACGAACGATGGCCAGAAAAAACAATTCACTAGCAGTTCCCTGCTTTTTCAAGCTTGAGTGGTACCTTGGGTCGCCGGTCTCTTTGCGGAGGTGTTTTGCTCTGCGCTCAAGTAACTCCGGCCCATATGTCTCACGCAGGATGAAGAAGGAGCCCACAGTTGCGACTCCGGCCTAGACTTGGTCAGTGATATCAAGGCCAGCCAAGTTGATGTTGGGCGCATGGATAAGTCCCTTCATCGGTTCATTCCAGACTTACAGCAATAGCAATAACCCAAAACACCCATCTCCAGCCTTTGGCTGCGACCAAGAAACCAGCACACACGGGACCGACCACCGGCCCTAATAATGGCCCAACCGACCACAAAGCCATAGCGGTTCCCCTCTTTTCCGGAGGCATTAAATCCACAATTGTGCCACTTCCGCAAGTCACAACCGTAACGCCTGCACATCCAGCAAGGAAACGGAAGGCGATAAGCATACCCATACTGTTTGATACAGCGCAAGCGATTGTGAAGATGACGAAAAGACAGTTGCTGATGTGATAAATTTTGGTGCGGCCGTATAGTTCGCTCATCGGTGCGACGACCAATGGGCCAACCGCGAAGCCGAGAACAAATGCCGAGACCACGAACGTTGCAAGTTGATCGTTATTGGTCTGGAATTCTTTGAGAACTAGTGGTACGCCTGGTGCAAGCATGGACGACGCGAGAGGACTAGCGAGAGCCAGGACGTGACGTTAGAGTTGAGTCAAGACCTGGAATGAAGCGGGCAAAAGCAGGTAGACTCACGTAAGAAAGCTCAGAAACGACAATAAACCAATGATACTCCATTTCCGCCAATCTGGCCAGTTCAATGGGTTTTCGGGGTCTTTGTCTACGGGTTTATCCCAATCAACGATATATTTGCTGTCTGATGACATGCTGTCAATAGCTTTGGTGTCCACCGCTTCTATCGGCACATTCGGTGGTGATGCAGCCCGTTCTTCTGGAATTTCTTTCTCCAAAATTTTGAAATCATTCACTGTTTCCGAGAGAGTCTCTGGCGCTGCCTGACTCCTGTCTGGTTCGTTTGTTATCATGGTTGGGGTTGTCCCACGTTACGCTTATGGAATAAAATGGAAGTGCAATAGATAGGACGAAAAGAAGCTGCTAGTCGGATACGAATAGAGAAGACTGTCTTGATTAATACACACGAAGATTCCAAGTAATTCCAAATCTCGATTGTTGCTCCTGGTTAAAAACGGCCACGTTTGACTTGTACCGATCTACCTAAGCAGCCGCACTCTCCATTGGAGCATCTCGCTTTCGGGCCCCGAACGAGGCCGACGCCATCAAGTACCGTATGCGTTGCATGTGGATTCGTTGTCCGATAAAAGATTGTAACCATGTTGAAATTTTGGCGAGATATGTGCTCGGATTTGAGGGGTAGATAATTGCACAGCCGACTTTTCACGGCCACGGAGTGTTGTGAACGGCCGGCCTAAATCCAGAACAGGACGCACTACAAGAATTTCTCTCATCGAAACTCTGCTACAGCCATGGCATTTTGTTGTCCATATGGCGCATCAATTGATCAGGTGAATGGGGCGGGGTCGGATGCAACTGTGACCCCGGGACACTCTTAGCTTGTGATGCCCACTGCCGTTCCGTTCTTACTATAGTGTGATGATGGATCGGACGGAGTGGAGCAGACGATACCGAGCCAATGAACGAAAGATCCGAGAACGAGTAATTTCGCTCTCGCGCGATCTCAATTTGCGGGACCTGGGGCACTGCTGCAGCATGTGGAGGTAAAGTCAGTTGACAGCACGTCCAAGCGTCTGAAATGAAACGTTTGCTTTGTCGAGGCGTTCAGTGGTCCTATATCCTTCCGCAAGTGTTTCATCAATTTCACATGTCTGACTGACTGAGCTTCAGTCTTGCCACCAAAAGTGACTGCCTAATCAATTCCGTCAACGCAAGTATATCAAGAATCAACTAATCCCACAAATGCAACAACTACTTCCCGTGGGGCGATTGCACTTTGCTTTCGCTTCCAACGTTCAAGGGTGCGCTTAACTTTGGTCGCTCAGCCCCACGTTGGCGTGCGTATTATGACTAGTATAGAACCATGTTATAGTATCACAGTAGATCAGGCAGAACTTAACGACAATGCGCCACTTTGCGACCGTGGACTCAGTAAGCGGGATGGATAGTTCGGCTTGTAACTGAATTGGAGTAGGGCTGGCTAGCTCGATCTGCGCCACTCCACGTAGAGGTTTTGCTACAGGTGCCCCAATATATCCGAGGGCAAATGAGTCGAGCGAGCTGCTTTGAGTTTGCCCGCTAGGCGCCCTAGAAAAAGCTGCGAAACCAAGAGCGAGGAAACACCACAGTCTACTGTACATCAACATCTGTTAATGCGTCGGCCCGAACAGCGCGTGCTGGGCGGTGTCAAAGATCGACCGCACCCTCGGGTCCCACCCAATGTCAGGCACAGGTCCACGTGCGTGGAGTTGCTAAAATGAGTTTATGCTTCTAGCTTCAGCCTACTGTACCTATGCAAATCATGACATGGCCAAACGACTACCGAGAGCCCGGTCCGGCAGCTAGCCATTGTGCTCCGCCCTCAAGAATGCAGTTGTGATATGCGATGACCCCTTCAACAGCTACCTTTTCCGAGCCGAGCCGGAACCCTTGATGATGATATATAAAGACTGGGAGCTCTCGCATACCATCATCCAGCTCAGCACTCACCCCTTTACCTCCACATTCTCCAGTCGATTGGCAATCTGTTTCGCAACATGATCTCGGCAAACCTTCTTATCGTCGGCGGTCTTTCGACAGCTGTGTTGGCATGCGCATCGCAGGCTGAAGCTATCTCGGAGCTTCCCATTGTTTCGCTCTCTGAGGGCGCGGCTTGTGCTTGTACGCAGCTTACGGCGCAATTCAGCAGCGATGTCATAGGCACCAATTCCTCCAACTACACCACCCAAGTCACAGATTACTGGGATGTCCGCGCCGATCTGTCCCCGTACTGTATTTTCTTGCCGAGCGGGGCAGCCCAAGTTGCCAGCGCTGTTAGCATCATTTCTACATGCGGCGCACAGTTCGCTGTCCGCGGCGGAGGCCATATGAATGTATTTCAGGCCCACTCTCGTCAGGTGAATTCGCCAGTTTTCTGACATGAATGATTTTAGTATCCCGGATCGAACAATATTAACGGCGGAGTCCTGCTTGCTCTAAACGGTCTGACGGAACTGAATGTCAACAATGATACCGCAGGTGACAGTCCTACCATCGAGATTGGGCCGGGCAATCGATGGGTCGACGTCTATGGTGCATTGGAGCCTTACGGCTTATACGCCGTTGGAGGACGTCTCAAGACCATCGGAGTGCCGGGTCTTTCTCTGATTGGCGGTTTTCACTATTTTAATAACAAGTATGGTATGAGTATGGACCAGCATGTCAGCTATGATGTCGTGCTCGGCAATGGCTCACAGGTCGTGGCGAACGCGACCTCGAACCCCGATCTTTTTTGGGCGTTGAAAGGAGGAGCCAACAACTTCGGCATTGTCACAAAGTTCACGATGAAAGCTTACCGGATCCCCTTCCTCAGTACGACTATTCAAAACTTCAATGAGTCTAATGTTGAAGACTTCATCGCCGCTACAGCAGATCTTGCTGCCAACAACCCTGCCGATATCGCAGCAGGTGCTGTCATTAGCATCCAGTATAACGCTACGACCAAGGTCGTTGCTGCATCGGTGCTGGGTGTGGAGGAAAGCCTCGTATCACCGCCTCAACGGTTCGCCAACTTTTCGGCTATCCCATCAACGCTAGCTATCAACAACGTTACCACTCCCACCCAGTGGCATTCCCAATTCGACACCCCCAATCAGATGTTCCGGTAAGAATTTTCTTTATTCTCGAATTATCTGGAATTCAATCAACTATGCCTCCGCTTAGGTAGGAATCCTTATCTCTAATGACGTTCTCTGTAGTGTGCAATTCTTTTCCAAATCTATGAAGCCGGATGCAAGTCAGCTTTTTGCTATTTACCAAGCCTGGAAGGACGCAGTAGACACCATCAGTGACGTCGAAGGACTGTATCCTACGTTTGTGATGAACCCGCTCTATGCAAGTGCTGCGACAATCGCTAAGACCAATGGCATTGGCAATGTGTGGGGTTTGGATGATGATCAGTCATTGATTAGTAAGTACTTACATTCATGAAGGTACAACCGCGTGTCTTGAAATTAATTTCTATTCATAGTTTGGCAACTTTCCACTGGCTGGGCCAACGCCGAGGATGATCTCCGCATGACCAATTGGGCAACCTCTTTCGGTGATTACTGGCACACGGTAAACAAAGATCTGGGCCTTGCATCCGAGTTCTTATATATGGGCGACATTTCGGAAACACAGGATCCTTACCCTGGCTTCCCGTTGGAGAACGTACAGAGAATGAAGGATATCCGAGCGGCCTATGATCCTTTGGGTGTCTGGACTCGTCTGAATTGGGGTGGATTCAAGCTGTCTGCTTGAACACCATCAATATTAGCTAATTGAATGGGGCTTGTGTATTTAGGTTGGGATGTCACGCCGGCTACAAGCCCTAGGGCCGTTACTTGACTGATACTTTGTACAAACGAAACCTTCCTTTTCTTGTCCATTTTACATCACTCTTCGGCATCAAAAGAACACAGCTATGGGGAACAAGTCAAGCCGGAGAGATATGTAAAGCGATATCGTATATATTGAATAGAAAATTCAGTCCCGGCTAAGATTAGACTTTATTTGCCTCTAGCATTTCACAAGCTTGTGGACTCCATTCTGAGACCTCGATGCATCCTGACTGGCTGCTGTCTGTCGTCCGTTCGTCACATCATTTACGTATGGAGAATATCAATGTTGAACATCTCGAGAACCTTACTTCCAGATGCCGAGGTTCCATGAACTGATCTTGGCATACTATGTGTTCTTACTAAATCTTGGCTTCGGTCTACTCAACTTGAGACATTGGGAATACCCCAGCTTCAACCCTGTCACAAGAAAAACAGTGAGTACACAGTGGCTACGGTCGTGGCATTATTATCAGTTGATACTCCAATCAATCACGGTGCAGTACAGAAGAGAATAAAGTTGTTAGGTTACGGTATGTGACGTTTGTTTACCATAGAATATTCGCAGAGATTGCCGTCCTTCCTTCCTGATTGTTTTCAAATGGCACGAGATGTTGACTAGGAGGGTTGAGCGTCAGCACCGTACAAGCTCAAGGCTCCAAAATTGGCTGATCTGACGATAAATTCTGCCCCGCAAAAGGGGCTAGGAATAACGTTATCCGCTATATAGTAGAAAAGCGTAGCTGCACTATTTAGATAAGGTCAGGCTCCTTCGAAATAGCTGCAATAGGGTAGAATGTATCAGACGGCTATTTCAAATTCCATCTCTATAAAATAAATCCTTTTTGTATCTGGCTTGCACTAGCGCTTCTTAACCCGTGAGATCGAAGCAACCAACGGTTCATCTATGGGTGAATCAGAGATGTGAAACAACATTATCATCACTCCCAGGTACATTCCTCCGCCGCCAAGGCCTGCCAGAGCTCGTCCGATGATGAGCGCGTTCATGCTAGGCGCCGCCCCGCACACGGTCCGAGTTCGAAAATCATGCAGCTTTTCTAGATGATAGAGCGGAGCTAATGCCAACTTGCATTCCAGGGTACAACCTTATTTCAGATGATCCCCGAGAATCGATTCGATTGGCCAGCGAGCACCACTCTATGAATCTCATCATCTGCTAGGCGCCAAACAGAAGGGCGAGAAGGCCTTGGTCGTCCTGCCAGACGGGCCAGGTCTCAAGGAAATTTGCGATTCGAGCTGTTATATCGTAATCTGGATGAAGCTGCTCGTGCCGCGGAGAGGAATCAATATGGCTCCCAGATAGTCTGCGAAGGCAGCGCATTTTGAAGTGGTGAGTGTGGATGGCCACGCACGTAGCTAGGGATAATCGATCCACTTATCGTGTGGAGAAAATGGCACACTTATTGAACGATCTCTCGTTCGAGGATTTGTTCCTCTCATCCATCAATCCATCCAACGATTACAACCTATGGATTGGTGGTCCATTCGCTTCGAACACGATCGTCTATCAATCGTATCCACGTTATATAACAGTTAATACATACTCTTTCACACACACAATGCACTCACAAGACAAGTACACGTATCGCACAAGATACGTACAGTCTACGAAAAAGCCCGCGAGCTCGTCGTGCGTCCAATACCAAGGTCCAAGTCAGGTGTACTGGCTCAATACAAAGCAACTCACTAATCTGATGTTGGGCATTATCAAGTGTTCCGAACTCAAATATGACTAGGGAAAGTACGTGCGCAAAAGAGGGAGCCAATCTCCGCATCTTGCCAAACACAACTGATATGTGAAACTCAGCGTAGGTTGCATAGTGCATGTTGGAAATCCTATTCTTTCGTAATACTACGAGTTCGCTTCCTTCGCTGAGATTATTGTGTTACGGGAATACGAGCAATAAAAAATTCACAACATGCGATGCAAAGCAACCTAGTTATACGTTAAGTTACATCGACACTCCTATATACTAGGTAAGAGGATAAATAAGTAAGGATGAAAGTCCCCACCAAAAAATCGAAGGGTGGAATCGTGTCTAGCGGCGGTACTGAAGTACGATCGCGCACAACATGTCTGCGAATGATAACTCCTTTTGCAGAAAATCAGTCTCGTCGGAATTTGTATGAATATAGTGGATCGTATTGAAGTAAAGCTAAGGTGACTTCTTGTGTTGGTTACAATTGCTTCGTGGCCGTAAGTCGTATCGTTGCGATCCTCGGCTATCATCTCCTCGTTGCTGCTCTACTTCTTCAGCTATTTCATTCAAACATTCCAAGTCATATTTCATATCCGCTTGAATCGCGTCCTGGAAACGTAGCTTCGTCCAGAAACGCAAATGAGGTGCGGTAATCGCGATGCTAAAATCAAAAAGACGACCGCCCAAGTAATTCTCTTTCCGTATGTCCATGTTATAGATACCCAGGTCATTTAACTCTTCAATCCTTTTCCTCATGACAGCAAACGGTTTCCTGTTAAATGGAGTCTTGTACCTGATATATCCTTTCACAATGGCCCGTAGAGGCTGTTCCTCATCCTCATCTCCACGGTTCCAATCGGTGATACCGAACTGCGTTTGAATTTGGCGTTCCACAGTTTCCGGTAGCAACGTGTAGCCATAACAGCGCACAGCAAGCTCATCGTCCCTCCCTTCTTCGACAAGCCGTCCAAATGCACGACATTCAGCGAAGAAAGGGTCCAGCTGGTCTCGTATGATTTTGTCCTTGTTTCTTAATAAATGCTCGCCGAAGGGAACGAAGGGGCGTATTTCCTCGAGACTGAAGAAGTTGAACTTTGGACCCATAATCAATATGGTGTTCATCTTGATGCCGCTTGTGATTGTGTGTACTTACAACCTTTAAAGCATATGATTGGTCCGCGATGCGGACGTAGAAAACCCTGCTGTGGGGTACCTCATTGCTGTACTGTTCGTTAGAAGACAGCAGTCGCAAAAACTGGATATCGTCAATCTGCCTAAGAAACGGTCGCAGTCTTGGACCTTTCGCATCCGGTAATGGGATCATGTCTGATGGACGTGGTATTGAAGGCTGAAAATTGATAAATATCTTGTCGCTGTATTATCTACATCTCTTTTCCATACGTATGTCCATTTGTACCCCAAGATGCATCGCTCCCTTTCTTCAACCGGTGTAAGGGAATGCTACGCCACGTCGGAACACTTCCCGTTTTTGTCTTACACCTAGAGCCAATCAAAAGAGCAATGTTCGCGTGGGCATCACGATGGCGCATTATCCCCAAAAGGAAAGTCAAGATCCTGCGCGTCTGATTGCTTTCCATTACTCTGGGTAGCTGCACGTAATCACACATGCATGGAGCAAGGATTCTTGAGTGGATCGAAGGGATCACGCGCTTTTGGGAAAAGTAGGTAATTCGTTGGCGACCACGGATCTGTAATTCAATTGGTACTTCGTGTACCCACTGGTATAGGATGGCAGAGCAGTGTGCCGCTTGCTCAGCAGCCGGGCGCAGCCGTCCCGTTAGGACAAGGGTGTACAGCCGGATATATTGTGATTGTTGGAGAACAATGAAAACTGCGGAAGCAAACTATACGCCCCTTTTCCATACAATTGAGACATATTGTTTTTACAGGATGTCAAAAACCTTCTTGGACTATTTGACACAACCCAATCCTGAGCCAAAAGTGCACAAACAGGGGAAAGGGTATAGCACAGCGACCCAGGCAGACTATGGCCCCGACAGATATGACATATGGGAAGACATCACGTGGGACAACTTGAAGGCCACGTTTGAACATATCCTAGAGAAGCCACTGGGTAAACCCTTTGTTCGTAGCGCAAAGGACATACCTCTAGAAAAACTGGATATTTTTGAAGAAGATTCCGTTACGCAACTAGCCGTTGCATGGAATGAACCGGTACTGCGCCACGTTTTTGAAGGGACCTATAAAGCCATATGCGAAGAAATTCCCCAGGAAGCTTTTCGCCGAGGAATAATATGTCTCGAGAAGAACACAGGCCGGGGACACGTCAAAGGCGTGAATGGCAAAAACCAGATGCCAGACTGGTGCGCCTATCAAAGGAAGCCTGGGCAGGGTCCATACTTCCCTAACATTGTTCCTGGGGATTCCAAGCCTGCAGGTAAATGGAAATCAGAATGGATAGATTCCAAGACACACAGCTTGAGAAGAAAAGCCCACCACGTGATGGTCCAGATAACCAAGTACATGTGGGAAGCAAGGACACGGTATGGGTTTATCCTAAGCGAGGAAGAGCTAGTCCTTGTGAGGCTTTCTGCGTATCCGAGGGAAGACCAGTTCGTGCAAACCCGTAATGAAGGGGTGAAGCAAAGAGGCCAGATTTTAGGTTCAGACCGATTTTTCCAGAATGAGGACGGGGATGGCGATGACGATGATACTGATGAGGCGGATGGGTGGTCCAATCCACCATCCAATGCATCATATGCGGGAGATACCCGAAAGACTGGTTTGCAGGTTGAGTACTCTTGCATTCCCTGGGTAGCGAGTGGTCACGATGTCCTCACCATGAATCTTGCATTGTGGTGGCTCCCCATACTTGCAGTGCAAGAAAACTCCATCAAACAATCAGGAACTTACACATCGTTGGGAGAAATTATACGTGGAACAAGTCCCGTATTTGAACTAGAGCAGACGGAACGAGATATGCAGGACAGGTTCTACGGCGAAGAAGGACACCGGCACAAACGCAAGGTACATGAAGAGGAAGAAGGCAACGATGATATTGCATCTCCTGTTCCTCCAAGCACGGACAAAAGAAGGCGCCCAAGTCTGAGAAGTAGATCCTCCTTGCGCGTTAAGCAAGGGAGCGATAAGATTACATCTCCTATCTCTCCAACCAAGGACAGAAGAAGGCACCCGAATCGCAGGGATAGATCCTCTACACGAGCCCACCCGTCAGTGACAAATTTAACATCTCAAGATCAATTGTCAAGATCCGCCAGGTCAAGTCCCCATATATTCCAGCAATCAAAGAAGAGACGTGGACCAACCACGGAAGAATTGGAACATGAGAGGCCACCAGGTGATGAAAAATATTTTACGTCGTTTCAGTCGAATGTATAGGCCCGGCGGTACTAACTTAGGTAATCGTGGAGACAGCCGGAGTCCATAAAGCTTTCATAGACTCTGATGGTTTCAATTCCGTCAAACCGACTACGAGAAAAACCGTAGCTCATTTGGTCCTGCTTTGTTGGTTGAAAATATGCTGGATTTGTTGTGGATGAATGCTTAGGCTTTAATATGTAACCGTTTTTATTTTATATGGAGCTTTTCATACTAATGGATCGTTCTTTGCTTTTACTGATCAAACCGACGAAACTAACTGGCTTGCTTGAGAAGACGCGGGGTAACACAAATTTCCTTGCAGTAATCTTCTCCAGATGATCTTTTTGTCTTTTTTTTTTCTTTTCTTTTGTAATAGTTTCTAGCAGAGAGTAGAAACGTCTAAAGAGTGCCTTCATCTAACCTTGGGAACGTTCCGTCACGTCGAGAATTGGGCAACACCCTAGTTTGCACTTTTTGTTGCCATGTTCGTTGTTCGAATTGTTGTAAGAACCAATGCCATCGAGCAAGAGTTATTAGACCTTTCCAACCCGATAGCTGAGGGTTGTCGTCTGATGGCCATCTCCTCTTCCAATAGATATTCCAGCGAGTCCCAAATCAGACATATTGGAGCCTGCAATCCACAGTCCGCCGAGCTCAGGCCAAACTCATGGGCTTGTAAAAATGCCGACACACTTGGTACACAACACACTGCTGGAACGGCAATTGTGTCTCTTTGCAATTATTTAATTTGTTTCGATGTGTTTTTCTGGCCAGACTCAGGTTGTTTCTCAGCTTGACTTACAGCAAGCATTGTGGTAATCTCGATGGTCTTTTTCCACGCACCCAAAACTCTGTCATATCTTGTAGTCTCCTGCTCTCGGTGACAAAGTAATACCGTAGCATCTCTAGAATGCACTTGTGTGAGACAGAAACCGCAGGCTCGACAGGCACTGGCTGTCAGTTCTAAGGGCTCAACAGCGAAGAAGCAGGCATCTCGTAACAATGATTCCAGCTTTCGTGGAGAATCGAAACAGACTGCATATATCGGCCGTAGGAGCTTTTTGGGGATGGTTGCTATGTATAGCTCAAGAGACCTACTCGCTAACCTTTGGTCCCTTGCTTCTGGGTCGCGGAAGTCCAAAATTGTTTCAACTAAGTATGAGATCTCGAGTACCTCAAAGGTTGAGTCAGAGGTAATGAACGGGAAGAGTCTTTGCAGTATTTCCACGACTCGGTCGGTGTTCGTCCCTTCGTTTCCCAGATATATCTCTATCTCTGTTGCACAAACAACTTGCCAGCTTCGAGAATTAGCAGTCGATTGGCTTGGGTGTAACGATTATACTATCGGATCGCAAAATCTTCAAGATACAGGGGTGTTGGAGTTTATGCTAACAGAGTATACTAGACGCGAATAGAAGACTATAGAGATAGACCCTCAGGATATACTGAGCAAAGATATTCACAAGTGTAGTCGTTAAAGCTTTAGCTTCACCTAATGAGTAAGATAGATGCTTAGATTGATCACTGAAGTAATGACTGTCTATGTAGAGTAGGAGAAACCTGATCCTTATTATATCCACTCATTCATTCACTAATACTTGTTAGAGGAGCCCCTTGGAGCATACCGCTCCTATCGCTCCTATACTAATCACGTGACCCTGACGCCTGGCGACTCCTGGTGACTCCTGCTAGCTTGACTTGTCCTTAGGTGTGGCCTATTCGTCGGCTATCCCCACCTTCGTGCCTCAGGACTGCATGTTGGTTCCTCGTTCGTAACATTGCGTAAGACTTCCAGAATATCGTTGTGCAGGGATGATTATATTCATACCAATTTTTGTTTTTCTCTTTAGATTTGTTTTCATACAGAGTTGAAAAAAAAAAGGCAAGTTGCCAAGTCTTCAGATCAGATTCGGTAGTACAGTGAAACATTCATCCGATAGAGCCCATCGGCCACATGAATCGACAACGTATTTGGTCAGCAAATGTTAGAGTATAGGAGTGAGCAATTGATTGTCATAAACATCAGTAGACGAGATAATACTAACAGATTAGGCAGTTTGCTATAGTTCGGAGATGAACAATACCAGAGCCAAGTATCGGAATGAAAGTTGTTACGAGTCGGCTAGAACAAGACATTAAGTTATCTATTGAATACGACGACGAAAACAAGCAGATGATCGCCATACGAGACGATTTTCTAGAAGAAGACATACGCGACCATGTGCAGACAAGAGTCAAGAAGCACGAGGGTCTAAGAAAAATGGCAGGGAATAAGCTAACGTCGAGACCCGATTAATAAAAAAGCTTACGTAATGTACGATGCTCGGCTTTAAAGTGGTATATAACTATATTAATTATTTGTGGTCAGGTTGCTAAGACTGATATTCTTAGCATCTCTTTCTGTATGTACAATGATCTGAGCGAACCGACATGACTGTATTTGCTTAGCTTGAGTAGACCACTAGCTGGAGAGGCAGGGCTGCTGAGACGAGGGAATATCGTCTGGCAATGCTTCTATGTACTAACAAGACTCTCCGTTGTGTTAATGCCTCTGAGCTTCTTATACGAACTCCCCTCTTGCTAAAATATTCATCAAATACGACTGTGCTCGCCTCATGCTGATTAATCATTGAATCTCTTTGGGATGTCTGGTTCGTCTGCCGTTGTTTGATAATCTGCTCGTATCGTTCTAGTAGGATATGAAGTTTAAAGTATAGAAATCTCAGGCGAACCTGGTTAACAGTGATAAAGGACATTTTATTAGTGTGCTCGGAGAGTCGTTAAAGTTCATCAAAAGTTTCTATGACAGTTTCGCAGTCGTCCCCTTGGTCATAGGATTGGAATGACGTCCACAATTGACGAAAGCTATTCCAATGGTCCACGAACTACATAATGGCTTTCCTGTCGACCAAATCTTTGCTACATTAGCCATTTGTGTCTCGGTAGGGTCGACATGCAAGACTTCTGTGGAGTTTCATGTCTTTCTCTTTCGAGGTGGCTTGTGTGTTTTGGTAAGTTTGTTTTCAGCGACATTCCTAGACTTATGGCCCCGTCTCTTCCCGATTGTGTTGAGCTTGCCATGATCTAGTAGAGCAAGGTATTTGATGCTAGTGGCTTCACGTTCGTTGAATCGGTGGTATCTTCGGCTACAGGGCCGCATTTAATCGTGCTCTTGGCCGACGCGATGGAATAGCAGGAGGTGTCGGGAAGAATACCTGAACAATCTTGGAAGAATTTAGCGTGAGGCATCCGCTCCTCTTTTTTTTATGAAACAAGGTTTTGTTCTTCTTTTTGGCTGAGGCGTCCGAAATTACTCGTATTAAATGTTATCAACAAAGCATGGCTGAGAACCGCGCAACCGATAGTCTTCTTGAATGTTGATTCTACAATCAGGTGTGATAGATGATCAGGGATTATCAAAAAGCGCAAGTCGGCGCCCGAAGAGCTATCCTTGAACAATTTGCCGAGATAATCGAAAATAGATTGCATTCGTATCCTCGAACTCGGTGATATGAAGTTCCTCAAACAAGGCAAGCCACAAATTACATAGCGAATTAGATGCCTAAAGCATTTTTATACTGAAATGTCTCACGGTGTGCCTTCTATTCCCCTATATGCCGCGTATTTAGAACGACGAAACGTTTTAGCAATTTCGGAGAGGCTGATTCTAGTTGAACAAATACGTTGTTTGTGTCCTAAATTGTTTATCGTTGCTTGACTATGATAGCGACGACAACGAATATACGCCTACCGTAAACATCTGGGAGCTAGTTAGATCAAACTTGATTCTTACTTGGCTAAGAACTCGATATCGCGCAGAGTCGGATATCAGACATCTCCTTTTACTTTCAGGATGCGAAGTGATATATGCTTCGTGAAATAGCATACGCTTCGTAGCATCAGAGGATTGCAATGAAGTGATGGTGTAGAGAGCTAATTTCATTGGCTTTCACGTATGTTGAGTGAGGTCTTCGGATGTGTTTTTGGCGGGTACGTTAATATCTAGATGCACACATTTGGGGCGTTGAACAGAATGAGCCAAACGGAGTTGCGGATATGCTTTAGAAATCCGTTTGAAAACGGGTAAAGGGTTGTTTTCAGTACACGCCGTTTTGGACTGGCAGATATGGGGCTATCATCACGCGCTAAGACTATTTTGGCGCCCAATTCAGCGTAAGGTCTGCCATTTTCTGATCCCAAAACCTCCAGTCTTGGAAGCCGTTTGGTCTGCTAGGGACGTCTATCCATGTCGCCGAAAACGCGCGCGACCCACCATCGGCCGAAGACGAAACGTAGAGCCAAGGAGCGAGGGGGTTCTACATCATCTCAACCTCGTCGGTGACGGAGCCGCCCATATCGTCGATTACAGTGACACAGGAACATTTGGATTCTTAGGAGGGTGAGTGGGTGGACGAGCACTTACACCACGCCGACTAGGACGGTGCGGTATGGGTTGGTGGCGAGGAGGGATATGATTGAGATGGGCGAGAATGCGATCACGTATGGGCAGCCAGGTGATGACGAGACTTGACGCACACTCATGAGCTGCTGCAGAGAGGACCGCCCTCCTATACAGGTGCCTCGACTCGTCGTCCGGCCATCGGCCAAGCCTTACGTCTCGATCCACGGCTACATTGCGGCTGTTCGCGCCTTGCTCCAGACACACCGCGACGACATCCTGCGGGCCAAAGGCGTGCACGAATGGGGGCCCGTTCTGGCAGACACGGTCTTTTACATGAGACTCTTACAAATCGACACTGTCAGTTTGGATGACAGTAAGAGAAATCCAGACTTTGGGTGGCTATGGACGCTCCTGCAGTCCCGAGGGAATCGATGCACAAGATGGCGGATCGAGGACATGAAGAATTGCTATTCAGTCCTGCAACTGGCTTATAAAGCGAGCAGATTGGGAAACCGTAGGCGGTAGCGTCTATCTCCAGGCTGAGGGATGGCACAAGAGGTTCTAATATACCTACTTGATACGTTATCACCAATTCGGCATTTGGTCAAGACAGAGATAAACATGTAAATTCGAAAGTGAAATCATCGTAGAAGTTGCACATCCATACATTTGTCCTAGTCATCAGACAGTAACTATACTCACCGCCCGTAGAACATTTCACAAGCCGCTTCAGCAACGCGATCAATGAGTAAACTGACTCAGTTAAGTACAAGAAATAGGTACTTTTGTTTAAATATGTCTATCTTATAGCATAAACCAGGCCCATCATACTCACAATCCATAAGATGAAACCCAAGCCGGTTTTAAATCGAACACCACTCTCCCCAAAATGAACCTGGTTATCAGCATCAAGTGTATTTTGTTCTCTTTCTGACTCTTTAACTGTCCGCAGCGTATAATTATGATTTGACTGTTATCTTTGATCGAGCTCTTAAGGCAGCCCCGTATCGATATAGTCCATAGAGCCCAAATGCACAAAGAATTGTCAAGCCAGCAAGTAAGGAGCAACCTGGCCCGATACCAAGATTTTTGTATAACGGTGTTGCAAAAAGGACCGCGGCGCAAGCGAATGAACACCTTGTAGCATCTGAAGCCGCAAAGAGACTCGCCGCGTACTGCGGATAACTCGCGGGTATGTACATGAACATACATTGCATAAGGACGAAGACGCCAGCTGGATATATGACAATCCCCAGAGTAGGGACAATCCAATGCACTGAAGCGTTAGCAGCCCAGCCGAAAAGGAGTAGGCCGATGGGTGGGGCGATAGAGGCAAAGAGCCCGGGAATCAGTTGAGCCTCTGGCGACAATTCGGCACTCTTTCGCAGAGCCGGGATATGGATCTGATGAAGATATGCGTGGTAACAACCCGCAGCCACGATGCAACCTGCGATGCATGCGATAAAGGGCAGGGTTGACTCAGCGGGCGAAAGACCGTAGATATCTTCGTAGACAAGGGGGAAAGCTTCAAAAAAAGAGTAATAAATCCCATAGATGAGCGAAGTGTAAATCTCTGCAAAGAGTATCGCCGGATCCAATACTGTTATCTTAAGGGGCATAAGCAGCGACTCAACCACGACATTCTTTAGACTCAAGTGAGATTGAGCTACTTCAGATGCCGATGAAATTCTGGTGCCTGTAAGCTGTCGCAGCCTCTGCGCGCGTCGAAATAACAATGTCGAGGAGCTCGTCTCGGGCACAAAAAGTAGGAGCAGCATGACTGGGCCAGCTGATATTAGTACCTCCCACATTGAGAACCTCCAACCGAGCGCCGGTATGGCAAAACTCGATATGATGGGTCCTGACCAGCTGTGTTAGCTACAACCCATCTGAATATTAACCAGATAACTGCTCACTCACCGACTGCTGGCGCGAAATAGCAAGGGACGACCCAAAACGACATCGCGTGCGGTAAGGAGGTCTCGTCAAAGATGTCGGCAATAGAAGCGCCCCCGGTGGCCAATATTGGACTTCCAAAGAATCCTTGCAGAAACCTCAGCACCATAAATCCAGGTGCATTGGCGACAAGTGCTGTGGGTACGGAAAAGATGCAAAACAAGGCAAATGATACAACATACGGAGGATTCCTCCCAATTGCCGGTATCTCGCTGAGAGGGCTGAAGAGGAGTGGGCCAAAGCCATATCCGAGTCTGACGATGAGTTAGATAGCGCACTTAATCGATGAATGAAATACGTACACGTAGAGTGCCAGGCCGAGAGTTGAATAGAGCTCGCTCGTCTTAAAATCGGCCTCGACGGATGAATATGCTGGCGAGTAGATAGGGGCAGCCATATACACCACAAATGTATTCACGCATACTACCATCAAAACAAACAGCTTCTTCCAGTATTGCCAATTCCGAGGATTTTCACAATCTTCGGACGAAAACCACCCAGCAAGTACAGTCCCATCTTCTAGAATCTCCAAGCGTGCTTCATGCTGGTCTAAGTTATCTAGCTGTGATTGACTGAAGTTGGCTCGGTTGCCGGCATGAGAATGGTGACCGGTCAATGGCGAAATTTGTTGGTAAGGACTTAATAAAGCAGGATTTTTCTCCTCAGAGAATTTGACGTTGTCCTTGCTGATACAACGCACCATCCACCCTACTGCACTATCTTGGAATCCGTCTGGAAAGAGCATGTTTATCTTCCGTTGTGAGACGGTTGCGTCGACTGCGGGGAGAGGTTTAATCAAATCAAATGTATAGTGGTTTTCAATTTTTACGTTACCACTGTTTCATATCTACGTAGAAAGAGACATGGAGCACCTTTACCTCCAAATTATATCTGACTAATTTACGAAGGATTTGTCATCAAGATATAATCGCTGCCGCGGATGATCATTTGTTTCATCTATAACGTTAGCTACGCTTAAACTATTTTCTCTTATCATTTCTTTTTCTTTCGAGTTAGCTACAGATCCTTTCCACCAAGTGGGTGAAGTAGATCCGCAATGCACATTTTGCCAGTCTTTGCTTACACCATCGGGGGTTTATTGATGGGCTGTATGTACGCTGTAAATTGGATTTTGGATTGAAAATCCTTGTAGATACTTTATAGCCCTTGATGTACACATTTCGAGCTTCGGCGTTATAAGCACTGGCCGCCCCGGAAGTCATAATGCTTGACAGTGGGGGTAGTCGATTTCTAATCATTATATGGCGGAGTAAAATTTTCCCTCTGATTTCACAATGCGAGACGGAAATCCGCAATGCTTAGGGACTTACTGCGGGATCTGATGGATCAAGAGACCCTGCACACTCGCCATGACGATTCAGTAATTACGGAGCCGGAATGCTACCAGTAACTTCATTCTCAATGTGGGAGAAACGAGACTACAATTTATTTTCAATCATTGGCTGGCTTCTGAAGACTAGCTTTAAGGGGAAAAGAGAAACGGGTCACGGATGAAAAGCTGTACTCCTTGCCCACAACTTGTCTTGGCCAGATTGGCAAATCTCATATTATTAAGCCAATCGCGGCCCGAAACGAAGCGGGCTATATATTTCCCATACTAAAATAGCGGTGCGGTAGCAGAGGTCGATGACGTTGTCTATTGGACGACACGCAGCATATTCACTTTAGAGTCGTGATTGGTGTTCTCTGTCAACGATCCTATGAGCATATTTTTACTTAGAAGTTGCGTGTATCTGAATCGCATATCAATAACAATCCGTCAGTTATGTTGTATCCTTTCGAAATTATGTTGGTTATGCACCATATGGAACTGTGGGGGTTAGAATTAAGAAAAGGTGGGGAGGTGAAAGTGATCTTCGCGCTAAAGTAAAACCTAAATCAGTAGGACAAGCCATGTCATTGGGACAACTGAAAAAATCAAATCATATCATAACCGCAATGACGTGGCTTGAGCTATGAAACTCAAGGGTTGGTCATATATTTCCGGCGACTGATGTTGAAGAAGTTTAGAATGGGTGCAGAGAATATAAGGGGTATTTCAAGTTTTAGACAATCTTTATTACGGAGCCAGTACACGCCGCCAATACATTCTTCAATATTCAAGCCTGGTGCTGTAGCTTGAAACTTTATCTCATTGTAGTCTTATCATACCCAAATATAGATAGTTATCCTGTCTTATCACCAAGCAAGCCCCGTGTCTTTCTGAGATCCACAGGTGAGACCCTGGCAAATATCAATATCCTCCTGGCTGACCGTGGCGTTCTCTGGCAGCTGCTGTCTCGCCGCCCAGATCTCGCGACCTTCTTCTTTCTCGCGTTTGTAATGCTCAGCGATCACATTGCGGCAGGTGCTCTGGAAGAAGATGGGTGCTTTCTCATATTTCGGGTGCAGCTGACCATTAACGAAGACACCCGCGTTGATATTCTTCTGCGCGTTGGCACAAAGTACCTTGTCTTCAGCCATGACCCGGGCGTAGGTGCTGCTGATGAGTTTGAAGTCCTCCTCCGAGGAGTGCTTGTTGCGGTATACCTCGTAATGCATCAATGACCTTTTGGGTCCAAAAGGGAAGAACTTCTGGATCATCATGAAGTGAGGTCTGTATCCAAGGTCTCATGTTTAGAATAGACCATTATGCTCGATGTGGATGGGGAAAGGCAACTTACGAAATGGACATGGAGACGTTTGGGAAATAGTACGTGCTCGAGACATTCAACCCTCTTTCCAACTGCTCAGTATTGTACTCGCACTCATGCTGTATGTGTCCATCCTTTAGATTGCTGTCGAACGAATCAAGGTTGAGGAAAGTGGGTATATCTGCGTGTGTGGTGGGACAATGATAGCACTCGTTAAAATTGTCTGCCAATATCTTCCAGTTGAAGTCGCCGTCCAGCTCGTATGAATGATCGAGCTCATAGTCATCAAAATTCAGAGGCTCGTATCTATCTTGGATGTCGACGTTCTTGAAGTGCTCTTCCCAGGACACTTCTGGTTCTTCCTTCGAGTCCATGTTGATCCAGATGAATCCGTTGGTGTCGATCTTGGTATGAATGCGGAGCAACCCATTTTGATCCTTCTCAAATTCACTGATGTCTTTGAAACCAGTGGCTTTAGCAAGTTTGCCATTCAACCCGTATGACCAGCCATGGTACCTGGCATCATATTAGTGAAGATCATTTTCAAGTTCAAATCTGAAACACTTACCGACACGCCAAGATCATGGCTGTTCCTTGTTTCTCTTTTTCGATAACTGGGTAAGCTCGGTGTCGACACACATTGTGGAATGCATTGATATTATCCGCACGGTCCCGGACTATGATCACGTCGTAGCCAGCTACGTTGTAGCGAAGCCAGTCACCTGGGCCCTTGACTCGTGAACTATGTGTCATGAATAGCCATCGACGTGAGAAGATGGCTCGGCGCTCAAGCTCGTACATCTCCTTAGAAGTGTACCATGACGCGGGTAAAGCCCGGACAGGGGTCTGCTGGGCTGGTGGCGGGTTGCCTGATGCTTTGGAATTGGCACCAAAACCAAGATAGTGCAACATGGATGATGCCATGATGAAAGTTCAACAGACGCGTAATTTAAGGACCAGAGGAGTATTGGAAGATGTGCTGAAAGAAGGAAAGGTCTGAGGTCTTGAGAAATGGGGATTGATAGACAACTACCTCCTATGAGCTGGCAAATGTGAGACAGAAGATATATAATCACCTATTGACGGGACATGAGCCGATACACTGCAAGATAAGGCGCAGTCGTTGCTAATAAGGGCGAATGCTATTGGTTTGGGATGCCGATCAACCACCATCAGGTCCCGATGATAACAATCAATTACAAAATCGCGAAGCATGATTGGGAAAAGCGACCGGCTGCCCATCCGCTGAAATATAGCTTATCTATCGGGTTCTAAGCTCATTGATCCATTTCCCCTGCGGATCATGGTCTTCGCGGTCAAGGTTGCTAAGCCGAAAGCTATAGAACCCGATCCCTGCACCCAAACCAAGAACCCGATCATGGAATTGTGCCACGATTTAGAAATCTCACTTTTCGTGTCTATCCACTGACAACATACAAATGTTGCTACGAGTTTGCTTTGGGTTCACATATTTGAGACTCAAGAATGGACAACAATTCATGTTGTCCTATCAATCTTTTCCATTAGGTCAGCCCTTTTCAAATTAGAATGGGTTTCGCGCCAACTTAGACTAGTACAAAGCAGGCTCGGGTTAAGAACCCGAGGAGTTGCCCGCCTACCATATTAGGTGAGTTTGCGGGGTGGCAGTTCTTTTGCGGGGTCAGCCTGGATGCAACTGATGCATGTTGGCGGAGCTAGTTTCACAACCCTATCAGACACAAGGACAAGTATTTGCCCACTGATGCTGTTCTTGGTCATTCCGTATGGTAGGAGTGAATTTCTGTGGATGCTATGATAATATATTCATACTAAAGGATTTAATAGAACATAATTGTTAGTAAGTTGAGAAGGACTTCAAGTTCATTGTCAACGCACTCGTGATATATATTGAATACTGTTCCGAGGACATGACTGGTGCCGTATTGATTGCACGCGCGAGCCCCTCGCAAAGCCTTTGATTTGGTAAAGATCAAAACCGTCGATACTGGGGATCTTTCTTCCTAAACGTGATGAAAGCATCTTTCACATATCTACCTTGTGGCGCGCGTAGATGCTGCCATACCAAACAACACGAGTCTAGCCACCTGTTGAACTTTGATACGGCCACTGTAAATCCCAAGGTGTAGGTCTCTGGCTTATTATCGAGATTCATATCACCATCAACTCTGGTTTATTTGTGCATTCTGGAACACTTCGCACCATGTATAGGCTTCCGAGAGCTGTGAGGTGATGCAGGAATTGTGGGCGTGAAGGTTGTTGTAATGGGGATGAGGCTGCATTTTGGTCAGTAACGGATTAGTCTTGACGTCGAACATAATTGCATGTTTGCAACTTGTCTCGTAGGACCAATACAGAGTTATATCACCCTCGACGTATAAAGGTATCAGCTGATATCAGGCACGTCTGTTTGACTGGTGTTTGTCGGGCATGTCGATGACGAACTCCACAAAATTGCTGAGGGGAACGACAGTTTAGAGCTTCTGGACTGATGAAACAAACGCCAGTCTTGTAGTGATATAGGTTCCTAGGTCATTCTCAGTCATGACCGAGGAAGGGCGTATTTTAGGTAGTAATATAAACTAGAAGGCCGTTTGCGCATCATTTCATTGCTGAGGAACGGGGACCAACATAAAGTGAATGCATTAGCCCGGGAGCCCCACTACCAAAACACTCTGTACTTCATTGAACCACGCGCTAAAATCTGTCTGAGAGAGTGGTGTGATTTAATTTGGTTTGCACATATAAACGTAAAAGTGACCACTCTTCGCTGGCCTCCGTTGTGTCTGCCGACGAAGAAAATTCTACAATCAGGGGTTTGCAGCGTTACGATGATTGCATGTATACTATTGGAAGGATTTGCGCCTATTCTGCCGCTAGCGTATGCGCAAGAAGCGAAGCCTAAGCTTCTCCGTCTTTTTTGTGGAGAAGGGGATGGGTCGGAACGGCCAGCGATGCCAGATCAAGCTTGGCTATGTCCGAAAAAGCTTGTTCCATCGTAAAGATGCTGGTAAATAATAACAAAATTGAGAAACCGTATGTTCAGCTCGTCTATGACCTGGATTTGGGCCTGTGGACCCAGTAGACTAGTTCTGGAATCCCGGTATTTCCGGCGCCGACCGCATTTCAGATTTCCTCGTGTCGCTTAGTTCCGTTATAGTATTGCAACATACTTTAATTTTAGCACGTCTGGAAGATGTGGTTGGCTGATGGAATGAGATACCCCGGGCCGCCGCTCTTGCCGGCCAGAGTTCTTGCCTCACACACGTCAGAGCAACATATATAAGCTTAAGCCATCGATCACTCCCACCTCCTCGAGCTTTCCATCGACGCAGGCCCCTCTCTCAGTCACCATGCAGTTCCTAATCAGCCTATTCTTCCTGCCTGCGGGGCTTCTTGGCGCTTTCGCGCTTCCTCCTTCAGAAGAGGTCGTTGCCCGCGCTCTAGTGTCCCCCGACAGGACGTGCGGCGTCCAGTCCATCGGCGGGTACTTCTGCCCATTCGACACGCCGTGCTGCTCAGGCAGCGGGTTCTGCGGATCCGGAGACGCATACTGCCTCACATCCACCGGCTGCCAGGCCGACTATGTCGCCCCGGGCTCCAAGGCCTGCTATGCGCCTACGGACAAGGTGACCATCACGCCAGACAACACATGCGGAAAGACCGGCGCCAATGAGTTCGGTTACCATTGTGGTAGCAGCTTGAACTGCTGCTCCGGATAGTAGGTTTACTTTCCCATCTGCAACCTGCCACTCCCCGTGCTGATATGTTAATCTAGCGGGTACTGTGGAAATACTACGGCATACTGTGATCAACCTGAGTTCGGATGCCAGCCAGACTATGGCTACTGCAGGCGTACGGGTGCTTAGCTTGACGGTGGATGGGTGGATCCTAGAAATTGTTTTGGATAATTTGAAACGACATCAATTTGCATTCGGTACCTATAATGCAAATTTGACCTATGCCTTCGTAGACGATAAACTCACCCGATATGTTCCTACAATGGCCTTGAGCGAAACGGGTGGCGTTGCTTGTGGTTCACCACTTATTTCAACTATCGAGACTATGACTCTCTCAGGAAAGGTTAACCTTGTGTACTGAGGACTTGCAGCGAGTGATACAAGCTATGAAGCTGAGATTCTCATTTACCTAAATTGAAGACAGTAGATTCAACTTACTTACACGCTTGCATTGCATATATATAAGACAAGTTACCTCCGTGTAGGGTAGCTAGTTATATAGACAACTTGATAACTCCCCCAAAACACATCATTGTGATAGTTCAGCGAGAAGTTAGAACCATAGCATTAATACTGGTATGGTGCCCAGATGGATTCTCACCGGAAGGTATGTGTGTCGATTCCACGCCAGAATTCCTAGGAATTCTAACCAAAAAGCCGTTTGGACTATCAATGACGAGCCGATAGGCTGTCAATTCCACTGAGAATGTTTGGTTTATTCAGACCCGACCAAACTACGCCGGATGCATTACAACACCTGACATTTTCGCGATGATTCTTTGTTCCCCTCGTGACTCGGGATACCAACGGCACCAACGATGCACCAATCTATATGCAAGACCAACACTAAAGTGACCTGGGAGCGAAAAGCTATAAAGATATCGATTTTTCTCATGATTCTTCGTCTTCCATCATCACGCCATAATTTCAGCAATTCCTAGCGGTACATCACATCATCAGCAACGCTTTCTTGCGACTCAGCAACCAATCTCAGCTTACCTATATAGAATGGCGCTCGCAGCTTATTCTCCAGCTACCTACAACGATCTACCATATCTTCCTGTAGCTGGTGAATCTTTCGACAAGAAGAATGGGTATGAGCTCGTCGCGACATTCCGCGAGCTCTTTAGAAAGCACAAAGTCGATCGAGTTTTCGGCTTAAGTCTCCTGCACCGTCACTTCGACCTTGACGAGCGTGAGCGCCTGGTTGAATACAATGGAACTGCAGTTCCGTGGGATCAAGATATCAAGAAGTTTGTCCAACCTAACAACTGGACTTTTAAGGGAGACATTGTTCGACCCTTCGAGTTTTACTACAATGGGGTTGAAGGCGCCACCAAGGACGTAGTAACCCCGGACACTACTAAGTATCAGGCATTCGTGGAATCATTCAAAGAGCTTCTGGTCCAGTATAATGCTGCTGACCTCTTTGGGCTTTGTTCATACCCTGGTGATGATTATCCTGGGCGTGTCGAAGTCACTCAAGCACGAGCTAACATCAATTTACATCCTAAAGATGTAAGTTCTCAGTCTCTTGTACCATATTCTGCTCAAAAACATCACCGCTAACGATGATGTGTTTGACGGCCCCGGCATCCATGCATGGACGTGAAGCTGCATGGTTCTTCTCATCAATTCTTGAACTTTCTAATTGCGCTTGCATTTGCGGCGGTTCAGGCCACACGACCGCAACCCACCAAGGCCACGCCGCAACACGTCAAAAGACAATTAGTTGAATGATTTTCCCAATTTACAGCTCGGATAGATCTTATTACGGACACTCATTTAGATCACCATATAGTTACTCGCTTATTATCTTAAGAATTAAGGGAGTTAGTCTGTTATTCTTCAAATAACACTAATCGCTCGTTTTGAATAAAAAAGCAGGAGTCATCAACCTAAATCTTAAGCTTTTGATAAAACTGTGCTGTCACTCTTTAATCGCATTATGAGAGTGTGGAAAGGGACTTGTTCTGATTGGAATTTACCTGTAGAAGGAAAAGCTAAAGAGACATCGATATACTCGACGAGCTGCGGAATGAACAGACCCATTGCAGCTCATATCACACAACACTACGCCGGCCTACTGATTATCCTTTCTTAGGTAGAAGAGTTTCTAGAAGCGCTTCTCTAGTCATGCCTGCACTCCTAGCCGTAGCATTCAAGAATTCCTGTGTCTCCTTGTCCAGATCCTCATCGGATGGGACTCTACTAATATCCCGTGTTTCGTTGGCCAGCCAAGATCGCGCCGCCATCCAGCGACATAGCCCCTTACTAAAACAAGAATCGATGATTCGGTCTCTCCAGTCAACATCGGCTTCCGACAAAACCCGTAGCATAGTAGCTACGATTGAGGGTTCTTTTGTAACTCCCAAGAATGCTTCTTGGTGTACAAGAGATAACAAATGTGATATTACGAACTGGCGATCAGCTAATAGCTTGGACGAAGGCCGTAGAGCGTCGGCCACTTGTACGGTGTTATCAACCCTAGGCGCGTTTAGATCTGTATTTGCCGGCTCGACACTAAGTAGTCTCGGAAAGCCCATGCCCATTTGAATAGGACGTCGTCGGGCTAGTTCCCAGTCGATTATGCTACGACCACTTAGTTATGTATTACCAAGCCATTTTGAGGTTTAGGTTACCCTTTAATGTTAAGCTCTTCATCGATGATGATCTTATGTGGAGCGAGGTTGCCATGTACGATAACGCTAAGCGATGCATCGAGATCATTGGAGACGGCGTGGCGGAGCAGAGCGCGATGAACAAAGCAGCTCCGTGTGTCAAGTTCTGGTAGCTGCCCATCGATTACCCGCTGGATTCTGCCGTCCACTATGTCTTGAAGGTACTTCAAAGCTGAGAACCCGTCCTCTCCAATACGTTCAGCTCAATCCTGGAACGAACAATGTAAGTGTTTGCTTACGTGACTTTTTAGTCCGGTTAAGCAGCTCTAATTGAATATCAACAAACTGGCGAAGTATCTTCTCTCGTTGCTGGTGAGGAGTCGTGTCTGTCCACTTTAGAACGGACCCGTGGACCCAGTTTACAACCAAGTACGGATGTCCGATCGGGTTATTGAAGCTGGCGTCGCCGCCAATGAGCCTCGGTGACCAATGGAAGCCAGCTTGACTAAGCTCAGCCAGCGTCCTCATCTCAGCTTCTACAATAGTCGAGATGGAGTCTGGCGGCAGATGACTGTTTGTATGTCGGGGAATCCGGACTGCCCAGGTGGTACCGTCGGTAAACTTCACAACATAAATTTGACATGCACCGACAGAGATTGGGCTGGTGTCTGTGCCGTTGCAAAACGCGGGGGTGGCACCATCATCTCGCAATGATATAGCCACGGCCAGAACTTTGGATAGAGTCATTGCCCACTTGTAACGTGCGTGTAGAAAGGGGCGATAGCAGAATCGATATCTTGTTAGACCAATTTGAAGACGGGCGAAAGTTGAGGTAAAAGGATTAAGAAAGAAGAATAGTGGAGATAATCTGGCGCGAACGTTATTACATAGTTGATAGGCAACCATGGTCCCGGATGCCTTAAGTACGAATACCTGCAGATCTAGGCTCTGTTTTGGCCCCGTGCGTTGAGCTCCAAATGCATAGAAATTGTTGGTGCAGTGATTGCTCGGCCTGCATCGAAGCTGTGAGATCACCTGTTCCCTGGTGAAAACAAACAGAACTTGGTTTAGTCGAGTCTAGACCAGTCCATTCGCGAAGACACCGTCCAATACCTTCAATAGCAGATGCAGAGTTACAGGGTTTCTGCCAACATGCATCTCGCAGTGAAGCAGCTTGAATCAGTTGTGAATGATCAGGAAGAATGTACTTGGCCACCGAATTGGTTGATTTTCATCCCGTCTCGACTATTGCCAGTATGCGAGAGCAGGCTGAGCAATCTTTGGCCGATCCGAGCGGGGTCACATGATATATTATGACCATATGTTCAATAGCCTCAGGCAAACACCTGATTGATTCTCCTTGGTTGAGCGTGCTTCTTGAACGAATGGACTGCCCCGTTATTTAGTTGCTAAAATTGGCGCCCGGGTCCTCTGCATGGTCAGAATCATCTGGCAACACTTGACGAACAAAACAGTCCCTAAGTTATATGGGGTGTTTCGATAGTAGCAGAATACTTGCGGTGCGGCCCGTGTCTCTTGTTACGCACTAAAGTCCCCCCTACTTGCAATACTCTCATGGCGAACACAGTCTCCCAGTTGTGTGCTCACACTTAGGCCTGCTGCGCTAGCAAAGATTAAGCATAGAGGCTCACGCTACCTAGTAAGGCAGCTCTGTAGAAAATGGGGGTAAGGGGGGGAAATCTTGAACGCTAATGATCGAGGCAACGTGTTTAATTTCGCTATAGATTCTGAATGGACATAAGTATGACCTGTTCTAAGCTTACTATATACAAGAGATTATTTCTTACGCATGTCTGCCAAGAAGAGCTGACAACTGAGCGCAAACCTACGGGTGGGCGCATCAGTGATCAATCTTAGCATCTATCTTGTAGGCAAAGCTCAAGCTTTGACGACATTGATGAGCACCCGCTCTTGTCTTAATGGTCATATCGGGGCGTAATCCGCTGTGTTGCCAGTTGTTAAGTTGTGCATTATTGTGAAACGGTCAATAATGACATCGCCTTTTCTTCGTGTCGTCTTTTACAACGCCCACTCGATGAGAGACATGCTCTTGGACTGCTTAGAGATCAAGCCTCCGATGACGGTCAAGGCGCCGAAGAAAGCCACGTCGCCAAAAACAGCGCGTGCAGCAATATACTGATTCCTGGTCGCATACGTGATGACGTGTGGACACCCAAACCCGCCAGTGTTGGATTTCAGCTTTGCCAAATCCTCTCTTCATTCAGCCACAAAATTAACTCCCAACTGAATTGCTAATTACTTCTCGAGCAGATCAAATCACTCCGGAATCTCCTTGATTAGACTCCACATGAACTTCTCCAGCCTGACCGCACATTTGGTGTACACCGTTGTTGCGTCGTTGTACTGCCGGCAGTTGCTAAAAATCAACTTCAGATCAGCAACCAGGTCTTTCGGAGCAGCATATAAATCGCTATCTAGTCTCTCTTCTATGGTTGACAAATCCATTGGCGAAGTAATAGCGTTGTAATAGTCAGGGACTTCGTCTCTGTTCACCGGCTTAAGGAATGGCCACGCTTGTTTAAACTCCACTTTCTATACGAGGACACCAATAGAAGCTCATTCGTAGCGCTGATCGCCTACTACAATCTCATAACGATACAAAGTGTCTGCTGCTTAACCAAGCGCTTTTTATAGCTTTACTGACTGCAAACAAAATCACCTGAATACCAGTCTAGATCAACTTGGCAGTTGAGCAAGCAATGAACTTAATTCAGCTAGTGTTACAAAGAGAACCGAGTTAGTTATTATTCTGATGTTGTGCGCAGTTCAGCGTGGAGCTGCTATGGCACGCCTTATACAGTGAGATAATGGGCATATCGGCAGTCGCCGATAGAGCTAGGTTAGTCTTTTGACTATTGGCGCATTGGCCTGCCTACTAGCCCTTGATATACTTATATGGTTATTAAGCACGTCATGACCTTAAAAATGAGATGTTCTGACTTTACTAATATTTCCTTGAATTTTGTAACAAATTCATACTAAATACGAGTCAAAGCACTTTGATTTAAGAAGATTTACTATAATGAAATACTCTATTGCTTAACACACCTTGTGCCTACCTCTATAGTCTTCAACTTGGATTAAGTTACTTTGTTAGCATACACCGTTCTGTTTATACTACGCCTCAGTATAATCGTGACTTCGTTCTAGGTACGTGTGCAGGCTTATTGGGGTGGTTCACGCATTACCCAGGAGTCCCACACATTTATCTTACTACCGTGGTATTAGTCGATGTGCTATAACAAAACTGGGCGTATATGGTTTTACATCTACTATCTGACAAGTATGCGTTTAGATATGTACCGTATTGAAACATGGAGCTGATTGAGATGGGCTTATCAAGGCCTGCTAAAATCCACTAAATCATTTCAAAGGTGTGCAGCTGAGAATAGCACTTTGCTAACCTAGGTTGTGGTTTCGGGAAGCGCCAAGCCGCAGGAAGCGAGGAAGAAACTACACCAGCACAAAACGGGACGATAGCACGAAAGGTATGAAACTTGCACAGGCCATCTACGATGGCGTCTTCAACACCAAGGGCGAAAGGGCTTACATGTCCTGGCAAATTAGATCTTAACTCGAGGAGGTTGCCGCCACTTACAACAACGATTCTGCTTGTTGGAACTTGACTTCGTTCAGACCAGCGGTGAATTCATCTCAAGGTGGTTAAAATTATTAAGTACCGAGAATGTTTACTCCCTCGAGGATATCACGTATAATACTGTTGTCAACTAGGTAAATATAGTTTTCGTAACATATCACGATAGCTTGCGGACCAAATATCCAGATCTAGCAAAATTCATGTTCAATAGAGGAAAGTTGATGCACTATCACGGAAAAGCCGACCCCAGCGTGCCTACTACTTTATTCATCTATTATTGGTAATCGTTTCGTTCCATCATGTACATTAATACCAGCGAAGGAGAAAGCCTCGGGGCTTTGCGGGATTAGTACCAGTTCTAAATGATCAGTAGTGCAGCCCACTGTTTAGCGAACGATATTTAGCACGGACCATGGCCTGCCAGTAATATGGATGTGGTTATAGATGGGTTGAGAACACCTGTGCGTCTCAAATCCATGAGTGTAATGAATAATTGATGATTAAGAGTTACGAATAACTACAGCCTGTTGATCCCATTTTTTGCTTCCTACGGCATCGACCAGGAAGCTTGCCACGCTACTCCTGGAGATGGCATCGAACATTCCAACACCCTTGCCTTCCTCTCCTAGTTCTTCCACAGATGACTTTTCCTTTTCATTGAATACTACTGGCCGAACCAGAACGTAGTTCAAATCGCTCTGTCTCATTATCTTGTCCACCTCTTCGTGGTCTTCATATGCCTTCCCTAGATTGGAATACTTGATCAGGAGTTTCATAACCAATGGGAGGTTTACTGAAGAAGTCCCAACACCAAATGCAGAGAGCCAAATTATCTCGCGAACTCCATGCATCTCTGCCACTTGCAATGTGTTTGTCGCGGATATTGCAAGCAATCGATTTGGGGCGACACTTTTCGCGAAGGGATTGTCGCTCGTCCTTGGTGAATTTAGCGTGACGATAACAGCTGAAGGTTTGTCTCCTGATTCTGTTGCTTCGAAGGCTTGTTGAATTGACGGCATCTCCATAGGTGTGCCATGGACAATGGCGAGACCATCATGGGGGGCGAGAGAAAATGGGTCACGGACAAGAGCAGTGACGAGATATCCTCGAGAAAGTGCTTCTGTAATCACAGCACGCCCTGTGCGCCCATTAGCTCCAAGAACGAGTATTCTCATGATGCGAGGCGGTATTGGAGGTTCACTGGCAAGCAAATTTCTGGAATGTCCCGTGACTGCGTGAGCTGCGGCAAAGAGAATGTTATAAAACGATATTCTTATTAGAGGATAGTCCAAACATGAAGGAGGATAGGGACATTAGAAGTTTTTATAATACCAAGATGTCACTATTTTCAAGAAAGGCAAGCGACAAATCAGTTGAGTAAGATTGTAAATATGACTATGAATCTTTGTCATTGTGATCATCTGTTATACAATCATAGTGGGCCTGACTCGCTGGAATTTGTCAGCGAGCTTCGTCAAGCACATTGGCAAACCTTATTCTACACTAGTTACTGGTTAAATCTGGTCGACATGAGCGCTAACACAATAATTAATCGAGGCAAAGTAGTCGCAGATAATTTATTTGAACAGGAACAGTTGGTCATCCTGATGTGTAGCTGAATGGATCCAATGTCAAGGTGGCAGGTATTACATGGTGTTAGAGGTCTATATATCATTAAGTTGAGTCAAGGTGGCAGATATTACGTAGCCATTAGAGCTTTATAGATCATTAAGTTGAGCCAAGGTAGTATTTAACATACAATAGACTAATACAAAACTCTAGACAAAAACACCAATTCAGTATAAACACCGCCTCCTCGGAAACCAAAATCAGTACCATTCGCCAGCATCCTCAGGAAGCTCGCCTGCTTCAGACGCTTCTAAAAATCCCTGCACTGTCCATGATTTGTACTCGTAACCCGGCACAGAGTTCGTATTTTTGAAAGGTGATTTCTCCAGTATATGTTTCACGCAGGCATCATATTTGAGTTCGGTGTATGCCTCAGGATCATGATCAAGGAGCCAAGGAGCCCAGTTTCGTCTCAGAATCTTTGGGTTGATAGATACAGCCGCCCAATCAGTCTTATGAAAAACCTCACGATTCTTGAACCCGACCTTTTGCGCACAAGATACTCGCTCGAATCTTCATGCATTGTTAGTTACAGAATAAGGGTATGCTGTGGCGATAGCCTGGAAACACACCTCAGAATATTATGAACTTGGACTGCGAGAGGAAGTCGAGCTTTCTGTTCCCGTTGAATGCACTGACATAGCGAATAAGCATCTTCCATTGCCATAGAGGCGCCATATCCAGATGTTGGCAAGAAGGAGTGGGCAGCGTCGCCAATTTGAACCACACGAGCCAGGGGAGAGGACCACTTAGACTGGGGGTCCCTCCACATCAGTTTCCAGTCCGTAATCTTATAGGCGGCGGAGACGTGGATAATCTCTGTAACGAATTCGTTCCATCCTGTTATCCACGGGAGAACATCATCGACAGATGCCAGTGCGTCCCAATCCTCGGTCGCGTCTTTCGTATCCTGCTTAGAATTAGTTTCTACGCATCTCTTAAAGCTGTGTTGCTAGATATCCAACCTTATGCGTCAGTAGCCAGCCGATTTTGGTCTGTGATCTCGAAATCACAATATGGGCGTTGGGTCCAATGAAACCGACCACCCATCCCTCCCCTCCAAGACTTTCATCAAACTGCTTGATGATAGGATTCTCTAACCCGACAGCGGTTGGAAAGCCTGATCGATAAACTGCAAAGCCGCTGCTGACTGCATGCGCTTTCTCCTCCAGCACCAGCTCCCAGGAGCTCGAACCAACTCCATCAGCAGCCACCACGATATCAGCCGCGATCATGGTACCATCCGCTAGAAGGACGGATCCCTTGTGTACATCCTCGAAATAACGCAGGATTGTCTTTCCAAACTCAATTTCGAGACCGATCTCAGAGGCGTATTCATATAGCACTCTGTGGAATTCGTTACGATGCACAGCAATACCTTCGACATCGCCATTATCTGAAGTGTAGGGTGCTTCTAAAATGAATGTTCTGTCGTATTTGTACACGTGTGTTTTCTTCGCTACCTCAACTCTCTTCAATCGATCCCAGAATCCCGGCCAACGCTGAAGTGGACGAACGCAAGATGGCTGCAGTACCAATATGTCACCTGAACCAACGAAGTAATTAGTCGATTGCCCATTGGCACCAAGGTATGATGATTAGTGACTAGTATGGAGAATGAAGCTGACCAAAATCGTCAAAGGACTGCCGTTTCTCCACGATACGGATGCTAAAACCGAGAAGCTGAGCGCTGATAGCGAAAGTCAGCCCGGCAATACCACCTCCAACCACCAGAAGCTCGACGTCTGTGCTGGGAGAGTTGGTCATTATGTTTAAAGGAGCAGGTTTTCTGTTCCGATGATCGATTTCCATATCATATATATTAATGAGGAATGACCTAGTTCACAATTTCCACCTTGACCTGAAGGATTCGATCGCGAGCAGTATATATGTAATAAATAGTATTTCTAGAGTGCAAACTGTTACTAATCGGCTTCGGCTTTGTGGAAGGACCCGAGTGTAGGATGCCGTGTCCGGCAGCAGTTTGTCCAAGGGCTCGTGCACTTCTGCCAAGAAGCCCCCGCTGCCATCGGACTCGTAAGCCAACTGCCTTAATTACCAAGTATTCTTGATTACGTCTCACTGGCTCAGTAAGTAAACATGACAACTCTGTGTTTGTAAGACACAATTTCAACTGGGCAATTGCGGTGCCACTTTTACTAAGACAGTAAAGATATATCTGAACAGCCCATCTATTTTCTAATAGGGCTTAACGACTCTTTTCGTGTACGTTCAGATGAATACAGTATGGGATTAAGTCGATTATAGCTGGTACATGTCCATCATATAGCCCACCATATAGCCCATCATCACCCTAGAATGAAAGAACGCAATTGCACCTCACTGTGCTTCATAGCTTAACAGCCTGTACCGCTCCGCTATTGCTCTAAGAATGAGCCATCTTCCTTTTGCGAGCGCACCGAGGCCTTTTACTCTAGAATATATGAGTTATTGATGACTCTATCCGTGAACCCAGGTAATTCGATCAACTTTGTTAAATTTGGACTTGTGACCATTTGCTCCAGTAGTCGTTAGTTTTATGGTAATTGGAACAGGGCCACGATACTGACTAAACTGTAGACGCCCAGCCTGGACTCTACAATTCTGTTATTGTAGTCAGTTGTAACTACTGCCATGACTTCCATAGGTTGGATGGCCCGACCCTTCCCATTCCATGGCTGCTAACCCGAAATTTATTTTATTCTATTTCTAGCACCGTCATATCCATCAATTTCTCTTAAAACGGCACTGAACGCATCCAATTCGTGGCGAATAACATACTTCGCCTCAAATATGGCATCTTCTCAATGACCTCCTGCACACAAGTCATTAATCACTTTCCAAGGCCCTTGCCTTGATATAGTGCATCAAACCAAACATCAGTCAAGTACAAGAACGTTGTGAGGTCAGTTTTACAGCGTGCAAACTCCACAAGTTCCAGGAATGGGTATGTGCTATCCAATGCTACATATCTGGCGCCTTACGTGACATCAATAGGCACAGTAGTAGGTAGTCTGTATCTTGGTCAACTTTGATCAGTTTCGCTTGGTCCATGCCAACATCATAGCGCGAGGCCTTATACAGACCAAAGCAAAGAGAATCACCAACGTCTTTCTCATGGCTGAATCTGGAAGTGGTTTGGCCCAGTAGAATGTCGATTGGGTGAAGACGGCACAGAGTTTCTGAACAGGAATGAAGGAAGGATCGGTCAAGATATCGTATTCATGTTGTGTCCAATTCTGCCTGGGGAGTTGCGAACGAACTTGCGACACTTTGGGTGGTCTTGGCTTGGTGATCGAAGAACTCATAAGTTGGGCAGCGAATGAAGTTCCTGCAGTTAAATTCTTGATAGTCTAATTCAAAAGACTTTCATGCTCTGTGGCGACTTTCGTCCAAGCGATTGGGCAAACAGCCGAACCCAGGCTTCGGTTGGAATGGTCCTTGATTGGCTCGTCGGGTGACCATTAAGTAGAGCTGGAACTCAGACCTAGTATGGACGTCGAATCTGGCCCTCGCCGGCGAGATTTAAATTCTGCTCTGGTCAATTCCAACCGGCTCAGTCCGTCAGGTCAGCGCCAAAGACATGCATCTTCTCTCACACAATGCGGAACATAAGCTCGATGTTCTCCACCAGTTCATACGAGCCAATTCTTTAGGCGTCGTGACCACGGCCATTCGATGCCCACCGTTTCCCCTTTTACAAGCAAGTCATATCCCCTGGGTTATCGACATTGTTGAAGAAGATGTCGGTAGCTTGTATGGGAGACTGCGCGGACACATGGCAAGACAAAACCCTCAGGCCAAATCCATTATCGAGTATGTATCTCAATTCGGATCAGACAGCAATGAAATTTGGCTTCCAGAAGACGTACTTGTCATGTTCAATGGCCTGATGCATCACTACATAACCCCAAAGTTCCACAAGGAGACGAAGCCCAACACGGGAAAGGTTGTCCCAACATGGGATTACGACGCTGTCCAGGTCTATGGGAAGGCAAGAGTTTACATTGACATGCAATCCGACGTTTTCGACACTTAATTATCGCGACAAATGTCAGATCTCACGCTGAATGCTGAGACGGCGATCATGGGCTACGAATCGAGCGATAAACCTGAAACGCGCGCCTGGAAAGTCTCCGATGCACCAGCTCGGTACATCGATCTCCTGACAAAGAATTTGATTGGAATCGAGATTAAGATAACTTGCATGGACGGGAGGATCAGCTAGCGCCTCTCTTCAGGGATCAAAGTATTTTACGAAGCAATTCGCAGCATGTAGTGTCAGCCGATCGGTCCAAGACCGCTGCCAAGGATCAAGCTGCATCCTCATCAAGGTTAGATGCTTCACCGCACCATCCTCAGCTGCTCTGCAGTCCATCACCCATGTACCCAGACCATGGCGTCCAAAGTGCAAGCAACACACATAATCGAGCTTCAAAGTCCTCCACTAGTAGAGAAGTCTTCGGGAAAAGTAGTGCCGACTCGTTCATGTGGCAGGTCAATTCAGCCATTAATGTGCGACTGGGGTGTTCACCTGAGACCGTCTCGACTGTGAATGGTGTGTTTTCGCCGCAGAGATGCCAAGATCAGGGTAGCGAAGATGAGCCGCCTGATCTGAAGGACTGCATACTCCCCCCAAGGAGAACTGCGATGGCCTACTTGAAGCATATTACGATTTAGTCTGGGCAGTGCTACCAATTCATGATAGGACAATTTTCCAAGAATCCTACGAAGCTCTCCGGCTCGGGATTCCATTGAGTATGCCAGAAAGAATATTTCGTTGTATGATGAACCTGACATTCGCTTTGGGAAGTCAATTCTCAGCCACCGTAAAAGCCAAATGAACGGAAGGATGTTGGTCAAACAATCTGGGAACGCGCCCAAAAGCTTTTTGACGATGGAAATAGAGCTTCTGTTGAGGAGGTCCAATGCCTGCTTATGATGGGTCTCTTTCTTCAAAATACTAGTGAGTCTTACCGGTGCTGGATGAGCGTCGGCTCTCCCATTCGCATGGCGCAGAGTCTCGGACTCCATCTCGTCTACACAGAGAGTCGCCTTTCCAGGGAGATTGAGATCTCCCGGAGAGTATGCATGGCTTTATATATATATATGGATCGGTAAGTGCACTCGTCAATTGACATACACATACACATACATGTACACATGCGAATATCTATATATGTCTACCGAAGATACGTAGTGGTATCACCTGGTTCATAATTTACAGCATGTTATCAATGATTTTTGGACGGCCAAGCATGATCCCGACGTGGCTATATAACCTGGTACCGTCGCCTTCTATAATCGACAACGGATTTCTTGACTCGCAAAACGATCCATCCGCGATACGCCCGGATGGGCAGTCAACGATAGTTGCATTCTTCATCAAGTCGTTCCAGCTTTACAGCATAGTCGACGATGTGTTACAAGAAAATGTATATGTGTGCTGGAGAAGCTAGGAAGAAGGAGAATTATGTCATTGATTCTGTGCTTCGGTTCGACAATAGTCTTCTTCAATGGCATTGTTCACTTCCAGACAACCTTCAATATTCTCTGGATAGCCTGAGCGACGAAGTTGTGTTCCGGAGACAGCAAATTGTGCTATATGCTCGGTAAATATTATTTCTCCTTTCCCTGCGAATCTTGACATTGTCATAACCTTGAAAGATTTCTGCATGCTCGAATAGTCTTATTTCGACCAGTCATGGCAGAGTTATATTTGAAGCAGGCCAACCCCAGAACCTCCACTGGGCTTCAAAGTCTATCGCAACGACGACTTATCATTGATTATACTAGTCTTTGTTTTGAAGCCGCCCACGAGATTGTTGACGTGATTTATACACATTTCAATTTCGAGACAGTCACAGGTCCGGTTCCTGCTTGGTGGTTTGCAGTCTTGTGTCGTGTTTTCTTACCATTTCATCTAATTGTATATTGCCATCCAATCGGAACATGCACCGGTTATTTTTGTACCTTGAGAACCGATTGCTCTCCAGTGATATATAGCTTGAGTGGATGATGCCATTTCTTCCTCGATCGACGATGCCATTGGCCGGGATCTTCATCCCATAAATTGATGCAGCAATTCCAAGTACAAGACCCGTGGATATCGTGTGGGTAGAAACAGTACTTCAAGTGTATGCGGTATTCAGTATTCCATGCTCAACCATGTCAAAGATTGAATTAATGACTAACATTCCAATCTTTGACTATTTATACTGTCGCGATCTTAGCATAATCGTCACGGCTATAAACTATCGAGAAAAAGCTATCTCGTGCCATAAATGCCGTCTACGCCGAGTTATGGGCGATAAAACCCTTCCAACGTGTCGCAAGTGCAAACGAACGGGGTGAAAATGTCAAAGTCAACGAGATGATACAGACGCAACATTCAAAGACATGACCTTGACGGTTACTCAAAATTACGCACAGCGCCATGGAATACCAGGGTCAATCCCGGCAAGCCTATCTCTGCTCAATTGCAAGTCTCATTTTCGGAACATTCGACATCGCCAAATCCCACCTTCAATCATCCGGAAAGGATGCTTACAAGTTTCCCAGATCACCAACGTCAAAAGATCACTATCTTTGGAGTTACTACCTATCTTTAACCCCGCTCAGGCAAAATAACGAAATCCTTGTTGATGTGATAAAACCTCTCTTCATGCTACCTCATGTAGACCCAGGATATCGATCACTACTTTCAGTTCTGAGTCATGTAGCAGAATTTGATGAGCGCAATTCCTTTATGCTATATGTTAATGTGTTGGTAGTATATTCATGGCAGTGGAAAGACGCGGATCTGGCAGTCAAGGCAAGAGCAATATATTCAAAATCCTTACTAACAACAAGAAGTTTAAGACGATAATCCAAAACGAAGCGGAATGGCGACCTCATAATACCGGCAATAATGCCCGCTCTTTTCGAGGTAATTTCTCGATGACTTGTTTGAGCTCAAACATAAGCTATATAGCCTGACGAAAACTACATTAATTCGCGGTTGAGAGCGTCCGGGGACTTGTGGGAACCGTTCTGTGATTGTTGCAATTTGTACCCTTGTAGATTGCATGAGCACCCAGAGGATCCCATACCGTCTTGCTTGCATTGTTTGCGATTTCGTTCTTATCTGATCTCATCGATGGCAAGGCCGAATATTGGTTCAACAGGAAAGTAGTTCTTAAGCTCACGTGACAGCATAACGGTAGAGCCATGGTTTCGTGCTTATCTTGCTCCTCAATAGAAAGTTTGAGAAAATGCCTGCCGCTACGGATTTCAACAGAAATGACAGGTCGGTTCCATGGTACCAACCACCAATAACATCCCTGTCCAACGATGTACATGATCTGCTCGAGAATTATAGCCATAGAGCCTGAGAGGATTGTCCTATATGTTGTGCAGATGGCAAGGTAATCACAATCACAAATCTCCAGGGTGTCTGGCTGAGTTTGAGGAACAGAGAGACAAGACATAGAGTATCTCAGTCTGGTCGTGCGTTAGCATACTTGGACTCGTGGACTTGCCGCTACACCGCCAGCCGTCTTGCCCACGAATCTTGACACTCAGGTTCCTTGCTGAACGTTAGCTGTTACATAGCTTAGGATATCCGAACACTGGTTCATGACGGGGCTTGATCGGAGAATCTTGGCGGTCTGGAAGTGACGCCCAGTCTTTTGGATATCGCTTATGACTTTTTCGAAGACCGTGACACCTGCAAGGGGAACCTTGCCAATGCTGCCATATTTGATTACATTGACCTAAGGCTCGAATCGCTCAGAGGCACATTTTCCATCGCCCATCTCGGTAGGGTGCTGCACATTGGGAATCGCGCAGGGCAGAGTAAAGCATGCGCACACTTGGTTGAGCTATTGCGGCGCTCGGCGGGCACACTTATAGCGGCCGGGTTGTTGGCCATCTCGTGGCTCAAGAGACTGGAGCTAAGAAGAAGATATTTAAACATAACCGGGGGAGCTTCAAAAACCTCTGGCAGGATATCGGGAGACGGACGGGGATCAAGTGGGCTTGCGAGGGCCGAGCTGGATGGGGGGACTTGGGGTTGGAGAGAAAGGTGCGCGGTTGGGACGATCCGAACACAAGGCGGCTACGTTTCGAGGTGGAACGCCTGTACTAGTAGATAGATGGCGGGGAATGATCGCCTTTCACAGACGGGGTCACATTATTGTCTACCAGGAATGATTGATTGCTTGAATCCGGGCGCGAGGCCGGGAACTGGGTTACAATACGCGATTCGACTTGGAGGTGGCGTTTGCTATCAGGAGATTTGTGGTGAGATGCAGATTACTTCATCTCCAGTCTGACCTTGGGATGTGGAACCCCCCCCCCCCCCCCCCCCCAACGCCTCCGTAAAGCCTCTGTAAAGATGCTGTAAAACGTCTGGAGAGCCCCAAATGCTAAGCAGTGAAACGCTTCCTTTTAGCGCCAAGCCCACTGTCCACTGTTAGCTCCCTCCCCTCTCTCCATTTGCTCCCCCGGTCGAGTCTGAGGACCCACTTGCCGGCGTCATTCTTGCGCAGGGTCCACGAATTGGGACTCGGTCATTTCGAGTTCGAGTTCGAGTCCGAATTTCGAGACACGACGTCTGCTCCAGGTCTCCAGATTTTGAAATCAATGCATTGCGGTCTGATCCCGATCTTTCTGATCCTATCAGCCCAAACCGGACAAGGCCATCAATCCAAGGCGCCTCTATCCATCCTCCACAAGATAACATAACGTAGCATTCGACTGCCTGGCTGCGGCGGGCCTGAATATAGCCATCATTACCTAATCGTGTCACCGCCTGACTCGACCCAGACCATTTGCCATTGACCCCCGTTGACCTGTGTCGCCAACGCAGGCCTTGCGACAGAGTCCAGCCACGGCCGCGGCTCTCTCGTCCCTCTTCCAATTTGTGTGCAAAGGAGCACCCCGTGCGTGCCCCGTAGCATGTGACGAGATGGTCGACAGCAGTCCTTCTCCCGATCGGGGGAGAACATCCTTCCTACAACGCCACCTCCTGCGAACACCGACCGCCAACTCTTCCACTTCTTCGTTGCATGAGATGCCCCGCACGAGGAAACTTCGTATGCTGGTCGCGGCGAACGGCCAGAAAGACGTCGCATATGCTCAGGCCATCGCTGTCAGGCTGCTCAAGGACTCCCAGATTGAGACCCAAGCGCTCGTCGACGACGTCCCGCGACGACTGACCCAGGAGATCATAGTCAGAGAAAACCGGAGCCTCGCCACCCTGGCTATCGATGCCGACCAGAAGACTCGAGAAGCCATAGAGGCCGCAAGACAGACTGCCTTTGAGCTGGCCGACTGGGCCGACATCCTCGTTCTTGCCCCAATCGATGCAGACCACTTGGCCAAAATGATGTGCGGCATTGCCGACACACTGCTTCTCGAGGTCTTGCGGTCTTGGGACGTCTCCAAAAAGATACTGCTCGTCCCCGGCATGTCGACACAAATGTGGGAGAACCCCATGACAAAGAAGCAGCTGAGCAAGATCAAGAAAAAGTGGGATTGGATCAAGGTCATGTCCCCCGTTCTTTGGCACTACGAGACACCCGAGTCGTCGAAGCGCGTAGTCTCGTGGGATGGTTTCAACGACCTGGTTGGTATAATCAAGAACCAGGCCGAGCTTCTCAGCCTAGGTCACGACGTCGAGGTCGCCGCACAACAGGCATTACACACCGCCGACCCCAGCAAGGTCGCTATACAACTACCCCCGGAGATCTGGACTATGATATTTGAGTATGTCGGCGACTGGGAGATCGCCCAAGCTCTTAGTGTCTATACCAATTTACCTACACCTGTGGATTGGCGCATCACGCGTGATACGCTTACCGACCCGGTCGACATCTTTAATAACGAACTGGAGTGGCTCATCCTCTCCTGCCCGCCTCCGACATCCATATGCCGCAAACTCTCTGAAGCACCCAGTGATCTTTTGATATCACCCCTTGCTGTGAAGCTCATCATCAAATTCTCACTCACTGAAGTGCTGGCGTACCTGGAAAGCAACCTCAGCAAGGTCTTCTGGGCTTCTTTCCATTCGAAACTCCTTCCTAACAAGGCATCTGGTGTTTATGGAAGGACAGATATTTTGGACTGGTGGAATACATCCCCTTCTTTCTTGAAAAAGGAATACGACGCAGAAGCCTTAGACAATGCTTCACGGATGGGATTCGTCAATGTCCTCGATTGGTGGCTGCGCTCCGGCCTGCCGCTCAAATACACGGAGCAGGCGCTTGAGGCGGCTTCAGCAAAAGGTCACTTGCTAATTCTGGAGTGGTGGCGAGAAGCCGCATCCAAAAACGGCGACATTATCCTCAAGCCTGGCCGAAGTCTCCTCACAGCTGCACAACAGGGACAGACGGCCGCTATCCGTTGGTGGGAATCTTCTGGAATTCCGGTGGCGCATGGTGATGGTGTACCCAAGATTGCAAGCGCGCATGGACACATTGGTGTATTGGATGCTTGGGCCGAAATCAAGGGCGACAAGCTGTCATGCGATTGCCAAGTGTTGGTAGCACCAACGAGGCAGGGTCATGTCAATGTCCTGGAGTGGTGGAAGCAATATGCAAGAGGCGAAGGCGCTGGCGATGGCAGGACACACAGAGTTGAGTATAAGACCTGTGACATCGAAGAGGCGTTGGAGGATGCTATCGGTGATCCTAGATCTGTCAGGACATGGTGGGCTAGAAATGGTCTGAACCTCGGCCTGGGTGTAAGCGAGTGGATGAAGACGAGATGTTTGTAACAGCAAACGCCGTCCAAAACAAAAACATAACAAACGATCCAAGTATGTTGTTTGTAATAGCAAACCTTGAATAAAAAAAACATAGCAAACGATGCAAGTATGTTGCTCGCGTTAGCCACACGTGTTCACACTCAAGCGTTGAATTTCTCACATGTATCTTGACATTCATCCGGTGTTTGGTGTGCACAGTACCTAGACTGTTATACTAGATTGGGTTTCCGGGTACAGACACTGCGTGCGTAGTTCATAACCAGATGGTCGAGCATGACCTTGCTGGCGTATAGCCACGTACAACCACGCCATGGCACTATAACCTTGCCATTAGCCGCCATTATGAAAGCTTTTCGGCATGTCTCACTCTTCGCAGTCACGATGTCGGCCATACTGGTCAACTTTCTGCCGATAGTGCGTGTTCACTATGTTTCTTGCTAGAGTAGAAATAACAGTATAGACACTTTCGTATCATGACCCCGTGCGGCAACGGACAACTAGTCTCCTAGACCACAAGGTCGATCGACATATCTGCTCAAAAGAGTTGAGCCATGATTCACTGACTCTTTACTCAATATCCTCCAAGACTCCTTCCTTCCTTGATGCTCGTGCAGAATTCGCCAACCCTCGTGTGCCTTCACATGATCAGAAATCCTCCCAAGTCAAGCACTTCTTACTCGGTTGCCACCGTTTCTTCGGGTTGCTCTGATCTTGGGCCTACCTTGAGGATATATACGAAAGTCTGTTGAAGGAGTCGTTGAGGCCTTTCAAAGCCATCTTCTCTCTCTGCTTCATCTATTTCTCATCCTCAACCACAATGCATCCGAACCAGTGCATCGGTATTCCCTTCTCCCTTGACTGTGCAATCTCTTCTGGCAAAAGTCAACCACTACAAACGCCGATCACCACTTTCCTTGGACTGGATGTTCCACATCCTTAGTATCCAAAATGTTTTGCCGTCAGACCCTGCTCATTGCGGCCAATGGCCTGCTTGGCTTGGTCTTCACCATCGAGTGGGAGTTCGTCCCCTATGACTGGACGTCGTTTGCACGGCTTCAGCCGTACACGCTGGGCGGCGCCGGTACCTGTGGAGACCGTGGGTACCGCCTTGAATGTTGGGTCTATGCTTTGATTCAACACCAATCGATGCTGACACGAGTAACCGCAGAGGACGTCGGCCTTCCCCAAGCCCGTTCAAATTCACGATGCACCCATCCTTCAAGATGGACCGAGACATGGTCGTGGTCGGGGCCGGCGGCCACCTCCACGACGGAGCCGTGGGCCTGGAGATCATACATAACAAACGGCCGCGGTGCCGATTCGTGCCAAGATATGGCACCAGTCCCGGCTCGGTCGATGCCCACGGGACGGCTCACCGGTCCGCCATGCCTCAGTCTCTCGGGCCGATCCTGGCAGCCAAGGGTAATGACTGGACTGTTACGGCGCACTACAATTTCATCAAGCACGCTCCCATGATGACTGGTGATAGTTACTCGACGGTCATGGGCGTGGCGATTATGTATGCTCTTGATCTGCCGTCCACGGGTTCGCAGTGATGTTAGCTGGTGTTCGAATTCTCGGCGTATCTGGGGAGGGAGTGTCGGTCAGGCTGAGGGACGCAACAGCACGAGGGCGTGTGTCATGACAGAGCATGCATGTAATTATACGGACTTCTAATCAACGACTAGGTCGCCTTGAGTCGAGGATGGCATTCACGAAATAGACGGCGGCAGCTGATATTTGCTCGACACAGCAATTATATTCATTTAGCTCATGTGAAAGGGGTGGAGAGTAATCTCCACATAGGATGCCATCGTTTCCCTACGCACTGATCTCCTTCGACCAGAGCCCCCATCTTCTTTTACTTTAATATCCAAATCATGCGCTTCGTAAAAACATTGGACGGCAGATGCCCCCGCTTATCGGGGGCCGCCGTACGGGATGCCATCGTTTCCCCGCGGAATGGTCTCCGGTGACCACACCCCGAAGCTGCGTTTACCGGCAGCTTCATGCAATTCTTTTTCATAGTTATTGCTACAGGATAGCGGCGGCCCGACTCAAGTCCGGCATGGCGGGCCAGCTAACAGGATGCCATCGTTGCCCTGCGGATGGGCTCTTTTTGGGCCCTACCTCCTTCCGTCCCCAAACACTTGGAGCGAATGGCTCTGTGGAGACCTAGTACCTAGTACTTCTCGCCCTCCAGGATGGGCTTGGCCTCGTCGCTCTTCCACCAGCTCACACCCTCCTTACCAGGGTAAGAGAACTGGTCCATGCTGTCTGCCTTCATCTCGACGCTGTAACCAGGCTCTGTGGGAGTCTGGTAGTAACCATCCTTGATGACGGAGGGGTGCAAGAAGTGCTCGTGCAAGTGGTCGACGTACTCCAGGACCGAGAGCTTGCCGCTGACGTTGACGTAGTCGATGGTGCTCAAGTGCTGGGTGTACTCGGGCAGACCGACGCCACCGGAGTGGGGCACGATTGGGACACCGACCTTCTTGGCGATGAGCAGGACGGCCAGCACCTCGTTCACACCGCCCATGCGGCAGGCGTCGATCTGGCAGACGTCGATGGCGCCGGAGACGAGCAGCTGCTTGAAGATGACACGGTTCTGGCACATTTCACCGGTGGCGACACCGATACCGTAGGGCTTCAGTGCCTCTCTGATGGCTTTGTGGCCGAGAATGTCATCGGGGGACGTGGGCTCCTCGATGAACCAGGGCTTGAACTCCTTGAGGTTCTTCATGTACTCAATTGCCTCGGGGACACTCCAGACCTGGTTGGCGTCGACCATGAGGGTGTTGCCCTGGTCGTAGCCGATGACCTCACGGGCAATGGACAGACGATGCTTGTCCTGCTCCAGGTTGCCACCGACCTTGAGCTTGAAGTACTTGTAGCCGTTGGCCAGTGTCTCCTTGAGGAGCGCCTTCATCTTGTCCTCTCCGTAACCGAGCCAGCCGGCACTGGTGGTGTAAGCAGGCACAGCACGGCTGTTCAGCGCATCCTGGATGCGCTGTTCCTTGCCAACCTCGGACTCCTTGAGCAGGGCAACGGCCTCCTCAGGGGTGATGGCGTCGGTGATGTAGCGGAAGTCAATGCATCGCACGAACTCCTCGGGGGTGAAGTCGGCCACGATTCGCCAGACGGGCTTGCCCAGGGTCTTGGCCCACAGGTCCCAGATGGCGTTGACCACAGCACCGAGAGCCAGGTGGATGACACCCTTCTCAGGGCCGATCCAGCGCAGCTGGCTGTCGTTCACCAAGTGGCGCCATGTCTTGCCCCAGTTCTCGACGAGAGAGGACAGAGTGCGGCCCTTGATACGATCTGCGACGTGATCGATGGCAGCACAGACAATGTCGTTGCCACGGCCAATGGTGAAGGTCTAAGTGATATGTCAGCTCTGTACCCTGCAAGTAGTATGGCAGTATAGATCGCCAAGAGTTGGCGTGTCTCGGGTAAGTGCATGTCAATTGGGGGTTCATGCACGGGTATACTTGATGGGGATAGGGAATTGGGGGGCGCGCAACTCACCATTCCGTGACCGCTGAACTCGGAGTCGGTCTGCAAGATACAGTACGCCGAGGAGTAATCACCCGCAGCGTTCATGGCATCTGAACCAGTCTTGTCCAAGGACGTCGGGAAACGGACGTCCCTGGTGGTCCAGCCGGTGATGGTAACTTCAGGCATGTTTGCTTTGTGTGATGAAACTGTTTATGTTGTGTAACTGTGGTCCAATAGATTGAAATAGCCCCCAGTGATGTATGACAGGTACAGTTATACAAAAATCTACTGGAAAACAAGCATAAACAGACAGAAGGGAAAGCCAAGAAGAAAAAGAATATGAGGGCACTCGTGATGTTCTTATATAACCCGTCTTTTCTCGCAGAGGAAAACCCAGATGAGGCCTCAATATATTTACTACCCCTCGTGACAGTGAGGGGCATATCCCACTTCCCACCCACAAAGCGCTGTCGCGCATGATCGTGGGGTATTTTTCAGTGGACCCTGAAGTGACCAACGGGATGAGTTATAGTTGGTGGAAAAACTAAGTTCGGGGGAGTAATTCACCCATTTAGGTCCACTTTGGTCCGGCTCAGACGGCTTTCAGGGGTAATAGACGGCAGTTCACCGAAAATCCTCCGTTAATCACGAAGGTGTGGACTTGGATGAGTCCCTTTTTGTTTCCATGTTAACAGAGGGAGAGAGAGAGGGAGGGAACACCAGTTCAGATCGCAGGTTTAGCATTTGGGGAATCACGAGGGATGCACAGGCTGGATTCTGTCCTCACTTGTAGCGACCCACCAGCAATTGGAGAAGTTGGGGAAATAACATAGCAGCCGACGGATATTTTATTCGTAATCTCGATTGTTATGGTCAACATTGCGTGGAAACCGTCCCGGTTTGTCGTCTCAAGTATTGGAAACTGGTACTGGCGCTTGCCTGCTACGTGCCAAAGCATTTCTGCTTCGTTCTTGTCAGTAGTTCAACTTGGGGAACCTGGACACAAAGAAAGCATCGGTCGACCTTGGAAGGGTGAATGGGTGAGACGCTAGTTACGATACTACGAATATCCTGAGGACTTCTCCACGCCGCAGACTTTGGGATCATCAAAACTCCGGCCATCTCCATGCTTAGTTGATCCGCTCATCCATGGTCTGCCTGTACATCAGATATGAGATGAGGAACGGATCTGTTTGAGCCGCCCCATACTCCGAATTCTTGACACTGGTGTGGGTAACAACGGTCACCAGGTCGCAGGGGATGGATCACGGTCCGCATAATATTACATCGATATATCAAGCTGTAGTAGATATCTAACACACTGTGTGATCAGTGCCCAGCTACATGCTAGATCACAATTGATGCCAACGAAAACAGCCAACCAGCTATGACGGTGTGGCATCCATATCACAGTGGCTGCAAGGACGTCAAAGTCGCTACAACGAAGCAGATCCACGCTGGGAGGTCCGCGAGGATTGATCTGACGACGTGGATATCTAGCCACTTCTTTAGATCTCGGTTGCCCTGCTTTGGGTGACGATTCTCGGTGAGCGATTGTACAACCGATACTTGGATTGCCCGTTAGTCTTGTTTCAAAAGTATGCACACCTCGAATACACCAGGGTTTGGCAAACATACTGATCCTGGGAGCGAATGCGAAGTGCGCGACCGCAAACGCCGTGCCCGCCGCATACCAATGCCACGACGCGTTGGGTCTGGCCCAAAAGTTGGCGGTGCCCGTACTGATACTGACACCGTAGAGGAAAAGGATGCGCGTCAGTCCGCCGGGAAAGAAAGTCTTGAAGTAAGACGGGACCACGCTCTCAGCTTCATTGCGGTGTTCAGGCCTCAGGAAGTTGTTGAGAAAGGTGTACTGGTCGGCGGAAAACCACAGGGCGCTAGTGGCAGACACCAACGGTGCCGCTCGTAAAAGCACGGTAAAGTCAACGAATGTTTCAGAGGCCATGTTGTATGTTTTACAAGCGTTGACTGCTGTGTCGTTGATGGTTTCTACGTATGCTGCAGTTGCGCACGTATTTGTAAGAGTCTTTGCGCTGAAACCGGGAGGATGGGACAGCGCGGTGCCAAGGCACAATGATCCTACCAACTACAAATGCGCCACACGCGTGCTTATGTACGTTACCCATCTCTAGAAATAGGACAGTCAGCTTTCGCGCAAACCTCACCTCGCCGAAGAGCATCCATGTAAACTTCGCATATAGTCCTATTTGGCCCCCCTCTCCTTGTCAATCTTGCTTATCACAAATGCGCGCACAGGTAAGCGCCAGGATATCGAGCAGGCTGCCATTAATGCTGTGCAATAGCTTCCTGGATGGGTGATGTACAGTTCGGTGTGCATATGAGAATACGACTTAGCAAGAGTATCGAGACAAAACAGACGCCAATTGGCAGCGAGATCACACACTGAACCCATGTCTAGTCTCAACGGAATCCAATGTTCTGCGACAGTTGTGACTGGGAGGCGTCCCTCATTGGCTGACCGTATCGTGAACCATTCAGTCGGGTCGTCCAATCTTCTATCGTTAAAAGGCCTTGCTCGCACTTACAGATGGCTGTGAGGCAGATATAAGGCAGCTCTCTCCCAAGAAAAGTGCATTGCCACATGCGCCTTTCCTGCAAGACGTGAAAAAGAAATTTACTCTCTATACGTGCACACCTAGTGCAACATCCATCATGGTAGTAACAGAATTTGTGATCAATACGCGAAAGATGAGATATACGGGAGATGCTATGGTTCGACTCCTTGAAACTGACTCTCGTGTTAATTGTTTCCACTAAGAAACGTGAATAGGTTGTCCTCAAAGCGAGTCGGGTGGATGTTGACCTACAAGCGCATGATAACTGCAAGGACAGTGTAGCTTCCGGTCAGCATGGCGACGACAAGCAAAGCTTCTCCTCGAACGGACGAGTATGGATCGAAAGTGGCATAGAATCACCTCCTCCGAAGCCCACAAGTGGGCGGCATATCGGGACTTTCGCATTGACTACCGAGGTCGCCCCCTGGGTCAAGGAAGCATTGGCAAGTTATCAGCCGACTGATGAAGTTCTTGCACTTGTTAACCCGTTTGCGGCTGAGTATCATGGCTTATTCGAAGAAGAGAGAAGGTCGAGCTTCGGCTTGCATGATATCGATGCAATCGAGCTGACATACCAATGCGCTTTGGAAGTTGGCGCCGCTATCCTTCTAGCTGCCGATGTAACTGATGACCCGGTATCTCTGTCGGTCCAACTACATGCGTCTAAGGCTGGCGGAGATGATCATTTGTCATCTTGGGGCAAACTGCTTACCGGCCTTGAGTGCGATCCTCCCATCATTGCACAATTCCCTTTTTATTTACTTATGTGTCAATCCTTCACCTTCGAGCCGACTTGCCACAGGGAGGATTACGTATACTCGGCCATGACAGGTGTGGACTGGGTAAGTATTTTCTTTCTATTCTTCGAGGATCCTGAGCAGACCGACTGTTTAACAGTGGTTCGAATGAATGGTAGTGCGCAGATAATAGAATACTTTGTATCAAGCTTACTAAGAATGTTTCACAATCCAAAGCCAGCCACCTCTCCACAGACATATGTCATGAACTCTGCTGACCACATCGGCACGGTAGATCAGAGGACAAAACAAATTCAACGATCGCTTGGCCACTTTCGAGGCCTTGGCACGCGCATCCATACCGACTCTTGATGACACAAAATCTGGCGAAGACCGTTGCTTCTGGCGACTCGCTCTTGGGTACATCCGGGCCATGAATGACTGTGAAAATGTGAGGTCTTTCAACACCCCACGAAAAGCGCATATCGAACATGGGTTAGATCATGACTTGATCATCGCAGCTCGCGCTCTAGATACTCTCGGTTCGGCTTACATGTGCCGTGACGGGGCTGCCTGGCTCGACAACTGGGGCGTAGACTCGCTCATCGGCTCTGGCCTCGCGAACGACGTTATGGATTTGCATACTGATATTTTTACTGGGGAGACGCGCAACTTGCTTCGTCTTCTGTATCCTCCAGGTAGAAGCCTCTCAGAGAGCATGCAGACCATGTCCACTATCCTATCGTCAATGCTTTGCGAGATTTTCAGAGGTCATTACAGAGCGAGGATGCATAATCGCGAAGATGGGCGAGTCTCGTCCGCCTCCCCTCCATACAGCTTTAGTCGAGCTCGACATAGGCGTATATTCGAGACTCTCGAGCTCTACACAAACCGGTACCCACAGTTCTGGGATTGGTAGGTTATCCCAACACGAAGATTCACATCCCAAATGTCTGAGAAATCTCTCTAGGACGTCTGCCTGTCCATGAGACGCGTCCGGCAACCATTCCTCACTCATTCCAATATTTTCTGATAGTGTAACAATCTTTTCTAACATGATGTCTACAGGACATGGGAGATTTACCGTATGGCCAAGTCCCAGGTGACCGAAGCCGCCATCGCAGAGCCGCTTGTCTGCGGGATCAAGAGGGCCGGCACGCGGGGTCAGTTGCCCGACTCCCCTGCCAATAGCTTCTTCCATCTATGGTACGAAATGATCGAGGATGGCTCCGAGCAGCTAGCCAAGAAGCAACCACTCGGTGTCAGTGAAGACTTGGCTGCCATCGTCCGTGATATTCATAGTCTGTGGCATGAGCAACTGCTAGATGCCACCAAGAAGCCTTCAGGATGGGGTCGTGAGTTTGATCACAAGTCTGATATGCTGTTGGGCAAGGCAGGCAGAATCTTGGCTCGTAGAAGCGACATATCCGAAGATATGTATAAGTTCATGATCGCTTATGGGAGACTGAGTATGGGTCTACCGTATGTTGCTTACCATACTATCGATGCCATAATCATGGCGTTCGAGGCTATAAGCTTGCTGTAAGCGTCAAACTAAAGACAAAGGAATCCTTCCCCGTGGGTCTCGAGATTACTATGCGGCGGCTCTCGATCTTGGTATGCTCAGCCGGAATTTATTTTCACGTTTTGAAGAACAAACCGCTACAGTTGGTGTTGTTATGCAGAGAAAACCTGACGAGTTTTAACCACAAATTGCCTGTGCATTTCGATCGCACAACTTGCAAAAAGAAGAGTGGCCGAGGGAGGACGTTTCAGCTAGGAGATAAGGATATTATTCTTAGGTTTGAGCGCATAATCACTATAGCACTGTGACCTGTGGCTTCGTGGGGTGTTAGTTGAGGTCGGTTCATTTAGATTTATGTAACTTAGGTCAAGAAAGCACGACAGTTTTTTCCCCCCCCCTTTGCGCACATTGATGGAACGATCATAAGGTTTAATCACGGGGATGTTGTTGCGGTTGAGTACCAGGTTTGAGAAGATTCTGCCGATCACAGAATGGTGCTCCCCGGAGCACAGTGCGCGGTAGGTGAAGTCACGATAATCCTGCCTTACGAACTCTGGCCAGATCATAATTGTCGTTGCTCGATTTGCTCCTGACTTAAACGTGCTTGATATCGATAGAGGGAGAAGTATAGGCGGATTGAATGAATGTTGCTGATAAGATCTGGCACAAGGGAGGATTACGGCCAGGTGTTTCAGGCAAGTACTTTAGAAGACTGTCTGCCTATACAACCCATGGTATCTCTGGGTGGGGTTTCCCTCAAGCTTGAGAAACACAGATGATTCACTCACAAAATGGTGACGGCACTCGTTCTATGACTTGTTAGCAGCGTGTTGACAATTCTTCGACCATTACAGAGGAATACTGCAGCCTAGCAGTGTACAATATCATCCCCAATGACTTTGCTCTGATACCGAACCTGATTTAGCGTTTCTTCATGATTAGGTATCGGCAGCACACTGCTCGAAGATAGGCGGTCATGCCACATCGATGAGTTTGTTCAATTTGGAACTCATCCTCGATCTGAATCCTTCGCTTTCCGAACGCCAACCCCGAAATGGTTGTTAGGAAGGTCTATGACGGCTGTGTTGTTGTAGTTAGTTTCCCCTCGCCAAACCCTGTAGAAAGCAAATTGAATTGCTTTCTCGACCATGTGGCCCTGATCAATATAGACCGCGTCGGCCGAGACGTGGCCTGTTGAACAATGAGGGCATTGCTCTGAGAGATGCCGTGGATTATGCACGCTGTCGCTCGCAAAAGGTGGTCCACATGGATCTTTTTCAATGAAATCCTGCCACAATCCAGCGTCCCGGACTCTCGGCTTTAAGACAAACCAATGAACAACAGATAGCTCAATCAATAGATAGGTATCATGAAAAGAAACATGGGAATTGCAAACTCAGCCAAACAGGATCCTCTATCGGGCCTTGTGATGTTGAGACGACTTACAGTGTGCCCCCACGCGCCAAAAAGGATACTACCTGCACTTCGCCGTTTCCTGAAGCACGATCTCGAAAGTCGAAAGTCCACATCATGAGGCATAGCTCAACTCAATGAGATAGCTCCGTACGTAAGTGATGCGATCATTGCCTCACATAAGATACGCATGTTGACAAAGATGAGGGAGGAACTGAATAGGCCGTACCAAACCGGATCATTGCATACAAGCGATGAGAATGGTATGACATCAGCCCAAAGTAACCCCACCTCGAAGCCGTGAGCTGAGCCGGATTTGCTAGTTGCATGATTAGATCCTTGCTGTACGAGGCCTTGCAGGGTCACCACTAGCACGGCTGGGTAACACGAAGGCCCCCGCATCCTCAACGCTGCCACATTTTCCTTTGGCTCTGTTTCGTGGCACAGGTTCGCCCAACCACTGCAAGAGAGAAAGAAGAGAGAAAAAAAAAAAAGGAAAACCAATTTCGGGCATAGAATTTTACAATGTACTTTCCAGGCGAGTGCCCAGAGATTTATACGGGTAGACGATTAATCTAGTGTGCCTGACTAATACCCTCACATCCTAAGATTTCCCTAATTCTTGCCCAGAAAGTATGCACCCAAGTCAGACGGTTTCGACGTTGCGCATCAGAAAAGTCATTCCAAGGTTTGCATCGTCTCGCTTGAATCTGAGGCGCTTATTCGTAGTGCAGGACTCTAAAACTTGTGGTATGCAAAACATGACTTTATTCCGTCAGCCTGGGGCAACCATGTCATCAAGACCGCTCATTGCTTGAGCCCAGCCCAACTGGCTTGCATATGCAAGTCAGGAACCACCACCCCAGTAGGCTCATATTGAGAGCGAGCCCCCCCATGCTTAAATGGCAATCCTGTTTTCGCATTGGCCTGGGCATGATCCTTCTCATTACCAGCCAACGTCATTCTACCTATGGTCACTATTTGTTGTAGCTTGTTCATACTTGAGCAACTTCTTCTGTCGTTGAGTAACAGTTGCTGTCGACGATCTTTTCACTTTCTAGCGTCAACTCTAAACTCTCGTATTCGTCTCTCGTACACATTGCCCACAGTGGTCCACATCAGTAACTATGGATCGGTATAGAGCACCGATAGCAACCAATACCCCAAGCACCTTGAAACCAGAAGGCAAAAAGCTCAGGAGGAAGCTTCAGAAGATTCCCAACCAAAGGAATAGCGTTCAGTTTGCAACCGGCAATGCCAAGGCAACAGAATCCCGGAGTTTCCTATCAAGCTTCACGAACAAAAAGACGGACCTGGAGAAAACGACGTCCAGGACGACAGAGACATCAGAACTACCCATTGACCTGAGCGACCCGAAATGGGATGAGTACTTGCGGACAAGCAGATACACTGCGACGAATGTGGAATTCGTACCTCAGCCGCCTTCTCGGGAATGTCTTGCACCGCCAGCGGAAGTCATCCCGGAATTCGCACACCTGAACATTGCAGCTGAACCGGCACGAAAATCCTCGGAAAGTTTTTCAACGTACGGCACCGCTACGCCGTCCAGCGCCTCATCTACTGCATCGACAAGCAGGAGATATGCTAAAACACCTGTGACCAGGATTGGCCAGCTCGAGGCAGTCGCATCACAAGAGCCACCATTGACACAGGATGGTTCAGGTATAGAGGCCATCGCAGAGTCGTATAGGGCGCTGCTAGAATCACGAAACACATGGTCTCGAAACTCTTTTTCGGGGAACTCATTCGCGGAGGAGAGGTTCATGACGCCGTTCCAGTCATTTGACGAGGTGCCGCAAGACCTTTCATCGAGGCTTTGGGATATTCGGCCAGCGACTCCTATCGAGACCATTCTGGATCTACCGCTGACGCCGAGACCGGGAATGGGCTCTCCCACTTCTTCGGATGGGACGCTGGTCGGGTTTGAGGAGGATTCAATATATTTCAAGCCCGTGGCATTCTCCCCTGAGCGACGGACTCCTAGTCCCGTGTTCGAGATCAGAGACAGCCCCGTTCCTAGCCCGATCGGAAGGAATGGTCCGAAACACTTCAAGTCAACTGCTTCCATAATGCCTGAAAACCCTACGGTTCAGATCGTGTTCGATCTGTTAACAAAAGAACTATCGGCCGCAGCCAGCGGTAACACCATGAGACCGAGTACAGAAACGTCGTCTCTGCAAATATGGCTCATGATAGAAACTTATGAGAAGCTCAAGGAGAACGTAGAGGGCATGGGCTTGGGACCAGAGCAGACCCAGTCCGTACAGGCAATGTTCGGCACGTGGCTTAATGCACTTCACACCATTCACGATGATATGACGGGGAATGATGGGCAGCGGAGTGAGAGCGATTATGGAGAGTAATGAAGATGTCATGAGCTTGTTACGAAACGAAACGAATTCGACTTCCCGCATTGAGATTTTATGGGACTAGGAGCAGCGTTGGAGTTTTCACGAGATGGACCGCTATCGGAAGCGGATCAGATCCCCAAAAGTCTACCAAGTACGACTGGTATTTATGCTGCTATTGTTTAATATGTATACTAAAGATATAATGCCAGACATGGTGGTGTGAGCTAAATACTTAAACCTTGGTCCCCTGTCGGTCAGCGCCTTAACTGAGGTTACGTGTAAAGAATGGCGAAGTCATCAAGGCGCATTTGTATTTAAATCACGTCTCAGTCAAAGCACAATCCCATCTGAACATCTACAACTTAAGTTAGAGAACTTCTGAGCTGAGCTCCTTATTATTCCCGGAACTTGGTAAGAAGTGGGCAGTGGGTTACGACGATCGAATCCAGAGATGCACAATAAGACTGTTCGTTGCATCAATAGCGACACGTACCCTTTAGGAGTTCTCGCGTCCCGCTCGAGCATATAGCATTTGACACTAGATACCCCAATAATTGAACCTCATAAACAGCCACTCGGTACTGATCGCACTATCTAAATCAAAGGACCGCAAACAAGCTCGGCTTGTTGTCCCTGGAGAACGACTTGAGATAGACCCAGTAGTCTGCTTCCAAAAGTATGTACTGGTTCCTCGTCCAGATAGCAGAGAGACGACATCTTATAGAGTATAAGATAAGTTCAGCCTAGCTCTTGGGGACCTTTGTACGGCACGACCCGGTGTCTTTCGGAAGCCCTGACGAGTACAATCTCGATTTGGTATTAAACTATGCATTGAGTGATTTCGGCAATTCCAAGCACATACAACTAAAGCTTTCAGAAAACTCGGCATCCGGTCCGCTCTGCCTTAGATAAACCGAGAAGTGGACTTTTGTCTATGGGGTAACGGATGAACTGCCCTCTTTCGCGGGTGCGGTGCGGCGCACGGGGTCTCGTTCTGAAATACGGTGCGCCGATGGTCGCGGTCAGAGGCCCCAAAGTATACGTCTACCTCCGCCGGGCCACCTCCCTGTTCTTTCTTGCATTCCAAATTAAACCCACAATGGCAGCAAACGGCGTAGAAGCCGTAAGTTCATCCTCCCTCCCTACCACATGTTTTAGTCGCAGAGATTGATTTCCTCGACGCTTCCTTCTTCTAATCTAATGCGCCGTCTGTGCGCCGTCTACCACCGTCAGAGACAATCCTTCAACAGTGTCAAGACAAGACGGGGGCCGTGATCAAGTATGAGCAACTAAATTTAGTCGTCAAATTTGGTGACTGGTCTCATGTGAGACTAGAAAAAGCCCAGACAATGCTTGCTATCAGACGTGCATTCGCCAACGGCGAAATTCCTCTGCCTGAGGTTTTCAGGTGGAGAAAGCTTAACGACAAAAATTTCATACACATGAGTCTCGTATCTGGAGACACATTCCGTGAAGTGTGGTAAGCACTGACAGTCGTGGATAAAGAATATGTGATGATCTTTGAAAGATCGTGACCACGCTTGAAACTGTTTCTGCCAACACGTTTATCGCTCTCATTGGTACGCCACTTACACTGGATTTTGCTGCATCTCACTTCTTAGCACTCTCCTCATATCTGAAGGATCGATTCACATTCACCATGGGACTGTGCTGGACATAATTCTTTTTAAAGACGATTATGAAGAGGGGCCCTTTACCAACATCAGGTCGATTAATGATTTTGTGTTCGCTGCTGCCACAGGTATACAGCTCGTACCAGAAGGAACCACAGGCTTTTATCGAGAATTCCTGTCGGACACGGGTTATATTTACGTCACTCATGGAGACCTTACTCTCGGAAATATCATCATCTCAGGAGAACCCAATTCACGACGAATTGGTGACATTATAGATTGGGAGCAGGCCGATTGGTATCCAGAATACTGGGACTATTGTAAGTCATTATATGCAGTGGAACACACCCATGAATGGCGTAGCGATGGATGGGCTGACAAAGCCATGCAACCGTATGAGGTTGATTGGCTCGCATTTGCAGTACTCGTTGTGGCGGCGTCCACAAAAGCGATATACATACTAACGAATATGCTGAACAACCATCTGCCATGAACCTGCCGCCCGCTGCTTGCTGACCGAGTGTGGACGTATGATTTCGAGCTTAGCCAACACTTTATCGTATAACCCATCGCTTGGATTTCAACTCTCTCACCCTTTGCTCACATTGGACATCATTTGGAGGGCCGCTTACATTTCCTGCCGTTTTGAACGATTTAGGTATGCGGGTAGCTTAACTGAGCAAAAAGATAAATGCGCAAGTCCGGATAGGGTCAGACCTAACGTTTCGAATCGTTGAATCATCAATAGAAACGACGCCGTAGCGATATGGCCGAAAATGACTACCCCCATATTCAGCTCGTAAGTATTAGAGTGATGTACCATCTTGTAGATTCAATCTAAAAATGGTGTGGGTTGCATTTTACTAATACTATGGTAATATTGGTGATCGATCAGTTTTGCACAGAGTATCTAAAGCGAGGATATCTCTTTTTTGAGCACATATGACTGCTTGGTGTGTGCCTAGAACATGTCGCATGAGTGCGAACATGATTTCTGGTCTACAACGCTTATGTTATGTTGCTTGAAATCGAATGACTTTGGACGAGAAGACATTGGGATCCTAATACTGAAGTTGCAGCTTTCAGCGGGTGCTCAATGTGACGAAGTTCACCAAAACTTGCGCAGAACGCACGAATACCAGATCTCGAGTTTTCAATCGATGACTGGCCGCAAACAAAAGAGTTTCGTAGAGGTCCACCGCCCAGAGCAAAGAGGAACATGATCTTGGTGAGATGCGTATGCTTGTCCAAGACTTGCGGGCCGTATTCAATACATGGAGCACACCGACAACCATACAGGCGCGGCCGGGATTATTGACCTACCCTTATGCGGTCGAGGATTGCTCTTCTCGACCACAGACACAAATGCATTCCGGTGCCAGTACCTTAATTATCGTGGCTCATCGATCGCCGAAAAGGAGGACTACTAGGCAAGTTTAGTGGACGTGCCTTCAAAGGCTCACAACCAGGGTAATTCCAGATGTGCTGCCATAGTCAGTCAATGAGGCAACGAGGATGTTTAGGACACACATTCTCACATCATTCGATGCAATACTTGCACTGAGTCCAGAGTGCTACTCGAATAGCCACAAAAACTACCTTGGTACCTAAAATCAGATGCGTAAATCCACGCGTAATGAAGGCATTAACGGTGAGAATGCTACGCTTGGTAAACTTGATGGCGCCTCGCCTCGACTTGATATAGTTTGTGGGTAAAGGCATAGAATCAAGGAGATTGTGACTTGGAGCTCTAGTCAAGCGATTTAAGCAGGGTCGTTGATTACTGGCACTTGTCCCTGCGAGGCATTAGAGCTTGCCTCATCATTGGCGTTGGCCGTATATATTGGAGTAGCCCTGTTACGCGGACTCTCTTGGCAAGTTGATTGTTTCGCTCATACTCATGAATGCTATATATTCGCCAACACTCTCTTATACCGTGTGAAAAAGGTTAGAAAACGTCATGGGCTTGATTGAGTTTATTAAGTCGACTTGGGAGTCGCAAGGCATGAAAAGACGGTGTCTGTTGAAACATGATGTGAGATACATAGTGTTCTATCCTGCTTCAATCGAGATGTGTTAGGCGTAAGCATACTGGCAAGTGACCCCCCGCTTTAGAGTGTTTTGCACTGCGACTTTAGTGACATGTCATAATCTTATGATGAGTTATCGGGAAGATGGTACACACTTGGTAAGGCGATATGACTGGAATTGATGCAGGAGCAGAGTGATCGGAGTCTTACGTACATGACTAGAGATGCATGTACCGTAGCAGCACGATGAGCAATTGATCTGATAGCCGTCTATTATATGAGATGCTCTTGGTGATACCGCAAGGTCATGACGCTTTATACTGGGTACTCCTGTCACATACTGTACCCACCCCTGATACTTCCATGTGAGTACCCGCCCCGCTGGTAAATGGCTTAAAACCCCTCCATCTACCACTTAAACACCCGTCGCGTCTGCAAACAGTGGACGCGTTTTCCATCCAAGCAAGCTAGAGGTGTGCCTATTAGAGCAACGAGCATAAACGCAACAACACAGAGACACAAGTTATTCAGGCATCACACATACTAAAGCTGATCTTACAATTACTTATGGAGTCCTCATAACCATCCACAACCAACACATTCACCACATTCACCACTACGAAAGAGCAAGCCCCTCCCCTCGTCCGAAACAAAATGTCATCCCGGCGCGGCCTCCTCTCCAACGCGCCCCCGAGCGCACAGCGGCCACGCGGCAGCGCCAGACCGGACAAGAGCAGGACAGAGAACAGCCGATCCTCGGGGCCCCATCACCCGCCGGCCCTGCCGCCCTACGAGGCGCCGGCCTGCCCGCTCGACCAGACGGCGCGGCGCGCGCTGAACGAGCTCTCGGGCAACGCGGCCGAGACGCGGCGGTACGCGGCGGAGCTCCAGATCAGCGTCAAGATGCTCGGCGAGGCCGTGTCCGAGGTCAACGACCGGTACGTGGAGCGCCGGGCGCGGCTGAAGCGGAAGCTGGAGAGCGTCGAGGCGGCAGGAGACCCGGAGGCGGCCGCGGCCGTGGACGAGGAGACCAGGGCGCTGCGGGACTCGGTCCGCGAGATGGCGCGCGAAGTGCCTGAGCTCACGGCGCGGTGCGACGAGGGCGTGCGCCAGGTCATCGACTGGGGCGTCGAGCTCGGGGACGGGCGCGCGGCGCTGGCGAGCGCGGTGCAGGAAGTCGACGAGGAGAGCCGGGAGGCCGAGAGGCGGGTGGCCCGGGCGAGGGAGCGCAGGGAGAGGATCCGCGAGGCGAGGGAGATGAGGATGGAGAACGGTGAGATGCCCGAGGACCAGGAGGATGAAGAGGAGGAGGAGGAAGGAGAAGAAGATGAAGACGACATCCAGATCACAGGCCCCCTCCAGCGCCTCAGGGATAACAAGAGGAAGCTGCTCTCCGACTACGAGGGCAAGAGCTTGTATCAGCGCTATGGCCTGAATAACGACTACATCAACTTCAAGAAGCTGTGGCACCTGGCGCTGCAGCCGCCGGGCGCCGAGGAGAAGCCCCTGCCCGACGCCACGAGGTGGTTCGACGGGAGGAACGACGACAGCGACGACGAAGAGGACGAGGACGAAGATGTCGTCGTTGCTGGTGAGGTTAGGTCCCTGCGCTGCCCCCTGAGCCAGGTCATGATGACGGAGCCGTACACGAACCGTGACGGATGCAAACACACGTTTGAGAAGGCGGCCATCTTCGAGTATCTAGGTAACAAGCCGGGACGGAGAGGAATGTGTCCACAGACGGGTTGTGGAAAGGTACGTGATTTCTCTTTTTGAATATTTATTTTGTCGCATTCATTCTATCTCCTCCCCCACCCCGCTGGCATTCCACATTCCTGACACGGCGCCACAGGAGGTCGCACTCAATGACTTCAGCCTCGACCAGTATGTCCTGCGACAGATCAAGCGCGCGCAGCGACAGAATGATGGAGAAGACGACGAAGAAGATGAAGAAGATATGGAGGACGAGGAGGGTCAGGATGAGAGTATGCTAGTCACCTCGCAACGAAACATCAAGAAGGAGCGGAGAAGAAGGGACGACATGGATGATGATGAGGATTAGGACATGGACCAAGCTCAATGATACCCCATATCGGACCATTATTTTCCCAGAGAAACGGTAAAAAAGCATCACACGGTCTGTCTTGCGAGAAACTGGTTCAGATTTGTAATGCTAGAAAGGACGTTGAGATGTCTTCGCGTGACATTACATCACGCACAGCCGCGAATTAATGAAACCAAGCCCATGTTTAGATGTGTCGTTTTATCATAATTATTGTTTTATGCTTGGGATTATGCCTATGTACGTCTTATTCTCCTCTAAAATATATGCGTATAGGTCATGAGAGGGGGGTATCAAAAACCGCTGAATCTCAAACTCGCCCCTGGAAAACGACACGCCCCAGCTCCAGAAAATGCCGAAATTAAAACGGAATATGCTCGATTATGGGGTTAAAGAGGAAGGAAGAGAGAAGCAACAAAGGAAATCAGGGGCAACCGAGAACAACAGTCACTGCCTGCTAAGCAGCATTTGTGGACCGCCGCCAGATCATGAATGCGGCCACACCGGCGCACAGGACGGCACCCGCAGCTATGAAGTAGCTTGAGTTGTCGGAAGGAGGCTCCTCGTTTTTCGGGAAACCAGTGCTTGGGTTCGTAGCCGCTTCAGCAAGGGCAACAAAGAACTCGCTAATGCTGTTCCACGTCACACTGACATGTAACGGAGAACTCATCATGAGACCAGAGGTGTATTGGTCTGGTTGGAGCTCGCTGCGCTGCGTCGCCTTATCCTTGTCGGCTTTGAGAGCGGTGTAAACAGCGGGCAGTGCATCCAGCTGGGGGAAACGTTGGCGCAGATCCACGATATGCGAAAAGGAGTCGGGATCTGACGAGTCGTAGGCGTAGCATATCAAATCACACGCGTCGAGCTTGGCCTGGTTTTCCAGAATGGCCGGCTCGAGCTCGCCCAGCTCTTCGAGGATAAGGTAGCATTGCTTGCCTCCAGGCAGCTCAACACTGTTCACGGCCCTACGTGGCTTGATGGTCGGGTGGTACAAGCTGTCAAAGGGCCTGTTCAAGAAGGAGTCAAGCAAGCTCGACTTTCCAGCTCCACCCGCGCCAATGACATAACATAGCACAACGTTTCGCTCAACCCGGCCAGGTCGATTTCTCCGTTTACGAGCCTTGGTGACCTTCAGCGCCGAAGTCAGAGTGACTCTTGCACCGAACGGCTCGAAGCCAAGATATGCTAGATACTCGATAGTTGTTTTGGGCTCTTGGAAGGTTGTCATGCTCCACTGAGCAAGCCAGCCTTGCAAGGTCACATGACCTGCCTCATTGCGCACAGTCGACGACGGGAAGGACGTCTCAAGCCATGACTGCGGCAATCCGGGAGTTGGGGCAAATAGGGCTGCCAGCTCCTGGTCGTTGAGCCCACCGTCATTGTCCTTGTCGAAGAGCAGGAAGAGATCTACGAAGAATCGGTAGCCAGCTGGACCGAGTTCGGCCGATGCATATTCCGGTACCTCGAATTTAGGATGGATGAAGCTGTCCTCCAAGCTCAGACTGTCTGTATAGCGGTAGTTTCGCAGGATGACCCAGATAGTCTCATGCCGCCCCTTTTCAGCATAGAATTTGTTGAGTTGCAAAAACCCGCGCATGTCTATGCCGTTTTCGGTGCTGTACCTGGGGATAGACTTTGATATAGACTGTTTGATGTTCTCCAGGTCTTCTGCAGCCAGGGGCTTTCCAAAGCATTTGGCCTGAAACTTGTGCATCTCGTCGTCGTTCAAATAGCCATCCTGGTCCTTGTCGCAGAGGTAGAATATCCTCTTCAAAGCCGACACGCAAGCTGGCTTGAGATCCCCTTCCTTGTGGTCATATAGAGGTGCGATGGGGTGGGTGACGGCTTTTTGACACAAGAAAAAGGTCTCGTTGACGTTGCTGTGTTCTCTTGCGCTTGAACGGATACACGAGTCGATCTCCCTAAATTCGGTCATGACAGGAAGCATCTCTTCCTCGACCACCTGGGGCGTATCGCTGTCCCGAGCGAGGTCGGACTTGTTGGCGCATATCACAACTGGCACGTTGACGCCGAGGGAGCGGAAATAGGGCATCCAGAAAAGGGCGACTCGCTCGAAGCTGTAGTGGTCGCTGTATACGAGCAGGATGACATTGCACTTTCGGATCTCCTTGCGCAGGACGGTGCGGTCTTGTGGGCGGGCAGATGTGTCGACGATGGTCGTGGTGACATTTTCTGGCGTGCCTATGCTCGGGGGGATGGTGATCTGGGGCAGGACGGACTGTATCTTGTTGCTCACAAAGACGTCCTTGACGAGGGAAGCAATGAGGCTCGATTTGCCGGTGCCCTCGTCGCCGCAGACGCAGATGCGGACTGGAGAGGAGAGGGTCAGCGAGAGTTTCGGGAGAATGGGAATAGCGGAGTTGTGAGTTCCTGTCGGCGCATACCTGTAGTCATGCTGATAGGTTCAGTGCGAGGTAAAGCTGAAGTAGAGCTGAGGTTGCTCTACTACGGTGCCATTCATTCAGTCATTCCCAGGACTGGAGGAGACTGGGAGGGAGCTGCAGCTACGTAGAGCAAGTCGTGGCGGAATCAAGCACCAAAGATTGGGTGCCGCAATACTCGCACCTGAGCGGCTTTACTGGAGGCAAGGAAATATCGATTGGGCAGAGATAAAACAGTGGGTTGCGGCAGCGACAAGGACAGACCTGGAGATGCTCAGCATGCAAGCTTTCGGGTTCGTTGGCGCTGAGCGGCTTCAATGGAAAGCTGCGGATCTGCACAGTGGGTTCAGAGCCCGACGGGGGGCCGCCTTGCAGGAACTATTGATTTTATATGAGATTATATCCAGTCAATTTTCACCGACTGTCTTTTTAGCTGGCGACGACAAGCACTACTGTACGAAGAAATTGACTTGAATACCCATACTATTACCGTATGTGTATAACCTCGTCGAGTCTCCGCCGAGTCATGTGTTTTTATTTGTATTTCTTTTTCACGGACAAATTGAGTAAGAAGCAACAGTTACTGTGCTGCGTCACGTGTACACCTCGTTAATTAGCACTGAGAAGCCCCTGTGCCATCGTATGTTTGTTTGACCTACTGCAGCTACGTCACAGCTATCTCTTCCGACCGTCTTTTGCTCAGGTCGCAGTGTCTTTGACACAGCAACATGAACATGCCTCGCAGCATGCATGAGTGAGTGAGTGCATGCAAGCAGGTATAGTCGAGGCTGTTGAGCTGCTGGGCCTGGTGCGCTATAGCAAGCCTTGTTATAGGTAGGACTCCATACACGTAGCCTAGGTTTAGGTTCAAATCTATATGTAAATTTAGATTTGGAGGTCGACATGAACCATGAACTCACTCATCGGCTCCAGCGCACCGAATGACCGAACATGCCCCCCAGCGCTCCCCTCATCGCACTGACAATTACCCCACACTCCAGCGTACCGAGCGACGTTGCACCCACCCCCTGCAGAGAGCCCTGTCAAGTCCTGTAGGTTAGGTGAACGTTGGAGGATCCATTGCCCATTGCGATTGCGATAGCGATTGAGATCCCAGCATCTGTCCAGCATCTGCCCAGCCCTCAGCTCAGCCCGCAGCCCTTCCACGGTGAGAATCGACTCCTTCCTGGCCTTGTCGCTTGCAAGGGTTTTCCTCGCGAATGTCTTCCTCTCCTCGTTTGTCTTCTCGCTGGCATCTCTAGCCCCCATTCACCTGACCATCAGCGCATATACCACTCCCTGCCTGTTAACCACAATCATACACCCATCCCGAATGGCCGAGGTTTGAACAACCGCGCATATCAGGGTCTTTGTGCTCAACCCATACCGCGACGACGTGGTCGGCTGCCCTGGTTCGCAACGCATCACATCACATCACACGGTCAATTGGCTCTGTAAGCTTTCAACATGTTGTAAGTCAACTTCGGACACCACCTACGAGCTCACGCACGACGACCTGCTGACGAAATCCCCATTGCGACAGCGTCCTTCCGCCCCCGCCGCGTTACCCGACGCAGGCAGCGTATAACGCCGCTGTCGCTGCCGGCCACACGACCCCCATGATCGAGACCAACAATGTGTTGTCAAACCCCGAGGACTCATTTCAAGCTGGAGAGGGTACGTACGTCCTGAAGGAAGACCTCCATCTCGCGACTCCGCCGCCCCATCCATCCGAGGCACCCGTCGTGAACCCAAACCCACTGGCCACCACCCCGCAACCTGCCTCTGCCGGCACGCGCATATCTCTTCTCACCTTGGACACCAAACCACCGCCCCCTGCTTTCTACCGCCTCACCTCCTCCACCGCCCTGCCGGACAGCATCGCCGAACATCCCAGCGAGAGTCGATACTCCAACTCCAACGATCCGTTTTTGAGCAGCGATGGTGAAGGTCGTGGCACCTCGCTGAGCGATGCGCCGGCATCTCTCACCGGAGCCTCAGCGCCAGCCTTCGGGGAGGGTAACAGCTTGCTGGCCCCAGAAAAGACCAAGGACCTGAACAAGAGGCGCAAGCCCAAGAATAACATGACTAAGAGTAACTCGTCCTTCATTTCTCGCGTCATCATCAACGAAACGCTGTCCAAGAAGTTGGCCGAGAGATCCAGCGAGGGCTTGTTCGCGTTCGCCAACATTAATCGCGCCTTCCAGTGGCTAGACCTCGCTTCCCCTACAAAATCGGACTACCTGACCAAGATCCTATTCACGAAAGCGCATTGTCTGAGCCACGATGTCAACCAGGCCACCAAGAGCGTTACCCATTTGGACGTCATCATGGGTTTTTCTACCGGCGAAATCATTTGGTGGGAGCCTGTGTCCCAGAGATACACAAGGTTAAATAAGAATGTATGACTGCCGCAAAGGTTTGGTTATCAACTGAGTGCTAACATTGCATTTGTAGGGTGTCATCAACAAGACTCCCGTCTCACAGATTAAGTGGATTCCGGGCGCCGAAAACTTGTTCCTAGCAGCACATATGGATGGCTCCCTAGTGGTATATGACAAAGAGAAGGAGGATGCCTTCTTCAACCCCGAAGATGAACAAATACCTGGCGCAGAGGGCGAAGCACGCGTGGACTTCTCAAAACGAATCCAGGTGCAGAAATCCGTCCGCTCCAAGAATCAGAAGGTCAACCCCGTCGCTATCTGGAAACTCTCCAACCAGCGTATCAATGCATTTGCCTTCTCGCCCGACAACAGGCATTTAGCCGCGGTCAGTGAAGACGGTACATTCCGAGTTATCGATTATCTAGAGGAGAAGTAAGTTGGAGCCCGACTTTTGGGAGCATAACCAACAACTAACGCCGAAATAAAGACTCTTGACCATATTCCCAGCATACTACGGTGGATTCATGTGTGTTTGCTGGTCTCCCGACGGCAAGTACGTCCTGACAGGAGGCCAAGACGATTTGATCTCGATATGGGCTCCTTTCGAAGGTACTATCATTGCCAGATGTCAAGGGCATGGCTCCTGGGTGACCTCGGTGGCCTTTGATCCATGGCGGTGTGACGAACGAAACTACCGCTTCGGTAGCGTTGGAGAAGATTGCAAGTTATGCCTCTGGGATTTCAACGTTGGAATGTTGCATACTCCTAAAGCGGTAGGTCGATTCAACCTCGCATCCACTGGCGCTCCAAAAAACCTTGTTTCGGTGGAAGCTATGCCTGGAATCCCATCAACGACATGGTTTCGCCTATGTAGAGCCGTCAGAGAAATGATGGGAAATTCTTGATTGAAACATCGCTAACAGTCACACAGGCCTCCGTTCGACACCGCGGCTCCGTCTCTTCGCGAATGCCGGGACTTCAACGCGCCGAAACTCAAGGAACTTCCATGTCCAGGTTGAGATCGGCATCCGTGATTTCCACTGCGGACGGGGACGATGAAGAAGATGTGATCAATGTGCCCGTGCGGCCAAGAGGCCACATCCCCTTTCTGCCACCTGTGCTCACGAAGAAGGCGGATAAGGATCCTCTCTGTTGGCTGACATTCACCGAGGACGCCATCATGACGAGCTGCAAGTCTGGTAAGTTGCGCGGATACCTATATTCGTGCGGTCCTCGGAGTGATAAAATCTTGCTGACGACCATGACAGGCCACCTAAGAACGTGGACGAGACCAACTGATAACACTGCTTCATAAGATGAGACGATAGGTCACCGGGAAATTGAGTTGGCTTCAAGAGAAAAGCCTGTATCCCTAGAGAAATGCCGAGGCCAGGCAGTAAGTAATTACCATTGACTAGCGGTGTATCTGTATTGCTTTTACTCGGTCAGGCTTGCCACACCCAGATGTATTTATCGTAGCGCCTATTGTAGACATCTCAAGTCCAGCAAGGAATGAGCCCGATTTAGCATGTTTAGTATAAATTAATCAGTGAAGGCTAGGGGGTTAGTGGCGCTTATACTCTGACTTTCGTAGCATTCCACCATGTGAACCAAGGAACGAGCGTGAACAATCATTAGCAATTTGAGCGTCACGAGGCAATGACACACGGTACTAGAACCGTAGTTGTTGATGGATCCCGTTGATGTGTATGGGTTGGCCTTGAAAAGAAGAAGAAAAACTCCTGCCCTTTTAGTACCCAATTTTGAAACCGATGATCATGTGATAATCGAAATACGTGAGAAAGAGAAAGGGGTTCTCTGTTGTTGGACTGCTCACATCCACGGGTCAACAAACGGGGGTTTGAGGCATGTGATTTCGACGAGCCTTTTGCATGTACGTATCCACGGGGCTGACATATAAACCCATTAGCAATCACGAGTATGTAATAGTAACACCCAGTGAGGCCGATGCCTTTTTATTTTTAATTTTTTTCTCGCCACTTTTGCTCGCTTGCTTATTGGCTGATGCAGCCCTACGAAGACAGAGGGAAAAAAAAAAAACAGAATCTACATGCCAGCCACTGCCGAGATGGCAATGCTAATATTGTGGACTCTGTTAGTCATCAGAATAGGTGCGATATTGATCATGGAACCCGCACAGTCCACTTTTCTTCTGCCTGTACATTATTAGCACGCGTCGGGCATCTGTGCTTTCGTGGTTGACACGGGAGACTAGAGTTATTCGGGCCGGTAGTGGCATCTGTGTCCACTGATCGCTCCTCACCCAGACATGCGTAACTATGTATGTAGACGGAGGCGAAAAAGAAGAAAAAAAGCATCATGGACATGCTCTTGCAATTTCCAGGTCAGGGAAAGCTCGTTTAGACGCGGCAAGGCTGCTGAGACAGGCAGAAGATGCCCGAACAGCGCCGTCGGGAGATCGTTTTCGTGCTCAAAAGTTACTACATGCATAGATATGTTCGACGCCGCCCGCAATTTGTTATGTACTGTATATACTGCGGACACGCGAACCAGCCACCTTGACTGAGAAACGGTGGCAGTGAGGCTGGCTGGAATGGATACACTGGCTGTGTGTGTGTTTGAATCACCCACGTGCGTGATTGTATACGTTTAAACGCTGGTCATGCTTGCCTACAAGCAGCGGTGTTGGGGGAGCAGTTTAGCGCACACGCGATGGTACGCACCAACAATTGAGACGTTCTTTTGACAATCTCAAAACCTGCTCAAACTACAGTTTCGAAAAATGCACGAAGTCCGTACGATCAGCGACTTTGCTAATATTTAGTCTGCGGGTCGTGGCGAGATCGTACTATTCTCATGCTATGTAAGATTCGAGGGTTCCTGACGATCAGCGCATGTCTTGTTTTATATTAGGTTTGCAGGCGCCTAAAGGCGTCTACCGCACGCGCGCTGTGATAAGCAGCTGCGATAGTGCGTAGTAACCTGACATAAGAAAGTATCAATGATGCCTACGTCGAAACCTTATCTGCAACGACGACGAATTACGGATTCAGCGACAAGACAAAGACACTAGAGGCATATCAGAAGCATGTGAAAGCTCAAATAGGTATAGACTTCAAATGGTCGTTGATGCAACCGTGACGCATTGGTAGTACCTGCATATGATGCTATGTAGAGCCGCCTCATAGGCAATACTGAGTCGGGCCTATAATCATGGAAACGAATCAGAGTGACGAGTAATCATTAAGCTCTCAGCCACGCCCTTTGTTTTGTACCATGGATCAGTCATGGTTAGCTCCAGGCAAATTACCTGCGGCTAGTCCAAGCTCCTAATGCGCGAAATCTCATCACAGATAGAAAAATCTTGAACGGTCCGATACAAGAATTCCTTGCTTGCGATAGCGATTTCATGGGCCTTAAATGCCCCACCACGGGAAGGTCTGGATCTTTGAATTGTCTGGGTCGTCGGCGATGCGAGCTTGAAACGGTACCCATCTCAGGCTCCACCGAAGATTGCGATTCCAAGGACGCCCGGCCCCTGCGCTGTTCTTGTCGGGAAAAATCGCTGTCAACGGTACACCGTCTTTTGGCAAACCTGTGGCGTTTTGATAAAATTGACGATCGAGCATGGAATAGTTGAGCCATGTCATTCGGAGTGCACTCCTTTTCAGATTGAGGGACTTCGGATAGCAGAAACAGGAAATCCGAGTTTGGCAGCCTTGTTTGCTGTTGTTGGTGCGTGCAAAGAACCGTGGCCTGTCGTCATGAGACATGCTCTTATCAGTTGGCTGTCACTAACATCAGGCTGTTGTCTAGCTGATGTAAGTACCCGTAACAAGCCATCACAGCAAGCAAAAGCTCCCATGGAGGAGTGGAACCAAGCCAGCGAGCTTGTCACGGAAAGATGCAGAACGAGCCGGTAATTAGGTCGCCTAGCGTGTTGTCCGTACCTTCAATGGCTCATCAATGCTTTTTCGTGACATCTTATCTTTGCGCAATAATTGCGGCTCAACACTGGTGGTCTCCATGGGGCCAGGCTTCAACGTCGGCGCTGATGTGGTGGTTCTGTGGATCTAGTCACAGGTTACGAGCTCCTGGAAGTGGATATATCTTTGCGACGTTGTCGTTGCCCAGAAATCTCATGCCATGGAGGTTATCTTGGAAGGAAGGAAGGAAAAAAAATATTTAAAATTTATCGTGCCGTGATGACGCGCCCGCCTCGAATACGGAAGTCGCATGGACTCTGATGGCAAAGGAAGCAGCACGCCAGATCATAGAGATACTCAATCTGTGTGGGCCATGCAGGAAAATCGTTCTGAGATCGTTCGACGGAATCGCCCATGTCACATCCGGTACTGCATAGCGGCTGTCGTACAAGCACAAGTCTATTCGAGGTCCCGCCTGGGTAATGTTATTCCGAGATTGTTGCAGGCTTGCCAGGTTTGTGAGGGGTGATGAGTCTCATTCGCTTTCATGTTATCCCATGTCGGATTGTCTAGGCGCTGCAGAGCGCCCTGCTCATTCGCAACACCGGTATATTGATTACCGAAGGACTATGAGGCCATTTAATAACTGAGGCCTGATTAGGAAACGCATGACCGTTTCGTAAGATGAAAATGGCGTTTCGCAGCACACTAAATGGCGATTGCGGGAAAATATTAACCGTCACCTGTATTGCAATGGTGAGGTGATTAACGCGATGGTGCAATGAGAAGGTCCCAAGCTGCACCCAAGACTCAACCACCCCTGCAAGCTCCCGTCCTTGGAACTCCACTACAAAGTTGGATCGCTGCATGGGGGTATGGAAGACTTTAGCCGTCCGAGATCAAGCACTATGGTTCCTGTGTTTCAAGACAGCACAACAGTGGACATCTTTCGTGTATTTCCTAGAGCCTCCGTGTGACTCAAACACATTGGAATATTATACAGCCCAGACAGCTCCTGCGGTGGAGGCGATGCGACATAGATTGTTGAGTACGTCTCGCTTCTGCCGAGCCATGGCTTTAGCTGGTGGTGCTTAGACGCGGGTGCTTATCGGTCAGCTGGCAGTATACTCGACCAAGAATGAGCATGCGACTAGTCGTCACCCAAGGGCCAGCCCAGAGCGTGACTGTGAGTGGGGGTACACTCGATGGACTGCACGATGAAGAACGGGAAGCTGGTGAAACGTGTGTTCATAGTGCAAACCTTGGTCAGTTGCCTGTCTTTTTTCGATGCTTCATGGTGACGTTTTGGATGGTACATTTCCTCCTTAGATGAGATTTTGGTTCAGGAATGCGGCGAACGCGATTCGTTACACGCATGGCTTATCCATAGCTTCGGGTTCATCTTGGGCTGAAGCTTGGGGGGGGGCATTCAGATGACGCCTTGCTTAATTACATTGTAACCACACGGTAATACCAACTACCATCGTACGTGCAGCATGCACCCTCAGGGACCGCCTAACGTAAAAGGATGTCAGCATGCATTCGCTGCCGTGTAACGTCTTCGTACTGAAAGTTTGAGGCTGTGATTGAGATGGGATAGTGCTTGGATGCGTTTAAGCTGTTACATCGCAGCTCGCACGAGTCACGCAAATGCACGAGTGGCTCAGGTGGCCCCTTCCCCTAGTGGCGCGGTGAAATACACCTGCCAGTATGTACAGTAAGTTGTATGTAGATTTGCAAGCTTTGGTAAGATGGGAGCCACATGCAACTCCACCTAGATTGGGCTTTCCGTTACCTATCCTTAGCGTAATGTTCGTTTCCAATCGTTTGCTGATTCCGTCTCGTCTCGAAGAATTCTAGCAGCTCCACCATGCGCCAAACATCCCAGCAAAATGACATTGCTGCCCGGAGGGTCCTTCTTTGCGACTGCGGCGGCGCAAGTGCCTCTCTAGCGATTCTTTTTCGCCATTGCCCGTCAATCTGTCGCCGTTCAGGGTTCACGTATCGAAGCTTGGCTTGTTGGTAATAAAATAAAACTATTGCAGTCCCACTCAGGTCCATTCGCCTTCGTCCCAGCCGTTTCTTGCTCTGCATCCATTTGTTACAGCCAGTCTCGCTCAGCGAGTCTGCCTCACGATTAAATACACCAAGTCCCGCTGCGAATCTCACGCCCATAAGTAATCGGCGCAAAGTGCGCCTTTCCTATACGACGTCGCCACTTGCTGGTTTGCTCCATTGTTTGAATTGATTTGATCTGAATCGCCCGTCATGCCGTCCTTTAATCCCTTTAATGCCGGCCATCGCAATGCCTGTACGCTTTTTGAGATCCGGTAAGTTGTCCACTGCGTATAAGTACTCCGACGTAGACTCGATTTCGAGCTAACTTTATCCCGCAGCCTCGAGAATGACTTCATCGTCTTTCGGGGTAACGAGCACGAAGCTGCTGGTCAGCTGCTCAAGGGCGTTTTGGTATTATGTCTCAGAGAGCCTATAAAAGCCGAGGATGTACATCTTCGATTTATGGGCAACTGCCGAATTGCCTGGATAGACACCAAGCAGACGCCCACGGGAATACATAGCCAGAAGGTTGACAAGACGACCACTATTCTGAGGCACAGCTGGGATCCTTTTTTCGGAGGCCCCAACAGTCACGGCCATACCCTAGCGGCCGGCAACTACGAGTGGCCCTTCGAACTATTGCTACCCGGAGACACGGCGGAGAGTGTTGAAGGACTCTACCAGACCTCCGTCAGCTACCATTTAAAGGCGACCATCTCTCGGGGCAAGTTGGCCAAGAATCATCATGCATTCAAGCGCGTCCGTATTATTCGCACCTTGGACCCCACTGCATTGGAATTCAACCACGCTATGAGCGTAGAGAACATCTGGCCGAACAAGATTGAATATTCAGTCGTGATTCCGCAAAAGGCTTTGGTGTTCGGTAGTACTGTTCCGGTCGAAATGCGGTTCACGCCACTCTTAAAAGGACTGGACATGGGCGAAATTACTGTGAAGCTGCTTGAGAGTCAGGAGTTCAGTGTTTCTAACGCAGGCCTGCCTTCAAGGAGTCACAAGTCCGAGAGGGATGTGTGCACTTGGACATTCGAAATCAACAAGGAGGAGAATTGGAATGACAATATCGAAGAGACGGGTCAGGATGGATGGACAGTCACGAAAGAGCTTCCACTACCGAAAAAGTTGACCAAATGTCTTCAGGACTGTACAGTCCATGGAATCAAGATCCGTCACAAAGTCAAGCTTACTGTTGCGCTGAAGAACCCTGATGGTCACATCTCTGAGGTATGTGCCGTTCCCCATCAAACAATCTACTACGCGCTAACAACTCCCGTAGCTCAGAGCGACCCTCCCTGTCACGATCTTCATCTCGCCAAACATGCCCCTTGATGACGAGGGCAACATCGTATCCCAGGACGGAACAAGTACTTCAAACGAAAGAACGACAGTGGAGAGCGAGAACACCAACATGGCCCCACCCGGTTACGGTCAGCATGTACTGGACCAACTTTACGACGACGTCGAGCCGATGGGTATGATGACGCCCGGCATGATGACTCCGGGCGGTCTGCAGAGCGGATTTGCTAGTCCCTTCTACTCCCAATCCCGTGCTGGATCGTCAGAAAACCTTGCCGCCCTCGCAAATGGTGCGGTAACGCCTGCTGCTCTTAGTTCGAGGCTGCAGAACGTGTCACTGGATCCCTCGCATCGAAACACTTCCTTCACATCTGTGGGCTCTCACTCCCATTCTCAATCTCATTCTCAATCCCATTCTGGTGCAGCAACTCCATACCTGCATCCCAACGATGGAGAACACACCGCAGACTCATCACTGCCCCACTCACGAGAGTTATCGCGTCAAACTAGTGCAGAGGAGCACTCCGGTGATGTGTCTGGGCACAACACCCCCCCGGAGCACATAGACCTGGAGCAATTAAGCAAAGTCCCCAGCTACACGACGGCGACTAGAACTCCACTACCTAGAACAACAAGCTTCACAGGTTCCCTGGGATTGCCCGATTATTTTTCAGCAATGACAAGCGCTCCATCTTCGCCGACGCGGAATCCCCTCCATGACCCTCTGGGCACTATCACAGAAGGATCTCAAGCCGATCCAGCAGAAGCTCAGACGGAGCCCAACTCTCGAAACCACTCACGGAGCAACTCGCACATTCGTCGTAGTCACTCATCACTAGGCTTCAGCTTTTTGCACCGCTCCACGCCCGGCGATCATCATGGTGAGCGTCATTTGCGACTGATGCAACAAAGAAACGCACATTAGATTTTGAGCACATGAGACGGTTCTGGGGCTATGGGATTGTTTAACTACGAAGCATATCTATCCAGGCTCAGTAGACCTGGGGAGAAGGCGTTGGTTGGGATAGATTTTGGATACCACAAAGGCATCACAGGCGTTTTCTGTGGGTTGTGGAGGTTTAATCCCCCTTCGGTTCAGGGGGATGGAGTTTGCTGTTTCGTGGGAGCGCATTGCTCACCGCCCTACCAAAAAAAGAGGTCTAAATAGGACAGTACTGTTTTTGGATATTTTGTATACCCCATAGGCCTAGATAATATACCACGAATGTTGGTCATAAGGCCAACACAACTATCTCTCCAGAACTTCTCACCGGAATGCAATCATTGTGGTTGCCTGCTCAAACACTCGAGATGCATAGGCTGTCTTGAGCCGTTGCAGTGAGACTCGTCGGAGCCAACGAGCTATTACGAAGAAGCACAACGACTTGGTGTTGTCATGCATGGCAGAAACAGGAATACGTGAGAGGCTATGACCGTTGAAGGATTAGGCTTTCGATAACGCAGATTTCGAGCTTTTGGCAGCTTGCCGCACGCTTCATGGGGTTTCCGCACTGACGTCATCTGGAAGGACCCCTTCTTTGCTGTCCCTGTCCCCCCCCCCCCCCCCCCCCCTTTTCGTTCGATTAGACTAACCTAGGCTAGTGAGTGGCGCCATGTCGAAATTGAATGGCATGCCAGAGTATGGATCGCAGCACAAAGGTGTCGGGTGGCATTCATTCCCATTGTCTTTTGAACTCTGTAGACAATGTATGACCTCAGCGTCAATACTTGTGCCTATCAGCCAAGTTCTCCTCCCTCCTCATTGTGTATCTAACCCCATTCCGGGCATGGTACGACCTTGCCAACCTGATATTTCGGTTCTGGTAAAAAAGGGCCAGGGAGAGTAGAATGGCCAATGGTTGCACACCTCCCCCCCATCGTGGGCCAGGTGGGCTAGACGCATCGGATTATCGCAAGGGTCTACCCAGCTGTGTGAACCCCTCTTAGCTTTAATATCCCCAAGGGCATCGTCATATCCACAATCTCTCCTGAGACAAATGAACTGAACGCGCATCGTGCTGGAGACTGAGGCCTCGTGATAAATACTCGAACCCCCTCATATCGCATCTGCCGAATTCTCAGCAACGTGTAAGCACAAGAAGAACCGGATTTCAGCTACCACCCCAGCACAATTACAACAGGCAATCATCTACTCATCCGCAAGAATGAGCGCAGCAACGCAGGAGATGCCCCTCCGACAGGGCACAACCATGAGCAGCATTACGAGTAACGATGCCGTGCCTGAGATGGACCCAACTACTGTGAGTGTCCAAAGGATCGTCGTACACGACACTCTGGCCTCGTGCTAAATGTATCTTAAAAATCAGACCGCTGGTCTCCTCTCCGAAAGACTACGAGCTTGGAAGCACGCCGTAGCGTACCTCGAAGACTACGTCGGCGCAGTGGAAAAGGTTCATCACCACCACGCCAAGGAATATGAGAAGATGCTCAAGACTATCTCCCAACCACTTCGGGAGGGCAGGCACTTCGACCAGGGTCTTGGCGGTGTTGCCGGCTTCTTTGAGAACATGCGTGTCAATACCCAGGTGAGCCCAATCTCTTCTTAGAGAAACACACCGAAGCTCTACTAATGCCCGAGCTAGGCGTTGATCAACTCGAATGCCGAAACGGGAAAGACTCTGAAGGGAACCGTACTCCCAGTCCTAGAGAGATTGCACAAAGAAATTAAGAGCAAGTCTAGTGAGATCATGCATGGTGCTGAGAAGAGTGCGAAGGAGGTCGACAAGTCACGCAACACCACCCAGAAGCATATCGAGTTGCTTGGCCAGCACACGGCCGCCTTTGAGTCGACTGGTGGAAAGATGAACCCGGCCGACGATCCCTATGTCATTCAACGAGGAGTATTGCACCGTCTGAACAAGCAGGTCATCGACGAGAACAACCACCGAAATGACCTGATCCAAGTCCAAAATAGCTTTCAGGCCTTCGAAGCCCATGTTATTTCGGTGGTACAGCAGGCAATGGAGGCTCTCAATGCCGTCGCCGGTGGTCAGGCCGAGAAGACGCGCGCCTTGTATGCTGATATGGTAGGCGCTGCTCAGCGCATTCCGCCCGACTTCGAGTGGCAGGGCTTCCTTCACCGGGAAGGTGCCAGTCTTGTCAACCCGGATGAATCACCGAGGAGTGTGGATGCTATTTCATTCCCCAATCAGAATCACAATGCTACCAAGGCGTTGATCGAAGGCAGCCTCGAGCGCAAGTCGCGCAACAAGCTTTCTTGGGGAACGCATAGCGCCTACTACGTCGTCACTCCTTCCAAGTTTCTGCATGAGTTCAAGGACGACGACAACCTGCACAACGATCCCAAGCCCGAGCTGTCTATCTACCTACCTGATGCTGTCATTGGGGCGCCCAATGGCGAGAAGTTCAATGTCAAGGGCAAAGACAGGAGCAAGGGTATTGGAGCCAAGCTTTCTGGTTCGTCAGAGCTTTCCTTCAAGGCGCACTCCCCAGCTGAGGCACAGAAATGGTTCGAAGCCATCCGAGTCGCTGCAGGCGCTTCCGGACCGGCATACGAGAGCACGCCTAACTCCCCTATTGTCTCCAATGACGCTAGCCCCTCCTTTGAGAAGACGGAGTCTGCTGCCCTGAAGCAGCAAGAAGCTGGTGTCGCTGGAGCAGGCTCAGAGTTGTCTCCTGCAACACGCACAAACACACTAGAGACAACTCCCACAGCTACATCGACTGGTGCGACTACGGAGCCAAAGACGACTGTGTAGAGACATAGCACGTCGGTACATAGCACATCATGTGTTTCAAAAAGGGTACTCCCTTCTCCATGTTTGGGAGAGAAAAAAAAGAAAACCCAGGAAATTCGCACGCGATGCCATTTAAATCACGATTGATTTGTTGCCTTGATTAGCACACGAGTATACCATGAACGTAAGGCATAGTAATGTTGTAATGGGGCGGGTTGTGGTTTCCGACTTTTGATACATACTCAATTGAATATTTTATAATTCCACTCACAGCTCACAACACATGCAAAAACTCCTAAGCAATGTGACCAAATGCACACATCTGGGCGAGGCGGTGTAAAAGCCTGGTTTTAGCTGACTCTGGGCAATTCATGATGGGCTTTTTAGAACCGTCATAGTCCAGTCGATGGCAAGCCCGAAATATTGTATATCGGTGTTTTTAAACTGCAGTGAATCGATCAAAGTTCACGAATTGCTCCCGTAATTGTGCGATTATTATTAGTAGGTACTTCAACCAGTTTTCGCTGCATTGCTAGGCATTAACATTCTCCTAGCACACCGTAACCAAAATACAATCTCTACCACGCATAGACTGTCGGTGCGATGTTCTAATTGTCAATTGTTTATATGAACTTAGGTAGGATGCGGTTTGCTCCAAAGTGGAACGAGCCGATCTTGACCACTCGAGGCCTTGCCATTTAACCAACGCTGGTGGCGTAAAGACTACCACACGCGAAAGCCCATATCAAACCATTCATAGTATGATAGCCCGTCATTCAGCCTTGTCACCTGTGTTCATTGAAGCTCCGGAAGGATATTGTCGGGAACGGGGCACTAGGCTCTCCACGATCGACAACTAAGCGTGGCTGTGGGCTCGGGGACTTTGGGAACAGGCATGACAGAAGTGCAATTCCAGAGGCTTGGGCAACTACAACTCCTCTTCATGGAGGGAAAGGCATATTGATCCATCGTTCCAGATCCGGAGCCAATGACAGGAGAGTGTCTCCAGTTTTCCTGGAAATATCGTCCATGAGGCTCTGAGTGGATCTGGTCTTGTCATGTCCGGCCTTTGACAAGAGCCCATTCATGGGGGACAATACGATGATGTACCACCGGCCTAGGAACTCTTCGGATGAGAAATATGGGGGCCTTGCCCTGCATAGTCTAGCTTATGATAGCTCTCGGTCAATACTCGAGACGCACGTGAGAGTCATCAATACCTACCTCGAACGCCTTGGGCCGAAACAATCCCTGGATTTTCGAGAAGGCTGACAGGGCTCTGGGAATTACTATTGACCTCGTTAGTAGTGTGGCGGGGTAGTCGTTCCTATATTCTCCATCATTTCCACCTCCATCTTTATTCATTCGAATCATGTATGAGGATGTGAGAATAGGAAGCAATCTACTGGATGAAATTAGTCGACATGACGAAACCATGGGAGACGTATGAAGCCATCATCAAGGAACTTTATATGACGCATACTCTCGCCACCGTTCGCCAAACCATGCAGGATGAATACGGTTTCAACGCATCGTAAGATCACCCAGTACTTCAGCTTTCATAACGAAACTGACACCACGAAGCGTCCGAGCATACCGGCAAAAGCTTGATGCATGGGGCTGTGGAAAGTACAAGAAGCGCGAGAAGACCCCGAGCAATAGCTCGAACGGCAGGGGTGCGACGACGACGGCAACAGATCCCACTTCTTCTGCCTCGGTGACATCTCAGCAAGAGCAGGCGCCTTCAAACCAACACACTCCTCAAGCCCCAAGCAGTTCTACGACACCTGTCGGTGGTACGAGCTGGCCATCAAACTATGGGCAGGATCCTGGCGTCGAGGACGACTGGGCACAAAATTCCATAACTAGCTCAAGGCAAGATGGATCTACGTTCTGCATACAAATCATCTGATTACTACTGACCGCTTGTTAGTCACACTCAAGGACTAGTCACAACAGCATCAAACTTCTATCCTAGTAACAGCACTGCAGGGTATTGGGGTCAAGATGGCCAATGGTACACATATCAGCCGGATTACTATACTTCAGATCACACCTCGTACGCGATGCCCTTGATCGTAGGACCGACGCAAATACCGAACCAGCCAGCTTCAATGCCCCAAGCACAAGACGGAGGTGACGACGATGATGGGGAAAGGAGCGAATTCTCTGACAACTGATCATACATCCCGAGGTGGCACCGGAGCCGACCCAACAGTAAAACGGGATGGCTTACAGCGGCTGCCAAGAAGCCCATAAATCGGGATGATATCAGTGGGCTATACTTGACTGTATTGTAAATTTAACGTTTGGTGAAATTTGAGTAGCTAGAGATTCGGAGCACCGGTGTCGGCGGGTTTCCTCTATTTTCATCTGGCACACTTTAATTCAGCAGGGGGGTGTCTACATTTGATTTGGCATGTAGAATAAAATAGCGGACACCAAAATGACTATTATTATAAGTATGAAAGCAGCGACCTACCAGATTCAACACTACAAGGTTGACAGTGCTACGAGCTTGTGTTGTACTCGTTCTATTTTAGTTCTCGATCCAGCTTTGATTGAATGCCTGTCCATGCTACGCTCACGTTCAGTACCCCCGAGATCAATACTAGCGTATGCTATGCAACTCTGTCATGGGCATGCATGAAGCGGTATCGTTTGATCCTACACCGTATTGACAAGATCCGCAGCGGAGGGTTACTGTTGTCGATTCGGTTCAAGGGGTAGAGGGATGAGTAAGACAATCTTATACCAATCGAGCAAGACCTCACAGCCAGGTCTTGGGTTCTATTTGGTGACCCCACGCTTGAGACTGGCTCACCCACCGGCTCTCTTTGCGCCCATCCTCCCCAAACGGGCCTTGGCCACGTGTTGTAGTCCAGGATGCCGATCCTTCGTGACTGCTGGACCAGAAACTTTTCTAATTTTGTCTCTGCGAGAGACTTTTGGACTACACGCTTTCCAACTGCATTGCGTATATGCCATAACCTCAATGCTGATCAACACACACGGCTTCACCAAATGACAGAGACGGAGTTTTCAAGCACGGAGTTCCAACAGGGAGGCGGAGTGATGCTCTCATAAGGCTCTGTCTGGCCCCTCGGTCGACCTGCAGCGGCTGTGCTGCAGGCTGAGGTGTAGCAAAGCAGTGCCTAAGAAAACGCAACAGAGCGGCAAATTAGTTTTATGACTGATCAATTCCCTGCCTACAGCGTGTCCGAGCCCGGTCGGAACTCGGTGGAATGGTCCGCAAAGTCCATAGCCCCCTGAGTGCTTTTGGCATGTAGGACTCTCTGAAACCTGCAGTCCGCAGGAAGCTACAGATCTTGAGGCTATTAAGCGAAGGGGAATTTCAGGAACACAGAAAGGTACGATAATCAAAAAAGAATATAGTGGACCAGCCGGTCTGGATATGTATAAAGCAAAACATCGTTTGCGCGCTGCCTAACAACGAACATTTCTATACCTCATAGTACTTCATGTAGCATCGTATACGCTCAACTACCCTTAAAAGCCTGTTGAGGCTATTCTAATGCCATAACCACGATAGCCGCCAAGAAGGTCACACTTTGACACCACCTCGTAAGGTGTTTGTGATAATGGTGTATCTGAAATTGTCGAAGGCAGTCGAGCCCAAGGTGTCAGGTATGACATACTGTGTGGCGAGTATGACGAAGGTGAGGTGCTGCGTAAGATGCTAATTGAGAGCTGCGGGCTGGTCCTGGGTTGGGGGAAGTTGGCCTGGTACGCACTAAGGTTGCCGCGTCGGCCGTACCCGGCCACGGCCACCTTGCACCCGGTGGGGTTGGTGGGGAGGAGGTCCAGGCAGCCGAAGTACAAGGACTGGATGTCGAAGCTCGAAGTCCTAGACCCCGTGATGTTCGACGAGATGGTCGTGGGGCTGTCGAGGGGCCCTGAGGTGATCTGGCCTTAGGCGGCGCGACGCTGGGCCGAGACACGGGTCAGAGACCAGCGAGCAGGCCACCGTTTCCTGCACTGACGGCGGCTAGAGGTACTGTGTAATTTGGCCAAGGGTATTCGGTATTCTGTACGATTGGACATCGTCATACCCATGCCTCTCCTTTGGAGTTCGTCGTAGTATCCGATCTCTTGGACCATAAGCCCGCTGAAGTCGCGCTTTTTGAAATTGGCAAGACCAGATCTCAGCGCATGAGGTTTAATCTCACAGGTTTCAGGTCCTAGGTCAGAGTCGACGGATGCAGCAACGATGGCTGCGGCCATGAGGACCCAAGTCATGATGGACTTTGAGCATTTTGGCCAGAAGTTTGATGGTCGTGAGGTAAGAAGTGGAACGAGGGTGTGGGAAGATAATGTAATTCTGTGATACGGGGGATATTTTAAGTCCTATGTCGTCTGAGATCTTCTGTTCGTAGATGGATTCCAAGTAAAGTAATTAGAGGTCCACGAGATTTGAGTCCTTTCCAGACCTGCGGAGCTCGTCATCTATTCGTATCGTCTTCATAATGTTGCATGATGACATTGAATCTTTTTCAGATCGTGGACGCTGTGAAGCTGCTCTGTTGGAGTAACAATATTCATCACATCTCTTTTCACAAACACAACGCTGCCAACATCCAACCCGATAAACAAAGCGTACACCACCCGGGCTTTCATCCGGGTCATAGGGCCAGACGCGGCTTTGAATACTGCCTATTGACGAATCTCAGGACGGCTCGAGAGGAACGCAGGAGCATGAATATCTTTCGTGTTAATCCTCGGGGGTAAAAGTCCAACCTCGTCTTCACGATGCCTAAACCCTTTACTAAGACAAATATCAGTCCCAGGCGGGTAAGACTCTAGCGTTTTGGTGGGTTTCCATGATTCCCCTCGGCCATGATTATTGCTTCCCCGACCCGAAAATCAAATTGTTGTCCAGCCGAAGACTAGTTGCCGCTTTTGCTATATTAAGTCATGGCCCGTATGGTGGCTTGTACTGTCGGCCCAGCGTTGGCAAGCTGATCTTGATACTAGTTTATGCCTGTCTGTTGGTAGGTGCTATGATATTAGACAGTGTGACATAATTCAAGAAGGGACATCATCTAATGTAGCTTGATCACCTTCGAAAAAAAGAGCTTCAGCTTCTCAAGATCCCCTTCGTCGTGGCTGAGGTCAGCAAGACTGCCGAGGATGTCCAACGTTCTCTATTTTTCTCCGTCACGTACCATTTCTAATCTCGATAAAGCGTGTCTCGAATACACCCTTACTTTTGGCAACTTCTTTCGTTTCACGTAGAGATAATCTAGAGCGCTCGTCGCTAATATGGACTGAGCTTCTTGGCCTGAGCTCTGAACTTGATGCCTCGGCTGAGAAGGGTGATATAACACTGGCTCGGGTCCTGCTTCCCCTGCAGTCACTCTTCGTATTGACTTTGATTCAATCGAGCTCAAGAGATCAGTCTGATAGTCAGTATAGCCGCTATAGATGGTAGCTAAGCGTATTGTGGAAGCCCTAACCAGCTCCGGTTCTCGTTTGACAAACTTTCCGTAGGCTTCAGTCCGAATGTTAGGGTTTCGCGACTATCGTTGTCGGTGTATCAAAATAAGGCGTAAATGTCGGTAGTTGGCCTCCAATTATCACGGTGGGCGGAATCTCGGCTACTACGGGACGGAAGGATATGGTGGATGGTGTGAAATGCTTTCCTCAGGAGCCAGAAGCCAATATTCAGGTTGAAATCTAACAATGTAAGCAATTAGGTGTAGGGTGCCATAGAAAAATATCTCGAGAAGATACGTCATGGTGGTTGTTCAACAGCTGCTCTTACCGATTGGTTGCTCTACAATGAAGTGGTGGTTTGGCATGTCACTAAGAGCTGAAGCCAGTTGAGATGTGATGGCCGCTGTGTAACTACCGGAGTATGTAGATGTTCTTTCAACGACTGGTCTGGGTTTGCATACTTCTGTAAAAAGTCTTTAGGCATGACGTGTGTATCTATTGTTTCTTAGAGTCTCGAATCTAAGGAACTGCCAGTATGATACAAGTTGCTGGCTGCTGACTGCGAGTGACCTAAGCATCACTGAGCAACCACATGATTGGAGTGGGTTTAAGGGGAAGAGGCTATGTACTTATTATAAAATACTGTGAGTTCTTTCGCCTTCAGGCAAAATCTCTGATTTGTGGGCCGTTTCTAGAGAGCTAGTGATCGGTGGCCTACCTGTAGGCTATGTCTTTTGCTGCGGGAAGCATTTGGGATCGTGGGTACTGAGGGCTCTCATGGGTACGGGGAATGATTTTTTTAGGTTATCAGTTCAATTCACTACTGTACCCCCTTCTCATTTTCTAAACTCTTTTTTTCTTTTGGAATACGTGCACTACGGGTGATAAAACAAACTATATGACGCGACGTAAATAAGAGAGCGAACAAATCTTTGGTGCCTGAATTCCTATACCCATTCTTCCATGATTGTACTATCAAATAAACTTCATTGACTAGGGATACGAGATACTTCTGGTAGATACATCATCGTGATGTATCATCTTGCTAAGTTATGAATTGTTACATTCAGTCTGTTGGTCCTATATGCGTCAATTCGCTAGAGATCTATACCAGGAGTCTGAATGCCTCGAGAGCACCGAAAGTTTCCATGCGCAAGTGTTGATTTGATGAGGTTTTGCTTCGCGGTCCCAACTAGCGATTAAAAGCATTCTCTGAAAGTATTTACAGCATTCACATCGGCGTCTTGTGCACCCGATGGCTCAGAGAGATAGTAAGCGGTTCTACCGGTGCAACAACATACACTTAATGTGTAGCAATTCACTTTGTGCTATGCAGTGAACTGCTTGGTTTTTGTTCCTGCACACATCATATTCTAGCGCACGCGAGGTGTCCGGTGGGCAACAACCACAGTAGTCTTGTACGAAAAAGGCGTACCCAAGATAAATCAGTTACAGCTCAAAACGCGATAACAATGCCACCGAAAGTCTTTTGAATATAGTTCGGCGCTTGTCCACCATGTCCTGGTAGACCTCCTGCGGTTCAGTTGCGATGGAGCCGATCACAATAAACTCCAATCCCTTCAGCAATTCCCGATAAACAATTTCAGTAAACTCGTCGAGTGGCATCCCTAGAGCTCGACCCTTCTCCTGACCCATCCAGTCATGCAGTTCCGCTGCAGGAACTAGTAAGTCTATCACATGCAGTTACAACACTGGATAGGGAGGAAATGCTCACTTTGAACCACCGGAGGATATATCTCAATGATCTTGGTGGGCTTCTCGCGGTTCTGCTCACGAAGACAGTCCACAAAGGATGTTAATGCTGCCTTCGAAGCTGAATATCCTGCCATGGTTGTGGCTGGCACGAGAGCCAAGTGTGTTCCTGTGACGATCAAGGCTGTAGGAATCTCCCTGGCCTGTAGGTGGGGAAGGAATTTCATTATCAAGTTCACAACGCTAGTGAAATTGACGTTGATCTCATGGTGAAATTTGACGAGATCGAACTCGGCAGCATGCGATAGGCGGGTTGAGCCCTGAATACCAGAGTTCAGAAAGACACAGTCTAATTCCGGATATTGTGATAAGACACTATCCGGCGTCATCAACCCAAATCATGCTTTGCATTAGTGAATGTTGTATCCGTGATGAAGACTTACTGCTCGATGAAAACATCAATGCCATCGCTTTCTGTCACGTCGAATTTGACTGCACCGGATTTGGCAGAACCGTGTTTCTCAACAAAAGCATCCAGCCTGTCTTGACGGCGCCCAACAGCAATGACCTTGGAGCCCTCAGAAATGAGTTTGTCAGCTAAGCCAGCGCCGATGCCAGAAGTGGCTCCAACGATGAGGACCGTTTTGTAAGTAAAAGGCATTTCGAGCTGCGGTGATCGCACAGCTGATATTTTAGGTATAGAAGCAGAATGAAAGTGATCAATCGAATGTCACAGAGCGTCTGTCCGGCCCATTAAGTAGTTTCAGTCAACATTATACCTCCCACATTATAATTAAGGATAACCCAGCAAAGGGAAAAAGTTGTGTATGCCTTCCTCAAAATCTCACTATGCTTCCCATTAAGGCTAGCCTTCCGGTATCATAGACAAGCGCAGCCACGCCACGCTTGACTTGGCTAGCCTTCCGGAGATATGCAAAGGCAACCGCGCACCCCGCACACGGTTGGCGACCCGTGCCTAACGTCAGTACTCCAGTACGGGTGCAGTACGTGGTACTATGATTAGACAACTGTTGGATTAAGTCGTGTCACATGATCTGCCAAAGCTCCTCCTGTCCCGCGAGGGCTCACACATTGGTACATAGTTGACTCACAGCAGACTGAACTCTTAACGGACGCACCGCTAATGTGATAAAACAATCATTGGTTGATACACATGCACAGTTTGTGCTTGCTAATGCATGTCCGCGCCGCTGTGACATTGACGGAACCCTTACAGGATTTGGACGTTCACTTTACCTCAAGCTCGCTAGTTTCGCTTGCGCCAATGCCATCATACGGTCTGTACTCTCGACTGTTATCGAATCAAGCTCGCGTTTCTAGCCAAGGATTTGTGCGATGGTTAATCGTGGTCGGCCCTCGCGCGATTGTCAACCCTGCAAGATCAGGAAACTACGGGTAAGGCCACCAGGATTCCTTGGCAGCTCTCTACGCGATTTTGTACATTCTCCACTGCCAATAAGCTGTTCTTTTCAGACGCAAGTCATCAGACCCGATATTATAGGCATTATTTTTTGAGAGCTGGCTGGGTTTAGACCTCCAGACTTGCGGAGTAGTCTTGGCTTCGATCTTTCCTGAGATGCGACGAATCACCACTAACACAACCACAGTGTGACCTCCAGCGTGGGAGATGCGGGCAGTGTTGTCGAGCCAGCATCGCTTGCTTTGGTTGGCCCGACCCCGATGTACTAATAATTCGGGACGAAACCATGTCTACTCAACGGAAAGTCTTAGCCAGGGCCAACATCCGAGCCATTGGAACATCACACAGAAGGCAGTCGCCTGAGTTATCTTCGGGGGCATCTGTACCACGATACATTAGCATTGCGTCGTCCTCGTCCGCTCCAACGCCGATCTCAGACCCCCACGGCATACAAGCTTTCTCGTTCGAAGAGGAACCACAGCTCCAGGAGACTACGTTTTCTGCCTCTAAGGGCGTAGGACGAGTTGCATACGAAGAAAGATCGATACCAACTTCGTTGTCTTTTTCCTGGGAAGTTCGCGCTCGTAGTGCCTTCTTCTCGTATTATATATTCGGCTTCTCTCGCAGTCATGATGCTTTAACACACTTATACACTGCCTCATCCGCCACCAGCGTTCTCTCCGCCGCTGTGGATGCTGCCGCTTTAGCATTCTTGGCTAAGCATCATCAGGTTCCTGGATATGTCCCTATAAACCCAGCTCCTGGCTCCAGCGAGTTAATACGCCTGACCAGCAGCAGCTACATCACTGCGATAAAACTCATGTCCGCTATAGTCGATACTGCTCTCGCTCCTCAGGTTGGAGCTTTCAGCGGTAAAAGAAACGGGGCAGCTTTTGAAGATGCTACCTTCCAAGCAGTGCTTCTTCTTGACTTATGCGAAAAGCTTGCGTGTGTAACTTTGCGCCCGGACGGCAAACGCATCTCGCACGATCATACCAACAATAGCAACTCTTCCGGTAGTAGGCCATGGCTAAGCCACTTGCGGGGTGCTTTAGATCTGGTCCGCGTACGTGGTCTCAAGGGCAGGTACTCCTCATCCACTGCCAGACGTCTGACCGCTCGCCTGGTCATGACTTTAGTCATTAGCTGTGGAGTGTCTGGAGTACATGTGCCACAAGAATTAGAAGAGCTTCGGATGGGGCTTCTACCGTATCTTAGTACCCCACCACTAAGCGAAGATCCCGGAAATTCAAGCATATGGAATAAAGATGAGGCTAAAGTGGAACCGAAGTTTGCCGTTACGAGCTTGGTTGTTGGGGTTGTTAATCTTGCGGCCGACATCCAGCAGGGTAGTCTACCACCTGGTGACCTGATTCGACGGTCTAACGAACTGGACAATGGTTTCATGGACTTGGAAAGTGAACTCCCGTCCTCATGGCAGTTTGAGCGTAAGTTCTCGGAGAGCGGCTTTCCAGTGGTCTATGCGGGTTACTATGACATTTATACGGATCACTTCGTAACCCAAGTACGGAATGTGATTCGAAGTATGCGCCTGCTTTTATTCGAGCTGATGTGGAAACGCTGCCCTGACCAAAAGAATGTCGATGATTATCAAACGGAAATTTCAGAAGTTGTTGACGGTCTGTGTGGCGATATTTGTGCTGCTGTTCCACAGTTTGTCTGGCTCCAAGCAAGGAGCGAGAATTGTGTTCCTTTCACACCTTTGCAGTTACTGCAGTGCTACACCTTGCTGAGTCCATTATACATAGCGGGAAAGCTATCTACTCATGTGACTATGCGGGCCTGGATCATTAGCACTCTACATTATATGGCAGATTCAGGTGGACTGATGGCTGCCAAGTCAGTTGCGGAAATATTAGAGACCCATGATGATGTCTCATACTGGCAAGTGTACGCAATGCTAGGAAGTTACGCCTTTGCGGCATGATAAAAATGAGGGTCCATAGAGTTTCAATCTTCACTATGCGATAAAGAAACCATGTGTTCAAGCATAACACATTAACACTGGACTTCGAAAACTCCTTTGTCGTCTCAAAGGTGCCCCAGGAATATGAACGTGCTTTTTGTATTTAGATTAGGCATTTCTTCCTTCAGTTATTATCTGTCTCAGGGGAGAATTGTATACTACTCCAAATATCTAATGGCTTCATGACGTGTAATTCCGATAAAGCACTCCAACGAACTCGTCCAGTGCCTCTAAATCTTAAATGCAGTACCTAGAGCAGTATCGAATTATTGAAACAAAATTCTGCATGATAGCAAACAGAAATATCTTACTGCGTCTAACAGCTCGCTTGGGTAATGGCCATATCCTAATGGAAGTATCACTGAGGCAGGCAACGACAGATACAGTGAAGGGTATTAGACACATGGAATATGGAACGAATCTGCACCTGAAGCCAAAGGCCTGTTCGGGCACAGGTTGGACTCTTTCAAACCCATAAATATGCCAATAGCATGACCAGGTTCGACGTGGACTGGGAGAACGAAGCCATAAGGGGGGCGTTGTTGTGGTCTGAGCTCCTCGTCTTTTTCAATTTACCCAAGAATATTGCTGACAGCTGGACCGGAAGTCACCAAACCAATGCAATCTAATATGCCATGGCAGATCTGGTCCTATAATTGCCGTCAAGCCGCCATTGCATTCAGGGCAAAATCTGTGCGCACGATGCAGGAATGGCTATTTTGCGGTGGGGTCGGCTATGAAACGGTTGATGGAAGCGGCTGCTAAACAAGGATATATAATGACTCTGATGAATGTTAGTTAGGTCGGGCTCCAACGGAACGTGCGATTATTGCACACAGAGCAGCAAGACCAACCAGGGCTAAACATGAAGCGAATCTGCCAAAGGAGTGTGTAGATGCAGGGAATAAAGAAGATCAGATCCAATACATATAGTACGGAGGAAAGCAACTGTAGTCTGGTAAGTTTAACCTGGATGAGCCTCAGTTAGAATAGCGTAAACATAGACGAGTTTAACTTGGAACTATGTAATTTAGATAAACGTTATATTTAGATAAGTTGCTGGGCGTCAATATAACAAAAAACGTGACGCATTAAACTCCTACGGTGTACCTGACCACTGTTTCAAATGTGCCGAATCAATCAGACTGATTTCCACGGATACATCGCCTCACTACGAAATAAAGCTTATTGACCACAGCGTCTATTGTTGCCAGGACATTATCAGAATATCTTAGATCTCTGATACACTCAGAAAGCAGCTTGATCGCAGTTTAAACGCAAGGATGCCGCATATTAGCAATAAACAGGTCTCTAAACAACTTTCTCATTTTGATCAGGCAGATGGTGCTGTCAAACATGGTTTGGAACGCTGTACGCATGATAGACATATGAGATTGAACCATAGAGCGAGTAGCAATGTTCAACTCCACCACATTTATAATTAATGGGCTTTTAAGGAGCTGGTTCATAAGACGTGGACGCTAGAACTTTCAAAAATCACGCATCAAGGCTACTTTGATAGCCCAAGCAAGGAACATCATTTTCATTTCTTCTTGGCTTTAAATTAGTTTTATTTCGACGTCAGCTCCTCAATGTTTTCAATTATCACGTTGATAGGATCATACGTAGCAATTTCAGCCTGTATCTCTAACGCCCTAATCTTGTACTTCTCATTTCCGAGAATCTCGTCGACGGCTCGTCTCAGCTGCTCAACTGAAGGGTAGGCGGTCCGAAGATTCACTGCAACGCCCGCCCATTCAGCTCTCGCAGCCGTTTCGGGCTTTTCTTCAGTTGTACCGGCTATGACAAGAGGCGTGGCATGGTTAAGCGCGCGCTGGAAAGATCCATACCCCCCTGTCGTGACGAAGGCGTCGACATGAGGTAGGATACTGTCGTAAGGAATGTAATCTGCCACCCGGTAATTCGAAGGAACCATCACGTCTGCTGACAGTTTTACGTCCGGTCTACCGAGTGCGATAACCACGATAGTGTCCGAGCGGTCTTTCAGTGCGGTCATCGCAGGGATGACCAGCTGATCAAAATCCATGGCGACGGTTCCCTGGCAGACAAAGACGATCTTTTTCTTGGTGGCTTTGTCACTGGCTACAACTTCATCCCACCACGATGGTCTCTCCCATCTTCTCGTTATACCTTGAGACACAGTTGTGGTGGGATAGCCACCAGCAAATCGCAGAGTGTTCGGAGCGTCGCTCCTGTGGTATTCCACGCTTGGCGTGCACATTTGTATGAAACGATCTGGCAGAGTATAGAGAGAATCAAGCAGGAACTCATCGTCTGACTTTGCAGTGGCTCCGACACTCACGAGTGCCTCGACATACGCCGCCTGAGAGGGGGCAAAAAACTGCTTCTGGGCTTCATTCGCAAGTTTGTTGCGCGCTCGGCCCTCTGTAGACCTATCGGGTAGCATACCAGACCCAAAAGGCGAATGGTCCATGCTGGTAAGCAGGATGGGGTTGAGACCAATGGCTATAAACCCATCGGGACGAAGACCTGGTGCGCCAAGCGCTATGGCCAAGGCCCCGAAATTCAGGCTCTCGGTCATGAGAATAATGGGCCTGTGCAAGTTCTGAGCTCTGAGCGTCTTGAGAGCTCTCTGAATGGCATCGTGTTGCGAAGGCAATGATTTACAAAATACATGAATCAAGTCGTGGTTGAAACAGGCTGGCCCTTCCAGATGCTTTTGACCTGCGGGCCCTTGAGATGAGAAACTCTAGGTTAGCTCAACTCGACTTCGCGGCATGGAGAAATTCAAGGAGAAAGAGATAAACGCATACATTCAGTATCAAGGTCCCATGACGTCAGGTCGTAGAAGTCGCCGTATCCTTCCACTGAAACAAACGAGGCGCCAACTGCCTCGACCTGTCCACGGTATCCGGAGCCAGATACGAAGCAGACATCATATTCACGGTCGGCGAGCTGTTTTGCAATGGCCAGCATAGGTATGATATGCCCGGAAACGGGCGTGCTGCATATTAGCACAAGAGGTCTGTGGTGTGACGCCATTACGGTGCCCTGCTGCATTTGCAACACCGTGCGGGGGACGAGTCCTGAATCAAAGGTGAAGGAAAGGATGGCGACAGAATATGCGGACAAACCAAGGCGACGGAACGGGAACGAACCAACTTATCCCACGGATTACAATTATTTTCTTACTGTATCAGTACGTATCAAAACGGAACCGCGAATTTGACACTCGATATCTGTGAACTTGGTTAACTCCGAAACCGGGTCTGACGGTAGCTGTATAAGTGTATATATTGATGTAACGAGAGGCGTATTGAGGCCCCCTGGATCAATTTATTTTTATACGAACGAACCAGTAGCAGCAAACCAACCCCCAGGTAATGGTAATATACCACGTAATTGGTATTGCGCCCCGTTAGTGAGATACAATAGTGTGACGCTGCAGATATGATCTGTTCCACCGAACAACCCAATAATAGCCTCAATCTAGTGATAGTCTGTGCTAGCATGTCCTCTTTAGGCACTCGGTTCGGCTAGTCTATTAGTCTGGACCGGTGGGATCAAGTATCCGTTGCCCCACTTGCGTCCCTGTCCCTGTCCCTGTCTACATACAAGTATGACTCTGTTTTGCATTCCGACGCGCGTCGACAGGGCTGACAAGAGTGTGGAGTGGGAACTACTATGTTCGTTCCGTCAAATTGTCTTCACTATTTTCTCTCAATTGTCCGAGGTTGTGATCCCTGACCGGACTACTTTTTGAATAGCGGTGAAGTTATGGCATCTAGTTCCGGCGCGGGTGGCCCATGGGCGGAGCGTGAATGGAGAAAGCAGGCCTGTCTTATCTGGGGTCTCGTACTATGTATGTACATGCTATGTAAAGTGCCTTGCATGACAGCGATCCAAGATTTCCATGTATGTCAGAACATAGAACGTATGATCGTTTGTCGGGCCCGACTTCCAGTCCCCACAATTCGCCTAGCGCCACCGGAGGCGCCAACACCAACTAAATGTTATCAATTTGGGCTAGGATGTTCCGGCATGCATCTAACAGCTAGAGAGTTTCCCGGCTCTATGTGGTCTCCATGCACGAAATAGAGCATGCATGCATCCGGAAGGGAAGGCACATGATAGTTAATAGGACGAGGATTCTAGGATCCAAGTACTGCATAATCCCTGCCAAATTTGTTTGTTCGGGTCCGTATTCCTTTTTGAAAGGATTCGTGGAGCATTTGTCGTGCCAAGTCGACGTCTGTCTCGAGGATCATGAATGCGGCAAGCTATCTACTGTTAAAAGCAATTGCATGAATATCGACAATAGTGTATCGTAACATAACCAGTTTAATGCATTCCTCAAGGATTCAAGTGACATACTCAGGCACACAACACCTTTCCCCTGCTTCCGCATTGGCAGACCTGTAACCGGCTCATTCCGAGCTGACTTGACAAAACAACTTTCCTGTATTGCCTCGTTGGTGCTGAAACACCTGCATTCAACGCATCATGAGTCTCAAGGAGTTCTTCTTCGGGTTTAGCGATGAAACCCGCGCTGCATTCCCAAATCTGTTTATCAACCACAATATCGACCGACACCAATGCCGGCGTGTCGTGCCCATGGAGGTGCTGAGCCTTGGGATGGGCCGCACTGGAACGACGTCCATGGCAGCAGCCTTTGCTCTTCTAGGCTTCCCGACATCCCATGGAGGAGCTGATATGCACTCAAACCCCTTAGACGGTAGGTTCAAAACAGCAAGCAGTTCCAATAAAGGAGAACTTAGATTGATGTTGTGGTTTAATAGGAGACATATGGCTTGAGGCCGTGAAGGCGAAGTATGCACATTAGGGCCACATCTTTTCCAATGTCCTACTGTTGGAGTATAAGTGTTGACGATACCTTGCTGTTACAGGTACCAGGGGGATACCTCCGTCAAGCTGGACGCCAGTTTCTTTGACAAAGCGCTCGGTCACGTATCCGCATGGTCCGTACTCCTTTCCGCTTGTATCCTGTTTATCCTGTTCCACGAGCAGGCCTCACGAGACATCACAGAAAGAGCTATTTGAAGTGTTTCAAAAGCGCTTGACTACGGCTCCCCTCATGAGTGTTTCTTATTTGAGATTGTTAGAAGACGGTCTAGCTGACAGGGATGATACATGGTTCAGCGCTGACTACCCGAGCAATATGTTTGGCCCGGAGCTCATCGCAGCATATCCCAACGCCAAGGTTGTCCTGGTAGAACGCGATGCAGACGCTTGGTATCCATCTTTCGAGCGGGCCCTGATCCGCGGTCAGGACTTACCCGCATGGTTCAGGCACTTCCTCGAACTAGCGGACAATACGCAGAAGCATGTGCAACCCGTGATATGGCGGGGGATGATGCAGGGACAGTTCGGCGCTAAAGATTCGATTGAGTGGCGAAAGAAGGCAAAGGACGTGTACAAGCGCCACAATGCTGAAATTCGCGAGGTCTTGAAGGATCAACCGGAGCGGCTGTTGGTGTATCGGCTGGGTAGCGGATGGGAGCCTCTATGTGAGTTCCTAGGGAAGCCGATTCCCGACGTCGACTTTCCAAGGGTGAATGAGAAGGCTCAGCATGATGCCATGATCAAGGTTTTCATCGTCCAACAATTGCAAAGCTTCTTGCTGAACATGACGAAGACTGGAGGAGCTGCATTGGTCGCCGTTATTGCTTGGCGATGGTGGTCGCAAAGCCCCAGCGCCTAGACAGCGCCAACTTGTTGTTCATATATCTTGAGTCATTTTCTATATAACCTATTTCCCGGAAAGTAATGAATATTCAATCACCGCCTGCTGCGAATATGCTTTGCACGTGTAGGTATCCTAAGGTTAATCAAGTCGTTTCTTCCTGAAAAACACATCTTTATTCGCACAAGGCCTGCAGCTGAGCATCAGCAACCTCAATCTGCTTCACAGAATGGATATGCAACTTTACTCTTTGAAAATATCCGCGGAACTACATATGGTGAGCTTGGAGGTCAATAATGACTCGAATTGAAATGGGCAGTTTCAGCCCTTCAATCTAGTCTCTCGTCAAAGGCGAGTTTATGGACATAGGTAAGAGAAAGTATACGTGGGATAGACCGGTCTAATGAATGGTAGAGCATAGAGGCAAAATACAGGCGAATTTGCGTGATTTACTTCTAGTGCTCCTAGGCGGACTCGTGCTCTTTCCTCTTCATGCCTTGACGCCGGCAACTACTTCGTCAATGTTCTCCGCAATGACTCTGATGGGGTCAAACGTCTCGGTTTCTTTTTTAATCCCCTGAGCAGCCCCCCTATACTTCAAATCAGAGAGAACCTTGTCTATGCCAGCCCGAAGAGCTTCACTCGTCGGGTTACCCGTCCTGAGATTGACAGCCACGCCAGCCCATTCGATTATAGCACACATCTCCGGCTTATCTTCGCTGTCTCCTGCAACCACCAGAGGTGTCCCATGGGCAAGACTACATCGAACACCACCATATCCGCCATTCCCAACGAAAACAGAAGAAAATGGGAGTATATCATCGAAGGGAAGATAATCTGTAACTCGCGCATTTTCAGGCACGAGGATGCTTGAGTCCAACGTTGCCCCACGTTTGCCAAGCGCCACAACGACGAGGGTGTTCGGACGGTCTTTCAGTGCCTCCATCGTGGGTACCACGATGTCGCTCCAGTCCATGCGAACAGTACCCTGACAAACGAAAACGATGTCTTTTTTCGCCGGGTTGTTCGCGACCTCCGACCACCATGCGGGCTTTTGCGACGAGAAGACTGTTGTAGGTGGAAGCTTCGGCATTCCTCCAGCGAACCGGACGCTGCTTGGTGCATCGCTCCTTGGATACATCATAGAAGGTGGGCACATTTGCAAAAAGCGATCGGGCCATAAGTAGGGTGCATCAACAAAAAAGCCGTTGACCGACTCGCCGCCGAGGTCTCTCAGAGTATCGTCAAAGACTGCTTGGGCCTTTGAGAAGAGCATTTTGAGGCCCTCAAACATTTCTGCATACTGGGCAACCTCCCTGCATAGAAAAGTCAGCATCCGGAAAACACTGAGGAAAGCACCAAAACTTGTAAATATGATGGAGTATGAAGGCGAGGAAATTATCAACCACGTACGAGGGTGACTTGGGCGGTAGTAGACCGGGCCCAAATGGAGCGGTGTCAACGCTGCTCAGAGATATGGGATTTATACCAATACCAATGAATCCATCAGGCTTCACACCTTTGGCACCCTTCATGAGCGGAAGCGAGCCCAAGAACGCAGACTCGTTTAACACAACGACAGGTCTACCAGGATGTTTCTCTCTCAACATCGTGATTGCTGTCTGAACTGCGGCGAATTGGTCTGGAATGACTCTGACAAAGCTCTGCTCGATGGTCCACGCAAACTGCTCCGGCCCAGGTGGCATTGCAGCCCGCTCAGGCCATTTTGTGTCACGATCTTCGTCCGCGTAGTCACCGTAACCCTGAATGGAAACGTAACTGCACCCAGCATCCTCAAAGTGCTTCCGGTAAGCACTAGCTGAGACCGCCGTGACTTCGTACCCTTCAAGAACAAGTGCCTGATGGCAGGTCAGTCTTTGATAATAAAAGCTTGAAAGTATGAAGCTCAGGAATAGTCCATTACCTTAGCAATCGTCTTGATGGGATTGGCATGACCTTCGCCCGGAGTACAGGTCAATACGATAAGTGGCTTGGCGAGGGTCTCCATGACGGGTAGCTGCTAAAGAAGGAAAAATTAGGAACTGAAGGAATTGTGAATGGCTATTAATCGAAGCAGCAGAGTGAGAATATTCGATTCAACAACAAAACAGTGGCAGAGAGTTCGAGTAGTTGATGATTACAGTGAAGATCCTCTTGGCCTTGTATTGGGCGGAGTGCCTACCTACCAGTGAAGGTATACGAGGAGCACGGCTCACAACGGAAGCGGATCAAGCCAGCTTCTGACTTTACAAACTGGAAATGTTTGAAAAAGCACCCGGCATGCGGTATCGGCTAATGTCTGTTTTTTACTGCATCATCTTCTGGCAGGTGCTCTCACACAGGATGAGACCAGTGTTCACAAGTGATCGGTAAGCCCACTCCAGCCAGGACCCCACTCGTGTGCAGAGACTAGAATCTCCTATCTAGGATATGCAACCTCATTTTGATCGGGAATAAACTGTGCTTTCTGAAGGTCTAGCCACAGTAGTTTGAAAATAGATTTGCTAGGATGCTGACGCTTACCTACTCTCATATAGCACTAAATGGTTTAAGCGAATAGATATGTTTAATGAAGCTAAAGCCCCAGTTTTAGGTACCTGACAGGCATCATGTTTATTATCGCGTGCTGTACTATGCAGTAACTCCGTTAGCCTGTGTGAAGTGTGTGATCCTTCGGCTCTGAAGTCTTGGGGATACGTGACGACTTCGTACTAGTACTTCCTTCACTTTCGACGCCCTGGCGGCGGCAGGACACCGTACATGGATACCTCGGCTCTTCGGCGGAAGTCGGTCCTGCAAATACCTTCTCACAGCATAATAATTCCACATCGATGTGCTACCAAATATGCACGGCCAGATTGAAAGCTTTCATGGTCGTACATACCTTCCCGTGTTCAGCAGCAAGTCCTTTCTCCCGCGCACTTTCCTGAGCTGATTGAGGCCGCAACATTGATTGCTAGGACTCAATCCAATATATCTTAAAGTTCCTTGAGCCACGGAGCCTGATAGCTCAGATCCAACGTCCAACCTCAATTGGAGACAAGATGGGGCCTCCGCCAAAATCTGTTGTCCCTAGCGGGCGAGGGCGTAAATATTGGCTCGACAATCTTAGAACTGTCATGACAACTATTGTGATCCTTAACCACACGGCAGCGGCATACGGCGGCGGCGGAACCCATCCCCACCCAGCAAGCTTCAAGAAGACATCGCCGATCTTGTTGCCCTATGTCGCGTTCCATTATGCATATGGCCTGGGACAATTCTTTTGGCTGTCCGGGAATCTGACGGCCCAGTCGTTATCGAAGGGTTCGTGGCGGGAATTCGTGACGAGCAAGCTCTTAAGGCTAGGACTCCCGTCGCTGTTGTACTCTGTTTTTTTGGAGCCACTGAAGGATATCGCGCTGCGTCCTCGGTACGAAGGTGACATACGCTCCAACCTCAGGGACTACTGGAAGGCGGTTACCGAGTTCAAGGGCTGGTTGAAGCCGGGGTCGGGAACTGTTTGGTACACCATGACACTCCTTATCCTCGACCTCTGCTCTGTCCTCTTCAGACGCTGCTTTCACCTCTTCAGCAAGGGGCAAGCAAGGTCATTGGAATTCTCGAAATTGGCCAAGTTCTACGGAGTACTGTGTCGCTGGGGCTGGTTGGTGATCGCCGGGTCCAGGTTCTTGATTAGCACCAAGTGGCCCTTTGGCTATGAGCTACCTGTAGTCAATGTCTCACCATACTACCTTCCGCAATTTATCTACGGCTATGTGCTCGGACAGTTAGCCTATCATCTGGGAAAACCTCGGATGACGAGCTTATTTGACAAACGGTCCGGACCTTTCGGCAGGCTGTCCTTGATCAATGCCAGTGCCATTTCTTTGGCAACGTTACCGATTGTATTCTTGCCCGGGTGGCTAAGGGCCAGGCGGGCCAACAAGGAGAACGAGAACAAGAAAGATGCAGACTCGCTCACCGAAGTCTCAAGCTTTCCACAATTGTCAGGCTGGACGCCGGATGCCGCACTTTTCGCTCTCTGGAACGAATTCACCTTCAATACTGTTGGGCCCGCGTACATGTCGCTCTGGGAGCATGACTACAACAAACCCGAGAAGCGGAGGTTGTGGTCCCCTCGTTACGCGTACGCAGCATACCTGCTTCACTCGCCAATCTCTTGGTTCATGGGGCAAGGCTTGCATACTGTCATGTGCCGGGGAGGTGAGAGACCAGCTTGGATGGATTCAGAAACATGGCAGAACCTTGGACCCTTATTCATGACCACAACCGCAGGCTATCTCGAAGTTGCGGCTTCGTTTGGAGCTGGATTACTGTTGATAGACTATGTACCGGGTGCTGGGTCCATCATCTAGATTCTCTACTCGCAACTTGGGTATAAAGGCTTTTGCGGATTAACTCTGGCTTCTAATCACTAAAGTTCTTCTTACATAAATATAAATTGCTCTGGGAGATAGTTGATCAATCACTTTAAACAAGACAAGAAAGTAATCGAAATTTCTTGCGTACTGCCCGGTAAACACCACCAAGTTTCTGGTTATGCTGCACTGAGCTTTATAATTTATTGGTATGTAAAAAGTATTTATTGCGACATCGGTAAACCTAGGAGCCTCTCCGCGTTGCTAAGATACACATCGTTCCGTTGGTCTACGTTGAAGAGCTCCTCACATCCCGTCTCCATTTGCTTTGATAGACCAATCACAACCTTCTCGGGGGTGAAGGGATAGTCCGTCCCGTAGACCAGTCTCTGTTCCCCACCATCCCCCAGAATTCTGAGCAGGCCGTGGATCTGGTTGGGGAATGGAAATCCGGCCAGGTCAAAGTAGAATCTCTCCCGAAGCAACCTTCGGAACTCGGCGCTCTGGCTCTCTTCCCCCGTAGTAAGAGTCGCAAAAGCGCCGATGCGATCTACGATGGAAGGCAACGCACAACCGCAATGCGACATGATGAAAGTGATGTGCGGGTACTTTGCCACGGTGCCCGAAAGCAGCAGGTTGGCAATGGCACGAGTCTCATCAAACATAAACTCCATCATGGGACGAGGATACATGTCAAGCGGTTTGACTGCGTGCACGTCGTCCTGCGAGTCGGGTCCCGTGGAGGCGAGCAGATTGCAGGTGGTGGGATGTATGAACAGAACAGCTTTGCGAGAATTGAGGTGCGCAAAGACCGGATCCAGCACCTGGTCCCCGAGATAGACACCGTTTGCGTTGGACAAAACAGCAAAGCCTACTGCTCCGAGCTTATCCAGGGCATAGTCAATCTCGGCGATGGACTCGTCGACCAACGGGAGTGGCAGCGAGGCAAAGAAGCGAAAGTGTAGAGGATGGGCGGTGGAGATGGCAGACAGCTCCTCATTAATTTGCCGGGTCATGTCGGCGGCGTGGTCGCCATGCTTCGGCGTGAGGTGCGTTCCTGGAGAGGTGATGCTCAAGATGGACTTGCTGATGTTCAGCTTTTCCATGAGGGCAATGTGCTGCTCTGGGCTCCAGGCCTACCCGCGGAGGTCATCAGCGAAAGCTAGGGCACAACACAGCGGTGCAGGGTACTAGCTGAGGTTACGTACAGGGAGAGCAGGCATTCCATCAGGCTTCTCATGGCCGTGGTCGATGGCATATCGACGATACCCAGGAGCCACAGCATGGCAATGCACATCGATTCGCTGCTGCATCTGAAGGTATATTGCGAGTGAGGAAAGTGGTAATCGCTAATGCGCAAGGTCCTCCGTCTCATAAGGAAGCATTTATGCATACCTATGAGGATGGCCATGAATACAAAATACTATGTACACCATGCCATGTTCTGCCTAGCTCTGGATTAGAGCTACATAGTATGGGACGCGGCGGGGCTCAATTTGTGGTGCTACCAAGTATGTGCTTGTGTCCTGTAGAAGTGATCATTATGTCTTCTTCATACACAGTGGCCACAAGTCTGGAACCAGCCCCGATGCTGCGCCTACTCTTAGATAACGCAAGGAACTCCCAAAGGAGCGAAAGATTCTTCGGTACGTACTTATGGAGCCATTCGATGCCGACGCCTCTGGGATGGGGGTACGAATGGAGCCATACTACTTGGCAACCAATTACAAGTGCAATGGAGTAGTTGGCCATCACCCCCAGTCTAAGACTAGTCCAGTCTTAGTTAGTCGGATCTGGTTAGCATGGTATGTAGTTACAGTGCTAGTACTCCGTACGGATTAGTCTCCAGTGACCCGTCGTACCCCTTTCGCGACATAATCCCGCCCACGCAACACCCCGAATCTCTCACCAGTTGTGAACTTCATTGTCATGTTCCCAGACCCTCAAGTCTCCTCAGAATCGAACTCATCAAGAATCAGCTAAGTTGTCATTCTGGAGCAGCAAGTCATAAGCAGGATAGTATGATCATCTTCTCGTTGTACATCCCAATGAGCTGGATCGTGGACTTTAGAAGGATAGCATTAGTTGGATTCTCTAATAGTCTATACATTATCAACAATAATATACAATATAATTCAAATGTCTACAGGTAAGCCGTTATTTAATGGGATTGATCACGATTTAGCTCTCGCTTCCACCCGCACGGAAAAGTGCGCTAAATGATGAAGCGGAGTCACTAAGCAAGGTTTTGGGCTCTCCGATCTCAATGAGACGGCCTTTATCAAGCACCATGACTGTGTCAAATTCGACCAGGCTTTGCAAGCGATGAGCGATCATGATGATCGTTCGGCCTGGGAACCCTTCTCTGATGAGTCGCTGAATCGTAGCATCCGTTGCGGGGTCGATACTATTTGCACGTCAGACGTCAACGAACGTAACTAGAGGTTTGAAAATGGCGATCACTTACTGGCCTGTTGGCTCGTCCAGTATTAGCACGCTGCTCTTCCGTAATAGTGCGCGGGCGAGGCAGAAGAGTTGCCTTTGGCCATGTGAGAGTAAATCACCCTCCAGTTGAGCATTTAGTCCGCCGAGTGATTCGACTTTGCTCCACAAGTCGACTTGCTTCAGGGCCTGGATCATCTCATCGTCTGGCACTTGGGCGCCCCAGGGGCCCAGATTCTCCCGTATCGTTTCATCCAGGAGAAAAGGTTCTTGAGTCACGCAATTGAGCTTGGAGCGAATCATCTCGGGGTCCATGTTCGAAATAACGACACCGTCGATGAGTATTCGTCCTTGGTGGCATGGCAGCAGGCGTAATAGAGCAGCCAAGAGACTGCTTTTACCGCTGAGACAAGATACCATTGTTAGTTACAATGGAAAATGAAAAAGTGCCTGCGAGAAACTGACCTGCCCGTCCTCCCGCAAATCCCTACACGCTCACCAGATTTGACAGCGAACGTAATATTACTCAAGGCTAGACTTGAGTTATTTTGCGTTTGTTGGCTTACTTTCGTTAGTCCGATAAACGATACTCGAGTGAATGTCCACTTACTCATAGGTCGCACTGACGCCCTCGAAAGTGATACTGCCACCTGAAGGCCACTCAACAGGAAGCGTAGTTGTTCCTTCGCCAAAGTGATCCTCTCGCGGTGTATCGTGGCTGAATCTGTAGGTACGCGACACGGCTCCTAGAGACGTCTCCATCTCGGTCCACTGCATGACAAGATCGCTCAGGCCTTTTGTTAGCGACGTAACTTGGACAACGGCCAGGCCTACCAAACCGGCGCTGACCTTTGTTCGTAGAGCGATGGCCAGTCCGATGACGACTGCTTCAATGCCTGTCACCATGAGTGCAAGTACAAGGATTAGCCACCGCTGAACACAGAAAAGGAGGTAGTAGGGCTTCTGTGATGAGTCCAGGAGAGAAAGATTCTTCTGCATATATGCCTGACTCCACCCAAAAGCGTGAATCGTGGTAATTCCCTGAATTGTATCGAGGAACAAAGATACTATCGGCGCCTTCAGTTCGATTCTGTTGGTCGATCGATGTATATGTCAGCCCCTGGTAGAAAGTTTCGACGGAACGGAAATATAGGTGGGACTGACTCAAGAAGCCGCAACTGTCTCGAAGTGCGCAAATATAATAGTTGGAGAAGATACAGGACGGCTCCAAGCACCGGTACACCTACGGCCATGTACGGGACGGCTGCTACTGCAATGCCGATACTTGAGAGACACGCAAGAAGAGCTAACGTAGGCGGGAGTCAGTGATGCCCATGCCTTTTGGCAGTTTTGAGTCTAGAACCAGGTTGACTTACCAAACAAAGTCAATAGTATGTTGAACGGCAATTGCCAGTCACACAACCTAATGTCTTGGCTAAACCTATCGAAGTACTTAATTGGGAACGTGGAAATTCCGACAGGATCTTGCGGACATACCTGTTCACTAAAGAACCCATATCTTCCGTGCTCGAAATAGTTGACATTGGAGCCCTGTTTATCATTGAAGTTAGCGTGAGGGCATGATCTTCCTTGCATTAGTGGGCTTCCGTCGGACTTACCTCATAGCGGTCACAAGCAATTCTGTATGCATGGTCTTGGATGCTTTGGATGCCAACTTGGTGAAGAAGAAACTTTGCTCGAGTCAGACGAAGCATCTTAAGACAAGGAAATGAACCCCCGAACCACTCACATTGGTGTAAATAGCAATCCCAGCGCGATCAGCGCAGCCCAAGTAGCGTACAGACCTAGCCAATACCCTAGACTGTGGCTGTCAGTCGTATCTTCTGCCCACCAGGTGAGCCAGACCCCAAAGATGGCATTGAATAAAACGTAGAAAATAGCACTGAGCACAAATATGAGGAAATTGAGCCACCCCATCGAGCCGATATAGAACCCGTATGATCTCCAGTCACCTTTCTGTCGTCGCAGGTCAGCAACCCGGGTCTGAAGCCGAGTCTGGTATTCTCCCACACTAGATTCAAGTCTGGTGCCTGCATCTGAAGTTTCTGAATCTGATAGTTGTTTTGGGGAGTCCGACACCTGACGCTGCACGAATGATTGGTGCCGTTTGGAAAGTTGATCATATGTGCCCGAGTCGATGATTTCACCGTTTTTGCCCATCAACAAGACCTTGTCCGCTAACTGCAGAATCTGCACCGCGTGAGTAGCTAGCACTACAGACGTACCCTTCGAGCGAAGGATACCGGTTCTGCCAAAGATCTTGTCTGCCACAGCAGATAGTGTGTGGCCATCAAGCGCGCTAGTGACATCGTCAAAAATAACACGCGATTTCTTGGAGTACAAAGCTCGTGCAATGGCCTAATAAGTATTTGTCAGCGTCAAAATGGGAAACTTATACTTTCAATGTTAAAATTCGATATCCACGCCATCACTCACAATTCGTTGTCTCTGTCCGCCACTCAATTTCGATCCTCTGCTACCAACAGAAGCAGCATCACCCTCCGGTGCCTGACCTATGTCCACGTCGAGCTCGCAACCCTGAATCACGGACTGGTACCATGGATCATCCATCTCGGACTGACCAATGATGTTATCGCGAATGGTTCCCTCGTAGATCCAGGGTGTCTGTGAACAGTACGCTATGTCTCTAGAGGGGAGCGCACACGATTCTTGTCCTTCGTTCGATGATAGTAGGCCCTTGAGGACTGTGGATTTGCCGCAACCAATTGGTCCAGTAATTGCAGTAAAAGAATTTGGCGTGAAATAGAGATTTGGACTCAAGATCGGGACAGGTCCGCTACCCTTTGAATCTTGTCCACAAGGCTGTTCTGGATGATGTTGTGTTGCATGTGTTTCATCGCGCTCAGCACTCTTCTCTCGAGTCATAATGACATTAGTGTCATTGGAGCTGCTAGTTGTCGTTGTTGTCAGGACAGGGGTTTCAGAAAGTTGAAGGAATGCTTGAATTCTAGCAAAGCTTCCAACTGATTGCGCTCCCATTGGTATAGCAAGGAGGAGCTGCATTGCGGGAGTTGATATAAGGTTGAGGATGGAAAGGCAGGTGACTGCTGTTGCCACTGGAAACTTGGTTTGATGTGAGACCATCCTCATAATCGAGTACGCCCCGAAGGTGATGAGAGGCCCCAGAATTTGGGGGGCATAGGCTGCAGTTGAAATTAGCACTATACAAAGGGTAGGACAGTGGAGGGGTCGTTTTGGGAGTTTATACCACATGCCAATGCGAGACAGTTAGTGATCCTGAACTTTTGAGAAGTTTTTAACTCGTCTTCCCGCTTCTTTTCAATTTTTGCCTCCATTTTACTAGATAGTCCAAGAAGCTTGACTGACTGCAGAGAGCCTAGAGCGTGAGTTGTAAGGTTGATTCTCCCTTCAATGGCTTGAAACCAAGAGTTTTGATGTCTCGGAACTTTGAGGCCTACGGTTGCGACCAGTATAAATGTCACTATAACAAATTGTAAGCATTCACAGCCGCACAAAAGGCCACAGAAACCACCAGTCCAGTATTCGCTCACAGAATATGACAATTATTGGAACGCAACAAACGGCCCCAAGCTGGCGATAGAGGAGGTAGGTGCCAATGCTTATTTTCAAGAGGCAGGTCCACGGATCCAGAAGCCTCCACCATGTATCAACAATCTTCTCCACATCAGTAGTCATCAAAGTGAAAGCTGTTGATCGGTTGACGTCGCTGCCACTGCATTGCATCAGTTTGGAGTAGATCATGGGAACAAGTGCGCCACGAGCTTTTATCATGAGTCGATTTGAGAAATGAAAGCCCCAAGGGACGAGCAACTACCATCAGCATTGTTAGCTGATAATCAAGTGTTTGGCCGAGGCTGTGTAGGCACTTACCGCGTTCAAAATTGAAATACAGAAGAACCCCCCAAGAAGGCCGTACCCAACATTCATAGGCGTCGTTGGCGACTCCAGAAACGTGACTAGTTCTTGAGTCAGGGTTGGCTGGCAAATCTGTAGTCCGACCTGAATAGCATTTGAGATGAGAACGATAGAGAACTCTTTAGGGAAACTGAGAAGAACATCGAACATCAGCGCATAAGACCCTTTTGGAACGTCTAGTCCCAGTTAGCTCGAGCACAGGCATGGAGCCAGGGGCGTTTATTAGGGCTCATTCGCTGACCTTTTTTCCATCTTGATTCAACTTTACCAGTAAGTGCCTCAGAGGACAATTTCTCGTTGATGGCTGGGAGGTCTTCGGAAGAAATGACACCCTTGAATCCCGCAGACAGTACAGGGATCAGCCAGATGAAAAAAGCACGAGTAAAGAGGCTACTACGGAGCTCTGATGACGTTTCAGAGAACTCAGGTAGCAGAATTCGTGTCTTCTCTTTGGTCTCTATCAGAAGCAGTACTAGTTTTGCGATAACAATTGCTATTAGGATACTGGCCACGATGTGTTGTCCTTCAATTTGAGCTTGGGTCCTAGCTCTAGCCGCATCCATGATTGATGTCAGAAACAGGAAGGCTGATATCAAAAAGGATGGGCGAACAGCATTACGATGCTCCCAATGGGAAAGCACGGCGAGGAGGATACTGGCGCATAGTTGAAGCGTTCCGGAAGAAATGAGTATGGTGCGATAGCTAGCTTGAGTTGTCGAAAAGAAAGCCAAGAGAGCAGCTTGTAGAGCACCTAGAACCGCGAGACCAATCTATTTTGAGATTATTAGCTGAATTCGACTTGAGGATGGCATCAAAGAACAATACGGCCGCGTACCAACTTCGTCTTATGCAACCAGCTTCCCTTGGTCTTGCATGTCCGTCCCCAGAGGGATAGCAGCCTGCCCGGAAGAATGACGAGAAGCAGGCATGCTGGGCCAAGAGACAATATGCTTTCTTCAAAAGTGACTACGCGCAAATCCGTAAGCTTCCGAAATACAGGTCACGATATGGACTCATGAATACCTGTGAAATCGAACCCGCCACGGCATTCTGTTATCCGCGGCACGGTAGGGCCAAATGTATCGTCCCCACAGACCTTGGTATAGTTTTCAAGGAGCGACATGACGCAGAGTTCAATCGCGCACTGCTAATAGTAAAGCACATTTACAACGAGTATCTGCCTGTCTAGTAATTGCTGACACTGCCTAAGCTATTGAACCGCGTTGCTACACCAGCCTCTTGTGGCTGCGACCACCTCATCGTTGGCTAGCCACATAGCTGAGCTGAATAAGATGTTAATATTTGTGAATCCTTGCTGTTCAGAGGCAGGGTTGGCAGGCTTTGTCTGGGCAATTTCCTCAAGCTCCAGACGCTCCCCGGTTCCGAGGCAGTGTGCTTATCTATGACAAATTAGCTAAGACGCGAAAAGCAGCGGCCACACTTATTGACTCCATCAGATTCATAAGTTCCATGCATGACTTCCGTGCAACCCAGGCAGCCTAGAATTTCCCTAAGGTTAGTATCAATACAGTAGAGAATCTATGGGGCACTTGTCTCCATCCTTGTACGGGCCCGTACGGATTACATGGGTTGGAGCTCGGATACGTACATATCGCTCGCCCCCAACTCAGGGATGACATTCATCCCCGATAGACTTCGTGTACATGCTCAATGCTCAGGAGGTTCCACTTCCAGGACGACGGAGGTAGGGTTGGCGCGGTGAAGGTTCAACACTCATTGCAGGGTCCTATGCCGTGGAGTCGGGAATTACCTGCATTTCTGCAACCGGGGGGCTGCGTGGAGAACGTCAAGGTCTCCATCCATTCCCGATGCAGCCCATGCAGAGTACTTTGTACTTTACTGCTGTATTCATTTCGCTTTCGGGTAAGGCTCGTCCCACTATGGATCCCCGCATGCACGCCGTAGGAAGTCGGGATGGCCTTGCTGCGATTGGCAAACTTCGTCATGCTGGCTCATCAGCAGTATCCCTCTTTGCATACCGCCGATCAACCTAACACTTCTAGTGTACATAGGAACCCGCACCGGCCGGCAAATAATGGGGCGCCTAACGGTAGTATCGCAGGGCAAATACCGGGACTCCCACCAAATCCCATTGAAATTGACACAGTTTGCTTAAGCTGCCGAACGCCCCAAACTCATGAAATGACAACAATGGAACTGTTGATGAGTATCCATCAAGCTACTACTGGATTCTGGTACGATTTCCAACTACGTCGGTTCTTTACTCCATAAAAAATAGTTTACGTTTTTTATGTGTATAATAGGGAGGGTCGCATTTCCCATGCGGATGTCGCTGTCGGCGGTCGGTGGTCGGTGAAATTTGTCCAATCTATGGAGTAAGACCTAGACCCATAGCTCCATAGCAATCAAGAATATGCATTTATACCATTTAATACATTGCATGGGACGGCACGATACTTGACAAGGGGCAGAACTATGCCACTCTAAAGTATATGAGTTGAGATATTGCGGCATGAATAACGGAGGCCGCCGAGAAGGAGTCGGGTATTAGCTATCAGGTGAAACCCAATGAATCTTGTCAGCATCGGAATCGGATCCTTCGGCTCTAGACCTCCAGAAACTTGGATCACAAGGAGTATTGCCAGAGTTCTGGCCCCCAAAGTAACATCGGTCACCGGTGGATGCCCAAGGATTCAAATCCTTCGTCCGGCGCCCAGACTCGGTGCCGTCGGCAGCCAGATGCTAGTATGCTTGTAGAAAACTGTTGGATATGCAGTCCTATTCCGATGTGAAGCATAATATGGTCTATATGAATACCATTGCTGAACGGAGACATCATAGGTTACTTACTGTAGGAGCTGCAAAATTTGCAGCTCTTGGTCGTACGAGTTTAGCCCGACTGTTCAATGGCTTCCGAAGTGCCCATTGTGTCGGCGCTAGCTGATCGTTATTCGCCTAGACTAGTTGCTTGGTCGCTATGTAAAATGTCCTTTCATCTCTATACCTAATAACCAATAATCGCAATCGACTTCAGGCTACTACAATGAGGTGATAATCTTCTTTTCTCACCACAATGATCTTAGTAGGCATGATGAGTGTTTCAACTATTGGCGTTGTTATGGTGGTGGCAGTGTTGTTCAAGTACTTTCTTACAAGCCGCCGACCTAAAGATTTTCCACCCGGTCCGCCGACTGTGCCATTCATTGGAAATATCACCCAAGTGCCTCGTGTCAAGGCCTTCCTCGAGTACGCAACCAACATGTAACTTATTAAAAATAACCTTGTGTCCATAATAACAATAACTACTCAGGTTCCAACGAATGCAGGCCGAGTATGGCTCAATCATTGGCTTGAAAATCGGCTCTCAAAATTTTGTCGTCTTGAATAGCTACAAGCATGTCAAGGCGTAAGTTATAATCCCAGTAGATGAGCTATCATGTCGTGCAATGCTGAAGTTTGGTGCAAGTCTTTTCGATCAGAGGGGCTCAATCTACTCCAGCCGGCCCAATACCTATATTGCCAATGAGGTGGTGTGCCCAAACGAGATACATCTCCTTCTTTTGCCGTACGGCGCGGAGTGGCGGAAGCAACGGAGGATCTTGCAATCTCTCCTGAACGTGAATGTGGTAGACAAGCTACTTCCCCTCCAGGAAGCTGAAGCCACACAGACCATGTTCCAGCTCATCCAGGACCCTCAAGGCTACTATGACCACATCCGTCGATACACCACTGCCGTCATTCTTGCCTCTGTGTACGGCCAGCGCGGGGCTCGGTTTGATTCGCCCAACGTCCAGGCGCTATACCATGCCCAAGATCAATTCACCGCCATCCTCGAGCAGGGGGCCTCTCCGCCGGTTGATGCGTTCCCGTTCCTGAAGAGGTTGCCCGAAATCCTGGCGCCCTGGAAAACCAAGGCGAAGGCCGTACGCGAGGAGCAGAAAAGTCTCTATCTCAAGCTCGTACAAGAGACCAGAACACGGCTGGAGGCTGGAAAGGGCGGTGATTGCTTCCTACGTACGATGCTACAAGACCAAGAGAAAAACGACATGGACGACGAACACCTTGCGTACTTGGCCGGAAACTTGGTAAGTAGCTACTTGTTGCCTCCGTCGCAGAGTTCTATTGTCTGTTTTTTTGCCCCTCTAACCTTAATAGATGGAAGCTGGCTCGGACACCACTGCGTCTACTCTGCTCTCTTTTCTTTTGGCCATGATCAAATATCCGGAAGAATATAAGAAGGCTCAAAACGAGGTCGATAAAGTCAGTGGATCATTAAGGTCCCCGACGTCGGAAGATATCAGTTCTCTGCCTTTCATCAAGGCATGCATGGACGAAGTAAGTCGAGGATGATACGGCTCAATCAGGTTGTATTTGTGTCTCGTTCCATTCTAACTATACCTCGCAGACACTCAGGTGGCGTCCTGTGGCTCCTGGTGGTGTCCCGCACGCCCTGACCCGTGATGATACCTACGATGGATATGTCTTACCTAAAGGTACTGTCGTCGTTGCTAACACATGGGCCATTCACAACGACGAGACTCAATACGAACGACCTGGTGACTTCATGCCCGATCGTTTCTTGGAAAACGAATACGGAACTCGAGTGGCTGTCGATACAACCATGGATGACCATCGGCGAACCTCGTATGCTTTTGGTGCAGGGAGAAGGGCGTGTCCGGGCCATCGTCTAGCCAAGAACTCCTTGGTAAGTCTTACTACCTTAATATGCGCGGTGTTTCAATTCTTCAGTGCTGACGGCAATTTCGAATAAGATGTTAAATATGGCCAAGATAGCTTGGGCCTTTGATCTCTCACCAGGCCCTGGGCCTGTTGATGATGATATTGAGACGGCTTACCACGATGGGTTTCTAATTGCGCCTAAAAAGTTCCCCATCCTGATAACACCACGTTCTGAAAGACGTAAGAATGTCATTGAGAATGAATACCGTTCCATCGAATCATTTTGGGAGAAATACGAGGACTAGAGCTTAGGGGATCCGCTAGCAAGATGAACCTATATTATAGAAGTTGCTTTCACGATTGAAAATGTCTTTATCTTGCGGCCAATGTAAGACGTTACTAATAAAAATCTTTCTTGAAAAAATATCTCTATCGAACATTAATATGCGCCCTGAATGATTAACAATGAAAAGGTACAGCAAGTTGTTATCGAAGTCCTATGCGGAAGAGGGTGTAAAAATGCTAAGTTAGAGCCTTTTATTTCAGCTGACACCGACGAATGGTCATGGCATATATATATCATACAAAGGGATATATTTTAAGACTCTCCAATATATCTACATGCCTTCCAAAGCTGAGCTGCTGTTTCGCCAATCTATGCAGATTTGGTCAGTACATGCTTAAGTTTGGCTTTTCCAGAGAAAGGATGGGATATTGAGGGCTGTGGGCAAAACCTACATTCTCTTCCAAAAATGGCTCGAAATGATTTCCCTGGATATAGAGAACCTCGACATGGTCACGAACCAGTTCCTCCCAGGCGGCTACAGACGAAGTCCGTGCATCCTGTTGACTGAGCCAGTCATAGCGCACGTCACACAGAGCCTCTGTGTCCAGGACATCCTGGCTTCTCAGCATGACAGTTTTTATGGCCTTAGAGAAAGACTTTGGCCTGTAGCTGCCTAATAGAGAAGCATTGAATAAGAACTCTTCCTTCAGTGCATTACTGCTGCTGAGTGCAACATTCCGGAACTGAGCATTCGACTTGGTGATGTTGGCAATGAGGGCAGCTGGAAGAGGCTCATGATTGATCGGACTGGGCGAGTCAATCAGTACAAGGCCTTTGACCTCGAATCCGCGAGCCGTGAGTTGTTGAGCTGCCTCAAATGCTACTATTCCGCCGAAGGACCATCCTTTATTTACCTAATTGTCAGCCATGAAAATCAAGCAATCCCAGAAGGGATTGATGGCCAAGAGAATGGTTGAAACTTACCGCCCAGTATCAACGGCGACGATCGGTGTTTGGGATTCGAAATGATCATTGAGACATAGTGCTCGGCCATCTGATTAACGCTGCGGTGGAATCGTTGCTTGTCGCTGTAGCTTCCAAAATAGGGGTCACAGAAGGCGTATGTTGTACGGTCATGATCACGAAGACGCTCGTACATGCCAATCTGCCCGCTGCCATCGTGAAAAAGACAGAGAGGAGTTTCATTCCCTGTGGAGATATGCAGTATCGCGGGTAATATATTGGAGCCACACACGGCAACAGATGGACTTGTGTAGTCTGAGTCAGAAGCAGCATTATCAGTACCTTCGGAGGAGGATCCTCGTGGAGTAACAACTTTCCGTCCGGGGATGTCAACGAGCGTCTTGTGAAACTTTTCCAAGGTCGGTGGCAGCAAGACCAACGACAACATATCATCCATTGCCTCGAGAGTCTCGCATTGGGACAAAGCGTAATGACTCAGGCCAGTCTGTCCAGGGAATAAGCGTGCCAATTTCGAGGCTATCTCAATTTGCATCAGAGAATCGATTCCAAGGTCACCCAGATATTTAGTGTAGTCGATATCCTCTTCGGCGAAGCCACCAACTTCCATGACGATGTTCTTGAGTACTTGACTAATCCCAGCCTGAAATGGGGTGCTGTTTTGTGACTCGATAAGAGAAGAATCCATGACCTCGTCATTTATTGGAGGAGTTCCTAAGCTTACTTTCAACTGCATCTTCGCTGGCATCGCCGCCTGATGCTGTACAAATCCCTCATCTCGAGATTCGACGCTAGTGGTTGATGACATACGGGAGAGGGCTTGTTGGAAAGTGGAGAGCTGAAGTCTTTTGAATTCCATGCCTCGAATGACAGCGACGACTTTGCCTGAACTGCTCAGTGCGATCGCGTCCGCGAGAATGGCACCTTTGATCTCCAACAGGCTGCAATAGATATTGAAAGAGTCAGAGTAGTCGATGCCATGATAGGCAATTTCTATCGACTCCACCCGGGCACAAATGCCAATCTCCTCCGACCCAGTGGCAAGGTTCGCAATGAAGCCTGCGGCGTGCAACAGTGTGTCAGTAAAGACAGGGTGCGCCAGATAGCCTTCTTGGGAACCATATTCAGATGGTACCTTGAAAACGCCGATCCCTTCAAGGTTTGAATCAGCCACGTTCAGATAGACCAAACTTTGGTACTCTGAAGAGTATCTAACCACGCGTGTGAAAATGGTTTCATAAAGAAGCTTGGTTCGAAAAATACTCGTGTGGTCCCTTCCAATACCAGAGAAATATCGACTTTGCCTCGTCACAACTGCCTGGTCTCTTACCCAGCGGGGAGTGTTGACATTAGTTTCTTGCAACGAGACGCTGCCAGTGCAGTGCAACGTGTCAGTCGAGGCTTGGGTCGAGCTGCGTGACGTAATTTTGAATGCTGCTGCTCCAGAAGATGAGCTGTCATCCATTGTAATTTGCACGCATACGGTCACAGGAACTGCTTCTCGTGGCATGTATACCTGTACCAACGGCCTTGAGAAACTCATTTCGCTGACGACCATTACCTGGGTGTTGAGAGGTTCGAGCAGAGCTTGCGCCGCCTCCAGGGCGAGCTCGTGGAAGACTGAGGCGGGGCAAATGGGAGTTCCACCGACGTTGTGCCCTGATATCAATGATGCAAGAATCGTCATGTCGGTCTCCAGGATGAGTTCCTTGCTTGAAGATCCGGTTGTGTTCAGCCAGGGCAACAGACGGTACCCAGTCTTGACGCGGTTTATACAGTCAGGCCCTGCCGTTTGTACATGATCACAAGTATGGACAATTTGACGGGATTCTTGGAAAGGAATCAAGAAATTCGAACCCTCTAGTAGATGGCCAGGCAAGCTTGTGACTTTGGCCGACGTCCCGGTGAAAACCTCGCGCCACTTGACCGTAGTCCTGAGGAGAGAAATTCCGGCTAGCGTCTCACTGATGGATACCCATGCATCTCGACCCTTTTGTAATGTACCAAAATACACACAAGAGCTGGAGGGGATCGCAGTTCGCAGCATCGGCAGTAATGCGGGTTGTGGGCCAATTTCGAGGAAGTGAGCGCCATCAAGAATATTTGTTCCCATTGACAGCTGTAGGCTAAGCAGGCATTCGGAAAAGCGCACTGGCTGTCTTGCATGATCTGCGAAATATTCACTTGAAAAGTCGTTGCGAAAGAGACGCCCGTGTACGTTAGACAATACAGGTATTTCAGGTTTTCCGAACTTCACCGACCGCCCAAGTGTGCGTAAAGTTTCCAGGATGGGGTCCATGGCTGATGTATGAAAAGCGTATGGGACATTAAGCAGCTTGGTCCGGACCTTGCGGGTCTTGCATTCCTTCTGAAGCATGTCCAGTTGCGCCAGCGGACCGCCAATGACGCAATCGCCGGGTCCGTTCAGGCACGCGATGGTCAGTTGGGCCAAGGCCGGGCTCTCTGAAATGATCGCTTCAAGCTCTTCAGGAGCCATACTGCAAGCAAGCATCCCTGACGTGTCGGCAAGGCAATTTTCGCCCATCATTTTTGCTCGGGATGCCACCACGCGGAATGTGTCCTCTGGCGTCAACGCCCCCGACACGCAAAGTGCTGCGTACTCGCCTAGACTAGTAGAATATCATCTGTCAGTTCTGAGGACATTCAAGGTTTCAATTTGTAGTGACAAGGCTTAACGTACCTGTGGCCCATGACATAATCAGGCATGATTCCCCAAGACATGAAGATCTTGGCAAGCGCATATTCCAAGGCAACGCAGGCACACTGCGAAACCATGATTTGCTCCGAGTCCGTTAGTGTATCTTTGACCCCTTGTTCTTCGTTTATGATGAAGTCAACTATACTTGGGCATGCGAGCTCGAGCCCTTGGATGATGCTGTCGCATTTCATGATGATGTCTTTGAATGGAGGATATGTGATCATCAACCCTTGACCCATGCCGCGATAGAGGGCACCTTGCCCAGTGAAAACGAACACATTGGCTGTGACAATCTTCGCGGGTTTGGAGGCTGCAACTTCGGAGTATTGCAATTTAGTCAGCAAATCGTCCACAGAAGTACATGCGAGTGAGATGCGGTATTCATAGTGATTACGCCGCGCGGTCGCAGTGTAGCAGATATCCTTTAACGACGGTCGATTTTCGCTTTTGCGTAGAAGCTCAACGTGTCGACTGACCGCCGAATTTAAAGCTCTCACTGATTTTGCTGATAGTGCGAATACGTACGCGGATCGTTCTTGGATCCTATCTTGTTTCTTGCCATGCATATGCTCTTTTGGAGATTCAGCCCAATCTTCCAAGAGAAGCGATGCATTAGACCCAGCAGCGCCAAAGTTGTTAAGAACAGCTCTCCTGGGTGTTCTTTTGGAGTGGCTCCATGATACAGTTTGTCTTGGTATGATCAAACCGGATCCTTGGAGATCGCCGAAAGCGGGGTTGATGTTAGCCAGCCCAGCTTGGATGGGTATCTTCCTTTCACGGAGCATGAGCAATAGCTTGGCTAGGCCAGCTGCCCCCGATGCTGCTTCACAATGGCCAATGTTGCCCTTGATAGAGCTCACCATCAGCGGGTTCGTCCCCGAGTGATGCTGACTAAAGACAGCCCTCAAAGTCTCGATTTCTCGTGCATCCCCAGCCTGTGTCCCAGTTCCGTGTGCCTCTACAACACCAACAGATCCGGGGTCAACATTTTTCTGTTGGAGTAACCGCCTCAATAGATCCGTTTGCGTTTGACTGTGGGGATGCGTGATGGAACTAGAATTGCCGCTCTGGTTGGTCAAGACGTTTCTGATGACTCCATGGATACGGTCTCCTTCGGCTACGGCATCGGACAGTCGTTTGAGAACAAACAGGACGCACCCTTCAGCCCGGCAATATCCGTCAGCAGCTGCATCAAAGGGTTTGCAGTTTCCCGTCTGACTCAAGAAGTGTCCTCGAGATAGTCCAAGGTACATCTGGCAGATAAGATATATGTTAGCAAATACGGATTTCATATCTGAAGTATACTCGTCTTGGAAGTTGTGAAACGATATACTGACATCAGGGCTAGTAATCACGTTGACGCCACCCGCGATAGCTATTTAAAATCTGTATCAGTATGAAATCGATGGAAGTTGATGTGATAGTCTTACCTGCGGTGCAGTCACCGTTTTGTAGCGCTCGAAACGCCTGGTAGATCGAGACTGTGGAGGATGAACACGCTGTATCGATTACCATGGATGGACCGCTAAGCCGGTAAAAGTAGGATATCTTTCCACTGTGAAATGCTCGGAGTGTACCAGACGAATAGAAAGTATCAATGTCGTTACGAAGGTTGTCGGTGTAGTCTCCAGTCGCCAAACCAATGTAACATCCGATGGTGGATCTTTGGAATGACGGCGATGAGTCTGGTACATAGCCGGCATCCTCGAGGGCTTCCTGAGCCCCATGCAGCAAAACTCGCTGTTGGGGATCCATGGATTTTGCCTCTCGCGGAGATATGTTAAAAAACGAGTTATCGAAGCTGCAATATATATATCAATGCCCGTATTACTCAGGTAGGTATGCATGGAAGAGACTTAGACTTACGTGAAGGGGTTCTCAAGAAACGCGCCGTTCTTGACAGGCATCGATCGCGGCTTATCTGAATCCTCCGCATAAAAATCAGAGAGTTCGAATCTGTTTCCTGGGATTTCTTGCACCACATTTAGCCCTCTAGATATTGTTTCCCACAAGTCTTCGGTGCCTTTTCCGTTTGGAAGCTGCACACTCATCCCGACAATTGCGACGTCGTTATCGTGATCGGACGACAGCTCGGCTCGATTGCCGCCAGTTTTGAACGCCGATAGATCCAGCAGCGTAACTCTGGAATCCAGCGGTTCAAAGTCTGGAAACAGGGAGCCTGAGCTCGGGCCGAACGAAATGATCTTGATAGCGGCATATGGCTCCCGTTCTAACAAGCTCCCCACACTGCCTGCAATTTTGTGAGCAGTATCGTACCAGTCTACGCAGTGGACTAATAAGTGTCGGGTGATCCACACCAGACATTCGTCAACGGCGGTCCCTGACCCGTCAAAAAGATTGCCGTCTAGCGTTGAATGAATGGGTTTCATAGGCGTGGAGCAAGGAGGAAAGGAGATACCACGGCGACTTGCATCTTCTAGAACTTGTTGTACAACGACTTCGAGCTGATCTCCTCCGTGATACCATCCATGCACATAGGCGAAGGTTGTTGTCAAGTTGGGAGTAGCTTGCAAATGCGCCCGAAAAGCACAGAGGTCACCCTTAGGCCCCGATATTGATATAGTACCGGAGCTCGAAATTGCGGATATTATTATCCGTCGAGGTCTTTGTTGCGACTGGGGCGGTTGCTCCGGGCCATTCTCTTGGTCGTAGTGATGTGACAAGCTTTGCTCAACTTGTGCTCGCGAGAGGCCACGCACCACAAGGGACATTGTAGCTTCTGGGTCAACAAGCGTGTCAGCATCCCCATCAACATTGCCCGTGGTTTCCATGGTCCAAAGGAAACTGCGGCATGCGATCCAAAAGGCAAGACGGAATCCCTGAACCCCAGAAGCCACAAAATCGTCTAGACTGCGCGAGCGTGCCACTACCGCAGCTGGAAGTATGCCTGAAGAGAAACCAGCCGTGGAGTGAAGTGTATCAAACGAGTGCTCATATGCTCCGTCTTGGTGTAGTATCTCAGCTACATACCGTAGCAACTGGCAGAGATATATGGTGGTCGCCTGAAGCACAGGATGTGTGTGGTATTGCACCACAGGCTGGAGCAGATCGCATGGTGAGCTGAACAATGAGAGTTTGATAGCCAAAAGAACCCGTGACTTGGTGTCTAAACTCTCAACCTCTTCCAAGAATGACGCATGACACTTTGATAAAAGTATATTACCGACACTTATGGATCGAGTGTCTTGTTCTGCGATAGTGGCAGCATTGGGCGAAAATACGGATGGCGATCCCTGGCCGCCAAACAGGACCAGACGATGCTCCATGGTCATGATCGTAAGCGAGCAGCCGCACGAGATAGCTTTGGCTGAAGGCGTCCACCAGAATCAGAACCTGAGAGACTATTTTTTTGAGTAACTTGGATAGTCCCGGTGCCCTGGAACACGATTCGATTCACTGTCAAGAACTATTCTCCCCCCGTCTTTTTTCTCAGCAAAAACACCCACGTATCCAGCATCATGCTATCAGCAATGAATCAACTGGCCAAATGTGGTCTATCTAGGTACCTGGGTACCTTGAGACTGAAGAAGGAAGATTGGTAGGTGGTACCGGATTGCATACATGCGGAATATCCTTCTAACACAACTTTGGTCTAAATGCAACCCTGGAAGCGATAAGGTACGTACTGCCCGCCCATACCGAGGCTTATGTGGACTTGACGAGATCTCCATCATTGTTAGTGCTTATGAGCACCCACTTCATGATATTGTAATACAGACTATGTACTGTAAGTTTTGGATGGCTATTACTTAATTAAGCGGAACGGGGTAGGTATGGAGTTCGGAAAAGCCCTGCAGGGTCGCTTACAGGGGGCGGGTCTGCCGTTGTGCTAGATGCTAGCGGATATACTTGCACCGGATCCTTGAAAAGGACTGCCCCACTGCGGCCTTTTTGATATGTGCTTCGTCCGGATTCGTACTATAATAGATAAGAATCCTTCGCGCTCCAGGCATGCGGCACAGCAGGTTTTAGAATCCCCTGTACCTTGTCAAGTACGTATTATCTTCAGCGGGGTGTCAACGGGTTCAAATGCATCCACTTGACAAGATCCATGTTGACACCCTACACATATGCATTCAGAGACACGACAAGGGTGCCAAAGTATTGACTTTCACCGTAGTCACTGTACTTTGGACCCTGCTCGCATCGCGAAGTTCCATACCTTCTCTTTCACTGCCTCCAGGAATAGTCGTGCTGAAGAATTGTTTGCATCCACACTGCCACGCATCCCCATGCTGGCTCTGCTGACACACGCCGCCTCTCTTCTGACATTAGGGACCGGCTGGGTATCGGGGTTGTCCTCTTTTACCCGAAATAGCTCGATCGTCCGAGACCACAAGTCGAGCTTGATTGCACGTTACTATCTCAGCTCCATAGTGGTCGACCCAAACGCAGCCTTCCAAGCTTGTTCGCTCATTTTCTTGGTCTTCCCATGGCCGACGAGGAAATTGGGGTTATAAGAAAATCCTTTATATGCAATTAGCAAGTTTAGTCCAAGAAATCGACCTAGTAATCGACTGTTCCGGACTTTGTTGGTCAAAAGTGGCGATACTGTGACACTGGAAACGTGCAGACCTTTATATACAATACCTATTAAGATTTTGATCAATTGTTGTTATTCTCATTCGTCTTGATGGTACCTGCCAAATTTTTGTTTCTTGCTCCTTGTATCACTACCCTGGCATAGATATGAATGAATAAGTTCCTGTCAATTGAGCCTTCATTTTCAAATATGGCTGTGTCTGAGAGCCGAATTGCCGTCATTGGAATGGCATGTCGCCTTCCAGGCGGCGCTGACAGTCCAGAAAGCCTATGGTCCATGCTGGCTGAAGGCAGAGACGGACGAAAAGAAGTGCCTAAGGACCGATGGGACTGGAAATCCTTCTACAACAAGAATCCAGCCACCAAAGACACCACAAATTTTAGCCATGCTTATTTCTTGGATGAGGACATATCAGCTTTTGATGCACGATTCTTCAATATCTCTGGTGTTGATGCTGCGACCATTGATCCCCAGCAGAGGCTTCTTCTCGAAGTAACTTACGAAGCACTGGAGAATGCTGGTTTGCCCATCGAGAGCATGCGTGGCTCCGATACCTCAGTGCACATGGGAATGTTTACGAGAGATTATGACAGAATGGGATACAGAGACATGTCCCAGGTGGGCATGGCTCACATCATCGGATCTGGCGAGGCCATCATGGCCAATAGGATTTCATACATTCTGGATCTGAAAGGAAGTTCCAACACATTAGATACTGGATGTGTAAGTGTTGACTCTACATCCTTGCCAGACTCGCTCTTTGGGTTATCTTCTAATCAAGTGCAATATATCACAGTCTGGTGGCCTTGTAGCCCTGCATCAAGCATGCCAAACGTTGAGAGCGGACGAAGCTACAGTGGCTCTGGCTGGGGCGAGTCAGTTATTACTAAGCCCTGACCAGTCTGTTGCTATGTCGTACGTGCCCGAGATGATTTTGGCGGAGTTCTTTCGATGATTGTATAAGACTGAACTGACCAGCACGTAGAGAACTTACCAACAAAGACGGAAGATCTTACACCTTCGACGATCGTGGCGCCGGCTACGCGCGAGGTGAAGGTCTTGGTGTCCTCGTCCTGAAGCGCCTTGATCGAGCCGTGGCTAATGGCGACCACATCCATGCGGTTATCGTGGAATCAGGCGTGGGTCACGACGGCAAGACGTCTGGCATTTTTCTGCCCAATGGTGACGCACAAGAAGCTCTGGCCCGGACCGTCTATGCTAGAGCCGGTCTCGATCCTCGTGAGACCTTGTTCGTGGAAAGCCATGGAACAGGAACCGTGGCCGGCGATAATGCTGAGGTCGGGTCTATCGCTAGGGTGTTTGGCCGTGAAGCAGGACGAACTTCCGAACTGCCTATTGGCAGCATCAAGACCAACATTGGACACTTGGAGGCGGCCAGTGGTATGGCAAGCACAATAAAAGCGATCATGGTTCTCAAAAAGAACAAGATACCGCCGCAGCTCAACTTCAAAACCGCGAAACCATCCCTTCGTCTCCAGGAGAGAGGACTCAAGGTACCACTAGAACTCACTCCACTTGCACCACAAGGACATACGGGACCCAAGCGCGTGTCTGTAAACAGCTTTGGGTATGGTGGAACGAATGCTCACGCCATTCTTGAGTCGTACAATCCTGCGTTTGCGCCCGCTTATGGACATGTCAACGGCAACGGACATGTCAACGGCAACGGACACGTCAACGGCAACGGACACGTCAACGGCAACGGACACGTAAACGGCAACGGACACGTCAACGGCAATGGATGCGTCAACGGCGACGGACATCAATTTGACACTCCTGACTACAGCAGCGAAGCAAAGCTCATAGTCTTATCAGCAAATTCGGAATCGTCTCTTAGCAATACGGTTTCCAACCTGCGACAATGGCTCTCATCGGATCAAGGCCCGTCAGTCTCCTTTGCCGACCTTGCATACACCCTGAACACACGGAGGTCAAAACTTCCATGGCGTTGCAGCGTCGTCTCGAGCAATCCGCAGGAGCTGGAAAAGTTACTGGGAGATGCCAAGCTACGCCCCGTGAAGTCGGCGCGGGAGGTAGCTCTAGCCTTCATCTTCACAGGGCAGGGAGCCCAGTGGTTTGCCATGGGGCGGGACCTTCTGACTGGAGCCGATTCACGAGAGTTTGCATCTTCCATTACATTCTGCAATCAGATTGTCAAGGCTTTAGGCTGCGAGTGGGACCTTGTCGAGGAACTTTCCCGGGACGAGACGTCATCGCGACTAGGTGAAGCCAGGTTTGCTCAGCCAATCACCACGGCGGTTCAGATTGGGCTGATCGACCTGCTCACCACCACCTACGGCATCAAGCCTCAAGCTGTGTTCGGTCATAGCTCGGGAGAAATTGCAGCAGCCTACGCGGCGGGGGCATTAACAAAGGAAAGCGCTATGCGGGTTGCCTACATGAGGGGAATTTGTTCCGCCAAGGCCAAGGCCTTGAACGCAACGCCAGGAGGCATGTTGGCCGTGGGAGAAGGAGAAGATGCAATCAACAAGCGAATCAAGCAACTAAGCGGTGGCAAAGGCAAAGTGACGGTGGCTTGTGTCAACAGCCCCGAAAGCACCACCATTTCTGGAGACGTAGCGGCGTTGCTGGAACTCCAAGCTGCGCTAGGGGATGCATCGGTCTTCAACAGGCGACTCAAGGTCGACTCAGCCTATCATTCTCACCACATGGAGGTTATTGCACCAACATATTTCTCTTCCCTGGAGGGTTTGGTTCATGGCGTGCCACGTGAAGATGTGGCTTTTTTTTCATCAGTCACTGGTGCCCGCAAGCGATCTGATTTTGGGCCATCTTACTGGGTATCCAACCTTGTGTCTCAAGTCAAATTCAGTGCGGCTTCACAACTGGTTGCACAGCACTTGTCTACCACTTATCCCACAGCCACTAACGTATTGATTGAGGTTGGTCCTCACGCTGCGTTGTCGGGACCGCTGAGACAATCGTTATCGGACATCAATTTCAAGTTGTCTTCGGGTGAGTCTTTCAAATACAACTACGTCCCATGCCTTGTTCGAAACACAAACGCGATAAGCACTGTTTTGGCCCTGATAGGGAAGATTTTTGAATCCGGTAGTCCAGTCCAGCTGGACGTAGGAGCGTCAACAGAGAGTTCAATCCCTCACTGTCGGGTTGTCGGGGACCTTCCTTCTTATGCATGGGACCACAGCAACACGTATTGGCGCGAATCACGGCTCAGCAAAGGGAATCGCCTCCGCCCTTTCCCACCCCACGATCTTCTTGGTCTCCTTGAAGTGGGCAGCTCGCTGTACGAGCCACGGTGGAGATACCACGTGAGCCTGGCAAACATTCCATGGCTCCGAGACCACATCGTTGAGGGATTCGTCATTTTCCCGGGTGCCGGCTACCTGATCATGGTCATTGAGGCCATGAAGCAACTATTCCAGCTACGTAAGACGCCAGGCCGCATCACTAACATCAATTTTCGTGATGCTACCTTTTCCAAACCTGTGGTTATACACGACGACAGTGCAAAAGATAGTCAGGAAGTGGAGCTGCAGCTCATCATTACCCCTTCCCGACAACACGTGGGTAGTCCCTGGGAGTACTTCCGTGTAGTTTCCTATGACTCTCAGAATGACTCCTGGATAGACAACTGCAGCGGTCTTGTCTCATGGGACTCCGTTCCCATGGAGACTAGTACTGATCAATCCCAGGCTGATGAGTTTGTGGACGCCCGAGACGATGGCTTGGGTCATTTGACAAAGGCAGCTGCCGATCAGTGGTTGCAGGACGTTCAAGCTCTTTGCCCTATTTCTGTTGACGCAGCAGAGGAGTATCGTGAAATGAAAGCATCCGGCAATGAATATGGCGATACATTCCAGGGCCTAAAAGAAATCAGTGTTGGTAAGGGTCACGCCACGGCTAGAATCGTTGTCCAAGATATTGAACAACAAATCCCCGGGCACTATATGCAACCGCATACCATCCACCCCAGCACCTTCGACTCCATCTTCCAGCTGGAACCAGTGTGCTTCCGTCGAGAAGGTCTTGTGGCCCCTATCATGCCATCCATGCTAGGAGAGATATCCGTGGCAGTGGACATGAACAGCGCCCCAGGCACTGACATCGTGGTAGCTTTGCAGCATTCTCAAAAGACCCCTCGAGATGCTGCATTTTCCTACTGTGCCTATCAGAAGCAGAGTGATGGAACATTCCGCCCAGTGGTCACTGGTAACAACATTGGGACACGGGTCGTCGGATCAGCGGACTCAGATCAGGCCGTTCAAAAGAAAATGACTTATCGTATGGACTGGAAGCCAGATGTTGATTACATAACACAAGCAGACTTTGAGGCATATTTGCCAAGCCCGAGACTCCTTGACGGAAAGACAAGTGACCAGGTGATTGAGGCGCAACTCCATCTAAACGACACAGTCGCGACGATCTTTATTCGCAGGGCAGTCCAGCACATGAGGGAGCAAGACATCTCTTCCGCCCACAACGCTCACCTCTCTGCACTCCTACGCTGGATGATCAAGTGGGATACAACAGAGGCTGGGCAGTTTTTAAATGGCATCACGCTGGAAGAGCAAGCCAGCCTTATCGAGCAAATTAGCAGATCGAACGACATCGTCGGAACAGCCCTGAGTAGCCTTGGACCACACTACGTTGATGTCTTGACCGGAAAGATGGAGGCGTCAGCGCTATTGTCCCAAAATGACGTCCTTGAACGGCTATTCTCCGAATACACCTTGTTCAACAACCACTATACACAGGTCGCTGTATACCTTCAAGCCCTTGCCCACAAGAATCCCAATATGAACGTACTCGCGGTCGGTACTGGCGCCAGAGGTGCCACTATACCGTTGATGGAGGCAATGGAGCGCAATGGCCGGCTACCTGTGGATGCATATACTTACACTGAGATGGACTCCAGCCTCCTCGAGCGTGCGCGGCTCAGGTTTAGCGGATGGGACACCAAGACTGAGCTTAAGATACTCGACATATCGCGCGAACCGCTCGCGCAGGGTCACAGCGCCCACAGCTTTGATCTAATTGTAGTCTCCATGGTCTCCTACGCTGCAGCCCGGGTGGACGTGGCTGTGTCACATCTTCGGAAGCTGCTAAAGCCGGATGGCCGGCTTGTTCTTGTGGAGCTGACGGCGGTTACAGCGGCTCACCACGCCGTGTTTGGCATGCTGGACGGTTCGTGGACGTCTGAGGACGAATACCGGGACAAGGCCCTGATGAGCGTACCGGAATGGGATACGTGTCTGAAGCGTCACGGCTTCAGCGGTACAGACTTTGCCATCCCAGCACATAAGGGCCGGTTCAGCGATGTCAGCAACGTGATTGTCGCTCGGGCCCTCCCGGTCTCTGCGGGGATAACTAACGGTCAACTCCAAAAGGTCAACGAGAAGGCGCTGACAGTAAAGATACACCTCGGCTACTCTGATGACGCATCCCAGGTCGCTCTTGGAGATGCCATGTGTCGCTCTCTGGGGAGCAAAGGCATTACATGTAGCCATGAGGCTTGGAGTACAGGAAGCGCAGCCGAACAAGAGCAAGACCCCAATACTCTAACGATAGTCATTGACTCTGCCGAGCATCCACTACTGCTGGATCCTTGCCCCAAAACTTTTGAGCAAGTCAAGAAACTCCTGCTTCAGGGCGGAAACATCCTTTGGACCAGTTTCCAAGCATCGCCGCCATCTGGTGAAAAGGCAGCCCTTAAGAACATGGTTAACGGAATGGCCAGAGTACTCCGACGAGAGAACCCTGGCCTCCAATTGATCACGGTCGACGTTCAAGACCCCGTCCAACCTTCCAGCGAGAGTGATGCGCTGCAACATATCGTCCAGAAGCTGACAGATGTTACCATTCTATCATTTGGTTCGCCGGACAGTGTTGGAACAGACGAGTTCAGACTAGAGCACGAGTATGCCATTCGTGACGGCAAGTTAACAATACCAAGAGTCATCCCGGACGATCATCTTGCTACGCACATTGACAGTCGCAACAACCCGGAACAGAGCATCAGTGGTGATACGACCCTGCAGGACTGCCAATATCTCAATGATAACAGGCCCCTGAAGTTTGATGTTCAGGTGCCAGGTCTACTCCAAACTATTCGTTTCGTGGATAACGACGACATATTGGGCCCGCTCGGTCCTGAAGAGGTTCAAGTCCAGGCTAGGGCGTATGGTGTTAACTCTAGGGACGTTGCCATTACTTTGGGCCACATGGCACCAGACACGCCAATGACAGGTGAGATGGCTGGTGTCATAACGGCCGTTGGATCGAATGTGCAGTCGTGGAAGACCGGCGACAGAGTCACGGCCCTTTTTGTGCCACAATTTGGTAACCAGGTTCGCATCAATAGCGAGAATGTGGTTGCAATCCCAGACTCAGTCACTTTTGCCGACGCAGCCTCTGTTCCACTGGTGTTCTTTACCGCTTGGTACTGTCTCAACCACGTTGCTCGGATAGAGAAGGGCCAGAGCGTGTTGATTCACGCAGGTTCGGGTGGTGTGGGCCAGTCCGCGATCCAGATTGCACAACTCATGGGAGCCGAGGTATTTGCCACGGTTGGCAGCGTCTTAAAGAAGAAGATGCTCCAGGAGCAGTATGCTATCCCAGACAGTCATATATTCTCATCACGCTCCGGGAAATTTAAAAAACAGATCCTTGACGCAACCAGGGGAAACGGTGTCGATGTTATCCTCAACTCGCTCTCAGGGCAGCTTCTCAGAGACAGCTGGGACTGCCTTGCCCCGTTCGGCACCTTCTGCGAAATTGGCAAGGCGGATATCGTCGGGCGCGGCCAGCTCAGCATGGCAAACTTTGACAAGCAGGCGACTTTCGCTGCCGTGGATACTTCCTATATGTATCGAATGCGCCCTGAAGGGGTGATCCGTGGAGTCAGGGACATATTCGCCATGATTGACCAGGGTTCACTGAAACCTGTGTATCCTGTGAAGACGTTCGATATGTCACGCATTCAGCAGGTCTTCTCTCTTATCGCAGAAAAGAAACACATGGGAAAGATGGTGTTGGTCACCGACGAACAGACCCTTGTGCAAGCCACGCGGCCAAAGGCACCTGCACTCCGGCTACAGCGAGAGGGAACTTATGTCATCGGGGGAGGACTGGGCGATCTAGGCAAAAGAATGGGGCGCTTCCTCGCTGAGAAGGGAGCTGGCCATATCGTAGCGCTCACTCGCCAGGATGTGGACGCTGTGGGTCAGCAACCAGCTGTTGTCGAGGTCCAGAACGCCATCAGCAAAATGGGCGGTACCCTTCATGTCGTCCAGTGCGATATTAGCGATAAAAACAGTGCACATAGTGCCGCGGACAAATTGGCCCACCTCGGCCTACCACCAGTCAAAGGCATCATCCAAAGCGCAACAGTTCTCCGGGACCATCCTTTTGAGTATATCGGGCTTGACGAATGGAAGGACTCCGTGAGACCTAAGGTCCAGGGTACTCTGAACATGCATGAAGCATTTTGTTCCCCTGAAACGACTGATTTCTTCGTAATGCTCTCGTCCGTGGCAAGCATTGTCGGTTCAGCGTCACAAAGCAACTACGCAGCAGGAAATGCCTTCCTGGACGGCTTTGCCCGCGCGGGAAAGCAATTCCCACGAGGCATCACCAGTTATGCGACCATTAATGTTGGAGCTGTCGAGGGCTCGGAACTCGTTGCCGGCGCGTTGGAGCAGGGGAGCGATGTTGCCCGCACCATCGGCTCTGTTTCATTTAGCGATGTTCTTGCTACACTCGAGTATGCAATGAACTCGCGAGCCCGCGCCGACCAAGATGTTGTGCAGCATCTCATGCATTTTAATCGCGACGCTATGGAGGACGCGTTCGGTCCCTCGACGCTGAGCGATCACATGTACGATCATGTTCCCAGCAAGAGGCAGAAGGGTAAGACGGCCAACGAAAGTGCCACTGGCAAAAAGCAAAGCGTCCTCCAGATTGTCGAACAAGCAAAAACGGTTTCCGAGGCCGAGGATATCGTCAGACAGACACTACTCGCCAAGTTCACGGCCTTCATAGGAGATGATGTTCCAGAGGGGCCTATCGCGGCGCTCGGGCTGGACTCTCTCGTCTCGATCGAGCTAAAGAACTGGGTCAAGCACACATTCCGGGCACCATTGCAGATATCCGAGCTCAGCGGTGCACAGAGCATGCTCGCCTTGGCGAAAATCATAGTTTCGCGAATGACTCTTGAGTGCAGCAAGGTCAATAGTACTAGCCCCGTCGACAGCAAAAACAGACAAGGCGTTACAGCTGAAAGCCGGGTAGACTTACAGCCTGCTGTTGCTGCAACTGCGGACGAAATTGAAGTTGCCGATACGCCTGCCGAGCATGGCCAGAATTGTTGTAAGCATCACAAAGAGCTGCCCGTGCAACCGTTACCAGATTTGGATGATGCACTTGACTACTGGCTCGAGACGAACGAACATCTTTTCAGCACGCAACAGCTCGATTCCATCCATAGAGATATTCAAGAAATGCGTGCCTCAGACAGCCCTGCTCGCCAGATTCTTCGGGAATTGTGCGACAAGCACAGAAACGACGACACCAACAGCTGGTTTACCGACATTGTTACAGATGCTCGATTCCTGTGCAGAAGAGCACCGGTTGCTCCGTGGACCAGCATTATGGGAGCACAGCGTGACAGCCGTGGCGAGCGGCACTCTCAGACCGAGCGCGCCGCCATCATTACTTCCACGGCTATCGCCTACAGGCACGCCATGGGCGCGGGCGAAGTCGACCCTCAAGAGGTTGCGGGCAGGCCCGAGTGTACGTGGGGATGGAAATGGCTGTTCAACTCGACACGCGTGCCGCAGCTTAAGTGCGACAAGGTCGTAAGCTACGCGCCATCCCCAGATGATCACTATGCCCAAGATCATGTCGCGGTGTTAAGGAAAGGCCGTGTCTTCAAGGTCATGATCCAGGATGAAGATGGTAAAGACGTGCCAATCCAAAAGCTCCAGGCAACCTTTGAAGCCATTGTGGAGAGGGTGGAAGACAATGATGTATTGTCAGGTTTGTTGACAACTGATGAAAGAGACTCCTGGGCCAAGGTAATACCCAATCCGGCTAAGTGCTTTCCTCGTGATCAAATCAAGCTAACATATCCGTTTACAGACAAGAGAAGATCTAGTGGCATTGAGTCCTGGAAATATCGAGTACTTGCACGTTCTTGACTCTGCCATGTTCGTCCTCTGCCTGGACACCGCAAGCCCAGACACTCCTGAGCAGATCGCGCGTGAGGGGTACATCGGCAACGGTACAAATCGCTGGTTTGACAAGGTGCTGCAGTTCTATGTGAGCGCAAACGGTCGCTCCGGTCTGATCACCGAACATGGAATCCTCGACGGTACTACTGCTACCCGCCTTCTGGAATGGATTGCCAAAGCCATGGATGCTTACCCAGCTGGGTCGATTAGTCGCAACGGCTTTTTGCCCACTGATATCGATCTTAAGGAGGTCATCCTCCAAACAACTCCCGAGCTTAAGAATCACATGATTGTCCTCCGGAAACGTTACCAGCAGGCCACCTCCACGTCGACTTATGTTCGAGAACAGCTCGATGAGTTCGGCACTGACTTTCTCCTGCAGTCTCGAGTACCTGTGAAAGGAGTCATAGACTTGACCTTCCAACTAGCCTTGCGATTGTTCTTCGGTCAGAACATGGCTTCATGGGAGCCCACGAGTGGGGCTGTATTTCACGCTGGCCGTGCCGATGCCATGCAGAGAGCCACATCTGCGGTCAATTCTTTCTGCGATGCTACCGCTAGGGTCTATCAGCTTGAAGATGACCAGTTCGACCGCGTCATGTCTTCTCAGCTGAGGGCCCTTCTGTTGGCAGCGACCAAGTCGATGAACGCCGACATGCAGATCTTATTCACCGGCCGCAGCTGCCAGCGAGTCTTCGAGGTGTTAGCTTATTTATGGCCAACAACCAATGTCAGCGCTCCTAAGCCGGCTTTCTTGAGCGATATGGTCTTCTTCGGCAGGCCAAGTCCACCCATCTTTGCGCAAACTAACTCGCTTGAAGGCGAGATGACCATTGAAGACTTTGTCCATCTAATACCAGATACTGACGGTTTCTGGTCTTTCATGAGTCCGGAGAAGAACAAGTAAGTAATTCGCGTGCTTGTTGCCGGCCACTAGAACGAGATCACTGGACCAAGTTGTACTAATCTACGAACGCAGGATCTCAGTCTGTCTTACCGGCGGGTCGGAGGAACGGACGGCAGCTTTCGTCAAGGAACTCCATCGCGCCGCAAGAATAATGCGCGACATTGTTCGAAATCGTGTTTGATTTACTGCGCAAGTATAAAGACCGGTCAATCATACGATTAGCCAAAGCATTGTGGGATGTTTCCCCATATTTCGTCTCAGCAGCGACATTGCGATGCAATTGAACTTGGAAGTGGGACCGTGAACCTGGAGAGCTGCGGCCTGGGTTGCTAATGTGGAATCTCCCCCGCACTACGGAGTGCATATGTCCAGTTACCATTTTCGTGAACTCTCAAGCCGATTGCCAGACCGAACACGCAATCTCCCCAATCCTCTGGTCAATGCAAATATTATACATTGCCTTTCTTTGCTGATTTCAAGGTAAAAGCCGTGTGAAGCACGCTTCCGTACGATTTGCATCGACAACAAATTATGTTATTACTGGCTAGCGTCAACCAAGCCTTTCGCTTCCTACCGTACGTAGCTGATCCTAATCCGCGACCCCAGCCTTATTCCCTGCTTCTCTGCCCCAGGTGGTCAGAAGGGACGCCGGTCGTGGAAGGGTCTTAACCTAGAAGTCTCCGGCTGGAGGAAACGAGACATGGCATTGAAACTATGAAGATAGATAGAGAGGATTCAGATCAAATCGAGCGACAAGTCCATCCATTCCTCGTATGGAATACTTGTAAACAGACTATCAGCTATGTTGCCATTCAAACTACTATAACCTAACCTTAAGGCGTTCTAGTCTAGCTACGGAAGCAGCTCTTTAAATGTCACAATTCAGGGCGCAGCACTGCACAGACTGCATGGTATGGATTGACATGAACTGCTTTCTCCTCACAATTATACACATTAGTTAGCACTTGACTAATAGATGACTCGATCAAACGTATTGACAACTGTTGACACTACCATTCAAGGCCTCGACTTTCTGCCTTTTCCATAAGCAAGCATATCTCCAAACTTTCTTTATGTCCATTCGTCCCTTAGGATCTGATGTTAACATTCTAAGGACAAATCAGTGAAGTCGACGATCTCATCATCCGTCACTCGATACACTTAACCCACCATGTCATCGTGCATTGGCTTGCACGACACCTGGTCCCTGTTGTCTACAGCACAGGCTCACATCGCCAGCTTACCGCCTAATCCTTGCACTGCGCCTTATACCATGAGTGACCGACTAGAGGAGGGCGCGTTTGAGACTGTACTTTGCTTTCTGTTGTACTGCTGCCAGCACAACTTGACGCATTCGATGATCATTTCGTACTATATTTCGCAAGCGTTGAGACTTTCGTGCAGCAAGGTTGCGTCACCCGTCCGATTCGCGCGTTCTGCTCTAGAAAGCAATTGCCACTCGGTCTAGTTTCTGGGCAAGATAATCTCGCTGCACCACTTCAACTTTGAATCGTTCATTTACGAGCTCATTCGACTGGTGAATGCAGAATACTCAGATACGGGGTCTGAAGACTCAGATTGATCTTTGTGCGCTGGAATTACATCTGCCGCTCTTGGTGTTCTCTAAAGCTTTCAAGTTTCTTACGGCTTTCTTGAAGGTCTTCTACGATCCAGCCCCGCGATATCACGGATATGGCTTTTCGAAAGCATCGAGCCACTCATAGATTCGTTCTTCTTGCAGCTCAGCTGTGTCTTCAATGACTACGTCTTCACGCGAGAGGAGATCCTCGAGCAAATTGGTTGGGATATGAGAGAGGGACCAAAAGTCTACTACAGCCAGATCAGATGCGCGGTTGAGGGGCTCATTGCAGCAAAAAACTCATTTCCAGCTTGTAGCAGATGCATGCATGTCGCAAGTGACCAAATCTCACTTGCCGTTCCATGAGTAGTATCGCACAACCGCACTCCAGGGGTACTATAAGCACTTAGCCGTGTTGTGGAGGTATTGAGGAGGGCTGAGGACCGGCACGCTTGGCTAAAGTCTATAAGCGCCACTTTACCTACCCGAAAATCACTTTCTAGCAGACTTAGGTTTGCCCTCTGGACTATACATACTTGGGCCCGTAGTGCGCCAGTGTCTTGATCAGTGGTGTTAGTTTCAGTGGGGTTGGCTTTTGCAAGGATTTCTCAATCAGGCCCTTGCATGAAATAGTCCACATCTATTGGTCTGCTAGCACCATTGTAAACTTCTGTGGGCGAATATCTCCATATGATATACCATTCTCGTACAAAGATTCCACTGTAGAGACCAGGCGAAGGCAAAATCCTTTGAGATGTTCTGGCGTGTCTAGGCCAACACCATCAAGGCTGTCTAGCAGGTTAGGTCCTAACAGCTGCGTGACGAGACAAAGGTACTGCCCGTTGGGCGTCAACCCAAAACTTCTCGATAGGTATCACGATCGAAAAAGGCAAGTTTTGTTCTACCGGCTTTCGTAGCAATATCTCAACCTACACATTGTCATGGCATCAAAGGAATGAAGTCTTGGCCCCCATAACTTTCACAGCCCTATAGCAATGTGCATAATACTTAAAGCACAGCCATACAGTCGCAGAGACCCCGGCTCCAAGTTTATGAACAAACTGAAAGCGATTCTCAACATCGATATAGTCCCCTGACTAGATAAGATGGAACCCTCCGGGCCTATCTCTGTCCATATCCTTCTGATGAGCGGCTGAACAGGCATCAAGCGGCTGAAAAATGGGCTGCAGACGTCCACTTGAATCTTCATGTGGCTGAAATTCTGCAGGAGTGGGCGCAACGGATTCCTTACTGACACAATACAGGTCGTCCGATAGGTTTCCGTGGCATGGTTGATCTTCTTACCGGTTTGAGGGGTGTGGGTTGTTCTACTTTTGACAAAGACACTCAGATGAAGCAGATCCCACTGGAAGACTATGGCGTTGTATTTTCAAGTGTTCGAATCTTTAGAATCTGTGCTTTGGAGTCACTATTGGTCCAAACCACAACAGGCATGTGGATACAGAAGGGGATGATGGGACGCAAACGTATTGTCGTGCCCCCGCACGTATTGCTAAAAATGATTAGTCGTAATTTTATCTAAGCTATTATTGTGAACTCGGTTGACAGAACACACTCAGCCAGATGAGTACGTGAAGACTCTCTTATAAATGGCTCCCAGGCTCAGGAGCTCATACATTACAAAACACAATACTAGGATGGGACCTAATCCTACGACCACGGTAGGATAACACCGGGAAGTAATATTTTGCGGCCTTGACAGACCGTCAGGGCTATACCAGTGACAACTGCGTCGACTGTTATTGGATAGAACTGTCTTAGGAAGTCGCTTACGTGAAGCGTACCGCCAGATATTATACGATGATGAGTTTCGTGGCCTGCAATATATTGCCCTTGAACTGTGACAGATGTTTTCTAAGACAGATACTGCTGATCGTGCAGGCTTCGATGGTCCGTCGAAATTGAGTGTCGTTCGGCTCCATCCTTTCAAGAAATAGTGGTGCCGCAAGTTTATTAGTGTAACCCGTTCTTAATTCGTGTAACTAAATATGTCCATGTCAATAATTGTTAAAGTTGGGCTCATCACCATTAAACATACATTCAAACATAATTCGTCGATTTTATATAAGAACAAAGGTGTATATCGTCAGCCAAAGCATATGCTTGCAAAATCATAGGCATTAGTGCACCAGTGCATCAGTGCAGTCTGTTCGTGCAGTATTCAGGGTTCAATCAAGGTGTACAGTAGCCGAATATTTGACGGTTGCAGACGTCCTTAATAACAAAACATCAAATAATTCAAGGCTTTAACTATACTTCGTGATGTTTCAGCATTTGTGATCACTAGGGTATAATAACACGCAACGACCAAATCGAGAATAAGATGCATCATGTTAGCGATTTGATTTCCTATTTCTTCGACACATACTACAATTAACGGCTTATCTATAGAATAACACCATAATAAGTCAAGTATGCTAGGGCATCCACTATTGGTCCTTTCCTTTTGTACTCAAGTTGGGGCTATGTTGCAATTTATGTCGAAATTACGGTCACTTGGTTCAGGCAAACGGGAAAAGGAAGCAGGAAAGAAGCAAGACAACCTTGTAGTTTGAAGTATTAAGGCCACTGCTGAAAGTCTCGGTTGCACCTGCATTTGGCGTTGAGCGGTTTTACTGAATTCTGTCAGCCCATTCGACCGCCAGAGATTGATATGTCAAGCAGGAGTTCCGCTGTGGCAAAAGGGTTGGGCCGGCTCTGAAATGGGTTCAGAGTATGCCGAAATCCTCAGCTTTTACGTACATGTCTAGGTCTTTAAATCGTTATAGGCCAAATCGGCTGCAGCACAGGCATGAACCAGGCCGTCTTTGTCGGCAACTCGGCATTGCACTGGCGCTAACCTCTCAGCGCACCAATTTGACACAGTTGATCGGTCTCATTCCTTCACAATTCAACATTACTTACTGTTACTATGCAATGACAGTTCACAAGACGATATGAAGATCCGTTTCAACTCATTCAAAGATTTAGAAATGAGTATAACTCGTAATTCCCCGCATGTTTGATCTAGCCTAACCACACTTGGGGTGTAGTCAAATTTACTGTGGAAGTCTACCCTGAGGTTGAGTTCAAACGTGCTGCTTCAGGATTGCAATCCTGAAAGCCGCGATTGCAAGGCATTTCAAAGAAATGGATGTTATTCTTCAAGAGACGTTAAGCGGCATATACAAGATATTCAAGTGTAAGGACATAATGTATCAGATTATGGGATCGACTCACTGCGCTGCACCTCTACGGCCAGTTTCGCCATCGTCAACAAGAATTGTTAAAAAATATAATCCGTGTCCATAGTGTAGCCATGTACTGACAGGCCAGGCACTAACCAGCGTTGCCGCAATATTTTACACCCGTTCCGCCATATGGCAACGGTATTCGCATTGACTCAGAACGTAATAGCTGTTGGGGCGGTGCTGGGATGACCCATTCAAGAACACGCTTCTTATTGTGCAGTCCAAATTTCTTTTGAAAGTATTTGGCCCGACTGTGTAAGATCTAGCGCAACATTACTGAGGAATGAACACAGATACCAACACAAATGGCGTGGTATCCGAGTCCGCAATACTCAAATGATGGCTGAGGTTTTCTTTTGCTGGCCAGTACTAGTCCATTCACGTAGGGTTCTCAGAGGTGGCCTCGCATCACGACTGATCGCACAGAAGAATGAAGCTCTTGTAGGTGTTCGTTTACGAATTGGTTCCTCTGCTCTCTCTTGTACTAAATGTTGTCCAGCAGACACCAAAATCTCAAAATTTAATTGTAGCGGGGGGGTGCATGTAAGCATATTAACCGTCGCTTCTAACTGATTACACCACTTACTTCAAAAGCTACTAGACTAACCTAGGTCGAAAGAGTGACACTTGGCGCTTTGACATGCCTTTGCCATATCCCATAGGCTTGAGGTTTGAGGCTGAGAGCAGGTTGGGTTGACCTTGTTACAATAATGCGCGTTCCGTCTCGCATGGTCTTTGCGGCAAAGGATTTCTTGACAAGATGCCATTTAACCTTGTCAAGCCACAGTCCCGATTAGGCTATATTCAGCCATGGATTTAGTGGCCACGTGCATTTCACGTCGGGCGCGTGCCATGAGGATGAGCTGATACAAAACTTTAATTGTCTTAAGCTGCCGACCAGAGACAAGTGCTGAAAGGTATTTTCCAGTAGACATTTGCTTACGGAAAACTGAATTCGCTTAGTATTGCCACAGACTTACCGACAACACCTATCAAAGACATGTTCCTGGTTCCCCGTTCACTGCCATGAGTCTAGGCTCGCGGGTAGCTAAACGTAACTGTTCTTTTGTTGTTTCAAGGGACCAGGGAAGTGTTGACCTGAAACTTAAATGTTAACCAACTGACTGACATTGACAAATATCAATTCGCACAGGTAGATACAGCAAGCGGCTGGAGCTGCCTTGGCGCCTTGCTGACAAAGTGGAAACAAAAATACTGCGGGTGGCCATGGGTACCCAGCTAACTACTATCATTCACAGAGAATGAAGAACCCTTTGCACCCGGGATGATATGAGTTACACCATTCTCATGTCCAGATATGAAAAGCTTCTCTTGATATGTCCTGGTAATTTTTACCCCTGAATGAGTAGACTTGAATCGAAAAGCTGTGGTCCAAGCTTTAGGGGGACGCCTTTGAGGCGTTCAAGCAACGGCAGACATGGCGATGTCTCAAGTATTAGCAAACTCATTCGCACCTGATCCAATGGTAGGATATTCGGCTTGGTGATAGTCTTGGAGGCCAAGTCTAATAGTAATCTTCCAGTTTGGTCGCAATGCTCTGCATAGTCTCATATTCCGAGCCATCGTGTACATACATATAAAGGAGACGATTCCTCAATACATTAAATTCGAAGAGATGCAGCAATAGGTAGCCACCTTCCTTTTGCTTGAGCTGGATTTCTTCCCTGGTCATTCAATATTCTTTTTAACGGACAACAATCTTCCACGCTGCTACGATGATCATCTTTATTTTACCACTAATCTTCACAGCGGCTCTTGCTACGGCTAAGCCACTTCAAGAGCGCGCTGAATGCCCCAGCATTGTCTCTAATTTTGATGACCTCGTCTCTGCAGGGCCTCGCGCGGCTGCAAGGCCTGTGAATACCTACAACGGACTCAAGTACCAGGACTTTTGTGCGAAGCCCTCTTAACTTCCAAGTTCGCATACGGTGACTAATATGGGCCATTTAGTTTTCGAAGATCCTCATGATGTAACTGGACAAGTACCTTATGGTTTCATCCCAGCCTCTGGTAGTAATGTTGGACTCTACTTTGGTGACTCGACTCCTATCATCAAGTCGAACTACATCGGCTCTAAGATTGCGTCTTTCGACCTTGAATCGTTCAGCTTCGGTTGCGCACTTGGCTTGAATAGCACTGCGTATGGCATCGCGCGTTGTATTGTGGCAGTATTCGGTTACAGGGGTGGTGCAAGGGTTGCGTCTCAATCTTTCAACTTCCTCCCAACCACACGCCAGTCCACGGCAGAGTTCCTTACAGCTACTCTCAGTGGAGACTTCACGAATCTCGACAAAATTCGATTTGGTACGGTCTATGCCCCATCCTTGGCCGCTGGCTCAGACCTTGCCAACGCTGGGTTTGTTGGGGCGACGTGGTTTGACAACATACAAGCCACACTGCACACAAGTGGGACTGCCGCTTGCCCGGTTGTCAACTTGGGCACGACCACATCATCCCATATCTCTAGCACTACCTCCGCAGTTTCCTCATCCAACATTATCAGCACGACTACGCCAATCATCTCGATCAGTAGTGCTGTCAACAGTACCACGAGCTCTTCCCCAGAGTCTATATCTACAGGGTCTTTGGCGAGTTCGACCGATACATCTGCATTTACCAACGTGACGCAGAGCTCAACCACAAGTGACGAAACCACAAGCGCAACCACAGTCATCAGCCCAACGTTGACGTTGCCCAGTATTACAGACTCGGCAACTTCGACTCTCGAGCCTACTTTGACAGTGTCCACTCTCTCGATTATCACAAATTCATCGACTTTCACAGATAGCGCTTTGACAACTTCAAGCACCACGCAAACAACAACCAGCAGCGATGAGCCAACGATTACTGAGTCAACTATCACTGAGTCACCGATCACCAGTGATGGACCCACAATCACCGACTCGTCAATCACGGAGTCTACAAGTGACAGCTCTACTACCAGTGATGATGTTACAACTACCGAGACATCATCAGATTTTACGGTTACGGAATCAAGCACTAGCGGATCTGCAACTATCAGTATTGATCCTACCTTCACCGAGCCAACTAGCTCGGAATCGACGATCACAGAATCCGCTGCTGTGACCACGACATCGAGCGATGAGCCTACTGTCACTGAGACAAGCAGTGAAAATACTATTACCAGCGATGAGCCAACCATCACTGAGAGTACAACGACGAGTGATGAGCCCACGATTACAGAGAACACCAGTGAAAGTAGCACCTTCAGTAATGAGCCAACCATCAGTGAGCCTACGACCTCATCAACGATTACTGATGAACCGACGATCACTGGACCTACCGTCACTGAGTCCACGATCACTGATGAACCTACCATCACTGAACCCACTATCACTGAACCCACTATCACTGAACCCACTATCACTGAACCCACTATCACTGAACCCACTATCACTGAACCTTCGATCACAGAATCCACGATCACTGATGAGCCTACCATCACTGATGAGCCTACTATCACGGAATCCACGATCACTGACGAGCCTACTGTCACCGAACCCACCATCACGGAATCCACGACCACTGATGAGCCTACTATCACTAGTGAATCCACGACCACTGATGAACCTACCATCACTGATGAGCCTACTATCACGGAATCCACGATCACTGACGAGCCTACCATCACTAGTGAATCCACGACCACTGATGAGCCTACCATCACTGAACCTACGATCACGGAATCCACGACCACTGATGAGCCTACTATCACTAGTGAATCCACGACCACTGATGAGCCTACCATCACTGATGAGCCTACTATCACGGAATCCACGATCACTGACGAGCCTACTGTCACCGAACCCACCATCACGGAATCCACGACCACTGATGAGCCTACCATCACGGAATCCACGATCACTGATGAACCTACCATCACGCAATCCACGATCACTGATGAGCCTACCATCACTAGTGAATCCACGACCACTGATGAGCCTACCATCACTGAAGAACCTACCATCACGGAATCCACGATCACTGATGAGCCTACCATCACTAGTGAATCCACGACCACTGATGAGCCTACTATCACAGAATCCACCATCACGGAATCCACGATCACTGATGAGCCTACTGTCACCGAACCCACCATCACGGAATCCACGACCACTGATGAGCCTACCATCACCGAACCCACCATCACTGAACCTACCATCACAGAATCCACGATCACTAATGAGCCTACCATCACTGAACCCACCATCACTGAATCCACGATCACAGAATCCACGATCACTGATGAGCCTACTGTCACTGAACCCACCATCACGGAATCCACGACCACTGATGAGCCTACCATCACTAGTGAATCCACGACCACTGATGAACCTACCATCACTGATGAGCCTACTGTCACTGAACCCACCATCACGGAATCCACGACCACTGATGAGCCTACCATCACTAGTGAATCCACGACCACTGACGAGCCTACCATCACTGAAGAACCTACCATCACTGAAGAACCTACCATCACGGAATCCACGATCACTGATGAGCCTACCATCACTGAACCCACCATCACTGAACCTACGATCACAGAATCCACGACCACTGATGAGCCTACCATCACCGAACCCACCATCACTGAACCTACCATCACAGAATCCACGATCACTGATGGGCCTAGTATCACTGAACCCACCATTACTGAATCCACGATCACAGAATCCACGACCACTGATGAGCCTACTATCACTGAACCCACTATCACTGAACCTACGATCACAGAATCCACGACCACTGATGAGCCTACCATCACTGACGAACCTACCATCACTGAACCTACCATCACTGAACCCACAATTACTGACGAGCCAACGACCTCGTCTACAATTTCTATAGAGCCTCCCATCACAGATGAGCCCGCCACTCTCACCACTGAAACAACAATCTCGACTTTAGTCACTACCACATCCTCCCTTCCTCCAGCCGTCACGAGCCCCAGTTCTGATTTTAACATCACCATTCCAATTGTGAGCCATTTCCATTACCATACCCTCAATCTTGGAGTGACTAGATTACTAAACATCGACAGGACGGCCGACCTCCCTTGTCTACCAACGGCCGTTGCGGTACCGAGTATCACGGTACAGATTTCGGCACTCGCTGTCCTGGAACGCAGTGCTGCAGCTTGTGGGGATGGTGTGGTGATGGCGGTCTGTGGTGTGCGACTTGCCAGACTGACTTTGGAGCTTGCTTCAAGTTCGGCAACTTCAGATTCAAGATCCCTAACAACGTTACCTCCACGGATCCAAAGTAGACGGTTTGATTATGGAGCCATTCTTTTTCCTCGCAGCTGTGCACTACTTGTCGACAGCCAAAGGTCCTAAAATTGTGGTTGAAAACGCCTATCAGAGAAACGTCGGTTGAAAATCGAACAAGTTCTTTCTTGAATCAATTTCTTGAGCAACGTGTTCATTCAACTTTTAAATTCCCCGATCCTTGGTATACTCTTAGTATAGCCTAATAATAAAACCAGTCAATTGTGTTTTTACTACCAGATTTTGCTCACACCACTGATCCAGGATTTCTTCGCATATATGGGCCATTGTTCAATCCCAATGATTTCAGTGATAAGCCCAAAGGTTCAGCTACATATAGGGTTCCCCCACCGGTATTTAGTGACTGACAGCTATTTCCCGGGTAGCTAGCAAAAAGAAATTCAAATGTGGTGTCGTGGTTATATCCAGGACCTGCTTCTACGACAGTAACCATTCAGTAGCGACTTGCATTTCAAACGACCAGAATCATCAGAACACTACTTCCGGACATCATCAGATCAGTCTGCAGGCAGATCCACGTTTTGCTTATATCCTAACTTTGTTCCCTCTTCATCTAGAAACCTATACTTTCCAGAAACCAACACAATCACATCTCACCAATGCCATACGACAAAAACAACTTAACACAATCACATCTCACAAATGCCATAGTATAGAAAGCGAGACTTGACTCGATCTTACTTTGTAAACCATTTATTTCGCAACAATGTACCAATCTATTTCACAACCCTCTACAGTTACACTCTCAGAAAATGGCTTTCTACCAGTTCTCACGTTTACCGGTGGAGATCCGCATCCTAATCTGGAAGTCTGCTCTGAAGGCAACAGCGATAGAATTAGGAGCCCTAACACCAAGCGGGAGGCCGCCACTCAGCAGCAAAATCTGGTATAAATTAGGCGACGGACGTAACCACGCAGTGCCCCAGATCAATCATGAAGCAAGGCAGGTGGCTTTCGAAACGTGCAAACTGCAGCCTTTTCCCGTTTCCCTCATTTCCGGTGGCCCCTCGGTCCATTTCAGGGTAACAATATACGTCAACTGGAACGAGGATATTTTCCTCATTGAACAATTCCATCTAGGATTTCACGAAGACGTGTTTCGAGTGTCCCCAGCGCCAGCAACAAAATCTGGTTTGCCCTTCAAGCGTTTGGCTCTGTCATTTTCATACACGCCCAATTCATCGCTTCTTGATCAAAGCATGACTCATGGTTACGATCGAGCCATGTTCTATTGGTTTGGTATCTACTTTGTTCCCGGCAATATCACCCCACCTGGTATTGCGAGCAGTAAGCTCAAGTTGAAGGAGTACATCATCCTCGGAAAGCACGCAAACTGTGAACCAGTGGGTTCAGGGTGCAGGTTTGCCGGCTCAGAAGAACAGTGTGAGCAGGAAAAAACTTATGTTGAGAAATTACGGGAGACCTTTAATTTCGCGGATGAGCGAGGCATACAATACTACTATCCTGGCGAAGGTCCTTTCCACAGACACGTTCAAGAGAAAGACTGGAAAATGTTCGAACGATGATGGTTTAATCTACGTAGACATTTATCGGGAAGCGACACAGGGCTGTGCTGGTGATATGAATAGTCCTGTTCTCGTGGAAGTATCAAGGTTGTACTATGAGTGATAGTTCCTAAGAGTTAGGCACACAACATATACATTTAGACGATACAAGGACAACTCTACTAATAAAATTGAGCGTCCAGACCCTAGGACTGTCTGCGCTTTGATGCCTTGACCATTCGATTTCCGAAGCGAGCCTAGAAATACCCTTGTATAACCACATTCCCTAGGGGCAGAATTGAACATTGCTCATGCCATGTATTCTTGACATTTGACCGGCAGAGAGAATTGTATAAAAGTGGCCCAGATACCCCGTAACGCTTCCTGTGCTTTGAACAGCCTCGCCAGGCCAAGACCATCGAGAGAGAAAATGGCTTGACCGCATAAAACAAGAAAGGGTAAACTTATTCCATTCTTTTGCCTTATTTCTATTTGAAATTCATATCATGATTTGAGAATTTGCCTTGAACAGCAGGAGTACATGGATCTGGGTCGATCTAAACAGACTGCGAATTCACAACCCCCCCCCCCATCTTCGAAATCAGGCGGTCCCATAGACCTTCAAGGAGTCTCGACATGTGGCGCAGGTTACCTGTGGTCCCAAGCCACTTCGGATGTGTCCTGATGGAGTCGGAAGACAGCTTCAGCCGATATACGTAAGTGGGAATCAAGATCGGTTCTTCGTGAAAGTATTTCACAAGGCTACACATCCAATTCTCGACCGGGAACTCCCAGAAAGTCGCTGGGCAGTTGGTCACTGGATTATACACTTTCGAAAGTGGATCAGACATCTGATGGTGAGGACATACGATACCGAGGACGTTCCGGCGTATTGGTGAGCCACTTCGGACTTCATAGACTTTCCGTCAACGGTTCACTTGCTCAAAGGAGGGACAACTAGAAAGCGCTCGGCCTTAGAATGCTACACCTTGTAGTTCAAATACCGTCCTCCCCAGTTGAAATCGATTGACTTTACTCCTTTCGAAGTGTTGGGCAATAGGATTGGGCGGGGTTCGAGAAGCCCGGGATATGACACGATACGAAGGCTACAAGTCCTTTCCGATAAAGGCATCATGCCGCGCATCGATATTGGAAAGCACCAGAGATAAATTCCATATTTATTGAGCTCTTCGTCATAAAGAGTTTGAATAATGGAAGATTTACTGAATTGTATTTGAACTTTGACATTTTGTCTTGGGGGAGGCGGTGTGGTGAACAAGGTGTGGTGAACAAATGGTCGCGCGTTTCGAGATACTTATGCTGACACGTCTACTATCACAGGAGAAAGAAAGTAATTCTGCCCGTATGTTCATAAATCGGTTCAAAATGATACCAGACGATACCTCACATCACAGCCATCAGAGGAGCCAAGTCATGGTGTACAAGAACATCGTGCCAGAATAACCTCGGGAGCTATGACCGTCACACCCCTGTAGCTCATTGTGTCTGACGTCACAATATCGTTGCCAGCCATCACCTCATTGAACGGGTCACAATGACAAGCCCAAGAAACGATTTCGCGGGCAGGTACTGTGCAGAAAATAAACGTACATATATTACAACCGCAAGATAACCGTCCAATTGACCGCATAGGAGTTCACACTGATATCTACGCCCTCATCAATATATCTCTTCATCTTCTCACCAATACACCAACCACAAACCCCCACATCCACAATGCCATCCCTCACACCCCTCCGCAACGTCCTGCGCGTGCCAGCCACGGCCCGCATGACGCCTTTTCCAGGCATGACGCGACGGGGCCTGCGCACCACGGCGCCGGCCCGCATGGCGTACAAGGACGACCAGGACCGGGAGTCGCTGAAGCCCAAGGCGCACGAGTACACGCAGTCGGGGACAGACGAGGGGGCGGCGGCGCAGTCGGACGCGGCCTTCAACCCGGACAAGACCAGCCCGGAGACGGAGAGGCAGACGGCGGGCGCGGGCCGCGGCGAGGGCAACGAGCTCGAGTCCAGCCCGGCCAACAAGGAGTTCGCACACGGCGGCGCGGCGAATGACGAGGACACCACCAAGACCTCCAAGGGCAGCAAGAAGAGCAGCGGCAGCGGCAGTCCGGCCAAGGGCGGGAAACACAGCAACACCCAGCCGGGCGGTTCGGGCGGTTCGGGTCTATGAGAAGGCGATTCCTTGTTGGGGAAGGAGAATAAGTTACCAATGATCAACGGGCGTTCAAACGGTCATGGTTGGGGGACTTTTCTGTACAGATACTTACGGTCCTGCATGATCTATGGAGTTTGGTAGTCCGTTTTCAGAATCGAGCATTTTGTTTAACCAGAAATAGCATCAGAAGCCCATAAATGAAACGTCAAAAACAAAATAGAACATTTGCAATGAGCACCAATCAACTTGACCGCAGCATCTTATGTATGGGTATCACCATCCTCATGAACCTGACCTGACTCCTGAACAAACACTCGCCATCATATCTGTCTGCAGCAGACCTTTCAACCGTAGAGACCATCCATATCATCCTCCTCCTCATCATCGTCCACGGGCACCGGTATCTTCTTCTTTTCCGTCAGGTCCTTCCGACACAGCGGACAAGTCCCCTTGCTCTGCAACCAGGGGCCCACACACTCGAGATCGAAGCGATGGGCACCATGACAAGGCAGCTCAACGACCAGGGGGTACGGATCGTCGAGGTAGTTCTCGGCGCAGATGGGGCACGAGTCGTCGGCGCGGAGGCTCTTCTTGGGCACGCGGTCGAGGCTGTCGAGGTACTCCTGGGCGACGCCCCGGATCTGCTCGGGCGGGTTGTCCACGTCGGAGCGCAGGGCATCGATCAGCGAGACGAGGAAGTCCCGGTTGGTGTCCGAGGGCGCCGAGTTGGCCAGCGTCGCCATCTGCTCCTGCACCATGGTGAAGAGCGCGGCGGCGTCGACGGGCGTGGGCCCTGCGTGGTGGTGCGTCGAGGATGTGCTCGAGTCGGCGTCCCGCGAGATGCTGTGCAGGTGCGACGTAAAGGACGACATGTCCGGGCGCCGGCTGTGGGCTGCCTTGCTGGAGGACTTGATGTTGTGCTCGACTGCCCAGCGTCGTTAGTTACATGATCAATCCAGAGGCAGACTCCATATATTAGGGGCTGTTGTGGCTCGTACCCTCATACGGATTCGACGCCATGCTGGGCGAGATGAGAGCCTGTGGTTTATGCGGCAACTGGCGAAACAGTTCTGCAACTTCTTAATATGTGGGCTTGAGGGTTCGTCCAGACAAGTGATGCAGGATGAAATGTGTCTCAAATCTGGAAACCAAAATAACCTAGCTTGCGTGAGCGGAGGAGCTATGTGAGCTTGGATGGACAGTTCCAGGTGCCCCGCCAGGCATCGTAGCTGACGACGGGAGGGTCGTTTGGGGGAGTTTGCGCTCCATACTAACCTAGTAGCTCCAGCTCATAAAAACTATGGGGTTTATGCATATTTATGCACACTGCACACCAGATCATAACATTATACAATAGATCTATACTCCATACTCCTCTCCTCGTCTCCAACCGTGACCCCGCGTTCCCCAAAAGGCTTGCAGGGAGACTATTCGATTTGACTTCACACCACTGCTCGTTCCTAGTCTACACACCGAGTATAATTTGGCATTCACACTAGACCATGGCAGCACCAAACCCAGCCAACAACGATCTGCGCATCGAAGTAATCACCGATGGAGCTGATTTCGAGCCAGCACATGCATGCATCGGGAAATGCTTCGGTGACCAGACTAGCGATGGCATCTGGATTCTCATGAGCCCCGGCTGGGACACACCTGAGGGCAATAAAAGGCTCGCGGCGAGACTCCGGGATCGCTGGCAGGAGACCCAGCAGAACAACAACACCATCTTCCTCAAGGCAACCCTGCCAGACCCGGATGCGCAAGGGGCCCGGCGCATCGTGGGAGTTGCCATCTGGGTCAACGCCTCCAAGATACCCGGCGAGGGTGAAGTGCCCGGGGAGGTGGACTATGCCGCGCTATACCCCGAGGATGAAGGGAAGCAGAGGTTTCTGAAACAAGCCATGGCCTCGTTGCACAAGCAGCGCTACCAGGTCCTCGAGGAGAAGGCGCGGCCGGAATCCAAACAAAAGTCAATCATGGTATTGGACCTGTGCGTTACCGACCCTGCATACCAGCGCCGAGGTATCGCCAGGAGACTGGTTCAATGGGGGTTGGATGAGGCCAAGAGGCGCGGTGACCTCGAAGCGACGACGGAAGGTTCGGCCATGGGCCGCCATGTATACCGGCAGCTTGGTTTTCAGGGCGTGAGTGATATAGTGTGGGAGGTGGATGATGAGTTCAAAAATTACTCCCTGCCGCCGAATCTGTTTATGCGCACGAGGCCGTCAGACGCATTGTAGTCGGCCTTCAATCTCCCAGGTCAGACCGTTAAATGAAAATGCAGTTGGCAAATCCTCGCACGACATATTTGTTGAGGTGTTCATACATTGTCAAACAGTGGCTATCACCGCTGCCCCGGATTTGGCTTTCTCTATCCCATGGGATTTCCACATACCCATAATTCTCTCAAACTGTGCGTCGATCTGCGGCACAAGGTCGTGGCTGTGTACGAGCCTTCCGCACGTCCAGATCTTATCAAACAGTGAATCTGATCCTTTAGACGCAGAGCTATTCCTCTTGTTTTATGTTGATCCCGTTTGCAGGGCCCATTACCAGGCGAGGTCAAGGACTCTTAATGCATACCCAATTATCAACCTTCTCCCTTGCATGGTTGACATAGCAGGTCATGTCAACAGCGACGTGTTTGCACACATGGCTCTAATTTGAGCAAGAAAAGAAAACATTCTCTCCGTGCATTGTTAGAAGAACGACCTTTCCCCTTCACTGGCACAGGTAAGTAATACGCTTTCTGCTTGAATTTCAAAGTCGAGATCGAGTTTGACGTAGATCCTTCTTCTCACAGATATGACGTCCCACAATAATACCATTGGGCAATCTCTCGTCTCGACAGACCAATCCTTAGCATTGACAAACGAATCGCTATCGCAAGTGGATACATGTTCCATATCGTCAGACGACCATCAGGAGCTGGAACGCACCACAGCTCAGCAATATGTCAATACCGATGAGCATGCCTTCAGCCGGCGGAAAAGAAACCTATGCGTGTGTGTGGCGTCCGCCGCGGCGCTGTTGTCACCATTAGCAAGCAATGTCTATCTTTCTGCGACAGTAAAGATGTCTGAGGTTAGTCAAGCTTGATTCGACATTTTGTAATAAAGTAGTTTCTGACCCGAGTATAGGAGGTTGGCGTGCCAATCCACAAAATAACGTTGACCCTGACCATATATATGGTGGTACAAGGAGTATCACCGTCGTTTTGGGGACCCCTCTCCGACGTGAAAGGCAGGAGACTGGTCTTCTGCTGCACATTAGTGCTGTACCTGATTGCGAACATCTGCCTGGCTGTGACAAGGGATTACGGCAGCCTTGCCGCATTTCGAGCGCTCCAAGCTGCAGGTGGAGCAGCGACGATCGCCATATGCTCTGGTGTGATTGGAGATATTGCGAGTCCAGCGGAGCGGGGAGGAATGATTGGGATGTCCAGTGCTATCCGACAAGCGGCACAGTTCCTTGGCCCCGTTGCCGGTGGGATAATTACACACTATCATGGTGTTCGCGCCATCTTCTGCTTCTTAGCCATGATTACCTCGGTGGTACTGTTAATGGTCGTGGTTTTCCTGCCCGAGACCCTTCCTCCGATCGCTGGCAATGGAGATGTGCGGCTGCACGGTATACATAAGCCTATTATGTATGCATTCAAAGCACAACCGGATGTCTTCAAGGAGCACAGCCAAATGCCATCAAAGCCATTTACACTCTCATCCCTCTGGACGCCGATCTGCTTGCTGACACAACTCGATGTTTTCATCGTGATGTTTTATGGCGGGATCATATACACGATCCACAACATGGTCACCGCGTCCAGCACCGGACTGCTGCAACCGCGCTTCAAGCTCACAGATGTACAAACCGGGCTGATATTCCTTCCGAACGGTATAGGTGTCATCGTTGGTTCGTTTGTCTGGGGAAACGTTCTCGACCGGAATTGGAAGACGTACGATAGTAAGCATGAATCCAATGACCAGGAGCTGCTGGAGAAAAAGTCGGGAAATGGCAGGTTTAAGCCCGTTCACATGGAGCGTGCCCGGCTGCGTCACTCCTGGTGGTTACTACTCGGTTTTGTTGCCTCTGTATGCGGGTATGGCTTTGTACTCAAGGCGGCACATCTAGCTGTTGTGCTCGTTATGCAGTTCTGCATCGCATTTACTGCACAGGCCGTGTTCGCTATGTGTTCCACCATGTCGATTGACCTCTTTCCACAAGCTGCGGCTAGTGTGACTGGGCTCCAGAATCTCGTACGGTGTACCTTGGGAGCGGCTGGCGTTGCTGTGGTAGATCTGATGCTGGAACGGTTCGGGCCAGGTTGGACTTACAGTATCTGCGCCATTGTTGCTTGTGCTACTAGTCCATTGTTGGTCTTTTGTTGGATGCGGGGAGCGAGCTTGAGAGAGAAGAGGGCACAGAAGTTGAAAGAAGAAGAGAGGATGGGAAGGGGAAGAGAAACGGAGCGTGTGAAAGTTGTTTTAGAGGTTGAGTGCGAACATGCACCATAAAAAGGCTGATCAAACGTGCCAGAAGACGTTAGGGTTGCACACAGAAGCAGCATACCTCCAATGCGCCTTTACCATAATCGTGCGGACGGTCAACGTCACGTTGGGGGGCAACGTGTGCATTAGAATTCTATATTACACATCTCAAGTTGATAATTGTTAATAACCATAAATCCTAAGATCGCCCAGAGAACGATATCAACGAATATTTCACGCCACAAAACTCGCTGGTTGCCACGTTAATATCAAAATACTGCTGATATACTTCCAGGAGAACTCAAAACCGATAATCTACACACAACACGGACGTCCCGAGGAGGACTTCAAGTCCGAGTATATGGACCAACTAGACTAGTACGAGGACGGGGGAAGTCATGCGGACGACATAAAGAAGCATGTGAGACTGCGGGGTTGATAACAATACCGAAATCGTAATGTGTGATAATCCACCGCCCGAAAACTGACAGAGATATGCTGCAAATAAAAGGCATAGTGAAATATATTGTTTCTAGAAGTGTTCTTGACTTTGCAGGGACTAACTGTTGGCATGTAACCACTCCTGTCGTGCTGGGGATGCATGAAATACATGGCAAAAGCATATTGGCTGAGAGTTGTAAAAGCGTAGCTGCGGCGGCGGAAGACTCTGGTCCAGCAGTGCAACCTCTCTGTAAATTATCAAATCGTTGCAGCAATTGCGACACACGAATCATCCAAACTACCACAGGTTATATTGTATGGAAGGCTCAAAACGCCGTTTCCTGATCAGACAGGGAACACAATCCGTTAACTCCGCTGGTGGTTCTTATCTCCTGAATTCAACCCCAGAGGGGAGAGAGGTCAGATGAGATGTAACTTCAAAGCTTAAATTTGCCAGAAGCAAATCTTGATGGTTTACCGCCTCATAATAATCGGAAATTTTGGAAATTGCTTACTGTAAATGAAAATGTCCTCCCTCCAATACAAGTCTCATTCTCAGAATCGAATAAAGTGTGCGACCACTGACAACATTGATTTGCAAACAAGCGCGCTGCTGTTATCGATCAAGCTTGAGTTCATTTCATGCCCCATTTGGCCCTTAACTTCCCAGGGCTAGATTTGGTCGTCCGGCAGACGGCGGTGCGGTGAGACCAGGACCAGGTCCCCTGGGCGGCTCGGGAGAAAAAGCTACCACCGGCCCTCAACAATTAATTACCTGTCAGCTTCCTCGAAGCTGAAGTTTATCTACTGAACCATCATTTAGACTTCATCTTTTCAAGTCATTCCTTGGAAACGAACATTTGATTAGACCACGCCCGTCGCCCACGAACCCACCGAATTACAGGTTGGATGGCGACGCCGCTATCCTCCCTGGCTCGTGCTAGGGTGGGAGCTCTCCAGGCGCGAGCACCAGCTTTTGGCTCTTCAAGTGCAGCTCAGCAGAACGTTCTCAAGGCCGCCGTGGCTACATGTACGCATTTGCGTGGGGTGCATTCTTTAGGTAATGGGCTCCTTTGTCTTTCCAAGTTCTCCCCCACGATGATGGTGACTTTGCGCCCACGCGCTTGGTCTATGACCATCACATTTGGCAACGTGATTGAGTCAAGCGACGGACTTTGACTATCAATAATGTCGCCCCCGGTTTCGGCCGCAACAGGCGCGAATAGATACATAGTACAGGCTCCATCAGCGGGTGCACCGTCATCCCCAACGTGGAAATCTGCCGGCCAGCCTATCCGCGGCGCAGGGCCACGAGGGATATGGACGAGTAGTACCAAGCAGAATGTGGACCGACGGTTGCCTCTTCAGGTCACACCCTGGAATCCACATGGACCCTTGCACCGATTTTCTGATCCCTCTGGACTAGAAACAATGCGGTGTTTCTGCAATATCGTGCAGATCAGACTGCTTCTTTTCTTTCCTCCTCAGTTGATCCTGCTGCTAGACTGATTCCTGGGTGCTTGGATTTGCCTATATCCCTCCCTATAAACCCCATATTGCACGATCTTCCGCTGTCACTGACGATCGTTCGTTAATCTTGTTTGACTATATACAGGATCTACCCCGCGATCGTTCCTGATTCCGTCGACTGCCCCACCATCGTGCAGGCAAAAGTTTGGACATCGTACGACACGGCCCGTTCACAGCAGTGTCGCGACAATGGGCAGGCTAAATATCAAGAATATCAACCCTAACGTCGTTGAGGCCAAGTACGCCGTCCGCGGCGAGCTGGCGGTCAGGTCTGAGGAGTATCGCGCCAAGATCCGAAAGGGCGATGCTAGCGACTTGCCCTTCGACCACGTCATCAGCGCCAACATTGGTAACCCTCAGCAACTCGACCAGAAGCCCATCACCTTCTTCCGACAAGTCCTCAGTCTGCTAGAGAACCCTCTCTTGCTCCAGCACGAGGACGTGCTGACCGAGAAGCTCGGTTACAAGTCCGACGTCATCGAGCGCGCGAAGTGGCTGCTTAGCCATGTTGGCAGTGTAGGAGCCTACAGTGCCAGCGCAGGTGTTCCAGCCATCAAAGAGAGCATTGCCAAGTTCCTCGAGAGTAAGTTCTGGGTCCCACAAATCCCTGCCATTCATATAACAGGAGCTAACAGTCTCTAGGACGCGATGGCTTCCATGCCGACCCTGCTCACATCTACCTTTCCGGTGGCGCATCGTCCGGTGTCAACACACTTTTGAACATCATCTGCGCTGGGCCTGACACCGGTATCCTTGTTCCCATTCCCCAGTACCCCCTATACACCGCCTCTCTGGCCGTATTGAACGCCACGTGCGTGCCATACTACTTGGATGAGTCCTCAAACTGGGGTACGTGCTTCGAGGAGATCAAGTCTTCCTACGAGAAGGCCAAGAGCGACGGAATTGATGTGCGCGCCATCGTCATCATCAACCCTGGCAACCCCACGGGTGCCTCCTTGACCGAGGCCGACATCCGCTCGGTCATCGACCTCGCCGTGCTAGAGAACCTCGTCATCATAGCCGACGAAGTCTACCAAACCAATGTCTTTATCGGCAAATTCCACTCCTTCCGCGAGATCCTGCTCAAGGCCCAGAAGGAGAACGCCGAAAAGTACAAGGGCGTGGAGCTCGCCTCGCTGCACTCCATCTCCAAGGGCATGGTGGGCGAGTGCGGCCACCGCGGCGGCTACTTCGAGTTGATCGGGTTCAACGAAGAGGTGGAGGCCGAGATCTACAAGTTCGTGTCCATCACCCTGTGCGCGCCCGTCATCGGCCAGTGCCTGGTCGAGCTCATGGTCAACCCCCCGCGGGAGGGCGAGCCCTCGTTCGAGCTGTACGACAAAGAGTACACGGGCATCTTCAACGGGCTGAAGCAGCGCGCCTCCGCGCTGTACGAGGCCTTCAAGGACATGGAGGGCGTCGAGTGCGGCGAGCCCCAGGGCTCCATGTACCTGTTCCCCACCATCACCCTGTCGCAGAAGGCCATCGAGGCGGCCAAGAAGGAGGGCCGCACCGCCGACGAATTCTACTCCATGCGCCTGCTCGAGGCGACCGGCGTCTGTGTCGTCCCCGGTGCCGGCTTCGGCCAGAAGGAGGGAAGCCTGCACTTCAGGACCACGTTCCTGGCGCCCGGCACTGAGTGGGTTGGTCGCGTCAAGGAGTTCCACAAGAAGTTCATGGATGAGTTCCGATGAGCGAGCGAGTTTGGTATGAACCAGGGTGGGGGGAGAGGAACAAATGAGGGTTGGGACATGTTTTGCGTTTTGAGTTTGTTTGTTTGTCTGGAGGTCCGGAGACATCATGCCGCGTCGGATGCAAGGAACATGATAGCCCGCATAAGTTACTCTTACTCCTGCTTTTGAGGTAACCCAAGCAGAACTACAGAACTGAAAGAAAAAAAAATTCCTAGTAAAACCGTGTTGCTAGCCACATGATGATTCAATTTGCTTAGTAGATAGAAAATAAGTCAAAAATGAAAAAGATGACGTGACACCAGGCGTAGACTCGACGTTAAAACAGAAACCAACAAAGTCATGGATCACTCGGCCAACGCACGATCAATTGCATCTGTGACGTCGCGGTCTATTCAGGTACTTCTTTCATAGTGTACAGACATGGTCTCGCTTGGCCCATCACTCTATGCTCTACCCACAGCCCTTGCCAGAACATCGACTAAGCCCTTTCGCTACCCCTGAGGCGCACGGCCTGGCCATACTTCTGCAGCTTGGTGATGAGCTGATCGCCCTGCTTCACGACGTCCTGGTACTGCTTGTTCTTGTCGTCCGGTCGGTTGGTCTCGATGACGCCCTTGCCGGTGACGCGGTCGATGGTGCAGGGAATGCGGCCGCCGGCGATGAACTTTGCGAGATCGCTGAGGAAATAGTTAGCATCGGTTCCACGGAATGACAAGATACATCAGGATATAGTTGCAGGGAGTTAGCTTACCGGTCCAAGAAGTCCACCGTGACGCCGAAGTCGCTGGCCATGCTCTCCAGCCCGACGACACGGTAGCTCTGCAACAACTGCTGGTATGCGCGGAGACGCATCTCGCGGATGAACCAGCCCCGGTGCTCGTGGAGGTATCGGTCCTGCGTCAGGAACTGCTCCTCGACCTGGGCTAGTGCCTGGAAGAATAGCTTATAGTGACCGTTGTAGAGACTGTTGACGAGCTGGGCAAGCGAGGAGAAGTCGACGGCAACCTCGGCCTCGGCTGCCTCGGCGCCCGAGCCAAGGGTGGCCAGGTTCACCACGCCCTTGGGAGCTGCCTGAGCAGATTTGGAAACGGTGCCGGACATGGCGATGTCCTCGTCTGCACCCGGGCCGGCAGAGATGGCGCCCGAGAGAGCGGCGATCCGGTCCTCACCATCGGTTCCCAGGATGGCCTTGATCTCGGGAGCATCCACGACCTTGCTCTTGAAATCAACACGCTTCAGGGAAACAGAGCCTGCCAGTACGGCGTAGACGACGAGATTCGAGTATGTGCATAGTTCGTAGCTGGTAAATGTCGAAAGCGAATCGAGGAGCAGGGGAGCGCCGAGGTTGTAGGAGCGGACAGTGAGGAGGTGAAGACCCTCGTAGGCCTTGAGACGGTTGCGACGGTCCCAGTCGCCACCGCTCTCAACCAGCGTCTTTGCTTTCGCAACCTGCTTCTTTACTAATGTCTTGTCGCCAAAGAAGAGGCCAAGCCGAATGATGGCGAGTACGATGTCGATCTTGGTGCCCAGAATACCCGTCTTTTCTAACAGGTCTTCGTATGCTGCTATGGCCTTGTCCTACATTCATAGCACGGGTTAGAAACTCAGACAGAGGGTGGGTGGGCGAACAGGGCATATGCGCACCTTGTCGCCGACTCTAGCGTAAAAGTCTGCTCTCTTCCCCCGGGCGGCGGTGACCTCGGTGTCGCCAGCATTCTCAACGGCGTCGTCCTCCTCCTTCTGGAAGCCCTCGAGCTCCTGGTCGTTCTCGGCCTGGAGCTTCTTGTAGACGTCGTCATCCCACGGCAGGGTGGCGCTCTTGGAGGAGCCGGTGGCGGTCATGCCGACCTGGATACTTGACTTCCGGCTGATAGGCTTCTGTGAGGTGGAGGAGGTGCCCTCGCCAGCGGGGTTCAGGATGCCTTCAGTGGGGTGGGCGAGGTATCTGTAGAGGGGTGCCATCTTGTGCTCGGTGATGGCATCTTGGAGGGCTTTGGTAGAGGCTTGTTGGGCAGGGCGAGCGGCATAGGGGTTGGTGAGAGTGAAGACATGTTGGCTCAAGGGCAACAGCGGCCATTTGGCATACTGAGGATCGGAGCCCATGGCTGTCTTTTGGCGATGAATTGCGGGACTGGAAACTCAAGGGTCTGTTGGGAAGTGTGCCGTGGGAGCAATAACAAGTAACGCGGTGAACCAAGCAGTCAATCGATCAGTCGTACGGGTGAAATGCGTTGTGAAATACAGACGAACAGTTGAAGCTCCAGCCCTTTGGGATTGAGGACGACAAGTTCAGTGGATGACAAAGTGACGAGCTGCTGTTTGCGCACCTGGAGCTGGTGTGATGTGATGCTAAGCAACAAGCTACGGCGAGTTGACTGGGTTTACTGCGTGCGGCGTACGGCGTACGGATTACATAGGGTACTGTAAGGTCAGTAGGTTAGGCTAGTTGGGCTAGGCGCCAGGCTGGTACAGCAACAGCGTAATGCAATGCACGATGGATGGTGAGTTGTGTAGCCTTGGTGAGTGGCCCGAGCGGCCATAAGGCGGCAGCAGCTCTCGTAATGCTCTTCCTTCTTGGTGAGGGAAGTCGCGGCCAATCAGAAGTCGCCCTGCCACGTTCAGGTATGTTCGGATCCGTACGTAACTTAAGTTACATGCTGTAGTAGTAAAGTTGGTGACTAGACTAACCTTGTTACCTAGGTCAGGTTAGTTAGTTGGGTTAGTCTATGTAATACACAACAAACTTGAGCCGCAAGGAAGGTGCCGCTCACCTGCAGCGCCCCGGAGCTCCCCTGTGGCACCTGCTGCGGCACCTGGCCCCACAACAGTCAAGTCAATGGAAAGGTTCCAAGCATCTGGAGATGCTGAGTCGACATGATCAGCCGTTGTCGCGAAGCCCCTGCTTTGTCGTCAATTCTTTATACCAATCTCCTTCACACCCCAAGAGCGGTTTCCTCCCTTTGCAGTGTTCAGACACTGCATCTCACAACTTCTGCTTTGCATTTTTCCAACATCACCACTGCAATCCTGCAAGCGCAAACACAATCCCTCCAAAATGGCTAGCGATGATGAACGCAGCCCTCGCCCGAGGAAGCGCCTTGTGCAGCGCAAGCAGTCATATGACCGCTCCCCTGATCGCAATGGCAGCAGGACCTCCCGCCGCGACGAACCCGATCTCGATCAACTGCCCCAGCCCTACGACGCCAAGAAGCTCGAGCCTGCTAAGAAGCGCCAACGATCTCGATCGCCCTCCGACGCACCACGCAAGCAGAAGCGCCCGGGCAGAGTAGCTCGTCTGTCTTCCCGAGAGCGCGACGAAGCAAAGAGACGTCAAGAAGACCGCGAAAGGGCCGCTGCCCAAGCTGCTGAACACGCCGCCAGAGGTGCCATTAACGATGTCGTACGGCAGCACTACAACGCAGTTCCCGAAAGAGGCCGCGACTGGCGCAAGACAGACAGTAACATCAAAGGCTTGAGGTCTTTCAACAACTGGGTCAAGAGCACCATCATTCAAAAGTTCTCTCCCGACGAGGATCACACCCCTGGTGCTCACGAACAAGGCAGGGACCTGGTTGGTGTGGGTGGGAAGGAGCTGTTGGTTCTCGATCTGGGTTGTGGAAAGGGTGGTGACCTGGGCAAGTGGCAGCAGGCTCCCCAGTCAGTCCAGTTATACGTCGGACTGGATCCTGCTGAAGTATCAATCCAGCAAGCCCTAGACCGCTACCGACAGATGGGCCAGCGCGGGGGTCGTGGAGGCCGCGGCGGCCACAGAGGCGGACGACATCAACGGCTCTTCGAGGCCTACTTTTATCCCAAGGACTGTTTCGGCACGTCCATTGCTGATATTGACATCATCCGCGATGTGGGCTTCGAATCGTCTATGGGCTCACGCGGATTTGACATTGTCAGTATGATGTTCTGCATGCACTACGCATTCGAAACCGAAGCGAAAGCTCGTCAGATGCTCAAGAACGTTTCGGGGGCACTCAAAAAGGGCGGACGCTTGATCGGCTGTATACCCAATTCAGACATCATCGGAGAAAAGGTCACCCAGTTCAACGAGCGCATGGCCGCCAAGAAGGCAGAGGCCGCCGATGGCGAAGCTCCCCCTTCGGACGACCATGAGGAAGGTGAAGCAGAGCAGACGGCAGAGTGGGGCAACAAATATTACCGAGTACGGTTCCCTGGCAAAACACCCGAGGATGGCATATTCAGACCTCCGTTCGGATGGAAATACAACTTCTTCCTCGATGAGGCCGTGGAGGAGGTGCCCGAGTATGTAGTACCGTGGGAAGCCTTCCGAGCTCTGGCTGAGGATTACAACCTGGAACTACAATGGCACGAGAGCTTCAAGGACATCTGGGAAAAGGAAAAAGACGACCGCACACTGGGGCCACTCAGCGAAAGAATGGGTGTGCGCGAGAGAGGTGGTGGTGACCTGCTAGTGTCACCAGAAGAGATGGAAGTCGCAAATTTCTACGTGGCTTTCTGCTTCTATAAGGTCTAGGTTCATGCAGATTGGCATTTTGCAGTGGTTGGCTCACGTAAAGCGCTAAATCGCTATGCGAGTCGGTTCTATCGACTCGTCTAGGTCTGGCTGGATGTCATCTTTGGCCCGAAATCTTTGATCGGAATGCCAATTCTCCCCAAGTGCAGAAACCGGCGTCGTCTGTTCCCCCCTGCAAAATGGACACGACTTTCTTGTCAATATTGAATAAATACAGGCTCCATATATTCTTTGACTGATCGACTGCCAGATCTACTATTCTTGCTACTTATTATGGGTGCCGCTCGTAACCATCGTCGCTACCACTTTCACCGGCATGGACATAATTCCACTTCAGAATCATTACGACTCGGTGGCGGCATCCAATCGCTGATCATGTCAATACATGATATGACCACTCTCCTCGACACAGATATAAGCCCGCCATACATTAGTGCCAGTCTCACCCACTGTGCTTCGCAGGCCATCGAGTCTTTTAAGGCATGGACTGTCGCCAGCCCCGAGCCATACGGAGGGGACCACATAACCTTAAGTTTACGGTACTGAACGGCCATCTTTCAGTCTTTCCCAAATACAGACGGTTGGCTATTTCGAGATAGGCATGGCCCAGCAGAAATGAACCTCGATTCTGGAGATCGCCGGCTGTCACCATCAGGTAGATGATTTTATCCGTGGTGTAACATGAGCAAAATTCACTCCTTGACCTACAGGCCCTCCCTAAGCCACAGGTCTTAAACATGGCGGCTTGGTGATACCGCTCCGCGACGGAACAGGTCCTCTTGCCAGTTGACGAATATCGTGAACGCTGAATCAGATCTCATGCAAGCCCTGCTTGCGAGACCATCCCCGTTTCCGGCTGCAAGGCTGATGAGATGGACCTGACGCGTTGATGACCTCTTTCTTTCAACTTACCCATAAGTCTTGACAGCTGTTCGAGAGCCTTTATGCAGATCACGGGTATACAAGCATATATTTTCCCAGCATTCTCAGCTATTCTTAATCAAGTCACTCGTCCTATACTATGTTATTGATATCCATTAAACAGGCTCGGGTTGATTCCCTGATCTTCAGCGCTACCGGACTTGCTTGGGGAGTGACTTGCAAGCAATCCTAGCTTTACAAGCCTCCAATCGATAATCTTCTATCATGTATACAGAATGAGTCGCCGACCAAACCGGGCTCGCCGGATTCAAGTTCAATTGAAATCAGGGGGTTATTTGAGATATCTTTTCGCTATGTGCTCTCTAGCGCTTTATACACTCATGTTACAATCACCACACGACAGTGGAAATCAAACACGACAATCGCTTGAGACTTTGAGACGACTTAAACAGGCAAGTTGGGTATTTTATAAATAAACAAAATCATGATTTCGCATAACCTCTGCTACATATTGATTTACTTGTTATAGCTAATATTATGTCACACTATAACGCTATTTCCCAGTCGCAATACCTTTGCAATGTAATTAATTAACGTCAAGACTGTTCTAGTTTGAATTGGTATAAGCCTACTAAGAAGCAAATAAATCCTCCGTGAATTTCAATATTTGCCATTTATTCGGATTGTGGAATGCCTAAGAAGGTTGTTTGTTTAATATAAAGGCATATTGTTGGTGATATGAGTCTATTTGGCCAATTGTCTCCATCTGCTGGCAGAATTGTGGGGGGCACATGAACTAGAAGTGGCCGATCTGCTACCCAATAGAATTGAATATTGTCCGAGATGGATGTTATGCGCTTTAACAAAGCTCCAAGGCAGGATGAGAGTGCGCCCTTGGTGGTGTTTCCGAATTCTCTATAGTTTATTTATGCTCGAACGAACCTGTATTGATTGCTCCTATAGAATTTGTGAAGGTTGTGGAGTAACAAGTGGTGAAAACCTGCGTCCACAACAGTACAGCTGAAAGACGAGTACTGCGGTAGATATGATGTCTACAAGATAGTGTGCAACGGTTATCAACAAGACCAATCCAAGGAACAAAGAAACTAAAAAGCATATGTTCCAAACCTATAAGTAAGCGATCGGCGAGCTCGGTCAAGGTTACCGAACCAAAGCGGGCCCGGCCAGTGAACGGGCTCTTCAGGTCGAGTCGCGCGGTATGATCTGCTGTTGGGGCGGTATCGGCAGCAAAAGACGGGATGATTTTCCGCCAGCAGACCGCCCGAGGCCTCGAAGCCGCGCACGAGGTTGTCTTTCCAGAACAGATGAGGCTCAAGCCCTGGGGTTCTTTCTGTATCGGTTGTGAGGTGGACAAATTCGTGTAAGTGGCCTTTCGGGGGCACCTGACCGTAGAGGACCCGGAGGCTTGACTCTAGCTAGGTTAGACAATATTAGCGGGGAACCCCACAACGATACTCCGCGGTCTAGTTACAGGCGCGCCAATGCCATCGCTGCTCGATGCGGGCCCGGTAGGCCATATATATAACCCCGAATTTCAGGTCTCATATCATGAATGTTCTATTATTATTATTATTAATATTGTTATATCTCACTTGCCTTTACTGAGCCTGTCATCTGCGAGAAGGAGTAACAATGTCGACCACACTCACCATTTTGCCTGATGAGGAGGCCAAGAAGGCCTCCATCTCTCTAAACCCGACCCACACTGTCTCTGACATTGACCCCCTCATCTATGGAGGCTTCACGGAGTGAGTACCTCTCCTCAAATTCTAGGACGAAGAAAGTCTAACACGCGAGGTCAGGCACATGGGTCGCTGTATCTACGGCGGTATTTATGACCCTGATAACAAGAACGGGCTTAGCGATGAGCGCGGTTTCCGTAAGGATGTGATCGACTCCATCAAGGAGCTGAAGGTGCCTGTGATCAGATATCCCGGCGGCAACTTTGTTGCTACATACCGGTGGCAGGATGGCATTGGCCCGCGAGACCAGCGACCCAAGCGACCTGAGCTGGCCTGGCTTGGTGTCGAGTCCAACCAGTTTGGTACCGATGAGTTCATGGAGTGGTGCCGCGAGGTCAACACGGAGCCGTTCCTTTGCCTCAACATGGGTACTGGTACCCTGGAAGATGCATTGGCCTGGCTCGAGTACTGCAATGGCGACAGAGACACGTACTATGCCAACCTGAGGAGAAAGAATGGCCACGAGAAGCCTTATAACGTCAAATACTGGGCATTGGGCAATGAGGTCTGGGGACCATGGTATGCTTCATCTATGACACCTCAAAATGGATGTCGTCGACTAACACGTCAACAGGCAAGTGGAGCAAGACAGCAAGGAGTCATATGCCAAGAAGGCAATCCAATGGGCAAAGGGTAAGTTAACCTCGACCATATTACCGAAAAAGAAATACTTATAAATTCATAGCTCTGAAGCTTCTTGACCCTTCTATACAGCTTGTTCTGTGCGGCCGCGACGGTGTTTCAGATTGGGATCGCTACGTGCTGCAACAATGCTCCCGCTACGTCGACATGCACTCCATCCACTTCTACCACGGAGACTCCGACCATTACCCCAACATCTCGGGACCGTATGCCGCCGAGCGCGCCATCCAGATCACCTCATCACTCATCGACCTGGCACGGTGCGAGCTCGACCTCTCGAACTTCCCTGACTGGAGCAACATCCATACCAGGCCGTCGACGAAGAAGCGGATCAAGATCTGCTTCGACGAGTGGAACGTGTGGGACGCGGTGCGCGCCCCCGGCGAGGAGGGCGCAGAGGAGCGGTACAACCTGTCGGACGCGCTGGCCGTCGCCATCTGGCTCAACATCTTCATCCGGAACGCCAAGGACCTGGCCATGGCCACCATCGCCCAGAGCGTGAACGTCATCAGCCCCCTGATGACGAGCCCCACGGGCATCTACAAGCAGACCACGTACTGGCCCCTGCTGCTCTTCAGCAGATACATGCACGGCAAGTCTGTGGCCGTCCACGTCAGGAGCGGCGCGTACAAGGGCAAGACGAACCCGGAGTGGATCCAGAGCACGGTGGCCATACCGAAGCTGGATGTCAGCGCCGCCGTCGACGGCGAGTGGATGAATGTGGCCGTCGTAAACGTTGACGAAGAGCACAGCTTCGAGACCGAGCTGAGCGGCGTTGCGCCGGCGTCAGGCGACGTCCAGGTGTTCAAGGTCGGTGGTGAGAAGTACGACCTTAAGGATGTCAACGGGGAGGGCAAGGAGGTGATCCAGATTGATGAGAGCACGGTGAAGGGAGAAGAAGTTAAGAAGTTTGTGTTTGAGAGACACAGCTTCACCCTGCTGCGATGGAAGGTATAAATGTATCAACACGGCACGCGCCGCTCTGTGAAAGAAGAAATGCGATAACATAAATTTCATATTTCGGTTTCTATATCGAATAAATCTGGCCTATTATTGTTTTGTGGCTGATTTTGTCGCATTTTAAAGCGTCAGAGGCCGACGGTTTGCAAGGTATTCACATTACTTGCTGATAGAAGGTGTACGACTGGATGCTAAGCCTTCCACCCTACTACGAGGTGTCAACATTTCCAAGCCATTGCGTACCAGCCATTGAGCAACTTTTTCTGAACCGCAAATATCAGTGTTGACGTCGCAGACAGATCTTAAAAAACTAAAACATTATAACAATCGGCCATATTATCAGAACAGCATCCTGCACTCTCGGCTTTCCCTACAATACAATCTGGACAGGTTTACAAGCATACATTCCTTCTATTGTTAGTTTCTAAATGGTTTCCTACTGAAACAACGGTTACAATCTCAATACTTCCTTATCAAACTACAAGGCTTCGTCAAACCTGAAGAAGAACAGGATAGCTTCTTTCAATGTGCCCGTAATACTGTGGACAGTCTGTGGAAGGGGAGGCGTCGAAGGGCACTCACAAATACGCATACGAGAAGTTGTTTGAAGTTGTTTGAGCTATCCGAATCATCGTGCGCGCTGTTAAGGTGGAAGGTGACAATACAATTAGAAAAGGTACTGGTGTATTAGCAGGGCAGGGTTCAATGTCGGACAGACTAGGTATAAGAGGTCTAAGTGACAGAAAGATTACGTGGGGTGATGGCGACAAGTTACATGGTTGCGCGACGAGATCTGGCACCCACGTTGTCATCTGGCATATCATTCAGAATTCCTTGTAGTACTTCTTCTGGTACTTCGTTTGGCAATTCGTCTGGCATTTTATTTGATATTTGACCCGGAATTTCATCCGTTTCAACCAATTCAGCAACATCCCAAGCCTCACACGTGTCGAGCGTAACCGGCGTGTTGACGACACACTCGTAACCCAAAAAGAAGGCCAACCCGAGACCGTTTCTCGCCATAGGCGTATCCCCTTCCGTGTCCCATCTTCGCTGCCGGGTCCGAAACGCGGAATGGGTGAGAATATTCGAGTCTGGTGCCATCTGCCACAACCGCCAATACACAAACTCCAGACCAGCCCAGAACGCACCACTATGTGCTTCGCGCCTCATGCACTCTCTCACATGAGGATCTAGTTCGAAGCCGAACAGATGAATGAAAGCGTGCATCATCTCGTGCGCTAAGGCGTAAAGTAGCCTATCGCCGTTGAAATTTCTACCTCTGGCGTCCTGTACATAGAGGGTGATCCTGTTAGCAACTTCATCAAACATGCCGTACTTTTGGTCATTGTATTCCATTCTTACATCGATTGAAACTAGGTTGGCTGTTGTTTCGTCTTGTGTCAGCACTGGCGTGGTAAACATGGCGAGAAAGAAGTACTCGTTGAGAGTTTCCATCATCTTTAAGAGATAACAGCGCATCTCGTTATGGTCAAAGCATTCGGTATCTTGGAAGCGGAGCCGCCGGATTTGGCTTTGATATGCTTCATGGGCCGGCCCGCTGCTGTCGTGGATCGAAGCCAACGAATAGCATTTGAGAATCTCGACGGCATTTCGCTGGTCGAAATGATACCAGAGGGCCGCCTCCCGAGGCTGGATGTTGTGGCAATGGTTCTCAGGGGTGAAATGACTCCAGAACATGGTAAGGGTTCCTTGATTCCAGTGGCCTAAGACAACCCATACCCAATTCCGGGCGTAGTGATCCCTACGCTCTGAGAGGGAATTGACAAGTGCTTGCCTATAGTTATCCATATGATACATCTTAATACCTTCACCTGTTGCTGATGCTATTGCTAAGTGACTACACTGAGGCCCTTCAGCGAAGGTGCAGTTCGTCTTAAAATATTCAACAGCTTTATCGGCTTAATAGTATCGTCTTGAGGGTCCTGTAATGACATGTAATATGCAGACACAAAGACATAAATCTTTCTCCAACTTTCACAAAGCAATTCTCGTATAAAAAATTCATTTTCGGTCTGTATTCTTGTCTACGTCGGCTGAATGGAAAGAGGATTTGACAAATACTTTTAATGAGTTATACCACAATAGACTTCTGTACCATTGTCAGTTCCATTAACTTTCCGCACAATAACTAGCTTTGTTTCATAAGTAACTAATAAATACAACTTAGCGCTTCATTGAACGCAATAAAAAAGTCTGCTAATGTTGAGATACAATATGCTTCTTAGTCACCATTAAATAAATTCTAGCTGTGTTTATGAACCTTTTATTTTATTTCAATAAATTCTTTTTAATGTCTTTTTTAAGTTTGGCAAGATGGCCGCCGTGAAACCGTTGTGCTGGATCCTCTATACATTACGATTATCATGAAGACCAGTCCGGTATTTGTTCCTAAGTATCAGCCGCATCGCGCTGGCTTGAGTATGATAGGCGGTCTACTGTTTGCAGGACCTTCCGTAAGTAGAAGAGCGCTATGCAGCAATGTGGCGCGGAAACACATTCACGTTGGACTCCGTTAATAGTTGGTACCATTCCATTTGCATTCGGCAGATCAACATTATTATCCAGTAAATTTACACCTTGCACCAAAGTGTTTCTAGATTACGACGCCAGTTCTTGAACCTCGCATTGCTAATTCTGCAACATGCGACGGCTGTTGTTGTGGTACGTATTGTGCTTCGCTGACGTGAGCATAGCAGCCTTTCACCAGAAAGATGAAGCAGCACAAGACACCCAGATTCCCATGGGCGAGGTCGCCAAAGATCCTCTCAGCGGCGACTTCAGCAAGACTATCAAAAGTCTGTTGGACAAATGGAATGTCCCAGGTCTTGCAGTAGGCGTTATCGATGGAAATGACACGTGGGTAAAGGTAAAGATATCTTCCGGAAGCAGCCCTTAACTAGAATGAGACCTGGACACGCCAACCATTCCAATTTTCTCTATGACTTAAAGGTTGGCCCCTCTAGTCTTCGAGGTTGACGCGAGTTATAGGGCTATGGTGTTGCTCAAGTCTCACCGAGAGTCCCAGTCACGCCGCAGACACTGTTTTACGGCGGCAGTACCACCAAAGCCTTCACCGGCGCGGCGGTCGCTCGTCTAATCAATTCGGGACAGTATAGAAATCCTAGCTTTCCAGAGCATGTCGTGGATTGGAAGACACCAATCTCTGAGATCCTGCCTGAAGATTTCGTGCTCCAAGACGAGTGGTCCACAGCTCACATCACTCTCGAAGATGCCCTCACCCATCGTACTGGAATGGCTGCCCATGACTGGGCTTATGGTGGTGAGCGTCCCGCAGTGAAAGAAATCGTGCGCAGCATGCGTCATTTGCCAATCAACCAGCCGCCGAGGACCAAGTGGCAGTATTGCAATTTGATGTACATTACTGCCTCTCACGCCGTCGAGACGCTAACGTCTCTCGGGCTTGGTCACGTTCTGAAAGAGTGGATTTGGCAGCCCTTAGGCATGGATTCTACTTTCTGGCACATTGATGACGCGCGCGCAGCCGGAGAGCAGGTGGCTGTAGGCTACTACTGGGAGCCCAAAGAAAAAGCCTTCAAGGAGATACCATACGTGGAATCGAAGGCCATCAGTGGCGCCGGTGCCATCCTTTCAAACGTCGTTGATTATTCCAAGTGGGTGAGAGCTCTAGTACACGAGGACGGCTTTTTGTCCAAGGATACACACGATGCCATCAAGATGCCACGGATGTTCAATTCGGGCTCTGGAGGTAATTACGATGCACCCACAGCATACGCGTTAGGATGGGTAACATCTACTTATAAGGGCCACCGGATTTGGTTGTAAGTAGCACATGGTTTTACTGACGCTATCGCTAATTATCTGCAGCCACGGAGGTGCTACTGACGCTTTCGGCTCCAATGTGATCTTCTTCCCGGACCTGAAGTTTGGTGTTGTGACGCTGGCAAATTCAGCTTTTTTTGGCAATGCTATCGGCGAGATCGTCTCGTTTGAGCTTGCAGATGACAGGCTCGGTTTGTCTCAAGAAGAAAGAGCAGACTGGGGGAAAAGGTTACTATAACGTCTTCATATTTGATCTTGTACTCGGCTAACAGAACCAGTTGGCGACAAACACTCGACCAAGGAAACAGTCTCAGCGACAAAGCCGAGGATATTCTATATCCCGGTCGTCCCAAGCAAGCGGTCAAGCCCACACTACCTCTCGAGAGCTACACTGGAACATATTTCAGCCCCGGTTGGCGAAACATGACCATCACACTCATCGACGAGAATACCATGAGAAACAGGAGGCCCAAAGCCCAACTAAGGGTCCACAGGCCTGACTCTTCCTGGAGCTTCGCCGGGGAGCTTGAACATGTCACTGGAGAGTACTGGATCTTGTATAGCAGCTTTGCCACTCTACCTGTTCAGCCACTCGAGATCTCGCCTTTGGATTTCAGGATCGGCGCTGATGGTAAAATAGCTGGACTCGAGCTCGAATTCGGCAATGCACCGAAGGGTGCGGGTGAAGGAGTGGTTTCATTCGAAAAGATAGCCTGAGAGTGGAAGCTCGTATCTTAATCATGTCCACCAATTAGCCGTCATATTATTTTTATTGATTGATTACTCGTGAGGAGGACAATTGCGTAGCCAGATGTTTCCCATCTTGGCTTACAACGAATATGGTTAGGCCTTTCGCTAAAATCAGGAGGTTTGAGCCCAGCATCCACAGTATCGATGTGGAAAATCCATTTAGACCGTACAGTAAGCTATCTTGGAGCTACCCGAAGTGATTGATTCTATCATTGCTGAATAAGGCGCGACAGGTCACATTTAGTTCGACTATGGCTCCAAGGTCAGAATTTCTACCCATACCAGTCGCGGCGGTCTCGCGGTTACCACCTCAATTATTTGTATACTATAATTAGGAACTGAAGCCCTAGAACCCTGACCAGCGAGCCAGATGAACATTATCTTCCCGCGTAGCAGCAATCGCAAGCACACACAATTACACTTTATCTATTATGTCTTTAAGCGGAGCCCCCCCTGCAGGTTGGCCTGGATTGTATCATTTTGAGATACGAGAAACCATACCTTGTCCCTATAGACCACGTCCGATCACGAGGACAAGAGGCCAAGACTTCCCCTCACAGCGCATGCACTTCTGGTTCGAGGTCGTAAGATTTAACTTTTGTTGGTGGGAGAAAAATCACACTTTGATCAAAGAGGAAGGTGTGATTAATCTTGGACGACTGCTGCAAAAAATTGGAAATAAAGGAGTGTTGCTCAACCGCCACTCGGCGAGCATTGATTGTAAGTGGTCGGTTGAAAGATGCAGCCTGGACTGATAGAAGGGGGCTAGGCGACCACTCGTTTCTGGAGATGATATGTCTTGTGTAATTGCGCTACTAATCGGTGAAGTTCTGAAACATTGTAGACAGTAACAATACTAGATACTTTTCACCGCATTTTGTTACCTTCTTTCCCTCCCGCTCCAACACAAAATGTCTCTTTAAGTTGATTTTACGAGTTATTAAAGGTGATGTACGACAAACAGCGGCGAGCAAACCTTTCAGGATTGAAGAGACAATGCGCACACGGCATCTTGCTGTTGGGCGAAGACATCACAGAGTGGGCAATTGGATCTGTGATACAAGCAATTGGGATACATCGGTTAGTCCAGATATAGACAACCAGCATGCGATTTTGAGAATCATCGAGGTCAACTGATATAATTGTAGGCGTTGTTATGGCTGGACCAGCGGTGAGAATAGAACTGAGAGGTTAGACGTCCCTGATGACATCGATGACGCTGACGATGAGCGACAAAGATAATAGAGATGAAGATGCTCCGTCACTTGCCTAATTATTTTCCTACGCAATACCAATCATATTGTTGTACAGAGTATTGATAACATGCTACAAATATCTACGTTTTTAGTAATTGTGTCCCACAGATAATTAACAAATCCCAACTTGTATAGAGTCGATCGTGCATGCGAATGGCACATGCGCTTTCGCAGCGTAAATATGTCACACAATAATGAACAACTTGCCCCTAAAATGTTGGACTGCCGTAGAGCTCTGTGGCAGCTCTCGACTTTGTGCATTCGGCTTCTGTAACTCACTCCAATCTTCAACAGTATATAATCAACTTGGCACAATACGAGAGATAAATAACTATACGATTGGACTTTAATGCTTCGTACTGGCTCCTGCAAACCAAGACGCCACATGCCGGGCAGAAGGTCCGGAGGAGCCGGCTCACGGCAGATACGGAAGAGCGAGCAGCATAAAAAATCGAGCTGATGAAGAGAGCCAAGTGCTGAGAATGAGTTGAGTAGGGCACCATCAGAGACCGGTTATTGATCGCTTGCTGATGATGCATCTGCAGCTCTGGTGATCTTGCATATCCGAGCATTGCGTGAACCACGCAATTAGCCGACGAGCCATTCTTACAGGGGTGACATTCCCTCTGTAGGCCAGGGTGTCTTGTTTCGACGTAGCACAGTCGTCGCGGGGCCTTGACATCACCGTGAGAGTCACTCGAGGGAGGCCGCACCACTGGCCGCAAAGCATTCAAATCGTTCTCTGCGCCGAATGGCTAGCGCATGTGAACCATTTGCTGGCTCCCTCACGCTGCCAGGTTTCACAGCAGTTGCGTCTTCGGACGTGAGTCCCAGTTCTACGAAAGTCATTACCCGTTCAGCTGGGTAGCTTTATGTCGATTGTTTCTAATTTGAGTGCAGCGAGCAAAGCCACCTGATCGTACATGCCGTCGAGCTGTCTTGTGGATCTCACAAGTCGTTAGTTCGGCTATACGTTGTCCCTTTCAACCATCGATACCGTTGCAGTGACGCTTTTACAGTATCCTCCTAGGCGCAGTTGGCCTATCACGTCACGATACACTCGATATAGAGTACGATGCTACGCATCACCTCGATAAGAGATTCAGCGTGGCGCGGGAACTGCGAGACCTGATGGCTTTACCGCTGTGGTGGTGTTTCTCATGAGGGCATTGGGATTTGTTTGGGTCGACGAAGTTGCAATATCTACCAATCTTTCAGCCACGGTGGGGACTTTCGTGTAATGAGGCTCTGGTGATCCCTGATCCATAACCGGGCCAAATATTGTCTCAGGGTATTTTATGCACGTAATGTGGCAGCAGATGAGTGGCGCCGAAGACTGCAGAAGTGAGCGATCTCGAGCAAGATATATTGCGTTTATGCGGATATCCTGAATGCCTGGCACTATAACCGCACGACTGCCGAATAGACCTTGATTTGTGTCGCAAAGATGCGGTACGGCTACAAGCAGAACCTCATTTCGCAGGGTTGAGTGTGCTGGATGGATTCCTTTTGAGGTTTCTTGAAATTAAGAAATGGTCGCCGACCACTAAGTTCTGCATTGCAGCGCTGATCTCCAGGTACTTATTGGGCAGGGAGCCTCAGGTCAGGCAAGGTACGGGTCGATCCCGAGCAAGGATCGTGTTAAGGTTAGAGCGCTCTGGATTCTTGGCCACAAGCGAAATGCGCGCCAACATTTACGGCGAGCGTTGACGCAAGTTAGTGCTCACGTGGCAGCTGCAACGACTATAGTGCCAAAGGAGCTTAAATCCTCACAGACTGGTGACGATGGGAAATGTTCAAAAAATAGCTACGGTGGTACAAAATCAGAATCAGCAGGTTTCCATGAGCAGCTGGCTGGTAGGGTTTGGGCATCATTGTTGGGTCGTGGTCATGTACCTCGCGGGGGGCTGCAAGATGTATGAGGGTAGCAATGCAGCAAAAGCTATGGCGGAAATAGAGGGAGACATGTGATTGACCAGCGAGGTTGGAGGTCGTATGTAGGGGCACAGTGTGCTATACCGACGATGAAATGACGATGTTTGTCCAAGCGGTCTGCAACATGTAAGGTCCTTCAGACGATGGGGATTTTGAAGAAACTAGTCGCATGGGAGAAGCTGAATCGTATTGGGAGTTTAATCTTCCGACGTCCATCGTATTGTGCACTCGGCTAAGGACCCTGCAGACCAAGAGACGTTGCCGAGGAGGAAAAAGAAAGAACTGATAAGACATGGACCTGAATGAAGGCGTCACCAGGGCCACATGGCAGTTGAACTAGTCGTGCCGTTGCAGTTCTTTGCATTCGGCGACGTCGTCGAGTGGATTTGTGAGAAGAATACGGAGTATTTCTTTCAGAGACACATTTGATTTGAAATGAGTTGACTTGCATCGGTCGCTGCATGCTGTTGGCAGGTTTAACCGGGGATATCCATCCTCGATGTCGATGTCGAGAGAGGTACCCGGGCAGCTGATGGACTCAAGCTGTGAGAGAGGGCGTAAAAGATGAGAGGCTTGGGAGGCTTGAGAGGCTTGAGAGGCTTGAAAGGCTTGGGTGGCCCGTGCTCTTCTCTTGCTCTCCCGTGCTTGGGGCTCATTCATTTCCCAGCGGGGGAGCGACGGGATTGATTGGACTTTGGATTTCACCATTTCGCTTCCCGTTGCCGTTGCCGTTGCCGCGACAGCTCCAGAGCCAAAAGACATCAAGTTAGATCCAAGCTCCAAGGGGAAAAGAGGGAGGGAGAAAAAAATAAACCCCGCAGTTTTCGGCTCAGCTGTCAGCGTCGATTGGCAATTCACCCCCAAAATTGCCCGCAATTGACCAAAAGCCTTGTCCCGTGATTGGTTCATGCCTGCCTCTCGCTGCGTCCCGTGTCGGTACAAAGGCGCTGAGCCGCGACACCAAACTGAGGACTGACTACCTGAGTTTACTTTGACGACAACCAGCGTTTGGCCCTGTCCTGGTCCGGGTCTCTCTACCTTACCTTCCTCGTCGACAATCCCGCTCCTTTGCGACAAGACAGGCTGCCGTGCGCAAGTGACTGCAGAGCTTTTTTTAGGGTCGCATACACTTGCAGTGGCCAGAGACGCACTCTCGCATGCTGCTTGCATCTTATTTGCATCTTATTTGCATCTTATCGACAAGCGCAGCTCAGCTCAGCCCAGCCCCCCAGCCTGTTTGTGCACACTCCCAGAAGACATGACCTGAACATGCCGAATTTGAAAATGCGGAACGCCTGATTGAAAGACCACGACGCCCGCAACCCAGTCTTCCACCTAGCCAGCACCATTCGACTCATTCGCGTAGCCGACCAGTGCTCAGAGACCGATGCGAACAGGCTCAGAGCGCGCGGGTAGCTGCAGCAGCATAGAACATCCCGCATACCACCCCAGTCAGACACCCCAGTGCCGCATCCGCCGACGCGTGACCCCATGACTTGTCTTTGACCTGGTTATACTGCTCTGGTACATAGAGCCACCCTCGCCTCGCTGGCACTGTAGGGCTAGCACACCTCGAGGGGAAAAAGCAAAAAGAGCAAGCCCCCCTGCGATCTGCTTTCAGGTGTGCGCCCACGCGGATACAGCCGTTCGTCTATACCCAGTGGCCCTCCGGCGCGCCAGTGGTACAAGCAACGCCACACTTACACGGACACCTGGGCGAGCAAACCATTGGTGAAGATACATGCTCCGAGTACCCTGAATACGAGACTGCCTGTCGTTGCGGCCGTCCTCTGTGCAATACACTGCACCGACCACGCGGGGGGAATATCACTGTTGGAGAGGCAGCAAGGCCCGTCGCACCGCCCAAGTACACGACATCAGTCCACCGCGAGTACATACACGCTTCGCTGCTTGGCGCCTTCTGTGCTGATTCCGTACTTGCTGTTCTATGGTCAACCCTGGCCAGCTTCCCACTTCAGATACACAAGAAGCACAGACTGCGAGTAATTAACCTTATTGGCCTGCATACGTCTGAATCATCCGCTGTTACTGGTCCACGACACATCCCCAAATATCAGCCCCCTCAGAGGAGTAGCCAAACGGCGGTGGAAGCGAAGTGGAGAATTCCCAGAATCTGGGACCCATCTATTGAAGCTTGTTCCCTCGTGTACGGACAAGCTAGGCCCGGCATCGAAGCGTCATCCCCCTGGCATTAACGGTGGCCCTCCTGCAAGGAGTTCGCAAGCTATTCTGGACCTGGGAAGAGTTGGTGTGCCGAGCCGTGTCGTAAGAGCCGGGGTGTGTGCAGTTCTTGTGCTGTGACGTTTGCGCTTGGTCGAGATTCTTCCGAACGAACGCTCATATAAAACTAAGACAAGATGCCCGAAAACGTTGAAGCCAACGGGGCAGAAGTCTCAGATGCCATGTCTGAGAATGAGCATGAGTACGACGATACAGACCATCCGATCAAAGAAGACGACGACGAGAACATGGCTGAGCAGCACACATCTCCCGAGAATGGCGCAGGAGGCTCCGGCGAAGTCAAAAAGAAGTATGACCCCAAGGATCCGCATCGGCCGAGAAGAAAGAAGGCCAGGAGAGCGTGCTATGCCTGTCAAAGAGCACATCTGACATGTGGTAAGTTTTAAATTTCGAAAGGTTGCCGCGTTTCTTGCGTCATCATCTTCGTCTCCCCTCTGAACCCGACTTGTCCTCCCCGCAAAGTCATGCAACAGCTTGCGCCGTGTCATGTATTATCTGCCCTGAACCCCAGCTAAGCTGTCATAATAGGGGACGAGCGACCGTGTCAGCGATGTATCAAGCGCGGTCTTGCCGATGCTTGTCAAGATGGTGTGCGCAAGAAGGCAAAATATCTCCATGATGCTCCTCCTGAAGCCTTGAGGCCAGTGCTTGGTCCGACCTTCAATCCAAATATGGGTTCGAAAGCTACCAATGGAAGGCATGCTTCTAATGCCACTACGTCCTCGGATACGTCACAATACTATCCTCAATCGACAAGCTCTCAGACGTACCCTATATTCGCTGGTAGTCAGCCACAAGTGTCGATGCCTGATAGTCTTTTCGGTCAACCTTCCCCGGTCTCCCCCTCGTTTCAACATAATCCTCAAAGGGCTCAACAGATGGGTAACATGCAAATCCCAACACCATCCAGCGATATGGGAAATTACCCAAGTGCGCTGTTTGACCCGAGCAATCCGGCCATATTCAACTTTGACCTTGAAGGTATCAATTTCGGAAGCCACTACGGTGCAATGGAGTTCGGCATACTCGGCCATATGTCCTCAGGGGCGGCCGAAACACCGCCGAGAGACCCGTCCCTCTCACAGCAAGGCAATGCGGAGGCCAACTTCAATGGTGGTCAGATATACTCGAACGGCATCAACCAGTACAACCAGATGTATGATGGCATGGTGGAGAACTATATCAATACCGATCAAAACAGCCATCATCACAGTAACAGTAGTAACAACCATACCAACAACAACATGTACTCGCAAGGTAATCTGCAGCATGGGCTACCACATGCATACGCCATTGCGGCAGCCGGACCGACTCCCAGCAGCCTTGCAAGCCCAGGCACAGACAACACAGCAAGTCCACAACCAACACATATCGCATTCGACAGCTCGCCATCTGCCGGCAACTTTACGCCTGTCAACTCGCAGTCGATCGCAATACCGTCAAAGTCGAAGAGCAAAAGCTCTGCCAACCCCAACGCTAAACTATTTGGACCCCAGTCGATACTGGCCAAGCGCCAACGTGACCCCTCTGCCATCTATGAAAATGTGAAGGAGCCGTACCAGTATTTGACTGGGTTTCACAACCTGATTGCCCTAGTCAAGCGCCGGTTTTCGAGCACAAAGACGTTACGAATTGCAAAGTCTCTGGCCAGTATCCGGCCGTCATTTATCAGCTGCACAAGAAATCTGAACAGGCAAGATCTCATCTTCATGGAGAAGTGTTTGCAACGGACCCTGTTCGAGTATGAAGATTTCATGAGCCATTGTTCCGCGCCCACTGTCGTGTGTCGGCGTACCGGTGAGGTGGCTGCTGTCAACAAGGAGTTTGTCGCTCTCACCGGATGGACAAAGGATGTTCTCCTTGGCAAGCAACCAAACCTGAATGTCAACTTTGGCGAGTCGCCCACCTCAGCGAGTGGTGCCAACTCGGGGAAGGGCGGTCTCAACACACCTCAGCTCAAAGCTATGGAGCCAGTGCCGAGCGACACCCCTCAGCCCGTCTTTGTTGCCGAGCTCATGGACGATGACAGCGTCATCCAATTCTACGAGGATTTCGCTCACCTCGCTTTCGGAGATAGCAGAGGTCATGTCACCCGAAAATGTCGGTTACTAAAATATCGCACGAAAGAAGCAACCGAGGCGCTCAGCAACAGTGAATCGCCGCCACAGAGAGACTCTCGGCCTGGCATTCTCAGCAGTAGAGTGACCCGGATTGATGGCGAACACGGCATCGCCAAGATTGAAAAGGACGGAAAAATGGATTGCACTTACTGTTGGACCATCAAGCGGGATGTATTCGACATCCCTATGCTGATTGTTATTAATGTAAGTCGACCTTGTCACAACAGCGTGGGTTGTAGCCACTGACTTGTCATGCAGTTTCTACCTTGTTACTATCGCAACCAAGATCATGTCGCCGTATAGGGGATACAACACAGGAGTGGGGTGGTTCGATGAGACATCTGTTCTATAACTTTGAAATTATGCGGATTCCGAGGCTTGTTCTGAAATTACAGCATGGGTGGCGTTGGTGGATGGGGGGCCCAAGGTTTGGAACCCTTCTCCCGGAATTATGGGAGCTGGTCGTTTGTCCCTTTTTTTCTTGACGGTTGGCATGGAATAACGGCCTATATACCCTGTTCTTTCGACGATCATAGAATTTCGCAATTTCTCAAAGGCTCTCTCTTTCCGGCAGTTTAACGAGGGGGAGAAATTGACTCGTATATAAATGTCACCTCGGAATGTCTTCTTGCGCCATCTATGTCTATTCCCAAAACGCCTGGCTGCTTCATGTAAGCCTCCGACAGCCATGATCATAACAATAGGCTTACCCACGTTTCAAAAACGCCTCCTTACTCCACATGGACTTTCCCCCCTTCGTTCCGCGGAAGCTTCACGCCCTCACAAGCCACGCCCCGTCCAGTGCCCCCTTGCCACCGCCAACGACACCCTCCCGCGGCGTCCACGCCTCCCGCGCCAGGCTCTGCCGCGCCACGTCGCAGTCGATGTTGATGTCCTCGACGAGCGCCTCGAGCGACTTGTAGTCCTTCTCCTCGCGCACGAAGCCCAGGATCAGCAGCCGCATGGGCGCGCCGTAGAAGTCCTGCGCGAACTTGTGGAGCACGTGCACCTCGGCCGACCGCACCGCGTTCTTGTAGAACGGGTTATACCCGATCGACATGACCATCGGGTATATCTGGTACTCTACGCCGCCCGCCGAGGTCGCTTCCAGGTCGGGGTGCGTCGGGGGCAGCGACAGGGAGGCGTAGCCGAAGTACACGCCCGAGGTCGCCGAGGCGATCCAGGGCGTCAGCGCGGCGTCGACGGGTAAGTTGGCTGTCGGGATGCCGAGCTGGAGCGGGGGGGATGCCGGGTTAGCCACGTCGCATTGCTTGTCGCTGGGGGTTAAAGGTTGGTGTCACGTACCTCCTTTGATCCTCGCCCGAAGCCTGATATCACGGTCCCCTCCATCTGTAGCGGGTAGGGCGACTCGGGGCCGTCGTCCGAGTAGATGACTCGGGGCCGCGGTTCGGTGACTGACATACTGCCCGGTTTTGTGTTACCGTTACTGTCACAGGTAAAACAAAATGTCGCGGCTGGGATCTAGGCGTGACGAAGCTAAGATTCTGCGGCGATGGACAGACAGACAGAGCAAAGAATAAAACAACGACTAAAAATATTACTTGAAAGCAGTCGAGTATGGAAAGATGTTTGCAAAAGTAAGCGAGATGAACTAATCTTCGAGATCAAAACCCCCCGTCCTCCTATGCGACGACGGCGGGGTCGGAGAGGCTGCCTAAGTAACGGCCTAGACTAGTTATCGCAATAGGAGGGGCTTATCACCTTCCATGCGGTCGCTGGTTCTTAGGGGTTCGATGACGATTTCCGCCTTCTTCTAGTGGGTCGGGATTGGCTCGCGCCCCCCTGACCCGCTGGCCTGGGCTAGGTTGGCTTAGTAATTGAGCTTGTTTTCCTTTTTTGCCTTTTGGTAACGGTCATGAAGTCGGGACCGAGTCATGTCGACTTCGTGGGGGTCGGTTGGTTATGGAAAAAATCAAAATCAAAATTTACACGATTGCGCGTCGATTCTTCCCAGGGCAACGACGATGTGAGATATTCTTTGGTGCGTCTACTAGAGATTTGAGGTTGTGGCTCAAACCTGCGACATCCATCTTGTCTCCATTCATCCACAACCCACTTTGTGCTGGTGAAATATATTCCCGGGGCTATGCGCAATCTGATTCGTCAGCGGTATGCGATCAAGATCCATCCGACGTTTCGATGTAAGTGTCCCACATCGTCATTTTGGTCCCCCAGCCGAAAAGTATGCGCGGGTGCTCTACCAAAGAGTATAAAGATATGTACCTCATGCGGCTACGGAACGGCTGCCAAGCTGCATGAATTACTGCCTCGACATTGTCTCTCCATAGCGCAAGCCCTCGTAAGATAAAGTACCGTTCATATAGTATGTGCTTATACCCTAGAGTCTTAAGTTGAAGATGTCGTGGTTGTCTCTCAAGAAGTCTCAGATTGTGCGTTCGTTATTACATAACCTGGTTGTATTTAGATCGTGGAATTAGGAGAGGCTGGGTCATTTGGGCACTGTCTTTTCAATGTAAGTATTGCATGATGCTGACCGTTTATCGCATAGATATGTTGTTCGCTTTCTCCTATAGGGTCCACTAGAGGAACAGACCCTGGGCAAAGCCGATTAGATGAATACACGAGATCTGGTATTTATCACGCCCACTGGTACAATGGCACCTGTCATCTTTGCGTTCAAGGTCCTGGGCGATTTATTGGTGATGTCAGGGAATGCAGATCCGTAGCCTGGATAACCACCAAAGCTGAGTCATTTACTTTTGCGTTGAGACATTATCCAATAAAATGTTCACACTGAAGGTTGTGTGTACATTCAATGATCCGTTGCGTTACATCCCCGTTCAATAGGATATTATTCTTTGCGAAGCTAGACAGCGCCGTCCGTACCATGCTGCCGAACGCAAGTAGGACCCTGATATGAGTGCAAGGAGGTAATCTAGACGTTGATAGTCATAGTCCTCAAATCATCTGACAGCAATTCGAGCCCTCTGAAATCCGTGAGGAGAACTTTTTTGGAGAGTATCAATGCTTTTCAGGCTAGTGCGAAGGCCACTCAAGGAAAGGGCCTGAAAGATAGCAGAGGCAACACTGATGTCGAGTTTCGATCCCGTTGAGCTCGTAACCCACAATGGTGCCTGGATGATTGCTGCCTTCCTTTGGTTCACTGAGCTCCGCAGACCTATGAGCCTTGTGACATGAGTGACTACGAAGCCCCCGCCTAAAATCATGAGATAGATACAGCGTGTCCGCCTCGTGGTTGCGCCTATTACGGCACATAGACCAACTATAAACTCTTTGACTGTTACTGCGTGGCTGTGGTTTCCACGGGAACTTTATGGTCCTCGAGCATCTTGCTATGGTATCTATGGCAGCTTACAGGTCTCTGCAACAAGACCTCCATTGGGACCGAAACCTACCATAAGCTGCAAGGGACTTTGTACATGGCATCATTCCGTTCAAACGACAAGCCACCTACTCCCACGATAGGTATCTCGCAGATTCCGACCTTGAATTTCTATCTTCACGTCTAGCAGAGCACTTAGTTCCTCAAGGTGTATCACCTGAGATTATTGTTCTCTATGGTTCGAAACGCTAGCATGGACCACAGTGGCTATGCTAGAAGTACTGAAAGCTTACGGTGTGTTCCTGGGCATCGACGTTTCTCAGGTGGCAGCGCTTTTGGAAAATATCATTGGTCAAACAGGTGCAGACTTAGTCCTGTCCTCCACGAACTGCCCTGACCAGTGTCAGTCCTAGATGAAAATGGCGTTTGTACTTGATGGGGCTAGTACTTCTGCTCTTGTACCTAGGGTGCTCTCTACCTCTCCGAAGCTCAACCACACAGCTTACATTATCTTTACATCCGGTAGCATTGGAATCCCGAAAGGCATTTTCATTGAATACCCGGAGCTATCTTCAATCTGACATTATTCTCGAGATAATCTCGGTTTTGACAAAAAAAGGCTTCACGATTCACGGTTCTCATCGTATGTCTCGATGGAGACGTCACAGAAGTATTTGCCACCCTTTGGTGCGGCGGAAGAATCTGGGTACCATCCGATTGGGAGCAAGAGAATGCATTGGTTTATACGATGCATAATATGTAAATCACGCAAGTCTTCCTTACGCCGTCTCTGCTCAGTAACCTCGCCTCGCCACCAACGACGCGCCCACTCTAGATACTATTGTTTTGGGTGGAGAAATCATCCCTACATCCCTGGTCAAGAAATGGGCGATGCAACTAATATCGGCTGCCCGTACCACTGTGATAGCCTTGACCGTGCAAGAGATTCAGAAATCGAACCCTGCGAGCACTCGCTGCGGCAGCGCACGAACATATGGAAAATGCCTAACCCTTCCTTCTTCGTTATTGGAAGGTCTGGCCGTCGTGAGACTTTGCCAACAGGCTGTTTCGCGATTCCATACTCCTACCAAAGAGATTAAAGACATCTACCCCGACACTTCTCTTCAGCGACGAATAATTATGGGACAGAAGCTCAGGATTACAAATGCAGCTCGTCTTCTCTCTACCAAACAGGCTCAACTTCAGCTTTCGAGTTATCTAAACAGAAAATAAGGTACCCTCAGTACTGACCCGTGCTGACTTGTCGTAAAGGCAAATCTATACCTTCGGGACCTCCGGAATAAAACTTTTCTTAGTAGCATCAGAAATGAAGTCTGCCTCAGGCGTCCCCAGGTCTGCCTCGGGGCTGTGGCGAAGCACTGACGGGCACCCCACGCTTTATGATCCTTCAGACTTGGCGACACCTATAAATGCATTTGGAACAAAGAAACTATTGTAACCTACCTGTTGGTGTCTAGTAATGCAATCATCTCTTTGATTTAACAACATGGTTTTTATATCTGGAATTGACGCACACGCATCACCGTCGCGTCCGAATAACTCTGACCGACCTGACGAACAAACCCACTCATTCGAGATGCGCGGTGCATATCCAGTGTTTACTAGTACAGTACAAGAGGGTCATCTTGTGCCGGACAGGCAGCCGAGGAGCGCGAAGCAAAGACTGCAGGAAGAAGCAAATCAACCGCACCATTCAGGGGGAGGTGCTGAAGATTCCGCGTTGGCGTGTCTTTGTTGTGCGGCCTGTTGCACGATCATGTAATGCCCGAGAATATAATTGCACTACCCCGTTACGGTCCAACCTAAAGCTTTTGCGTTGTTAACAACGTTTCATCATCACATCAACGCTTGCTCCTTTGCGATTTGCCAAGGATCGGTAGACTGTCCCACAGGATCAGAACTCCCAAATCGAATCAGAGTTCTCACATACGAGAACTACTCGGAAATTCAATGTAAACTAGTACATAAAGCCTACGAAAGCAATTATTGGGGGAATCGAGACCGCCTGGGATATTATTCTGTACATTAGGACGTTGCTTTCTGGCTGTAAAAAGTAGCGAAGCATCTCGAATATGAGCAAACTCCATCAGTCTTGGCCACGGCCTGGCAAAAGTCTCATAGGGGTCTAGCTTGAAGGAAATACCCTGTTTTCTCTGTGTATATTTCCTACCAGAGAATCATTTTAGAGACGAAACATATGCAACGATTAATAATTAAAGGAACTGGTAAAAACTTGTTTGGTTGGGAGTCGGGTTGGTTCAAGGGATTGAGAGATTGGGTGAGAGCTCCCCCAAACCAGAATATAATGTTAGAACTGTCAGAATTATCAAGATTTGTATTTTATATGCGAGGTAGTTGCTATATTATCAAGATATATAGAGAAAGTAGATGCACCCCAAGATTCTGTACACCTCATGATGCAGATCCTCTACTTCCTCGGGAGGAATTGCATCATGAGTGGCGGCAATATGGTCGTGAAAGTCTCCAATGCTCCATTGTCAAATTTGCTTCCATCTTCACCAGGAGCAAAAGATATATCAAATTGCTGAGCGATCTTTGCAATTGAAATGCGCAATGAAATCAATGCCAAGTTCTTTCCGGGACACGAATGCATGCCTATTTTGTCCGTATTAGTATGACGCCCACAACGAGGCAGTGTACTACTTACCAAGAGTGAAGGGTAGGAATGGTGCGCCATCAGTCTTTAGCTCATCTCTTCTCTCGCCAAATCTCTCAGGAATGAATTCGAGCGCATGAGGCCAGTATCTCTCATCTGTCTGAATCAACTGCGTGGGGACGATAACATTTGTGTTGCCAGGAATGTACTGCTCATCGACTTGAATGCCTTCTGGTGGAGTCATTCGATAGCTACCTGTCAGAAGAGCCGGCTTCAGGCGCAATGTTTCATTGATTATATCGTCAATGAATATAAGAGACTTCGTCTTGTCGTATGTCCAGTCATCCATTGACGGCATCACACTATCCACTTGGCGTTGTAGCTTCCTGTAGATATCTGGATGTTTAACCAAGTAAAAGAGGACCGAGACCAATGTAGTTGCAGTCGTCTCACTGCCAGCAACAATCACAACACGTGCATCTTCGTGCAATGCAGCCTCGGACGGCGATGCCGAGATATCTTTCTCTTCAAATGCCTTGATCAACCAGGATATGATATCCGATGGCGGCTGTTCGGTTGTCCACATCTGAAGATAGATCGTTAGTCAATCATCTCAAGTGCAATTAGTACTGGAATGGCAGGACTTTCGCACCTTTTGCTTTGCTTTGATCTCGGACGCGCACCAGTTGAAAAACGGAGCATAGCCTGCCGTGGCACCAGGTATCCGCGAGGCGATGTTCAAAAGCCAAGGAACATGACTGACAATGCCCAATATGTTCATGTGATCGTGAACACCTTTTATAGCAGGATGTTCCTGACCACTTTTGACGCCCCCGAACTCCTTTCCAAATCCCACCTGTCCCATAATATCAAATGCTAGGTAGTTAGTCCACGCTGTCGCGTTCAATGGACCCTGAAGCTTTGCAAGTTGTGAAACGAATTGATCCGCCTCCAAGGTAATACGTGGGACGTATGTTTGTAGGACTGTCTTCGGATCAGAACATTATATTACTGAGTTACTGGCGTGTTGGACAAACCTTTGATTGCGAAACCCCTGTCCCAATTCCTGCGCCTGCGTCGATAATCTTCAACATCTCGGGTCATGTTTATAGAGCATTTTCTATAATCAGTATCCACCTGCACATACCAAGTTGCCTTTCGGCATTTGGTATTTGGACCGTAGACTAGTGGAACTGCTGAGCTTCGAACAATGCACAGCTCCCTGGGACCTAATGTGACGTTAGTACGCATTGAAAGTCTATGTCGAAACAATTTCACACTTACCAGTACGGATAAAATCGCCATAACGATCATGCATTTGGCTCACATCCTTGTGATACTGAACTGTCTTGGCTGCAAGGGAGGCAGAATAGAATTTGGTAAGCTTGGCTCCCACTGGGCCCGGGAACTTGCGGAGTCTGTGGAAGAACAGCCGATAGACCACCATGGAAACCACCACACCACCGACAAAACCACCTGATAGCAGTGAAACACCTATCGTAGCATCTAGAAACGATGACCCAAACAAAATTTGTATCGCGAATAAACCAATGGTTAGGGTGAAGGATCCGATAATGAGTGTGTACATGAATTGTTCGACCTCGAACGGTCTTAGGATTGAGACATGGAAGATTACACCTAGAATCGTCGCGCCCGTGATAGTTTGTCCAATGTTGACATTGAGGGTATTACTCAACCCATCGATCGACAACAGCAACGTCGTAGGAGTGACAGAGGCCGTCGAGGAGTTCCAAGCCATTGTAACAATGTAAACTTCGACAGCAGAATCTGTCTCCTTGTTGCCCGTGTCGTCGTAGAGATGATGGAGAGGGGGGAATGAAGACGTGACAGGTTGGCTAAGTTAGCTGATTGTCAGTCAAGGAAAAGAAAATCTTGTCTTCCCGTCGATCACATGGCCTGCGAGCTTTCGAAACTTGGAGTGGTCTGGAGGTGGGGAAATACCACCGTAGCAATGTATCACGGAGAGGATCCCATATTGGAACACAACGTTTGTTTGGTCAATCCCACTTACTTTGTAATTGGCCGTCTCTCTCTGGATGCTCCACCAACCAAAGAATATCCGCACCACCCCCATTCAGTAACGGCCCGACCCGCCAGTTCGGGACAGTCTTTCTCCTGTAATCCAATTCCACAGGGATCTTGTACGTGGGATTGCAACCTACCTTGTGTCTAAGGACGCTTCCCGCATCAATAGCTTGCTAAAATGCCAGCACACTGATTCTTGGGGGCTCGGAGTCGTTGATAAAACAGTAATGTTCTTCAAATTTTGCCCAGTACTTTTACAATCTTCCTGATAAACTATTCTTCGACACATCAAAGATCATATCGTTATCAATGGTCCTTACCATATTCTTTACTGTAACACTTCGGGTATGGTTGGGCTCATTTCAAGTTGACCGGTTTTTCGTAGTGATGGACGGTGTGTGATCTCGCTAATGCGGTGACTCTGCACAATCCCAGTAACCTAGTTATATGTTTGGAGATAGATTGGGTGGTGGAGCTCTTGGATACGACTGTGGTAGTGAACCGTGAACCTTTGAGACTGGGTCTTCCGCGATTGGATTCCAAAGGGACGGTTCGACCCCGCCAATAATCCGGCTAGCAAACTTCTGCTTCCAATACCAGCTGTCAGGGAGCTAATGGAAAGAAATCCCTCATTATTGTTTGCAATCAAGCAAAGGACGGCAAGGACTACTTGTGCACAATTCGCAAGGGAGAGTGCCCAGTAAAAGAACTGGGGTTCCATCTTATATCCAGGCTTCGCCACCGTAATTGTATAGCCTCAACTCTTAATCCATGTTCACCCGCCCCACAGGGTCTGATCGCAGGGTTGGATAGTCCCTGGACAATCATCGGCCGGCGAACCACTCCAACTGAAGGGCAAGTCGTACCACAGATCCGATGGTTTCGAATTTCCTCGGATGAGCTAGGATTATCGGAATGGCCTTTGCCGATCAAAGTCTAGACTGGCATCTCAATACCGGTAACCCTCATCATAGGCAGTCTTTCGTAGGTCTACTTCTTTAAGAGCAATAGGAAAATGTGTCTTGGATCAGTTATGCCGGATATGGCGGCCTGTTTATAAACCCTGCACATAGTCCTCAGCCCTGTTAGAATTTCAAAGGCCCTTACTTCAGCAATTAAGAATCCCCTGTTGTAATTGCTTCCAAAAACACCAGGTCCCATGCTGGGGAGACAATAGCACCAGGTATGTCATAATTGTCATAATGGTATGATTGGAATTTTCACTCTTGTTTTGAATATTTGTTATTGGTGAGAGACGTCCATTTAACAGCAGAGGAGATGGAGAATATTCAGCTTCTCGCATATATTATCATCTCTATTACTTTCGCCATTGGCGCCGTATCCTTTCTGGGCAGATGGTACAGTCGTGGTCTCATTGTTCGTGCCTTCGGATGGGACGATGTGTTTTCCATTTTCTTAATGGTGAGTCTAGGGATCACTTGAGCCGTTCTCACTACATACATCTTCAGGTGCAAATGCTAAGATATATCTTAGCTTGTCAATATCCTGCAACAAGCCATATTGTACATATTCCTACGATACGGGTGTGGCAGGTATGTAGCAATATAACTTTCAGTGTCCTTAAACCCTAACGTTTACCAGGCACGCGACAACTTTATCAGGCGATGATCTCGAGCAAATTACGAAGGTGGGCGGTCCCATAAACCATCATACCGATCCAATATTGATCACGAACAGTGGCTATTCTTTGAGGAGATTTTCTACATGCTCACTCACTGGACTATCAAGCAGACCTTCCTCATGTTCTACCTGCGTTTATCTCCTAGCATCACTTTTCGGCGATTGGTATACGGCACTATGCTATTGAATGCAGCTTTCACGGTCACGAATTGGCTGTTGGCATTCCTGCAATGTGTCCCCTTCGACGCCATTTTTCACCCTGCCTTATATCCAGACGCTGACTGCATCGACAAAAACATTCTACTGATGGGCCCGTCTGTATTAGTAAGTGATATACCTGATCAAATGCAGTGGCCCTGCAAATTCTATATTGTCTTAGACCTATCGCTCATTTCTTACTGCGTAGAATATCATCGCCGATGTTACTATCTTGATATTGCCAATACCAACTGTTTTAAAGCTTCAGATGTCGAAACGACGCAAGATTGCCGTCATATCAGTGATCAGTTTCGGCGGTTCCGCCGTCGTTGTTGCTGCATGTCGGTTTTTTATCCTCTACGAGCTTGGTCACGACCCCGATACATCCTATGTGCTTGGCAAAATGGTCATTGTAGCTGGCTTCGAGATCCAACTGGCTGTAATTGCTGTGAACTTGCCCTCCATGAAAGTGTTATGGACAAAGCTCTATGGCAACTCGGTCACCGAGGAAAGTTATATAGAAGATGGTTCCAAGAGCAAATCATACAGCTTGTCGACTTTGAAGCGAGGCATGGCGAGAAATCAGAAGGCCGGACCGGTCGCAGATGTCAGCATAACCAACCATATGGCTAGCATATTTGCATCCGAGTCCGAAGAAGAGCTGTGGGGTAAAGAAAGTCAGGGTAATGTTCTCATCACCAAGTCTGTGCACATTTCGCGAGCAGACCGAGACGGATCCATTCCGCCGGGTAACTGAGAACGATAAAACCAAAAACAACTACTGCAGCTTTTCTTGTGCAGTATCCTTTCTGCAGTCTTATAGTGAGCATCTTTAACACAGTCCCTAGGAATTGCAGGCTGATGCAAACCACTCTTATCAACAAATTTGATACTCGGACCAAAACTCTCAATTACTAGGATACAGTACGGGAAGCGCACGACCTTTTGCCGTATCATGTAATATGGAAGGCCTGTTCATATCCTAATACCATGTTTTTTATAGCTTGTTTTTCTTAATTTAGAACCAAGAGATGTCAAGCTATTAATCAACCAAGTTTCTAGCCAATGATCATGATCTTGGATAAGATATGCTCCTAGTAGCTATAGATTACGAGCCACAGCGTGAAGTGTTACTATATTATCTTGTTGACAGCCACAACCCGCAGCCGAGAACAATGGGTGAGAAATCACCTACATAAGTGAGTGCCGGCAACTTTGCAAGTCAGAATCACAGTTTCACGAGGTCGGTGGCGCGTATCATACTATGACTGGACCAGATCGAACTTGTCAGCCCTTTGGCGTCGTGATGCACATTATCCACACGGGAAACTTAATCGTGAGCAATCGTATATCTCGTAGCATCCCCCATGACTGCCTGCTTTAGTTGCGAGTCTGAAATTGGCCAACCTTGAAGTGGTGAAAGCTGGTGCAGTCCGTCATGGTCCCGGGACTAAAGGCCGCCCGTAGTTTGAGTGCGCTGGAGACAGAGCTGATTCTATTCAGTGTAATAATATATGAGATTGTGACCATTCATGTGCAGCATCATTGCGGTCGCAAAGACGTCCAGATTAATGTTTCAGGGTTCAATTGGTGATCAGATTCCCGCGTGGCGGCAGGTAATTGAGCTTAAGCGAACGGAAGGCGTACGCAACTAGATTTAAGTAGGTTTAGGGGGGCGCGAGCCGAGGGGTGGGGGTTAATACCACTACATTGACAGCGCTATTTGGCTATATCCAGATGGCTGGTCCTATTACTTCACTTCTCCGAGTGGTACAAATTGGCTGGCAAATTCATGGCGTTTCAGCCAGGATCAACTTTTTCCTCTTTTTCTTCTTCTTTTTCTTTTTCTTCTTCTCGTGATGTCCACTAGCATGCAGGGTCTTTGTTCAATTCAACGAGTTTAGTCAAGACAGATAGCTTTTGCATAGATCCCAGAATCATCAGAATCATCGTGAAGTAGATTGTGCTGACTGGTGGAAATTCGCACATGAGAAATACATACTATTATCGGTAAGACCAGTCCCTATTCGCGTTAGAGCTTGGTTTTAGTCTATTCTAGAGCTTCCAGATCCTATTGAAACATGAGTCGACCACTTTTGTTTAGAGAATGATATGTCTGCGACAAAGTAGTTCCGACTTGATGACGAATGCTAAATTGCGATATTCGTGCACACTTACAGTTACAGTTACTCAACCTTCACTTGATATATTCAAGGTGCACCATCTACAGTCAACCTGATCAGTGTTTAGCGAAAGGCTTATTGTGTACCACACTAATTTTGTGAGTACATGCTTGATTTCGGGTTGAGCCTGCCGACTTTGTCTGTCTCAACTCAGGGATTTGGGCAGATAGCATTTTGCATCGTCATGTATGATTCTATGTATCGTAACGAAACCTTGCAACCTACCTAGGCTTTATAATTAGGCAATTAAGTCCAGTTCTCGTTAATGTTCATCTTCTGATATCAATGGGATCGTACCTGGTCCAAATTAATTCTTGGACACATGGCGGTACCTAGAGTCTTTTGAACTGGAACAAACGCAAAATTCCAAGCTCTAGTTATTCTGTTATCATCCTCGCTACCATCATCTTCATTCTCATCCTTGGGATTGCAGTTGGGTCCAGATTCGGACCCGAGTTGGAGGCAGAGGCAGAGGCAGAGTTGGGATAGCCGGAATGGTTCCCCTGGCCATGAAGCGCGCAGCAGTGACTGCTATCAAGCCACAAAGGTCCCCAACGAAGGATAGCCCCATCTCGCTCTCCGCACTGTAGGGTGCTCTGTGACCAAGGTCGAAAATTTGTGGTGCTCTTTTCTACTATCAATCGTAGAATTTTGCGCCTCTAGGTGATCGTGGAAGGAGAGATCACCCTCTACGATGAGATGGGTGTTAGTGCCGGTATGATTTGTGTCTCTTTCTCTTAACACTACAGAGCCCACACACACCTGTCCCTGGCCAACTTCAAATCCATCACGAACATGAACCACAACAATCGTTCAACTTCCTTTGAAATATAGAAGAAAATAACCTCAGCGTATAGCGCAAGAAATTACAGGTTCATTCGTGAGCACACAGTCTGGAAACACTGTTTCTGCTCTCTGTCAACTCCACAAGTTGGCCCACATCGAGTCCTCTGTAGCCTGATAATTTCGAGATATCTTTTCGTAGAAGGGCCTTAAAGGCTACGCGTAAAGACGTCATTCATAATCTGTAAGACTAAGAGCACACGATGGTGCAGTCATTCTCGTTTTTAGGGCGGAAGAAGCATAGTTCGAGACCGTGCTATTTTGCAGCATGGACCTGGCTTCATGCAGCTCAAGGTAATGTGGAGCCGGCACAGAAGTAGCTAACCTAGGTTGGATCAGTTGGTGACCGTCGTAATGCGGTTGCCCTAACTGGATCTCTATCATCGCTGTGATGATGCAACCCTTGCAGTACCATTGTTAGGTTGACCATGCTGAGTAACATTACCCACAGCACTGCTTTTGCGCGCGAATGGACAAATCCTCCACCGTGGCACACTTAACACGTCCCATCAACCTTGCGAAACCGCATCTAACGACAACGAAGAGCCCAAAAGATGTTATAGCGTTTGGAATCTGTTTTCAGAGCGTATCTCCGACAGGACTCCAAGCCTTTTGCTCAATATGCCCAGACACTTGTCCAAAAATCTGCACCATGCGATCTTTCGGGAACTTGCGATGGGCGATCCTAACTACACGATACAATCTATTACGGACGTTTCAGCTGTGATATAGGCGCAACTTTGGACGCTGCCATTGAATCTTTTTGGAGCTTTCTCACTGCGCTGTGACAATCGTCTTTCGCGACTTATACGGCAGTGAATATCATATGCTCAAAGACCATAAATTATCAGTGCCTGGCCTCCGTGTGCTTTTCTTCAAGCAACAAATGGCATTCACGCATCAGCCAAACCTCAATAAACCATAACCAACAAACAAGATGCCGGACACAGGATATAACACCAACATCCTTCCTCGTCCAGAAGTGCGTCGCGACCGTCCCCCACCACCCCGTCGTGAGCTAAACGCTCAGGGCCCTCCTCCTCCAGAAAGTCGTGGAGACAATAAAATGTATCCAATCTTGCATCTTCCTCCTCCGGCAATAGAGAAGAAGACGCCAGTGGAACCACCCACACGGACCACCGAGGATAAAGTGTCGAAATTGCCTGATAAAAGCTTCTGGCCCCCCACATGATCGGAGCAACAAACAACAACGCCTCAATATTAAGTATAGGGCCCCCAGAACTCATAAAATACAAGAAAAGGCATTATGTTAAGGGAGGGTGCTGCCTGTGTATATAGTTTATCCGCTACGAAGATTCATCAACCTAGACCTAATATAAATTATGCGATATTAGCTCTAAGGATGGTGTATAGTATGGCCCTTTCATAACTCTCGACTGTCGTGTAAGTGAAAAGGGATGTTCTTGCGTCATGTAATTGTTATTCAGTGTTAAAGTGTTGAATTTTATGAGAGATTACTTAGTCGAGGTCACTTATAGTTGCTAAGATGACGGAGGGTGAAAGTTTAAATTCATAGTGGGTGGACATGGGCGGCTCTAGGGTGTTTCTCCAATTCGTACACAAGTTTAGAATCGCTCTAAACTTGAATAAACATTCACATTCTCTCACAACAGTATTGCGATTTTATTAACTCATGCACTAGGTAGAATTAGTTTTACTTTTCTCCCCCATTACTTAATCATAAATAATATCAAATGACATAATACAACAATAATTTATATACCACAAGTCCGCTCACAACTACATGGGTACGTCCCGCTTCTTCATTATCTCGATATTCAGGCCGGCTGTCTACATTTTTCCAAGCTAGTCGCTTACGCAAAGTTTTGGCCCCACGAGTGTGCGACACACATAGTAACTTTGCCCAAACATTGCTCATGAAAGCAATATATCTGCTCAAAGAGCTGTCTGGTATGCGATATCCTGTGACACAATCTGATAAGTTTAGAAGAATTAGAACTATTGTCAGGCCATAGTTCCAATGTCTCGAAATCGCACGAAAAAATGTACTTATCTTTCTTAACGACCGAGCCCTTTTCCATGGTGACCAAAAGTACAACCATGTCTGGCAAGCTTCTTCCGCTACATTCTGAGCAGAACAGCCGTGGTACAGACATCGACCCTAACTCCCACTGTATAGATCATCGTGGGATTTAGGTTTGTCTTACAAACGACCTGCGACTGGTTACCACGTACTTTATCCTTACTTGTCGCCTAACTGTGAAGCATAACACAATCTGTGTTCCAAATGACTGAGATAATTCTACACTAGGCTAACCAAGCTCCTTAGCTTATCTTCAACGCTCCTAGCGAGCGGTCCGATTCACTCAAACCCAGCCGATGGAAATGCTTTCGTCTCCCAGTATCAGTAACGTCATTATTTCCATTAAACCGCCTGTCATCAACAATTAGTAACCACGCCTGGTTAGCTCAATCGGTAGAGCGTGAGACTCTTACCGACTAAATACCGGTATCTCAAGGCTGCGGGTTCGACCCCCGCATCGGGCTCAATTCCCGATGCGCTTCATCCAATGAAGCACTTCGTCAATCTTTTTGCATTGTCAACAGATTTATTCTCTCTTCTGCTACTCGGTACAATTATGAGGGCCGGGCTGGCCAACAACAGAGTGCGGCTCAACGAGACATAACAAGTACTATCAGCGATGAATTATGTGGATGAGAGAAGGGGAGATAAGAAGACGCTTCCGGAACTATCAAACTTTAGTAGTTGTTCCTTCGGATCGCAGGAAACCTGTGAGCGAGAATGTAATGTGGTGTGGTGTGGATGATCTTGGAATTCCTATCGAGAATATACATTAACGAGGATCTAATCACTTTCAACCACAACGAGGTTAACTCAGTCTAAGTCTTAGTTGACTTAGCAGATTGGTGTCTAGCTCGCGATTCCAAGCTTAGAATGCCCAAGAAACCAAAAACTAAAAGACCAAGGGATCATCGATCGCTAGTAAATCAGATCCCGCCTCGTGAGGATACATACTTAGTCTTTTGGCTGCAAAAAGCCCGATACTTCATTTAACCCCCCCTTGCACATGCACTTGCGACCAGAACCATTGCAGCAGTAAACTCAGTTCTCCAGAAGGTAATTCGCAGTGCGCACAGTACTTTGCATCGCTACCTAAGCTGAAGGGTCACCGCAGCGACTTGATCCCACCCGCCTGCCTCCCGATCGATAGCCCACCTATAGCTTCCGCGATCAGCGCTTCACACTGACACCAGAACTTCACTTACTACAACTAGTCACCAATAGCAAACAGGCAAAAATGAGCTGGGAGGAGCCATATCAGACGGGTAAAAGTTACTCGCAAAAGCCAAATGTCTCCTAGAAGATGACTAAACACATTGGTTCACTCAGAAAAGGCGTCGAGGCATTTATCGACAAATACAAGAAGCGCTGGGATATCCTTACTTTGGCCCAGCCAACCCTTCTCAACTCATGACTTCGCATTAAAAGGATCGTCTCGTAAGCTGGAAATAATTTCCACAGAAGCTCTGGAGGGCAGTTACAATGACGAGTTTTTCGGCACAATTTTTGTTACCTCTGACAGCCAAACTACCAAGGCGAGGCGCATTACCAAGCTTCGGACAGTTCTCCAAGACCTCAATCATACATTCATTCATATACTGATAACCCAAGATCGTCAAAAGTTCCTCTAAGGTATTGGAGATGTGGCTCGCACGAGATCTGAGCAATCCAACAGTCTACCAAACCGTATCCAGACACTAGTCGAAAAATTTACTTTTGACAAACCAGCAACCATACCATTCCAAGAGGCTGTTCAGGAAATTCGCGACGCTATAAGGGTTCATGGTGCCAGGAGTCCACCTAGCTAACCATCTGATAGACTGGTCATTGGGATTTTCAAGAGCCAATCGAAGAGGTGGGAGCTGATTGCCAAACGTTATATCCGGCATGTTCTTGAAGCCACCCAGACTTCTATGAAGGAACTTCTCGCCTATACTGCGAGTGCTGGAGCTACTTTGCGCGCTACCATTCTTTCAGAGAAACTTGAGAAATTATTCAAGAGCAGTCGTGAAGTACTGGATGCCAACCTACAAGGAGTCCTGCATTATCATCCAAGAGACATCTTTTTGTGTTAGTCAGCGATCCCGAAGAGGCAGAGGCACGTTTTGATGAGGGAAACAAGTCAAGACATGAAGACTTCTGTGAGAATTTGATCTTCAAGTCTCGACAACATCACGAGGTGAGTCTCCATTTGCCACAATATGTTGACTTTTACATCAACATCCATTTTCACCTCAATCCGGAAGAGCCCTCTCTCGGATGGGAGTAAGTCAATCATTGACAAGCCGTCTGCAAGTTCATGTCGTCGACGGGCTTGGAAGCACCACGCGAAAAATAAGCTTTGGTGAATTGTGGCCTGAGATCACTAGATGAAGTCGACGATATAATTAGCTATTATTTATGGTTGGCTTTCAAATCTGGACGATTGGGTTTGAGGGCAATATTGCGCTATAGTCATGTATTTTGTTCTTTTGGTTTTAAAAACGCGGCTCCTCAAGATAATGTTACAACAGCTTCGCAGACTCAAGAGAATGATTGCAGCAATGAAATACGATAATTTGCTGCCGGGGTTTTCAGGCATAATGAACTGTTCCTTATATATTTGGCTTGCTCCTGACGTAGTGGCATGTCTAGCTTGAGAATACAAGTGGCAAGATTACTACGAATTTGCCGGGAAGATTAACATCCCAGCATCATGAACACTAGTGAATCCTGCCATCATAATGGTGAGTTTGTTTGTGGCGGAAACGCGTCTGTGATTGACAAAACTACCTTGCTCCAGCTGTGGTGTTTTCTTGTCCCCAAAACCACATTAGTCTAGGTTAGCTAAGTATACTCACCAGCCGTAGGTTCTGCAAGCGCTTGTGTATGCACTGACATAGCGTAATGCGTACGCAGACTTGTGGCTGGCCATTGCTTGGTGCGGCCGAAACGGTTTTTAGTGCCTTCAGTTGGCAAATACAACAATCATTTGGAATTGATCGTTTGTCACTTCAACACTTTGATCACTGGGAACGATAGGAAGCTGGCACAGTTGACGTCAATGTTTAGTTTCGATTTGCTGTCGGATAGCGATCGTCTCTAACGCAGTTGGGGCATCGAAGCGCTACGGCGCGGAGAGCGCTGGCGCCAATGTAGCTGACTACAGTATGGTGCACGAGTGCTACTATAAGAGTATCAATACTCCGTAGAACTTTAGCGCGGGCTCCAACATGTAATTATCCTCTGTCGTATGAAGTAGAGTAGGTACATGGCATTGAGAACACAAACAAAGTCAACCACTTTATATTATTTTTCCACATACTTCACAGGTTATGCAGAGAATCTCATTCAATTCGTCTATGGTTTCAGCACAGGTAAGGTGTGTGGTATACAGTAACTATTCGTCATCTGGCACCATGATAGCCAGAGCCTATGTGAATAACTCAGGTATAGTATGTGGTCAACAGCTTTAAGTACGTGGTGTGTAGGGTCTGGTCTGCCCCTCAGCAATGCTCGTTAATCGCATCATCAAATGCAGTGGTTATATGCCAGCATGTTTCTCTCTCGCCCTATCTCGTCAGGGCATACCATTCAGGAATATAAATGATCCTGCAATGATGCCACTGGTTACGCCCAATGATCATTGAAACGAGAAGTTCTTACTGCGGGGAGCAGCATTGCCAAGCACTTCCCGAGACAGCCAATGGCCGCTGTCTGAGGGGAAATGCAAGTCTGCCGTACGAGGCAAATCTAAGGCTTCAAGGAATCGCCCGATTTTGCGGAGTGAGCTCTCAATGCTGTGGTGGGTGAAGCCCCCTGGCAAGCAAAAGCAAAAAGAAAGGCGGTGAAGATGCTGAGAAACTCTGAAATGCTTGCATTATCTTGCGCAAAGCGCCAGTGTCAGAGCAGCCTGCGTGGTTATAATGTTAAAATCTGGCATAGGAGACTTCTCGAATGAATTTTGACAGAGAAGCCCAACACGACACGACCCTCCAAGATACAGCTCAGCTGAGGCAAATCTCTGCAATGTGCGTTAGCAACATAAACAAATGATAATGACTATCCGATGCATTTCTGACTGACATGCCGTGAAACCATGGAGACATCGCAACTGGAAAAATGCCTAGCCCTGACAAGGTTAGAGACCCCCACGCCATTGTGACCCGCGACCCGTGGGCCGGGTTACACACATAAGTTAATTGCGGCCATTCAGCTGATAGCGCGTTGGTTCCGTGTGTGCGAAGTGACGACAGGCCTGAACTTTCCGTTTGACTTGGCCGGCATGTATGGGTCGATTGATGAGAACAGGTGGGCCTCCAGGGAAGTTTTATCGTAGAACCTGAGGGTTAGGACGTTAGATAGAAGTACAACTTGACTTGCTAAACTCTTCTTTGAGTTGTTCTCGTTAATTCCTCGAAAGGATTTTCTGCCGCTCTTCAGTGTTGACACTAAGCTCCTGGGCAACGGATCGACCTTCAAGCAGTGGGGACTCATCCCATCGTCAACGAGCAGCTGCTTCCCGCAACCCGGCTTCGGGGAGGCTCCACCGCTTTCAAACATCGTCAACCAATTCGAGCTTGCTATATATACCGTAGGCAAATCACCAAGCACTTATTTACCCGAACACCGCGGGACCTAGAGCCGTCAAACACGAAGGCGCGAAGGCACGAAAGCCCAAGCCGGTATTGGGAATGGAATATCGCTCAAGCTCAGTAAGCATCTCTTGTTCAACGCTTCAGATTCACTCCTGCGTACTGCATCATAATGGCCCACGCACTCTTGTTTTCATTGCCAACCCACGCTCACTGCAGCAACCTGAATATTTCGTTTTTGTCCCGTTACCTGGCTTAAGCATCGCATGTTCTCCGTGAGCTGTATGTGTGCAAGCGCACACCCTATCAGTAGGTCGTGAAACTACTCAAATTCATCAGATCGGACGCTTCTGTTTGTTATACTGCTCAATATCCAGGGAGTCGGATGTGTTGTTTGATGAGCATCCGTGACAACCTTTCTGCTGGGAGGGAAAGTGCAATGGGATGAAGCATACGCTTGCCTCCGAAGGGAACCACATCCTTTCATTGCCATATTCCATTTTGATTTTCTGATTTGGCCAATCTTCTTTTCAGTTGGCAAACGAACACTAATACTTCCTTCCTTTGATAGCAATTACTTACATGCTGCTAGCACATTTCACCCTGATCAAGATCTCTAATCCATCTTTCGAGAACTCAGCATCCATCACCTCTAGGTAGCTAGTCATATACTCAGCAATCATCGTATCCTTGTACATTTACTCAACCACATCTCACTCTCATTGAATTTCAACGACACACTTGCTTCAAAATATTACTATTCCTCATCATGTCTGATCGCGGACGAGGTCAACCCCGTGGCGGTCGCGGAGGTGGACGCGGTCGTGGTGATTATCAGGGTAGTCGTGGTGGAGCTTCCTTTGGTGGCTTTGATTCGAGCGGCGCCATACACGGTGGTGGTTACAGAGGAGACCGAGGTGGCGGTGGTGGTTACAGAGGAGACCGAGGTGGCGGTGGTGGTTACAGAGGAGATCGTGGTGGCGGTGGTGGTTACAGAGGAGATCGTGGTGGTGGCGGTGGCTATCGCGGAGATCGTGGAGGCGGTGACTTTCGTGGTGGAGATCGTGGCCGAGGAGGTTACAGAGGCCGTGGTGACAAGTTTAGCGGACAAGCCATGACTTACAGGTAAGTTGTTCGTTTTGTCGCCGCTTGCTGAGTGGACACTGACTCTGTTCTTAGTGCTGGCCCTGTGACTCCTCCTGATGCCGCCGTGACACAACTAGAGGATAAGTTGGTGAAGGAATTACAACTGAACAAGGCCATGTCAAAGCTGTCAATGGATCCAACGAATAACTCGACGCCCACAGAGTTCATCCCACTAAGACCTTCACACGGTACCAAGGGCAAAGAAGTTGTCCTTTACGCCAACTACTTCAAGTTGGCCGTGAAGTCGTTGACGCTGTACAAATATACTCTCAAGGTCGCGAAGATCCCTAAACAGGCAATGAAATCAGATGCCAAGATCCCCGAGGCCAAGGGTCGGAAGTTAAACAGAGTCGTGGCCCTAGCACTTGAACAAGTTGGAAACGCAATTCCTGTTGTCTCGGAGTACAAAAGTCAAGCCGTTTCTTTAGAGCCTCTCGACCTTCCGAAAGACGGAACCGTTCAAGTCCCTTACAGCGATGAGGGTCGCGATGACACCTATAAGGTGACTTTCCAAGGCCCTACGGAGATCAGAGTCGGCGACCTTACGACTTTCTTGACAACTATGCAAGGCTCGTCATCAACTTTCCCTCTCTTTGAAGATGTTATTGATGCGGTCGGAGTTGTCCTTGGACATTACCCACGTGCTCATAACGGCACTGCTTCTCTCGGGAGTGGTCGTCATTTCCCACTGAATCTCACGGGTGAGGTCCAGGCCCTTGGCCGCCCTGGCTTCAACACTATTATACGTGGATACTTTTCTAGTGTACGTCCGGCGACAGGTCGCCTTCTTCTCAACACCAATGTCTCACATGGTGTGTTTCGGTTCTCCGGACCTATCGTCGACCTTATGCGGCAGTGTCAACTTGGTACTGACGATGACGTGTGGAAGTTTAACCGCACTATCTCACGTCTCCGTGTTAAGGTTCAAGTACTTTCGGAGAAAGGTGTTCCTGGATCCAAGCCCCTTAGTAAGGGCAAAGCTAGCGCCTCCAAGCCTCCAGGTGTCGCTCGAATCAAGGAGTCTGTCATCAGTGGCCTTGCTGACCCTAGGGATGGAGGCAAGGAGGAGAAACCCAAGGTGAAACGTTTTGGAGCTCGTCCTAACGAGGTTTTGTTCGTCATCAAGGCTCCCGCACCTTCTGGTTTCCAGGCGGGAGAGGAATACACCGTTGCCCAGTACTTCCAAATACGTAAGTTATTCCGTCGCAATTGACCACTGCTAAGCTGATGCCTCTCTAGGATATGGCCGACAAGTCGATCTCAATCTTCCTCTAGTCAATACTGGTACCAAGCTCAAACCAGTCTACACCCCTGCTGAGTTAGTCGAGGTCATCCCTGGTCAGGCTCTCCGCCGCAAGACAACGCCGGATGAGACTCGAGAAATGATCGAGTTCTCTTGCCGCTCGCCTTTTGCAAATGCAACCTCTCTCGTCCAAACTGGCCGCAAATGCCTTGGTCTTGACGAGAATCCCATCCTGGCAAAGTTTGGTGTCACTGTCGACAGGAATCTTCTTACAGTCAAAGGACGAGAGCTCCCGCCACCCCAAGTAATATATGCGAGTCTCAAGAATCCTAGACAGTTGCAAAAGCCGTCTGTCACTGAAGGCTCGTGGAACATGCGTGACGTGAAAGTCATCAAAGCTGGAAAGTCGATCCAGGCTTTCAGGTGGATCTACATCAACACTGAATTTCGGTCGAATCCTCCTCCTCAGGATGTGCAGGGTGCAATGAGTGGAATGTTCAACTTCTGGAGAAACATGGGTATCGCGATTGGCAATCCTCAAAACAAAGACGGCGAATCGATCCATATTCCAAGAGGAGCTTCGGCTATCAAGTGCATCGAATCGGCCTTTGCTAAGTACCAGGTTCACCCACAGTTCCTCTTTGTTGTGCTTCCTGACACAGGCACGGAGATCTACAATGCTTTGAAGACTCTTGCCGACACCAAATATGGATATCATACTGTGGCCATGGTGAAAAACAAGCTGGTCAAGGAGAAGGGTCAGGTCCAATACTTCGCTAATGTTGGTCTGAAGGTAAATCTCAAGGCCGGCGGCATCAACCACAAGGTCGAAGGTGGGGTAACATTGGTGAGAGAAGGCAAGACTATGGTTGTTGGTTATGATGTCACTCATCCTACAAATATGTCTGGTGACTCTGAAAATGTGCCTAGCATGGTCGGTATGGTTTCGAGCATTGAGCCTGAGTTGGCACAATGGCCCAGCACAGCATGGACCCAAGATGGTCGCGTCGAGATGCTTAGTGCAACGCTAGAGGCCAAGTTTGAAGAAAGGATCCGCTTGTGGTTGAAGCACAATCCTGGACGCCCATTAGAGAATATTGTCATTTACCGCGATGGTGTATCCGAAAGCCAGTTTATGCAGGTGTTGGACAAGGAGCTTCCGTACATTCGTGCAGCCTGTCGGAAGCTCTGCAAACAGCAGCCTAAGATCGCCCTGATTGTCTCTGTAAAGCGGCATCAGACCCGCTTCTATCCCACTGATGCGAACAATATGACGAGCTCTCGAAACATCAAGAACGGAACTGTCGTTGATCGTGGTGTCACTTTGGCCAGAGTCTGGGACTTCTTCTTAACAGCTCACACTGCACTTCAGGGCAAGTCAAACTCTACATCAATCCTTGAGCTTTATTTAACTGACCCCGTTTTAGGCACTGCCCGTCCTGCCCACTACACTGTTCTCCTCGACGAAGTCTTCCGCAGCACATTCAAATTAGAGGCTGCAAACACCTTGGAAAAGATCACACATGATATGTGTTATCTCTTTGGCAGAGCTACAAAGGCTGTCAGTATTTGTCCTCCAGCATACTACGCAGATATCGTTTGCACCCGGCAGCGCGTGCATATGAATGAGTTCTTCGAGGGCTCAGACAATGCATCCACAATCTCCGATGCCGCCAAGACTCAGATTAAGTCGCGGACTGTTCACGAGAATTTAAAAGACAACATGTACTATATCTGATTTGTATATTGTCAGCCGATAATCGTATCCTTACACCACTATTCAGGGACTCGGTGTAAACCACTCACAACTCTGAGGTAGCGCATCCCGTTTCCGAACTACATCTCAGACTTTCCATTCTAGCAGTCAAGGGCATCTTGATTTTACTATGGACCGACGCTCAGGTTGGCCCCAGATTTCACTTGCCTACTGCTTAAAGCTTGGTCATGGAAGATCTTCTTTTATGGCCTTGCCATTTTAAGCAGTAACATGGCGCAGCTGAACGTGGCTACGGCAGTCTAGACATTATGTTATCCGATGAATACATGCTTGTCTACCCTCTAGCACTAACTCGGCACCAAGGCGGACAAGCCGACCAACAACATCGAGACATGGTGAAACTGCAAGTTCCCTTGTCCAATATCTCCTTTCATTCTCTCAACTTCGACCATAATTCGTTGTGATTCAACGAAGTCGAAACAGTTATTCAATAGCGGATAGCGGTTGCTTTGCGTACATTTTCTCCCATAGATAGTAACCAGTCTCTATAATCTTTAGTCCGTCGCACCGATGTAGTCTTACGTGGACCATTTGTTGCACCATGCGTGACGTAAAAACACGATGCGGTAAGGTTATGTTCGTAATGACACCAGTCAGTCAGGGACTTGCACTCCACGACACTTTACGATACAGCAACCCTGCCTCCTTGCTAGGTTCTTCATCAATCAGTTGCGTTATGATATCTGTCGGAACACATCCTGATTGGATCCGTATAGGTACACAACAAGTCTATGAGGTCTTTGGAGAGCTGATAGGTCGAAGAGTCTTCTGTGAGCACAAAGTCAAGGTCACTGTCCATGGGATGTTGAGCCAGTCCACGATCCCATCCCGTCCTGGTTGAGATAAGGCTTTTCCCTTAGCATGTAGGTTAACTTAGTATGAAAAGCAGTATTTGTTTCATACTGTCGCTCTTCCCCAAACAAGCTCTGGACTTGGGGCATCTCTAGCCGTTTGCCAAGCCTGGGGTAGTGCATCTCGGACAACTCAGAAGCCCGAATGACGATTTAGTTAGCGCCCGAGCACTAAATTTCCAGTGAGGTTAACCTGAACAATGTTCTAGATTACTGTTCTAGGTTACTTAGACTGTCGTCAAGATCGCCTTATGGCCGAGGGATCTTGAAACCCAATGCATACACATCACAGCCAGTTTACACGCTCTGCGATTGGCTCGGAACACATGTGGCCGATACCACAGATGCCAGCAGCCCCGAATGGTCATGGTCAACGAATATCTTGCACCATCGGTGAGTAGGAACATTGCATCATCGATATTGCCCGGGCTACTGCGTTTACATGCATTCTACGGTGAATATAATGTTCTGAAATCGTCGTTCAGATGAGATATCTGAGCATCAAGCAAGTTTACGCAAAGCTTATTTCCGTCGCAATACAGAAAGTTTATTCTTTTGCGCGGCTGGCGAATGAGTCTATGACACTTTTTCGTTAACACATTGCCTGTGTCGACAGCATGCCAATCAAACCACGAATTGATCAAAGTTCAAACAGCGACAGTCAGAGCTTGGTTCCAAAACACGATATCTGTAGACCATAGAAAGCTATGGCTGACCATAAGACGGAGCAACCATCCAGAGTTCCTAGCGAGAAGGAGGAACGCGACAAGACAGTAACGCCAGATGATGATAGTGAGATAGTTTATCCTACTGGGTTGAAGCTGTGGCTCATCATTCTGTCGTTATGTTTGTCCATTTTTCTTGTCGCGCTGGATCAAACCATCATCGCGCCGGCTCTAGGCGCCATCACAGCCGAGTATGGATCGGTTAAGGACATTGGTTGGTATGGAGCGTCGTACCTCTTGACGAGCACGGCACTTCAACCACTCTACGGCACTATCTATCGGTTATTTGACATTAAACTCACCTTCTTGGGAGCCGTCGCCCTATTCGAACTCGGCAGTTTGGTATCGGCCGTCGCACCCTCGTCGGTGGCCTTCATCATCGGCAGAGCCATCGCAGGTCTGGGTACCGCTGGCCTCTTCTCTGGCGCCATCGTCATTCTGTCGTATACACTTCCCCTTCGCAAGCGGCCGATCATGTTTGGGCTTTTCGGTGGTATGTGGGGCATCGCGAGCGTTGCTGGACCATTGTTAGGTGGCGCTTTCACCGATCACGCCACTTGGCGCTGGTGTTTTTATGTCAACCTGCCTATCGGTGGGGCTTCCATGGTGGTGATCTTCTTCTACTTGAGTATATCGAGAGCCAACAACCCTGACAACAAATCATTCATATCGCGGATCCTGCAGCTGGACCTCTTAGGGGCCAGTGTCCTAATACCGGCCATCATCATGTTGCTTCTGGCTTTGCAGTGGGGAGGTGCAGATTACCCATGGAATGACTCTCGTATTATCGGACTGTTCGTCGGTGCTGGTGTCATGGCCGTCGTCTTCGTCGGCATAGAGATATGGCAGCAGGACAAAGGTCTCTTGCCGCCCCGCTTCTTCAAAAACCGTAATGTCCTAAGCGCCATGATGTTCAGCTTCTTCTTTGGTGCTTGTTTTTTCCCCATGATCTACTACCTCTGTGAGTCTCCCCTCTTTGTACTTTAGAAGCGGCCAGCGAACTGATGTCGTCAGCACTCTATTTCCAAGCGGTCCAGGGCGACTCCGCTGTTCAAGCTGGCATCAAGCTCTTGCCAATGCTTATTGCTTGCGTTGTTTCTTCGATGCTGAGTGGCGCTCTAATCACAATCTCTGGCTACTATAATCCAATCATTCTTCTCGAGACAGTCATGTTGAGCGTCGGTGCTGGCTTGATTTCGACTTTCTCGCTCGATACACCATTCGGAAAATGGTTCGGATATCAGGTTCTGTATGGGCTTGGTACGGGGGTCTGTTTCCAAGCAGGAGTGATTGTGGTTCAAAATGTGCTTCCACAGGATTTAGTCCCCCAAGGCACAGCATGTATACAGTTCTTCCAAAGTCTTGGCGGTGCGCTCTTCATCGCCGTGGCGCAGACGCTGTTCCAGAACGGCTTGATAGAGGGCGTGATAAAGGATGCGCCACAGATCGATCCGCTCATTTTCATCAATTCCGGGGCATCACAAATAAGGCAAATACTACAGAGCATGGGCCAGACCGGCGCCATAGACGCGGTGCTCGGCGCATACACGACAGGACTGAGATACACGTACTATATTAGCGTGGCCACTGCCTCTGCAGCATTTGTAATGGCGCTCGGATTGGAGTGGAAGAAAATTGATAAGTCTGGAGCCGACACAGCGAGCAAGGATGTTGAAATGGCAGAGGGCACGACGCAAGAGAAAAGGGAAAATGACCTTGGCAAGGAAGTTGTGGCTTGATCATCACACCTCAATTTGCGTGTAGATGATATGATAATTCCCCGCTCTAAAAATATGAGTCAATCCGATTTCACACCGGCGGCCTAAGTTAGGTTGAAATCGTAACTACTAATTATTTCATGCTAAGCTCGTCTATATCCGGTGTTTTTCCAAAACTGCTCAGTGATCCACATGGCGGGTAATGTACCCCTTAGCTAAAGCATTCATACCAAGTATGGAATAAAAAGGCGGCGAGGTAGATGTCTTTGCAGATTGCGGCTGAATAGCTGAGCCAAAAGTGCCCACCGACAGCTCGGTTCCCTTGTTTCTGTCATTAATGCGAATGCTCGGCAGCTGGTAGTGTGTTGCTTTCATTGGTTGTCTCCAAATGAAGGATCTGCGATGTCACCAGGTGCTAGCCACGTATGAACAAAGTATGGAGTTCCAGCCTTACTGGGCGTATGAAGACAAACCTTAATTTCCCAGTATGCTGTCTCAATGGCTGCACAAATCTGTCAGGATTCCACAAGCCAATTTCCACCACCGAACGTCGTCGATTTTGAGCTCCTTCTATTCTGCCCTAAACCCTTGAGCTTGTGGCTACTGCAACCGGCGCAGCCAGTCTAAGGATCGTCACGCTAAAATAACACCACGAGAAAGGTCGTGGTCGGATGACTAACAATGGGTGCTGAAGTGACGATGGAGGCACAGCCTCATACAAGCGAGCTTGGCAAGACTATATGAGCATAAGGCCGCCGCTGTTGCGATGATATCGTAGCTGATTTTCGGCTTCCAGTAGCCACGAAATCTCGCCCGCAGACTCTTGCGCCGCGTATCACTTTTACACACACTTGTGCCACACCGCAAACTCTGGCCCAAAATGCAAATCTGGTTCCATGGCACTGGTCTGCTGCTGTTGGTGCTGCCCCTGACGCTGGGTCAAGACCTCGCCCATGAGCGGCTCGCAGCTTTCCAGTTTCCCTTGTCTGGTGATTCCAAGTTGACTCTTGCTGCCTCGGGGTCATGTGGCCTCGGCTACGTACAGTGTAATGATGGGTGCATGCCAGTAGGCAATACCGTACGTCCACACTTTCATTTTTGTGATGTTCACTGGCTTGCCAAGCCGCTTTCACAACAACCAGGTCTTGATCAAATGACTGACATCATGTTCATAGTGCTGCAGTGATTCGAATGGCAGTTGTCCTATCGGCTATGCCTGTGTGACTGGCGGGTGTTGTCCATTAGGAAAGACGTGCTCTGGCAGTCCTTCTGGGTGTGGCGCCAATCGAAAGGAGTGCGGTAATGCCTGCATGCCACTGACGGGCGTCTGCTGCGATGATTCCAAGTACTGTCCAGCCGGTAACCTCTGCACCACGGATGGGTTTTGCTGTTCTGTCGGAGAGACGTGCTCAGGAACTGGGAGCGGCAGTGGCAGCGGCAGCGGCAGCGGCAGCGGCAGCGGCAGTTCAAGTACAACGACAACCACAGCCAGGTCAACTACCAGATCAACGACATACACGAGCTTCGAAGACGATACAAGCACTGCCGAGACTTTCACCTTGAGTGCCAAAACAACTTCCAGGGTCTCGACAACGAGTAGCGACGATGTTAGGACTTCGACTTCGACTTCGACATCGAGGACCGCGACACGCACGACTTCGTCTTCGTCTACGGACAGCTCAACAGCAGCGCCCACTGCCTTTACTATACCGACCACTCGAGCCTCTTCCACAAGTAGCAGTATCACGACCACCGTACGTGCTCAAATGGGAGACCATCATGCAGCCAATGTCAAGTTGGCCGTGGCTGGTGTCGCTGCCGCTGCGGCTCTATTGATCTAGTCAATGCGAGGATCTGTGTTTTTGTGACATACAAATTTGCGACAACTTCGGAAATAGATGAATTCCATCAAATATACGTGTTAGGCATATCTTGAATGAGCATCGGGCTTCGTAATCAAATCATTTTTAAAGCAAAGTAAACTCAAAAACAATAACGGGATGAAAACGGACCGTACACACTGGCTGGACTGCCGAGGGCGGAAACCGCCGACCGATAATATATACTGTCCCGATGTAGTCCGCTGCTGAGCGCAATAGACCTGGTTTCTTTCCACTATCGTCAAATACTTGAAGAGGATGCTCTATTGATAAATTCCCGTTCGCTCATTCCCCTTTGATTCTTCCCCTCCATGGTACATTTTGCAGCTCATTTAACCAAGCACATACGACGCACAATGATAGGCAAGCCCACCTCGGGCGGCTTTACAAAAACGGCCGACTGGCTAGACTGGTATGCCGGCCCCAGCAAGCCAACCTTCAAGCTACCGCCTGGCGCGGTGGATTCGCACGGCCATGTATTCGGACCAGGCGAGAAGTTCCCGTATGCGCCAGAGCGGAAATACACGCCCTGCGATGCCAGCAGGGAGCAGCTATTCGCACTGCGCGACCACCTCGGCTTCACCCGCAACGTGATCGTGCAGGCGACGTGTCACGGCGCGGACAACAGGGCGCTGATGGACGCCTGTATCGCATCCGAGGGCCGAGCGAGAGGCGTCGCGACCGTGAGGCGCGGCGTTACCGACGCCGAGCTCCAGGAGCTGCACGATGCCGGCGTAAGAGGGGTGAGGTTCAACTTCGTGAGGCGGCTGGTGGACTTCACGCCCAAGGACGAGCTACGGGAGATTGCAGGACGCATCGCGAGGCTGGGATGGCATGTGGTCGTGTACTTTGAGGCGCAGGACCTCCCTGAGCTCTGGGACTTCTTTTCGGGCATCCCGACTGCGATTGTGGTAGACCATATGGGACGGCCAGACGTGTCCAAACCTGTCGACGGAGAGGAATTCGAGCTGTTCATCAAGTTCCTGCGAGAACATCCAAATGTCATGACGAAAGTGACGTGTCCAGAGAGATTGACAAAGAGTGGACCGTACGCGTTGAACGGGGAGCAGAGCCCTTATGACGATGTTGTCCCCTTTGCGAAGAGGTTGGTGGAGGAGTTTCCGGATCGTGTTTTGTCGGGCACAGATTGGCCGCATCCCAACCTTAAGAGCCACATGCCGGATGATGGGCTACTGGTTGATTTCATCCCTAGAATTGCGGTTACGGAAGAGTTGAGGCAAAAGTTGTTAATAGATAATCCAACGAGACTCTATTGGTCCGAGCAGTTGACTTGAAGATAGTCATTATATGCATAAACATTATCTTGGCCTGATGGAAAAGTTACCCGAGGCCTCTGCAAGACTATTTCTCGCCTTGATGGCGTTAATTGTTTTTTTTAGCCGTGTATTTGGTGGTTTTACTGTTGAAGACCCTTTGAATGAGCTGTAAGTCATACAGGTCTACCATGCAGTAAGCCCTATAACCAATAGAAGGACATCAGAAATGGGATCGTACACATAAGTAGGTAGCATTTGGATGGAGGTCTGTTCTGGGCCAGAAAGTAAGATTGCAATCATGCGTCAGTAAGTCGCAATCAGATGTGCACTGCTTTTTGTAATCGATCTGTCTCGTTGATTCCTCCTCGATCTCCTCGAACAGTGCGGGTAGTCAGGCATATACTTAGACACGAGAGAGTCGCAGACAAAAGATGCCTACTTAGGTAAGTCTAGCAACGGGCGAAGCGACAACATTGAACCGATTTTCGTAGTTAGGACTCTTCGGTCCAGAGGTATTGCTACTTTCTCACGCTGCAGATCAATATGGACCATATCAGAGGTCGTTCTTTTTAATTTCGAAGAGGTCCTTACGCAATTATGATTAGACACGTGACCTCGATGAACTACATCACTGCCTGCAAAGCCAAGAATGTCAGGTCGACCTGATGGGGATAACAATAATAACCTATGTGTCTGCATAAGAGAGGTGGTTGGATATCAAAACTTTAGCTCGGAATTCTTTGCTGCAAGATCACATGTTTTCATGGTCTACATGCCTTGAAATTTAATGCATGGTGCAAGCACTCTGATCTGCATTTAATCGACTTCCATATTAGCAGTCATGTCACTGAAGTTCCCCTCTCAGAATCGACAAGTTGTTTTATTCACCTTGCGCAAATAAAAGAGTTAAATTTTCGTGGGTCGTCCGGTCACAGTGATACGAAATCAGATTGAATAGTGCGCAGGTTAAGCAAACGGAGATGACTTAGAGGAGCGATTTCGAACCCGGAGAAACTGAAGACAGCGCTATAAGCCGGATGCCCCTTCCTGCTGCTCTGGTGGATTATTCCTGCCCGAATAAATATTCAACACTGAAAATACCACATGCACTCTCGGACCCCTTTTGTTCTTCCAAATCCTCCTTACTTTTGCAAACCCATTGTATCTTGGAGCCAATCTCACAACGTACTTTTCAGTGATAGTCTCTTGTTATAGCACTTTGCATCATCGCTTACTTGGCTGAACATATCGATACGCCCATCGAAGATTAAAGAGTCCGACGACATATCACCATGGTTTCAATCATCCAGACTGCCGTGCAATGCGAGTTGAAGAAGGCTGACACTGACTATGACGACACTCGTCCATCCCGATACAATCTTCGAAAAACGATCAAGCCTTCATGGCGTGCCCGAGCAGGCTGCTCGGATCTTCCCATGCGAGTTCCTCGAGGCAGCCCTAAGAAAGCCCCACCGATAGAGTTGGAGGGTGTCCGGGGCCATCGCGTGTCTGCCGAGAGTTCCTCTGCAATTAACAGTCTTGTACCAACCGTCACGGTACCTGAACAAGACCCTCGAGATTCTGAATCCGAGCAAGATTCTCCACAGATCACCCCAGAACTCACCCCGGAACTCATATCGGATGGCAACTCTCGAGGTTCAAGAAGCTTGCAAGCCACTCCAGAGACTCCCGCTGAGATCGGCTATCATACTCGATCCATTCCACGCCTATCGGGAGGTGAAGGCATCGAAGCACCCAGAGACCCTCCCACCACCACAGTCCAGAGCCGGCTCCAGCCGACTCCCCTCGCCCGCAGCCGTTCTGCTTCTGCTTCGCCCAGTCGGCGGCCAGCTCGACAACAGCTGAACCTCATCCTTGTCAGGAGCGGGTACCAGTCGCTGGGCTCACTTCGCGACGTGAAGGCACGTCGTTGGATCTACCGAAAGTCGTGCGACGGCACGAGACCCCTCGTCCTCTACTGGCAGGGGCCGCGGCTTGTCGGTATCTGGAACCGCGAGCCCGGCGAGTGGCTGTTCCAGGACAGAAAGTTCGTCGAGGGCGCCAGACATGCTGCCGTGTGCCCCAAGGGTGTGGACCAGATCTACCAGAGCCAGGAGGACGGCGTACACGTTAAGAACGAGGATGGCGTCCGGGTTCCGCTCTGGCCTGGAGAGGAGGGTTTCTGATTTCGATCACGTTGTTGTCAATAAATTGAGTATGGGTAATGAGCAGCTTTTCAAGGTCAGGTGAGAAGATTGTGCGACAAGACTGTACGAGGAGCCTGTATGAAAAATATGTATTAAGAAGCATGATGAAAATACTGGATAAAGCACAGGGGTAACTAGACGGCAATGGGGGCGTCTTTGAGGAGTTGATAGAGGAGTTTTGGTTTGCGTTGCATATGTAATGTTGGGCGTTATACATACCTGCCGCAGTTCTTATCCCTTCCCTTAATACATGACAGTGGTTACAAGATATAAGATCTTTGTAGCTGAGAGATTTGTACGGCATAGTTTTGTTCAGTGCTTGCAGGGCTTTCAAGGTGCAATAACAAACCACAACGCATGACTTAATATTGATCGATCTCGTGTACTTGAAATGGTTCGTATGGGAAGTTCTCCAATGTGATGGTGGTATAAGCGAAGAGGTTGCACAAAAAGGTGCATTATCGAACCCCTTTCAACGATCTTACTTAATCGTAGGGATAAGTGTACTCAATATAGCCACCTCTATTAATTGTGGTGGGTTGCGACGATAGACCTCTTGATGCGGTTTCGGCTTGGAAATTCAAAACGGCGAAGGGCCAGCATGCAGTCAAGTCCAAAATCGAACTATTTTATGTCGTACACAAACCCTTGGTTTATCCCGATGACTGTTGGTTCATTAGGCCCGATTTCTTGTACGGGAGACTCATTAACATAGTACCACATTTTTTCAGTGCCTAGCTATATGGCCCAAATATTCGTGTAATGGTACAAAATGCTACTCATGACTTGGTAGATCATATTCATATTCAGACCGGAGTGAGTCTCTAATTTCTGCTAATTCAAACTTGGACAATGCTCGGGCAGATCATAAAACATAATACATGAAAAGGGGTACAGATGGTGACGGCCTAGATGCGTGGTGCCTCGTCCTGCTTCTTCACTTTGTCCTCGGGCGAGAACTTTAGACTGACACTGTTCACGCAGTGTCGCTCGTCGATTGGGTTTTTGTACCCTTCTCCCTTGAAGACATGGCCCAGATGTCCACCGCAGTTGGAGCACACGATCTCAGTGCGACTCATACCAAAAGTGTTGTCCTCATGACGAGTGACGGCTCCCGGAATGCTGTCGAAGTATGCAGGCCAGCCACAATGGGACTCGAATTTGTGGTTAGACTTGTACAGCGGAGCGTCGCAACCGGCACAGTTGTAAACTCCGTCTGCTTTATGGGTGTTATAGTCTCCCGAGTTAGGAAGCTCTGTGCCCTTTTGTCTCAGAATTTTGAACTGCTCTGGCTGGGTGTTAGTGACGTGAGCGGGATCTAGATGTAGCTCATCACGTACTCGGGTTCAGCACAGCGCGCCACTCGTCGTCGGAGCGCTGATCGGGATAAGACATCTTGCTAGAGCTGGACGAACTGAAAAGGCTGCCGAAGAAAGGAATAGTGGGCATAGAGCTCAAAGTTGCTGGTTTGCGAGGCAGTGATTGGTGCGCCGAGGCCCGAGCTCTTGTGAAGCCAGCAAAGGTGTAAAAGGTGCGGACGAAGCTGGAGAAGGGCGGCAAGCGCATGAGTCCTTGATATGGTCAACAGTTTTAAAAACTTGACCGGAATGAGTAAAAAAATTGTTTGGAGTGTTGGTTATATAGGAAGTTTGGATGGCTACTTGACGGTAAAGATACGAGAAGATTCACCAGTCAGCCCGAGTGATCAGTCTCGAAGGAGTTCCGAGATTTGGAATTGTACCTGGACGCGCATCATGATGCCATCGACCAGCAACCAGCGGGGGGGGGGGGGGGGGGGGGGGCAAATTCTGTTGCAGTGTCAGACAGCCAGAAAGCGCTACACACAACAACGTTAGTGTAGATTCTAACTTGCAGGACCCTTGAATTGAGGAGCCGCTAACCTAGTAACCTTAACTTATTGTGCGACATTCGGCTTATTGTTATTATTCAGCGTCCACTGAAGGCCACTGAAGGGCTTCTGTAAGCTTCTTCCTCAAACAAGTTAGGTTAGCAGCTTCGGAGGGAATGAGCTCGCATTGCGCATTGTATCGAGAGCCCGCTGGTGCAAGGACATAAGGGAAGCATTTGCCGATGCTCCGTAAAAGTGTCCTACTTATCCAACAGCTCATATCTCACTCCCGCCTCGTCCTCGTCCAAGTCCCCGTCCTCATCCTCATTCCAGTACTGCCTTCCGAACCTGCATCTACGGGAAAGACCTACACAAAAACTCCCCTAATCAGCTCAAAATGACCACCACGGCTGTCTTCGGCTCCACCGGCTTTGTCGGCTCCAGCATCCTGTCGACGTTGTTGGGTCTCGACGCCATTAAAGCTGTGCACGTCATCGCTCGTAGAGCACCAAAGTCAGAGGGGGCCAAGCTGAACACGCATATCGAAGAGGACAACGCAAAATGGACTTCAACACTCGGCTCGATTCAGCCTCCGCCAGATGTCGTCTACTCCGCTGTAGGCACTACCAAAGCGAGCGCTGGTAGCATTGCGAATCAGTGGAAGATTGACCACGATTGTATGTTGCACCAGCCGATCCCGAGCCGGGCGCATCTTGAGAACCACGGCTAATCGTGTCGCGACAACATAGTAAACGTCGATATCGCAAAGGCCGCCAAGGAACAGGGCGTCAAGACCTTCGTGTTCATATCTTCCGCCGGTACCTCGGGCCTCCTCGCGAACCGCGTCCCATATTCGCAGATGAAGCAGGGCGTCGAGAACACGATCAAGTCTCTGGACTTCGAGCAGGCCATCATTGTGAGACCTGGAGCCATCTTGGGCCAGCGCGAGGGCGAGAACAAGAATCGCACCACCCTGGTGCATACCATCATCAACTCGTTGCCTGGCGTGGCCAAGGACAGACTTGGTCAGGATGCGAACATCATTGCGCGCGCTGCCGTGAACGCTGCAATCCTGGCTAAAGACGGCAAGGCGCCTAGCAAGTATTGGGTGCTCGAGCAGGCTGACGTCGTCAGGCTCGGTCGTGACGAGTACAAGCTGTGAGTAAAGTCTGTTTGCCGCAGCGCCTGGAAACGATCCGCAGGAACCCCCGTTTGGACAGTACAGCAGCCCGCCATATGTGATTAGTGACTTTAGATACCCTCCGCGTAATGGAATTTGTTTTATTTCTGCTTGCAGCTACATACCCCCTGGGCCCTCGCATATCTTGGGCAAATTAGAGATAAGCACGAGTCCAGCTCGGTAAGCCCATTTGAGAACCAGTCTGCTTCTGAGAGCCTCGCATGTTCCTCACGACTTTTGATTACTTTCTTGTCATGTTTCAGATTCTCCCACATTGATCCAGCGCGTTCACGTTTCTGTCTTCTGGAGTTTCCCAAGCAACCGCCCTTCCAATATGGATATCGAGGAGCAGCCTTGCGACATACTCAACTTGGATTCATCTCCGAGGACGTCATGAACACCATTCTGGGGTGCGCCTATGGTCTAGCTTTCCCCCTATTACACGTTGCTTCTGCAAACGTTCGTTGCCTAGGAGAGGCTGGCTCGTCAACGGCTTTGTCACTATTAAGAAAGAGTTGCGGCAAATTGACAAATTGGAGCATTATCTACCAGACCTGACTGTATATCTGAAAAAGGAATTCCCCCCCCCCCCAACAGACAAAGGAAAAAACTTGGAAAATACGTATGCGCCACGCTGGAACGCAAGGCATCGATCCTAGCTGTCAGTATCATACCTCTTACTTCAATAGGAGGTCGATGGTCTTGGTGTCACCCGCGAGGTATCTGAGCTGGATTTGATGCTCCGAGAAGTGTTTCATTTTGACGTTAGGACACGGGACGGATACTTTGATATAACCAGTACTGTTCGTTCATTTGTTCAAGCTGCCCGAGAGGGCCAGTTGTTTGTTATCTACTATAGCGGCCATGTCTACGGGGATCTCATTCAAGCCCAATATGGATGTCATAAGTTGTCAAATACGCATAATAAAAAATGTTTTCCTCATCCTGAACTAAAAACCGAGATAGGCCTACAGAGGTAGAGTTATTCACTATCCTTAGCAGCCTCAAGGCGCCCAACGGTGACTTGTTGTTTCTCTTCGATTCATGCCAGGTAGTCCCGCGTACGTTTGACCGTAAAGGTCAAGGGGTTGCGTCGGTTCCGACGGCAAATGGCTTTAAAACAGGGGGAATATCTAGTGTATCCCAAGTTAAGAAAAGTTGTACCATATCCCAATGAAAGCTTTCGGGTATCTTAGGAGACAGCCTTTGTCAGGGTTGCACGTCACTGGAAGAAGATATACCGACTGGATGGTGATTGTCTCTTAGGTAATCAGCATGTTCTGTTCTCAGTGTGGCGATCGAGCATACAATGTAATTAGTACGACACACAACCAGGAGACCTTCTCTGCCGTTAGCGCATGGGGCAGATTGATCGATCATACCTTACAGTCTAATCAAACTAACATCCAATATGCCTTCTTCTTTCTTCAGATTCTCCAGCACCTCCTTACCGACCGTCCCGCCAACACCCAAGATCATCAATGCCTCGTTGCCTCTTCCCTTCCCGTTCCCGCTCCCGGGAGCCTCTACACCGGCAACGGCGCTGTCCACCTTGGATAACCTCAGATCATCCACCTTTTCGTTCAGCTCCTGCTCTAGACTGGCGACCTGCATCCACCTGATGTTGACCTCACTCTGACCCAACACCGTACCGACGCCGCCAATCTTTCCCGGCTCGTCATAGTTGTGCAGGATCAACAGCGTGCCCTCCGGAGTAAAGCTCGACGTGAAGCGGTCCAGCTTCGAGATGAAGACGGTCTTGCCGCTGACGTACCCCTCGATGATCTGCTCGCTCCCTTTCCTCTCGCCTTCCGTGGTATCGTACGAGCGCAGCGTCACGAGGCTGGCGTAGGTGCCCTCGCCGGCGTCCCTGGTGTGGGTCTCGTTGATGACGATGCCCTTCTCCCTGGCGATGAGGGACGCGTTGACGATGTTGACGTCGCGGCCCCCGCTCTCGGAGAAGGGGCTCACGAGGCCCTTGACCAGGGCGGCGAACAGCGGCCGCGTGTTCCCGACGCCCGCCAGCTCGCCCTGGTAGACGAGCTCAAACTTGCGCCCGCCGACGCGGCCGCCCCGCGAGCCCACGTAGTGCTGCGTGTACAGCCCGCCCATCTTCTCGACCAGCCGGACGAACGGCTGCAGCTTCCTGTACTCCTCGGGCAGGATGAGGGGCGCGTTGACCGCCGCCGTCGGCAGGCCGCCCTTCAGTATGAGCAAGACCTGACCGCAGACATCCAGGCTGACGTTCTCCTGGGCCTCCACCGTGCTCGCGCCCAGGTGCGGCGTACTGACCACTTTCTCGTGCCGGGCCAGCCGCGCCGCCACGCTGCCCTCCCCGGGTGGCTCCTTGGTGAAGACGTCCAGTCCGGCGCCCGCGATCCAGCCCTCGTCGAGCGCCCTGAGCAGCGCCGCCTCGTTGTACACGCCGCCCCTGGCGACGTTCAGGACCCGTGCCGTGCTCTTCATCCGTCTAAACTCCTCCTCGCCCAGCAGGTCCAGTGTGCTGGCCAGCAGAGGTGTGTGGATGGTCAAGAAGTCCACCACGGGCAACAGGTCCGCCAGGCCGTCGACGAGCTCGACACTCGCCTGCCGCGCGACGTCGGCGCTGGCGTACGGGTCGACGGCGCGAACCTTCATGCCCAACCCGACGGCCATGCGGGCGACCTTCATCCCGACCTTGCCGAGACCGATGATGCCGAGGGTCTTGCGGCCGACCTCTACGCCGACGAGCTTGGCGCGGTCCCAGCGGCCCTCCTTGAAGGACCGGTCGGCGCGCCCGACGTTGCGCGCCGTGGCCAGCAGCAGGGCGATGGTGTGCTCGGCGGCAGCTACGATGTTGCCCGACGGCGAGTTGACGACGATGATGCCTTGGGAGGTGGCGGCGTCAACGTCGATGTTGTCGACGCCCACGCCGGCGCGGGCCACGACGCGCAGGTTGGCCCCCGCGGCCAGCACCGCCGCCGTCACCTTGGTCTCGGACCGCACGATCAGGCCCTGGTACGATGGAATCAGGTCTAGCAGCTCCTGCGGCGAGAGGCCGCCCGGCCGCGAGTCCACTTCGAAGTCAGATGTCAGCATCGCCAGGCCGTCGGGGGATACCTTCTCTGGGACCAGGATCCGGGGCTTGGAGGGCGTGGAGGAGGCGGAGGGGGAGTCTGAGACTATGCCGGGCGCCATGGCTGGTGAGTGTGATGCTGGGGACAAGGGAGTGGGTATGAGTCCTTGGTGGGTATATGCCAACAATCAAAGTTGTGGTGTCTGTTTGTACCTCTTGGGTTTTACCAATGAATCTTGAGACCGTGAGAATTGAGGAGAATAAACCAAAAAAAAGACATGAGCTTCTAGGTGAGCATATGAGGGGAAAGTTCAGGCTTGGACGGTGCAATGACGTCTGAGCAAAGGGGTAAGTACAGTAACTCTTTGCGTGAGCTACGGTCTGGCAGCGATGGCATCACGCACGCTGCAGGTAGCCCAACATCTACAACATGGCCAGACGAGTGGATTGCGAATCTCTACGAGGTAGCCAATAGGTGTCTTCCTGCCACTCGGACCAATATAGGCGATACAGCAAGACACCGCAACAGGCCATATGCATGAGGACTGTATGACCTTGAATAATCTGCGCGCGCGCGTTAATTGTGGTGGACGTGGGATGCCAACCTCGACCCCTCAAGAAGAACATGCAATCGAGTGAAGATGCTTTTCCGCGTTAGTCACCATGCCGTGTCAGAGGAGCGCGCCTCTGCCCAATGAATCTCGCCGAAACCGAGTCCTGCATGTTGTCGCACAATGACTTTCAATGAGGCTTGAAGGCATTATGCTGGCTAGGAAACTTGTGGTAACCCCGCCTGCTCATCATGAATATAAGCTCCGTTATGGAGTTCCCCCACGTTCCGCTAATGCAGCCAAGCTTCCCCCCGCAAACTAGGGACGATATTGGTGCAAACAACCCCTTAGCGGTCGCCAGGAGCGCCAGGCAACCCCCGAAATTTTGCTGATGGGGGTTTGAAGGAACATCAAGGTAGCGATGGAAATTGAATGGAGTAACAATATGGAAATAAGTGTCGCTACCTGCGCAAGACTGGAAATGGTTCCACGATAGGTATATACTTGTACTCCTTGCTTGGCTATATTAACAGATGTATCTTTCTTTTTTGTTTCGGCGGGCGGATACACATTAAAAGTTGTCCTTTCCAGAAAACCTCTCGTTCTGGACTACCTCGACCCAGTAGCCGTCAGGGTCCAGCAAGAAAGCAACGTTCTTCATGCGGCCATCGGTAAGTCGCTTCTTCCAGTCGGCGTTCAGCGACTCGAACCTCTGGCAAGCAGCATCGATGTTGTCCACGGAAATGCAGATGTGGCCAAACCCCTGGGGCTGGTCGTTGCCATTGTGGTAGCTAAACTTGTCATCCTTCTCCGTACCGTAGTTCCACGTCAGTTCCAGGAGGCCCTCCTGCTCGGCTGTGAAGCCGTTCTCAGGCACACCATTCTCGCCGGGGTATCCCAGGAAGTAGAGGTTGAACCCAGCGGCCTCCTGCTCGACCGTCCGGAAGAGCGACATGCCCAGCGTCTCCTGGTAGAACTTCAGACTCTTCTCCGCATCCTTGACCCGGATCATGGTGTGGTTCATGCGGTACTTGGAGACATCGGTCTGGCTGGCCTCCTTGGGCTCGTCGGGGTCATCGGCGCCCTTCGTGCCCTTCTTCAGACTGATGATCTCGACCCAGTATCCGTCCGGGTCCAGGGCGAAGGCGATGTTCTTCATGCGACCGTCGGTCAGCTTCTTCTGGAACTTGTAGCCGGCCTCCTCGATGCGGTTGCAGGCGGACTGTATGTTGTCGACGCTGATGCAGACGTGGCCGAAGCCGCGGTGTGGCTCCTTGTTGCCGTTGTTGATGGTGTAGCTGTCGTCATTCTCGGTGCCGTAGTTATGGGTCAGCTCGATGAGGCCCTCGCGGTCGAATACGGAGTGGCCGTGCGACGCCGCGCTGGGCGAGTCGTAGCCTAGGAAGTAGAGGTCGAATTTGGAGTCAGGGAATTGTAGTTTTTTGACCAGGGACATGCCCAAGAACTCATAGAACTTGACTATAGCATTTCGGCTTGATATTAGTATATCCATATCCATGAGCCAATGCTTGTATGGTCCCACTTGCGCGAGGACCTTGACGGACGGGAACGAGATGGGATATGGATACACACATACCGGATGCCTTGGGATCCTTGACTCGAAGCCTGCATGCACACCCACGTTAGCCACTCAGTCGTTTGCGCTATGATATGTACGCTGTATATACATCGAGTGGTTGAACCTGTAGTTCTTGGTGTCTGTTGTGGTCGCCATGGTTCCTAATCCTCGAAATGCGCCTGAGCTCGTGTCAGTAGCTGTCATGGGATAAGATCCCCAGAAGAACAGACTTACTTGGAGTTGGTGGTGCTTTGGACAGTAAATTACCCTGTAGTCGAATTCTCTGCAATGCACGTATTGCTGACATGAAGAGTGATTATCAATATAACTTCGACCCAAATCGCGACTACAAACTTTGTGAGCCCCCAATCAATGAAATCATCCTAGATCGGCTTGAATGACGTTGATGGTTGGTCAGCGGGGTTACCCCGCGCTACGTACGGGTTAAGCAGATATACTCGATAATGGAATGACTAACCCGACGAGATTCTTTTGGACTGTAATCCGCAGTGCAACCAAGCTCCATATACTTAGACATCTTTCATGCCCAACCTTCACAGTCATCCCGCAGAGAACGGGATCGGACGTGGATTGCATGTTCAATTTTGCTTGGATTGAGGTACTTCTTTACGAAATCGCGCGCTGTGTTTAGGCGCCTCCTGTCGATGCCCTAGTGGTATCTCCTTCCTGCCGCTCGCTATCCACCGCCTCCTTCCTATTTTTTATCCTAATAGTACAAGTAATGAAACATAGTATGATGCGGACCATAAATTTGTCCTGTGTGGTATCTCAATTGGGGAGCACCTGGAAAGCCCTCTCGAGCTATTCCCTTGCGTGGCGCAATGGCCTACTCCAGCCAAGAGTATGTGAGATTCATGATCTTTCTCTCCTGGGAAGAAAAGGGGCTTGGTGTCACCCGCTTCTCGTGAGATCATATATGTGGCGTAGTATTCAGTGGTTTAGAAGCCGAGCGCATTCTCGTCCAGGGCACCGCTAGGAGTAACGAAGAAAGCTACAGCAATGATGATGTAAAGAGCCATCAACTACAAAGGGATTAGCCACGCTTCTTACTTGGAATATACACGAGTTGTTTCTTACCATGGCACCTTCGAGGTAGTTTGATTTACCATCCTGCACAGTGTATGTGACGACCAAAACGGAGAGAGCAAAAGCCACCGTCTCGACTGTAAAACTATCAGTGGTGCAAAAAATCAGACTTCACAAGTATACGTACACGTCTCAAAGTGCAGGTTCATCGGGCGGTCCATCATCCACCCCAGAATGACCAAGAATGGCGTAACAAACAGTGAGATTTGAATACTAGAGCCAATGGCAACCCCCATAGCCTGTGTTCCATGTTAGCGGCGTTACACAGTCAGCCTTATGGGGAAATGTAGCACATACCAGGTCCATCTTGTTCTTGATGGCCACAACCACGGCTGTGACGTGCTCGGCAGCATTTCCGACAATCGGGATGAGGATAAGACCAATGAAGTTGCGGCTCAGACCGGCGCGATCCACCAACGAATCGATGCTGTCGACCAAGTAGTCGGCGCAAATTGAGACGAGAATGGTCGTGACAATCAAGACTCCTCCAGCTGCCCATGGGTTCATGTGAGTTTCGTCGTCTTCCTCGTTGGCTTGAGAAGGCACAGCGACCGGCTGACCGGCAGGCTGGCTCTCGGCTGTAGCGGCAGCGGCCTCGGCGCCAAACAGGTTGTGGTGGGTCCGGAGTTGGAACCAGAGGTACAGGATGTACAGGAGCAATAAAAGTATGGCTGTTCCCCGAGACAGGTTCAAAATTGTGGCATCCCGTAGTTCTGCATCGTCTAACGTCTGCTTGAGGACGATAGACAACTAGCCAAGGTCAGTCAGTACACTGCTTCAACTGTGCCAAGTTTCGGGCGTGCAACTTACAGCGCCAGGGATAATCATAGAAGCCGCAGCCAGTGTCATCAAAGAGCAAGTCGTCTGTGCGGTGATCGATGCGAAACTCTGTTCCTGGCCGTTGCCCTCACTATCTCTCATGTTCGCAATGCCGCCAAAGACAAAGCACATGCCCATGACGAGCAGAAGATTGGACAGAATGGAGCCGATCATGGAAGACTTGACAACTTCGTACTGACCTTCTCGAAGCGCAATAATGCTGACCTAATGGCAGCTTGTTAGCATAAAACCCGCACAGGTCTTTGCGGGAGTATACCAACAATAAGCTCGACAGCATTTCCAAACGTGGCGTTCAACAAGCCTCCCAAAGACTCGCCCAGGTTTACCGAGATCTCCTCAGTTGCGAAAGATAAGACCGCAGCAAGCGGAATGATGGCAAGGAAGTTGATGACAAAAACAACTACGGGATCCCACTTGGTGATGCCTGCGACGATGCCAACGGGCACAAACACCAGCAGCACATTGACATAGTCTGCAGCCCTGGTCAGCGCCTGCGCAAGCGTTTCACAGGGAGGGCACATATGCACTTACTGCTAAGCAAAGAAGCCTTTGTGACATGCCAGATGTTGGCCAATGCCTTGACTGCGGTATTCGAGCTGTCCTGGCCGGGTGTATATCGGGTGTTGAAGAAGAAATCCCGGGGAGCGCTGTGCTCGTAGCTCTGCTGGCCATTGGGGTTCTCTCCTCCGATCAGAGGGGTACTCTCGTGTGGTCCGCCATTCTGGTCACGCTTTGCTCCTCCCATGCTGAATGTGCGGCGCACTTGTTCGTGGAAACTAGGTCGTACTGATTCGTCGTCCATGTTAGCTACCATCGGTGCGCATCGGTGGAATCGTTCAACGTTGTTTGGGTTTCTTTCGATGTATGCCTGGGACAGATGCGTGTTCACCTCATAATCGAACGCGGAGGTGTGGTGGACAAGTACACTTGATATGTCGGACGAGTAGACTTCAATGCACAGCGAGCCGGGATTTTCGGTAAGGCTGAGCAAAAGTCCAGGTACACTGTACCTCTGGGATGAAACCAACCCAGGCTGACGGATTGGGCAATTGGATTGATTATAGCGACTTGAAGAAACAGAAGGCCGGCTATGGTGGATGGGGTCTGAAAAGAAGCAGAGGAAGCTTTTTACTTACACACCATGATGAAGGCGAGGGGCGCCTACAGTAAATGAGACAATTAGGACGGTTGGGCAAGGCGGACACAGGATGTGGCTTGATCTCTTGGGTATGGAGAGTACCAAGACCTCCAAGAACTGCTGCGGTACTATCTCTGGTTGCAGATGATAAAAGGTGAGATGTGCTCGATCTACTGGTCACACACTACATACGTATGTGTGGAGAATAAAACGAAGGGGATGTAACTGCAAGCGGTAAAGACTGCTAGCATGCTTTTGGTCGAAATCTGAGAAGGAATAAAGTTCCGGAATGCGCACTTTCGTGGTTGAGCAAGCAACGGAGGTCAAGAATTGGGCGATGCAATGCAAACTTGCTAACTAGGCCTCGATGCCCGTGAAATCCGTCTTTTGCTGAGCAACACTTTCTCGATCAGATCACTGCAAGTAAACCAACTTCCAGGGAAACCAAGGTCAGTCAGTCCAGCAGTACGATTCGGATGACGACGTCAAAAAAGTTGGTTGAAACGCCGCAATCAAAGAGCTCCAACACAAAACATTGGAGCTCTTCGTTACACGCCTGGGACGTCACAACAGCTCCCCTGCTCCCCCGAGGTCAGTGCTGCATTCCTTGCACTCCTTCTCCACCGCAGCTCGGTGCAGTGCCCCGGTGTTCAGGTTCGGAGCACTTAAAACGTGGGCGCTAGCAAGGGGTAGCTCCACTGATATCCCTGGTAGCTCAGCACCAGCTTCGCTCTTTCGCGGCGCGTTCAATTCTTTCTGGCTGGAATTCAATGGTATGTATTCGCACTTTATCATTTAAAAGACAAAGTGCACTCTGTATAATTCGAGCCCGATCGTTCAATTGATCAACCGCTGTTTTCGGGCTCGAAGCTGCAACCGGCGAGAATGTGCCAAGTGTGGCGGAGCGTTCTGGTCGGAAAGTTTCATCAGTCTCGCGCGTACTTGGCAAGACACGGTGTGCTGGAGGCCTCCTACATGCTCCAATTAAACGCGCTGCAGCTCAGAACTACAGTCGCTATCGATAAAAGCTTCAATCTTCCCACCTTGGCGGACAGCTAGGGATCTTGAGCGCCCGGCGGCAGTGAGCATTAGCAGCATCACAGGGGCTGTGATGCAGAGTTTCCGGCGTGTCGCTCTCCGAGCGGTTGGCAATAGTTTCTTGGCATATTGAAACCTGCAACGCTCGCATATTTGTAAAGTGGGAGCAATATACAGTACGGATTAGTGTTCATCCCAAACTCATCTGCCGTGTTTGGGGGGCTTGTATCAGGCTGACAACTTCTTGTCTCTCAATCAAGCCTCTTTCTTTTTTTTTTTTTTTTTTTTTTGGCGTCATTGCTGATTCGGGCTGTGCTCCCCTGGAAACGATGCAATCTTTCGTAGTCCAATGTCCAGTTGTCGAGAACGACTTGGAGATTGGCGAAGTTGGTTTTGTTTGACACTTACCGCACAATTGAAGCCTGTGTTGACAACTCAGAGTATCTGCATGCGTATTGCTCAATTGATGCTGACATAGTCCCGTGCTCTAGGTCTAATACTCGGTAATATAAAGTCAATAGGGTCCACCATTCTCCTGTCGATCATCTATAGCACCTCCGACTGAAACGCGTCGGTCCGGTTCCTCGGGTTCGGTTGCTTGCCCATCACACCATTCCGTTCGCTCGCTGATCGATTAGAAGGTATTCTATAATCAATGTTTCTTCCATTGAATTCGAAGATGAGGAAATGTCTATATGCGCATGTCCGTTGAATCGTTTATCGTCCTTGAGTCATAGAGCCCACAATCTGTTCGTGACGTTCAACCATCATGACATGAGAGCTGGGGAGGACCTGTCAGCACTAGCGTCCGAGCGAAGCAACCATTGATCTCGTCGACTTACCTGCCGTATACGCCTGGTACCATGTCAACGATACACCACCATCCAACCATGCAGGATCGAAGGTCTTCTGGGTAAAGAATTCCCAGGCTGTGTTCTGATCCACTGTTGCAAGATTGGCATAGAGGATGCCCCTCCAGCCACCTTCGACCTTGTCAGCACGCCCGTTGCTGAAGTAGGTCGACCACTCTTGAGTCACGAAATTAGCGGGCCGAGTAAGCTTGGTGCTGGGTAGCAGGGGCAACATGTGAATGCCTTGGATGTATTCAATGTTGTTACCAAAGTAGGTCGTATGGTCGACTTTATTTTCGAAGAGGATCCCCGCAACTCGATTTCCAATAAAATTCGAAGGCTGGATCTTATTATCCGATGTATACAGGTAGTAGTTGCTCAATGATCGCGTAATGATCGATAGCATCAGATTACCTCTGGCTTCCATATTGACATTGTTGCTGATCTTGCCCCACATCTTGATGGCGTATGCAGCCATTGCGTCTTCTGAACTCGATTCTTGATCCTTGCCATCGAGAGACTCGTAGAGACCGTGTGCCCAACTGTGCCCATTATACCAGTCGAAATTCCGGGACACCGGAAAATAAGGGTCTTGACTGTTTGGATTGGCTACGTCTCTGACGAGTGTGTTTACGTAGTCAATATTGGTCAAAGTCAGCCACGTAGGGTCCAGGTGCCCGATTATGGCAGCTGCAAGGATGAAATAACCATAGTGGAAGTGGTGGTCATTGTAGTAAGTATTGCCAAAGTCGGCACCGTTATTGCCTGTTTGATATGTGGCTGAGGACACTATTCCCCCCCAAGCACCTGTCCTCCGTCAGTCGCAGCTCGTTTCTCGATGATCCAGTGTACTCACTCTCGTAGTACAGCGGAAACTGTTGTCGGTTGAGCGCAAAGCGAGTGAAGGCTGATTTGAGATTATTCAAGGCAGTTTGAGCCAAGTCCTTGTTACCAAGAAGATCGTGAACAGCGTAGCACAAGTAAGCAAACTTAGCCAGAGCCTGTTGTTCCATTAGCAAAGAAATGATTGAGGCCACCAAGTAGCTTCACCTTTCCACTAAAATACATCGAGTCTTGGTTCGATTGCTGGTCCACGTTCTGCGAGATCTCTTTCAAGGCAACAGGAGCAATTGTGTTGATATGCTGCACCTTTAATATCTTCTTGGGTCCCGTTTTCGGATCCCAAGGCGCAAAATCCATGTTGACTGGCATATTGGGCTCAACCATAGTCCAAGAGTCACCAACAATTGCGGTGGCCATACCTTTCGTGGTAGTCTGTAGTTGAATTTGGGTTTTCCCACTGATTGTTTTGGCGTCGAAACAATCGACGTGATGTGGCAAAGCATATATGACTAGCTTGGTATTCATTAGACCCGCTTTCGTGTATGTGAACGTGTAGGTTCCCTTTGACCCAGTAGCAGTCCCAGAGAGAGTTACACTCGTTGGGTATGCTCCTGCTGCTGCGTCTAGGATGCTTTCGGCACCACCAGGATCCTTCGCAACCTGTATTATGCCGTTGAAGGGCTTGCTTGCTTTTGCATATCCGTTGTTGATGACATTGAGATCTAGAGTGTCACCGTTTGGCGAGTATGCATACACATGCCAAGTTCTGCCATCTTCCAAATACATGGTGTATTTTGTCACTCCAGCTTTGGGGCCGTGGGTCGACTTGGTAACTTGTTTGAAGAGAACTCCAGTGCTAACCACAGGTGTTGAGCCTGTATAGACCGCTGTAACGAAGGCCATACCCTGAACCAGAGGAAATGTGATGACGATTTTGCCGCCTGATTTGTTCAGCAAGTTGACATTGACAGACTGAGTGCCCGTAGTATCCAGAGTAAGAGCCGTTGTAGATCCAAGTTCTACAGCTGACAGACACAAAGACTGAATTCCGATTGGGTTTATATAGTATCGCACGGCATTAACGCCAGAGATTGACGACTTGTCACCGTACACACGCTGATCAGCTTCGATATGCGAAATCGATAACCCCCAGCTAGACGAGGCTCCTCGACCCTTCGCCCATGCCACGGAATATGGATGAACAAACGCAGGAGCATTTTGGTTACCCAAGTTGAAATTGCCGTAGAATTTGTTTGTTTGGTGTGGCCCCTTATCAGTCACACCAAGGCGAGGTACTGGATGATCTGTCCTCACTGGGAAAATGGCGGCGGGAGCATTGACTGCAATAGGTGCGCTGAAGATGTTTTGAGACGTTGTAGTTTGTGTCATACTGGTCGGACTTTTCGATGTTGAAGTGGGGTTCACAGCAGGTCCAAAGCCTACGATGAGTGACGGTAAGGGGATTTTATCCGTGGGAAAAGGAGGAACACTGGAGCGTCCGCCAGTCTCGAGCTCTGTCACAACAATACCAGTGGTGTCTGGCTTGACCGTAGATAGGGGTGGGATTAATTGCGCTATACTGCCTGGTACACTGGTTTTCTTAATCGAAACGGTCAAATAGCCCTCGATATAAGGATTGAGAGCCGCTGGCTGGACAGGTGTTGCAGAAACCGGAGGATAGTTTTCTCGTGCTCGTGCTTCTGATTCTTGGCCGCCAAATCTGGTCTGGTATGTTGCCGGAATACCTTGACCGAGATTGATCTGGAAGATAGTCAGTAAAAGATATATCCACATGATTACAGAGCACGATATAAATAGGGATAGAGAAATTGAAATAGCAAAATTGGCCCTGGTGTCCTCTGCACACTCTGATCCCTGGTTGGATTTAATAGAGGTTGTTAAATTTCGTCACGGCTCGTCTGATATTAGATTTTTTTTTTCTTCTAAAAGGATATCTTGATATCATGAAACATATGTGCAATGCTTTTTAGTACAAGCTCAAAGGGTCAAGCTATAGTTTTGAAGACTGGTGCGACACTTGTACGCAAGGAATAAAGTCTATTTTGGTGATATGGCCCTCGAAGAATGGATGGTGGTGACTGAGGTGACGATAGAGCGGAAAATATACAATCGAGACATACAACTGTTGAATGTTCCATGCCTCGTGGTGGACGAGAATGGGATGTCTCAGGAAGCCTTGGTCCGTACCTTTCAGATGGGTTAATAGAACAATGTCTCGAAGTGTCGGAGGCAGATTGAGACAAGCGTGCGGGGGGAGTATTATGAATGTCAATCTTATTTGTGAGAGTTGAATTGCGAAGTACCTTGCAAGAGGACGACTTATTGAAGTGCAGTTATAACTTATTATAGGATAGGATCGAGGGAGAATAGATCAGCCGCAGAGCGAAACAGAATTTCGAGCGTATCGTGATGCAAGGCGAAAGCTCATTGAGAAGTTTTCTCAAATTGGAAGCTATAATCATTGATATAAGTCGTTCCTAACGTCCTAGACCGTAACTACACATAGATTATAGCTCTTGCCCAAATGTTGACAGTCAAGCAGACACTTCCGGGAGTGGAGCAGCAGGAGCTAAGTAGAATGCCCCCACCCAACTCGGAAGGGAGTGCCGGACGTGACCTTACTGAGATGACCTCATGCCAGACGGACTTCTGCAACTCAATCACAATATAATATCCGTCTGTGCTTGTAGAAACTATTCAGAACAACAATCGTTGATTGTCATGGAAATGTAGCACAAGTCTATGCTACGGGGTTACATATTATCGAAGTGCATCAAACAAGTAGAGTTCGCACTACGTGGTGCCGGGACCATAAAATCGATTTCAGGTGAATTTTGTGCGCCCTCGAGTCCTCATAGTCCCAGAGCGTCGTACTGGCTAGCTTCAGCCGTAATCACTGAGCTCAGCTTCGAAGGTCTGTAGAGCTTCCTTGTACTTGGGGCTCCGTACGCCTGGCCTGGTTGTGACCGGCGTCTATCAGTATCATGGCGCCTGGCTTCCTCTTTTTGTTTCCTACGCTTCCTCTCTTTCTCCCTGCTGTTCGCATCAGACTTGTTCTCCTTCTCCAGTCTCCGTAACATCTTTTTCTCCAAAACCCACGGCGTATCAAGCACATCCGCTCTGAATTCCTTGATCTTGTTCCAAAATTGCACTTCCTGGTTGGTCGACCTGACACGCTGCATTTTTTGAATCTTGATCTGCTTCTGCTCACGGAAAAGCTTCAGATTACCCTTCACGTCAACAACCATGCCGACGTCAATGTCGGCGTAGGGGTCTGCAGGGTGATCAGCACCGGCATGGTCCTGTACATCACCTCGTACCTTCTCACCATTGGCCTGAACCGACGATGGAAGGCTGACAGAACATTCAATGCATGAGCCGGTGCTGTCGTCGACAGTGTAGACTCGGCAACCGTAGAACGAGTCAATAGCCACGATCACGCCCACAACGCGCACCCATCTGATAGGATGATTCAAGTTAAAAAACGTGTCATCCTGGCCTATACAGTGGTAGGTGAGCATGGTGTAAGAGACTGTGAATAAGGATTCATACCTTCAAAACCCGGGTGCCATCTCAAGTCTTTGATATCGCTTGCGCGCAAGGGACACCATTTGGTGATGGTGGGAGACAGGTGATAGCAATACTGTGGGTATTCTTCATATTCGGGCGTTGCAGCACTTGTCATGGCATGATGCAGATGGCCGAGCGACTGCGAAGCAAGAGGATAATCAAATTGTTAAGAATGGCAAGGTCTTGCTTGAAGAATGCAAGTGGAGAATTCGAGGCTTGGATTGATTGAATTAAAAGTTGGACGCGTCGGAGATCTAGGCAGCCCCCACGTCACCTGGGACTTTTAGGGGCCAGGCGTTATTCAGCAATCCAAGTCAACTTGAAAGCACAATAAAGCATGTTGAGGTGTGGCACTACCAATCATGTGGTGGGAAATTGTCATTAATTCCATGCCGTGGAATGGCCTGGTTCCATTTGTTTCAATCGTGCACTTATGGCAAACTAACACGCCAAATCATCGCAGAACCCTATTGTGACCTGTACTTGCCGGCCAGAACTCCTAAGACGCCATGCTCCCAATCTATACACTCATAAGTGTCGGAGTATCACTTCCTTGCTTTCTTACTGCGCCCACTCTTGCCAGGTTTTGGGGTGTCATCGGCGGGCGACTTTCGCTTGCCGAGTTTTCTGGATGCAGCCTGGAATTCTTGTTCCGACGGCATGCCTGGCAATTCGCCTCCACCATACTTGGCTTCGAGGTTGTCGAAAAACCCAGCTCGCGACTTTTGACGACCCAATATCAGAGCCGCAAGGTCGGAGTCGTCATCTTTCTTGCTCTTCTTGCCCTTCTTGTTCTTGAATAACTTGTCGTGAACTCCAAGCTCCTTGGCGTATTCTTCGGCCTCGGCAGCCTCGCCCTTGGCAGCCTTGATGCGCGCGTCCTTTGACTTCTTGCTCTCGTTGGTGTAGGCCTTGAAAGCCTTGACATCCTTGCTGGCAACGGCCTCGTCTATGATGCCGCGGAAACGCTCATCGTCCTCGAGGACATTGCTAAGCATGACCTCCTCGTAAATTCTGTCCATGTTGCCCTTGTGCTTCTCGTAGGCGACCAGTATGTCATCCTTCTCCTCATCTGAGTTCTTGTATTGGTCTGCAAACTTCTTGATAGCATCTTCAGAGACGGCGTCGCGGAACTGCTCGGCGTAGAAGTCGGTCCAGGAGAAGTCGGAGCCCCTGAGAGTCTCGGAGGTGTCGCCCGTCGCATCGTAGCGCTTCCGTCGCGCTGAATCGCTGAGGACGGCATATGCCAGGGCGACTTGTTGGAACTTTTCCTTTGCAGCTTCCTTCTCTGCATCGGAACCGGAGACCTTGTCTGCAAAAGTAATCAAGTCAGCGCAAAGCTGGAAACAAGTGGGCAGGAACATATGTGCTGTCACTTACCAGGGTGGGTTCTGAGGGCTTGCTTGCGGTAGGCGGATCTGATCTGATCTGTAGTCGCTTCACGATCTACCTGAAGCAGCTCGTAGGGATTGATGTCGGCGACCTGAGGAAGGTCCTCTGATTCGGAATCTGACATATTGACGAGATGGCAGTTATGGCGGTGCGGTAGAGCTTCTCTTGTCGAATGACCGTAACACTCCCGGGTTCTGATTCTGATTTTGTCAAACGCGTCCGTCGTACGCGTCAAGCGAATGGATTAATGAATTGATTGATTAATTGATTGATTATGCAAGTTGACGGGACAATCATTCAGCGTTAGTCTATGGCGGGGTAAGTGGGGACCGTTTTGTTCGTGGGCAACGTCCAGCTTAAAGTGAAGTTCTTGCAATTGCCCAGGTATTGTGAATGTTCATCACTCTAATTTTAGACAATCCCAACCACGAGGGGGAGGGAAAATGGCAGAGTCGTTCACAGCCGCCGTGCCCAAAATCAAGGATGGCGACCATGAAGGATATCTTCGATACGCGTTGTCCCTCGCCACAAAGTCACCCCCCAAGCCCACAAACTACAGAGTTGGCGCGGTCTTGGTTGACATAGCCACCAACCAAGTATTATCTGACGGATACACCTTGGAACTACCAGGCAATACTCACGCAGAGCAATGCTGCTTTGAGAAGTTAGCTTCAAAGCACAGCATCGACTCCAGCAGATTACCTCATGTGCTTCCTGATGAGGTCGCTCTATACACCACCATGGAGCCTTGTTCGTTCCGGCTCAGTGGTAATTTGCCATGCGTTGACAGAATACTCAGCATCGGGAATAAGATCAAGACGGTCTATGTTGGCGTAAAAGAACCAGAGAAGTTCGTCAGCGATAATTCTGGCAGGGCAAAACTCGAGCAAGCTGGTATCAGATTCGTGCATATAGGAGGGTTGGAGAAGGATATATTAGATACTGCGACAGCTGGGCATGAAACGGCTATGGTTAGCTAACTTTGGGAGCTGTGTGGCCCTCGGCCCGCCATCAAACCGATTTGCCCAATTATCCAACTACCTCCCAGCGCTTGGCGGACTTTGACTTGAATCCTTGCATCATGACTATGCGCGCCGCTGCAATCAGGCGATTACAGTTGCCACGGTCTTTTCGGTACAACGGGAGTGGGTTCCACTTCATGGCTTGCCCAGCATCGCCAATGCCATGTAAAATTGGGAATTCTGGGGTTCTCGGTTCGCTAGCCAAATCCGACCTACTCGTGAGGGGCTCGGTGTGGTGATTGGAGGATCTGGCAAAGCCAACCGAACGGTTTATACTCGACTTAAACCTCTTTGGGACTTCCGGGCCAGTACGCTCCGCGACCTGATATAGGGTATAGTGAACACGTCGGATCTCCATACTCGCAAAGCAATATATAAACGTATAATCGCAAGCAGAGAAGATGTGTCGTTACGATTCGGTATCCCCGGTCATCTATCATTGGTCAAGATGAAGTGCAGCATTCCAAGTATTCTTTCGCTGGCGCTCCTGGCCGGCCAAATCGATGCCCTTGTCTACAAAACTTCCAAGCCAAGGGGTTTTGTCACAACCGAGGGGCAAAAGTTCAAGTTGGACGGTGAGGACTTCTACTTCGCTGGCAGCAACGCTTATTACTTTCCGTTCAACAACGTGTGTATACATCGATAAGCAAAGCTTGCCATGGTTACGTGACTAACAATATGTGACCAGAACGAGACGGATGTGGAACTAGGTCTCCGAGCTGCCAAAGATGCCGGACTTAGTGTCTTCAGGACTTGGGGCTTCAATGACAAGAACGTGACCTATGATCCCACCGGCTTACCCCAGTACGGCGCCGAGGGTGCCGGTGCTACTGATGTGGTCTTCCAATGGTTTGCGAATGGTACTTCTACCGTCAACGTCAACGCGTTTGACAAGGTTGTCGAGGCCGCTACCAAGACCGGCATCAAGCTGATCGTGACCTTCACCAACAACTGGGCCGACTATGGCGGTATGGATGTCTACACCCTCAATCTTGGCGGAAAGTACCACGATGATGTAAGTCGATCCAGACTAGCACAAGACAAGCATAAGTGAAGTTCTAATATCCGGTGGCAGTTCTATGTTCTCCCCAAGATCAAGAAGGCCTACAAGCGCTACGTCAAGACTATCGTGACTCGCTATCGCAACTCACCCACCATCTTTGCCTGGGAACTAGCTAACGAACCCCGCTGCGGCGCTGATGGCACTCGCAACCTCCCAACCAGCGGCAACTGCACCACTGAGACACTCGGTTCGTGGATCAATGAGATGAGCACGTACGTCAAGTCTATCGACCCGCACCATCTCGTCACCTGGGGCGGGGAAGGCGAATTCAACCTACCCGAGGGCTCGGATGACTGGGCATATTCCGGGGGTGACGGGGGAGACTTCGACCACGAGATCTCTCTGCCAAACATCGACTTCGGTGTCTTCCACTCATACCCCGACTGGTGGTCGAAGACCGTCGAGTGGACCAACCAGTGGATAAGGGACCACGCCGCATCGGGAATCAAGGCCAACAAGCCCGTGGTGCACGAGGAGTACGGCTGGCTGACACCCGAGAAGCGCCTCGAGTATCTCAACAAGACGGCCGCGGCCAACGAGACCAGGGTCGCTGTCCTCGGCGGCTGGCAGAGCATTGCCGAGGAGTCAGAGATGCCTGACATGTACTGGCAGTATGGTTTCTCCAATTACTCGTACGGGCGAAACAACGATGATGGTTTCACCATCTTCTTGGACGATGCAGAGGCCCAGCCTTTGATATATGATCATACCGCGAGGGTCAATGCTGCATAGACGTTACGCATAGACTTGTACATTCGTATAGCTGTATTATTACATTAAATACATACCCCAAACTTGTATGACCGTTGCAAACTGAGATGGCAAGGTTATTTCCTTTCATACTTCTTTACAAGGTGTGATTTTGCGCAGTCCGCCACGCTATGGAATATCATTACATCTTGCAAGGTCGTAAGCGACGAGTTTGATGGGGAGGTCAAGGAACGACGTTTGAGGCAAAAATCTGTAAGACCATAAAATACCGGAGATTGCCTAGTGGTCACCCCTGAAGTATAATTACTGCGAGAATGAATCACTCGACCCATAGCTTGTGATAAGGAAACGTGTAATTCATGTACCGCATGAACATACCACTCTAGTTTCGCACTATGAAAATAGGGGATTTCAAGAGCATTCTAGCCCTGACATATATAACCCCATTCTTCCCGACTACCGACTACACAAAACGTCCAGATGAGAAAAGAAATGCAAAGAATGCAACGAGATCCGACCGAAGCCAATCTAGTCTATACACAGACCGCTCAAACCAGCTTTTTTTCTCCATAATCTCCTGTTACTGGCCAGTCCGAAACCCTTAAATCAAGATAGGAACCCTAACCCATTTATCAACACCAACGTTTTAACACTTAGATGGAGCTCCAGTGCCGCTGGGCGCAGCGCCCGCAGAGCCCGAAGGAGCGCTGCCGCCACCGCCGGCGCCACCACCACTGATGTCGTCGCCAGCAGTGACAGCCTCACCACCATCCTCAGTCAGCTCGAAGCTGTAGCTCTCAGCGTAGCTGGCGGTAACGTTGATGGCGATCGTGATCCAGGCGAAAAGTCCATCCTGAAGATCGTCGCCAAGCTGCACATAGTTGAAGACAGGGTCGATAGTGGCGGCCTCGTTGGGGAAGATGGAGTCATCTGCGTTGTCAGTGATGGAGATCGTGTTCTCATTGTAAGGGGATAGAGCCTCAATGTCGTAAATCAGCTGCTGGTCCCAGAAGAGGTGGCCAACAAAAGCAGCGTTGCCACCTGTGATGGTGCCGTTCTCGAGCTGAGTGGCATCAATGTGAGCGATGACATGGGTATGGGTGGCGCGGCCATCGTAGTGACCGGGGAAGAGAGTGCTGAACTGAGCGACACCGTCGGAGTCGGTTTCCTGGATACCCCGGAGAAAAGTGGTGTTGATGTTACCTGGGTCGGCAAGACCGGCACCATTGTTGGATGCGTAGACACCGGAGTAGACACCAGTGGAGTTGCAGTTCCTGTTTTATCATACCAGTCAGATACGTACGAGATAATGGGAAGGCGAAGGGGGGAGAAAACAGCATACCAGATATCCCAGTACAGACCCTCAATAGGCTCGCAGGTCTCGGCATTCAGAAACTGTCCATCAATGATGACGGGAACACCAGGCTGGTCCTCAACGAGCTCACTGCGGACATACTCGCCCTTGACCCAGAAGGGACCAAACTCAGAGACAGGATTGATCACACAAGTTCCGTTGCTGGCAAAGAGCTCGGACTCTGGGGTATCGAGGGTAATGCCGTCGGCAGTTCGGTTGTGGTCGGTTGCGAGGACGGTGGCCTCATCACGCTTGAGCTTTTTCTTGGCCTGAAGCTCGGCGACGATGGCATTACGACGCTCAATTGCACGGCGCTCAAGGCCGCTGGCAGCCAGTTTAGAGGAGCAGGCAGACAGACCGCGCTTAGCGTTCTCGTACATAGAGCGTTTGGCTAGTAGCTCCGAGTTGGTCATGCTATCGTGGCCGCCGGGATGGGCAACGCCGAGACCGCTCAGAACAGCGACGGTGGTGGAAATGGTTGTGAAACGCATTTTGGCGGTGATAAAGTTGCAAAATTTCCGAGAGAATGCAAATTGGCGGAAGCCTTTATATTGGTAGTTACTTTGGTGGTTATAAGATTTAGCAAACGAATGAGAGTATATTGCGATGCTTAGCAGCGGATAACATTCATGTAAAGCTGTCGCTTACTGCTTTATATATATTTCTTCTGTCTGCCTCTGCCCACACTCCCAGTCATCGAATCCACTTCATGAGGGCATCGCAGCTGTTCATCTCTCGAGATGAAAGGGGGTTTGACCGACGCGTTGCCCTCCATAGTAGACGCGCATTCCTGCCAGTCGCTTGGTATGACCCACGAGCATGAGGTAGTCTTGGCACCCCGTTAGGGAAAAAGAAGCCAGGATACGTATGCTCTTCTTCGGGGTCTAGTTGGTTCTATTAGTGATGTAAAAATACCCTGGTCGATCTGCGGAACCAAAACCTTACAAATTTTCCGTTTGAATCCAAACCGCCTCTGCTTACGCATATAAACTGACAAGCAAGGGGCTGTGCGGCTTCAAATTCAGATCATATACTCATGCAGTATTACTCCTAGGGAGGCTTAGTCGCAATGCTCGAAAATGTCAGTCGTTATATGCCGGTTGATGGCCAGATTAGACCTTTTCCCGTGATTTTAACGGCAAGATCCACATTACCCGGAGGAAAATAAGCATCGCGGGATTACTCGTTCTCTACTGTAAACTCACCAACAACTCTAAAGTCTGATTAAATGGCATTCTAGAGCTCGGCGGTAGTTTTGTGGCCGTTAGTCGTCGTCAGCCTCTCCAAGGGGGTTCTCCGCATACAAACATTGCGAAGCCAATCAGCCTTACGTGTATGTCAGCTTGGCAGGGTCCTGCGGCAAGAGCCTTCAAGTTTTCTACGGGTACCAGAAAGTAAAGAGGCAGTGTGATAAAGGAATTCAATCTATTATCGTGGCATTCCGTCGTCACAGTCCAAAAAGTATGTTCTCAACAAAAGTTTTGTGTTCAATGCTAAGACTCTAACAAGCATTTTCATGTCTTGGAATCTTGTCACTTATAGAAGCTGATAACTTGCATTATTTGACTGTATGATTATCGTCCTCAAGTGCTTGCTACTTTAATAAGTTACTCAAGCATGATTTCATATGCTTGTGTTTACTTTTACTTTGTTCATAGCCCCTGCGCATGCTGACGAACAAGCTATTACAAGTGGTCGAGCCTGGCTAGGAAAAAGGGACCCCTTGATGGACAAGACGGGCCCGCGGGCCCGATCAGTCAGGGGTGGTGACTGTTAACTTACTGAAATTCTAGCAAAAAGGCGGTTAACCAATACATTAATTTAATCACCGACGTCTGTTTCGACATCTGTAACGGGCGAAGCTGGATCCCAGTTGGTTACCAAATGCCCCTTTCTAATAGGCTCATCTTCGACATTAACGTCGGTGGCTTACCTCTTTCCCCGCCTTTCTGCGAGACGCAACACGCCCCGTTGCCAAAAATTTAATACGCGTCGCCATCTCAATGGGTAGTGAGAAACGTATACTTGGCGACTATGCTGGCGGTAACTGCAAGTCCGTAAGTACAAGTAGTTAGACAGTTATCATAATATATACCAGAAGAATTGACGACTGGAGACTTTTGGTAAGAACCTCTCTATTTACTTCTATCTTGTTTTATAATTTGTTGCCTCCACGAGCGGCTCGACGTGGGACCTACTGCATACTCAACAGTGCATTCATGGCGTATTGCATTTTTCGCGAGTGCATTTATTCTTGGTCCCCCGCATATTTCCCTGCAATTTTAGCGTCTGCAGTGGAGGCCCACTGCACCTGCATGCCTTCCAGTGTTGAATCCCCTGTCTGTTACATTTACACCGCATCGGATAATCTGCCCATATAGACGCTTGACTGCCGTGCTTAAACGACCCGTTGATGCTCCCGGGTCGTCTGTTGCTAAGTGTTCGCGACTGTCTCGTCCTCGGTTTCTGCTCTTTCTTTCTCCCTGCTTTTGAACATTACTAGAATCCCCACGTCGTAGACAGCCTTCAAAGCTCCGGCGACGACGAAAGACACCCAAAGCATGTTTTTGTCTGCGAGTATACCGGTGATCAAAGGCCCCATGGTTTGAGCACACGTTCGAATCACGTTTACCGTCCCCATTATTGCCGTTCTCTCACTCGGCAATATGATCATGGCCAAGAAAGCGGAGCGGGGCGCCGTGTCCATCGACTGTGTGGACGCACGCAGAAACAAGAACACTAGAGACCAATGCAGGTTATTGAACAGAGGGATAAGCGTCAGGCAGAGAGACGATGGCAAATGAGTAGCCACCATAGTAATGACGTTGCCGAACCTCTTTGCGAAGGAGGCCGCCACAAGCATAGATGCTGCTGTAACTATGCTCGAGACGAGAAATATTGTGCCTAGCTGGCCTTCTTCAATGTTGAATCGAGTACGGAAGAAATATGTCAACCAGGAACTGATATTATTAGCATTCAGACGGTACATCAGATGAGGATAATCACTCACATAGGAGCTAGTCCAGATGCGAAGGAGTCCAAGGCAAATAGCAAGCAGAGCTCGACTACAACTTTCACACTCTGTTTGCTGATCTTTGGGATAAGAGAATGCAGCCAGCGCTTCGGCTTCGGGGCTTCAAGCTCTTCAGTCGGAGCTGGGCTGCCAAGCAGAGGTGCTGTCTCGCCATTCCCATTGTCGACGGGGACCTGCTGCTGCTTCTCGGCTGTCTCAACCTTTGAGCTCAGCATGAAAGCCAAAAGCGCTTTGAATAGCCCAAGTCCAGCATATATCTGGAAGATTACTCGGTACGATTGGATACGGCTGAAGCCCAGGCCATGAGTTAGCCGGTCAGTAACCAGGCCCCCTGTGAGCATGCCGAACGCCGTGCCGAGGGATCCGCTCAAGCTATACCACGCATATATGTGAGCCCTATCTTGAGGTTTAGTGAGATGGGCAACAATGCTCTCCTCTATGGCCCTGAACGGCCCGATTTCGCTCCCACTAGTTTATCATTAGTGCCATGTTATTCTGCCGGCAACCGTACAGCAATCACTTACCTCGGACTGATGACTCCAACGATCGCCGCGAAAAGCAATGCCCAGTACTCTCCGGAGAACGCGAAGACGATGCCGCTGGCGGTCATGAGCAGGGCACCGAGGACAAGAATTGCTTTCCGGCCAAGCCCATCAGCAAACAAAGTCAAAAAGAAACTAATGCATATGTCGCCAACCAGGGTCAGGGTCATGAAAAGCCCGATTTGTGTCTTGGAGATACCTAAGGCCTCAAGGTAAGTGACTAGGATGAGCGTTGACGCTCCGTAGGCGAACAGTCGTACCAAACGTTGCAGGCATAATAACTTAATGTCGAGCGTTGAATTGTACAGCGTGACAAGACCCAATTCATCGAGGCACCGCTGCAACAATCCAGCACTTTGTCCCGTATTCGATTCCATTGTCGTTATCCGGGTTGCAATGCGTTGAGTTGAGTTGTTCAAACTTTGATACGAATTAAGACGTTTTGGTAAATTCAATGTGGATCTTCGTCCGACAACGCCAGGCAGCGAATCGGATCCATGAGCTATCGGCCGAGCCGCACCTCGGATCCTACGTACTACTGTACAGTACGCTACAGTGTGTTTCCTCAACGTTTTAGCCTGATGTCGGTTGATGCTTCGCAGGAAACTGCGCAGATCAAAGTTTCGATTGCATGAAATCAATCCGTTTCTCGAACTACATCTCGGTCGCTCTTAAGCTGCATGCAATGCTGCGCCGAGCAATCTGACTGCGGCAGAGATGGGAGTCATTTGTAGGGCAATGGCCATCGAATAAAACACTGTGCCACCATTGCTGCCAACTTAGCGACTTCAACATAGCTTGTCAAAGTTCGGACAAGATATAATCAGAGCTGAACTCACTTGAACGTGTTCAAGAGACGAAATTACAAGAGCGTCATTCCCAAGCACCCTGCCAAAGTTGTCGAGACGAGACAATGGAAATATCTTTTGTGTGCAGGATCATACATTGACTCGACGACGACAGAATGGCGAAACGCAATCCTATAATAATCTGATCCGGGTATTATAGGTCCAGATGATTATATACAGCATATTATCAATGGCATAACCAAAGGAAGACCTTGTACCATCTACGACAACCCCACCGCTGCCGCAGGTGGTCGGGTTGTGGGCGCTGAAGCGAAATACTACTAACACTTCGGGTTCCTGACTTTACCAACAAACCCGGATTGGATACCCCAGATTAGGTGCTTGTAAGCTGGGGTTCAACGCCAGGCCAGGGTCCTCGTGGTGCAAAGTCCATTTAGATCCAGCAGAATTGCCCGGTCTTGGATGCTATTGGATCTTCATGAGCTTGAGGGTATGGCCTATAGCATGCTCCGGAATAGAGATCGTTTTGCTAAGTTCTTGACATCCACTTAGTGATGCAAATGACGAGAAGTGTCTGCCAGCAACCCTCGTTCATCACAGAATTCGAGACTTCGTCTTCTATTTCTCCAAAATCAAATTTCAATGGTGGTTCTCGAAGCCATTGCCCAATTCCCCCGCGTGCTGGAATGGCTGTTAGGCCCCGCATCACGCCGTGGACACAATCCCTGGGCAATAGTATGGGGGAAGCAAGTGACGATCACAAGCGTCGAACGCCAAGCCCTTTAATAACAAAACAATCGATAGCGCCTGCGCAGACGAATGTCACTCGAACTGAATCGCGCATATAGAATCGTGCGTGTACAACAACTGGCAAGTGGGGAGCCGGAAGCTTGGTGGGAGATACAACCTGGAAGACAAGCCGGAACGTGGGGTGCATTTAGCGGGGTTCTTGACACAGAATCAACTCGACCTTCAGCGTGTGAAGAACAGATCTTGGTAACATTATATAAGTCTCAATAACCGCCACCACCCGGGATCAAGCAGCAATTCAAGATTCTAGAAACGTCAAGGTGTTCTTCAGACACGGGTTCTTGCAGCAAATCTCTCCAGCGAAACTATTAAGAGAGCAGCATCTAACAGAGCACAACATGGGCGACATAACTAGCTTGGCTGCAGATAGCCTCCCGATCGTCTACGGTGACTCAACAGACTCGAGTACATTTACTGACGCTGCCTGGGGCCGCGTCTTCAACCAGCGTCGCGACTACTCGCGCCGCCCGAGAGCCGTAGTGCGCGCTACGAAGCAAGCCCACGCAAAGGAGGCAGTAAAGCAGGCTATTCGGGAGAATGCTCGCGTTTCAGTCCGCAGTGGCGGTCATAGCTGGGCGGGCTGGAGCGTCCGAGATGAGGCTATACTCATCGACCTCGGGAACTTGAAGGAACTTGATTACAACGAGGAAACTCATATTGTATCTTGCTCCCCTAGCTTCACCGGCCGGCTACTGAATGGCTTCTTGAAAGACAAGGGAAGAATGTTCGCAGGTGGGCATTGTCCTGACGTAGGTTTGGGCGGATTCCTCCTGCAAGGAGGTATGGGCTGGAATTGCAAGGTAGGCCGCTCAAGGTGCATCATGACCCTCCACCGACTGACTCGCTGTAGAACTGGGGCTGGGCCTGCGAACAAATTGCTGGAATCGATGTCGTTACTGCAGATGGCAGAGAGCTCCGTTGCAGTGAGCAGGAAAACGCCGACCTGTTCTATGCGGCGAGAGGCGGCGGTCCAGGGTTCCCGGCAGTTGTGACAAAGTTCCATCTTCACACACGGCCTTTGCTGCAGATGTTCGACTCTACATATGTGTACCCTGTCTCCGAGTACAAGAAAGTATTACAATGGGTGATTGACGTATGTCACGATGCCTCCACCAACACTAGATCACTGACAGTGGAATAGGTATGCCCCACGGCAGACGAGAGTCTCGAAATTGTCTGCGTTGCGCTACACCCACCCGAATCAGGCGATATCAACATTGTTGCGGGCTTCACAGCTTTCAAAAAGGATCAGGCGGAAGCAGAGGCAGCTCTGAGACCAATCCATGAAAGTAGGCCAAGTGAGTCATTACTAGCTGAAACGTTCTGTGAACCGACCTCTCTTGAGAAGCACTATGTCAGACAAGCAGCAGCCAATCCCGAGGGTCATCGATACTGCAGTGAGAATGCATACATCGAGAACGATGCAGATGTACCAGCCGTATTAGAATCTGCTTTCACAACCTTGCCGAGCAGGAAGTCCTTTGCTTTGTACTTTGCAATGAATCCCACGTCCAGGCGTCCACTTCCTGATATGGCAATGAGTATGCACTCGGACCACTATTTTGCGCTGTACACCCTCTGGGAGGACGCAAAGGACGATGATCGTTGCACTGGATGGGTCCACAGCAATATGCGCAGCATCGAGCGACATGGGGTAGGCAGTTACCTTGGTGATTCGGACTTCCAGCATAGACGAACGAAATTCTGGGCCGACGAAAATGGTAAGAAGCTTATGGACATTCGAAAGAAGTGGGACCCTCTTGGTCGCATCTGCGGCTATCTTGACCTTGGGGACAAAAGCGGCGTCAATGGACTAGAAAACGTATTCGAATGGACACGCGACGTTGTGTCGTGATGATTCTCGAAAAGTATCTAATTTGGCATCGGACATTATCGCGATAGCCTCTACAAGCATTTGTATTGGCACTCCGGCGTTGTGCCGCGCTTGTCTTGGAGTATCCATGTGAGTTGACGTCCGACGTTGTGTCGTGATAGTCTTAGAAAATGATTTTTGAATGGGCATCCAACGTTGTGTTGTGTTGATCCAAAAGAGAGTAATCTACTGAGCATCCGATGTTGTATCGCGATATAGCTAAAAGGTTTCAAGAACACCTCTCATAGCAAATAATGGCCGTAGGGAGATCACCGCTTGAGCAGCTCGCCGCAATTAAGACAACTTGAACCCGCTAAGTCGCAACGAGTTTCTAGATACGTTGTCGTATCAAAGTAAGTACGCTATAGTTCAAGCAGTATGGCTGGGACCGATTTTGTACACCAAAACATTTCTCATCATGAAGCACTTGTGTCCACTTGAACCCGGCAATTCCGGCGCATTCTGTATTTGTTGTTACTACGTGTGAAATGCGAATTGCTTCGAATCTTCGGCGTTCAACTTTGATACCGCATTATTCAATGCGGGGCGGAGTACTAAGGTCAACCTTAAGATGTTGCATGCATCCAGAATACAGTGTATGACAACAATTGCGTACTCCTCCAGGCCTACTTGATAGTCAAATCTATTTGGGGCTGTGAGAGCAATGATGCCAAGACCTAGCTAAAATCGACTTCATCTTATCCTCTCGGGAAGATGGGCTAGCAGTCACGGCAGATGGTGAGGGTGCGTAGGACTATTAATTGCCCTTCCCCAACGGCTACACCCAATCAAACTGGTTCCAATTACCTGTTAAATGTCCCGGCTTCATTCCTCCACATTTGACCAATGTCTGACAGATTCTCCGCATTTGGTCGCCCGCGCGCCATCTGTTCCACATTATCATCAACTATTGGTCGATAAATCTGCCGAAGATTACTCTCCGCTGGGTGCCCGCGGTAATCGGCTCAATCTTGCGCATTCCACGAAGCTGAACTCCATAGACAAAGTTCCTGACCAATGGGTTTTATCAAGAGACAGTCCGACACGCCCGTTTGTCTCCACTCCTCATCAGCCCCCATGGGGTAATCAACACAAGGGTAACTAAGTGTACATCCAGATCTTGCTGACATCATTGCGGCCAATGGAAGGTTGGGACAGAATAGAGTGAGTCATAATAAGCCGTTTTGGGAACTGCGAACTGGTCGGTAAGTTGTTCGCATGAGGATTTCGTCAGCGTTGTTTGGCAAACAAAAGTCTAGCTTAATTTGTAAGAGATGGTTATCATGATCGGGCTCACGAGGATACTCCATATTTTTCACAATGCTGGGTGGGGCTGCATCTAGCCGATGGTCTATACTTCTGCAGCTGTCGATCGAGGACCCATCTCTATTAGCGAACGAAACCCCAGATACTCACTAGATGACCTAGCCGTTATCAATGACCAAGCTACCGGAAGCTGGCTTTCCCTTGATACAAGTATTGCCGGAAATCCTGTAGACCACGATGTAGGCTTGCATTCTCTCCATCTCGTTCATCGCACAAGCGGGTTTCAACAATCCCGACTGTTAAGAGGCGACCGTACCAAGATCAACTCATTAGTTTCTCATACGCCCATTGAATGCCCCTGGACCGACCGTACACGACGACGACTAGCATCATGCATCAAGTTAATGACTCATTAATAATAAGTGCATTAGCTCAATACTGGCTACATCTATCAGTGTTACTCATCGTATCGTTACTGGTCAAGAACCGCTTCAACAATGGGTTGCAAAGATATCCAGGCCCCTTCCTCGCTTCAATCACAGACTGGTGGAGGTTTTGGGATGTATACAAGCAGAGACCAGAAGTAACGCATCAAAAGTTGCACGCCAAGTATGGCGACGTCGTGCGCTTGGGTCCCAACAACTTGTCCTTTGCGGACCCAAAGGCTTTAAAGTCCATATACGGCTTGAACAAGGGATTCGTCAAGGTAACCACTCGATGCCCGTAGAGCAAGATAGTGGCTAACGGCATACATCAGTCGGACTTTTATATCGTTCAACAATCCGTAGTCAAGGGCCATCGTCTCGCGTCACTGTTCAGCACCACCGACAATGACTTCCACTCGCAATTCCGAAGGTCTGTCAATGCGGCGTTCAGCATGTCAGCGTTGGTACAGTATGAGCCCTTCGTAGATAACACTACGAAGCTCTTCCTGGATCAGACGGAGAAGCTGTTTGCCAACAACATTGACGGCTGCGACTTCACACGCTGGCTGCAGTTCTATGCATTTGATGTCATTGGCGAAATCACTTACTCCAAGCGGCACGGTTTCGTAGAGAAGAACGAGGACATTGACGGCATAATCACTTATCTGACCAATTTGTTCCTTTATGTCGCCCCGGTATGACCAAACTATCAAACGCGGATTGTTAAGATGGATAAGAACCGACTGACTGACTGACTGACGGCTGTAGGTCGGCCAAATCCCCTTCCTCGACCTCCTGTTTCTCAAGAACCCCCTGTATCTCAAGCTGTCTCAGTGGGGACTGGTAGACTCTACCTTCCCCGTCGCAAAGTTCGCCCGCGCCCGCATGACCGAACGCCTGGGAACGGAGCTCAACGCAGACGGGTCCAAGAAGCAGCCGCTCCTCCCCGTCTCCGACACCAAGGTCGACGTCAAGTCCCCCGACCTGCTCTCCAAGTTCCTCGCCGCGCGCGAGGCCCGGCCGGACTTCATGTCGGATTCCCTCGTCCAGACCATGGCCGTGTCGATGGCCTTCGCCGGCTCCGAGACGACGGCCATATCCCTGGCGAGCGTCTTCTACTACCTGCTCCGCACCCCGGCCGCGCTGGACACGCTGAGGGCGGAGCTCGACGGGTTCGCCCGCGGTGGCGGCTTCAGCGACTACGACACGGGCCTTGTCACCTGGACCGAGGCGCAGAAGCTGCCCTACCTCGACGCCTGTATCAAGGAGGCATTCCGGCTGCACCCTGCCGCCGGCCTCCCGCTCGAGCGCATCGTGCCTCCCCAGGGTGCCGAGATCGCGGGACACCTTGTCAAGGGGGGTACCATCGTCGGCTGCTCGGCGTGGATCATCCACCGCCGTCCTGAGATATGGGGCGAGGATGTTGATACGTACCGGCCCGAGCGATGGCTTGTGGATGAATCTTTGTCAGGTTCGGCGAGGGACGAAGAGGAGAAGAAGATCAAGGAGATGAACGGGATGATGTTCCAGTTCGGTATGGGAAGCCGTACGTGCATCGGAAAGAACATCAGTCTGCTGGAAATCTACAAGCTGGTGCCGAGCTTGCTTCGGAGGTTCGAGGTAAGACTACATCTTACGATGATACAAGGTATCCCGATGACTAATCAATCTGCAGTTGCGCTTCAAAGATCCCAACGAGGAGTGGGAGTTGGTGAATGCTTGGTTCGTCAAGCAGAACAACTTCCAGGCTATGTTTGAGCCAAGAGAGATCGTGAAACCTGTTGCTTAATCTCGATCGAGGCTACTCAATTAGTTGTTCAACACAGGATCGTGGTAAGGGGGTTGTCAACGACGGCGAAATCAAGACTTCAAATAAATCAATAAGGAATTAGACACAGGCTTAGCCTCAAATATCTTTCTCTCATTGGATGTCGTGAGAGTGTTTGTATCTTACAGTCCACATTTTCACATTATCCTACGTGCTTCCCACTGTACTCGGCGAATGATTTGACGTTCCTCTGGGGACCGACGACGTGAAACCCATCCTCAGCTAGGCAGCTAAGAGCAGAATCTAGCGCCAGAACTTTTGTTATATGCTTTCGATCAAACAGTAGCTCTTTAGAATCCCTTCTCTGCCCTGAATTGTCATAAACACATCGTTGTCATTGCGGTCTTACATATTTCGTTCTAGTCTAGGCAACGTTTGCTTCTTATGCACAGGTATCCTCTCTAAGTTCTTCATCAATACCTGCTCATACAACGGCCATATCATGGCCATTTATTCCATATTCCTCTTAATCATATTCTAACAAATGCAAATTTCCATCAATAATACTCGCTCAAGCCCGCGCTCGCAAAGTCCGGCGCATCACTGTCACAACTATAACTCTTGTCGTAGGCCTTCGCAGGCAAGATCCCCGCGGCAAGGCCCTGCTTGTAGCTCCAGAGCGGTGCGGACTCCGTGTCCCAGGTCCAATACCACCAGCCCCATCCGTACTCGAAGCTCGTCATCTGGGCTTGAGCGAACATGAGCAGGAACTTCTTGTACTCATCCGAGTATGTGCCAACATCAGCGTCCGCCATGGTGCAACTGCAGCTTGAGTTTTTTGCCGGACACTTGGGTGTCAGCGCCTCCGTCGAGGCATTGCCAGAGTCGTAGGTACCCTCCCAGCGGTTACCCCAGCCGACGTTGGTCACATATTTGCCACAGTCGGTATCAGCCTGCGACCACTCGGCGAACATGGTGGGCCCGTATCCGGTCGAAGTGTCAAGACTCTGCTTTGTCTGTTCTGTCCAACCGGAGCAAGCATAAGTAACTTTCTCTTGGTGAGGATAGACGATTTGGTCATTGTTGAAAATGACGTATTGGTGTACGTCCAGTACAAGACCATCCATGTTTGTCAGTTTACCCTGCCAGTTCTGCAACCCCATAAAACCGTCACCGAAGACCAGATTTGTCGTAAGGCCATTGCCCCGTACAAGGTTATACGCGTCCGTAGTCCACTGGACAACAGCAGTAGCATCAAGGTTGACCATACGCGGTTCATTGGCAAGGCCGTAGAATGTGACAACATTCTTGTACCGGTCTTGAGCAAAGAACTTGGACAAACGGTCGTGCACGTCGAGACTTCTTTGCCGGTTGGTGTCTCCGTTCGTGCCGTTCAGCCATCCGATCACACCCTGCCGACCGCTGTGGTTCCACCCATTCTGAGAGCCTGGCAAGGCATGCAGGTCCAGGTTAACACGGAGCCCATGCTTGCGTGCCCACTCAATGCCACGCAAGAGATACCGCCATGAGGTTCGGAAAACGTATGGGTCGTCATCATATGTCTCGACAGCCCAATATGAGTAGGGAATGCGCACGTGATCCAGTCCAGCATCTGCAATCTCGATGAAGGTCTGTTCCGTCACAAATGTAGCATAGTGCTTTTCAATAGTACTGGCGGCTGTTTTCACGCCCAGATGATTGCACAGCGTCCATTCATCTATGATGCCAAGCTTGCTGTCGTAGTTGAACAACGAAGGGGTGATGAAGGGCTCTAAGCTCAACCAACCGCCAAGGTTGACGCCTCTAGCTGGTGTTGATGAGTAGTTACCCCAGGATTTTTCGAGTGCTGGCACTTTGTCGTTGGCCTGCGCAGAGTCATCCCAACTGGTAAAAAGTCCCATCACTGGAAGGTCGCCAACTGTCGCGTTCGTGTACGTCACGTTGAGATCAGTTGTATCGTACCAGGTGAATGGATCAAGATAGGTACCGCGTGCCGCAGCTGGTATATCGTTCTCAGACACATCATCGAGGTTCGAGCCCGAACCATCCAAAGAGGCTGAGTTCTTCTTGGCCACGACTACTGCAACCACGATTACCACAATAATGACAACCAGTGCAATGCCTCCAATGATCCCTAGAACACAGTTAGCATCACTTCTCAGCACGCCGGACTGAAAGACGTACATCTGCGCTTTTTCTTGTTTGCCGGCGGACGAGCTTTCTTGTATAATTCCTCTTTCTCGTCCGCTACACTGTCATAGCTGCTGTGTTTGCTTCCAGCACCACCTCGCATTTTGGGTGCCGATCTCCCTTCCTCGACTATCGCACCACTGACCAGGCGCTTCTTTTTCTTATTGCGGTTCTCAAATCGTTCCCAGCGCAGCGCGTCCTCGTCCACCGGGTCAACATTAACCTGGCGACCATCTCTCCTCGGCGAATCATAGTCCCGTTCTGAGTCCGTGACTGCCTCTCTTCGATGTCGCTCCTTTCTCGGTGCTTCGTATTCTCTTTCCGAATCATGCACTGCCTCCTTTCTTCGTCGTTCTCTTTTCGCTGCTCGTAATTCATGTTCGTCGTCAGTTAGAGCTTCCTTGCGCCGCCGCTCTCGTCTCGCTGCTCTTCTCGCTTCTTTCTCTTCATCCGTGTAGTCGTGCCTTCGCCGTCGCTCGACCCGTATTGATTCATCCTCAGGCTCGACAATGATGTAGTCGTCTTCGCGGGGACGACGTTCTTTCTTCCTCCTGACTCTTTCTGGCCGTGATGTTTGCTCGTCTGCATGCGAAGTCTTGCGCGCGTTTAATTGTGCGAGAGCATCGAGCGACAACGGGGCGGAACTCGATGTCGCTTCGGAGTCTGTCACATGTCTGCGCGACGAAGGATCCCGGGAGGACCTCTTCTTGTGTCCATGATTGTGATGTGTGCCAGAATCGCGGTGCCGGCTTGTACTACTATCGCGGGGCGCCATTGGAGAATGCCATGAGGAATGGAAGTGAGACAAATAACGATATACAGGAATGCAAATGGACCTCAGATATTGCTTAGTCAAGATGCACGCTCTTTAGGGAAGGAATCTTCGTTGATACACGCCTGGCTATTATCTGTTGGTAGACAGGGTGGGTGTTGAGCTGAAGCTTGGCACATGATTATGCGGTGTTGGCATGGCAACGACTCGAGCTGCGCCAAAATCCCAAGGCACTTGGAACTTGGGAAATTGAGTATGATGTAATACCTATGGGGCAGCTCCATAGCTGCGGATCTACCAAGTTGCATGGATCCATACGGCCCATGGGCCACAAGTTTAGCAGACTTCCGTATAAGGGAAAACGACGAGGCACGGTATAGTTAGTATACAAAGCTGCAATGCCGGCTTGTCAGAAACTGAAGCATATTTGGGAGTTTTTGACGTGCCAAGCTGGCTAACATGAACCCTCCCCGGATCCGGCCTCCAAGACCCCGCTAACTTGATTGTCGATAAGACTTAGACAGCCCCCATATGTCTCTAAGCCGAACCGTGGGGTTAGCGACGGCTACCGCAGCTAGCCGAGTGATCTCATCACATGAGGCATGGTCACCACGAATTCCTTCATGGAACCGTGCCTTCCTTTCAACTTGTGTCAATTGGAGTTCCTCGTCGTCCGTTGCTTGCGATCAGTTAGTGCGTCGAATTAGATGAAGTCCTCAAGATCGTTGCAGCTCCTTGCCAGGAGGACGGCTGCGTCAGCCCCCACATGCCAACCCGGTCTTGCCACCACCGCCAGACGGCGATATTCAACACATCCGGAGAATGCTCGTTTGAATCTGCCAATCGACTACTCTACAACATCTATCCTCTCTCACAGCGCTCGGTCAGCATTAGCGACGACAGAGTTACCGGTAGAGGTAAAGAATGGCACCACGAAGCGCATGAACCTATTCCAGGCCATCAATGATGCCTTGTCCACAGCACTCACCGAGGACGAGAATGTTATCATTTTCGGTGAAGATGTGTCTTTTGGTGGCGTGTTCCGCTGCACAATGAAGCTTGCCGAGCAATTCGGCGGAGAACGGGTTTTCAACACTCCTCTCACAGAACAGGGCATCATGGGCTTTGCCATTGGTGCCGCCGCCGAGGGCATGCGGCCAGTCGCCGAGATCCAGTTTGCTGACTACGTATATCCGGCTTTTGATCAACTTGTGAACGAGGCCGCCAAATTCCGGTATCGCGACGGCAGCTGTGGTCGGAGTGTGGGCGGTCTTACAGTAAGAATGCCATGCGGTGGTGTGGGCCATGGCGCATTATACCACAGCCAGAGTCCCGAATCGCTCTTTACACATATTCCTGGTTTGCGGGTAGTCATGCCGAGGAGCCCATTGCAGGCCAAAGGCCTCCTCCTAGCTGCCATTAGAAGCAACGACCCTGTCGTCTTCATGGAACCCAAAATCCTATACCGCGCGGCTGTAGAGCAGGTCCCTACCGCGGCCTACACTCTACCATTATCAAAAGCCGAAATACTAAAGGAGGGAAAAGACGTTACCATTATATCTTATGGCCAGCCTCTTTATACTTGCAACTCGGCACTTCACGCCGCCGAAAAGGACCTAGGCATATCGGTGGAGTTGATCGACTTGAGAACGCTTTACCCATGGGACAAGGAGACTATTTTCAAGAGCGTCCAGAAGACAGGAAGAGTTCTGGTAGTGCACGAGGCCATGGTCAATGCGGGCATTGGCGCTGAGGTTGCTGCTGCCATACAAGAAGATCCGGAGACCTTCATTCGACTGGAGGCACCAGTGCAGAGGGTGGCGGGCTGGAGTATACACATGCCTCTATTGTTTGAAAAATTCAATGTCCCTGATGTCGCTAGTAAGTCTCTTTGCTATGGTCTCGACGAGATACCTAAACTAACGTTCCAAATAGGAGTATACGATAGCATCAAAAAGGTGCTAAGCTATTAGACCAGGATTATAGTCGCACTGTTATAGTGAACAATTGAACATACTATTACAGTCTACCAGATCAGACCTCGGTCTTACTAACAATTGTGGATGTCTCTGAGGCATTCTATCGTCGGGGTATCTCTTCCACCTTTGACACCGAAACTCTCATCAAACAAGAGTTGGGTCGGCAACGACACAACTCACGATGGGTCCGATGGTGTAGTTGGTTATCACGTCAGTCTAACACACTGAAGGTCGGCGGATCGAGCCCGCCTCGGATCATCCTTTTGCCTTTTTACTGCTCTTCAAGAGTGCAGCCAGGTGACTTGGTACCTACATTTCTTAGCTTGGTATTTCTCAACATCTTCAGGCATGGCAGGCCCGGCAATCCTATTGGTATCTCTGTTCTGTTCAGCGTCGTGCTTCTCTACGTTGCGATCAATCTGCTTTTCTATTTAGACACAAGTGGCCTGTGCCTCTGGCTGTCAGTTTTGAGCTTAGTGGGACCACGGTCGTCGTTCTTGGCGCCCTATAGGACGGACATATTGTGCAGGCAGCCCTGGGGTCGTCGATCGCCCGACTATGACTGGAGGAAAAGATGGGAAGGTGGCCCACAGCGGAAGGCTCAAAGGGAGTTGATACCTTCGTTTATTGGCAGATGACGAGGCTGGCAAATGGGCGTGCGTAGGTCTCGGTGCGGTTCGAAGAGCTTGTGTAGATGTCAGCGAACCCCAATATTATGCAGTCTACCGTTGGCTTTCATTACATGTTATACGCAAGGTTGGTATGATTACTAGGAATACACGGTTCTTGAGTTCATTTAGATTATAGGAAGAGAGTGCCAGATAACCGCTACTTGTCAGACGAGTAAACACAGAGCGTGTCACAAAGGCCTAATATTAGAAGACGGCATTGTCCTGTGTTGCATCTCAGAATGTGTAATTAGCTACGTGACCTTTGTTTATAAAACACTCCTGGTTTTACGACACGCGGGCAAAGGATGTAGCATTATAAATCGAACAGAATCGAGATTCAAGATGATGTTTGCTACCAAATGTAGCACGGAACAAGTTCATAGCCTCATAGAACCTACCATTTGTCTGCATGCTTTTTTACAAGATATTTGTGATCTCAACCGTTCGTCAGGTGGTTGTGTCGTGATCGTATACTTTTAGCTTTTCTAAAGACAATGCCACCATATATTGTTCCTCATTTGTGCTGTAACACCGCAGCTTCTGACCAGGTAATTAGTCTGGCAGTTGACCACATATACTCTTGTCACAATGAAGCCCAAGAGACAGCTGGCTTATGTTTCTCGATATGTGGGATGATTTGCACTGCATGTAGACCGACACCTCGCCGCACCAGAGACCGATATCCCTCGCAGCCGCCAGTCAAACAGCTGGTACCGTGAAATCGCCCAAGCACGTGCACCAACAACCATTCCAACGCTATTGGCGGCAACACCGCCGCTAGAAGCCGCTCCTAAGAGCCCCTATCTCCTGCACCACATCATTGGCGAAGGTCTGTTTTGATGCCCGTGGCCAAACATTCAGCCAATTCAGTTCTCTCGCATTACTGCATTCACCAAAGTGACTTCTCAACACGTAGCGATCACTGATGGAAACCACCCCACGGCGCGAAGGGGCAAGGTTGCTTCTCATTCTCGTATATGTATGTCTTGCGTCGCTTCGGCAAATCTCATTCCACGGCCGTCACGTCCTGGACCTCTCTAGAACGGTCTCGCAACGCCACTGGGGGCTTGCTACATTCATTGCATCCTCGCGGTCAGTTTCTGGATGGTAGGCTATTTCCCAGCCGTCCGCACTCTTGCATAACGTCCCACAGATGTTACGATGGGCCGTATTTTGCCATGTCCTCGCTACGAACTTTTCTATGTATGCAGGTACTAACTCGTCTCGAGTTTCTCCTGTCGAAGATTTCGGTATCGAGGTGGTGAAGTCACCAGTAAGTAATGGGCCACGACTTTTCCACGCCCCACATTTGCTCAATTATCGCATTTCAGAAGAAAGCCACCAAGTCAGTGCATGTCTATATACGGAGGACTTCAGGGCTTGTGTCTGATAGTAGTACTATATGCCACCCTGGCCCTGATCCTGCTGCTCAAAGAAAACTGTAACCGTCAGGCTAGATGTTCCACGTATGCCAATTGCTTCACAAAAGCTCATAAGCCAATTATCATCAACCTCAATAGTTACCTTACATAGTAGGCGCCTTAACTCTCGTAGAAACCTAATGTCAGCCGCGATCCAGCTCCTTGAAAAACCGCGTACGAGAAACAAAACAATCCAAGAATAAGGCGTTATTCACCGAGATTGCATCATAACCGCTCGTCGAATGATCGTGTTATATTCATCTATCTTAGGTATCTCCAGAGATAGAACCACCACGTTGCAACCAGTATGCACCAAGACATATGAAAGAATGGTTCAACAAGGAAAAAGAACCCCCCCACTTCATTTTGTACCATCCAGTGTGAGCAACATCCCTTCGCTAATTACAAGGTAAAACAACCCTATGGCAAGTATTATGAATGAACGTAAGAATAAGAGTACCCAAAACAAGCTGTACAATAACCGATTTCATTTCATCTCGTCTCGATGCCATCGTTGGTCCGCGGCCTACTTCCTCGGGCTTTACCAGGGGTAGTGGGGAGGGCGGGGCCAGTAAGGGTAGCCCGTAAAGACAGGCTCAGCGGTAGAGCTCTGGGTGGGCAGAGTCTCGGTGGGCAGAGTAATGGTGGGCTCCAGGCTCAGCGTGGAGGAGATCGGTGGGAGGTCAGTGAATGTAGGCTCCACGCTGAACGTGGACGAGTTCGTCGGGAAACCAGTGAAGGTGGGTTCCGCGCTGAACGTCGATGAGTTCGTTGGGAAACCAGTGAAGGTCGGCTCCAGACTCAGCGTGGAGGAGACCGGTGGGAGGTCAGTGAATGTGGGTTCCACACTGGACGTGGACGAGTTCGTCGGGAAGCCAGTGAAAGTGGGCTCCAAGCTCAGCGTGGAGGAGACCGTGATGGTGGAAGTGGAGTTGGAAGTCGCGACCGGGAGACTGCCGGAAGACGCTGTCACGGGAGGCAGGACACCGCCGGTGAAGCTGCTGCTGCTGCTGCTGCTAGAGATGGATGTGAAACCTGGTGAGGAGCCGTTTCCAGATGAAACCGGTGGGAGATCTGTAAAGGTGGGCTCTACAATCAGAGTAGATGAGACCGTGCTGGTGATGGTGGAGTTCAGAGTGAAAGTAGCATCACCACCAGTAGCAGTTGCAACAATGGTGCTGGTGATGGTGGCGTTGACGGGCAAGGTGATGTTACCGGTTCCCGTCGGTGGCAGGCCTGTAAAGACGGGCTCCAGACTGAGGGTGGACGAAACCGTGCTGGTAATGGTCGAGTTCAGAGTGAAAGTAGCGTCACCACCAGTAGCAGTTGCAACAATGGTGCTGGTGATGGTGGCATTGGTGGGCAATGAAATGCTACCTGTCCCTGTTCCTGTCGGTGACGAGCCTGTAAAGACGGGCTCTAGACTGAGAGTGGATGACCCTGTGCTGGAAATAGTGGAGTTAGGAAACGCCGTGGGGATGGTGGTGCTGTTCAGATCAGTTGGAGTGGCGAGGACCGTGCTGGTGATGGTAGAGTTGAGAGTGAAGGTAGCATCTCCTGTGCCAGTAGCGGTCGCGACGATTGTGCTGGTGATAGTGGAGTTTGTGGGAGCAGTAGCGTTTCCAGTTCCAGTCGGCGGCAAGTCGGTAAAGACGGGCTCCAGACTGAGGGTGGACGAAACCGTGCTGGTAATGGTCGAGTTCAGAGTGAAAGTAGCGTCACCACCAGTAGCAGTTGCAACAATGGTGCTGGTGATAGTGGCATTGGTGGGAGAAGTAGCATTTCCAGTTCCAGTCGGCGGCAAGTCGGTAAAGACAGGTTCCAAACTGAGGGTGGACGAAACCGTGCTGGTTATGGTCGAGTTCAGAGTGAAAGTAGCATCACCACCAGTAGCAGTTGCAACAATTGTGCTCGTGATTGTGCCGTTCGAAGTGGGCAGGCCGGCATCTCCAGTTCCAGTAGACAGGCCGGAGCTGGTGATGTTAGAGCTGGGTAAGCCTGTGAAGGTGGGTTCCTCAGACACCGTTTCAGAGATTGTGCTGGTAATGGTCGAAATAAGAGTGAAAGTCGTATCGACACCAGTTGCTGTGGCTGAAATTACGCTGGTGATAGTCGAGTTGGCTGTGAGCGTGGCGTCTCCTGTGCCAGTGGCCAAACCAGAGCTGGTTGTAGAAAAGAAGCTGGGGGTAGACTCGGTGGTGGGGGTAGTTGACTCGGAAGGGGTGGCAAAGGTAGGTTCCAGGCTCAGAGTGGACGAGCCTGAACTGCTGCTGCTGGAGCTGGAAGTGCTTGTCAGGGTGACATCTCCGGAAGTTGTCGATGAACTGCTAGAAGTTGTAGACTCAGGGACAGGCTCTGCAGTGACTGTAATGGTGACAACACTCGGCTCGTAGGGATAAGGAGCGACACCATATCCACCACCATGGCCATGATATACAGGTCTTTTTCCGTGATCTGGTGAGTTTGATCCACCGTGATGTGGCCGACGATGGAACCAGGGGAGTGCCACAGCACCAGAAATAATGGTTAGAACTACTGGGAACCTCATGATGGGAATATTGCAGCGGAAATGGTTGTATCTACGGTGATTAGGGATAGTAATTAGGGACTAAGAGGGGAGGATCTATAGATCTATAGAACGAATGTCTTCAAAGGAGAGTGGGTGATTGGGTTGTCCTGCTGCAAACCTCTTCATTCGTGAGATGATGTTATGTTCTTATATACTCAGGAATCTCTACCTCCAGGACCATGGACCCGGGCACGACCCATGGTAGCTGTTCTGCCTCGCATATTCTCTGCAACAAGACTAACTTCATGTCCGTGTAGGGAAACTTTTGGACGATCCGGTTTCGAGCAAATTACAGTGATGCCAGGAAAGATGCAAGTACCATACATTTCCCGCATCTCCCATTTCGTGAACACTCTATCTCACTTCTTTGCATGGCAGGGGTGGGCTTACTTTTTCCACGACACAAGGTGGTGTGGGAGGGTTGTGTTCGTGGCAGCGCTCCCTTGATGGTCTGGTACTGAGATTAGAAACATCAACGATGGCGAATAATGAAAAGCAGCGTGAGATGGTCGGTCTGATCATCTCAAAGCAGGCTTCAGCAGGGTAGTGACCATGTATATGGTGCGCCCTTGCATAAAGTTCTGCGAACTAATCTGACAAGCTGTCTATAAACCTTAATCGTGCAGTGCGTCAGGAAATTAGGAGGCGGGGATTAGTCATAAGAGTAGGGGCATGAACGACGGCCCGATATGCAGCTAATGGCAGGGAAGCAGCTCTCTCAAGGGAAGAAGAAAAGAAACAAAAAGGACTGCGGCTGAATCATTGTATGTTTTCCACACACGTGTGTGGTCAATGACAATGGTGACGGGTATGTTTCTCCAAGCGACGTTGCAAAGCATCAACCTGAACGCCACTCTGGATGAGCAATCGCAAGCGATATAAGAAGCAAGGCATGTCTCATTTTTATCTTTATTGTTTATTTATTTTAAATCTAGACGTGCTCATTCCGAGACACACACGCCATAAAACGACAGTTCGCCTCTCATCATCAGTCAACATGTCCTGATCTGGCGTTTGCCCGTGTTCTGACGCTTCCGGCCATGTGCTGACCGAGGAGTGCGGGCTGTCAATTTGTCTCCGAAGTGCGGTTGTCGGTCGTGGAGATCGGGCCTTTCGATATAGCAGTTTTGCAACAGGCGCATCGACAGCGGTGTCCCACGTACCAGCGAGTGAGCGAGTGCCAGTGTTGGGAAAGGGCCAGCAGGTATAAGATAAACTAGGATAGGGCAGGGCTACGACAGAGATAAGTTTAGTTGCAACAAGCCATCCGGGCGCATCTTCGCCCTTCGCTTCCCTTGGCAGCAAGCCTGGAGATGGCCGTGAGACAAAGACTGCCCCACTCTGCCCCGCGTCCCACGTTCGAGTAGCTCCTTGAATGGACAATCCGAACGAACGACTCCCACTGCGTAGTAACGCCTCATTTCACCAAGCAACAAACCACCACCAACGTATACCCGGCAGACAAGCAGTTGAAGGCCTGTCATGTCGAGCTTGGAGACCGTTGAGGCCTTTGTCGAGGGCGCCCCCCCAGGCGAGGTACGAGACCACACCCTGCTGGACCACCAACCTGAACTTGCCTTTTGCCTGCCTCTATACTTATCCATGCTTACGGTCTGCACAATGAAGGAGGGCTAACGTGTAATCTTGCGCCAGCTTGCAGATGTCATCGCAGACATCAAGTCCCTGACCCTATCTGACCCAGGTCTGGTTACGAAGCTGGGCCCGGCCTTCGAGAAGTACAACGAGGAGCAATTCGCAACCGTCAAGCTACCCGGTAGCAGCCAACCAGTCATCATCAGCTCACACTCCTCGCTGGGCGACGGGCGTTACTACGATGTCGAGAGCTCGAGTAGCTTCAGTTTCGACCACACGACACAGAAGGCTAGCGGCGTGCAGAGCTACGCCCTGGAGGGCAGTCAAGCGGACTTGGTGTAGGTTCAACACTGAAGACTTGGGGTGGGATAAGCAATTTGCTCACTGTGTGCAATCAGCAAGTCAACACTGAAGAGTCTTTCTACCTACGTCTCCGAGCACTACCCGAACGCTTCTTTTGGCGTGTACCCCATTGAGAACGATTCAAAGGTAGCGATCATCATCGTCTCGAACAAATACAGCCCGAGCAACTTCTGGTAGGACGAATATGCGCTCCGCTACGAATTACAAGCACTAATCTAATACTCGGCCAGGAACGGACGCTGGCGCTCTCTCTATATCTTCGACCCGTCGTCGGGCAGCTTGGAAGGCAGCGTCAAAGTGGATGTGCACTATTACGAGGACGGTAACGTGCGGCTCTTGACCAGCAAGCCTCTAAATGCGTCGGTTTCATCAGGTACTGGTGCTGGCATCGTCAAGGAGATTGGTACTGGCGAGAAGAAGTACCAGGATGAGTTGAACAGGGGCTTCACAAGCTTGAGCGAAGGCGCATTCAAGAGTCTGAGGAGACAGTTACCCGTCACGAGACAAAAGATTGAGTGGGATAAGGTAGCTAGCTATCGGGTGGGCCAAGACATTGGCGGTGGTAGCTCCAGGAGGTAGGGTAGAGGTAGGGCATAGTAGGGAACGGTTGGCCGATGACTTGTTTGACGGGATCGGCCATTCGCTGCTCAACAGCGTCTTAGAAGATTCATCACACAGGTGGACGTACAGCATTGAGTGCTATGCGTTCGCGGATAAACAAGAGCGTTTGCTTGCATTCGTGGTCAATCTGTACTCGTGACCGGTGGCGGGTGGCCGGCATTCCGGTGATTGTATGAGCGCCGGAAACGTCCCGGAATCCCCATTACATGTTCCCTTGCCAGCTTGGGGTAAGTCACATAACTTATCGCATATCGGGCTCAGCCTATCGAAAGTTGCCCACACCACCCAACACCGTAGCAGCGCGGTCGTCAAACTTGCCTATCACGATCAAATAGGCATCGTTTGCCGAAGATCACTACCGAACCCCGAGAAATACCCTGCGCGCGTAGATCATCCGAGGGCTGCTTGCACAACCCCCATCTTTGAAGGCGTTATTTGCACAACTCGGATAAGTTTACTGATTCAAGCTTGCACGGGCAAGTGCGCGGTACATCGCACATAGCTTGTCCCCGCAGCCAGTGCCAGAGGTGGATGCACAAGCCACGTACTGCGTACGAGTAAGCGGAAGCATAATTAGCAGACCTCCGATTCGCTCAATCCTGCTCCTTTGCCCAGGAGCCCATAGGATTTGGTTTTCGGACCCCTGGCAGATCAATTCGGAATCGGGGGTCAATTTGTTGTTGAGAAAGCACTAAGTTAGACGCAGACGCAGACGCAGACGCAGACAGGACAGCAGAAAGCAGAAGGCAGTAGAAGGTCAGCACTGTTATTCGCTGGCATCTAATTTCTTCACCCGAAGCGCAAACTTGCCCTCCATCCTTTTCTTCACCTCCTGCCTCTTGCCCGACAACCAGCAACAGCAACGACCGCTCCTTCTCCTTCTCCTTGCCCCGTTTCTTCAATTGCCTAGACTCTTTAATTAGATCGTGTCCCGTTAAGAAGATATTCCAAAATGGCCGACAAGGAGTACACCTACCAGGACGTTGCCGAGCACAACACCAAGAAGGACCTGTTCATGGTCATCCACGATAAGGTCTACGATGCGACCAAGTTTGTCGACGAACACCCGTAAGTCTTCCTCCTCTTCTTGTCCCTGCGCGGCTTTGCCCCCTGAAATGTCGCCGGAGCTCCGGTGTGAGGAACAGGCTCCTGCCAGCAACCCACGGCCCCCGAGTTTTAAATGGCCGAGTTACTGACATGGATCGCGACAGTGGTGGTGAGGAGGTGATGCTCGATGTCGGTGGTCAGGATGCGACGGAAGCCTTCGAGGATGTCGGCCACAGTGACGAGGCCAGAGAGACCCTCGAGCAACTGCTCGTCGGCTCCCTGAAGCGCCAGGTAAGCATCTTCCCTCTATCCGTCTCCTCTCCCGAGTACGGCTCGGTCGGGACGATGCGCACAACGTCGCACCGTTCGTCCGAAACATCATGGCAGCATGCACAGAATACTAACAAATGCGTAACAGCCCGGAGACCCCAGCCCCAACTCTACCAAGCCCTCGTTATCACCCACCGCCAACACCAGCTCCGCCGGTCTGGGTACGGCTGCCTACGCTGTCGTCTTCATTGGTGGTCTTGTCGCCTTCGGTGCCTACCAGTACCTCCAAGGCCAAGAGAACAAGCAGGCTTAGATTTTTAGGGGAGGGATACTAGTGAACACGGTGTCGGCGACGACATGAGGGAGCAAGTTTGTGGAGCGATGAATATGGTTTGTGCTTCAACATATACTGCACTGCTCGTAAATCTCTGGCTTGGAGACTTATTCGATTGTTTCATGGGGGGGTCATGTAGCCTTTATTGACATTTAATAGACTGTGCCTTCATGCGCATATCACATGGTATAATTACCTATGCCATCCTGCATAATCTATAGACTCAATGGACCGGAGACGAAGCGAAATATAGGTTGTGCAAAAACTTATCTGCACAATAACCTTTGTTTTTGTTGCTTTATGCAAGCTACCTATATTTGAACGATATTGCATCTTTCATGCTTGAGCTGGGACGACTGGAAATGAGTTGTCTCGATGTCCGATCATCTGCACGAAGTCGATGCACGTCAGCTTCACGATAAAAGTGCTATGCAGGAGCTCGACCCCGCGCTGGGCTCTGGGTCTTACTACATGCGGGCAGTTAGTTTTGTATTGCTGCTTCTCTCGTTAATGAACCCCCAATGTTTCACTTCGTTGCGCATCTGGGCAATCTATAGCCGGTGGTGTAGCTAATCTTAAGCGACATGTTGAGGCATACACACTTCGTCCAAAGCCAAGCCCAAGAATGTCGCGCGTAGGCTTTGTTGATCGTCAATCCAGACAGGTCGAACCGGTGTCGGGCACTAAGGAGGACATATTCGTGTACGAGCCACTGGGCTGTTCACATATTCGGCTTCTCAAGTTCTTGCCCAGGAAGCGCGGACAATCGATCGATTGCGAAATCGAGCGCGTTCCATTGTACTCAAAGCCGGGATATATTGCCTTGTCCTACGTTTGGGGGGAAGGCCTGAAGATACGCCAAATCAGGATCATTGGCCATTGTGTCTCTATTGGATTGAACTTGGGTGCGGCCCTGGATCAGCTCAGATCCTACCACACTGATTTTACGAGGAAGTATTTTTTAGATCAACGCGTTATGCATCAACCAGGACGACCGCAAAGAGAGATCGCATCAATTTGGACGAATGGCCGAGGTATACGGTAATGCTTACACAACGGTTGCTTGCCTAGGGGGCTCGGACACAGACCATCGGTAGGTGCCACATGATCGCATCCTGACAAAGCTTTATCTTGCGCCTTCAAGATCTTGAGTAGCCGCTTGAAAGGTTTGGCCACCAAGTGCGGTCATAGCCCTTATGGACAACGACACTAAACGGTGCTGGGAGAAGTTGATGATCCATCCATGGTTCCACCGTGTTTGGACCTTGCAAGAAGGCGTCCTAGCAAAGCGTTGCAGAATATTTCTAGGACGCTATGCGGTTAATATAACGTCTATGTTACATCTCATGACTGGTATCAGCCTTGACAACGCTGTACCCATCTTCGTAGACGCACCCGGCTATTTCATCGCGTGTCAGGGTTTGATCCCAACGCAAGCGGTTTACAATCAGATCAAATATTTTCAAGGCTCCAATGATAGAAAGAGGAAGGTGAATGAGAGCGCAGCTAGTCAGCTCCTCATTCTTCCTGATTGCCAGCTCTTTTCGCTCTTGCCGAGAACCACACGATGTTGTCAACGGTATCTTAGGACTCTGGAACCATGTGCGGGCAGAACCACTTCCGAACCTCTCAGCCCAAACTATGACTTATCTTATGCCGACATCTGTCATCGATATACAGCTTATATTCTCGCAAACACTGGTAATCCAAGACTTGTTGATTCACTAAGACGTTATACCTCGCGGGGAGTCCCATCCTGGGTTCCCGATTCTGAGCATTTCATTTTCGGACAGATCACCACGCATCATAACCAGGACAACTGTGGTGCTATCCCTAGATGAGCGGGTTTTCACCTTATCAGGCTGCTGTGTTGGCTGTGTTGCAACGGTGGAGTACTAAGTCAGTTACAATGGCATGACGCAATCATGGGATTGGCTCAGACGGCGCATAAACGCGCTCAAGGGCTTCGTGGCACACTCCTCTACAGTTAGAGAATGTATCGCGGTGGAGGAATTTCGTGCCCAAGTCATCAATCTTGTCACCAGCGCTCTAGAGGACAGCTCTGACAGGGCATTGACGGCCAAGGTGTTAGAATGCTACGAGTACGCACAGAGCGGCGAACAACAGCCCTACACTGACGCATCAATGGAGAATGGACAACCTACGTCGAATCTTGCCTTCTTAATACTTGTCGGGTATGTGGATGGCAGCACTAGCATAATAAATGATGGGAGTATCTTGATGCGGCTCATGTGGGACTCAAACGTGCAGGTAGTGATGTTGTGTGCATCTGTGAAGATGGTGTTGATAAGGCCTTGGTACTTCGTCCTATCGGGTCAAGATATAGCCTAGGGACGACGGGAATGCTTGGTTTTGAGGTAGGAGATTGAGAGCGGACGAAATATCTGTCGGATAAGAATCTCCAGCAGTTCGACATCATATAGGACATAAAACATAGATATGTCCCGACAAGGTGCCAAAAACAGCACATGTGCCGTTTTTAAGTCACATCAGTGATGGCAATCTCTTAGTTAGAAGATTTTGAGGGCGGAAAGGCTTGATTTCGTGGAATGAACGAACTTTGTGAGGTTTTAAATTATTCATACTGACGCCGGTGGCTCACAGCCTCTCCATTCTCCATCACTATCTAACCATGCATTACCAAACTGACGACCTCGGAAATATCTCGTACTGGAGGCCCCTATTCATCCGATGTCATAACTAATTGAGCATCTCTGATGGATCCATTCACAAGTCAGATTACAATCTTTCTTGACATGGAGTCCCCTCAAATAAATTTAGAATATTTATATCGTTATGAACAGGGTTTCCTTGGTTCGTATACACAAATTGCGCTACTTACATCGCTTTTGATCAAACTTGGTCAACGCTCGTTGCCTATAAGCGGGCGACCAGCCATTCTCTCCTATCTGCCGTAATAGACTTTCAGTGCACACATTAACTCCGAGGTGCTTACGCCAATTACTATTGTCGTTACAAATTCAACAGTACTCGATGATGCTCCTCCGCAGCTCATCGAGACAACCACTTTAAAGTCTATCGTGGCTGTTCAAGGACGTCGAAAACTGCCTTTGTGGCTGGCATGGCGTGTTGGGCGAGCTTAGTGCTCTGCAGGATTCAAAACTGCACTATCCAAGTCAAACTGCGGGTTAGTATTGCTATGGCTAGCAATCTACCGAGACCCAACTGCCAGACAAGACAGACGTGCGCATTGTGAGTGCATCAACAGTCAAATTGCTGAGGCTGCTGTACGCTGATTGGACAATCAATAGACTGTAACTTACGTACTGGGGAATCAGCACCCGAGCAGCCGGGACCCACTTTGCGATTAATCAGAGCACAGAGCGTCGTCTTTAATCGTCACAAAGCCTCCAGACTAGCTCGTCTACCGTTTGACTCTGTCCAACATTACACAGTAGAACCTCCGCAGCATTCATTCCTTCTTTTGTTGTTCGCTTGTCATCTTGGTGCTCTCGAGCAACAAAGATCGATATTGACAATCATTTCATTCCTCGGAAGCCTCGACTCGGCTCTTCCTTGTCCCTCGCCTGCATCAGCACCTGCGTCTGCATCTGCATCTGCATCTGCATCCGCACACTCGCCGTCGCATTCATTTGCGACAGCCTCCCGTCTCCTTCCCCGACACCCTTTGCATCATGGCGCCGAATCCAGTCATGGGGGCAAAGCGCGCGCTCGCCCCGCCGTCGCCGTCGCCTTCCAACGCATCAAACGCATCGCACGGCGGAACCCCCTCCAAGAAGCAGAAGCGCGAGGACCGCACCCGCGACCATGCGACACCAACCCCCACGCCCGCCGCCCTCGCCGCCGCCACCCAGAACTTCGGCTTCGACGACCGCACCCAGAAGCTGTACGCCGTCGAGTTCCTCAAGTCCAAGGCCACGCCCAAGTCGCTGCAGGAGATCCTCGACCATCTGACCCTGCAGCATCGGTCCGAGGGCGACCACAAGGACTTTGCCAAGGGCTTGAGGGAGCACGGCCAGGTCACCTTCCTGCCCGACCCCCCCGCCAAGGTCAAGGATCTCAAGGACAAAGGCATCCCGGCGTGGCGGACCGGCAGGTACGAGTTCAGGGCCAAGATCCCCGGCGTCAAGAACAAGACGACGCTGCTGGACTTCCTGCAACGCAAGACGGACGCCAGTAAGCTGGAAGTCAAGGACCTGAAGGACGGCTGGCCGGACTGCGACAAGGCCATCGACGAGTTGGAGAAGGCGCACAAGATCCTCGTGGTGCGGACGCGGAAAGACGGCCGCGCGACGCACATCTGGATGGACCAGCCCAGTCTGTTCCACCCTGTCGACTCGGAGTTTAGGGCCATGTGGAAGAAGGTAAAGCTGCCAGACGTGGACGACATGGTCAGGCGGCTTACCGCCATCGGCCAGAAGCCCGCCAGCGACGACCCCAAGCTGAACAAGGTCACGACGGAGAAGAAGCAGAAGAGAAGGGTCAACCGCACGAGCAAGAAGCAGACCAACGAGCATATGAAGCATATCCTCCAGGATTACAGTCACATGATGCGGAAATAGTGACCCCAGATGAGTTTTCTTGCGATTGGGTAAAGAGGCATATACGAAGCAGTTCCATGCTTTCATTCTGAACATATCTTTTGGGGACTAAGCACTGCATGGTAGGCGTTAGAGGGACACGGCAATTTGTTCGCACAGTGCATTTACGAACAAACAGAGCCCACTTGTTGTGGGTTCACAAAAAGATCATATGCAAGAGTGCTTTTCGAGGGTTGCTACATAATTTGCTTTCGGGGGCGTTTCAGAGGAGCAATAGAGAAGCATGAAAAACTGGCAGAGCGGAAAATGACATATTTATACGGAGACCAGCTGCTTTCTTTTTTGGGGGGGCAGCCGCATTGATTCCCAACCACAGAAAATGTTGAGCTAAAGAGGTACGCCGATAGGCGAAATGCTGTTATCGAGAATGGAAGGAGATTCGAGGGTGTACTATGGCTGCACAAGCTGCCAGAAGCCAAGGGCGTGGTGACTCTAGAGGCAAATAAAACACATCCTATAGCCAAAACATGGTCTTGGATGCTACTGCGTACTTGATAAGGCACGCTGATAATCATGGGACCCAGTTGTCGATCTCATGACCAAATTCCAGAGATTTATCAGAATCGTTCTGATACAGGCTGTTGGAACCACTTGGTTTACTTGACGTTGCCTGTGTCACTACTTTGCGTTTCATCACTGGAATTATATCTTGTGACTATGGTGGGGGGGGGGGGGGGGGGGGGGGGGCAAGAACAATAGCCCAAGGCCCCTTTCCCCAGCTTGGGAGTTGGCTCACCTCGATGATAAATGTCCTGCGAGAGAGAGAGAGAAGACCTCCATGATCACGGATCATGCCAGATTTTTGGTAAGTCCTGGTGTCCACGACCATGGCCTCTGATCTGCGATCTATGCTTGGTTGATGCCGTGACGAGAATCACAATCTACGTGCAGGTGAGCCGCACAGCGACTTTTTCCTGTAATGGGTTACGAGAAGGCGGTGCTCATTATGACTAACGCCACTGATGGGTATTCAAATTTTTCTGTACGGGCCAAGGATGTTCCAAAAAGAGATGGGTTGGAAAAAAAAAAAAAAAAAAGAAAGAGATTTTTCTTATGCTTTTTGATAAAAGTTAACGAGTTTGGAAAGTGGGTAGTCTCCTCCTTTACGTTGCTTAGCCATACCAGTGATGGAAGACGGGACCAGCTGCAGCTGTCGGAATCGAGAATAGCCTAACCCGAGGAGAGTCGTGATTGCGAGTACACCGTCATGGTGAAACCGATCTAATTGGTCCTCGTTTGTGACGATACCTACCCTGCGGCGTTCCAGGCTGGCAGGATCATAGCTCTCGACTCGAGCTCGTCGTGCTAGGGAGCACAGCACGTTCCTCGTGGGTACCACAGCAGGAGCTTATTCATCTCCTCCCGGGGTTATCCAAGGCCGTGAAAAATAGTTTCGTTCCTCGTTGGGTTTTACTGCTCCTTCTTTGTATCTATCTTGCGGATGAACACGAAGCGATCTGTGATCATCTCGACGTGTTCAACAGTCGAGGTGCCGCGACGGGCCCTGGAACCACTGGGCAAGTGTGGTGTCATGGATTTCTACCTGATCAGTCTAGGCTATGGCCATCAGCATCATATTACCTAGTTATTCCATAATGCGTTTGACGTATCCATGGCGGCGGCGATGTACTAGTGTCCAAGATCATAAGCATCCAACGCGTCACACTACTAATTTTCATTAGCCAGATGCAATTACTTGCGAGTAGTAATGGCCACAAGAACCCCCCATAGCCACAACTATGCACTTGGAGAGTATCATCACTGTATGTTTTGGGATTGCTTCAACGTCCACTAGGAACTAGTAGCTGCCGCGACTGGAAAGCCACCGGCATGATCTCGGATAAGCCGAATGGCCCATACTCATGGCGGGTAGATATGTCCGAGTTATACGACTACATGAAACTTGTGTATGCACTGTTTGGCCCAGTACCCCTTACCTACTTGATTGACCAAGGATGACAAGTGCAGAATCGTGTTTCCATTAGACCGATTTAGCAAGGCTGGCGTGTCTTCTACGCCCGTATCCCATCACACACGCGTGTTTACTAATCTTCCACCTCGCGATACGTGTACGGATCCCGAATTAGAGGCTGGATCAACAGCTGGGGTTACGAGACCGTGATGCTGCGCGCCAAGTTGTTGACCCCCGGGGTTCGGCACACCCTCCATGATTACTGAACGTGGGCTGACGGGGGATTCCCAGACCACACATGCAGGGCGGCGCTCCCCAGAGCGACGGATACCGTTGGCCGAATGCAAGCCACTGCATTCAGTGCATGCCAGTGCCGCGTTCAGACATATGTACGAACGAAGATAAGTCTATTGCCGACTGGCCGGTCGTCCTGCAGCAAGCCATCGTCATTTTGACGTTCGCGTGCAAGTCGACAAAAAGGATTTGATGCGCTGTCAAAGCAGTCCCAGTTCATATTCGTTCGATTCTTGATCAGTAATCTTTTCCTTGGCAGTTGGCCCACTTTGAATGCATTGCGCACGATGATTATGAAAGAAGAGGTTGCTTTGTTTTGTTCCAGTAATGATAGACACTCGAGAAGAACGGAAACCCTTGAATGAGACCATTATATGCATTAATCCATATAACAGATGATCGCCTTTCAGCTGCTACCAAAAGCGCTCCTGCGTCCCGTTTCTGCTGCATCCTGATTGGCACCCCTGAAGACACCCCCGGGCATCCACCAACCTCCACCAGGCACGCTCAGGATGCGACCAGGCGCATTGGGCCCTTCGGCGCGGACATGCTCGAATATGTCAAGAAGCTTCTGGGGTGTTTGCCAGCCGCCCGCGACGAAGCGACCCTGGATGATGAAAACGGGGACAGCGTTGAATTCCATCTTATTCCTATCGCTAAGGCGGTCGATGGCATAGTCCCACTCGTCGCTCTCCAAACAAGCTTGGATCTCCTCCGCGGGGATGTTGGTCAGGGATGTTCCTGTGTTTAGAAGAAAGGAGCGATCTGAGAGATCGCGGTTGTTCTCGAAGTATTCACGATAGATAGTGTCAGCGAGCTGCATCTGTGTTTGTGGTCCACGCGCTCCGACGGGTGTCACATCAGTAACCAGTGAGGACGACGTAGTGGAAAGCCGATTGTGGCCAAAGGCTCGGGTGAATGAAGAGCTGCGGTAAGTTGACGGGGTTGCCTCAAGTGCAAGACGCAGAAGCTTATGAGAATCCCGAGAATTGCCGGTACGGCCCTCTTGCCAGCTGAAGTTAATACCACTTTCTTGACCCTGGCGCGTCCAATCCTGAATAGTGGATGGTGCAAATCCACGAATAGTTTGATAGTAGACTTCTTTGGTGTCAACTGGAAATGATGAAAGTTAGCTAGCTTCTATGACGATACACAACCAGCCTGCGTGTGGGCGACAAGAAGTATACAGTATCGGAAGTAACCAACAAATGTGAACGTTTTGGTGAAAGGGTGTATGGATCTTGGGCATGTCTCAAAATTCTGAGAAAGAATTTTTTCGAGGAAACTTCTCCTCCAAAGATAGTCCCGCCCGAAATATTTTGAAAGTTGTTAGTATGATGAGTATCTGAACATACTAGGATGTTGATTCATGTGTTTGAGGTTAGGAGGAATTGATACTATTTGGCACCAACTCTAGGCACGGAAGTCTCCTTTCCAGGCACTTACCACTGCGTCCTGCCGAAGGGCTCAGAATAACCGGAGAACAAGTGACCTCAAACGTAGCATTGGGGTGCTGCAGCTTGTATGCATCGATGGCCGCGTTGAGATTCTTCAGACCGATGTAGCAATGAGGACACGCCGTGTCAAGCACGAACTCGATAGTGAAGTGTAAGCTCTCGGGCTTTTGGCCGACAAAAGCTTGAGGTGATTGTTCAGGAGAAGAGGACGGTTCCGCCACTGGTGAAAGTAATTCGTTGATGCTGGCCATGGCTCTCGGTCAATGATCCTCCACAGCTTTCAATAGTCGTGTCCCAAAAACTTAGGACTTTAAATACACGGAAATAGTGTGGTTGAAGTAGGAGTGAAACGTCGACGTAACGCAGGTATATGTGCAGAGTTTATATATTCTGCCGACGTGAGCCCCAGGCTTCCCAACTGAATACGCTGCTGGGGAGGATGAAGATTTCAATCTTGTATTAGGCAAGAGATAGTGCTGGCACCCAAGTCTCTAGCCACCTCGACAAACAATGGCTCAGATGTAGGCGGATCGTTCAGATCCTCCAATCAGTGTTGCCACTTGCAACTCAGTATTGTCTCAGGCCGTGACAACAGTCAACCACATGCGATAGGTTGTGTGCCGGTGAGAAAACGAAGGAGGTTTTTGTCACTGGTCGGAAGCCATCCTAATGGTGATCCTTGGATGCGCACTGTTTGATGGCAATCTTTGGCTGATCGTCAAGGGGTTATTATACGGTGCCGATCTGCAAGCCCTTTTAAAAAAGATCAATATAGGCAAACCTAGGGGCGAGTGGTATCAAGGGTTAAAAACAAGTCGTACGATTCTTGATGGCCCCAACTGACTATGATACGGTCCAGACTGTTGTCACCGGAAAGGCGGCGGCGGCGGCGGCGGTTTGCTGCCCAGTTCTCAGAATATGAGGATGCCACCAATAAACCATGCAGGAATCAGGGCGCATTAACGAATACGCTGATGCTTCCCCGAAGTTACGCAGGACAACACATTTGCGGTAAACGAGCCGATTCTTGCCAGTTGCGGGGACCAGTGAAAGAGTGTTTGGCATGGTGTGATTTGATGAGTGGTGCTGTGCGAACGTTATTGCCAGGTCGAAAAGTTCGTGGAATTATTGATTTGTGATCAAGCAATGCACCAGAGGAGTCAAGTCAGATCAGAATAGCTCGGCGTCTACCCGAACGGGTCAAAACCCACTTACAATTTCCACCTCGACATCTCCCTCAACCTTCACCAGCATTGACACAGTTCAATATCTACTGCGAACGGTTAATGGCAGCAAGCCACCTCGCGTGGCTAGGCTCAACGGCCGCACATCTCAGGTGATTTTTGACGATATGCGAGCTGACGGCTGAAGGGGCACTACCAATAACCAATAGCCACATACAATCGCATCCAGGACCGGAACTAGACTCGGTGGAAGTTTCCGGCGTCTTGAGTCCTGGTAGCTTTAGCGTCCATCATGACGGGGTCGATTTTGGGTTGCGTTGACCAAGCGAGTGTCAAAGCCACGTTGTTATGGTTCGTCGCTATGCGCAGTTATCGCTCCGGGGAGGATGATGTGGGCCCATGACGTCGATTCAGAGCGAGCCTCATCAGCAAAATCGTGGAGAGATCTGCAGTTGCCAGTGGTCTGTGGGGAGTCTGGGCTACGCCTTAAAGCCAGGAGCTGTGCGACTAGAAAGCATGTGGAGGATCTCAAGTCACCTCACCTTAGGTTACAAGCGTCAGGGGTGACAGCGATCTGTTTCCCACGTGGTTTGTCGTCAGGCTGCGGTCCGACATTGAGCCGCTCGAGAAGCATGCACAAAAGGAACTTCGCATGTTTCGAAAGGAAAGAAGGACCTGTGACTGCAATAAGAACATGGATAGCACAGGTAGAACCAACTGATTACCTTGTGAGGATCAACGCGGACACCAGACAAGAAAAGAAATAAGCAAATGCAGTAGCGCTAGCGACTTTCAGCGATGCAGTCGCACAACTGACTGTTTGTAAGTGGCTGCCACCATTGAAGTCTTCCTGAGGACAGCGTAAGTGGAGTGTTATCGAATATCATACGATAAAGCACCAGGTAGGCAGTAAAGGTTTTTTATTGTTAAGCTTACTATTGGTTGTTATGCGAAATCACGCCTGGATCGCCAATACGCGGTGCATAGTATTCAATGTCGGCCTCCACAGACTGATACATGAATTCCGGTTATGCTAGTCTAACTTAGGGGAAGAAATCACGGGAGTTGCTGACACAATTTGCTTTGACTAGTCTAGTTTAACAAAGCCTACGGATCTGTATATAACAAAGAAACAGCAGCACGAGCACGTGTGGACCATTACGGGAAACAATGATATTCACACAAACCACAGCAATGACTTTATGTTGGTGTGATCTTATTTTCTCTACCAAATGCGATCATTCGACCTTCCCTGCCAGCTTGGTATGTATACCAAGCAGATGCGCTCGATTTTGCGAATATCAATCACGCATTCCCCCACTCCCTCGTCATGCAAATTGTCGGGCACGCTAGCGACCCATACCCATCTATCGAGTAACTGTTGCGAGAAAAGCAAAGAATCGAAATTGCCGCCAACTTCCTTTTTGCTGTGAAACCTAGGTTGGCTGGGTCCAGAGTATGCGTTAGTCGAGTGATAGTTTGGCTGAGCTTCGGACTACGCCGTGCATTATTTAGGTGTATAGAGAAAGCTTTTGGCGGACAGAGTGGAAATATTCGTAGTTTGCTCACTTTTGAGTGATTCCAGTAAAACGCCGTCTCCGAACCATTTCCAGTCCCTTGTTCCGGACTGTCCCATGCCATGGGTGGGTATTTCAGCTACCAGTGAAAGCAGGCCATCCAAGAACAAAGAAATCTATGTAATCGCAAACAAATAAGTAAACAGTGTATACATCGCCGACCCCAGATTTCCCACCACACCTAGTGAAAGTTGACACCAGGTTCAGTGCTTTGGGGACGGCGAATCTGAGCCGCACTGCCATAGTACATCTGACTCATCTGCCCCAGCCCTCCGGTCGTGAAGGCTGTTTGGTCCGGATCTGGGTATACATAGCCGTTTCCACTTTGACTGTGAGTTGGCGATGCAATATGGGAGGGAGAGGCCCAACCAACACTACCCATATGAGGGCTACCTCCCGCACTTCCGGGGCCAGACTGATGTGGCTCGATGTTTGGCTCCAGAGTCGTGGGCGGGGGAGGAAAGGTTGCTGGGTGTGAAGTTGGGCGCATGTCCGCGCCGTAAGAAGGAGCCGATGTAGGAACTTGGCCTTGCATGCCGTTACGCAGATGGGCTGGAAGTGAGCCACCGTTGTTGTTCATGTATGAGTACTCGTTCTGGCGCATGGCCTCGGCGGTCAGGTTTGGAACTGGGGAGCCGGACATTTGTCGCTGGCCTGGTGAAGGTGTGTTAAGAGGGGAAGCATGCTTTGATGCCGGATCCCCATCACTCCGCGATTGCCGGCTGGCTGCGGTTTTGCTAGCTTGGGCTGCCAGAGCAGCAGCTGTCGCCGCCGCTGCCTCCTCGACGGTACCAGTATGGTGGTTCTGATGGCGCGTAAGGGTCGTACGACGAGTGAAGGTCTTCTGACAATCAGCATAAGGGCACTTGTATGGCCGCTTGCCGGAGTGGATACGACGATGACGAGCCAGTGAGCTGCTGTCGCTGAAAGGCTGTACGTACGGTCAAGATTAGCAAAACGTGTCATCGGGACTAGTGGGGCAGTTGATTTTGACATACCTTGCCGCAGCGTTCACACATGTGAGGTTTTTCGCCAGTATGAACTCGTTGATGGACCGTGAGAGCAGACCGCTGAATGAATTGCTTGCCACATCCAGGGTAATCGCAGACGTGGGGTCTATGACCGCTGTGGATTCTTTCGTGCCTTGCAAGATCGCTGCGACGTGCGAATCCTTTACCACAGGTGCTGCAAGGGTACGCTTTTACTGGGGGTGGGTTCTCGGTCTTGGGCGGTGGGGTGTGGGTGTACACAGGCATTCCTTGGCCGGCAGTGGGCATAGGAGGCATGCCGGGGATCATCATGCCCGGGGGGATGTTTGGGTCCGGCATAGGCAGAGGCGCCTGCATGGAGGTAGGTGAGCCGTAGGGTCTGGCATTGCCCATTCCATTCAGACTCTCCAGTGCACCGCCATTGCGAGGAGCCGAGTAATGTGAGCTTTCTGAGCCGTGCGGCGAATTGGATCGGTCGATGGCTGCAACAAGCTGAGGATGCGGTAGTCCCTGGTGAGCGTGCGGCTGTTGGTGTTGGTGCTGGTGCTGGTGCTGATGTTGATGCTGGTGTGGGTGCTGGTGCTGGTGCATCTGATGGTGCTCGGGCGTTCCCGAAGGCTGGAACTTCCTCTCATCCATGACGTTGGCCATATTCATAACCAACGACGGAGAATTGGACATTGGGACGGCTCGGAATACCCTTGGAATGTCTGAGATGGAGGTTTGGGCGTATTGATACTGCTACGGGAAACTATTAGCTTAATTTCTTGAGACCGCTTGGAAGCTGAGTCTGAATGGTGGCACCGATGAGTACATGAACTTGGGGAGGAGTGTCGAATTATTGCATTCATGAATCCAATACTTTGAATGTTGTAGTATGCGTTGTGCCTCGGATGGTAAACAGCAGTGCTACACTCTCTACAAAAGCTTGTAGATGCGGTGAAGATGCAAGCCACGCGAATACACAAAGGGATAAACGTTTAGGGAAGGCTAAGACTTACTATGATCAGATCACAGTGGAGGTATGAACAAGTCCACCGCCACACGGGGTTTAGGCTTAGTGATTGCGTTGACTCGACAAGACGGACGTGCCTGATCCAGCAGACTTGTGCCTTCCAGCCGTGCGGTGTTGTGTATATCGCCTTGGATGCTCGTGTTCACCGAGTTGGTCGAACAATGGAATTTGGGCTGTGTATTTACTCGGCAGGAACTAGTTCTGGGGTTGAGTTTGAGAGGAGACTGCAGTGGAAATTGAGTCAGCTGGTTGTTCGCACGAGACGTTCAGTTGGACACACATGGCATGCGGTTCAGTGAGTGAAGGAAGCTTTGATGTACAAAGTGAAAGAGCAGTTCACGCTTGTGATCGTGTTCCGTTCAGGCAGATACCAGTGTAGGCTTTGGAAGCAACTAAGCTGTTGGCTGTTCGAAAGGCAGCCATGTGCTTCTGCTCCTGCCCCTGCTTTTGCTTGTGCCTGTGGTTGTGCTTGGCCGGGTTGACCGGGGTGAAGCACAATGCTAGAAGGCCAACGACATTTCAAGTGCCCAGGTCATGTTTTCATGACACGGCGGCGTTGAATCCATCGCGTGAGGCAACGCGCAGATGACGAGAACCAGGCTGTTCAAAACACAGGTATCGACGGTGCTGTCACCATTGCTGCTGGTGCTGCATCGACCATCTGTAGCTGTAGCTGTAGATGTTGCTGCAGCTGCATCTGCGTCTATAGGGAACGTGGGTATGGATGTGATATCAGAACAAACAGCACGGGCATTTTGAAGGCAAACGCTAAACGCGAAACAGGGCAGTATGTGGTCCTTACCTCGAACTGTTGATGGTTATTTTCGGTGATTCGAGAACAAGACGCGTTCGAGTTTGTGTCGTGATGACTAGTGAGTGAGTTGCGCAGGTTATCCGCAGTGTGCCGTGTTGCGGAAATGTGGAAGGGGGACAAAAATAAAATAAAAATAATCGAACTTGAGATCGCGGTCAAGACTTCCAGAAGAAAATGTCAGACGTATGTGACATTGATGAGAGCAGCCCCCTACCGAAAGTTGCTGGGTATGAAGCAGAAGTGCCTGGGTACTTAAGTTAAGTGGTGGACAGAGCTTTTCACTGCTGGGAAGTCTTTCTGGAACTGGGATTAGGATTGGGATTTGGGACTGGGACCGGGACTGGGACCATTGACTGGGCTGTGGAAACTGTGGGTTTTTTTTTCCCCTTTGGCTTTGGAAAAAAAGGGAAGTGGGCCGCTTGATGCCCCCTTCCCATTCCCCTTCCCCTTCCCTTTTCCCTTCCTTGCCTTCCACCATGATTCCCTGGCTGCAAGTGGCCCTGGTTCCAGTGGACGAGCCCCAGTTCTGTTTCAACATGCTCCCTGCGCTTCCCTGCGCTTGTCTTGCTAGCCACTGTACATAACTTAGCACTCTGTTCTCCGTCCATGTACCTTTGCCAGCACTTCTGTGTTTGTTGCTCTGGTCCAAGGTACCTCGGGATCACACTTTGCTTTACTGTCGCGTTCAAGGAAACTTTCGTTTAGCACCTACATATTACGTCAAGTCAACGTGTCATCTGGTTATTATTAAATCTTCTCAGCACGCATACCGTACTTACCGTAACTCCGCACTATCTATGTAAGCATTCTCAGCAGCAAACAAATCCCTGTGCCAATCTTTTCTCATTCTGATGTACTGCTCCATTGGTCTTGGCACCTGATGATTTCCATCAAGTCCCTTTTCACAGTGGAGCGCGCGGCAGCACCAATGCCAATGCCTGCTTGTAATGACATCCCGCGGATCAGCTCTGCCTACAAGTACGCCAATCTGGGGCGTCCTGCAGCTCCGTCAGGTACCTGAAATACCAAACACGTCCTAGCATTGTTTTAGGGCTCAGGCGCGTCCAACACCATCCGTACATACAGTAGTACCTGTGCAGCGAGCTAGAGCTTCGCCTTTGACCTGCTCAATGGTACTTATACCTTACTGCCAAGCCATGCCGGCAGTCGAGGACAGCTTTTCGCTGTTGCTGCGCTGGATGGTCTTCACCTTGGATGATCGACAAAGAACAGGCCCAGCGCCCCGGGGTACTGTTCTTGCTTGTGCAAAACAGTATGTACTAACCTAGTCACATAGGTATCCCTTCTTTGGCAATAATCGAGAACGCTCTTCACCGCATTACTGGATCGCCGGATCATCGTCATCAGCATCTGCGCCAAACTAGCAAGCACTAGCCGTAGGGCATCAGGTGTGTTCTCCGCCTCATTGTTATGCCCCGGGGCCCTACGTATTGCACTAGCTTTGGGTGTTATTGGTTCTGCTCAGCATGCCTACCTACCAAGTACCTGGCAACCCCAAAAATGGACTGCCGTTGGCCACAGCTCCCCCAGCACTGCTATTCATTGAGCTAATTGGAGCGCCTTGACCTCCTGGGTTGCATCGACAAACTCAAAACTGCATGCAAGCTTTGGGCAACCGCTCGTCAAGAAAAGCATCGACAACCACATTGAACAGCAGATGCCCTTCCTCCAACTATCAATCACCAGCAACCTCAGAAAGGCCCATTGCCAGAATACAAGATTTGCCCCGTGTGTCCCGCTGGCACAGACCAATCTCCAACGGCGGCACCGCCCATTCCGGGAGATTGCTGGTCACATCCTGGCCTCCTTCAAATTATGACGAGTGTACATTGCTTAGCACCAACATGCACAACCCTTTCGGTTTCTACTAGACTAACCATAATGATGTAAACAGTATTCACCAATACTAATGATACAGAGGCGTGTCGCGGGTTGATGCTAACGAGGCACCAACAGCAAAGGAGACTTCTAACCACAAGACTCCAGAATGTCTGTAAATAAGTAGGCAGTGAGCTTGTATCACTCTGCGGTGTCTCTATTACTCGTACAATCTCTAACCTGTAGCTTTTCTGTTGTTATTTACTCTTCATGAAATGTAACCGGGCTATTTTGGTCACTTCTCATGTTTGCTCCAGCCCAGACTGACAGAACGCGGTCTCTAACTTATATTGAGGCGTTACAAATGACGCTTGGACCGGCCCATATTCATTTTGGCGAAACGCCGCGCCAGAAATGATTTTGCCACTTCTACTGGAGCAAGTCGCTTCTCCTTTTCTCGTGCCTTGGGAAGCATTATTACCTACTGGCACAGCCATGATTGTCACAAGTTTCCATCAGATATGACGCCTGGGACGACATGGGTTCCCGACTCTAGTTTTGTTCCTGGGCCACCTTCTATCATCTTTAGTACGCTGCCGACCGTGGCTAAACTCCACGTACTTTGTTCACCGGTACTTCCCTACCATGTCTGACCCCTAAAGTATGGGCACAAGCTTTCAGCTGTCCAAGGCGTAAGTTGGGGCCGGCTCGTTGAAGGAATTTGCGGGAGTACTTCTTCGACGTTAAATGCCACGGTTTCCCTGCATTGGTGATCGTCGAGCATTCAAGGTTTTCACAAGGGGGGCTCTCCTTGCTGACATAACGACAGTGTTAAAGTGATAATATCTGATTCTGACAAGCGATACGAACACACGTTCCCATGAAGTGGTCGCCTGTGACCGAGGATTCTCTCAATCGCTCACGCTGCCAATCTACACAGTACAGAGCAAAAGAAAGAAAAATAATCCATCCACCAGCATCTAGGGGCTCCCTTCCGTGCTCCGGTCGGCTATTGCATGAAATCATCAGACAGGCCTGAAATTGGCTCTAGCCGAATCCAGCAGGTTTCTGGAAGCCTTCGAGAAGACGAGAAGCACCGAAGTTTCCATAGATGGGACACTCCACCTGCATTACAGTGTAGCCCAGGGTTCACGAGCGCGTCTTGAACAGATATAGTTCCCTTCAAGGCTTGTCCATGTTCATCTCGATCAGTATCACGCAACTTGGAGAGTAGTGCGGGTGCCGGACTTGAAGATGTCAATCATGGGTTCGTGTTAGGCGCATCTCCCGCGGCAGATCGCGGAGTTTGGTTCCCTTCAATTTCAAGGCATTTGTTGTTGTCGTGCATCAAGTTCAGAATTCTACAATCTCGGCAACGCCTAGATTAGCTGTTGGTGGTGGGCTCAGCCTTTCCCACTTCCGCTTCTTCGCAGCTTCGACAGTCCTTCTAGGCTTGGCTAAATCCGGGCTGGCTTTCAATCGTGCAAAACGTCAAGCCTGCATAGTATGCCCACTGTCAGGCTCCATTGCGGACGCTATTTGTGTGGTTGCCAGTCAAGCATGAATCGCACACAAGCAGCCTACAACTGTCGCCATGCAAATTGATAGGCTGATACCCGGCAGTGTGGTTGAAGACAGAAGCGGTCAAGTACTTTTGGTGAAACGCAGCCGATCAACAGCTCCAACTATGCTCTCACAAATGTCACAGTAAGCTGTTACTTTTACCCGCCCCGGTGCGAAAAAATAGTTACAGACTAGACTGAGCCGTCGCTTTCGGCCATCTGTAGTACAGGAGGCTTAAAATTCCCAACTTGGAACGAAGCGTCACACCGAACAACAACAGCCTGTAGGCGCGACAAATCTACATGCGCTCATGCTCGCAACAACAAGGGCTCGGATTATTCAGATTTTTAGATCTCAGCCAACCTAGAACGAGCTCGTCAGTATCATAGCCTACAGAAGCAAACGACGAAGGCGCAAACCAACGCACGCTAACCCCAGACCTCAAATAATAGTCAACCACCGGTCTGACCCTGGAGTTGTCACATCAATATTGCATTCGTTCACATGAATGGGATGCTCATAACCAGAGTTCATTGGATGTTAAGAAGCGTGGTTCTTACTCCCATACCTGCAGGCGAGCAACGAGTCATCCTGCATGTATCTGGCATTAGATCGGTCACAGATGCGAGCATCGTCCCAAAAGCCTTTTGAATGGAATGGCCCGAGATGGCTGTTTTCAGGGTCAGTCCCTCAAAGTGTGTTAGATCAAGCGGTGTTTCCAATGCTACACGTTGGTTCATGCATTAGCATCCCGGGATCTAACGCGATTGGCTTGTCGCCTCCAAGGTTGTTTCGACACCATTTCCAGTCGACCGACACCAACAAAAGCAAGGAACACCTTGCACAACTTGACAACTATCAAAGTCATTGACAAAGCCGGAAGCTGGTCAACAACTTGATCGCCATGAGGCGCGTTCATTTTACTGACAGCGGGGCTCCGGGGATTCATGGGCAAGCGTGCACGAATTTGTTTCTGGTCCCAAATAACTTTCCGCGCTAGCAATTGTCAATCTCGAACACGAGCGCGCTAGAAGCCCCGAAGAACATGTCTAGAAGACGGGAGTGGCTAGTGTGCCATGAAACATGACGATGTGCTTCAGGAGACAGAGCCACCTACTGGTCTCAGTCGCCTGACCTAAAATAGCTATTATGGCTAAGGTTACTGCAGAAGTCGCTCGACACAAGCGCACCCGCTGCAGAGGGCATTGACGTAGTCGAGCAAAGGCGACTCACATACTGGCCTACATAGTTAATCAGTAAACTAATCCAGTACCTCATGTCCAGGTATGGACAGTACGGACAGGGTTATGTTAGTTTATTTCGTTCGGTCATAGGTTGTTCTGCCACTCGGCGATCATCTTCGCTGTCTGTGCATTGATGCATGCAAGACATCTTTAATTCGCAACTGATGTACTAGCCAATATCGCGAATTAACAAACTAGACTGTACTATGCGGTCTCCTCGCTCATGGATTATTTAGCGATGGGCCACCACACGAGATATAATGCAAAACGGACGAGACTAATGAACCTGTAGTTCTTGATCTCATCGCTTACAGCCCTCAGCTCCGGTGCAATAGATTCGGCCAAGCTGACTAGCATGGTCCACATTCCACGCCTCAGAGAATCGCAACCTTGCCAACACCACAAATCTTCCATCCTGCTTCGAGAATATGTTTCAAACCCCAGCGTATTGTTACAGTTTGGGCGTTTTGGCAGTCAATGCTTCTCTTTCTACAGCGATGTCGTCAACTTGGACGTTCCATGGTGGAAAACGCAAGGTCAATTATCGATCAGGCGGTGATCGACCCTTGATCCAGGTACTCTTGACGTGGCATCAAACCAAAGTACGGATCAATGGATGATCAACGAGGTCTTGCATAGCAATGACCACCCACAGATAACAGACGACCATTATATAAGCCCAAGTAGCTATTGCAGTGGTATCACCAGATTGGGCCAGAATTGCCCCCGTCGGCAGGCAATGGTCAACGTGGTAGGCTCTGAATATTACACTCCTCGATACCAAAGCAATCCGTGCTGTCTACCCTGTGCGACCCAGGTGGCGAGACATTTGTCGACATGATCACTTTTGGAGAGCCCTCTTAAACAGCCCTTCTACTCCGATGCGGCGCTTCTAACGCTGCCAGATTCTTGTCTTATTAGCGGTACTGGGGTAAGCATTGACTGTCAAGTTGGCGGTCAAGCTGCCGGAAGACGACAAAACTCCCCGGTAGGCTCGCGCCGAACATTGCATGACACAAGTGCATCTGCTAGCCAGCGAATCAAGCCCTGCAACTCATGGTTATCCACTCCTCATCAACAGGGCACATCGCGGTATACTCTAATTCCGGATAGCACCCGCTTGCCGCGTTGTCACCAGCCACACGACTTTTCGAAAGGCTTCCTGGCTTCCAAGGCTCCCTGTTGTCATGTCATTGCTTATCGATGCCGACGCTTATTGTAATCTCGTTTAAATAGACATAAACCCTGGGACTCGGCTTACCAACATTCTGCGTGCAGCTCGCTAGCCAGAAAACGACCATAAACTCTCACAGTGAGTATACTAGCTCATGATCACAGTTGCAGCTGAGGTCTTGTTGGAGATATGTTTTCGTGCAACATGTGCGCTCCCAGCCTGTATCTCCCCTAGCCACCAGCTACCCCTGCTCCTGCATGTATCATCATCCGTTAACCTCTTTTTGTGAAAAATCTCCGGTACACGATGCTATGCAGTCGCCCTGTCTTATCGCTAACGTCCAACCGAAAGCTATCCCGTCAGCCTGGTGATGGTGGCCCTGTAACAAATCCCTCTCTCCCCCCCCCCCCCCCCCCCCCCAACGTCGCATTCTCAGGGGCTTCGTTACATCACTGACGTGCATAACCTGAAGTACCCTCGTGGCATGGCAAGGTACTATCCACCGCCCATGTCAACTTACCACCAGTACCACCTCGCCGTGGTCGATGTGTTTCCTATATAATCAAACGGGGTCTTTATACTCACCCAGTTCACCTAACACCCAGCAGATGAGACGTCGAATGGCATTATCGGCGTCACCGTCACCCTTGGTCGTGCTTATCAACTTGTGGAGTTGCCGATTCGCCATGGATTTTCGCTTGGACCTTTCTAAGATTGTTGGTATTATAGTCTATACTGCAGCATTCATTGACCGGGATGTTATCAGAGTGTCGGCTCGCTTAGCTTGTCCGAGCACAGATCAACAGCGCTTGGAATATTCGTGGACTGCAAACAGCGCTAGCACTCTATACTTTGCATCGGCTATGGCTTTGTGTCGCTTTTATGTTTGTTTATCTTATAGACAAGCGGGTCAGATCACTAGCCTTGTGTGGGTGTAATATAATCATTAACATCTAAGGCGTGGGTGATACCTGTGCCAACAAGGCACTTGTGCTATGTGCCAGCACCTCTTGTTTGACATGTGAAAGAATCAATTGAGCAACCAGTTTGCAAAAAGTTGGAGCTGCTCTGCCAAATTTGGTGCGGTCGGAAGGTTCTATTTACAATTGTCAACCATGGATTAAACAGAAGTTGTCTCGAACAACCGCCAGTCCTATCTGGCATAACACAGAATTGGTTCTTGGATTCGGTCAACCTATTTATATTCGAACATTGATAGTATTCTAAAAGCATGCATGATGTGCTGAAGGAGGTGATCATTCATTGAATAGTTGGACTATGAGGTTTGCTAGTACTTCATATCTCTAAAGTGGCAGGACTACGATAAACGGCTGCACTTCTGCTGCTCAACTAGCACTTCATGACTAACTGATTCTTTGCTTCCAATATATTCAATACTCATTTATTCGTTAATACGTGCGGCACTAGCATTCGGGGTTGTTGGTAGAGTATTGATTGACATTGTTATTTATCATCTTAGTCCTTGTGTTGCGACTTATTTGCGTTCTCGATTATTGTCTTGTCAAGATGGCAATACTATTAATCTTACCCCTTGTCCCTATCCTGCTTCTTTTCAGTTCCAAATCAATTACCAGACATGATATGTCTGTGACTGTCCTCTGTCGCTTTCCTGCTCCTGGTCGTTGATAGTAGTCTCTCACCTGTGCACGACTAAAACAATCACAACGCGACAAGGACGAAGCCTAACTAACTCAATGGCCCAGCTTGATCAAATCATCGGAGACATGCGTTGCAAAATTGACCCCTGAAAGCGGCCCGAAAGCAACCATAACCCCTATGCTACACCTGACTTCTCATCGGCCACTTTTTAGTAACAGTATACAATCACAGTAGCTCTGAAGAGCACCATCTACTCAGCGACCATAGCTGTTAGCTATCGAACGCCAAAGATTCCTAGTCAGTTGAGAATATCAGCTACGTTTCGTCGTATTTATTCAGCATAAACATCCTCACCACCGATGTGCTCGAAGACCCACACGTTGATCTTGAGACTGTATTGGAGAATTCCATCTCCATCCTGCCAACGACTAGACTGGGATTACACCTGTTACAAATATCTCGAATACGTTCTTCGAGAAAATCGATCCTTGTTGACGTGGTGGTACTTTCTGTGTGGTCTCTCTGTGGGGCTGGGAGATATTTGAGTTACTGCTCTCTAAGAGAAACGACGGTGCCAACGTACTCTACCAAGGATGTCTTGCTTGAATGAGGATATATGTGTTGGACGGGACATACAGATCGCTAGCGCCTGCGAGCAATGACATGAATGTCTGGTGCTGTTGCTGTAAGTTGTCACATTAGATAGAGCCCCTGTTCTGGAGCACGTCACTGTGCATGTCGATATTTTATTAATTGCAGGCAGAAACATCGTGTGACTCGCTTGGTGATCTTGAAGCTGCACTGCATTTTGCCCGGCAAATATTTGAATTCTTCAATGGGCTGCTAGGAAATTCTTTTCCGGAGCAACCTTTGCTCCAACGACACCAGGGCAGAGGGCAAAACCTCCTCTAAAATTCAAGAAGAAAATTCAAAATAAATCTAGACGATCAGATCGATACTTGTTCTTGATTTCAGTTCGAAGTGGTAGTAGAATAACTCCACGATACCATGGTGCCTAGAAGTCCCGCCGCCTCTGCTTTAATGGTTCACACTCCGTTATTGCTCGACCAGCGTTGGCAGCGAAGATACATGCAGAACCGGGAGTTTGTAGTTGGTGGAGAAGACGACTCTGGTAACTCGAGGCGGAGTTCAATCCCTTCTGAGCAAGGAGGGACAGCGTGCTTCAAATGAATGGGCAGTTAATTACTCTAACCTAAAGATGTCTTTGTAAGTTGCACGTCGGAGTAACCCTGTAGCTGCCGGTTCCTGCTTAATTGCCTATCACTCACCGATAAGCATGAGACGAGGGAAAGGTTGGCGCGAATGCACGGACCCCCCAGGTTCGAACACGCTCCCGCTCCATCCAATTCAAGGGCGGGTTTGCTTAGAATACTAATGCTAGTCAAAGCAAAGGCAAGCTCATTTTCGCGACTGGACATTTGATTTCTCGTGCTAGACTTGTCGCAAAGCAGATGGAAACCATCTCTAGCTGCGCACTTCCCGTCAACCCCATCAAGCATCTCGCCAGCCTCGGCCAACCCGCACCTTCACCATGGCCCCCAAGGCCGGCAAGGACGCCGACAAGGTGCATCAGATCAATCGCACTCCCGAGTACGAAGAGTTTATAAAAAAACTCGACGCCTTCCACGCGAAGCGCGGCACGGCCTTCGAACCCGAACCGCGGTTGCCCGTCAGTGGTGGGCACGTCAACGTCGACCTTCTGCAGCTGTACCAAGGCGTCATCGAGCGCGGTGGGTATGATGAGCTCTGCAGCAAGCAGAAGGCCTGGGGCCTGCTCGCCACAGACCTGGGCATGTTCGCCGACGACAACAAGAACATGGGCCAGTTGTCCTTCCAGCTCAAGCAGGACTTCTACCGATACCTAGGCGCCTACTGGATACAGGATCAGTACGGAAAGGAGCCCCCACCCAAGGACATTCTCGAAGTCGTGTCCTGCGCTACCAAGTTTGGTCCCATCCTCACGCGAACCGTCGAAAGCTTCAATCTAGCCACCGGCAAGGGATCCGGCAGCGAGACGCCCGTCAAGGAGGACCGACCGCCTGAGAGCACACCGGTCACGGGCAACAGAGCATCCGGCCGTCTTCGCGAAGCGCCTCCCCAGCGCATACCTTTCCAGCCCGAGACGGGCCCAAGTCGCGCATCCCGCCACAGCTCCTCCCAGCAATCCGCAGGCCAGTCGCACACGCCCAACAACTCGCATACTCCTCACAACCAACAGCCTCATGGCCAGCCACGTTTCGAATCTCACATCCCCGTCCCCCCTCCCCCTGCATTGCGTGGAGCGTCGAGTTCATATGTTCCTCCTGCTTCCGAGAACGCGTCCAAGCTCACCGAGCTCTTCGAACCTCGTGGTCCCATAAGTGTCACCTTGCGCCCGGTACACACGCCTGGAAACAATCCAGTCGAATATGCCAAGCGACAACGCCAGCTTCGGATGGCAGCAGCCGGCATACCGGAGCCAACCCCAGGCCGCCCCCCCGTTCCCGGTGGTAAGTTCGTCTCCTGCCTGTCCTCCCACGCCCACCTGCTGACAATGACAGCTGGATCTGATGGTCCTAATATCTATACGCGTTGTCTGCAGTCTCTCCGCTCTGGAATTCCCGCCGAACAGGCCTTTGCTTTACATCACCTCGTGAAGATATCATTTGAGCGTGGTGACAAGTTCAAGTTCGAATCGTTCCTGGGTCTGGCCGAAGGGCTGATCGAGAAGGGATTGGAAATATCGAGCTTGTTTCACGATGTTGAGTGGCAGGTGGATTACACCGGTTTCGACGACGTATCTGATGAGACCGTTTTGGATGGTGTAAATGGAACACGGGACATTTTGGCGCGAATCGCGAAACTCAAGCCAAGGCAGAGGTTCGACTACCTACAGCCCGAAGAGTTCTCAGACCGCATGCTTCGAATCACAGAAGCCATTCTCACTATCCGCAACATGGTTATGCTGCAGGAGAATGCCGTCTACATGGCCGATGTCTTCCCCCTGAAGGACCTTATTTGCATCGTCCTTCAATTACCGAACCTAGAAACGCTTGTCGAGGTGAAGCATTTTGCGCTTGACATTGCCGAGCAGCTTACGCCATGGCTTGAACTTGGTTCAGAGGATCCACTATACCAGTCACTACTGGCCCAGCTCAGCTCTACAGACCGCGGCACTATTCTTACGGCATTGCGCGCCATCAGTCGAATCTCTATGGTTCTGGAAGCGACAAATAAGCTACAGAGGGTGCCCACCCCCGTCTTGCAGAATATCATAAACTGGCTTCTGCTCAACGATGAAGAGCTCATGGACGCCTGTCTCGACTTTCTCTACCAGTACACAGCGGTTGTGCCAAATGTCGAGTCTCTCCTCACGTCGGTTGACATGGAGCAAACCATTCCGCATCTGGTTCGACTCCTCGCTCACGGTGCCAAGAGAGTAAAGGAAGATTTCGTTCTCGAGCCTGAGCGAAAGATAGGCGCCTCAGAACACGTAGCGCCTCTTCCCCAGGATCTCCAAGAAAAGCTATCGGGCACAGACGAGCCACAACGCTGTTTCCACTGGCTTACCAGTCTGTTCGAAGAAGACAGCGAATCCCACATTACTCAAATCGCGATATGGCAGGCATACCAGGCATCGTTTGGTGGGCAACAACGTAATACATTGAGTGCTGCCGACTTTATAAGGAATGTCAGCCACGTTTTTACGAATGCACGTGCTCAGATCATAAGAGGCCCTGGCGAAGCCCAACGTTTCATCATCGAGGGAATTCGTGCACGCGTATTACCATTAGACTACGACACCAAAGAGGAGTATGCCCGATGCCAGTGGGGAGTTGGTGAGGCTCCATTCACTAAGAAATGCGGAGGCTTCTTTCCCGGTGGCGAAAAGTTATGGCACCATATCTTGACGACCCATCTTGAGCAGACTACGAGCGAAGATGGCAAGTTTGCGGACAAGGAGTTGGACGCATCATGTAAATGGGGCGACTGCAAAAAATATGGCCAGCCAACAAAGATGCAGCTTTCACAGCTGACTCGCCACTTGAAAACGCACATCAGCACCTCCACTAAGCGTGGTCTTACCGACGGTGCAGAGTTGCCAGCCAAGAGACAGAAGAAAACATACATTGTCCCCGCCAAGACCATGACAATCACATGGGAGAAAACGTTTACGACTCCAGACGAGAGAAACCCTCGCATCGACCGGGCTGCCGGCATTCCACTGAGTGCCGTTCTTGTTCTCCGAAACATTGCCCGCAACGTGGTCAAGACGGAATCGCAAGAGATCCTGCTGCAGAAAGAAGAGACCGGCGGCGAGGCAGGCGGGTGGAACGAGAAGCTATTCCGACCCGTGATGACGCGCTTATTCGAAGTCATGACAGAGAACACAGCTATGGTAAGCATTATTTTACGTCTAGTCGAATACTTGAGTTCTTTCTAATTGTGTCACACAGTCCGATTACATAGCCTCGCTTCTGCAGCTAGTGCAATTAGATGTTTAGGCAACCTCTAGTATGAGCGAGCAAAGCTTATGAAGTCGCCGAGATCATGCCGACTGTTGGCGCGCTTCCTGCACAGGAAGATGGAGCGTAGTCGCGAGAGGATATTGATATTGCAGCCTGACTTTTTCGGCGTTGATTTCGCAGGATGATGTCAACAGGCCATGCGGAGGAAGGATCATCCGCTAGGATACCCACAGGCGTTCAGGGTGTATAATGTAACGTATAGGAGCATGAATTAGGACTTTTCACGGACGTGCCAAAAGGAAGCGTTGCGAAGGACAGCCAGGAAGTGTAACATTATTTCAGTCAGACCGTATTGCGTGATAGAGTATCTGATAGATATGCTGAATACATTAATATTACTGAATGGCGCAACGTATTAGCATGGGGTCATGTTCTCAGTGGCCGTATTCCATCTAGTCTATATTAGGTGCATAGGATAAGCCCAGACGCCATTAGGTTAGTACTTATCTATAATTACATAGCATGTAGGCGGGAGGGCTAGGGGCATTAATTAGCCTTGATCCACTAGCATTCTGTCCAGTCAGCCAGCAAGGCCAGTGCTGTGGGATCGATACTTTTGTTTCTGAACTCTCCCCTACTGGACCGCTTGCTGCGCCAATCAGCCAGTATCTCGCCTGCGGAGCCCGACTTTTGTTCCTTTGGCCAAAGCCAAGACCAGGAAGTGACGATCTGGTCGATCGCAAGGCTGACTGTTCTTTGATTAATCCTTCTCCACGGTTTAGTTTCTCTTGCTTGCGTTGATACCGCCTCTTCCTTCCAATCTCCTCTCTGGCGTACTGCCTCGGGATGAAAGCATGAATAAGGACGGCGCAACGGCTACGGCTGTCATACAATAGTGGTAGTGAAGCGTCCGATATGAACAAGTGAAAATGAGAGAAAGTAAATGTACTGTAGTTAACGCGTTGAGCACGCACGTCCAGAGCAAGAGACTCAACTTCTCGTCGTGGTCTACAGTGGGTAACGCAAAGTACACAAACAGAACATATTAGTCTAGGCCACAAGTTCAAGCCCACAGTTCAGCAGACGCCAGTCTACGATGCACGCTGTGCAGATATTTCGGCGTATGAATCAAGACGACCAGAAATGGATGATGCGATCGATCTACCTAACATCTGTGGCAGTCGCTCACATGCGCCTGGTGAGGCTGAGGTGACATGTCGCAGAAGTCTAGATAATGGATCATAAGTAGGGGGGCCAGAGCAGATTAGGTAAGGCCTATCCAAAGTCCTGACGCCGGCGCGACGTTATTTTTAGGTCTCCAATTCAATTCAATGCTGCCTGCCTAAACGTTGGCAGCTTTTACTGGGTCTCCAGAAACGAGTATACTATGATAATTCTACGTAGCGCCAAACGGCTCTATTCCAAGGCCTGACCATAATATTTACCTAAACAGTTCGACGATGACACACTTGGCGGGAAGAAAGGATTTGACGAAGAGGCCACTAAGGTCTAGGTTAGTCAAGTTTGGGGTTGTGCTACGTAAGTGATCGGCACTTGCGATGCAGGTACATACGAGCAAAGCCGCAAACTCTAAATCCTGTGTTATTAATAAGATGGTGTTGTGTTTCTACATTTATGTTTCACGGATCCTAATGGCGTAGGCCCAGTGTATAGCGGGGCCACTCAATCATTCCCATACTGCTAGAATAGTGGCGGGACCATTTTTTATGATCCTATTCACCATTGTCTAGTTCATCCTCTTGAGATTAGCGGAGACGATCCACGCCCGATTGATGTCAGATAGGGCGAGGTAATGTCATGATGGCTTCGCCCTTCTTCGTCTATGCCATCCACCTAGTACGTCACTGGCGAAGTATCGACGTCGCGGACGGTTATGCGGACGGTTGTGCGGACGAAACTGAGAAACAAATAATGAATACAAATACCAATTGAAAGACGCTCTCTTTCAACTTATTTCCCATCATCAAACATTCAAAACAACATCTACCAAGCACAGTCATCACTTGCCCCTGAAGTCTCATCCCGAAAAGACTTCCACTACAACTCAAATCCATCCACATACAAAACAAGTCATCATGTTCTCCAACACCATCACCCTCAAGACTGCCCTGCTCGCCACTCTGGCAGCAACAGCACAAGCCGCCGCCGTCCCCCAGAGCGACAACAAGGCGGAGAAGCGGGGGATCCCCGACAACAACGCGTCGATCCTGACCTGCTTCCGGCTGAACGACGCCTCGTGCGGGATGACGGCCAGCTACACCAACGGGCAGGAGCGGCAGACGGTGAGCTACGGCAACTCGGGCACCGTGGGCTGCGCCATCTCCATGCTCAACGAGCACTCCAACGACGCCGGGTTCTGGGTCAACGTCGACATCGTCGGCAGCACCCCGGGCGGCAACATCGGCTGGAAGCCCAACGGCAACAAGATCGAGCTCGGCAAGGCCACCACCAGCAACGAGGACGCCGACTACATCACCAAGAGGTGCCAGGAGGAGTTCACCTGGGGCAACGGCAAGGTTGATACGAGCAAGAGCGGCGAAAGCTACTGGAACGAGCTGGACACGAAGCTGTATTAGAAATAGAAAAAATTTTCTTCTTCTTCTTGGCAACTACGCAAAGGAATGCGACCCGTTGCCTGTACAAGTACGGACGAGCTTCATTTCTAGTGCGAGGTTCTGGAACTGATAGACATTATTTGGAGTACGGGGTGTCACGGTACTGGGTTTCCAATACACGGTGCGAAATCGCCAGAGGGGTAGCATATTAGTAGGATTACTATTCATGGCCTGATTTATTGAATATATTTTTGAAACAAAGTACCCCCTAAAATTACCAACAAGTGCTCAACAGTCGGCGAATAGAACGAATAAAAGTATCTATTCGTGGCCGCGCCCGGTGCCCCGTTTGGTGGGCTGCTTGATCCAAGCAGTAAAGAGCTCCGAGGCCAAGTCGGACATCACGCGCACACTGCCATGCGGTAGAATGACATTCCTAGTCACTGCAGGAAATCAATTATATAGCATACAAGCTGCGGCGGCACTCCGACTAAGAGATCCCATATGTAGACGGAAGATCGAGAGTTTTCTTTTTACAGAGCTTCGGGCCAAACATCCCAAACCCGCAATGGTGGAAAACAGGACCTCTCGAGTGCTATAGCGACACAGACAGAAAAGAGCAGCAAGTAACTCATAAAAAAAGCGAACGACTTGTCAATGTTTCAATGGTAAAGAATGATCAGGAGGCATCTGTGCAGATGATCTCCTAATGGTGTCCTCAGTATTTCCGCCGTCTCACAGCCAAGGGACACGAAACAAACCTCCCTAGATCGTTGCCGACAGACAGGGGGAGTGGGGCTTGGCGCCGAGCGGTTGGCCCCCTGAGCAACAAGTTGTTGCCATAAAATGCCATAACTGGTAACATTGCGACTATGCTAGAACAAAACAGCCTACTACTACTACTTCTTCTTCCTCTTATTTTTCTCTCCCCCTCTCAAGTGCTCTCCCAAGCCAGGGTCAGCGTGACCGAGTGCGTGCTGCCGGTGTAGACCTTGCCCTGGACGGAGCCGCTGGGGGTGGAGTCGGAGGAGAAGGCGGTGCTGCCGCTGGCGGCCAGGTTGCTGCCGCTGGCGGTGAAGACGGTGGCGGTGACGCCGGACCCGCAGGTGAACAGGCCGCTCGACAGGCCGCAGTTGCCCTTGGAAGACGTCAGCGTGAACCCGCTGCCCGACGCCGTCGCCGTGTACGTCGCGCAGCTGCCCGTCGTGTACCAGGTCCCCGCCGAGATCAGGCACCCGTTCTGCGCCCCGCCCGACACCACGTTCAGGTACCCGGTGCCCGAGAAGGGCGTCCCGTCGTCGCCGCCGCCGCCTCCGTCGTCTCCGCCGCTCTTGGGGAGGTATCTTTGTTGGGGGGAGGGGCATGTCAGCAGAGGGAATCTCCTTCGCAACGGACACATCCACCAGAAGGGGGACGAGAGTCGGGGTTGACTTACTTGATACCAGTCGAGGGGCAAGTGGACGTGCTCAGCGTCGCGACCGGGATGTAAGTGCCGGACTGCACGCTGCCCTTGACGTTGTAAAAGTACCAGACCTCGCTGAGCTCGCTGCTGCTGCAGCCGAGATAGACGCTGGCGCCGTGGTTCTTGGTGAGGGCGGCCTGGATGGCGCTGAGGGTGTAGGTCTGGGTGGAGCTCGGGGTGATGCCGGCGGCGCTGAGCCAGGTGTAGGTGGGCAGGGTCTTGAAGAGGGCGACGACCTTTGTGAAGAAGTCGAAGGCCTCCTGGCCCTTGGTGTACGACGTGTAGCAGCTCGGGTCCAGCGTCGAGATGCACGTCCCGTGCTTGCTCCACTCGTGCTCCCAGAAGGTCTCGGGCGTGCCGCTGTTGGACACCCACATGGTCTGCATGTACGACAGCAGGTCCGTGGCGCCGAACGAAGTCAGGATCCCCGTGATGTCTGTGTACGCGCGCGACGAGTCGCAGTTGGACTCGTATGTCGCGTCGCAGTTGTCAGGCTGTGCAGCAGGGGTGGAGAATGTCAGCCTTCGCGCCCCCCTCATCATATATCATGGCGAGATTTGACAAATGCCAAGCGGTGTTAAACATACCCAGAGACCGTGGATGGTCCAGCTGTCGTCCGGACCCGTCACGGGGTCGGTATCCCAGAACTGCGTCTGCAGCAGCGCGCCGCCGGGCGCGTTGAAGCAGCACAGGTTCGTCTGCACCGTGGTGTTGTGGCACGACTGCTGCGAGGTGGACGGGCAGGTCGTCGAGGCAAACTCGTTGAACAGGCTGCGGTAGGCTGGCATTTCGCCCAGCGGGCCCGCGAGGGCGCCAGCTGCGAAGAGAGCCGTCAGTGCTGACAGCATGGTTGACGATGTAGGATGCGCCGATGTCACAGCAGTAAGGAAGCTGTGGGACTATAAACCCCAAAAGCCAAGAACGGCGCCCCATTATGTACTTGTATCGCCTCTTGGAGGTAACATCTCAGGTGCCACACACGTGGGCCGCCGGTACCGCGATAGTCATTTTTTGGTTCTTGGAAAAGATCAGGGACTATCGCAAGTGGCCTTCCGTAATGGTGACCGACCTTCCGTCTGGAGTCTACGGTCCAATCCACTGGCAGGTGATTGAGCTCTGGTATACTATTCGAGGAGACGCGGGCATTGATGCTAATAATGGATCCGCTCATTGGGATCTGCTAGAGGGTCTCAACCTAAGACGGGCTGACGGCCAACCAGAGGTGCGACGGCGCGGTCGATCATGCCCAATAGGGAATGTGAATAGGGTTGCGGGGACCATTGAACGGGTGCTTTCGCCAGGGGCTAGGAAGCTTAATACTGTGGAGACAAAGTGCCGGGTGTAAGGGGGGTCGGGTCTCGGGGATAGAGGCTCATGGTTCGGAGGTGGCCGTTGAAGAAGACGATAATCACGATTATATGTCAGGGGAGAAGTGTGGAGTTGGCCGGATGGTAGCCTGTCTCACTCCTGATTGTTGGGATATTAATGGAAATATCCTGTTCGCTCCCACCTCGCTTCAAGAGGTTGCATGTGAGCTGAACTGCTCAGAGGCCGCGCTAACATGAGCAGATAGGAAGCGAGGAGGACGGAAAACTTCTTTTGCAGCGCCTGTCCCAATAGACACTCATGCCGGTTCTCCGTTGTCGGCCGGATCTATTATAGTTTCATTGTCTCTTGTACCAGGGGGAAACATATATTGGCAACCTCTCTGCTTCATACCTAGCTCATTGCAGCTGTAGCTTCTGGCCCACCTCTGCGTCATAGTCTCTAGTCATTCAGTGGTACGACATGAACGCCGAGGTAATTTCCTAACAAATTGCAGGAGATGACTTGCACCACGTGTGTACTATTTTGCTTTTATTATACTCCGAGTACTTGCCACTGCTTGTGTGAAGATTCCCTGACCACAGAAGCGCCGTCCCGTGTGCGGAAAAGCAGCGCCAGTCATTGGGCATCTTTGGGGACCTCTAATAAGCAACCATACACGGATATGGCGCAAATGCTTTTCTCCTAACGTAGTTCACCGTCGTGTGTGTGCCTGAGGCTCGCCTTAACTTTTCCCAACCGCTTGGTGTGCTACAGGGGCTGTGAATGGTGCAAGTGTAGACATGGATCGGCACGAGCAGGGCAACCGACAAGGTTTATGGTCTAGACTAGAACAAGACTATAGTCCTTTCAGGGGATGGCCGTGCAGCTGATAGCACTGGAACCAAAAGCTACGGCGCTGAGACAGACGTGTCGCTCTCATTGGCTATATAGCCACTTGAACGAGTCCCCATCCATCATGGACGGTCCAGCTTGAATAGAACTGCGCTTGACACCGGGTGACATTATGGCTCGTCAGGCCCCACGGACACATTGGAGCCTAAGCTGGGCGCGGCGCATTCGTATGTGTTCAGGAACGATCATGATCTGAATGCTGATGTCTGCATTTATCATTCCAGTCTGCTATCTCGAAATCATGCAATCGGGTTGGGTATGGTATGCAACAAAACATATCTCCAGCCAAAGGAAAACGCCGCGGCTCAACTAAATATGGATGGAGCCATCCCCACGAATCAAGGGCGGATCGTCGAGATAGTATCGGAAGTTACTCCGTAGATACCTTCTATAACATAACGAAGCAAGCCCTTTTTAAGAGAGTTGGTCCCAATCTTTCTTGGTGGCTGCTCTTCCACCCCTCTCTAATCTCCTCCCGCCAGTCAGTGGTGGCAGCAGCAGCAGCAGCAGCAGCTTCACCACCACTCCCTCCTATTTGGAACTTTACAGTGCCCATCTGAGACCGTCTACTGCATCTTGACATAGTTGCTTGGGAATATACCATGTCTCGTTCCGATCATGCCAGTCCACCAGTCGGTTTCGTTGTCCGTCTTCTTCAGTATCGTGATGACCTCTCCCTTTCTGAAGGTGAGATCACCGGGGGTATCGCTCTCGAAGGTGTACGCGGCAACAGCCTGGTTCTTGGTGAGATTCTGCTTGGCAGCAAAGTTGGGCTTGGGGGCTGCCGGCCGTCCTGGCCCAGCCCTCTTCTCTGTCGCAATTCCCCCTGCTCCTCCAGGCGATGGTGACTGCTGGTCCCAGGAGCTGGAAGGTGGTGCCTGCCACGTAGAGGCACGCTGGGGAGCGGCATAGTTGTCCTGTTGTGCGCCACCGTAGTTGTTGTCGCCGCCATACACCGAGCTGTTGTACAAATCATCGTCTGCGGTTGCCGTGGCCACGGAACCACCACGCTTGAAACCGGGGCCGTTCAAGATACCCATCAACGGGCCGCTCTCCGGAGGAGGCTGAATGCTGCCGCTCAGGAGCTGCATAGCAGTGAACCTCTGACCATAGAGCTTCTCGTTGGCATCCTTGCGTTCTATTATGGCGGAGCCCTCAAGCGAGACTCCGGCGAACAGTCCCTTGGTCTTGCTGTAGCTGAAAATACCTGCCACACTCTTGAGGGAGGCAGCACCGGCGGCTTCTGCGTTTCGACCGACCGGTCCTGCTGCGATGGAGACGTTACCGCCCAGAGTGATGGATCCTGCTTGCGCGAAGGTCTTGACGGCGTTTCTGTCGTTGAGGATGAAGACGAAGTCGGTGATCTCGAAACCGATCTGGCCACCGAAGCCTGCGCCTCCGGTCATGATGGCTGTTGGGGCCGACCAATTGCCATTGTCCAGACGTGCGACCACCAGGCCGGAACCGAATCGAGCGGAGCCTAGGAAACCGGCTTTGATGACTGTGAGAATGGCAAGGCCCTGCGCGCCCGGGGGTGTTAGGCAAGACTATTCGCCACGTCGTTTGGGCACGAGATGGCAGTTGCGCTCGTCAAGTGGGACTCACCTTGGCGTTTTGTAGAATCTCGGGAGGGATGACTTTGTCTGGTGACAGAGCCTGCCGGGGATCGATGAAGGATTGCAGAATCTTGCCGCACTTCTTACATTCGGCTGGAGACAGAAACACCAAGTCAGCTTCATGGTTTGTGCTCGCGCAGTATGTTTTTGCGGCGTCGGTGATTTCAGGCTCGGTCTCACGGCACGCGGCACGCAGCACGCAGGCAGCGGGGCACAGGTAGCTGGAGCTCTGGGAGGCCTGCGGTGGTGGGATGACTTACACGCCAAAGACGACGGGAGAGGGTTGTTGAGACCCATGGCGACTGCGTTGCGGCTCTCGTGCGATCGAGCAAACGGAACCGTGAGAGTATTGTCGCTCGGAAATGAGAGAAGACGAATAAGAGGGTTATGCTCAGGAATGAAATGTAGGCAGGTTGAATTAGATGTGCAATACTAAAAAAGCTGGCTGGCGACGTATGTGATGTTGCGGTAGTCTAGCGACAGTTAATTCGGTGCTACGCCGTATTGAAAGGTGGGGTGTATCGCCAAGTTGGAATCGCGGCTGCGGGGCTGAGCACATGGATGATCAACCGATCTTTCCGAGCATGCTTGTACTGGACCTTTGACGACGGCGAAAGCGAGGAGGGGCTTTTGATGGAAGAAATGTAGCTTTTATTTTATTTCATTTCCTGATTTGTTGTTGTTGAGACAACGTGTCTACTGTCATGGGGACACACGAATGATGGCAGTCTTGCGCGTCTACGGTACACCCGAGACTTATGCTATGGGGGACTCTGGTTGAAGGACTGGCACTATCCAAAGCGCAGCGCAGGTGGCGTAGTAAGTGCGTCAACAAGCTTGCTTCCCTCATGTACGGATCCGTGCACCCCAGCTTGTCAGGGTTTACGCTTCTGAAGAGAACCCACGCTGCCACGGTGAGCTGGCAGCTGGATGCTTTGATTGATTGCTGACATCTGAACCAAAAAGGCTGGAGAGGCATCTCCACTCCAATCCGCCCAGTCCCCCCCACAAAACCCCTTGTGGCTAGTGAACGGGCCCCCTGAGCCACAGACGCCACAACCAGCGAGCCAGCCTGCGTCATGGGGCGTCCCCCCAAAGCCCCCTTATTGTTTTGTTTCGCTCCTCGGACTCCGGGCATGATGTACACGGCCGAACCTGGCAAGGAAACCAATGTAGTACGCCAGCCATCCTGTTCGCATTCGAAAAAACCGACAACCCCCGCGATATCTATCGACATCCTCTCCCGCAGCCGTAGCGGGCACACACAGCAAGCAAGTCAAACCTCCGGAGTTAAGCAGTAGACTAGTCTAGGCTACTCACTTACCTACCCGCAACCTTGAGACCGAGGGCCAAAGCGCTACCCGGAGAGAGGGAGAGGCCTGCAGTAGATCCAGACTCACCGAGCCGAAGCCGCTCTTTCTTCCTCTTGATAGTCGCTTCCCGACACAAACTCACCCAATTCACACATCGCAGCCCTATTTATCGCCAGAGCAGACGACAGTAGGAAGGAGCAAGAAGAAGACGACGGACACGCATCATATTCAGCAAAACCCAGCCATGTCGGAAGCCTACGAGCGCGAGCGCCAGAACAACGCGCGCCTGGAGGAGCTCTCGGCCAAGGTCTCGTCCCTGCGCGGAGTGACGGTGGACATCTACGACAATGCGCGGGCGCACGATGTCATTGAGAACACTGTATGTCTCTTCTTCTTTTCTTGTCTGGGCCTTGCTCTTCAGAACCCACACACACACACACACACACACACATACATACACATACGCACCCCCCTCTCTTTGTTTCGTCTCTCTGTGTGCTCTGTTTGCTGATCACTGCCCATGCGCGATTCCAGTCCGACACGTTCTCGTCCATGTCAACCCAGCTCAAGGGCTCCGCGGGGCGACTAGGTCGCATGGCGGCCTCGGGCAACAAGATCGCCATCCTCAAGCTGTCGGCCATCATCGTCGGCGCCATCTTGGTCTTGTACTACGTCTATAAGCTCTTCTTCCGCGGGTCGGCATGAGGCCACGACGTCGACATATATCGCATCAACGTGTAGGCATACTATACTACCGTGTAGTAATCATGGGGTGGCAATATCCACAGTCGCGGCGATTGCCCCCGGTACCGAATGCCAGTATCTTAGAAAACAGGCCGATTGGGACGGACTTTGGTTTGTTGAGGAGCAAGTAGGGTAGGTCTAAAGGGGAGTGGGAAAGAAAAAGGGGCGGGGAAAGGGAGATGGGCCTCGATACCGCTAGATTGTGGAAGACTATATCGTGGAAGGTCGGACGGCAATAATGGATCACTCTGAAGCATAGCATCGGCGTTTATGGATAGGCGCACCAATTTGATTTCAGCTGTTTGCTTGCACGATATATGGGACAACATAGCCCGCCTTTCAAGGGGGTCAGTACATTTCTTGTTCTCGTTCTGAGATGCTCTATTATCATTTTGGCCAGCCGTATGTCGTCAACTCAATAAATGCCCCGTGTCTGAACTCCAGAATCTAGACTAGTAACCCCAAGGATGGCCTCCGAAGGCCACCTTGTACAGCTACTGCCAGACATTCGAAAATAGATCATCGTTGCCAAAGCCGCTTCCTTGCTTGGTCGTGCTCGTGTTGGTATTCGCCGGAGTCGCGCTGCTTGCCCACCCGCCGAACTCCTCATCGGCTGCGACCTTGGGCGGTGCCGGTGCCGGCGCCGGTGCCATGCTGAAGCTAGACTGGGCACTAAAGCCACTTTGGCCCGGGACGATGGGAGTGTTGGCAAAAGAACCCCCGGTGCTTCCTCCCCAGCCGCCACCGAAGTCCGCACCGCCAAAAGCAGACGGCTTGTTGGCTTCGGGGCTCTTTTGTGCAGGTGCTGCCGGAGCGGCCGGCTCGCCCCAAGCGTTCCCCCACACGTCGGCACCGCCAAAGCCCGAAGTGTTCACAGAGGCTGCAGGTGCGGGAGCCTGTTGTGCAGGCTTGGGCTGCGAAAGATTGAATACCGACGAGTCGACGGGCGCAGGGGCCGCCTTGGGGGGTGCGGCGGCAGGTTGGGGAACCGGCGCAGGACTGGACAGGTCGAACAAATCGCCCATGGACGACGATGATGGCTGCGCAGGCGTGGCTGGCGCTGCGGGAGCGCCCCAATCTCCGAAGCCATCGAACGAGCTAGTTGCGGAGGGCTTTTGCTGCTGCTGGGGAGCTGCAGGCCTCGCCGGCTTGGTGTCGAAAAAGCTACCTCCGCTGAGGTTCGAGAACGTAGAGGAGCTTTGAGGTTGGGGCGTAGATTTGTTGCTTGGAAAGCCTCCGAGCCCAGCAAAGGCATCCTTAGGTGGGCTCTTGGGAGTAGGGCTCGAGAGGTTTCCGAAACTGAGACCTGCAAAGGCGTCGTTCAGTCCACCACCAGCTGACGGCTTTGATTGATGTCCATAGGTGGGCGACTGCATAGACGGCGATGTCATGCCCCCGAAGCTGCCGAAGGAAGCCGTCGACTGGTGCCCTTGCGGTGGTTGAGGTCGGGGTGCAGAAGCATATAAAGACAGAATAGACTGTTTCAGATCCGGGCGAGACTGACCACCATTGCCGGCTGCTGTGCCGGTCGTGCTGGCAGGCCGAGGCGGGGCTGCGGGCGCATCACTTAGAAAGTCCAAGCCGAATAGGGAGTCCTTAGCAGCTGTTGCCTTGGGCGGTGCGGGAGCAGCCCGTGGGGGCACTTGTTGAGCAGACGAGGGCCCGGCGGTGCTAGCTCTGGGAGGCAGGTCGTCACCGCCTATGAGATCTCCCTGGGGTGCTGGAGCTCTTCGAGGGGCAGACGACTGGCCGACGGATTGCTTGCGAAGTGACTCCTTGCGCTCAATATTCTGCTTCTCCTTGACGATGCTCAGGGGTATGTCGTCATCGCCATCGACATCGAGAGTGGCAGGATCTGGCTTGGGGCCGTCCATGACCCAGCGCTTGAGTTCATATTTTGTCCTGATGAAGTTCTCGATCTTGGCTTCCGAGGGCACGTGGCCAGGTGCGAGTTTCGCTTCCCAGTATTTGTTGGCGCGGGCGTTTCCCCAGCTCAAGATGCTCTGTAGTTGCTCGTCGGTCCACGAGTCGAGGTCGACGGATTTGACCCGAGAAATGTGTGTTCCCATGGATCGATGGATGCCGGAGCAGCGAATGCAGACGAAGATGCCCAGGTTCCAGCTCGCCCATCTTGGATCTGTTGCGCAGCAGGGGAAATTAGTACCATCGAGGGGTTGTGGGTTGTTGGAGCGATGCCTTGCTTCGCCATGGGTTGGTTTGGCCTGACGTACGCTTATTCTTCTTGCAGTCAGAACACACTTTGTTGGGTTCCAGCTTGAGGAGACTCTTCAATGTGGCCTGGTTCTGTGCCGCTCTCTCAGCGGCCGGATTCGGAGGCGGCCGTCGAGACATGGAGGAGCAGTCGGTGGTGTTATTTTTTGTGATTGGATCGAATGAGATGAGTAGGAAAAGGGGGTGCGCAGAGAGCTGCGATACGCTCTGGGTTGTCAAGCGGCAATGGACGTGTGAAGGCGATGTGATGTGCAGACTAGGTCGCTGGTGTGACGAGATCGAGTGCTGCGCTGCTGCATACGTAACCAAAAAGCGGAAGCAAAAGCAAAAGCAGTTCGCTTCAGTTTGAGGCTTCCGTTTTCGAAACTGATTCACCTCAAAAGCCAGAGCCCAAGCCCAAGCCAAAGCCCCAAATTGCCCCACCCGATCTACCCCCCGCTGCTCCAATTTTAATACCTAGACTAACCTAGACTAGGTAAAGGCTACCTTGCCTTTGGAACCTTGGAGATTATAGGTGTCACGAACGACTGCGAACCCACTGTAGTGTTCTCAGGTGTGTAGCCCACAACACATGCTTGTTCTTCTTTATATTCCTCGGTAAAAAGGGAAAGATATTCCCCCTCTAATGATATTGAAAATAAACTAGCGTATAACGGTAAGTAGCTTTATGTTAAGTTTGATGAACACTTGAAAATTGTCTTTCATTAAACTTTTGCTATCTTAATTTACATATTAAACTATATAATCAATAAATTTTGACAAGATTATCACATACGACCATAGCTCTTAGAAAACTCGGCATCCCGTCCGCTCTGCCCTAGATAAACTGAGAAGCGCCGGATTAGTACTCAGGTGGGTGACCACTGGGGAATCCCTGGTGTTGTATGTCTTTTTAGACTATTCTCAATGTCAATTCTTTTTTCTTCCCTCAAGGATTTGCTTATCTATACCTCGCTATAATGTAGTTGTTTGTATTACAATACGACCATAGCCCCCCAGGTCGTAGCGCCGGCGCCAAAAGTGGGATGGTGTTCCACTTTTCCCGGCCACTGATTTCACGTTCCGCACGACCGTTCTGCCCTCCGTCAATGACCCATCCATCAATTCCCCGTCTCTGGACCGGCCAGCATCTCGAGCGATGCCTATTCTTCTAGCCTCTAGTCCGCGCTGAAATAAATCGAGGGCCTGAGTCTGATTTGGTGGCCACGTTCTTCGATGTCGGTCTGATATGTGTAGATAAAATCGATCTAAGCATTTCTAAGAGATCGTCTCAAGCGAACTCTTCTCAAAGCGTTGGCACAGCACTGAGTCACTCGAAGAACCCTGGAGACTATAAGTACCATTGATTTTATGCTTATATTACCAGTAATGCGATCTTAATATTATCCGAGGTGAAGTTTACGATCCGCATCCGACTTCGCTGCTTGATTAAGTAACACATATAGCCGTCGTCTACTTTATAGGCAGGCTATGGAAGTCTTTCGGGTGTCCTAACCAGCCCATGCGGCACAAATTCTGTGACGGTTAAAGAATGCGTCGGCGCCGAAGGTTTCAGGTCGGGCGTCTACACAGTCGCGTTTGGTCGAAGATGGCAAGCGCATGTCATCGGTTTTACGATAGCCGATGCCTTACACAGTCCTGTACAGCATGCATCAATACTAAGTAAAGGACGAATCAAAACTTCTCATTACATGAAGCAGAGCACAAAGCCATAAGAATCTGCCTTTTGCTACCTGCACGATTTAGCTTAATAAGATCCGCATCCTCGCAGCATAGACTTGGAAAATCTCCATCTCCACGCCCTTACACTGCCGCACGGCAACTCTCAACCAGAAGACGTGATGGAAGCAGAGGCACCGCCCAGTGTCGTCGACCCGACAGATACTAGTTCAGAGTCTGGATTAGGCGATGATATACCTCATCCCGTCCCAACTACTCCCCTGCCTACCCCTCACCGTCAAAAGATCTTGTTTGACTGCTCTCAAGGCGAACACGACGAGATCTGGTACAAGTTCAAGCGCTTCGAGATTCTGTCTCTGCTCAACTTGTACCACTATCGACATGAGCTGTTAAGGAACAGAGACAAAGAAGCCTTGCTGACCTCAGGACTACCAAGATAGGAAATCAGGGCGCTTTCATCGTTGATTTTCTCAGCCACGCAAGTCGTTTCTTGGACTTCTTTGCTGTTCGGGGTTCTTGCAAATGCCACCACAGATCTTTGTTTTGGGAAAGGGTGTACTGATGCATCTCCCCGTCCCTTTTCCTCATGCCAGTTCTAGAGGCTCCGCGTTGGGGAACGTCGACCACTTCGCAAAAGCATTCGGTCTGAAACGGGGAGCGGTATTCCACGTGCTCGAACTCGTTCCGTGGCATAGCTCGCAAATGTTATTCTAGCCCTGTCCGAGACCGCGCCTGAATCTGTTGCTATACCTCGTCCCATGAGGCATCCTCCATGCCACATTCATTCAAGAAAGTGCCGAGACGGGCTTCGACGAAGTGGGAAGGGTTAGAATTGGAGCCAAGTCACTCTGCTACACGATCAGCTGGACTGCGGAGGTCTGGTGACTCCGGGGTCGCCCGAGGTAAACCTGAAGGCAATGCCTGAGCATTGTACCATACGTTTTCCAGTCCAGGTCACGACATATCTTCCTTAATACTCCGGAACCAAACTGTCACCCAGACACAGTATGCCTCAATGCCGATCTGGCAATTAATGCTGCCTAGCTGTAGTATTCTCCAGTCTCTAGGCTTTTCAATACAATATTATAGTTGCATCACTCTTGCGACATGTTAAACATGCAATAAGTTAGCTTTTTCTAAGACTTCTCGTAGGATGCCCTCGTTTTTAATGTCTAGAAATCGCTGAAGATTGCTCCGAGTCCGTAATGTTAAAGGATGAGCCGGAATTAACACTCGTATTTGGAGCTTGAGAGTCTTTGATAGGTTTCCTCCGCCTCTTCGTCCTTCCATGGTTACTGAGCACAGTGGCCCAGGTTGTTCATGCTAGAGTGTCGATGGTTGCTCTAGATCTGTTTTTCTTCAGACGCGAGGCAGTATTGCAGATATTTTGCTGTTGTTACACCCGTATTTGCCAGATACGCGGACGCTTGCTTAATCGCGAGAGGGAGATAGACCAGACGTATCAAAAGGTCGCTCGTGGCTTCGGCGTCGTTATATTATCGCTTTTTCAGGACACTTTGTAACAACTCTAACGCCTCCAACTCCTTTATTTCGCCGATAGTGAATGTATTCTTCGGCGAAGCACCAAGTCTTACCGTAGCTTTGTAATACGTATCCTAAATAGTATAGAGCCTTTACGGCTAAAAGGTACGTGGTCTTATAAGCCACCGTTGTCTTATAGGCCAATGTCGTCAATATTGTTAATAATCAAAAGCCAATAAGTAGTACACTTCTCGAGGGCTATTCTTACTAACGCTTTCATATCAGTTTTGTCGTCTTCGATGCCGGGCGCGCCAAGTGCTTGACCGATTTCTCTATAGGCATCTTCCAAGGTTGCCAGAGTAACAGCGGGAACCCATAAAATAGAGCAGTCCGGACCTGTTCACGAACACAATAGGCTGCTTCGAGGGCGATCTGTGTCTTACAACGCCTCCGAGCCCTTCTAGCACCATTCTCTGACAGTTCTTCTTCCTCGCGCTAGGCAGGACCTTTCCGACGAGCTCTGAGAGAACGCTCTCTCTTCCAACAAAGCCTTCGTTCTGCCCAAACGGAAGTATTAAATTAAATTAGATTCCCGATCTAATACTAAAAGTAAAAAAGAAAAGGGAATTGGCCAGCAAAGAGTTTGATGTATAATAAGAGATCCCATGAATCTACCTTGCTGAGGCAGGCAAGGAGGCAGGTTTGAGATACCCGAGGCGCCTGTTCGCTCGTCGACTCTTTTTAGTAGCCGCACCATTGCGTTTGACTTGCCCTCCCCGTATATAAAGGATAGGAACACATCGAAGATCCCGAGAAGACAACATGCCCCGTCCTCTTCTTTTGTCGTCTGGCAGCTATGGGCCCAGTCTAAGCGTTCATGGGTAGGAAATTGACGAAGAGCGGTCCCGCGCAGTGTAGCCGTGTTGATTTTAGTGATGCTCTGGATCTCACCATACAGAGGCTCTCGGTCGCCGAAATAGTCATTTTCAACCGAGAGGAATCTGACCGACAAGGGCGCGAGGAGCTCTTGGAGCGTCCATCCGCGGGTAAACCACCGGCTGTGTTCAAGCTGGATTTGCCATAGACTCTTCTCCGGGCTAGGTCTTCCCGAAACATCTAAGAGATAAACGTAACAGTGCACGGCGTTTCTATGCCATCGGAACATGGAGTTAATAGACTCCGTCAGCGCTGCCGAGCTTGTCCTGTCGATTCAACAGGTGTCCACCCAAAAGTAGTCAAGTCCATCACGCCTCGCCTGTCGTCCGCAGAATAGAATCTTTTCGTACCCAGACTTCTTTTTGCCCTTCCGACACTGGACATATTGAAACGTGACCTCTCCGTTATTTGGCCCACAGGTATGTGATAAGATGGCGTAGTTAGAGATGTCACGGTTCAGATCGTTGGTAAGGGTTAGCTCACCGTCGTCGTCAAGCTGGAGGAGGCGCATCGTCAGCGCGGGGGAAGTCCGTTACTGGTCCCTGGCTTGAATGCAACTAAAATAATCTGATCGATGGATCGTTAGGTTCTAGGGGCGAACCTAGCGATTCACTTCAAATAGTGCGCTTGATTGACGCAAAGATTATCGATCATGCATCTGGCAAGATGAATGTTGATCCATGGCGACGTGAACAGGCATGCGGCTGACCTCAGCCTTACAGTCGACGAACCCCGTTGTAACAGACCCTTCTACAACTAATCAAAGCAAGCAGCCTCCTTCGATAAATATGAAGATGATGGTATGCTGCTATCAGTACTAAATTGAGAAGAATGATAGGTGATTTGAAAAATTCAGTTCAAAAGAAACTGCGATTAGCAACTTCTACAATCTAGTGTCTTGTATTCCGTCTCAGAGTAGAAGATTGGTCCTTCAAGCTAACCTAACCTTAGAGGCTTCTGTACCATCAGAATGGGGGTAATCTACACTATGATTAACCTGGTTTATACTGCCCTATTCAACCCAACCAAACTACTTAAGAGCTTCCAGCCTCATTCCATTTGCCTACTATGATCCACTCATCAAAATCTAGCATCGTGGCACAAGGATCTAGTGTTGTTTAATTCTATAGCTTACGCACTAAGACGAAAGATTCAAGCAAGGAACTGCACAGGTTGCTTGGCCGGAAGTGGTTGTATCCGAGGCCGATTTACCATATTTGAGACGATATCACGCCATAACTTGATAGTAAAACGGAAATGCCTGAGAGTGCATACATAACCTTGAATGGCATGGAGCATCAGCGCTTATGCTGCAGCAGTGTAGAAAGTTGGTCCACTTTAACATCGAGACATCTTCAATCCTCCTTAGCCGATGGACGTAGCAGAATACGGCAACAAGCATGCAGCAAGTTTCTGCAATCACTTTGACTCTGGGCCTTGGAGTGAGTTGGGTATCCGAGTTCCGTATCCATTTGCTGCTGAGTTAAGACGTGTACAATGATCTGATAGCTTAAGGGCACACAACACCACTTCCTGATGAAGTTCGGCTGGTTGGGTAGGTTCTAATAGCCTATCTTTTCTCAGCTTCTACTTAGACTAGCAGACTTGTTCAACTGCATAGTCCTTGGACAGCTTTGATCATCATATTAGCACCTCAGAGTCCGTTAAAAATCGTTCATGAAGCGGTCTGGATCTCACTGATTAACGACCCGTCCCGCATGCCCAAACTATTGTTGATACTATGGTAGCAACAACCGCGGCCAGGAAAGCCGCAACAGGCATGAATGTGCCTAACATCGCCATACTAGTCAACGTAGCAAATATTCCACCAGCCGGAGTGAAGCCGCCATACATGCATGACTGAAATGCAGCGGCGATAGTAGCTATTTGTGAAATGATATGTTAGTAGGGTAATGCAGCTCTACTAGAGCTCATGCTCACTCACCAGCGCCAACGCCAACTGGACCAAATCCCAAAGCCATGAAGATACTGCAGATAACTGTAAAGGTGATAGCCCAGGCTAGTATGACTGCTAGTACGTCTTCCAGAGGTAAGTTAGCTCAGTCAAATTTTATACGATATTTTTTATGAGAAACCTACGAGGTTGAGCCAGCCAGTGAGAAAAGAGTGTCCACTGGGAAAGGAACCATTCAATAATCGCAACATAATGATCAACCAGACTCGGAAGGTACAACAGTGAGAATCGATCCTCAAGAATTTGTATCGTAGCCATGATGTTTGTGAAAGTCGGAAGTAATGTAGGCTTCGAAGCAAACCATTACAAACGGACTTGTGGCATGATATATGTGAAAAGGGCGAGCAAGACACAAGCGGGAAACCTGGCAAGAGTCTGCAGCATATCCCAACCTTTTGATATTGCCAAAGAGCCAATGAGATAGTCACACCGACCGCTAATTTAATATTTTTCTATCCTTACTGGCCATCCCTCGATACTCGTCTCGTTGCAAAAGCAAATGGTGCATAAAAATAAATGCACCTCTGGCTGATGCGGGGTTGGTGTGGCAAGAGAGGCACGGGGCATCTCGCATAGCATCAAAGAGTTGGCCATCAACTCAACAGCTATGCAAGTCCTCAAGAATTGGTGCAAATTCTTTGTCATGGAACAATTTTACCACATCTTCGTGGCCGTAAAGAGTAGTTCTGGACAACCATGTTTGGCCATCTTCAGTTTTTGCGGTCGACGGTCATTGAAACAATCTATCTCTTAGGGACCAATCTTACAATGGCTGCAATCGACGTATCTGAGCCGACATCCAGAGCCCCAATGAAGAATTTGTGTAAGAGCTGTCCACATGTGGCCACCGCCCTTACGTCGTTGATTCTGAGCAGGCTCTACACCGAGATACTGTAGCCTTATCGAAAATTACTTCCTTTCTTGTCAGGTCGCAGCTTTTCGTTTTATACACAGGGCATACCGGTGATTGGCCTGATGGGCCGGCGAGGATGTCGTCTAATAAGACGAGCGCTTGGGCTAATAGGTATTGCTACCCATTCTGTGTCCCGAGCTGAGTGTCGAGTGATACAACACACTATCAAGCTGTACGTAGAATCATCACATTTATGCCACAACTTTTTTTTCTTTTTTTTCTCTTTTTGTTTCATGTCTTGGGTTGCTCTCCACCCCGTACAAGTCGTACATAGTAAAAAGTATTAGTAGGAAGTGGGATGGAACTCAAAACCTCGTGACTTCCTCTCTTCTGCTGTAAGCAGCACTAAATGCTGCGTTATACTACCTGAAGCTTGCCATTTTCCGACAAAGGCACTGTTTATTGGCTTATTATCGACAGATTCTAGCAGCGTTATCTTCTCATAAGGCTATCTGCGGAATTCTGCGTAGGATATGCAAGCCACGGTCATATCGGTCGTCTGCAGCCTGCACTTTGGCCGCATTACGAGCCAAGATGAGACAAAAAGAGCTTGGGGTAGTGATAGCACAGCTCTTAGAGCCTCATACGAATATATATGTGCACTTCTAACGAATGGAAAATGATTTCCACTACACCAAGTCGCCTTGGCATCATTTGCCATGGACTCAACGCCATGTAAAAGCCTAGTCACTGGCAGTCATCGCTCGCTCGGGTTGGGGGCTTTACTGAAAACTCTACAGTGCACAGTTATTACGTAGGAGAACGGAAGTGGACGGGATTCGACGCAGATCGCAAAGCGCAAGGGTGCATGCAATGCACCCTTGCGATGGGACTCGCTAGCAGTAATTGTGCCTGTGATTATTCCATGTCCTTCTCCCATACTTTAAATTAGTTAGGCAGAAGCATAATAACCATGCATCTTTTATGTGACAGTAATTACACTTGGTAAGCAGAATTGGGGCTAACGAGGCTCTCACAGCAATTCAGCGTGATCCAGTCCTGTAATCACCGCGCCAAGACCAAGATCCAAGCAAGGGACTACATTAGCTTGCTCCAAGCTGTGAGCCCCGCAGCCTCCGTTCTTCTGTCCTTAGGATATAATGGATCAGGTTTGTGACAAGTCATTTAGTCGGAAGCGGTCGTATCCGGGCCATGCCACTCCATAATTTGATAATAGCAAGCATCGTCGCGCTAACGCTATAGTGGAAGGCTAGACTAGGGCATTTCGATATTTATATAGCTTTTGTTTTTACTTACCTTAGTTACTAAACGCGGTAAAGATAATGTAAAGTACGTAATAAGTTTCCTGATATGTTCTATTTTAAAATTAATTAATTAAGTTAATAATTTTATTTATTTTTATATTTTATATTTAAAATTAACGTAATATTATTTATAATATATTTTTGTAACGACCTGGCCAAGGCTACAAGCCTCACGATAAGCTCGCAGGCTCTTTTATGGACTGATCAATAGATGAAGAGTGAAGAGGATGAGTTCGACAAAAAAAAAAAAATCATTAATTAGCGACAACGAGTCATTCTCGTTATCATTGAATACGTCGGTGCAAATCCAACGATTAACCGTACCAAAAGTGTAAAAGCATGAGAAAGAAAACTATCTAAAAGGCCTTTCTCTCAGGCCTTACATTGATCACGTCGAGAACAACTCCCACAAAGGTCGACATGATCCACTTGGCCTTTCAGTTGCGATAGTACAGCCAACACTCACTACTTCAATATATAAGTGTATACATTAAATAAAGGGTTAAATACTCTATATAACACCAAATAGAATCTTGTAACACTACCTATGCCTTCTCTTTTCCAGATAGCTCAAGGTACTGGCTAGCAACATTAACCACTATGTCTTCGTAGGTATTGTAATTGGACCCCAAGTCAAGCTCGTTTTTATAAGCGTCCCAGCATGAAGGTACAGTTGGTTGATCGCCCTGGGTGAATATGCCATCGGCTACGGCCTTGGGGAAATGCTTCTCTACGAAGTTCCAGGCATCGTTGAATTGATGTGCAGTTGTGACGCCGATATCCTTAACGACATCCTCCTTTAACGCCAGCACATGGGCTTTGGCGACATCCGACACATCGGCTACACCCGAAGTCAGTGGCCAACTTGCAGACTGGCCTGTAATGACTGCTAGCAGAATCATGTTTGTTCCTGCGCTGAGGTCTTGAACGTTGAGAGCTCTGTCATCCCGCCCGAGGACAATTCCAGGGAAGATGTTCACCACAGCGAAGGACGGTTGTTTTTCTTTGACAAATCTGTCAGTCAGGTTCAGGGCCGCGACCTTCCCTGCGCCATATGCAGGGAGAGCGGAATCGAAAGGGCCCGGCAGGTCGGGCACTCGCGATTCGGCGGTAACCTGCTTGGTGGGATCAGGCGGAAAGGTGTTGGCGAAGGACGAAGACGTGATGACGACTTTCTTTACCGTGGGGGCGTTGAGGGCTGACTGAAGAATGGTGCTTACACCTTTGATGGTCGGCTCATAGATCTCAGTCTGGGGGTCTAAGAAGGGCAACGGGAGAGGCGAAGCCTGGTGAATGATATAGCTGATTCCTTTGAGGGCCTCATCATAAGCGCCCTCGCGGCAGATATCAGGAATCTCAACGAAAGAGAGCTTGTCGTGCCCGCCCAAGGCCAATACCTTTGGGTGCGAGGAAATGGCCTTGGATTTTTCAATGGAGCGTACGGCGGCTCGGACAGTGTAGCCTTCTTGAAGTGCGGTGGTGAGGACGTTGAAGCCGATGAAACCGGTCACACCAGTGATGAGAAGATTCGGAGACGACATGTCGAGTTAGATAGTGGGAAGCAATCTGGCACGGATCTGGGTGTGGAGGGACATAAATTTGAGTTTAAAAGGCAAATCAGTTCTGAAGTGAGGGGCTGGATCCCGACAAGCATTTGTGGTGACAGTCCACAATGGCGTGGCTGCTTCGATGTAACAGCACAGCTTCAGGTTACACGCAGCACAACCAAAGTAACTTGTACCTGACCATCTCCATGGAGACATACAGGCTCTGGTGCATTGACGAGGGAGATGCGGCACATGGTGACTAGAGTGAAAAAAAAAAAGTGGCCAGTTGATTATAAATTCAATCAAGGTTTATTCTTTAAGTGTATATCAAGTAAAACTTATTTATTATTCAGATCTGAGTAGATCATAGACTAAATATAAGGTGCCGGCCCTAAATTAGATCGGCAATCGAAGCGGACAGCTCTCCAAACATGGTGAGACGTCAGAGCAACTGTCTGGAGTTAGGCTGCCCGTATGGTGCAGTGGTTAGTTAGGTGCGCCTGGCAGTGCTCTTGTTGCTACGGTGGGCGACGAGTGCAAGCGGGTTCGAATCCCGCTACGGTCCGCTTAACCCGGCTCGTGCTAGTCGTTAACAGGCGCCATGTTTCTGACAACTATAAGCACGGTCCGTTAGCCGAGGATTCTCTAAGTATCTCAAGGGATATAGCGCAAAGGCTTGAAGAGTATTGCAACTAGACGCTAGCGCAAATGAAGAGCGACAGATAGAGGGCCTCGGATGCAATAACCTTGTTCTCATATCCAAGATATATCATCGATTTGATGAGATCACGATGCCAAGTGTTAAGCTGAGGTGCCATGGTTCATTGAAGCGTGGAAAGGTCAGGGGAAATGATGAGGGAAGGGAGAGAAGGGCAGCGGGAATCAGGATGGACGACGCAACCACTATAGCGCTGGGCGGGTGGGCCATCTGGCGGGGCCGTCTCATCCTCCCTTCACTACTCGAACACACGCTACTATATAGCCTCCCCTTTTCATGATTCATAATTTGTAGTCTACAGGATCAGACAACGGTCTTGTTCTGGTACACTTAAGTTGACAGCGAAGCAAAGAACTGCATGCGTTAATGATAAGCCTTGCTTTGTGCGACCCGTGGACTTGCGGCTGAGTCCTTGTCCTTCCCCGCGGCTGCAGCCTGGTGCAAGACTGATCGGCGCTTATCGCAACGACGAGGCTGATGCTTGCCTTATCCCATGAACTATGGCCATCCAGCCAAACATGAATTCTTCAGCCTTAGCAATCTTCGGGTGACCTCTGTCAGACCTCGCGATGCGGCTGTTACAACGCGACGATGTAGGCAACTATAGCCTTACTTCCAACCTCGCTTCCAACGATGTTCCCCCGTACGCGATCCTTTCTCACACCTGGGGCCCGGACGAGGTAGTCTTCGCCGATCTTGCGAAGACGCCAGGTGATTGGCAACATAAATCCGGCTTCGACAAAATCAAGTTCTGCGGTGACCAGGCACGAAAACATGGGCTGCGACATTTCTGGGTGGATACTTGCTGTATCGACAAATCCGACAGCGTCGAGCTTCAGACCGCGATTAACAGCATGTTCCGATGGTACCGCGACGCGAAAGGATGTTACGTCTACTTAACCGATGTCTCTAGCCCTCGAGCCTCTAGTCAACTACAAACCGAAACGCCATGGGAGGATGCTTTTCGAATAAGTCGGTGGTTCACTCGTGGGTGGACGCTACAAGAGCTAATCGCCCCTAAGACAGTAGACTTCTACTCGAGAGAGGGGTCTTGGCTGGGAGACAAGCGAAAACTGGAGCCGTTGATTCGCGGCATTACAGGCATTCCTGCTGGTGCGCTCCGTGGTATACCTTTATCCGACTTTACGGTTGTAGAACGAGAAGCATGGGTGCGAGGCCGCCAAACGACGCACGAGGAGGACATGGCTTATTCCTTGCTTGGGATATTTGACGTTTATATGCCGCTTATTTATGGCGAGGGGCGAGAGAAGGCACAAAACCGGCTCCGAGAGGAGGCCCAGAAAGCTGTCACTGGTAAGATCCTAGTAACTGATGGATAGTGAGTTTGGAGCCTGATAAGAACAGGAACCCGTGCGAATGATTTCTCTGTTTCCTTCAGCCTGTCCGAAGTTTTCGAAGTGCCACATTTCGTCGCACGAGAGAGGGAAATTGCCGAGATGCGCAGAACCCTTAGCTCTGATGGCAGCCGTCGCGTCGTTGTCCTCCACGGTCTCGGCGGCATTGGCAAGACACAGCTTGCCGTAGCATACACGAAGCGATACCGAGATGAATACTTAGCGATATTATGGCTTAACATTAAAGATGAGGCGTCTATCCAACAGAGCTTTACTAAAGCTGCGATACAGATTCTACGACAACATCCTAATGCTAGCGGCCTAAATGCATTAGACCTACGACAAAATCACGAGGAGGTAATCGAAGCTGTTAAGGAATGGCTTAGCCTGCCGGGTAACACTAGGTGGCTTCTCGTATACGACAACTATGATAATCCTAGATTAGCTAACCGCATCGATGACACGGGAATCGACATTAATCGTTTTCTTCCCATGTCCTACCAAGGCTCGATTCTTATTACGACACGGTTATCATAAGTCGATATAGGTCATCGTATTCGAGTAATAAAGCTTGAATCGGTAAAAGATAGTCTTGGTATCTTGTCAACGACCTCAGGTCGAGATGGCTTGGACAATGGTAAGGTCCATATATATCGCTAGGCTTTACTAATTATTCCTACAGACATGGATGCTAGAGATCTTGTGGAGGAGCTTGACGGGCTTCCGCTTGCCCTTGCCACGGCTGGCGCATACTTAAGGCACGTCCCGGTAAGCCTTGGTGACTATCTTCGCCTTTACAAAATTTCATGGGCGAGACTTCATGCAAGCACTCCAAGCCTGGGGTCATACCAAGACCGCACGCTCTCTTCTACGTGGCAACTCTCATACGAGCAAATCAAGTCACAAAATTCCCTTGCCGCTAATCTGCTCCAATGGTGGGCGTATTTTGACAACGAAGACGTATGGTTCGAAATCTTCCAGTATTGTGGCGATGATGGCCCGGCGTGGATTTATAAGCTACATGATGAGCTGAATTTTAATGGCGTAATGGGCATATTGCATAATTACGGGTTCGTCGAGCCATACAACTTTACTTCAGAGCTGATCGAATCGAAGGGATATAGCATTCACGCATGCTTACACTCTTGGATAGTTCACATACTAAATCAGGGTTGGAATGGCTGCCTAAACAAGCTCGCGGTCGAGTGTATAGCATCAAAGGTGCCATCACAGGATGACGATCAGTTCTGGTTACTTCAAAGACGACTTTTAGCACATGTAATAACGTCTTGCGCCACATTTCAAGATGGAGATAATGGTTTGGATTGGGCTTTCTATAATCTGGGTCTCCTCTACGCCGACCAATGCAAGATGCAAGAGGCGGAGGAGATATACTTACGGGCGCTTCGAGGGTACGAGAATGCGTGGGGACCAGATCACACGTCGACACTCAACACGGTTAATAACCTAGGTGCACTTTACAAAGACCAAGGCAAGATGCAAGAGGCGGAAGAGATGTACTTACGGGCGCTTCGAGGGTACGAGAATGTGTGGGGACCGGATCACACGTCGACACTCAGCACGGTCAACAACTTAGGGATCCTCTACGCTAACCAAGGCAAGATGCAAGAGGCGGAGGAGATGTACTTACGGGCGCTTCGAGGGAAGGAGAATGCGTGGGGACCGGATCACACGTCGACACTCAACACGGTTAATAACCTAGGGATCTTCTACGCTAACCAAGGCAAGATGCAAGAGGCGGAGGAGATGTACTTGCGGGCGCTTCGAGGGAAGGAGAATGCGTGGGGACCGGATCACACGTCGACACTCAACACGGTTAATAACCTAGGGATCTTCTACGCTAACCAAGGCAAGATGCAAGAGGCGGAGGATATGTACTTGCGGGCGCTTCGAGGGTGCAAGAAAGCCGTCGGACCTCAACATATCGCGAGATATCGACCAGCAATCAATGCGACATGGGGTTTCGGAGCCTTGTTATGGGATCAGGGCAAGCTGGTGGAGGCGAGGACATACTATCAAGGCGCCCACGACAATCTCGAGGCAGTGCTAGGACCCCATCATCATGAGGTCCAAACACTGCACAATATTTTACTAGAATTGAATCAGAAGATCTAGGGTGAGTCGATATTAAGAAGCTAAATCACTATAGGACTTTCTAATTAATGCACGCAGATACGACAACATCACAGCAAGTTCAAAAAGTAACAATATTACCAGGCAACAGATATTTGCAGAAATAGAAGACATACGATGCGGCCTATTAGCTAGAAGGCTTTGCTGCAATCTCTCTCTCTATATAATCGATGGTTTTTGGAAGATGCAAACAAGTGATAGTTATCGTTACTGCAATTCCAATGTGCTTTTTATCGATAGTGCGGGTTACTGCAAGATGTGAACTCAGATACAATATAATCGGTGACTACTACTTGAACTGAAATTCAATCTTAATCAATCAATGGCCAGCCACTGACAGATGTGATGCGTTGGGAAGTCGGGCGACACGGCGAATCAAGTGTAATGGCCTTTTGCTAAAGTAGGCCGACGTTTGGTACTGATACTTGTGGGTACAAGGGTATCGGGCCGATTAACATAAAAGTCCAGAATCGGACCCTGTGAATTATCTTATGTGACCAAACCCGCGACACCCATTCCGCCTTTCACTGTACACTGACACCTCTACAACCCTGCGATGTATGGCTCTTGGAGGCGTGGTTTGCCCTACGAAAGGACGGTCCACACGTTAAATAACAAATAGACAAACAAACAAAGACTGTAGTAGACTCCGCAGCCTTCGCCACAGCGGGAATAACTTACATGGCGGACTGAATGCTCTCGGCTCTTATTTGTGGAGCGCTTGAAAATGATCTCGAGTATAACCGTAACTTCAAAGTAGGCCTCGTACCACTGTGCTATTGCGGCGAGCCTGTGACCTGGGAAATGCGCACGGGGTGAAAATACAGGCGATCGATGGCTATGATTGTAAACACGACATTTGCAACTATCCGCCACGGCGATAGGAACGCCGAAGTGCTTCCATTTAGTATGAGAGACCGAAAGAGATATCGAGACCAGTTGCAATGCGGTAGTTATGAATATTCCCCTAATGTGGAGGAGGGCGTAAAGTTTTGCCGGGGACTACAAACGAGCAATTGATTGGCACCGTGGGATAAAAAGCCAAAGGGCCGCTAATCATGGTGTGGTAGTATGCGACTTTACCGAGACATAGTTACAAGTGGCGTTGGATTTCATGCTGTGCAACGCGAGTTCAGCTAGGACTACGGTAAGTCCGGTTGTTATTTGGGAAGGCAAGTTTTGAGGTGATCACAGCCTGACTGCCGGCGGCGTGGCTTGGAAGTCCACTTCGTCCTGTTTGATCCTTTAATAGTCCAGGTGGGCGTTAACCTAGTTCAAGTATCACGATGCAACATTAATCCTCTAGATCTCTTATGAAGTCCAAGCAATATGTAACATCCCCACCAGGCTTTCTGATGCATCTCACAATCCGTCCTGTCCGTGGAAGAACAGCAAGTTCACCGAAAATAGTGCACTGCCTCATCTCTATGCGAATCGTATCGACCTTGGTTGCGCTTTCAATGAAGTTGCAGGTTTCGACCACCACGCCGGCTTACATCATTCGCTTACCCGCCGTCAATATTCCGAAAGATCTGTCTGCACACTATTGCTGATAAGCTTCTGCTCTTGCATCCACTCATCCTCAATACCCTGATAATCCTCGGGCCCATACGGCTGCGTTATCTCCGCGAACCAGCCTCCCTTACGATGCGGGTCGAGCCCGAGATCCCTCTGCAGCAGATCGAAGTACGGCATAGCGTCGAACGTGAAGCTCGGTCTCTTGGTTCCCCAATCCGTTGGATATCGCCACTTTCCCCAACGATTGTGCAAGACGGTTTCATACTGCAGCTTCCGGCGCACATATTCCCTTTCCCCATTACCGTCTGGTAGGACTGACGAGCTGGGATCGACGGTCAGCTTCCCCGAGAAGAAGGCGCTGATCCACAGCCCGGAGATGTGCGCCGTGATGGCGTTGCTGAAATTCGACATCATCCCCGCGAATGCGATATCGCGCGTCCGCAGAAACCGAGCCGATGCGGGGACCAGGAAACGGTGCAGCATGTAAGGCGTCAACTGCGTGTACGGCGTCACGTCGTCGGCGCTGGAGATCCCTTTCTGCTCTGTCATGGGCTTGTAGTGCGGGTTCCACACCGGCTGGCGCCTGAGGCGTGGGAACCTTTGCAGGATCTCCCGGTCAGCTGCTTCGACTAGGCTTTGCTGGTTCGCGAGGTCTTCAGGAATCGCCATGGCGTCGGTCTGCTGGTGCGGGATGCCCAGCTCGGCCGCGATGCCCTCGGGAAGAAACTTGATACCCGGCACGTGCTTCCAGCCTGTGTTCGCGACGAGGACGTCCGACGCGAGTGCCGTGCCGTCTCCAAGGTGCACCTTACCGGGACTAAGATGGTCGATCTCTCCAATGTGTACATGCACAAGATCGCTTTTTACGAGCGAAAAAATATCCTTGTCGTAATTCAGGACGCTGAAGCTGTCGCCTGTGAACATGGCCTCCGTCCACGGCTTTAGCTTGGCTGTGTCTGTGTGTCCATTGTAGTTGTTTTGCGCCATCACGTCATTCGACATGCATTTCCAGAAAAAGTCCACGATAAATCGCCCGATGGCTGTGCTGTGGAAGAAGTGCCTGATCCAACTATAGCCATCAGCTTCGCCCCAGATGCACGGGCTCAACCAGGTCAGAAGGCGTAAGTCTGCAAGGCTGGGTCAGGATATTCTGAGTCACCAATGCTGGAGGGTCGATACATACTAGCGAGCTTCTCCATCCGTAGTTTCAAAGGCGTCGCATACGGGCTGGCTATCCAACACGGGCCGTGGCCACTCGCTGTTGCCGTATGTCAGTCTTGTCAAGAGAATCTCGGATGGGCAAATGAAGGCGTGAACCGTACACCGAACAACCCAGTTCACCTTCACCCCAGCAGTAGCATATGCGTAGACAGCATCCCAGGCAAACTTGCTTGCGCCAAATACGGTCACCGCGGCGGCGGTCTTCAAGGTATCGCTATTCTGTTGGAAATGCTTCCCATGGAATATCCTGGCGCCGAATTCTTCTTGCCCATCAAAATGTGGGAGGAAGGCATCCGAAGTGAGTCCCGTCGCAATGATGAGTCGATGGGCAAACACCTTCCTCTCCTTCAGATCAGACGTCACAACACTCAAAACCCAACCGCCGTCATCCTTGTCCTGATGTTCCGCAGACAGCACTTTATGGTTCAAGTGAACGAGGTCTGCTATTCCATTATGCTCAGCATACGCCTTAAGGTAGGAATGAAGTGCTAATCCGGTGATATGCTCGCCGGGATTAACGTTGAAATCGCCGCTGTTCATAGAAAACCCGGGATACTCATAGGTTCCCAGCAAGTTATTGCTCTTCAAGTTGGGGTATAGACGTTCCTCTGCCCAAGTCCCGCCGAGAGATGACTGAGAGTCGAATATGGCCAGCGAACAGTCAGGCTGCATGTGGTGGAACTGCCGTGCGGCAGCTAGCCCGTACAATCCTATCACGCCGAATCAGCACTTCCATACTATATATTGTTCGCAAACCTCAATTCAACACTAGTAGCGGTAGCGGGTGAAGCGTAAATGGAAACATATGGGAGAGTGAAGTACCAGCACCGACAACCACGCAGTCAAAATCCTTCATGGTGTTTTAGATGACCTACTGCTGCTTGAGTGACAGTATCAAGTACCATGGTACGAGTTTGCCTCTGTAAGCAAGCCTCCTATGAGTAGAGTCCTGAGTTAGGTTAGTCTAAGTCGTTGTTCGTCCTCTAGGAGAGTGGGCTGTACCCAGTATTTGTTGGATGGATGTGCCACTCATGCACGGCACCTTTAGGTAATGTCCCAGAGTACCCAGCCAAGCCAGCCGGCCTGGAATTTTACTCAAAAGAAACCGTCTCGGCTAGGCTCAAGTATAATGTAATGCGAACATGGCGTCATCACTGGTTCCTGCCCTGCAGGCCCCACCCTGTCTGCAAGGCTAGCACTAGTCTACTCTGTACCGTAGTACATGACCAGCCAACACCGGCGGCTAATTCCGGAATTGACCGAATGTCAGAGTGTGCCTCCGTCTAGTGTTACACGACATTGGCTACTCCCAACCCATGTCTATACGCATCACATGTGATACATAAATTTCAGCCTGCATGTAAGGCCCGCACCTTCGCCTTGCGATTTTTATGTAGTTGGATACGGTGCTGATACTACTTTGGGGCCAACGCATCGATTTCAAACCAGAAGGTGGCATAACGCTTACATGTGACCTCATTTCTCTGCAGCTGTGCTTGAATCTTGAAGTTTATGCAGGGAAGCTATTCTCGGCCTCAGAGGCATTGATATTAGCAGCTTACCTTAACCCTTTGTTGACTAAATCGTTCGTATTTGATCTTTACCTGTTTAATTTTCGTCAAGCATGAGTACATTCTTTCCGAGGCCGCTGGGTAGACTGGCGTAGATGAATAAACGTTTATCTAGACAGTTGTGTAGATAAAGGGATTGTAAAACGGGCCTTAAGAGTGGTAAATGATATTGCGGCTTAAATGTAAATAACACGTAAATAGAATAAGTTGCGAAGTCCCTCAGAGTGGTACATTTGCCCAGGCGACTATGGACGCCTGGAGTCAAAAGAGCGCACGTCTCTCCACAAGAGAATCCCACAATGCCTTCACTCATTAGCGCGCATCGCTATAAATGACAAGGAATCAGCACCTCACGGCGCCGGTATTGCATTATCACACGGACATCAAATGCCAGCATCACAATACAATTTACCAATACTCAGCCTTTCAACAATTTAAGACGTCGAGAATGGCACTCTCTTTGCGCCTGCCAGACTTTACCCCATCTCCACCATCTCACCAGGCTCTCGTCGTCAGATCTCTCCCAGATTCCTCGGCGCAAGACCGTGAAAAGATCCTTGAGGATGTCGAATACAACATATTCGCTTTCCCTGCCGGTCTTGTCACCTGTGACTACCTCTCAGACTCTGGTACCTCAGCCATGACAGACCTACAATGGGCCGCATGTAAGATTCCAGAGACCCACCCCATCTGATATTGCCTAACTAGGTCCATTCTCGGGGTTCAAGAAAAAAGGTCGAGTATACACCTGAGTTCTGGGTGTACCGGTCACTAACCTGAGATGTCCTTAGTGATAAGAGGCGATGAAAGTTATGGCCGCAATTGGGGATACTATTGTCTACTTGATACCTTCAGAGATGTTTTTGAGAGAGGGAACAATCGACTATATACAGCCCACAGCATCCTGACAGGAACAGCAACTGGTGAATTTTATCGATCAAAGCTGCTGAAGGCCTACAATGGGGGCTTCGTCAACGGTGGGCCTCATCAACTCGAAACCCCCAATTTCTTCATCGTCCCCCAAGGTCGCTGTGCCGAGTTCCTACTCTTCTCTACCCTCAAGGACTTCATGTCGGAAAACCCAAAGGGAGATGAGTCTGGCCCGCCTATAGTCGTGAGTAACGGCTTCTTCGATACCACAGGGGCCAATGCCGCCGCCGCCGGCTTTGTCCTGGAAACCTTTACTCAGCCTGGACTGGAAGATCCCTTCCCCAAACATCTCATTGGCAAACAAAACCTTTTCAAGGGGAATTTGGACCTCGTAGCAACCGAAGCGTTTTTGGAGGAGCACTCGGGACAAGTAACCTTGATACTGATGACTATCACTAACAACTGGGCTGCTGCGCAGCCAGTGTCCATGGCAAACATCAGGGCAGCCGCAGAGCTGGCAAGGCGGAAGTCGATACCCTTGTTCTTTGACGCCTGCCGATTCGCAGAGAACGCCTGGTTCATCCACCGCTTCGAGGCGGGATACTCGGACAAATCGATCCCGGAGATTGTCCAGGAGATGTTTTCCTATGCGGAAGGGTTCACCATCAGCTTGAAGAAGGATGGCCTCGCGAATATGGGTGGTGTCTTGAGCTTTCGGGACGAAGGATTGTTCGCGCAGAAGTACAAAGGGATTGGGCTTCGCCTGAAGGAGCGGCAGATCCTGTTTTATGGAAACGACTCTTACGGAGGAAGTAAGTGAATCTGTCTTTTCAGTGGAGATTTTGGTTGCCTGCGAAAAAAAGAGTAAGCGCATAGGGGGGGCCAGTGCTAATGAGATTCCTCCAGTGAGCGGACGCGATCTAATGGCGACCGTAGCCGGTTTGTACGAAGTGACAAAAGAGCCTTATCTTCGCAACCGTATCGGTCAAGTTTGTTCTTTCGCCCAGAAACTCCTTGCCAATGGAATACCGGTCCTCTCGCCTCCAGGTGGCCATGCGGTCTATCTCGAGATGAACGAGTTCTTCCATGGCTGTGACAGGCAGCCGGGCGATTTTGCCTCGGTGGGCTTCACTCTGGAACTCCTCAAAGATTATGGCATCCGAGCAGCCGAAGCCGGCCCATTCGGGTGGCAATGGGATAATCAGACCCCCGAGGAGCGAAAGAAGATACCAAACCTGGTCCGATTCGCCGTTCCGCGTCACGTACTGTCCGATGAGCATATTAATTACACAGTGGCTGCCATTAGACAAGTACATAAACGCAGACAAACTATACCAAACGTGAAGATCACTAGAGGCAAGAATATGAGACTCCGGCATTTTTCATGTGGTTTGAAACCTGTCGCTGTACTCCAGGAGATCGAAGGGACATACCTGAGCGAAGCTAAACGACAGATATCTCATCTATCTGCGGCCATTGGACAGGACGAGACGAAAAAGGAACTACTAATCAGTGCTTTAGAATTAACGACAAATGGCTGGGGCCGAGCACCGGTCCCCAAGGATGTTGACACGTCGAGATGGGTCTCTCAAGTGAGCAACGACAACTCGCCGTTTGAATACTCGGTCGTACTTGATCAGAGGACTGGGGAAGCAGAGCTACGGTTCCTGGTTGAAGCTCAGTTGTCGGAAGGGGAAAGAGACGGAAATTTGATCCAACTGCAAGAGAACGCATTGCGGTTGACGGAAGGAATCGCAAACGAATACGGTACAAGCGTCTCTCTGGACCGATTCAATCTCATACGGGACTTGTTCATGCCGGCAAACCCTCAGGGCAAGTTCGCGGCGTGGCACAGCTATGCGTCAGGTAAGGCCGGGCCCGAGTGGAAAATATATCTCAACCCAAGTATTGCATCGGGACGAGACAGTGCACTGGCAGCAACCCAGACGGCATTCGAACACCTAGGCATGGCCCGCGCCTGGGAGCTCGTGCAGAAAGTCCTGGCGCCCAGCGAGTCCGTTGTCTATTTCTCCCTCGACCTCTCTCCAGACGTGGGACGCGCGAGGGTCAAGGTGTACGTCTCACACGGGTCGACGTCGGCGCGTGACATCGCACAGAAACACGTCGCCATCTGTCCGCACGCAGATGCGTACGAGATTCAGCGGTTCTGCGAAATCGTGGCCGGCGGGTCGCTCGGGCCGTACGAGGGAAAATCGCTGTTGTCTTGCTTTGCCTTCACGACGGAGGCGCAGGACCGGCCGCAGGGGACGGTGCACTTCCCGATCGACGCGTACGCCGACAACGACGAGGATGCGCAGGGGCGCATCGAGCGATATCTGGCTGCTGTGTCCGCGTCGGCGCTCTGCAGAGAGCGGTATAGGAGAATCATCAGTGCGGTGCAGCGGAGGCCGCTGGATCAGGGGCCGGGCATCCAATCCTGGATAAGCTTGAAGCAGGAAGCCGGCGGCAAGCAGTCAAATGCTTTTTACATCTCGCCTGGGCTGTTCATTGCGTCCTCTCACAGTCGGCTTCACCAAAGCTTCCCATCAGCTTCTTTCATCTGATCAAACACTTGGAGAGTTGCTCCGGTAGTTAATACTATAGCAGGCTCAAATAACCAAGGTGGGGCGGGTATTTTTGGCGCGGGAGGTACAGTGTAGAGCATCTCAACGTTTTAAGGTACGTTCTTCCGAGCCAGGTTACGGTGCGATACCCCCAAGCCATGCCTCTTTTTTTCTTTTAGGAAAACATAGGGACCTGGCTTTACATTTCTAATTAGTAACCAAACCTATTTCTGAATGTTCTCCCCCGTTTCCAGTGCAAAGATTCTAAGTGAAATTGGAAATATACATACTGAACTATTGAGGATTTCTCAAGTTAGAACGAGATTATAATTAGAGGAATTTGTTCTGTGGTTGCGGTTGTTATGATCGATGTAGCGTAAGTCCGGTGTTAGAGGTCGTCGGGGAGGGGCCTAAAGATCACGTTTTCAGCCTTTGTTCCAGCGTTGTGATGGCTTGTAGTAGGCCAGAAGGACTTGTTTGGGCTGTAGCGTGGCGGCACTCCTAGGACTAGATTCGGTAACCTAGCTTATCCAGTACCCAAGTATTAAAGCAGTGAGTGTTGGCTGTACTATTACAGCAGGAAGGCTAAGTGGGTCATACGGCCTTTGCCGGAGTTGTTCTCGGCCTGATCATTATAAGGTCTGAGAGATGGGACTTGTAGGTAGCTTTCATGATCATGCTTTTCACACTTTTGCACAGTTAGTCGTTGGCATTTGCAGCAGTGCATTCGGAAGACAACGAGAATGACTCGTTGTCGAACTCATCCTTTCCACTCATTACTTATTGATCAGTCCACGAGCGAGCCTGCGAGCTCAACGTGAGGCCCAAAACCAAGGGACAAGACAGTGGTCCTGGTTCAGTATCTAAAGGGTGCCGATCCAGTATCTAGAAGACTTTAAAGGGCCCTAAAAATCCAGAAATCTTACATAAACTCGTCGTGAAAAATCGTAAAAAGTAAATGGAAAAAAAAAAGAGTATAAAAGGTATAAATTGCTAAAGGTTTTAGTATTTTTAAATATAAGTAAAGAAAACTAAGAACGATAATATAAACAATTCTAAATTGTATTTAGTATACTTAATATACTATTATTCATAGCGTCGCTTTTAGCTTCGGGTAGTTTCACCTTAATGTCCTGGCTAAACCGCTTTAGATTACAACTTAATTAAATAGTTAACCTAGTGTAATATGCCCGGTAGCATTTACCTATGATAAGCTTTGTTATAGGCATCACATGGACGTGAGTAAATTGCTGGCTGGAATTAGAGCCATGCCCTTACCCAAGGATGAACGTGCTGGTTCTGCGATTGGATGACGAATGCTGATCGTGTAGTTATCCATCTCATTTGTATGCCCCACAATCTGCGGGCGGCTTACTGTGTGGGACCCACGGATGGAGGGGTGAACTGACCAGGTACAAAAATGAGGTGGTCACGTATAAGCCCCACCTCACTAGCGTAGCTTGGCAGAAATTCCGCAGGGGACAAAAACAGCGCTAGTGACATATGTTCAACATATGCTGAGCATATGTTGAGCATATGTGACCTGTATTTCCAGCACACTTGACGTTATATCTCTAGTGCACTTAGCGCTGTACTTCTAGCGCACCTAGCGCTGTATTTCCAGCACACTTAGTTCTGTGCTTAGCATATACTTAACATAGTCAGGTGCGGCTTATACCTGACCACCTCATTTTTGTACCTGGTCGAGTAAAACCTCTACAGAGGATGCCCTCCCGACAGTGGTGTGGGGCGCCGTCCATTGGCTATCTTTTGGGGCCTGAGTTGTTGCCACCGTGACTAGTTTCCTAGAATCAATGATGTGCAGTGGTTGATTCGTTTGGACGATGACAGGGAAAGAGTGTAATCCATTAGTGTAGGCTAGTATGGCCCTAGAAAGCCTATGTATCTATTCACGTGTAGTAACTGCCAGCAGGTGCGGGCAGCGCTATGCATCACCTTGTAAGATGTGTCTTACTAAGCTACTGTATGTCGAACCATTGACTAAACCGGTTGTAAGGATCGAACCGGCGCTTGATAGACCGTAGCCTAGAAAGGCTGTCGCCGTACACCACCTCTAGAGGCTCATCGCCATGAGCAAAGTTAATGTAGCTAAACGATGTAAGTGACGAAGCACCAAAAAGGTTGCAATAGAATTGACGGGGAGCTTACGTGGAATTGCGACTCAAGCCATCCGTAGATCTCCATAGGTCGCGTGACGCAGTTCCGAGCAATTCGGCCTTGTCGTCAAGAGACGTGTCATTATACCAAGGTATGATGAAGGCGTTGAAGTTCACGTTTCGGAAGGGGAAAGCCGCCGATTGAGAATCCACCGATCTCGCCTTCGTGAGGGAGTACGCCTCTAGCAGCACACCGCTGCTCTGTGCCCCAGGCGTTTGTTGGAATTCGACAAACTTGTCCCATATTTGACGCCAGGTAGCGGGGACCATCTTCTGAAAGCCAGCACCATAGCCTGGCTTCCGTGCTCCGGGTACACATAGTGAGTTGCCGGCAGAATTCCACTGGTTGTACGGTATGACGCTGGTGCTATCTGCTACTGGGCCGATCGCATAAATACTGGCAAACGCAGAGCGGCCTGATGTCGCATTGCCCTTATATAAGAAGGGCGCGACCACAACAATTGGCACGTTCGCTGGGGATCCATCCGAGAGGAAATACATGAAGACGTTCATGTTCGGAAGGAGTTTTAGATCTTGAATGGCCTGCACGACTTGTTCCAGCTTGTCGGATGTAAACACCAAGGAGCCTGTCCAGGCCAGCATGTCATCACTCGAGGCCGGGTGCGCCTTCACCACTGCGGATGTCACGATGCCGAAATTAGGCCCTGCACCTCGGAGAGCCCAGAACAAATCCGGATCAGAGGCAGCGGTCACATTGCGGATCTGGCCATCAGCTGTGACAACGCGGAGCGAGAGGACATTGTCAACTCCGAAACCATATAACCCCATAAGGTTTCCGTAGCCACCACCGAGTATCGCTCCCAGTGTGCCCACACAGTTGCAGTTACCAGTCTCAACCAGAGCTCCTGCAGCGTATGCGTGGGAAATTGTGTTGCTGATATTGGACCCTCCCCCGATGGTCGCTTGAGACTTGTCGGCATTGAACGTGACCTGATTCAAACTTGCTAGATTGATGAGTACGCCATTGGAACCCAGATGGAATGTTGCCCACCCAGAGCCGCCGTTTTGAGCGAGAAAAGGGATGTTTTTTCCTGCGCAGTATTTGACCTGTGTATTGGGAGAGGGTGTTAGTGCTGTGATCCTACGCTTCAGACCCATATCACAACTAGAATGGAGATGGGAGACATGGCACCTACTGTGATGGCAACATCCGACTCAGTCTCGACATTCACAACAGCACCTGGATGAGGTGCCTCGTAAGAGCTCCATCGTGGTGGTGCCTGCTCGGTGATGAGGCCTGAGCGCGACAGATACGGTGCCAGTTCTGCGTTCAATTGCTGTGCGACGGACTTGCACTCGGCGGCCACGACGAGGCCCACCAAAGCATAACCCCACGAGAAACGCAACGCAAGCTTCATGGCTCTGGCAAACAGACAGTGCAGGTCGTCAAAGTTCGTAAGTGACCGCGCATGCCTCATGCGAAAAACCTCAGGTATTTATTGTTTAATTCCGGCGGCACTAGAGCTTTTAGGCATGTCTGTCTCTGCTAATGCATACAACTCTGCAGGGGGGAAGACATGCCACCCCGGTCCTAGTCCATTTTTTATCATCTTCTCACGCATTGTACGAAGGATCGAGTGTGTTTCGCGTGCAAGTTAATTGCGATCTATTGAAAAGAAATTGGGCTAAGAGCCAGGATATTCGAAGAATAGTGCGGCTGAGTGATAGTCTCCTTTGTACGCCATATCTCGCGTGGGAGACGCACCATCCCTGTAAGCCGCATCGTACACGTGCTTTTATGCCTCGCTCGCCTGGATCATATGACATGTTAACAGGTGACACCCCGGCGCGCCCAGTAGATTATGCGTGTCTTTTTGGGCGAGTGGGCAATATCGCCGGAGCTAAGTGTTTGATGAATCACTACTACATATCCTTCTGGACACAATACCGTAGTAGAGTACATACCTAGACGAATGGGTCGTCCCGGCTTCATCAGGGTTGTCTTGCTCTAAATTCCATCGCCTTGAGACCTGATCAAGTCTTTTTGGAGGGTATAATAGTATGGCATGCCCAAGGCGCCGCATACGTCTGCTGACATGTTCTCTTTGGTGACTAATCTACAACAGCATCGATCAACATTATTATGATAAGATGTGCCTCAAACCTCCCATCCACTGTACCCGTAACATCAGGTAAGAGTAAAGTTTGAAAATACTGTGTCTCACTAGCAATACAAGGACCAATACAGAGAACCCGCCCCATGTCAAACATGCCTGACTGGATATTTATTAAGCCTCGGCAATGAGGGGTAGATCTTTATAAAATATAAACACTGGGGGGACTGAGATTTTTCAAGACTCAATAGGTTGAGAGTGCCTCATTAAAATCGTAGCCAGCAACTGGGCAGGTATCGGGCTCTGTTATACCTGTCCGCGGTCTGTCAGGGGTATATCATCTTGGCATTCTCCTACCGAATCTCTGTCTTTCCCACCCTGCCTAACTGGATCGCTGATTTGTATGTACTGGGTCGATGTCTTTTGTGTTGTAGTCGGGGATGTGGGGAAGAGATAAATCCATAGAGGTCGCAGTGTTGGAAGACAAGATGATACAATGGCAACGGCCAATTCGATGTTAGCCCAGAAGAAAATCGGCGAAGTGTAGTCTACACAAATATATCAGTCATTATCCAGCGCACTGCTTTGCCATGAAAACTTACATGTCTCGTCGTTGTAATGCAATCCAAACTCTGCCGCGACCTCCAACGATTGGACAAGACGAGCAATACTGATAGCAACAACGCTGCGAGAAATTGTTAGAACTCTTATGCTGAGTCGTATGCCGCGCCAATATTACTTACATTGTACCAAGCAGAAACATTCCGAGCACGCCTAGCCTGTCTTTCCATGGTAGGTGTAACCGCAGAACCAGGGGAATCGGCATAATCAGGATTCCCACGTCGACAATCAGATCGGTGACAAGGACAGAGAGCCACAGCGAATAAGTATCAACACACTTGTTTCCATAGAATGGCTCGATGAGGGGCGTGATGGGGAGACAGGTGAACAGATTGGCGAAGAAGAAGGAGACAGCCCATATCACCACGATGGTGAGCATGCCATAGACGGCCCATCGGAAAGGGCGAATATGTTGAAAGATGGTCTTGTACAGGACGAGAATAGACGCCTTCACGAACCCAAAACCGATGGGGCTGATAACATTTACGGCGAATTTGGTCTACACAGTATCGCTATTAGGCTCGTCGATCGAATCGAGGGACTCTATGCGTTGGACACGACTCGCCTTTTCATATACTAGAAATCGTGGGTCATCTAATATAGGTTGGCCGTCAGGTCCGGTGCTTTGATGCTGGCCTAGTTGTCCGTCGATAGCAGCTACACAAGTCTTAGGAACGGGGGTTACATAGGTGGTCGTGGACGTATTAGTAACTCACCATAAAGTTGCAGTACGGAGCAAGTGATACCGACAGCCAGCGAACCGAAGCATAGCCAATCGTCGAGTCGTAACCTATTTCCCTTCGACCACTTTGCCAGAATCCTTAGTGCCACAAAGATTGATGGTATAATGATGAAGCCGACTGCCAGCCCGATCATCAACTCTTTGCTATATGTTCCCGGCATCGTGATGGACTGTTAGCGCCGCCGTGGGGTGTTGGCGACGTACCAAGAAGTTCGGCCGTATAAATTTATGCGGAAGTGGGAACATGGGGTTCTTTTTCATGTAGCTCACCTATCGAAGATCGAAAAGCCCCGTTGTTAAAGGCTGGATCTCTGGGATAATTGAGGAGCACTACAGATGTCTGTTGTAGATCTCTAGATCAAGTCGGTGCGCTTGAGAGTCCAAGCTTGGGGTGAAAGTAACAAGGGACGAGCCGACGCCACGTTCCGGCGTCGCGCGTCGCGGCGAATAGGCAGTGTAACTAATTGTGCTGCAGATATTGATGACATGATGCTTTAAACTTTGCATTTGCAGACTCCCGATCCTCCAAATATCTGGCTTATCTGACAAAAATGCAACTCTGACTGTAAGATTCGAGGTCCTTTTAGGACTTCTCCAGAGGAAGGTGGTACATGCATAATGCAGCGTCCAATTAACGTTTGCTAAACCCTGGCCGGTGAGGATTGGAATCCTTCGACATGCATAATCCGTAGTCTTGCCAATTTCAGCGTCCAATCAACGTTTGCTGCACAGCGGCAGAAAGAACCAATAATGTAACATCGCCCGGATATTGTACAGATCCTGTCATCCTACAATACTACCTCTGCGGCGACAAGGTAGATAGTTGCGAATTTCCGGGAGGGTCGGTTGCACGGCAAATTGGTTCTGTAAAGAGACCCACTATCGACCCCGGCCATGGTCTGTGGCTAAGTGACATCAGCAGTGAGTAACAGACTGAGTACTTACTATGCAGCTGGCAGGCGTCCTACGAAGGTAAGACCTTTAGGTGATGACTACTCGCGGTTGAAATTCCTTGACACAATCCTGGTGCCGGTTGTTCTGCAACTAATATCCATGGCCTGTCATGCTGATTTAGAATGAGAATGGCCGGTTGACTTGTCGTAAAAGCTACCATATGCAGAGAGGGAAGCAAGGGAGGAGACGGGCAGGCTTTAGAACATGCCACGCAAAGCCAGGTCCTGTTTGTCAGACAATATGATTGCATTGTACGTGCAGGGAAGTGGTTGTTGCATTGAGTCTGTACCGTTGTAACAGTGGGTTTCTCCGTATAGGCACCGATAAAATGCGAACCTCGGCTCTGAGAAGTGGTGTCAAGATCCGCTGTAGTTGCCTTACCATGGTTCGTTCTTTCAGATCGCCCTTGGATACAAGGCGCCAAAAGGAAGATGGGTGCGGCGGCCCGCAGGACTGCCCCGCAAGACTGCCCCGCTGTCCTGCAACCAACATGCACCCTAATGTTCGTTGGCGTGTTTGGTACAGGGCCCGAAGGACTGGGTACAAGCCAGCGCCTGGTATCGTCTGACGCTGTTGGGTAGGAGCAGTATGATTTATCACCAGACCAGATAGTGATGAAGGAGAGCAATCTATAACGATTCACAGTGGGAGATTTCCCGGGATGAAGAAACCCACTGATGTTCAGTACTTGAAAGTTGACAGGGTTATGGCCCAATACTGTACTATGTATGGCCCAGCTACCGATAGTGTACACAGTACCTGGCAGACGAATGGCAAGGGCGTCTAAAGGTCTATGAATAGATATGGCGCGATGAGCTACATATCTATCGGACGATGTGGAGTTGCATGCCGATTCGGTCAGTTGACCTTGTCCACGGCCCCTTGCGTCAACTCTTTGCTCTAGACTAGTCTAGACTGGGCCAGTGGGACATTTCAGCCTACAAAGGCTGGCTAACTGGGTATTTTCAAGTCTTGCTAGGCAGTTTATTGTAGGCCCAGTCAATCCCCAAGCGTCCTTATAGGCGCTACATTATCTCTCATCCCTCTCCTTAGCTCTTGGCCCCTGTCATTCACGCGTTGCTTCTTATCAATCTTCCTTTCACTCGAACATGGGTTTTTTGACTGCCGATTACGTCGTCGTTGGCGGTGGCTTGACTGGATGCACCCTGGCCTCCCGTCTGAGTAAAAGCGACGATAGACCTGAAGTCATCCTCGTCGAAGCTGGGCCCGACCCATCCAGCAATCCCGCTACTACCGGCTTCTTAAGTGGCTTATCGCTTTTAGGAGGCGAACTTGATTATGCTTATCCAAGCGAGCCGGTGGCCAATACGGCTAATCGTGTGCATTATCTCAACGCCGGTAAGGCACTAGGTGGAGGAAGCATTCTCAACTTTGGTGCTTGGTTACGAGCAGATGCTGCCGATTATAATGAATGGGCGGAGGTAGCCGGGGACCAGCGCTGGAGCTACGAAGGCCTTAAACCTTGGCTTATCAAGTCCGAGTGCTTCAAAGATCATCAAGCAGACGCCTCAGAGCATGGTTTCGATGGCCCTATGCACGTTACTCCCGTCTCCCAAGACGAGTCGGGCGCACGTGTATACCCCCTGCGAGAAACTATAAGACAGGCATGGGCCGAAATAGGGGTCGACCACACTACAGGCCTCACTGAGATGCAGGAGAATTCCCGTGACGGCCTCCGGCAACCATCCAATATCGCTTACCCACTCGATAACGTAAAGGTCCTCAGCAACACCGCTGTACATAGAGTTACATTTACTGATACCAAGGTGACCGGGGTGGAACTGACCGACGGCCGCAAGATCATTGCGAGGAAAGAGGTTATCCTCTGCGCTGGCGCTTACCGCACTCCTCAGATCCTGTTCCTCTCAGGTATCGGCCCCTCTGCGATCCTCGCTGAGCACGATATCCCTATGATACACGAATCCCCGCAGGTCGGTCAAAATCTCCACGATCACTTTGCCATTTACCTCGCCTTTCGCTTGCGCGATCCTTCATTGGGATATGCCCTTGGAAGCGCTGGCTTTCAGAAGCCCGCGTTCGCTAAGGGGTTCCCGTGGGACTGGGTTGCCAGCCAACCTCTGCCGGAGGAAATCATTACAAAGAATGAAGCCGAAATCGACCTGAAGAAACGGAACTTCTACGAGATCGTGACTGCTTACGTTCCTCCTGGGATCCCCGGGATCCCCGTAGATGGCTCACATATTGCGACGTCCACCATGCTTCTCCTTCCTACTTCTCGCGGGACGGTCACCATTCGGTCCAGCTCTCCAGCCGACTTTCCCCGCATCCAACCTAGTTTCTTCTCTACTAAACTTGATCGCGATGCTCTTATTCACGCCACCCGTCAAACTTTGAGGGTTATTCTGGCAACCGAATCTATGAAGCCTGTCGTCGAGAGCGAATCCCCACCTTCCGGGGAAGGCCTGGACGTCTTGGCACCACTGACCGACCAGTCAAGCGACGAATTGATCGAGGAGAGAATCCGCCTCACCGGATCGCAGCACCACCACTCCGGGGGCACCGCGGCGATGGGCACAGTGGTTGACGGAGAAGGACGAGTGCTAGGTGTCCGAGGACTTCGGGTTGCTGATGCGAGTATCATTCCGGTGCCTCTAGGTGGTCATCCACAGTCTACGCTCTATGCTATGGCCGAACAGCTGGCCAGTATGATCCTTAAAGCCATGTTATAAGTGCGCAAATATGTCAAGACAGCTTCAGAACAACAAGATTGTTGTGGGCTTTGTCACAAGCGTAAAAGATCTTGCTAGTATTCCGATCTTGGAGACTTTTACTGGTTTCAGCAGATCACTCATATTTGGGTTGCAAGTATGTGTAACTTTCGTGTGTTGATCTCATCCTAAGTGTTTTAACTTCTATCGCTATCGCAATCAAGGCTCGCCATAGCACTGTTGAGTATAGTCAAAACACAAAAAATATTAAGATTAATATATAAACAAGACAACTAGGGGTCAAAAGGTTCATTGGCACAATGAAAGCAACATTCAAACAACGTCGTAGACATCTTGATCACCGGTCCTTGGCTGATCCAACCGATGATGTGCTCCGAACGCCGAGTCGTCTTCAGCCTGAACAAATGGCAAAATCTCTATCGCGAACTCTTTCACCACTCGGCTACTTTGATCGACGAAAGTGCCGACTTACGATTTGATCGAGAATAAGGCACAGATTATACCGTAAGATTTGTGTGTAGAAATGTATCTACTTTCAAAGATGAAATATGCCCAGCTAGAACACCTCTAAAAGTCTCCAAAGTACTTTCGTCGAATCTTCTCCATCTCCAACTCATGAGACATAGGTGTGAGAAACTTGTCGACTTCCTCCTGCCAGAACCCAGTTTGAGGATTGTCGTTCCACGCCGAAGTGTATTCACAATAAGGAGAGATCCTTCCCGCTGTTTCCCAATCGATAACCCCAACAATATCATCACCACGTGCAAGAAGGTTCAGAGTGCTCAGATCGCTATGTGTAAACACCGAAGTTTGCCAAGACTGATTGTGAAGGAAATTCGTTCAGAGAGTCTAGCTGCTAATGACGGATTGTGTAGATCTTCGGTTTCAACTCCGTTTCGGAGCTCTCTAAGGAAGTCCTGAATCGTCCTGAAAGGACCCTATATTGAATTTTTAGGAAGCCGTTGATTATAAATTGGGCCCCTTAACATTTGTAATGTCGACGTTTTGTGGTGGTTCGATACCGCGAAGTTGTGTGACCACAGATTTCAACTGCTCGAGAATTCGCGCTCTAGAAGCTTCAGGCCTTCCCGGATCACCTAACTTAGGAGTGGTGATCATGTGATTGGGGATATGCCCACTTTCTGTCCACCGATATTCTCTTTTGTGGACTTAGATTTCTACATATATACGACTTGACAGTACCTATACTATCATTTCACGATTAAAGCGTTACACCTGCAATCCTACGCTCATGCGAGCACCTTATTCGCTATGCTATGCTCGAGTAGATTTAGGCTCTTCCTTTCAGTGCATCAGACCTATCCTTCACCAAAACTTTGTTCTATACCAACTGTAGAAACTGTCATAGGTGGTGTCGCAGGTATCACCGTGGAGGGACATTTAGGGGCAAAGACTTTTTTATATATCTGCCTTGACGAGTTTGTGCAAGGTGGTGGATTTTCTAACCACTTGGCTAAGCACAAGGATCGTATCTTCCAGCAAGTATTTCCGTGCCCGGCATTTCTCCGTGATCAGGGCACGATAGTGGATATTGACGGGCCTATGGCGTGGTATAATCACCTGGTATAATCACCTGGTGAGAGAGCATGACGGCGGTGGCCTATCTGGTAGGCTTTAGCATCCCGAACACGTACCAAAAAAGAAGTATGGCACAGAAAAGGAGCGATCGATTTTAGCCAAGCGGCTTGAAAAAGACAAACATGGCAGGGTTCGCCAACAGCGAGGGGCGTCGAGCGACAGCAGTAACGAGACAATCGATATGACAATGATCTTGAAGGACACAGCCATCAAAATCGACATGAGTCTTATAGACCCCTAGCTGTGTCTTTGAAGTCATTATTCGTAAGAGGCGGCCTTACTAGAGAGAAATATCCTGATTTAAAATTATTTTATAGCATACACTTAGATATGATTAATAATGGGGTACAGTTTCCATAAGTAGTTAATTGTACTGTACTCGAATGAAGGCTTTCAAAATATTGCCTTGTTTACATGGAGAGAATCGCCGCAGTTTCAAGTAAATCTAACACCCTGCTGCATTTATGAATTTACTAGTATCCGGAACATCTAATACGCCAATTGATGGGACCGAGCTCGAATGGGGAAGAGTAGACACTACAGCCAGTGATAAAAAGTATTTGATTGTCTGTGGTAAGTGATGCGCCTATGGCCGCATCCGATAGGCGCGGCCCACAGACTGATACTCGTATATCGCCTGAAACTTCTGATAGGATCTCGTATAATAGCTTGATGTGTTATAGAGCTATCACCTAGGCGGCGTATGGGCTTTTTTTGATCGCCATCGTTATTACGCTTGCTCGCTTAGGTGTCTTCAAGGAAAAGAACCACTCGGTAACAGCTGTCTGTGATATCTTCTTCCACCTAAGTTCTAATTTTTTCTAATCATTAGGCTTTACACAAGAGATTGATCTTGCGATAGCACTTTACCTACCCATAATGTCTCCATAGAGAAAGCAGTAATATGGTTATTGACGGGGCTAAAGCATGGTACGGCCATCAGGCTCCAGCACCCTAAATATATGGCGTCGAATGAGAGCGGTCGACCTTGGTCAAGCAACTCAGATGATAACAGGCCGTCGACCGTCACTGCCACGTAGCCCTGGAGCAAGCAATAGAGGTAGTGACAAGATGGTGATCAAGGACAACGTCTTAGCTATGTTCCAAGGTGTAGATAGCGGGAAGTAGCTAGAATGGCTATATGAACGGGCCGGCAGAAATTTATACCACAACGCATGTGAATAGATATAATTATGCCGTGGAGTAATGCGGGGACATAAGGGATACCCTGGAGAGGTGTTATGCCTTACCGCTGTTGTGACTTGGAAAAAAGATTGTCTGACTTGTCATCTGTACCGCTGCGTATAGAGTCTAGGATCTCGCCACAAGATCCGGAATCCTGATGTATCTAAAGCGACGTCTACTAAGGCGGCTGACTTTACCTCGTCCTTGATGATATCTGATGAGTCATAGACTGACCAGTGACGTTAGTGATCATAAAATTACAGCTTCCTTGGCTACTAGGGCTAAGGGCTCAGGCTCAGGCTGTGGCCACTGTTGGAGGCTTCTGGGCCCCTTGGAACGTGCCGCCACTGCATATACAGATTCGTTCACGCTACGCGACAGCGGTCGTAGGCGAAGACAAGAGATGGGGGAGGGGACAGTCGAAGGGCTGCTGTTTGGTCTGGTACGGGTGTTGGGTTGGTCGATGTGGTTCTCCCTGCGTCTGAGATAGTTCGCCAAGTTAGGGACAGTGTCAGAACTGTCTTACATGATGCTCATAACCATTGCTAATCTCGAGTTCCCGCCTGGAACACAATAGAAAAGCCCATTGATATTCCGACGGACGACATAAACCGACGCGGCAGTTGCCATTGTACATTTGTAACGCGTGAAATTACCCATCAAGGGTGAGGTACAATCGATTCAAGTAGGACTAGGCCACATCTACTTCTTGAGATCTGTACACCTTTCTGAGACATTTTTACTATCCTGACATCCATCCGGACACAATATCCCCGTTTAAAACATCCAATGATGATAAGAGGGTGCACTTATCGACTCTATTGCCTCCATCGCCTCCGTCGAGCGTGGCATAGATCACCGACGCAATCAATAGACATCCTTGCGGGCATCTAGTCAGCTCGGTGATGCCTTGAAAACAGTGCAAGTCGCTTAATGGTGAGCATCTTTTAGTCGTGAAGAGCCTTTTTTTTCAAACGCATCGGCCTTTGCTCCGTGGTCGCGATGGCCTCAAAGATCATCCCGAGGGCAGTGGCAGAGTTGCAAAAGCAAGCCAGTAGCTGACCCATACTGAGAGAAAGCAACCCATCGTGCGGCGTCGACGTAACCGACCAGCAGACAATCTTAATGCTACAGAACATCATCAGTGCAGGTGCACCAATGGTTGGTGAAAGAAGGCCGCGGCCTCAGCCCGGGTGTGCGCCCCTCCAAAGTTGCGGTGCTTTCATTGAGCCAGCAGTTTCACTTTGAGCCTGGTTGGATATCATGTGCGAGGAGGGTTCGTTCTCCTCCGGAGCGAGACACGACCGGAGCAGACCAACTGAGTTGGGAGGAGGATTTGACGAGATGACGGAAGGTGGCCAGTGTGCAGACGACCAAGACGACCTAGTGAGGGTTAGAGATGTATCAACATGTGTCCAATCTTCCTGTCGCCAACCTTTCCTCAAACGGATCTTAGCCTTGACAAATTGACAGAATGTGAGTCGAAGGACGGAAAGGAGGAGAGCGGAGAAATTAGACATTATCAGTTATGGTGATAAAATGGATAATAATAGATAGATGTAAGTAGATTTGAGAAGAAGAAGTAGTAGATAGAGAGATGGCGAATAGCGGCCATTGTAGATATATTCGACAGGCATTGCTACACTCAATGTCATTATCTCGTCTCTGTGAAGGAAACAGCTAACGTCAAGGAGACCTTGAATGAGGTCGCAGATTACAGAAGCAGCGCCTTCCATGAACTCAACCCCCAGTCAATGTCAACTGTGAGGAATAACTATCAACCGCGATGAGCTCAGTTTCATATAGACCCAATCTAGAAATTGCAGGCAAAAGGCGCGAAATGTTGTCAGGCCATTCTGTTCTTCAGGAACAATACCAGTCACAAAACCACAATCCAGACCGCGAACGTCGGCCCCCGAGTCACCAACGCCCCAGCAATAGCTGTTTCCCATCACGATGGGCCTAACGCCCGATAATGACGACAACTTAAATATTCTCGATGGATTGTCTTCGTCGAGTACACATTGGCAATGAGCAGTGAATACTTTAGTGTGTAAATGCGAGCGTAGACTGATAGAGCTGAGGAGGGTGGAGCTAGATTCGATCTGTAGTTAGTTATATAAAGGCTGCTTGACACCAGTATCCAATATCAATCTAAAACTGGGATTAGTAAACGAAGGCTTTCTATTTTACCTCCAGGTCATGGCAAACCATTATCTTGCCGCAATGAACATTTTGTCGATTAGAGAGTGTTTTGTATATACCAATAATATTAAATTAGTGCACATCTTCCTAGTTCTCTGAGAAAGTCTCTTTCGCGTGTGTTAGTCGGAGGTTCTCACTGCCTAAGCTATCATGCGTACTGCCCAGTCTCTACAATCAAGGCCAAGAGATACGGAGAAGAATGCATGGCTACTGCAAAATAATTTCTTGTTTAATGTAACACTTTCAAGAGTCTGCCAGATTACTAGTATCGAGGACGTTCATCTAACTCTATTGCACTGTATCGTTACTCGATAGTCATTCAAATATGGCAGCATCAATGAATCAAAGACAAGGGTCAATAATGCAGCACACCTTCTACGGTGACGAGGCAGCCTGTGCTTGAAAAGAGCCACTGTTTCTGTTGAATAATTTTGTCTTATATACAGAAGGTACCTTCAAGATATGTCTCCTCTATATTACTTACACTCTGAACCATCTTGTTAGACATCCTAAACAACCGTACTTCTGACATTCTTACAACATCGCACTCAAGATATTTCTCATACCATCATACACCACCAATCGATTGCGTAGGCTTTCAGCCAAAGCTTGAGAGATATTAGTGCCATGACATCGACGAACCCGCCATTCTACTAGAGCTTCTAGTGCCACCTCTCCGATCCCTTCAGAACATTCCCGGTAGATTAATTATCAAAATAGCAATTATTTAAATGGAATAGTTCAAATGTTATTTTAAAATATATTTTAAAAATACATTAGAAATGAACAAAGTGTTATTTATAACACATACCGGTTTTAAATAGAAAGATATAAGATCCCTATTATACAATAAGATTAATTTAGTACTTAAACCAATATAAGGCCTGCCACTTTCTAATCTTCAAACCTCTAGTCTTAGGCATCTCCATGTCGAAAACCACTATCTATATACAAGCTTTACAAGCGCATGTAAAGTCAGCTCGATGCCAAATTTACTGCTTCTAATTCTGCCTTTAAGTCTTGATCGAGGGCTTTGTCTTTGGTTTCGTCTCTAATACTGTCCTCTCTGATTATTTATGGGGCACCGCACCCGCCGCTATCACTTCCCCAAGAATATTGAACAACACCTTTCAGCACTTTACAATACGGGCTTCTTTCATGAATGCTCTGAGGTATTATTCTGGCCAACTAAGATCCTTTCGACAAGCTTCTCGCATAACGCTGTTAAACTTGATGCGTTGACAACTTCGAGTGTTGTCAACTCCACCCCGAACTCGCTCTTCACGAAGTTTCTGAATTCAACGGCCGCGAGCGAATCTATACCATAGGTGCTCAGTGGCCGGGTGGTATTCAGGTCCTGAGCCAATCGCAGACTCTTCACCAAATACTTGTTGAGGATGTTCACTGTCGCGTCAAGTATGGCCCGCCGTTCTACGTTTGACTTTGCCATGACCAAGATAGCTTGGATGCTACGTTTACTGCCCTCGTTTTTCGCGGCTGTATTGGAATCTGAGGAGGCCCCAGAAAATAAGGGCGAGAAGCGCGCGTCGGACGACAGGAACGAGGACTCCACTTGTGGAATCTGGAAACCCGTAATCATATGGGCCGCACTTGAGGGATTTGGGACTTGAAGCTTATCCTGCTGTAAGATGCTGAATCCAAAGACCTTCTTCAAAAGTCTCTCGTTGATAGGGTACCATACTTTGGGATCATAACGACTTTGTAGTTCCTTGTGCTCCGCCATATAACCCACATCTTCGATTACTCCGAGATCAACTGAAGTAGTAGGCTGCCCGAGGGTTTCTGAACGGTAGAGAGCAAAAGCGTCCAGGAAGGCATTAGCTGCTGCATAGTTTGCTTGGCCTTTAGAGCCATAGAGACCCGAGATAGAAGATAGCAGTGTAAAGAAATCAAGTGACAAGCCTAAGTCGAGTGAAACGTTATGCAGATTCCAGGTTCCTTGCAGTTTACAAGTAATGGCATCGTGGTATTCTTCCACGGTCATCGAAGCGAACGTACGGTCCTATAGCCACATTAATTACTACTTTCGTAAAATCTGACATGCTCGATTGCCGGACTCCGCCAGAGCCTAGTGACTTACACGCAGGAGCATTGCTCCCTGGACGATGCCACCAACGGGCACTTTCGTGCTTGCCAGAATATGCCTCACTGCATCTTCATTGGAAACATCACCCTTGAAAAGTTGCACTTCACACCCCAATGCCGTGATATCTTCGATAGTTTTCTGGGAACTCTTGCCCTCACCGCTTCTGCTCATGACTGCTAGGTGCCTCGCCCCCATCTTCGCCAGGTACATCATGAGGCTAGAACAAAGGCCCCGCAGCCCGCCGACGATCAAATAACACCTATCTGGGCGTAGCCTCACTGACCGCGCCATAGGACGCACTGGCACCTGAATACGAGCTGTGGGAGAGGCTCCATCTGAGATCACCAACTTACCGATATGCTTTCCCGAGCGCATGAGACGGAATGCGGAAGGTATGTCGCTGAATGGAAAGACTTGGATCGGTGATATCGGTTTCAAAGAACCAACAGCCATAAGCTTGAAGACATCCTCCAATAGACTGTCCACCAAAGCCATTAGCAGTATAACATAAATGTGCAATATGAAAATACAGTCCAAAAGTAAGTCTCCAACTACCAAGACGAAACAACTATGCAAGTTCATTAGGTAAGGGAGCTTCTTACCTAGCAATCATGTCATCACTAATTTCCTTGTGACTCAGATCTAGTGCACGGAATGAGGCATTGCGGTTGAAAGGCTCCATGCTCAACGATTTGCGGTCCAGAATATCCCTCTTTCCAATCTCGACCATGATTCCGCCGTCAGCAACAATGCGCCAAGATTCATCGAGCAAGTTGCCAGTCAAAGAATTCAGTATAACATCCACGCCTTTTCCGGACGTATACTCGAGAATTTGGGCACCAAAAGCTGGCGTGCGGCTGGAGAAGATGCGGTCATCTGGTATGCTAAACCTCTCCCGAAGGAATTCGCGTTTCTCGGGTGTACCTACAGTGGCGTACACCGTAGCGCCTAAATGTTGACACAACTGAATGGCTGAAATGCCTACGCCACCCGCGGCCGAGTGGATAAGTACAGTGTTACCCTTCCTCACGTTGGCCAAATGAATCAACGAATAATAACTTGTCATGAATACACAAGGAATAGTGGCAGCTTCCTCATAGGACATTGGATCCTCAATGCCGATGACAGCTTCAGTCTTGGTTATGACTCTGTTCGCAAAGGAGCCCTTCTCGAAAAATGCCACTCTCTGCCCAGGGACAAATTTCGTGACGTCGGCAGCTATACGGGTGACGATACCGGCACCCTCCCCACCCAGGAGGAACTCATTCTCTGGAATGATGCCAATGGTGACCGCGACCTCTTTGAAGTTCACGCCACTTGCGAAAACCTGGATTTCAACCTCGTTCTCCCGGAGCACAGGTCGTTCAGGCGCAACAGCACTGTATTGCAACGAATCTATGTTGCCAATCCTTTCTGCACGCAGGTGGATCATGAATGGTGAGTCATGAAGATCCATAATCTCTGGCGCGCGCCCGAGAAACTCTTCGTCCCTTGCCAAGTTGAGAGCAAGGTCAGGCACGACCCTGCTGATATAAATCAAGCCTTGGCGACATGAGAACTCTGATTCAAACCTAGACTTGGGCCTGTCCTTTTGCAATAGCTCAAGGCAGGTGACAATTGATGAGATTGTGGCTGGGTCAACAGTGGAAGCATGTTCGATATCGAGGTTGATGAGATTAAGCAATGGCTCCTCATTTCGGATTACCCTGAAAAGGCCGTTGATAAGTGCTTTAGAAGGCTGCGTGACCGAAAGCCCCTGTGCCCCGGTTGTAACCCAGAGAATGGAACAAGATAACGAAATGAGCTGATGGAGGATGTTCCATTGTCGCTTGGTCATTTTAGACAAGACCTCACCATTAATCTCATCTAGAACCAGTATCTTGCTTTCGACAGGTAGTGCAAACGGATTTGTATTGGCGATGAGATCACAGGAGAGGGCTTCTCTGATGACATTTTCGGCATTTGTGGTATTTATCTCGGAGTCGAACTTGACCACGTGAACCTCACGTGGTTCATGGCTCTTCATTGCCTTGATGGCTTTCTGCTGGTACGCCAGCACAAGAGCATCCGAGAAAAGCAATTTGGAAAAGCTCGCACCAATGATATCTGCTGTTAGCGAGCCTATGTTTCCGGTCATTGAGACAATGAACGCCTGGCCACCATTATCGGATAACCAAGCTTGGACGTTCACCAGGACTAACCCCAGCTCCTGGGATACTCTCCCAGGCGTAGTCTTGATAATTACAAAGTCGAACTTGTTAACGAACTCAGTAAAAGGCTTGGTCAAATCAAGCATAACAAAATCGACCTTGGGCGTTATGAGGTTAGCGTGCGCCTCGCGGGCAGCAACCACACAATGAGCATTGTCGGAGAGAAACCGATACTGCGAAAAGGTCATACGACAATGATCGTGATGACGTAACCATAGACTGGAGATGTCCGTTGGATTTAGATTGATCTCAAGAACATTGAGATTTGGATTCTTATGCGCGGCTAGTGACATAATCTTTTGTGCTGCGGCTAGTGTATTGGGTGATTCCTCCCCGTTATTAGCATTAGCGACTTGTTCAACAACATTTTCAAAAGTCGTCTGTGACAGCATGTCGATATCGACATCCCAAGTAAGTTGCGCGTATGTATGGCCCAAAGTGCTTTCTTTCGTTGAGTCTAGCTCCGTATAGCGTAATCCCTTCATATCAAGAATGAGTGTGCCGGTGCCTGGATGGTAAACCTGACAAGAACTAGTATAGTGTTTCATAATATCGCGCCGCCCTGTTCCGCCATACTGAGAGATCGCGTTCGAAATGCCAACTTTAGGTTTCTCGACCACAGAGCGGTGGGGAATGGTCAGCGAATCGATCTGGAAGGGGACAAGTGCTGCATTCACCGCACTGCGATCGCCCTGCCAAATCGAGCTGGTCACCGTTTGGAAGCATCCATCTATGCATGCTGGATGAAGAAGATATTCGCTTTGTCGGAAAATGCTCAATGGTGGTGAGAGATCCACAGTACTGCGACCTGTCTTATGACCGGCCGTGTATTCCATTGCCAGGTGCTTTTGGAAGCTAGGCCCAAAGTTGAAGCCAGAATCTCGCATGGATTTGTACCACAACTTGGCGGGAATCGAATGCTTAAGAGGGGCGATAGATTCCGGTGCCGCCACAGAATTAATAAAGCCCGTTTCGATGCGTATAAGGCCTGTAGCATGTGTTCTCCATACGTCTTCACTCTTCAAGTCCACTTGTGCCCTTAGCGACGAGACTTGAAATGCGTGCCAGGAGCCGATGGATCCAGGCACCGCAGATAAAGAAAGGGAGATCATGCTATAATCGTCCAAATCATCCAGTACTAAAGCTCTAGCAAACTTGATATCTTTCAGATGATACTGGAACCTTTTAGGAACATTAGCGCCGGAGGTCCATGTGACCATGTAACTATGTTGATACATCGCCTCTAGAGCCATGGCAACATAAGCAGCGCCGGGGAACACCACTTGCTCTCCCAATTTGTGATCCCGCAGCCATGGATTATCCTTTAGACGGAGCCTGTTGCGAAAGATCGGAGAATTCCAGGAAGTTCCCAAGATTTTGGTCCCCAGTAGGTCATGGCGGATGAAGGGACGGTACCGCCAGTCCTTTGACGCAAGAGATTCGTGCCAGTATTTCTTTGAATGGTTCCACGCATAATTCGGTAGGTCCACAATTATGCTTGGCTCCTCGGTCTGCGCCTGGTTGTACTCATTGACATCGCTGAAGCTCACCGCATACCCAGCTCCGAACAATTGACCCGCTGTGTCGAAAAGACTTTGAAGAGACTGCTGTCCACGCTTTGCTACAGAAGAATAAACTGGGAGTACCACCAATTTGGAAGAGAGTTGATCGTATATCTGCGAAATCGGTCCCGACAAAGCGTTCGATGGTCCAATCTCGAGGAGGAAATTGATTGCATCCTCTCCATCCACTTGAGAGGACAACATAGCTGATGTCGCCTGCTGGAAGCGAACCGGTGATACCATGTTTTGATGCCAATAAGTGACATCTGCTGGTTCGTTCATCCTCTCTCCAGTGACGGAAGAATACATTATTGCCTGATCAGTATGTGGTCGAGCCGCTGAACCAGGCTTTTGAGTCGCATTTTCTAACAACTCTCTGTACTTTACTCCGACATCCAACATGTGTGTAGAGTGATAGGCTGCGTTGACTAACAGCATGCGTGCAAAGACACTAGATGTCTCTAGTCTCATCTTCACTTGTTCCAGTGCTTCAACAGTGCCAGACAGAGTAACACTCCTGGGGCTGTTGAAACATGCAATTTGCACCAGGTAACCGTAATCCTGAAGATAGGTCATGACGTCGTCGGCGCCAGCGCCCACAGCCAACATCCCCAGGGGAGCTTGTGGTGGCACATTTTTCACAGCTTGGCCACGGAGGTAAGCAATCTTTATTGCTTCCGACGCCGTAATGTATCCACAATAGTAGGCGGCTACAATTTCACCAGAGGAATGACCGACTGCTGCTTTGGCTTTGATACCCCATTGCGAAAGCACTGCGAGATATGCAAGTTGTAAAGCAGTGACCAGAGGTTGAGAAAATTCCGGCTCCCGAAAGGCTGCAGCCGAGCGTGGCACTATCAATTCCTCGACAAGAGACCACGGAGGAGGTTGTTCCATTGTCTGTATTGCAATATCAAGCTCCTGGACCATCTTCATAGCTATTGGGAATGATTCTAGTAAGTCTTTGCCCATTTGGGGCCACTGTGCTCCCTGTCCGGTGAATACAAACCCGATCAAAGTGGGCTTGCTAGTGGAGCGTTTGCAGACAGTGAAGGTTTCTTGAGAAACTGTAGTACTGAGTTTTGACGAGACATGCTGAATACTGTAGGCGCGATAATATAGTTGACTGCGACGCTCCGACAACGTGTATGCCAGATCATTGAGCTGGATGCTCACAGATGGGTAAAGAAGATGAGAGACCAGAGCCTCGATGGAAGCTTTCAGGGATTCTTCGTCATTTGCAGACAAAACGACGATCTGTGGCTTTGTGTGGGTCAATACCCCAGGGGTGGGAGAAGCTCCTGGTTCTTCAAACTCGAAGAAGTCATCCCACATCCTGTCCCCATTTTTATAAGAAGATTTGTACGTTGTGAGACGGCCTGGCAACAAGTATTGGGGACTTTCGACGATTGCATGTGCATTGGCACCTCCGAAACCAAACGAATTGATGCTGGCTCTCTTCTTGCTGTTGCTGGGCCAGCGAACTGCCGTTCTGCTCGCTCGAACCTTAGAAGCTTCAAAATCGATTCTTGGATTTGGTTCTAGAAATGTAGCAGTGCCAGGAATAATACCATTTTCAATTGCTAGAACTGTTTTGATTAATCCAGAGAGTCCAGCGGCGCCTTCCGAGTGACCAATATTCGACTTCACACTTCCAATCACAAGTAGGTTATGTTGGTCCCTGCCGGCGGCAAACACTGAGGCTGCACCAGTGATTTCGATTGGGTCTCCCACTAAGGTTCCTGTGCCGTGACATTCCAAGAAACCCGTCTCAGAGTAATCAATTTCGGGGATCCCAGCATTATGGTACGCAGCACGGATGGCAGCCGCTTGGGCAGTGGCACTTGGCATGGCAATTCCCGGCGTTCGCCCAGCGCTATTCGTCGAAGTTCCTCTAATCACAGCCCTGATTGGATCTTTGGCGATGACAGCGTCGTCAAGGCGTCTCAACAATACGCAGTTTATAGCTTCCGCAGCCACGTAACCGTCTGCCTTACTATCGAATGTATGGCACCGACCTGTAGGGGAAGCAGTAGGGCGCATGGCACCCATATCTTCATTACGCTCTGGAGATAAGTACATGTTGGCACCACCAACAAGTACGAAGTCACATTGATTCGTCGTCAGGTAAAGACACGCCATGTCCAGAGCAACAAGGGTAGACGAGCACGCTGTGTCAAGAGATATGCTTCATGCATGGGTTAGCTCCATGCTCTTACGGACACCCATCTGGAAACAAGGGAGAGGCAAAGGCTGGGCTCATACCTTGGTCCATGTACATTGAGGAAATGGCTGATTCGATTGCTTAGCAGCGCTCGATTGGATCCCATGGTTGGCGATTCCGTTCTATCCTCTGGATCTCTGCAAGTCATGTCGTAGTAATCTGTAGGTCTCGTCAGCACTCTAATATATTTTTGTGTCTTGCCCGCGATATGTTGAACACGCTTATAACAGCTAACAGTCGTCATATGCTAGAGATTACGAACATACCAACTGTGTTGGCACCGATGATACAGCCAACTCTTGCTCCTGCTAGGCTCTCAACCGGAATCCCCGCGCTTTCGAGACACTCATAAGCAACCTCCATCAACTGCCTTTGTTGAGGATCCATAGAGCTAGCGTCCATATGGTTGACTCCAAAGAATCCGGCATCAAAGTCGGCCGGGTTCACCTCTTCCATAAACATGGCACCGGGCGTTTTCATGGTATAGGGCTTGTGAGATGCATCGTAATGACCAGCCAGATGGAATCGTGTGGCAGGCGGTTCATTAGATGCAACATTTGAGGACATCATGAAGTCCCATAAGTTCGTAGGCGTCATAATACGCCCAGGTAGACGGCAAGAGATGCCGATTATTGCGACTGGTTTCTGTGAATATTGAACAGAAGCCGATGAATGTGTGCTAGCAAGAAACGGTGTCGAGCTTGAGGATGACTGATGAGCTCCCTCCGTCTGATCATCCATGCTATTTGAATCTCGATATGTCTGTTGTTGAGAAAAATGAGAATCGGCAACAGTATGTGCGCCACCGTGACCTCTGGCCGAGTTTCCATTGGGTTCAACATGAGATGCCATGATAGTCAAGTAGCCGCTATGAGGCTGATATGTCTCGATTGTTATTTCGTTTGCTTCTCCAGATACGTAGTTTTGGAATAAATAGAACTATCCAGGCTTTCTATCGATCTATGAACTGGTCCTCGTGAATACACGGCGATTGTATCTTGCCATTCAGACTGCCCTAATACTGCGCCTAATATGATAGTGAGTGGGACTTGCCATCACGCAATGCCCGGGACGGTTGACTGCTAGTTCAGCGGACATTACGCACGGTCCAAGAATTATGCCGAGGATTGGGTACACAGCCTTAACAACTATGTATGATAACGAGGTAGTACTGCATAATGCCTAAGTATCGTTGGTGGCTAGCTCCTTCAGATCATGTCAGGTGGTCCGCGCAATGCGGTACTCGAGTTCTTACATCAAGGACCATGTACATACGGTACATGTGAGCCCCTCAGTTGCGGTAATCTAGATAACGTTCATGTAAATAGGGTTTCAAGGAGACTGCCAAACTCCGCTCGTGCATAAGTCACTCCCACGATGCTTTCCACTCACTTGTAGACTGATATAATACCACGCGTCAGGCAAATTGAAGTCAGCTTCAAGAAAAAAGCATTAGTGAACTGTCAGAATTAGCCCAAATACCTGGCGAAGATGGCTACATGTAAAGAGGTCGAATTTAAGACTCTAGACGGTCTGATCCTCCGTGGCACACTGTACTCAAGCGGCGAGCCTCAGAGTCCTGCCGTGATAATGACTCCAGGGGTAAGCTACTATTCCCAGCTCGAACATTGGTCGCTGCGAATAAATGCTGATATCCTCACTGTTCAACACAACGAAAGAGATGTTTTTACCAAAATTGGCACAGTACTTTCAAGAATCAGGGATCGCGTCTCTCGTGTACGATCCGCGGACAATTGGTGCGAGTGAGGGTCAACCACGAAACAACATCGTGCCGGCCCTCCAGATATCAGATTATTCTGATGCCTTGACTTTCATCAAATCCCTACCGGAGATAGATTCTAACAGGATTGCCTTTTGGGGCTTTTCTTTCTCGGGAGCTATCGCACTTTCTGCTGCTGCCTTGGACAAACGCGCTAGCAGTGTTTTGGCTGTGTGCCCTTTGACTATTTGGGAACTGGAAGAAAAGAAATGGAAAGGCGTCATGGCGAAATGCATGCAGGATCGAGAAAGCAGGATGAATGGCAACGTGCCATTTTCCATTCCAATGGTCAGCAGCAACGGGCAGAATCCAGCAGGATTTGGATCTGGTGTTGGTACAGAAGAACTCGATCTAATAACGGAAAGTAAAGACAAGATCCCCAACTTCCAAGTTACGACCACAATCCAGACTTACTGGCATGTCATGAGCTGGGGTGGTCCATTTAATTGTCTGAAATGGTTGCAAGGGATGCCCGTTCTTGTGGTCACGCCGGAAGAAGACCGTATCTCACCAGCACATAAACAGAAAGAGCTAATATTTGACGCGATTCCTACGGTGGAAGATAGCGTTTCTGGCGAGGAGCCCAAGAAAGAGTTCCACCTCGTCGCCACACGAGGGCATATGGATGTCCTAGATGGCGACAGCTTTCGGGCAGCGATGGATGTACAAGTCCGATTTCTGAAAAAGTGGTCTAGATCTTGAAAGGTACATAGCCTTACCAGGTGGCGTCGCAGGCGGTTTTAGAACCCGATTGAAAAAGGCATGTACAAGATTGCTTTTTATTCTCTGCGTAGAATAAGGTGACATTGCGGACAATGGTTTCTAGGTTGGTCTATTAGGACCTTGATTGGAACATAAGTGTACCTACATATGAGCCGCTGTGCCATACGTAGTGCACAATATGAGATGATAGGACAATAGATTCCACTCATGTTAGTCCATGCAGAGTTTTGCGCAGGAGGCGGAACCAACTGAAGATACCGGAGTTAGAACTGGAGGCAGTCCTGCTCAGCCGCAGCCGTACATCGGATAATTGCCTCTATAAATAAGATCGCAAGCAGGACCCAAACCCACCCACCACCCCACTCACATTTTTCCAAAAAACCCTTGCATGTGCAAACAATTGTCCCGTTCCATCAGCACCCACCCACAGCCACAAAGTGCATAAATGTCGGAGAGTGGCGAACTTTATACAACTCATCCCTTCGTACCGAGGGTTCTGGCTCCAATTCCAATGCCACGTCTCTGTAATATCCATGATCACGACTGAGTATGCACATGTAACTCCTTGATCCTGGCTATCCTCCGTTGATTTTTCATGCTGTTCTCATGCATGACTTTTTGTATGGCCAGCACCTCGCGTTTTAAAACACGTACGTAATATCATAAGAATCGTGGAACACCTCCACGGATGAGAGCCAGTTGGCGACCTTTTCACCATAAGCTCTAAGGTTAGTAGAAGTAGACAGCCCGACGCGTACTGCGTTTACAATGGGCGAAAACAAACCATTGATTGGTCGCTTGGGTGGTCCGACCCCATGTAGTTTTGAGTACCGACAGAAGGGAAACGCTCAAGACAGTCACCTCGAAGGATGCACATGCGCCGCCTCGAAATACAGCCATATACTTTATAATCAATCAGCTGAAATACGGTCTTGCTTTGCTGAATACTCAGAAGTCTATCGAAAAAAATTCATAAAGCTTCTGTGCCTTGGAAGAGACGCCGTAGGACGCAATCTTTGATCATCTCTGCAATATGATGCTCCGCTTTCGCTTAGTCGTCGCTGTGTGTGCAGTTTCGAATTACCAATTGCCGAGGGGCAGCCCAGTAACTTGGAACCCCAATCAGTTTTCGAGTCGCCACAACAGGAGAAATGCCACCATAACATGTAAAAATATACCTGGGGATACAAACTGGCCTAGTAATGAAGAGTGGTCTCAGCTCAACGAAACAATTGGAGGACAGTTGATCTCAACGATACCACTTGCACAAGTTTGTCACGGCCAAAACTTTGAAGCTGCTGCATGTGCGGATCTCCGAGAAAACTGGTTGCTTCCTTATCCACAGTAAGGTTTTATTCTTCTAAAACTTCTTATCTACATGTTTGCCGCGTATGGCCCTATGACTGTATGTTCTTCAAGGCATCCAGTCATTTAAGGTCATTGTTACGGGGTTATCTGACCACAATTCATAGTATTCGGGACCCTACTTCCATAATCACACCCTATTTCCAAAACCATTCGTGCGACCCCTTTGCCGGGGAAGACACTGCTTGCAGCCTTGGCAATTATCCAGTCTATTCTATCAATGTGACTCAGGCTGCAGACGTACAAGCTACAGTCCATTTTGCGCATGAAAGAAATATCCGCTTGGTCATCAAGAACACCGGCCACGAGTGCGTCTCCCTACTAATTCACCACCAAAGCTGAATTGTCCCCGAACGTCAGCTACATTTGAGATCCGAGCTAATGTCTAAAAGTTTGCTTGGCAAGTCAATAGGGCTGGGGTCTTTGTCCATTTGGACGCATAATCTGCAAAGCATTGACTACATTGAAGCTTACACCACGGATGCATCTTCATACACGGGCGCGGCAGTCCGATTTGGTGCCGGAGTCCTGGTCCATAATGCATTGACCTGGGCCGACTCCATCGGCGTTCGTGTGGTGGCAGGAACGTGCCCCACCGTGGGCGTGGCGGGGGGGTATACTGCCGGTGGAGGACACGGCCTGTTGACATCGATCTATGGCATGGCGGCTGATTCTGTGTTGGAATGGGAAGTTGTGCTACCTTCTGGCGAGCTTGTCACTGCAACGCCTCATAACGATCAGGCAGACTTGTACTGGGCATTGTCCGGAGGCGGAGCCGGGACATTTGGCGTGGTCATCAGCATGACCACACGAGTATACCCTGACGAACCCATGGTTGGCGCCAGCTTTGCTTTTACCACCAACGATACCAAAGGCGGTAATGTAGATGGTTTCTGGGATGCAATTTCTATTGTACAATCCAGTCTTGGCTCCTTGGTAGACTCGGGTGCTACGGCGGCGTACGCGTTTGCAGCTGGCATTTTCAGCGTCTATGCGGTAGCCATGCCGGGTGGCGATGTCAGTGTTCTAGAAAGCAGTCTTGCACCTGTCATCTCTGCAGCGAAAGATGCGGGGTTCCAGCTCACGGTTACCAAAAGCGTTCACACCGGGTTCTTGGATCTTTACAATACATACTTGCTACAAGCCGTCACTACCACTCCCGAGGCACAGATCACCGCTGGGAGGATTATCCCAAGGTCTTTGATGGAAGATAAATCGACTGCCTCGGTTGTGGCTGATGCCATGCGCTTCGCCAGCGATCAGGGTTTCGTTACGACTTGCGTTGCAATAAACGGCACGCGGAAGGATTTGGTAGATTCTTGCCCCAACGCCGTCTTCCCGCTGTGGCGCGAGGCGTTACTGAGTTGTATCTTCACGCAGACTTGGGACTTCAGTGCACCCTGGGGCAATATGGTTGATCGCCAGGACATCCTGACCAATATCGTCATGCCTAAAGTCGTAGCTGCTACGCCTGGCGGAGGAGCCTATCTGAACGAGGCCAATTTCGAGGAAAACCAGTGGCAGGACACCTTCTATGGAGAGAACTACGGAAGACTGAGAGAGATCAAGCGTGCACTGGATCCCGATGGAATCCTGTATGCAAGGACTGCTGTAGGGAGCGAGGAATGGATACACGACGAGCAAGGGCGGCTATGTCGGACATGACCATGATGCAAAATCCCCTATTCCATGATCCTTTGCTATTCAACTCGCAGTGCGATCTTACAATGTTCCGTTCTTTCAGATCGCCTTGAAGGCAACCCGTCCCTCCACAGTTTGATGCCATTCCCAGCGTCAATTTTTTACACTTCGCAATGCGGTCTTATCCGTGTCGGTTCATTGAGAAACACGACGACCTCCGCTGTGTCAGCACATGGTGAATACATACGGTAGCCACGTTCAATAGAAACGGCCACCGAAGCCGTCGTGAAGTACACCCCACTACTTTTCCGATCCTATGGCCTGACATGTGTACATACAGTATAGTCCACTTGTAGACTCATGGAACGTGGCTCTGTTTTAGTTTTATTACCACCAGCTATGATATAAACATCCATCAGCCGCAAAGTGGGATATGACGAGGTCTTTGGGTAATTAGTATGACAAAAACTACATAGGCAGTGTCCGCTTTGGGCTATGGCGACGGTGAAGCATTAGCTTGAACACCATTGAGAGATGGCGGTGCAGGTCTAGCTCCGGGTGGGTTCTGCACACTAGCCAAAAAAGAAGTTCGAGGATTGCATGCACATAGTTGCAGACCGATATTGGCGGTTCTCCAACGGGACAAGAGAAAATCAGCCCAGCACGGCGAGCAGGCGTTGGATGGATTCTTCTGAGTCGCCGACGCAACCCCACTATCGTTTTCAGCAGCTCGTGGCGCTGTGTGAGGCATCGTGCTGATGTGTTCCCCGGGGTTCTTTCAGCAACGTTATGGGGAGGAACTTGTTCTATGACGCCGTTCTGGTGGCCCAGAATCGATGACCACACAGAAGGCTTACATAGGAAGGTTGGTGGTGAATCATGAACCCGATCAGTTTCGCAGTCTCTAGCTAGATATACTACTGAGCAGGTCCACTCCAAGGGTAGGACCTGGACGTCTTGTTCAACCCTAGCATGGCTAAACACCTAGGTTAAAGCCCAGAGAATTTAGTTGTCACTTACCTTGATCGCTCTCGTTGCTTACACCGGTTGTCTGCCTGGTAAAGCCTGTGCTTTGCATTAAACGACAGTAACAAACCAACGCCAGCCCCAAAGATCGACAAAGTGCATTAATATGAGACTTTGGTGTGCCACAGCACCACTGAGCACCTAACCTACAGTACTCTAACCTTAGCTGTGTAACTCCGGAGGCCCTTTGCGGTTACAACACAGCTACTGAGCCCACTAAACCCACCGCCAAATCACGAGCATAGCCCAATCAGCCCCAAGTTTGTACTGCGTTGAACCAGCCAATCCCAAGTGTCTACGCACGGAATTGGGGACTTTTGAAACAAACGAACTACCCCCCCAAGAACAAGGCATAGGAAAGTCAGAGTTTAGAAATACAGAAAGATGCGTTATCATGCTAGCTTCGATTGTCTCCTCGTCACATTGTTTACCATGGCTCGTCCACCTTTTGTCGACCCTGACTACTGGGCACTGCTAGGCGGGCAGGTCCCAACTCCAGCACCGCCGGCGACGGACCTCAATGCCATCAGAAACTCGACAAACGCTGCAACACAAGCCGCCTCCAACGCACTTCCCTACCCGGCTGGTATGATCGATACAGTCAGCACAGCCACATCTGTTGATGGGACGAAATTCAACATCACGCGCTTCGTGCCTCTTAGCGTCCAGCAAGGCGGCGAGAATGCACAGAGAGCTGTCATCTACGCTTTTGGAGGCGGCCTAATTGCTGGCAGCGTGAACATTAGCCGCAATATGATCGCCAGCTTCGCCGAACAAACAGCATCTCAAGTTTTTGCCCCAGATTATCGTTTAGCGCCTGAACACCCTTACCCGGCGGCCTTGGACGATGTTTATTCAACGATTACTTGGTTACAAGCTCGCTCGAGCGAATTCAACATCGATCCCGCTCGTGTCGTCATATTTGGACAAAGTGCAGGCGGCAATCTCGTCGCCGCGGCCGCGCTCAAGGGCAGGGATGAGGGCCTTGACCCGCCGCTCGCGGCGCAGATATTGAGATACCCCATGTTGGATGATCGGACTCGAATGGATCCCCAGAACCCTCGATTCCCCTATCTTACCTGGAGTCCAAGTAGTAACAAGATCGCATGGAATGCATACTTGGGCAAGACGAACGGAGCGGGAGACAAAGGTAAAGCCTGTATTTATCACGCTTGGCGAGTAAGCACTAATGTCTCTTCTAAAGCGACGGTCCCTTATTACGCTGCTCCAGGTCGCGCCCAAGACTTACACGGGCTCCCGACAACACATCTAGGCGTTGGCGGTCTAGATCTATTCCGCGACGAGGCTACGAGTTTCGCGGCAAGACTTTCATCGCAAGACGTTAAGGTACAGTCCAACGTTTACCCTGGAGTACCGCACGGTTTCGATGGCAATCCTGCATTCAGTCTCAGGACTGAATTATGGGATAACGAGGCTAGATTCATTCGACAGTTCTAGGTACAAACTAGTGCGGCTTCAGCGAGGGAATTAGGGGCCTACTACTCTGAAGATCTCAGTCAACTCGCACTGGTTTACGGTGTTAATCTTAGAACGTCATATCATTGTACTCATCATTACTGTCAAGGTGCCTTTTGTTGCGATTCCTTATTCTCCACAACTCCCAACTAGGTAAGGCATTTTAGAGGCACCGGGTCTGCCAAGTGGAGGTGATGTCAAGTGGAGGGGATGCCAAGTAAAGACACCCTGCCTAGATCCACCCCCACCCCCCTTGCAGAAAGTTTATTGAATGCATGATTAGGCTAGGAGTTACTTACAACTTTAAGGTACATTTACCGCAGCTTTATCCCAAAATCGCGGCCCGATTGGGCGCAAACCCATACCCGTGTTACTCCCCCACGGGTACCATGATTGGTTCTTTCAGATCACCCTTGTTGGCGACCAATCAATTCGGTCAGATGATCCGATAGCAAAAACAAACTGGCATTTTAGGAGGCTTGCAGCTGCTCTAACATTATATTGCTCGTGACACGGGACGGTACATTCAGCCCTTGCTAACATTAGCGCTACGGTGGCAGAATCTTGGGGTGACACGCATGAGAAAAAGAAGTTGTTACCTCGTAAAGACGTACACTACATAACAATCATGCAAAGGACTTTTCGCTTTGCTGAGTTGCACGAGTAGAGAGGAGGATTCAGCTCTATTCTTGTACTCGGCTTGCTTGCACAGGCTTGTAAGCATGGAGAGATCCTCTCTCGCTACCTTTCATGGTATGTTTCACACATCTGCCCCTTGTGCTTGCGCCGCACAGCAACAAAATCAGACCTAGGATCAGATTATGTCGGAGGTTGCACTTAATTTTAGCAAAACAGGCTGCCATCATATCATCGTTCAAAATGAGATTGCATGTGGTAGTGCAACGGTACGCATACGGAGTGAAATGCCGTCTTCCAGGTCGTGGCATCGACCTAGGCAGAGGGATGCATGCTTGAGTTTCATCTCTACGCCATTTTGGCGCCCCGCACAAACAACATAGGACTCTTGGAGAGGCTCGCAGGTTGTAGCATGCACGTCCATGTACCGCCAGGGCTGTTAAATGCTTAGATGAAGCTCAATGTGGCAAAACTACGTACTTCAGCAATTAAATATCCAATCTTTCTTCCCACAGGATATGACGGATATCATTGGTGAGTTCCATGCATTTAACCTGATCTTTACACTTCAAGACAGTTTCAAAGAAGTACTCCAACACTAGAAGAGCGGAGGCACTTTGCAAGCTGTCTCTGTACGAGAGATTTCAGTCTCGTCATCTCAGAGCCTAGTATTTCTCGTGCTATACCTCCTCGTGAGCCCTTTGTGGCTTGTGTGAGACCGTAGAGCTGTCTGTCCTATAGATTTCGTTCTCGCCGAAATTTCGGCTGGCATGAACACGGGGTATCTGGCTTGAGATGTAAGACCGACTGTGGCCCCCAAGTGCCTCTCTGGTACTGCCATAGCTCTCCTCGTCCGAAACGCGAACTCTCGGCGTGAGCTGGAGTTCATGATAATCATCTCTGTTTTTATGGGCGCTTCCATAAGTAAACCTGGAGCCAGTCTGCATGTGCTTTTCCTGGACGCTTGTCTTGCTTCTATGGCCTGAGACAAGACCCAAAAGACTGTCGCGAAACTTGCTTACCGTAGGTAATTGGAGTCTTGTGGCTAGATGCAGTGTTGGAATACAGCCCATGATTATGACTAGGCACTGTTCGCAGTCCGAAGTAAAGTTGATGATGGACGTGTAATATTGTACAGCAGGCGCAACCAATAGCGGGGAGCCGGTCATGGGAATCAGCGACACAGTGATTTTGGCTACAGCAGCTGCCATGGTCACGAGCGACAATGCCATGACCACCAGCAAACCGACCTTCCGCCGGGTCCGCATTTTGAGCTTCCAGATAATGATAATGGGAAACAATACGTAAGTTATGTCTGATATCACGAAGAAGACTAAGTTTCATGATTTCGCGTTAGTAAGAGTATTGAAATGTGGGATAACGTTGCTGGTTGTCTGGGACTGCCAAAGACCTACATTGTAGAGCAAGAGCTGTGTACTGGTAAATCCTCTTGTCCCAGTAATACTGAATGACAGCCTTATTCCATAGACCTTCGTATGGCTTGCACTGCGCAAGCAGGAAGATAACTGAGGCGACTCCAACAGCAGTTTGAACTGTGGTAAAGCAGGTCATGTATAGCTTGAACCACCTTTTTGTGCCAAAAATGCGGACCAGCAAGATGGCAATCGAGACTCTCGCAATAATGGACACGAGGAAGCCAGGTGGAGCAAATATCCAAGACCATTTGTTAATGTTGTAATTCTGCTCGGATGTCAACGTGTTCGAGGGACGTCCACTGCCCCAGTCGCACATTAAGTTGAAGCCGACTTGATACGTGATTTGGAGCGCCAGCGCGAGAACCATGAGCCAATCCTCAATCACAAGCCTTGACATGAACTTTATGCGCAGGTGGCAGCGCGCGGCTACCGCGAAGATGGCCATTGCCGTCAGCGTCCATGTCAACCCATATTGTAAGTGATTGAGCCCTTCTACATGTGGAAGACGTTTTGTGTCAGCGCTTGACGACATGTCAAAGTTCGGAGATTTGGAAAGCTATGTTAGATTACCGGCAATGTAAGTGGTACCTGACGATGGGCTTGGGGGACTAACACAACGACGAAGCACAAAGTTTATCAAGACGTTCGTTTGCTGGTTCAACTAAAATTATAACAGCTTACTTCAGCATTCACCTCATCAGAAGCTAAATTGGTGCTATTTTGCGAAGCCACGAGTTCCATTATGTGCGACGCACACGTCTGATCTTGCCTCAAGGCTCCCAGTGAGCAAGGCTCCATGATTTGGTCTACCAGTCCGTCCAGGGAGCGGCTGAGACGCACGGAACAATGTATACGTGCATTCCTGTGATCCTATTCGACATAACGATCTAACCTGCATGGTGACCGGGTGGGGAAATGGATTTTCTCACAGACGCTCTACCGAGTGCTGTTGTTTCTGCAGGTCTACTTAACATTATGGGTGCAGAGCTTGTCTAGCCCTGCTATGAAAGATACATGTAGATAAGCCCAGCCTTCTACGGGTAAGCGAGCATTGAGAAGCACAGTAGGGGTGGGTATATTGGCATCTGCAGGGGTTCCGCACCTAAAGTCTGCATTAGAGGCAGCGCCGTTGTACTATATTCAAATCAGATGTAACCCAACTCTTCTATGGTGTCTGACTTTTGCGACCTCAATTGGGCCGGACTCCCCGGTCAATTTCATACCCTAGCAAGTGAAAGAGCCGAAGGCTTCGGAGGACTCAAAAAGTTCGGCAGCGAATCAAGTGTACGGGCCGGCCCGCCTGATGACGTGGCGAGTATGTCAACGGCACGGCAGGAGCTTACAGAAACTTTGTACATACTCCGTACTGGTGGCGCAAACGTTGTCTAGTCTGTGCATATCCCGGTTTCTGCATTAACTCCTATAGTCATGGTGATGGGAGGTAGTCTGCAGTACATACAGTGCTTGAATTTGGTCATAGAGATTGCGATCAATTTGCAGGGTGGCATTGCTGACGAGGTCTAGAAATGTGGTTTCAATTTATTGGCCTGGCTGTTGATCAAGATTCGTCCCATAGATAGTGTATGGTGCAGCGTAGTGTAGCATCAAGCTGTCAGACCTCAGGCTTCAACACACAGGCATATCCCTCCGAGTTTGCGAGATGTGTCAGTATCAGGTGTTTCGCCACTAATCGTACTCAACCTTTTTGATTGATTGATAAATGTACAATCAAAGCATGCAAAGTCAAAGATCAGCAGAAATGCGTCGGCATCAACTGTGGGAAACAGTCGACTGGCGATATCTTTCGCCTATCGACACATTCATTCCGCAGCAATACATTCGTCAGATCCTGTGCTTTCCCGGGAAAGGGCCATCGGCAATTTCGGCTTTCAAACATGGCCTGGAAAGATGCATTTCCTCGATTCCCTGCCTTTCATCTAGCATAGTACCATGCTCCAAACCCACCCACCAACCCCAAGATGATTCATCTCACCCCTTTGACAAGTACGCAAAATTTCGTCTTGGAACTCCGGTCTATGATATCAAGGGCATCCTCTCTGTTGGAACATCCCAGCTTCTGGAAGGAACGGATTACGGGAGTCTAAAGCGGGCCAGCTTTCCAAACAATCTTTTGAATCGGGATGTGTTACTTCCTCCACTTCCGCACTTCCCAGTGACTAATGGTTCTGCCCCGGCTTTTCGAGTCCATGTGACACCGAGATCGGATGGAACTATAGTGGGTGTGTGCCTTCACCATAGCGTCGCTGACCTGGGAGGTATCAATGCTATATTCAAGACATGGGCATATTTTTGTAAGAAGCACTACGATGAAGACAGGCAGCAGACATTCGGGTCTGATGCCGTCCTCCCGGTCGAGAATTCCGTCTCTGTTGAATGTGACCGACACATAGTGTATGGTTCGAGGTTCAGTGAGGGTTCGGAATTTGCAGATAAATACACAGCAGAGGAGCCAAGCTGCCCGGCAGATATAACCGTCCTCAACTCAGCACCACCAACCCTGACATCAGATATCATATCGAATTTGCCCATGGAGACGGTACATTACCGGATACCTAGGCAAACGGTTCACGGCTTGAAGGTTACACTTAGTGAATACCTGCAACCCGGAACGAAATTATCATCCAATGATGTCATATGTGCTATGTTATGGAGTGCTATTACCTTCGCTCTAGCACCTCAATCGTCATATTCTCGAGCGCGTGGACGGGACCATCCCGCGAGCACTGATGAAGTGGTCTCGATGGGCTTGAGTATTGATATGCGAAAGCGTCTCCATGTGCCTATTCCAGAGGACTTTGTAGGCAACGCGTTGTCAATGGCGTGGCCGACCGTTCCTAAGAGACTACTGCTTGATGCGGCTCAAGGTGCAAGCAGCAGCTCTTCTTCGCTTGCATCTATGGCTCATATCGCTGTTTGCATTCAAGAGTCCTACGCGTCACTGACAGAAGACTATTTCCACAATTTAATAGCTTATTTAGGTTCGCATGAGGACGTCAACAAATTGCAATGGGGTCCAGGACCTGCCAGTACCAATATGGTGGCTGCGACCTGGAAAGCGTTTGAAATACACTCCCTGGATTGGGGCGGTGACATCGGGAAATGCGAGGCCGTTAGGACGAGACTACCATTTCCTCATACTATTACTATCTTACCGGAAGCACCGGATTCAGAGGGCACAGACATTGTCTTCTGTTTCTTAAATGACACAATGCAAATAATCAAAAGTTGTGAGATCATCCAGCAATACTATCAGCGAATGGATGTCGAAGACTGAGCCGGGGGGCGAGAATAAGCTATGATATAGACATATTTCTACAGCCTTCTTATAGTTAGATTATCAATTATCTGGTTGTACATGTTTTTTTGGCCTTCTATCAACGCCGATTAGTTTGTTGTGTCATTTTGCCGTAATAAGTAAATCAATACTAAATGAATATCTGTAAAAGTAGCTGGCATAACCAGTCGCAACTTGCTGCCTATTAGAGAGACCAACTTACTCTTTATCACTTTACTAAGACACGTACCCCTTTACTTCCATGTTTTGGCATAGGTTTAACCAAGTCAACAATAAAATCGACGTCCTCCCTAGTCGTTTCATATAACTCAAGCTTGTGCCTTCGAAAGATTGTAGCCAGACAGACATACAACTCCATAAGTGCCAAATTCATACCAATGCAATTTCTTGCCCCGCGGCTAAATGATACCATATAATTACCTAAGGGCTGTAAGCCATCAGGGCCTTTTGGATCGTTCAGCCATCGTTCTGGAACGAAACTGAGAGGGTTGGGGAAGTATAAGGGGTTGATATGGTTATGGTACGCGTCCATTGAAACAGATACATTGGCCTGTATCGTCCAGCAACCATAAGTCAGACGCTCTGAACGGCTTACACGCGGCAGGCGTTGGACTGAGCCGAACGCGAGACGAAGACCTATGCCACAAATTATTTAGCATCCAAGCAATCTTCCTCGAGAATTGAACAAATGACAAAAGGCCGTTTGGAATCGAGAGCGGTAGTGTAGACTCACTTTCCTGTACAACGGCCGAGAGATATGGTAGCTTCTCCAGCGCTACCCACGATAAAACCACATCTGGATCGGGCATAGATTCCGTAAGCTCATCTTTGAGTTTATGATATACATCCGAATTATCTATGATGTGGAATGTTCCTACAGTTAAAGTCCACATCGTAGTTTCTATGCCAGCCCCGTTCAAGCTCATAGCTTCCTGCCTCAGTCTCGAAAATGATAACTCTTCAGGTGGCAGGTCGGAAGCTAGTATATCGTGAAAAATTGTCGGATGCGAAGTTTCTTTTGCATCCATGTTCTTCCCAGCAAGAATGTCTCGAATCTGTCTGCTTATAGCTTGACGATACTCCAATATGGGCTTAAAAGGGGGCACTATGACTCCCAAGATACCATCTGGGATCCAGTTCATCATCTCAACGAAAGGTCGGAAGTGTGTGGTCCAATGGGCGTAGCCCACCGAGCTAGCCATTGCCATACTGAAGGGCGACTGGAAGTCTGGCGCCGCAGAAAAGTTTGTCGACCTCGCAAAAGCCAACTCTGTGATAACGTCGGCAGTCATTGTTGCCCAAACGTCGCTCATATTGACCACTTTTCCGGTACCCTTGTACTCAGTATCAAACCTATGAGAAATACGATCCACAATTTGCTGGAGGTGCCCATTGCGACTGAATATCCTCTGCTTCGAAAAGAAGGGTGCTATGGCAGCCCGACGCATGCGGTGGTGTTCCGAATATACAGTGTGTACTGTCGCCTCAGGAACATTGAAGCGATATTTGAACTTGCGAATCTTATCGATAGGATGCGCAGCCGTTGCGCCACAGTTAATTTCATTATAGAACTCTGGGTCGTCAATATGCAGCTCATCTGGATTGATCCTCACAATGGGTCCATATCGCTCATGCATGCGCTTGATCTCGAAAGTGAATTGGCCGCCACCATTGGCTATCAAGTCGTAGTATAGCTCGTGCCAACCGCTTATTGCTGCTAGCCTCGACCCTGGGAACTGGGAGAGTGGAGAAAAGTAAAGCCGATAAATGATTAGAGCAACAGTCCGTGCCAAAACCAGCGCAAAGACCAGAGTGATTACAATCGGAGCCTTTTGATCTCCAATGCATGGATTACCAGGCTCGGGGTAGCCCTTAGTTGCTGTCGACATGGTGTTAACCCAAACGTCGTTGTGGATAGATCTCATTAAGCTCATTTGGAAAATATTTATGTCGGATTCTCAAGGGTATGTAGAGACACAAGACCAAGTGTCGCCGATATGGAACGATCTTCTCTTCGCTCATTACTGTGCAGGCTGCGTTTGCACCTCAATACCTAAGAGTACATTAATTCAAAGTACCGACGCGCCAATCAGGCGGAACACTGCATTTACATCCGGCAGCAGTACCCAGTACCTCCAGTCTAGGCTAGGCTACGATGCATGCAAGACAGTGAAAAGTCCCAAGCAGCTCCTTGCAGCCTATCAGTACATGAGGACTACATCCAGCATCGCGTTGCACCTTAAACAGTAATGGTTACAATGTTTCAAGTGGCATGCCAGCAATTTATCCTGGAAGCCCACTACTGGGCTGTTTGGGAGAGACTTGCTTTTCATAGTAATACCGCTTCTTTCGGGTGGACGCATGCATGGTACGACCACGGAGTGATTCTGACTCCGTACACATGCAAGTGAAGTCTCCGATGCAAATGAAGTCTCTGATGCAAGAGAGAGCCTCTGCTGGTCAATGGGGTCCGGATAAAGTTGTCTCTTAAGTTTCCGATCCCGTATGGCCTTTCTCCCGCCTTCTTGGGCACATTGTCACGTCCAATAGCGTAGGATACCGAGAGCACTTACAGGTTTTGTCAGGTTTAGACTGGATCTTGAATTGTTACCACATCAAAGCACCATATCGTCAAATTTCTTCCCGACATGGCTTCTCAAACCGTTGTCTTTATTTCAGGCGTTTCGCGAGGTATTGGGGAAATGCTTGCACAGACGTATTTATCTAAGCCGAACCACACAGTGATCGGCAGCACGCGTAGTGGCGAAGCTGCAGGACCCAACTCGACTCCAGCAGCCAACGGATCGAAATTCATTTCCGTAAAGATCGAATCTACTACCTTGTCTGATCCTGAAGCAGCAGTCAAGGAGATCATCGCAGCCGGCATTGACCATGTGGATGTTGTAGTCGCGAACGCTGGAGTGAGCCCAGCCCTACTACCACCGACATCTGCGGATCTAGACGATGTGTCAAAAGCTTTCACTGTCAACACTTTGGGACCATGGGCTCTTTTCAAGGCATTTTTCCCGCTTCTGGAAAAGTCTAAGAACGCCAAATGGGTTGCAATCACCACTGCAGTCGCCTCTTTAGGCGCCATGGAAGTTTTCGGAGCATATGTCGCACCGGGATATGGTATCAGCAAGGTCGGACTCGGTTGGCTCACGCTGTAAGTTGAAATGCTTCCTTGCACACGAAGAGATGCCATCATAGAATCAGAGGGCAAATATGAAACGCTTGCACTGACATGACACGGCTTAGATCCGCTCACTGCCAATATAAATGGCTCACAGCCTTTGTGCTGCACCCTGGGTAGGTTCGATTATCCATTCGCAGCATGAGCTTCAGGTTAATAAGACTAGTCTTGTCCAGACCGATATGGGTAATGCGGCTGCTCGCATGATGGGGCTTGAGCAAGCCCCCGATACTAAGGAAAAGAGCGCCCAGTCCATCATCGACATAGTGAGTCAATTCATTACCAGAAAGCTGTGGTGTTGAGTTTCCAGATTGCTTACCAGTTGAAGATCGAGAAAGCTACCAGGAAAGAGACCTCGGGCAAGTTTTTCAATGCCATCGACGGTGCTATTATACCTTGGTAGTTCTGGGTGCGGGGATTAATCAGGATTTATTAAGTCGAGGCAAGACTCTTGTAACCCAACCTCTGATTGAAATGAAGTCGTATTACTTAAATACGAGACGAACGACATGACAAAACAAGCCGTTCCTTCTATTTCTTAGACCAGAAACAAGCTGCGTTTTCCTATCGTGATGCTTAGCGGAAAGCTTTGATACCAACTAATGCAAGGTAATTGGATACAACGTTCCGTTCTTTGAAATTGCCGAAATGGCAACTAGTCCCTCCACACTTTGAAGCCGTTCCTTTCGTTATTTCCCCATACTTGCTCCAGTAGTTTGCTGTCTATTTTGCTGTACCATGTAAGAGCTAACTGCCAAAGTTGTAAGTCGCCTTTCTTTGTTTCAAGTTATCCCACGAGCTTGGCGTCAGTATTTCGCGAGTAGACAGGCTCTCGTAACTTGTTTGTACTTGCTACTGTCACAATCTAAAATTTACTGTGTTGCAATGAGTGTGGTATGTGTGTACTATATATAATTTTTATTGTAGAAAACTTCTCTAATAATGTATACAATTTCGTTTGAACCAATTTAAATTCCCGTTTGCTATATATGGTATGATACAAGCAATGGTAGGACTTTAACAGTCACAAAAATAGGACTACCCTACTCGTTAACCTACATAAGACTAAATATAATCCTAGATTAATCCAGTCACTTGAGCGATTGCAACATTTTCCAACATTAGATTAGTTATATTATCCAGGTGCATTTTCTTTTCCAACTTCTTGCGCTTCTCCGTTCTTAGCGTTATCGTACGGCGTGGAGTCTTGTCTTCGACAGGCTTCACAACCACACGAAGTCCCTGAGAGCCAGATTTGGTCAATAATCTTTACGAGCATCGTATGGGGATACAAACAGAGCGCTGGAATACTCTGATACGACATAGACCTCCGGAAGGCGTTGAGCCAACTGGATTAAGCTGGACTGATAGTGATGCGACAGCAGGAAAGTGAGGTGGTATACTCTGACAAACCAAAAGAAGCACGATACTGAAACACTGAGCTCCCATTGCGTATACATGAAGCTTTGTAGGCAGAGAACATGACACAAGGATCACCACTATGGGCATGGTCATCACGCTCGAGTTAAGCCAATAATGACTTAACCTAGTCAGTTTCTGACTGGATAAGTGTAGACTGCACAGGTGTCGGGTACTAGACACATGTAGCACTCGCAAGAAGGTCACGTGCCCTTGTGAGCTGAAACCGCTTCAGAGCGCTAGTTCAGGTAGCCGTTAAATTAAGCCTTGCTTTTCGTTTTGATCGGCACCATACAAGCCCCATCCCCACACCATACATGTACTATAAGGTCTGGGGGTGCCAAGGATCAACTGGCCTGTGCGTAAGGCGGTCGCCTGACCATTGTTGCAGTTTCCATCATCCAATGCAAAAGGCTGCTGTGATGCTTCCTACTACCAGGTAGCCGTGTCATGAAAAGTCTCGATGTAGACATGCATGATTTTCACTGGCCATTTCTAGTATATCTTGACAATCGCGTGTCAGCCTCGATTGTCACCCAATTCCAGCTGCGCGGGTATACACGTCAATGTTTGATCATCTCGTTGACGGTGAGCACATGCAATCTGGATTGAAATTTATATCTCTCCTTCAACTGCTCAAGACGAAAAGTGAATGCAATGTGTAGCTAGGTAACTTCAACGCGCTGACTGTGCGCTGATACCTGCCGTTTCTTTGTTTACAAGCCGTTCTGGCAGCACCTCCCCGTACATTATCGATAGTGAGTCTTCCTGCAGATATGACAAGAATAATTGCACGCACGTCACTAATCCTAGAGCGCCTTTGGCAACTGCGATGCGTTGGACGTAGGGACGGCTGCATCGCCGGTGCATTCACAAGAAATTGACATGATACAATGAATATATATGAGGAAGTCATTGCCCGAGTACGGTGGTTATAGAGGAGCTGTTGCGAGCAATGCATACTGAAAGCGAAAGTCCATCGACAGTGAGATTGAGAAAGTCAGGTCAACCCAATCCATGATGCCGATATCAGCAACCAAGATCAGAATTCTAAGGTGTCGCCGGCCCTAGCAACTTCGGCGGACTGAAATTGTTGCCACGGACTAGATTCTCGATGGTTATATATTTCTTATCTGTTGCTTGATCATATTGAGCGGCACTCCATGCGGTCGTAACTATATTAACGAGATTGAGTAACTTTTTAGGGCTTTGCCGATTTAGTGGATTATACTCGAGCTACAGGCCAGATTAATCCTTTGGCGCTTGAAGGGCTGTTAGGCGATTGATGATGCTTCCCATGGTGAGCCACGAAGCAACACAACCGTAAAAATACCCACTAAAGAAAGTTCGAACATAGAAACATAGGGGTTGTTGACACAAGAATCGACCGTATAGATTGGCTGAGTCCCACCTATTATTTAAATAAATGTGCGTTACATGACTCAATAAAATGGGATGCAGATCATCTTATTTCTTCATTGTTTGTAGAGTGCGCATATCGGATGTTAATACAACATTTACGTAGCGTTGTGTGAGATGGGTCAGGTGGTAAAACTAATAGACAATACCACAGTATGTAAGCAAAGGAGTTCTCTCCACCCATGACCCCGCATCTCGGATTCTCACTGGTTGATATCCGCCCCATTGGATAGCAATAGCCGCACCATAGATACAGATCCGGATGCCACTGCCCAATGCAATGGAAGGGTGCCCCTGGCGTCGGGCACCTGGAGCGCGGCCCTGATGCCTGCATGCCTAGCATCTGATTCGACTCCATTGGAGTCAGAATGGAAGCTAGAGCTGCCGTTAGCAACGCTTTCGTCGCCCAGAGCGTCCAGGACCATCTGCACGATTGCCTCGCTTCCCGTGGTGATGGCCGTAAACAGCACCGAGCGACCCGATTTGTCGAGTGCGCCTGGACGGCGGTCAGCTCCCGCGCCTAGTGCTCGCAGCAATAGTCGTACCGTCTTTTCCGCTTCTTTGGCTATTTTATCACCGCCACCATTGCTGGCGTTATTGGCACAGCTGTGTCGGCCACCGAAGCCTTTTTCTGCCTCTGCTGCGCCAATGACGGCCAGATGCAGGGGGGTCTGGCCGCCTTTGTTCAACAATCCTGCATCCGCGCCGCGGTCTAAGAGCAGCTCCACCATACAGCTATCGCCGGCTAGGGCGGCGATATGGAGCGCAGTGCATCGTTTGTCTTTGTGGTTCCTTGGTGTTGCTAATGGGCTGTGAGCTGTAACTTATATGGTGATATTGCGCAGTGCTGGGGGAGGGAGACATACCTGACTGTTCGTGAATGGAAGAGTTATCACTCTTGTAACCACCGGCGTGTGTCATATAATTGTCTGCCGAGTGGCTCCATGCTGACGCTTCGTCAATCCCTTCCGAAGACGATGCTGTTGCCTCCGCATCATCAAACGCAGGCGAGGTGTTTAGATTGCTGATGTCCTCTGTCTGCGTATGCTCAGTTGTCATTGCCGGTGCAGATTCAGCCTGGTGGTTTTCTTCGCCGTAATGGTCACAAGAGAGGGATAATGTCGTGGTGTTGTTGGTCGCTGCGGCGGCGGCAGCAGCAGCAACGGTGGTGGTAGTCGTATGGCTGGCCTGGAACGCATATCCGCCAAAAATGTCTCCAGGGCAACTGGCAGAACCATTGCCAAGACTTTGAGTCAGTCTAGGATCCAAGTTTAAATCAAGAAGCGGCTGGTAGAGCGTGTTGGTGAAATTGCTGGAGTCGGTAGCCGTTGTTGCTGAAGTCGGGAAGGCCGTCTCTGCCGAGCCTTTGATAGACAAAAGGTTGGTTCCAAGTACATCTTCGGACTGTGTCCAGGTACCTCTGCCAGTCGACGCCGACATGGCTACGGCCGCCTCCAGCGCCTGGATGCGCTCTTTCTGGGCGCGACCTGAGTAGAGGACGGTAAGTGAAGATTAGAGAGGACAGACAAGAAATAAAAGCCATTAAATCTCATACGGTATGTCCGTTGCGCAGCGCAGTTCTGTTCGCGCTTACGCGCTAGTCTTTCCTGCTCGGAAACGAGGCTGTTACTTTGTCTTCTGATGCGCCGAGGTCTTGTTATCGTCATGTTGTTCTTCATTTATCCCTCCTGCCTTTCTCTTTCTTTTTCTGTTGTTTTCTCTTTCTTAATTTCCAAGGGAGAGGGGAGGAGTTCTCTTTGCTGCTATTTCTGTATGTGTTACGAAGACGCCCTTATATAATTCAAGTGCCTGGGTCTGGGTCTGGGTCTGGGCGCCTAGCGTGCACTATAGGTCTCAACTATATGCTTTAGCCCGTTATGAGTAAGAAGTGAAAATGTGTGGATGTGGCAAAGCAATGTAGTACTGATTTTTGGTTGGTCATGATGTACTATGCCGCGGAGGAGCATGTTAAGCTCACATGATTGAAATCAGGCAATGAGATAAGGCGGTGACATAAAAGGAAGGTGGGCAGCTGTGCCGTAGGATACAATTATTAGTTGCGCGCCGGCCCGCCGGATCGGCTGCATATAACGTATCACCCCCTAACCGAGCCACCTCCATTGACGAGGTTGAATCTTAGCTTTAAGAGGCTTATGGTTCACCGCAAGCAGGCTTTAAAAATCGAAAAGAAAATCCAAAAAGTATTCTTTACATTCCAAAATATAATATAGCTATATCATATGATATATTAGAAAGGTTCCATGGTGTAATGCGAAATATTGTATCTCGGCGGCGAAAATCCCGAGAAGCTAAGACATTAGTCTAGTGGGTAACTACGCCCTGAGAAGTCAAGTCTGTAGAAGGGTGGCTCGGTTGTAGGGTTGGCTCGGTTCAGGTGGTGATACGTTAAAGGTCTTGGAAGCGATCATCGCGTGTCCTATCAAATAACGGATGTGGATCACTCTTCTCCACCTGAATCGTGCATATAATAGTCTTGTCTGTCCCCATATCAATAAATGGGGGCTCAACTCTTGTAACACATCTATTACTCCCCTATATAATTTTCACATATCGGATACGCTTTTCCAGTCTATACAATTGGCTAAGCTTTTATCGGAGAATACGACACAAAAATAGGAAGCTGATCGGATGTCTGTATTAATATCTAATATTATCCGACTGACTTCTAATACTTGCTACTTTATATAAATTATAATCATCAGACAACGTAAGAATCATCACCTAAGGATGCCCCCAAAAGTACTGAGATACACGTCGCTCTTTTGTGTCGTTTCGCTGCCTAGGCCCAGATCCCCCGGGACTCCTGCTTTGCAGTCAGATGATTATCCCCCACACTGCACAGATAGCTTAGTTCTGAGGAAGCAGGATGTCTTAATTGCTGGTTCTGGGGAGTGCTCGGTCGTGACAACCCGCTAAGCCCACTTCAACCGTGTTCGCCTCTTGGCGCCAATCACGGCCAGCAATCACAGTCCAATCGGCCATGGCCACTAAATAGTTGGCACAATGGTATGTATGTTCTTCGTCGGCGGTGATAGCATCGATATACCGCCAATTCTGCGTAAAGGCGCGGTATTGCCTCTTCCACATTTCGTCACAATGGACAAATGGTCGCGCTGACTAGTCCAGTATACATCGTAATCGCCCATTTCCTCGATCGTCGTAAGTTGTGTCGTCCTGTTCTTTTCGAGATACCCAATCCATTATGTACCTTCGTTCATATAGGACTGCGTACTGATATCATCGTAGCAGGACTTATGCACGTAATGGTTGGCCAGGATATCGTATACGCATCCTTTACTCCGCGCCTCTTCCGTGGATTTGCCGCAGTCGATAAAGCACGTGTTGGAGAAAATGGTGTGTTTGTCCCCCATGTCATAAGGTGCTACGGACATCATCAAGGTGTTTAGACCAATAGTACCGTCAGCTCTTATGCCAGATAATAGACCAAGCTGTCACAGCATGAGCAAAGTGCCCCAAAATGCGGTGGTGAGGATGAACACCACAGCCGAGGCTGCCCATGAAAGGGGAAAGCGACGATCGTCTAAGTACAGGTGCAGTTTCCAGTTGGTGGACCCAGCTAGCCCGCGGCGCTTTACTGTAGTCAAAGCTGCCATCTGAGTGAGAGCTGTTCTCGTTTAGCATTTCATGGAGCGTGCTGGCTTTGTCTTCTAACTCTTCGTGCATCGTAGAATTGAGTTCACAACCTCTGGTTATGTTTGATGGAAATCGCGGAGAAGGTTATCTTTCCGTGCGTCTCGCCCTTGATACAATTTTGCTTCTTTTTCTTTCTTGCTTCTTTATCTCATCTCTTTCTTACGAGGTGGTGTAGGATAACGTCATGCTTGCACGTCATGCGCATCGATTCAACCCCTCCTAGCAGTTGGCAGGTAAAGTCAACACTAAGCCCTATTATTGCTGCCATATACACGTTTGGTGTGGACCTCGCCAGACCATGGGATCCACTTTTCGGGTGCCTGCACAGTCCAGTTCAGTCCTTACGGGGGGGTGTTCAATGGTCGTGTAGCCGATATCTAATTCTACGCTTCTAACCTGGTTTCAGACGGGATCCCTACCAGTGGACCGAGGCTTATGAAAAGAGCCTGTAAGAAGGATCTCACGTAAGGCATGTTGAGTTGGAGAAGGGCAAATGTGGCAATCACGTGAAGTGTGGAGCAAGACATAGCAAAAAGAGACTAACAGAAAGAGAAATGCATAATGCCTAAATCGATTTGTTTCTGCATAGTCAGCGTGTTGCAACCCCCCCCCCCCAAAAAAAATAAAACCGCAAGGCCACCGTACAGAAAAACAACATAGTGGATTCGAGATTGTATTGGAGCAGATGGCGAATACCTCTCGTCAGGTACGCTGCTTTGGTTAACGGCGAAAGCAAGAACAGCAGCAGCAGTAGAAGCTGCAGTAGTGACCGCAACGAGAATCACTCTCTTACCAGAGACAATTCTGACGCCGATTATGAAGAAGATGACTCAGAAAATTCACGATACATAAGCCCGACAGAGAGGTCATACTGTAGTTTCAGTCCGCGGCTGGTTCTCCTCTGCCTAGCCTTTCTCTCCTGCGGTATACTGTTGGGCTATGCTGCGAGAGGCCTATACGTGTGGCACGGTGCGGACAATAAGGAGGCGGTCGCTACCAAGACCGCTTGGGGTAGTGAGTATAACAAGTACATATACACGCCAAACGAGTATGACGAATATATTGCCCGGACGAGGACCTCACAATGCGCCGCGAATGGCGGCAGATGAGCTGCGTCGAGAAACGGCAGTTCATCCAGGCCGTCAAGTGCTTAAAAAACAGACCGTCTAAAGCGCGGTCTACCGGAAAGCTATTGAAGACTTTGCTTTTCTCAGAGGCCAGATCGGATTACATTGTAAATAATCCGAATTCACGTTGGTCAGAATAGAGAGACAATTCCTAACCACTTTGGAGCAATCGGAGTAGCGTCTTTCTTCCCGTGGCACCGGTATCTCCTTTGGGTGTTTGAGAGGGAACTCAAAAACTCTTGCGGGTATCCGGGCGGAGTTCCCTATGTTTCACGTATCAATATCACCAGAAAACAAACTAACACCTGATGCCAGATTTTGGGACTGGACCAAGGACTCGTAAGTATTCCGCGAGTAATAGCAGGACGAATAAATGGGAATGGAAAGTGAAACAGAAAAGCTAATCATTATAGCGATACTCTTGCGTACTCTCCCCTGTTAAACGAGCTGCCCGGCTTCGGCAGCGACGGTAACCCGCAGGCCGACTTCGCCAACGGCACCCACGGTGGCTATTGTGTGACCGACGGCAACTTTGCCAATCATATGGCGGCCATTGATTATATCGATACCTCCAGAGTGACCCCTTCGTCCCATTGCGTCTCCCGCCGCTTCGATCCTGAAGACCCTGAAGGCCGCCACTCCGGCGCCCTCATAACCCGGAGTACTATCTCGGATATTATCGCCCTGCCTGACTTTGCTAGTTTTTCCGATGCGATGCTGAATGAAACTACCGGCCCGGCAGTTGTCGTCCCTAACTGGATGCAGGGTGATATGGCCCAATATACGGCGCCCAACGATGTGCTTTACTTCTTGCATCTAACACAGGTCGGCCGTCTCTGGTGGGTTTGGCAACACCAGGTCACAGCGTTGCGTCTGAACGATTACACCGGCCGCCGCCGGAACGACTAAGACGATCCCGCTTCGCTTCACGACAACCTCTCGCTTGACGAAGTTCTGGCCCCTGACGTGGAGGTGTTTAATGCTATCTGGGCGCAATGGAGTTTTGTGTGTTACACGTATTGTGCACCGCCCAAGAAAGACGAGGCATAATTAGCGTGACGGTGAGAAAGCCAAGGGTGTAAAACAAAAATTACATGTTTTGTCTGAATTTATTCATCATCTGCATTTCTTTCTTTTGGAGGAGGAACATGGTATAGTTAATCAGAATGTGGTTTAAGGATACACGATTGCGATAAAAAAAAACATCACAGTGCCTGATATTAGTGCCACATTGAACAAGTAGAATTTTATTTCATAAGGTCTGCAAAAAAATAAAAAGGTCACTGGTGACATCACAAAGTGATTAAACTGTAACGATTATACTAATACTAGGTCTAAATATGAACAGCAAAGTTTATGTTAGTAAGTAAGTAGAGTCATTAAAAGCAAAGAGTATTTAAAAGTGTAGTTGCAAAGGCTTGAGCCTCATTCATCAGTAAGATAAATACGTAGCTCGATCACTGAAGTAATAACTGTCTATAATTAACACCTAGGAAACCCAGTCCTTCGTATGTCCTTTCATTCCTTCGCTGAGGCTTATCGAATCATTGGATCGACTCCAGATACCCAAATCCGATACACACTGGATCCATACCTCGATCTGCTCCAGATCCATAGATATAGTGACGTGACTCCCTGTATGCTGGCGTCCCTGTTATGTCCTAGCCAACTGTCTGCCTGGTGCCAGCCAGCACGTGTGGCTTCTCCACTTAAGGTCGCATATCTGGCCTTCGTTTGTAACATCAATGCCACAGGTTGGCAGTAATAGTAATGGGTACCCGGCACCTAGTAACGAGTTAAACGTTTATAATAGGATGCAAACTGAGCTACGAACAGCAGCTTGCGCACGGGGACTACATCAACGAAGAGGTCACCGAATGCCTTGATTGTGCCACCTTGACTAGTCAGACATTACGTGATCGCAACGTAACGTGGAAAACTGATGGGCAGGATCAAAAATCAAATAGCAGTCTCGTTTACATCAATTACGTGAGGAAGTCACCACTATAGCTTTAGTATCCTTATATGTAAGATAGTACAACCTGATCACAGATTGCACATTCAGAGGCGATAGCAAAATGTCCGTCCTGAGTAATATCAAAGATATTCCAAGAGAAAACCATGTACAAATGGGCTGGCCGATCTGCTATCTCTGATGCGCTAGGAAATCATTTCGATCAACCACGACATCATCAAGGTTTTGATCTACCTCTTGACCACAGTTTCAACTCTCTAATTTTCCTCGAAAGGAACCAACTTCACTCTATTGAAAAGCCCGACATTATGCGTACCTCTACCTTCCTTGCTGCGGCCTTTGCCACCTTGGCCCTTGCCAGGCCCATCCCTACAGATGCCCAAGGTGAACTTGCTGTCGTCAGAGCGGTTCGAACCGCAATGGGCAGGCCGACTACATCTAGCGCGAGATCGCTAGTTCCCAAGGTAGCTCTGAAAATCGAGAGAACCATTCCTGACACAAATATCTTGGCAGCGCCTCTCATCTCATTAAGGCATGTCGTCTGCTCAGCGTAGGGCTTAGTCTTTCACATAATTACTACCTGCGTTTCATGTGACTCAGCAAAGAGTAAGAGGATTAAGGAATAAGAATCATGTTGGGAGAGCAGGTTAGTGCCAAGCGGGAATAGAAGAATAACTTATAATTATGATGGAAGAGTTTCATCTACTACTCGTATACTACACTATGTAGATATAGCAAATTCAGAACTCTTCTTTCCTTGGTCGACATTACCGAGTGTCTTAATTTATGGGAATTGATAAGGACGCAGCGTAATTACTAAGGAAGCGGCTTACGGACTCAGCAATATTTCTCAGCCTCTCATTGACCTGAGAAGACGCCAGCTGGCGGCCCACTTGGACGTGCACTAACACTTACCTCTTCACGGCACTAACTAGAACCTGGGAAGTTCTACTGAGTGTGCCTCGAACCGCCTTATATACTACGTATTACGTGCTACGTGGAGTGTGTGGTGTGAATCAACATTGCTAAAAATTTACGGAAGATGTCATAGATCTAGTCACACGCTCACTGGTCCTGACGTTGATGCTATCACGCACCTCCTCCTGCTCTCTCCAGTCGCGATCTCCCACCGCGATCTCCGCCTACGAATAATTGGCTATAACCATCGCCCATTCAAACGTACTCCCGTCCGATTACCCAGAGCAATTCCTTCAACCTCCTGCGACCTTGTTGATCTTGCGATACATGATTTTCCACGTTTGATTGACCTGATCCGCTGCTCGTAGGCTGTTCTGGTTGGATAGCGCGAAACAGCTAATCCTGCACTACATCATTCCGATTGTGGCTGCGCGCCTGTATCTTGAAAGCAATCGGGATTGGCTGCCCATTACTTTTTCGGCCGTTCACGAAGCTCAGTTGCAATTCTTAGACCGTGAATCCGCCTATATGGGTTTGAACTCCACTCGTATAGATGCAATCTAGAGTGCACATCCCATGTTGTCAACTTCATGCCGTCTGCAAGTTCACGATGTGTTGTATGCTGACATGGAATGCCGAGATGTAGGGATACCGTGCAATTGATGTCACAACCGCTTAGCGGCGTTCGGGAATGGATTGTCTCCACTAGGGGTGAAAGAGAGTAATCATCGAGCATGTCCTTAAGTGCTTCGACTGGTCGGAACAAATGGCTTATGCTATCAAGTAGGTAACCCTTCACATTATTGATACTTGTTTCTTTTCCAGACGTGACTAGAATTCCAAGATTTCGATAATTCCGAATGAAGCATTGTGCCCATTGAAGAGACAAGCTTTTAAACACGTCGCTAGCAACAGCTCTAGACTAGAAAGTGCGATTCTAGTGCAGCTAGCAAAATGGTGGCTATAGGGGGGTTACGTACTAACCTAGCGCACTAACATAAATTGCTAAAGCCAATAAGAGGCTGAGAAATATCGCGACGCTCGTAAGCTGTTGCGTCCCTAGTGATCTGCGCTGCATCCTTATTAATTCCTAATGTATTACGTGAGAATTTATGCCGATGACGTTGGAAGTTCACCGTCGTATAAAACCATGAGGTTATACCTGATTAGAATACTTTTTTTCTACTCTGGCTCGGTTATATTATTATCCTTTAGGAGGCTTTCTTCTGAGTATCTTTTCCTTTTTAACCTTCAATTTCCTTCTCCTAATGTAGAAGAGGACGTAAAAGTGAAAGACGTTAACACTGCCCACTATGGAAGCGTTTGAAGCCGAGCTCGCTAAGGCAACAAACCTTGGTAATAGGGACTTGCTGGGTGCCGTTGCTATGGTCATTGATAACAACGGTGAGTTACAGCGTTTCACTGCGATTGTTAGAATGTGTATGAGGCTACAAGAAGAGGGCAATCTGATTAATACTGTAGGACATGAGCAGGAAACTTCTTATACCGACATGCTGCTGGACGCCAGTTTCTTGATACCGACTCGCCACCTTTGGATCCCAATTGCACCATATCGCTCACCTCGGCAGGCAAGTTCTGGACCAATATCGCGGCCTTGCAATTGGTTGAACGCGGCATTCTGACGCTTGACGAACCGATTAGGAAGTATGTTCCTGAGATTGACAAATGCCTGCTGGTCGAGGAGGTGGACATAGAGGGTCAAGGTGGAGGCGACGTGGAAAATAAGGAGAAAGAGATAAGGCTACGTCCACCAACGCGCGGCATCACATTGCGCGACCTACTTTTGAATATGAGTGGTATGGGCACCCCCGATACGTACCAAGAGCGGTTTGGTAGCAAGGATAGGGTACCACCGCTGGACTTTCCCAATGACGCCCATCCACTAGTCAAGAATCAATTTACGCACCTTTTCTTTGAGCCGGGTGAGGGCTTCGAGTACGGATGGAGTATCTACTGCGTCCAGCTACTCGTCGAGCGGCTTGGCGATAAGGACCGGTTCTTCCAGTACGTCGACGAACATATTTTTGGCGCGCTCGGCATGACCGCTTCCACTTACCGACCGGTCCTGGTGCCGCATGTCTGGGCGCGTCGCCTGCAGATGGTAGGGCGTGAGCTGGACACCACCATGACGGACGGCAAGGCCCGCCTCGTGGCCCGTGACGAGAACACGTATGGTCTGGCCTGCAGCATATCCGATCTCGCCAGGCTCTTTGGCGATCTCATGTCGCCCGACTGCAAGCTGCTCCAGGTCCAAGAACACCGCGATCTGTTATTCGCGCCACAGTTGACACCCGGCAGCCATGCACACCAGTCGCTACTAGCCGAAACTACCAACTACGGCTTCCTGCTCCCCCTCGAACAAGGCGTGTCCCATAAAGTATCATGGGCGTTAACACCACCTCCGGCGATCAACTGGACCGCGGCGGGCGTACTTATTGAGGAGGACGGCACCCTTCCCGGCTCGGGCATCCCCAAAGGGACTGTGGCGTTTGAGGGGCAGCCAAATGTCATCTGGACTATGAATCGCGAAAAGGGGCGCATGATGCTTTTTGGTAACCAGTTGCTGCCCGGCTACGATGTGAAAGCACATAATCTTGCGATTCGGTTTTTGTATGACGCTTGGAAGACGTTTGGCTAGGCGAGAAGGAGTATAAAGTGTCAAGGATTCATTCCTAGTATCTAATATATAGGGTTAGCAGCATGTTCAGAAAGAAAGCGGCAGAGCGTATATACCTATGCAATGGCCTTGGTAATTCCTAGCTGTGTGTGCCATGCTTGCAAACAAATAAATCGTTTTCAATTATAGTCAAATCAAATTGGGATTTTCCCAAATCAAATCAAATAAGTGGAAATTTCACTTAAATCAACTTAATTCAAAGCACCTGATTTATTTGGATATGTACCAAATCAAAAACAACCTAGGATAAGCAGGTAATACCTCGCCAATACACCGCAGCTTCAGGTTTGCGTTGGCCCTGGACCGTCTGGTTGTAGCACTAATATTGCTTTTTTCTTAAAAAAAAAACTATAAAAAAAAACGCGCTTCCCGCGAAATGTTTTCTGTATGCCCGTCTTCGCTTTGTGATAGCTGTTTAATCGTGCCGATGCCTTCGCTTAACGCTTTCCCATCTGCTTTGAACCCGTCAAATACTCGCGATTAGTCTCGTTTTTCTCCAGCCATGTCTATAGACGAAAATGCCGATCTGAGACCCACTCTTGGAAGCAGCGTCCACTGCACCACTTCAAGTCCTTTATGCAGCTCCTCTGACATCAGCCCATCAGAGCCTAGAGGAGAAGTTTCGGACGATACATCGTTTCTGGTTGACTATATTGGCTACGAGGGCATTGATTGGAATCATTTTGCAGGCTTATCTATCATCAGGCGTCGAAAAAGGCCGCGTACAGGTCGGGTATGGGAGCTCGGTTGAGTTTCTCTATCTGCCTCGTACGAGAGCTGCCACGTCGAGATAGGTTTGTGGCGGTGATGCGGAACTGAGACATATGGCCTGGGACAGCTCATTCGCAACGAGTCTGTTTATGTGATAGCGATGGACAGTATAAAGCCGTCGCAGAGGATTCGTGGGGCGGCGGCGGTGGCGATGTGAAGTTGGACGAGTCGAGAGTCGAGGTGCGACGCGTTTGGGGTTGCGGCCAAGAAAGGACTAAATCGTTGTCACGACTAACAAAGACCTAACTTATGCCTCCGATTAAGGCTATACTGTATTGCCGGAAATGTAACAGTATATATGTGGTGACTACGCTGGGGTAACTTACATATCGAGACTGCGACCGCATCAGAGTAATTGATATACATATTTCTATTGGTTTGAAATCCTATCAGTTGCTACATCTCTGTCTTTATCTACAGCCTAATCAATCACTTGAGTGTTTGCATATCCCCTCAAACAAGTCATGGTGCAAGATCCATGACATCAGTCTATCACCGCCTGGCTACAAACTATTTCCGAGTCTGCTCCTGCGACTCCTTTAAGCCACAGCGAAAATCTACCCACCGGATGTCCATGCCGACGTCGTGACAAATAACGAACACCTAGCATGTCCAAGCGACAGAGGAACGACAAAGAGGGCTACGATAGAGGATTGAGCCCTAGCGGTGGCGAGGAAAAGCAACACGAACCTACACCACGTCCACCCATACCGTTGCTGTCCCGAACCAGACGTGACCGTGACCACCGCAGCAGCAACATCGACCTGATCCCATCTACGACCAGCGGTACAGGCAATAGCACCAGCAGCGCCGGGACCGCCATCTTTAGCAAGCGGGAGATGCTAACCACTGTATCCAGCACATCCACCTTTCACTCCACGCCCACACCTGCTCGACCTGGATGAGGACCGGCCTCTTGTCATCAGCGTGGAGACTAAGTGCCTCGCTCCTGGTCTTGAGAAGGCTTCCACGTAGCCCCCCCCCGCGGCGCTCTGGCCGGGCGCACTTTCGCCTGCAGAACGGGTTCAGCGACGGCGGGCTGACCGTACTGCTTCCCTGTCTCAGGGTCACGGCCACCTACTGGGACCTGAATGTTTTGGTACAAGAGGGGAACAGCAAAGTGTCCTACGGATCCCGTCAAACCCGGCGATAGACTCACCATACCCGGCTGCTACCGCGTCTACCATTCGCTCGTCGCCATCATACAGTAGGCAGAGCAAGAAGCAACGGCATGGTGCATAGCACGACTGGGAGCCTTTAGCCGAGGGCGAGGAGAGCGTGGGGAGGGGTCACAACAATCATGATAGTAGTATTAATAGAGCTGTGCTTCGCCTATCGACTAAATTCGATGCGGCTAACAGAGATAGAGACAGAGAAAAATCTAAACTAGCCAATGATTTTATGAGCACGTCATCTAGGATATAACATACCTAGGCATGAATATCTCAGATGACCTCACGGTTCGATAATCTTATATAGCGACTACACAGCTCAAAGACGTAAATCATATAAATCACTAATATTCCAATTTGGATTGTCCCGGTTACAAGAGGCGAGTGTTTTACAACAACAGCCACAAACGATATATCTAAGATTTCACCTTGAATTCTATCAATATATAAAGAGTCTTCCGATTTCTTGTTCCAAGACTTAATAAACAGTTCACTATCAACTCCATCATACAATCAATTCACTTTACTACACCACTAAGGCTTAGTGTGTAACTTCTTTAAATCATACAACATAAAGGTTTTCGCAACGTTATTGCTAATTAATCTTGCTACAGCTAATTCTCGGGGAAATCATAAGGAAAGCGACAATATTAAACGCCAAGCAGACGAAGCATATCACGTCCGGGCTGATTTGAGAATGCTTGCAGCGGCCGTTGAGGCTTACGGGACGGGAGAATACTGTAATACGACTCCATGTTATATTAGCTGCCTTATAAGAGGCGAGTTTAAAGTAAGTCTTCTTAGAGCCGAGTGACATAGTTGTATTGCTAAGCTGTCCGTCACATCAAGCTTTGCTGTTAACCAAACAGTTCTGGTTATCTGGGGATACTTTGAGCCGTTGTATGGAGCCTCTTCTGGATTTTAAGCTCGGCCGGCTGAGAGTGGGTTTGCTTCGATTTTCTGCAGGACGTACTTTGGGTTTACTGACCGATTTACAAAACATTAATTTTCGTCAGGAAAGCTATTGCAGCCATAGTTTATGTAACTACAGTGTCGTTGAATGGAATCATGGTTGATTTAAAATGTGGTACTTTGTGCATACGTGACTTAAGTGATCACATGTCACTTTATCCTGGAATAATATAGAAGATTGTCCATCTGTCTGTTTTCACAATCGTCCATCCGACACCGTCCGCAAGCAGCTCGACCTTGAGCCCGAATCTCTCTATCTCTCAAAACGCCGCTTGGATTTATTGGAGTACCCAAGATTCACTTCGTTGCCGGACAGCCACTCCAGACCACCTACGCGCAGTCTCGATACTAGGTCGGACATCTCGTACTCGGTCGTATCCGCGTAGACGCACTCGCAGGTACTCAGGCGCTCGTTGACAACTATGGCGTGACCCATGATCGGAGGGAACATCGACATCGTGTACATGCTGGTTGGCCGAGACGTGGGCGATTGTTTGGCAGGATTTCAAACCTCCGCAGGTACTAAAACGACAGGCCCAACTCGTCGAGGGTTCCGTTGAAGATGGCCGTATCAGTGGTGCCGACGAAGACGATGCCGTCCGTGCACTCCGTCGCGGACGCCTTCGCGAACGATGTTCCGTTTGGACATGGCGCGCGGCACGCCGCCACCTATTTTTTGGGTAAGGGCCACACGGTCTTCAACCGGTACGGATCGAATCCGCGCTCGAACATCGGCAGCAGCAACTACCCCATCGTCATAGGACTGCCATAGGACATTAATAGAAACGCGTCGGTATTAGTCGTCTTGTACGACCACGACAACATCGGGAACCTGCTTAACATGGACTCTGACCGACTTGTAGATGCCACGAGATAGGCCATGGACATCCTAAACGGCCCCTGTGGCTTGATCAAGTTGACTCCGACGAACGACATCGAGCAAGACAGGCACTACGGACCCGCCGACCCTCGTGTTATGGTAGCCGTCCGCAACCCCAATGGACTCGTGGACGAGAGTCATAAGGGACGAAGCAAGTTGCCTACCGACATCGTCTTCACCTACAAGCTCGAGTAGGCGTTTAGCACGAAAACCATGCCCCGAGGTCCCCGGGCACATAAGTACGGTCTAAGTCCCGCCCAAGCCTGCTCTTCGTTGAGATGTCGCGGGGCACGCGGGGCAAGCCATGTGGCCTGGCAGACAAGACATGCGTGGAATCCCCTGGTGTTGCCACAAGGCGGAGGCTCGATGCACTGAAAGTCCTGGGCCCCATGGGTCACACCCCCGCGGCGAAAACTTGAAACCAATGTCGCCTTTGTTCGCGAACAGATGGCTCCACGAAGATAGAACTGGACCAGCAGCCCCTACGCGCCGTTTTAGACAGGCAGATGTGGGGTTATAACTATACGCTAAGACTATTTTGGCGCCCAATTCAGCATAAGGTCTACCATTTTCTGATCCCAAAACCTCCAGTCTTGGACATCGCCACGCCGAAAACCGTCATCTATATGCATTATGTGGACCAATGCTTCTGAGTCCTAAGCCCAGGCTGCGGATGAGATATCACGATTGATATCACTAGTCAGACTGCACGACTAGATTCCATGAGGATAATGAAAGAGAATAGTATAAGCATTGCTCCTCCGAGGTTTCCTTCCGACTATATGGCTTGCTAATGACATCTTACATAGAGAACGTGGTAAAATACAAAGATACTGCGTGATTCCTGAACTCCCCAACCATGACCTTCCCGCCCCAAGCCGTCCCATGGCATTCCATCGGGTCATTTACTCCTCAGAGCGCTCCCCAAACTTCATACCACGCTTGGCATCAGTGTCGCTGCAGTAGTCATCATCCTTGGTACCACCAACGCAGCCGTTGGGGCAAAACTGATCAAAGGTGATGTAGTTGTCACCGCCGCAGATGAAGATGGACTGGTCGGTGTGCTTGATATCTGTGCTAGTACCAGCGGCGTTCAGGGCATCGTTGATTCTGTAGTTATAGTCGGCGGACTTCTGCTTCAAAGCGAAGCCGCAGTAGATTCCACCGTTGGTGCAGCCCTTGATGGCGGTCTCACGGTTCTCTAGAGGACCGGCAGACACGAAGCTGGAGAGGGCAGCGGTGAAGGCGAGAGCGAAAGTTGCGATTTGGACCATTTTGGCGGTTGTAGTTTTGTTTGGATACTGTTGAGAAGTGTAATGTAGTGTTTGTGTTGATAATGTTGGTCTGATGATTTTGAGCTTAGATGAGGCGATGAGA